CTAGTTATCTATAATAAGGTAGAAGGCCTAACTATTAGTATAAATTAAAAAGAAAAGAAGGTTAGTAATATTCTACTACCTTAAAAAGATTATAAAAACCTCCTTATAATAAAGGAAAAACCCTAAAAGTTAACTAAAATTATAGTTATACCTCTATAACTATATTCTTAATCTAAAACCCTTCTATAATAATTACTCTAGAGAACTACTAGAGCTATAGCTATAGTAAGCCTTTTAAAGGGTAATATACTCTATCTAAAGATAGTATAAAGTATAAGTACATATAGAGTTTACGCCTAAAGCTACCTATTTATAAGGAGTTAAAGTAAGAAAGTTATAAGGACCTATAGAACCCTCGTTAAAGAACTTATAGTCCTACTTATAAATAGCATTATAGATCTAAAGGCGACAAGTAGTAGTTAGTCTATAGGTTAGGTTAACTAATATCTTAAATTAAACTCTAATGTTTCTAGAGGACTAGGTAAAAGTAGTATTAAAACTTTTACGCTAACCGCTAATACTATTAATAATATAGTTAGCCTAGTATAAAGAGGTAGTAGCTCTAAACTAAGCTATAGTTATACGCTTAGGACTTATAGGCATAAAAGGAGAACTAATAATAGGAGCTAAGCTACTATAAGTATAACTTAGTATTATAGGTCTAGAAGTAGCTAAAGATAGACTTATATAAATAGGAGAACCTAGATCTAGACTACCTATTAATTCTATAACTAAAGAAGGAGTTATACTTAAGCTTATAATATAATAATAGTTAGTTATAACCTAACAAGAAATAAGCGAAATAATAACCTAAACCTCTTAATAACATCTAGGCTTAAGAGTTATAGAAGAAGTTATAATAAGAGCTCTTAAAGGACTAAGTACTTTACTACTATAGTAAGAGTAGTTCTTATAGTAGTTAGAGAAGGCATAGTTAGTATAAGCTCTAGAAAAGAGTTCTTTATTAGGACTATTAATAGTAATATAGTTAGTAAAGTAACTAGAACCTTTCCTATAGTTATAGTAGGCATTATTTCTAGAGTTAATAGTTCTACTATAAGAAAGATAACTAAGAAAGGATATTAAGGCGTAAGTACTAGTAGTTTTATATATATCTAACTTCTTAGGTCTAAAGACTAGCTTATAAATAGGCTCTAAAAGTTAATAGTTATTACGATCTAGGAAGTTTTTAGCTATAACTCTAAGGTTATAGTATTTACCTATATTAGCTAGAGCTAGAGTAAATAAGAGAGCCTAAATAGTAAAGTAAAGATCTAGTTTATATAACTTTTTACCTATTATAGAAGTTAGAAAAGGCTATAATAAGGTTATAAAAGTTAGAAGATTTACTTATAAGCATTATCTAAGTCCTTCTTTATAGTATAGTATCTCTTAAGACTACCCTTATCTAAAGGCTTATAAGGAGGCTTACTACTACTATTACTACTACATTTACTAGTTCTAGTAAGAGAACTAGTAGTAGGGTATATAATAGATACTAATATTATTATAGAATATAAGGAAAGTAATATAAAGAGTATAGAAAAGCTATTATAAAGTATATATATAGTAGAAGTAAGTTATAAGTAATAAGAAAGAGAAAATTAGTATATAAGTAATAGGAAGTTACTATAACTAATAAAGAAGAAGAAGAATAGTATATAGTAGGTAGTATAATATATAACTATTAAAGAAGGAAGAAGAAGTAGAAGTACTTAAGTAAGTTTAAGAAGCTTAATTAAGTTAGATATTAATATTATAAAGAAGGTTTAAGCTAGATAGGAAGGATAGTTTTATACTTAGAATTTTATAAGCTAGTAACTATAACTTAGAGTTATAGGTAACTAAGATATAAAATTAAGGAGTAAGAAACTTAGAGCGTACTCCTTATAATACTAGTAGGTAAGAAGTTAAAGTATACTATTATTATAAAGAAAGAGTATATAAAAAATAATCTAAGATTATTATAGAAGTTACTAGCGCTAAGGCTACTACCTAGCTAAGTAAAATTAGATATAATAAATGTAATAAAGAAGGATTAAGAAATTAGAGAAGACATAGAAAGATATAATAGATGTTATAGTAAGAAAGAAGATTCTAATAGTAGGTTATAACTAATAGAAGTAGATTTCCTAACTACTATTAGAGTTATAGATAGAGAATGCCTATAGCTATAATAAGCTATATAACTAAGGCTTTTCTAAAGTCTAACTAATTATTTCCTTTATATTATTAATTTTAATTAATACTAGCAATAATACTAAAGTAGGTGCTTTAGTCTAAGTAGGGAAGGATATTATTATAAAGCTAGAGTAAGCCATTACTTAGCGGATTTGGTATATAATCGTGCCGTGCGCCAGTAGTCTAAAAAATTAAGTTCCTTTGGTAATTACAGTGGCGGCAGAAGCCGAATAGACCGAGGCAACGATGACGTCGATATATTGATGGCGAGCTCTCTGTTTCTGCTCCCTTCCAAACGACATTGGCCACCCTATATCACTCGAATATATACTGGATCACACCTCTGGATTCAGTTCATAACATTCATGCGTTTTCTCCCAACCGTCGTTCGCAGTTTCTACGCCTTTTCCAACGCCACTTTTCGAGTAGCACCCCCACCTCTCAGACCAGCTCTTGGGCCTACCGCGAAACTGGGTCTTCCTAGCATTCCTTTCCTCGGAGCTTTCTTTGGAACCTCTTCTTCAAACAATATGACCTACCCATTGCAGAAGGGCAAGGACGAGTGGCAAGCTCAGCTTAGCCCTGGTATGTGATCACTGAGATCAAAGACGGCATTGCGACATCTTGCTAACAAGTCTCCAACAGAGCAATTCCGCATTCTCCGCGAAAAGGGCACCGAGGCCCCCTACAGCAGCGACTTTGACAAGCACATGCCCTCCGAGGGTGTCTACACCTGCGCCGGCTGTGAAGCTCCTCTCTACAAGGCAAACCACAAGTTCAAGTCTGGCTGCGGCTGGCCTGCCTTTTTCGATGCTGTTCCTGGTGCTGTGACCAGACATGTCGACCGTACTTTTGGTATGGAGCGTACTGAGATTGTTTGCTCCAACTGTGGTGGACATCTTGGTCACGTCTTCAAGGGAGAGGGATATCCTACCCCTACTGACGAGCGTCATTGCGGTATGTATATCCAAATCGATCCTTACGAGCTTATGCTGACAACGATATAGTGAACGGAGTCTCGCTCAACTTCAACAAGAACGACCCTGTCAAGGACTCAAAGGCCTAAAAGAATCGCCACGTAGCAACGATATTGATGAAATCCCGCTGTACATATAAGAGAACTTGGAGCTTGATACTATAATTGAAACAAAACATTTGGACTCTTGGTATCCACCTTCGTGCAAGACATCGTATGATAAGAGGTGCAGAGGCTTCTGCCTCCTAGTCAGACGTCAATTCGAGAATGCCTGCTTCGTGAGCCCTCTCTTAATGCTATCTCATTCTTGATCATCCCGAACCAACTGTTACTTGCCATCTTTCCCTGACTATTCCGTGACTCCTTTTCCATAGGGCGCAGCGACGCTGTACTATCCCTGCATTTCCTGCCTGAAGAGCCAAGCAAGCGGTTTGATGCAGGCCGCCTCGTATTTGGAAACTTTTGACTGCCATTTCTTTTGACGAGTCTGCCGCATCGCTCTTCTAAAGATACCCGACGCTATCAAAAGACGCAGCAAGGTCTACCAGGAAGTCTCATCCCGATTGCTCTCCATCAAGAAACTCCTGATGTCAAGTCAACAGCACAGCATCGTCACCTACACCACTACTTCATCATAAAAGACAACATACTAATGCAAAAAACTATGACAAGAATTATGCATTGCATCCACTCATGCAGGGGTGTTTGTTATCTTTAAAAAAGCATGGACTGAGTTCATCTGATATCGGGCGACCCTGCCAAGCGCACACACACTTGTCCACGGCTAAACTAGCCACGCTACTCAAAATACCCGCCCCCGCATTTTTCACATGTCTCAAAAGTAAACAAATGGGAAGAAAAATTGTCGAAAAGCTGCAAGAGCGAATGGATGTTTGATGTCGAGGATGAATTTAGTGATTGGAGGAGGCAGAGAAAAGAATGATTGTAACAAAGGGTCCTCATTAGCTTTGTAGAGTATGCAACCAGAGAGAAGCAGATATCGTCAATCAAACCCAACTCTGCGTTGTCGTCTCGACACCAAGAAACCTGCATCAAACGAGAAAGCACCTCTTTCCAATTCGCCCACCACAATTCCAAAAACAAGTACATGAAACCGATAGCTCATATTTGCCATCCTCAAAGTCAAGAAAACAAGGCAGCATGCAGGTGTTTTGATTGCAGCGCAAATCCCCTAGCCTTCCAGCCACGCCAGCCAGCCATACCAACCACCTCTGGCTTACAAGGTAAAAGCTCCGATATCCACAACGCTGTTTGAGTTTCTTCGTTACGACCGTTTTTGTGCTCAAGAAATCCTAACGTGTATCACGAACATCTTCTTGTGATTTTGAACTTCTGGAGTGGTACTTTGAGTCTACCCGACGAGACAAGAGACCTCCTCAAAGTGATTACATCTCATCCAGCACAACCACTTTGGAAAATCGCCAGAACTTGGTTTTCGAAAAAGCTCATATCGCCGTCCTTTCTACCTATCCAAGAACACTAGCATTATATCGCCAAAACTCACTGCGAAATTCTACGAACCCTCCCACTTTTTCCACCACGCTCTCAACACCCAAAAGTCAACATCCATCAAAGATCCTGCAATCTCGATCAAACAATCCACAGAGACAACCACGCAAAACCACGCAATCATGCAGCGCAATATCGTCATCGCCGTCATCATCATCGTCCTCTTCGTCCTCTTGACGCTGCTCGGTTTCCTCATCTGGTGGATCCAAAACGGATTCCCTCGTCGTGGCGGTGGTGGCAGTTATACCGATGATGAGGAGAGTGCACACTAAGGCCAGATGAAGCAAACCAAGCTATGAGAGCCTTTGAGCTTGGAGACACGACATGAAGGGAAATCACGACACACAGACAGAAAGAGATTGACGAGGAAAAGCATCATGATGGCGTTTATTGGGAAGCAATATTTACTGGGTTCACTTTTTCTTTTCCAGCCATATACCATTCTCGGCAAGCGCAAGGACATTGAGGACAACATCATACATGTAAATGGAAGCACGATAAAGACGATGACAGGACATGTAGTAGAAGGACGGGCATTCATTTCATGGCATAATCAACGAGAACGACATATAATGTAAATACCCTTCCTCCTCGGAAAACAACACAAAAAGGAGCAAGAAGAGTCAGTCTTAGTAATTAATCAGGCTTGAATCTCTTCCTGCACACGCAAAACAAACAACAATCTTTTTCTTCATCACCAATAAACGTGAGAATGGAATAACCAAAGAAAATGACAAGGACAAATTTTTCTCCTCCCAACACAATTGATATCTTCGCATAGCAGAGAAACAAGCAATGTGACAATCTGGGTGGTTTGCGATGAAACCACAACAAAAGCAACAAAAAGCAATTGGGTCTGAGGAGCTGGCAAAGGAAAGGTGGAGCAAGAGTGGTGTGGTAGGTGGGCATTTTTTTCAAATTTCTCGTTAATACTGCGTGGGGTGTCAGATAGTAAAAAGAAGTAACAAAGACGAGGGCTCGTTAGAAATGGCATCTCTCGGTGCATCAGCAACACATGATAACGTATTTTTTCTTTCGTTTTTGGTGAAAAAGAGATATCGTGCTGCTTCTGACGAAAAACAAGACATTTGGGGGGAATATAAACGTTGATGGAAACAGAAAAGAAAAGGGGTACGAAAATTAACGAATGGTTCCATTGAAGAAACCCTGTACAGCGATACTGCCACGATGAGATTGTGACAGAAATCACTAGTGGTATGAATCGGATGGTGCTAAATCGTCGTATGCAGCGTGATCCGGCATTTTCTAGACTTGGCCAACGGCACGCGCGCCGAAGACGTCGGTATCGGAAGGAAGTGGGCTATCATGGTACAGCTTCGCGTTCTTCGAGTTGGAACGATCGAAGGGAGGAGGAGGACGCTTGCCGTTAGCGTTGGTCATGCCGCCCATCTGGGTATCGGTGAAGCTGTGCTGAGGGTGAGAGCCCCAGTGCGGTGCGTTGGTCATTGGGGCATCCTCGCCATCCGCATCGGCATCTGCATCAGCGTCGGCGTCAGCGTCAGCATCAGCATCGGCATCAGCGTCAGCATCTTCGTCTTCGTCCATCTGGTGGGCGCCCATTTGACGAGCAGCGGCTCCATGGGCGGATGAATGGCCATTCTGGAGAGGGGTTTGGTTTGCTCTAGTCTCGTAGGGAGAGGTGGCGGGCAGTTGGGCTGGAGCAGGCTGAATGTTTCTTGCTGAGGCAGTAGACGGGCCGGATGGGGTCGAGATGGCAGTCTGCTCGTTGGGTGTAGGTTGAAGGCTGACAGCAGCACCTCCAAGCTTGCCGGCCTTAACGGCACCCCGCCATCTGCCAATCAAACGATCGTAGTCCCAGTCGCGAGATTGGTCTTTGGTCAACATGTCCGAGACGATAGCAGGATCGAGGGGCAGAGAGACAGGAGGCTGCAGCATGAACTCGCGGGGCAATTGCAGGTTGCTCATACGAGTGAACTGCTCCTTGAGCGAGGCGATTTCTTGTTGTGCTCTGGCCAATTCTTCCTCTTTCTCTTTCGAGCGCTGATCGGCGCGAGCAAAGGCACGCAAAATCTCAATTCCCCAAGTCGAGCTCTTGTCTTTGTCCGAAAGGGGAGACCAATTGTTCCAGGCGGCCTGCAGATGCATCTGCAGTCTGCGTACATCTTTTTCGGGAGTGGGCGTAGGCTTTTGTTGGACACGTTGTGTGATCTGGCGTTGGAGGGCATCAAGCTGGGCATCCGAGGGAACGTCGAGGGACCACGAGTCGCTGCTGGCAAAGGGTGTCATGGAGAAGAGAGTTTGGGGAGCAGGGAGCGCATGCAGACAGAGCGATGGGAAGTTCATGGAGCAAAAATCGAAGTTGAACACATCCTGGTGTGAGACTCTGCGTCTAGGGACAGGGTCAGCATCATGGAGAAAAAAATAAAAAAGCAAAAAGAGTACCTGGCAGCCTCGAGACTGTCGAGGAGTTCACGCAGAGCCAACTCGGCAGCCTTTGCATTGTCGAAGGATTCTTGGTCTTTTTGTTGCGAGGAGCGCTGCAACTGGGCAGGGCTCATGTGGTTGGACGAGACATCGGACATGCGAGGCGGCAGGTTGTTGATGACGCCGGTGCTCTGCCAGTTTGCAGTGTTGAGGCCGAAACGGGAGTCGCGCATGTTGACGGGGCTGACGCCCATGGCGCTCGAGGCGCCGCCAGCTGTGTCCTGAGACGAAATGGTCATACGACGACCCCACTGGCCGGTCGGGGTGCCGCGGTCGCTGGCAGCATCATCGTCGTGCTGTAGTCTGCTGTTGTTGTTGGCACTGGCCCTCAGACTGTTTCTCGGCTGGCGTCTCGTGATGCCTCCTCGCATGACCTTGATCTTTTCGACGTCGTGGATGCCATCGGCCGGCTTGGGGTTCTGCGGCCATCGAGATTAGCAGAGCAATTGGAGCGGGCATCGAGCGCCGGGCCAACTCACCTTGGGCTTGATGTAGAGATCCAGATGGCGGCCGAGGGAGGAAGAGGTGAAGGCTTGGTTGCAGAATGGGCAGTTGCGGTCCTTGGGAGCCTTGGTCGACGAGTCCATGGTGCTGTCGAGGCCGTTCTGGCTGCCATTGACCGAGTGATCGTGCGATGCAGAGCCTTGAGGCCCTTGGCCGGGTCCTGTCACGGTGCCGGCGGCCGACGACGAGGGAGTCGACACCGTGGCCGGCGTCTGGCTGGACGCTTCTGCCATGGTTTTTTCTGCTCAGTCGTGGGTCGAGTCGAGGCGGTGGTGCAATCCAAGAGCTGTCATTCGACGTCTTTAGATGTCCTCGAGCATTTTGCTTTCTCAGAGTTTCCTCAATGTTTCCATGCCACACCCCAGCGACGTGACAAGTACGAGGTCAGGTTAAGTCTTTAAAGTTACTGAGCTGCTCAATGCCCAGCCTTTTCGCAGCCGAGAAACGCTTCTTGCCGACAACTAGAAACTACCCGTTTCCCGACCCTGCTTACATTCCACCACCACGTGTGATTTGGTTTTCTCCTGCATGACTTGGTGAACTCTTATGCAAACTCTCCTTATTCGATTCACTCCTTAATCTATCATCGCTAAGCCTCTCTCTAGCATCATCTCAAGGTCTGAGTGCTCACAGTCGTCAAGCTTTCCGATTACGGCACACCATCCACACATTGGGCGATCGTTTGAGCCAGAATGGGGAATATCTGTCATGAGCTTAATCGATCCGCTATGATTTTCAACCAACATTGACTAGACCACAACGATCCTCTTTATACCTGTATCTGTATCTGCTTTCCCATACAAATAACACATTCAATCATGAATGGCCTGGTAGACATATTCTGAAATTGCCAGCACCTTTTCCTCCTCCAACCTCCTACACACGACTTGAAGCGACACGTGAGCGCCATCATAAATTTCTGGGTCATCTGCAACAGCGTCAACAAGAGGCCAGAAAGCCATGCTAAAGTACTTACAAGATGCTTGTGTCTTCTCATCTGTCTCTGAAACTGGTTTGTAATCGGTGTAAGCTTTGTCCACGTTCTTGTCAACCTTGGTGACAGGCACGATCGCAGAGCTATAGTCGAGTACGTTGACCCAGACCGAGTAGCTGTAGGAAGTGTATTTGTTAGGTCGGGCTGCAGTAAATGGCGCGAGCGGGCTGATAATAGCATCTACTGGACGACCCGTGCCAGTCAATTCGCTGGTCGAGTTCCAGTACTCCATATACTCTTTCTCGGCATCTCTCTTGTTGACTTGGTTACGCATAATGTCTGTAGCATTGGCTTGAGGAGACTCTTCAAACATGATGTTGGGCTTGGGCTCCTCCCCACTTAGGGCAAAGGCTCTTGCAGCGTCTGCACCACCGTCGTAGTTCCAAGACTTGGTGCAAATATCTTCTAGCTTTCCATGGCTTGGAGGTTGCCATTCAATGACCTTGTGACCGAGAGCTTGCAGTTTCTGGGCGGTTTCTTCCAGAGCCCTCTTGATCGGAGGGTGTGGAGCACAGAGTCCATCGTGCTTGAAGACTGCAAATGTGAGTTTCTTCTCCTGTGCCAGCTTCTTGGCAACCTCTTCCTGTTCGCTCCTCCAAGGTATGGGATGCACACGTGGATCATGTAGCCACGGTTCGGTTTGCAGAATAGACTGCACAGCCAATTTGACACCACCAGACGACGATGACAGAGGTCCAACAACGCTCAGAATACTCGGAGCTCCATCGAATGAGTTGGCCATTCCTTCATAGGGCAGTCTCCCGGCACTGGGTCTCAAGCCAAAGAGTCCATTGAACGCAGCAGGGATTCTGATACTTCCACCAATGTCAGTGCCCCAGCCCAGAGGGCTACCCTTCAGCGAGATCAGGGCACCCTCACCACCAGAGCTACCGCCAGAACTGAGGTTTCTGTTGGTAGGGTTCCAGCAATAGTCGATGATGTTATTGGTAGTCTCGCCACACATCAAAGTATGCGGCACCGCTGTTTTGACGTATAGCACAGCGCCGAGACTGCGTAGCTCCTTGACCATTTCGGACTCATATACCTTCTCCTTACCTGTTCCTTTTTCACCTTGGAAGGTACCAATCCAACCAACATAACCCATATGAGTCTCGACCCCCTTGACATGGAACTGGTCCTTCAGAGAGACTGGTAAACCGTGCAGAGGTCCCATTGGCTTCTTGTGATTTGCAAAGTAATGGTCAAGTTTCTGAGCAGATTCGATCGCAGCCTCGTAGAAGATTTCGTGGAGACAGTTCACCTGATAGAGACTCAGTATTGCCAGAAATTCGAGCATGACTACTTATGTCGATACTCACTAGCTGATGGGCAATTGCACTACGATGGCAGAAAGCCTTTGTGACCTCAACTGCAGTCCACTCACCACTACTGGTCTTCTTAACGATCTCAGTAGCTTCTGTCTCGGTGATCTCGATTTCTCTGGGATCCAGGTACTGCTGGGTGAACTTGCCAGTGACATCTCTTTGCTCTTCTGCAGATGGTGGTGCTGGAATACGCCATTCTTCGGGTATCAGAGCGAGGACTGAATCACGTTTCTCAGCAGCTATCTGTCTCCAGTCTGGTGCCATAATTAATGATGTTGGTCAATAACAAAGGTGTGGTTTGGAAGTTGAAGCAGGAAGAGAGAGTGGCCTCGTAACTATAGCTATATGTCTTGAGCTTGGCCGGGTCCTGACTCAATTTATCTATTCTGACGGTGTCTGGCAACATCAATGCCGGGTGTCGGAGGAGGGGCACCTATCTGCTACCTTCCAATTGCGGGGCTGATAGGCATAAGTTCATGGACCGCTTCTTGACCCCAACATGTTCCACCATTACTCCGAGAAGCATCTTGATCCTTATCAATTTCAGGACTACTTGGGGTAGATGACTGTCGGAAGTACTGAACACCTCTTGAGTGGGTGTATCAATGAGAAAAGAGCGGCCACCATCGATGGAATTTACTCGGTAGTTGTGCCCATCCCTCTGACGTGTAGATATCGTGTAAGACGCGCCCCTCTTACGAGCCCTAGCGTACAGTAGTCAAGGAGCAGGTCGGTGATATATCTGTTCCGCAAGTAGGAGTCATCTCTCCATTTTTCAGCAGCCTTCTTGAACATTCTGCATCCTCGCAGTCCATGCTTTTGTTGTGACGCTTCAAGAAAGATGTCAGATTCGAAGAGTGTGAATGACATTCTCGATGCGTACCGACCAAGCCACTTCTCTCGCCACATACACAGCCACAGATCTATGGAGACAGCGATTCGCCCACGATCGAAAAACCTGGCAACCTGGGTAAAATGTCATAGGTCAATCAATCGGGTTTAGATACCCGCGGGCTTGGGACGCGCATAATCGAACATGTTCCATCAGATGCGCGGTGGGCGTTGACACCTACGCCTGCGCCTTCTGCAGCGACGGTGCCATAAAGTCACTGCCGCCTACTGCAGGCGCGTCGATAATCCTACTCAACTGACCATTCACATTGTGCCAGAACTTGCGATTTCCACAGCGGATGTACGAGATCATACCCGCCGGCCCAAAGCTACCAACAAGCACTTGCGTGACGACTAAATACTCGTCCAGCATACCTGCCCAAAGGCCATCTCATCACGCTGTCGGAAACTATATTGTCCGTCAACCCAAGGTGATTTGGCTGTGTTCTTTGTGATATTCTCAAAGAATCTCGCTTTGTCAGAAAATCAAACCTTTATCAAATCTTTGTTCTTTGGAAGATCACATTCGTGTTCTGCACACCGCTACATAAACGACCAGCCCCCTCATTTTCTAACTCACGATACACCCACGCTATCACCACAAACTATATCAACCAGAAGCATCATTGCCGCTCTCCAACTGCCTTGTCGGTCAAGCCAGTCCAACTACGAAGTACAACTTCTTTACACATATAAAGCCTTACACCATAAAACCTTTAGAATATGGCAATCGGCCAAACAGTGACCGTGGTCAACAAGTCTGGCAAAGTCGTCAGTACGGGAAAACATGTCGTCAAGGTGTTCAAGGAGGCCAAATCGGCGTACAGAGAGCGCAAAGCCGAGATCAAAGCTGTGCGCGATGCAGAATTCGAACAAAAGCGTGTCCAGAAGACACTCGAAAAGTTCACACTCGAAGACGATCGTGCTTCACAAGGCTCTCGTCGTTCTCACAAATCGAGAAAAGAGAAAGGATCACATCGCGATCGTCCACTTGTAGATCGTGGTTACTCGGACAGTTTTTATGTCAACGACAAGCCTGCAACCACGAGAAGCCATCGAAAATCTGGCCTTCGCAACGAGCTCAGTCCAGACGGTGAAAGACAGCACAATGAACTGGTCCGAAGACATACCACCGATATGGGCCAAGAAGTTAGGAGACCAAGGACTTCACGCTCTGCATCCGAAGCGGATATTGATATGGATCTCGCTTACGGCGAATTACCACCACCACTGCCAGAGCGTCCTCAGGAGAACGAAGTCGAGTTGCGAGACAAGATGACAAAACTCCAACAACTCCTGGACGAGGCGAATTGTGTTCAGCACTCTGTTATCGCCACTATCGAGAACCTACAGAAGAACCCAGATGCCTTAGCCGCCGTGGCCTTGACTCTCGGCGAAATCAGTACTATGGCAAGTAAGATGGCCCCTGGTGTATTGACATCGATGAAAACGGCGTTCCCAGCCATTATTGCCTTGCTTGCTTCGCCACAATTCATGATTGCTGCTGGCGTTGGTGTTGGTGTCACAGTCATCGCATTCGGTGGTTACAAAATCATCAAGAAGATCCAAAAGCGCAAGGAGGAGGCTGCCGAACCCAAAGCCGGATCGCAACGTCAGATTGAAGAAAACGAATCCGTGTCTGAGTATGATGAGCTATACGAACTCGACACCGACCTTAGCCACATAGAGGTCTGGCGTCGTGGCATTGCCGATGCCGAAGCTCAGAGCCTGGGCACAAGCGTCGATGGCGAATTCATCACACCTGATGCTGGCAAACACCTTGTCGCTGATGGCGTGCTTCGAGAAGAGGACCTCAAGTCTATGCGCTCGAGCAAGTCTCACAAGACCTCCAAGTCGAAGAAGAGCAAAAAAGACACAAAGACCGATAAAGACTCTACTACCAGCAGCTCCAAAGACAAAGAAAAGCGCAAGAAGAAAGAGCCAAGTGGCTTGAGAATGCTATTCAAGACGCGTGCATAAACATTTTCTTCGGCTGCCCTTGGTAATGTTCTATCTGCTTATCTTAGTCTTGAAGCGGAACCGTCTTGAAGCGGAACCGAGTGTTCGGTATTGGGCTGGTTTGTTCGTTTTTATTTATTTCCCCCCTTTTCTTTGCTATTTGACCTGTTCCTTCTTTTTCGTAGCGTTCTAGCGGCATCTACAGTACACGTTTTGTTTGCATCTCAATTTACAGAATCTGACACTTCTTCTTTCTCATTTGATCTGGCACCAAGTATCTGCGTTTCTGTCTTGCAGTGTCATACTAACCTCGAAAATGACCACTGGCGACTCTGTATCTGTACAATGCATCTTCGAGTGGACGTGATGAAGTTCCGAGAATTGTTGTGCATTCCTTCAGCATCGTAACGTTATACATGAATCACCCGTGGAGATATGACAAAAGACCGTTGTATACAGCAACCTGATCCCTTTTTCATGGTGGCTGCCAAAGCGATGACCAATGTTCTGCTGTGCATGACCATTGAAGTCGTCTTGATACACTGGTTCCTCCTCATGGTGGATGCCGAAGCGGCAACCGATGTGTCGCTGTGTAGGACCAAAGATCTCTCCATTGTGAGTGATATATCGCAATGCTAAGCAGGAGACGTGTACTAGAGGGGTCCGAAAATGGAAGTGAAAGTGAGTGTTCACAGGAGTGAAATGAAGCATGGCAACAAGTGTTGGTCCGGCTTGCTGGCCTGTACTCTGTACAATTTATCTTCGAATGGATATGATGAAGTTTCAGAAAGTGCTATGCATTTCTACAGCATGTTATATAGTTGCAATTTGAAAAAGCAGTCATGACTGATGCAGAGTTTGATTCAATGAGATGGAGTTACATAGAAAAAAAAAAGATTACTGGATGTGCAGCTTTTTAGAGAGCAACCTCATCGCCAGAAATCAGGTGTGCTTAAGGTAAAGGTTCAAGTTACCTCCGCTTGCTCTCTTGAGGCTGGTAAACAATGCTGCTGATAACTTTCCTCCTTCAAAAGCCAATGTTGGGCTTCTTTTGTATGTAGGTCCATGGACTCTTGCCATCTGCATTATGTTGGCAATCTACCCACATTTCATCCAGTTCCGCGCCCATAATTTTCTCTCAAGAAGAGTCTGTGATTCTCGTAGATACGTTCGAAAATTTGACTGATTGTGAGAGGACGATTAACTTTTCGTTTGGACCTCGAGGTTCCTTTCTGCCGAGTAAAACGTATCAGGAGGGCTTCTTAGATGAGCTGCACTCATGTTCCTTGACTGAAGCATTGTATCTCTCATCCGTTTTTGTTGAGACCGGCACCCGAACACTTGCTAGCGACGTGATGGGATGATCTGTTCGTTGTCTTTTGTTCTATGTCTGGCGAGTTGATGCGTCTTTTCTTAGGCTTCGTGAGATCTGTTGCAGTGGATGATTGTTCTTGGACAGGGCACGAATCGATGAATCTTTTCTTGGATGTGGCAGGCTTGTAATGGGGTATGGAAGAAGCAGCGGACTCAACGGTGTGCTGATATGATCCGTCGAAATTTTTTGTGGTGTTGTTATCGCCAGAAAGAGTGACTGCTGGGGAATGGTGATACTTGATTTCTTCTTGGGCAACGTCATTGCTGTCATTCATGCCGCGGAAGTCGAGAGAGTCAGAAAAGTCTTCCTGATACAGCTGCTCGTGGTGGACACGGGACTGGCGGCCGATGGCTTGTTGAGCAGGACCGAAGATCTCTCCATTGTGACTGATGTAGGAGCGACCATTGATTTCGACACAGGGAACGTAAACCTTCAAGTCCACAAAATTTTGTTGACTTGAGCGAGTGCTGGATGGTTTGTCTGAGGAGGGTGGAGGGGCCATGTTGTCGGACTTGATCGAGTTTGTATGTGTAGCGGAAAAGGAAAAGGCGGATCAGGAAAGGAAGTTATATGATGTAGATAGGGGTCCGAGTTCATAGGTGGAAGAAGTGGTCCGAAAGAAGGGGTCCGAATTGTAGGTGAAGGCAGAGCATTTTGTGGAAGATGAGCATAATAGGCAGCTAGGAGGGGTCCGAAAATGGAGGGGAAAGTAAATGCACAGAAGAGTGAGATGAAGCATGGCGACGAGTGTTGATCCGGCTCGCTTACTCCTCGATCATCTTTTCTCAACTCCCCGATCTTGGTCGTGCCTAGTATCGCATGCAAGATTGGAACTGGAGGTCGTACAGCCCAAAATTTTCCAAAGTCTTCTCGTACAACACCTTGATAAGTCGTATCGTCTGGGTTCGAGTTCGCTGTGTACTCGTGTAAATTTGAGACCGACTGCATCATACGACGAAGCACCTCTGCTTGCTGTCGATGCATTCTGATTGAATCTATTGACATCGAGTCGCAGGTCAACAGACCTTGGGGTTTCCTCGTAAATGCTGATGGCTCGGAAGTCATGATGGCGGAGCGAGTCTGATTGATGAACATGAGATTGTGGAAAATGATGTAGTGTGCTCAATGGTTGTTGTTGGTGAAACGTATAGTATAAGGCAGGTACGATGCAAACTCGCATGTGACGTAAAGCGACGGCCGTGTTGGCTTGCGATCTTTTCGAAGAGGAAAGAGATGGCATGGCCAGCTGCCCCGCGGAACCCGGGGATGGGTAGATGGCTATGTTATGAACCAAAGAAGATGTGTTCAAATTTTGAGCTCGACCCTGATTCTGCCTTTCAAATATGGTATCTCCTCTGCCAATCTCTTAGACTCCTTCTGCTTCTGCAGCAACTTTTCAGCCAATTCTTGCTTCTGTGCCTCCATTTCTTTCAACCATCTCTTCCTCTCCTGAACATGCTCCTCGGTGGACTGGCGGGCGACTCTTTCCATGATGAGGTTGGCCAGAAATTGAGTGTGGTTCGATGATTTAGATGAGAACGCAGATGCTGTCGGATAATTTTTTTTTCGATTTTGGCAAGAGGCTTGATTTCTTTTGATGTCAATATTGGATGCACGGATTCGACGTCTTGTCTGGATGCGGGATCGACTGACCTTTGAAGAAAAGAAAGACGAAGGAAGCAAACAGATTCCCAGATAGGTCAAGGATCCGTGTATGGGCCGATGATGAGATAACGTTTTCGTACTGAGATTGGGATGAACAATTGAGAGGAAGTTTTTGTTCTGGAAAGAAAGAGAGAGGCACCGCATACGGGAAGTTTGGGGTGGTTGGTCACGACTCCCTCTTCGATGAACCTCAGATGTGGAAAGTGTGTCGAGGTAAGTACGCCCCATAAAGAAGAAACAAACATACAGGTCGCTCTTATAGGTTCCGAATTTTTCAGACCCCATTGTAACATGTGTTTCCAGACCCAATCGTCACACCATGCCAAGCTGGTTGTCGAAGGCACAAAACATCCAGATTCACTATGAGGAGTCAGTCATGGTTCTGGACGAGGACATCAAAGCCTCCAATGTAGAAGACAAAGAGAAGTAGCCAAGAGCTTATGATCAGTCTTAAATACCATATAGGGGTGCGAATTAGTTTTCAAAATTGATACCCCATTCACAAGGGGTCCGAAAAGAATACACCTTGAGAACACTCATCTGCTACGGATGGACAGCACACTTTGTTTGCGATCGTAGGGATGCACAGTCTAATTTGCTGCAGAGACATATCCAAGGAGAGCTCAGTACGTTAGAGGATCCCAGCGAACGTCGCATAATTCTGTGAAGTATTGTGCATTTTCATGGTTTGCGACTTGTTTCATACCTTTCTGGGAGGAAGCACTAATAATTTTCAGAGAGGCGGACACGGAAGAGTTGCTTCTTAACCGGCCCAGATGTCCTGTCGAAAGCGTGTAGAGTGGAAGGCGAGCGAAATATGTTTCTGAAAATGATTCATTTTGATATTGACAAGCTCCAAGTACAATTTATCTAGGAGTGATCCTTTCTGAAAAGGACAACGCGTACAGTTTTTCGCGCGGCGCTGGTATTATATGAAAAAGGAAAGCAAGCAAGAACACCATCCCAAACAGAGAAACAAGATATGCACAAATATTTCGTCAACTCATCGAAGAGGCGGTGCGATACCACCTAGAAAGTGGTTGCAGCATCTTAAACCTGAGGACCGGCCTTGATAACTTCCTCGGTGGCCTCGCTGGAGTACTTCTTGAAGTTCTCGTTGAAGAGCTGACCAAGCTTCTTGACCTCTCCCTTGAAGTCGGCGGTACCAGTCCAGCACTTGGCAGGGTTGAGGACCTCGTCGGGGACGTTGCTGCAGGTCTTGGGGACCTGGAGGTTGAAGGTCTCGTAGGTCTCGTACTCGTTCTTGGCGAGCTCGCCGCTGTGGATGGCGTCGAGGATGGCACGAGTGTACTTGAGAGGGCAACGCTTGCCGCCAGTGGTGGCACCGGCACCGACCCAACCGGTGTTGAGGAGCCAGGCGTTAGCCTTGTGCTCCTTGATCTTCTCGGCGAGCATGGTGGCGTAGCGCATGGGGTGGAGAGCCAAGAAGGGCTGAGCGAAACAGGACGAGAAGGTGGCCTGGGGCTCGGTGACACCCTGCTCGGTACCGGCCATCTTGGAGGTGTAACCAGAGATGAAGTGGAACATGGTCTGCTCGGGGGTGAGCTTGGAGATGGGAGGAAGGACACCACGAGCATCGCAAGTGAGAAGGATGATGTTGGTGGGGTGGCCTGACGAGATGCAGGGAATCTTGGTGTTCTCAATGTACTCGATGGGGTAGGCGCAGCGAGTGTTCTCGGTCAGGGTCGAGTCGTCGTAGTCGACGATTCTGGTGATGGGGTCGAAGACGACGTTCTCGAGGATGGAACCGAACTTGATGGCGTTGAAAATGTCGGGCTCCTTCTCGGCAGAGAGACCAATGGTCTTGGCGTAGCAACCACCCTCAATGTTGAAGACACCCTTGTCGGTCCAGCAGTGCTCGTCGTCACCGATCAGGGCACGCTTGGGGTCGGCAGAAAGGGTGGTCTTACCAGTACCGGAGAGACCGAAGAAGACGGTGACATCGCCGTTCTGGCCCTCGTTGGCAGATGAGTGGAGGGTAAGGACGTTGTGCTTGACGGGCATCTCGTAGAAGAGGACGGTGAAGACACCCTTCTTCATCTCACCAGCGTACTCGGTACCGAGGATGACCATCTCCTTCTCGGCGAAGTTGATGGCAACCGAGGTGGCCGAGGTCATACCAGTGGTGAATCTGTTGGCAGGGAAGGCACCGGCGTTGTAGATGACATAGTCGGGGTGGAAGTTCTTAAGCTCCTCTCTCGAAGGGCGGATGAGCATGTTGCGCATGAACAGAGCGTGGTATGCACGGGCACAGACGACTCTGACTCTGATTCTGTAGCGCTCATCCCAGCCGGCGTAACCATCGATAACGTAGATGCGGTTTCTGGTGTTGAGGTAGTCGACGGCACGTTCTCTGTTAATCTTCCAGACCTGTATAGCGAAATGTGGTCAGCAACAATTTATGAATCGACTTTCATGTGATGATGATGTTGATGGAGGGGGATCGGCAGAGCCGCGGACAGCCGATCGGGATGCCGAAGCGTCGCTGTCGACTCCCGAGCCGCTGCGCTTGCCCGAGAGTCAAAGTGGGGTATGGGTTGACGTAGTGACCCGCGCCCCGCAAATCTGCGAAAACAATTCGGGCCACCACCCAGCAACCATATGCTGGTCATCGAAAGGATCGGGGACGTGGATAGTACTGACCTCAGGGCTCATTTCCTTGTTGACGGGGCCCCACCAGATCTCTTTCTCTGAGCTGGCCTCGCGGACGATACGCTTGTCCGAGGGCGAACGGCCAGTCTTAGCTCCTGAGTAGGCCGAGAGAGCTCCCGAGGATGTGATGGCTGAACCGGTTTCGTAGACGAGAGCATCCTCGTAGAGGGCTGCAACGGAGGGGTTGGCAACCTGTAGAATGATTAGCTGCTGTACAGGAAGAAATTGTTTGTTCGTTGTAACTCACGATAGCAACACGATCGTAGTCGATGTGTGCCTTCTCGTGGAGCTCCTCCTCGATCTCGGTGTGCTCACGCTGAGGCCTGCAGATATTGTTAGTCTTGCCTTGACCATGAAAGAGCAAGCCAATAGCAAGCTAGAGTCGACAGGATACATACTGGACACCACTAGGGTGGAGGGCAGTCTTGTTGACGCTGTTGGAAACCATTTTGAGTGATGAAGAATGAAAGTTTCCCTTCTGCTGCTTGGCAATCTGTTGCCTAATGTAGTCTTGCTGAAGGGGAGGAGCAGGAGAGTATGGGCGGACAGACTCGAGACCGGACGATGAAGACATATTTGTATTCGAGCTGGATTGTTCCTCGGATCAGTCTTGCGTTACTTCTTCGTGGAGCTCGAACAGTTTCCCCACAGCCCTTGGTCCTCCGATGGATCTGCCGAGGCCTGTTTGGGCGCTAGATACCTCCTAGGGGGAGCATAGACTTACGGAATAGTAAGGATAGCGTCCAATGAACCGTTTGTAATTGGATGGTACCGTTTGGCGGAGAGAAAGTGCGATAATGAGCCGGAAGGCCTTGGACTGCGACGGAAAAACGCGGATGACGCGGGCTTGTTTGAGATCTTTGTTTCGGAGCAATTCAGCACACGTCTATCAGTTGCGCTGTTTTCTTGTTGCGAGTAACGAGTCAAAGCTTCAAAGTTGCGTATTAATAGCCGCAACAAAGACTCTCTCCAGCGGCCCAAAGGAACAAGCCGGGTGCCTTAAGTAATAGCTAATAGCTGCTGCGTCATGAAACTTGCCTAGACTCGCAACGCAATCCAATTGCAATTTGCGGGGTGCAAGCCGAGAGAGCAGGTGGATATGATTCTTCGCTTTGTGACTCGATGACAGGGAAAAGGAACAATGGTCAGGTTCTCCTCACCTTCATGATAGCTCTTCACACTTGCAGACTGACATCCTCATTGGATAGAGACACCACACCACCACTTTGTCTTTGCATGAACCACGATGATCCGCTGCCTTAGGTATTGTATCAAGATGACGAAGGAGTTGCCAGCCGAGTTTCCCCAAATTTCCCCATAATGTTTGGGCAGTCGTGGGGACGCTCCGACACTGCCCCTTGCGCCTTCCGCGACCTGTGTCCCACCCTCGTGATGCGCCTTCTTTCCAGACTGTTTATTCCGCTTCTCTAGTCCCCAACGGCAGTGAAGCTTCTTTTGCAGAGAGCCAGCTCTTTGCCAATTCCATGGTACTCGGGCTTCCTGCCGTAGCCCGCCATGATCGAACACCAGGACCTCCGTCGGGAATTTGCGGATCCCAAAATTCGATCTCGATGGGTTCTGGACCCGCGATATGTATTTACGTGGCTGCCGCTGGCTCTACGAAAAGCCCCTGCCTCCCTCTCCATCCTTCCTCTCTGTTGTAGATGACAGCCTGCGGCCTACAGAGTTGCATGAGGCTTTCATACCAGCGTCCTAACGTGTCAGTCTATTGACCTCTTGCCCTCTCTGCTGTTATGAAACAATGCACAGTGATACCAACCCTTGACAGTTGTAAGTACCTGCAGATACGAGAATGAATTCTATCTGCTGTATACGCTTGAAAGTGAGCAGGCTTATGGATCTGTTTATATCTCTGGTCGAGATAAGTATATCTCATATTACTCCTTCTCATCCTGGTTCTCCTTCTCTCGTTGCTTAGCAGCTTTCTTCTGCTTCCTCACCTTAGGACTAAAAGCCCTCTTAATCTTGCCCGCTCCCTGTAAATACAACCACGAACATACGAACACAACACCAAAGTTGAAAAGGATATACGCCCAGAAGATACCATAATCCCTCCACACAAACCTCCAGTAAACATTAAACGAAGCCGTAAACGCATCACCATCTCTGTACTGGCAGAAGCCACACAGACCATTGGGTTGAGTGATGACATAGCCTTGAGATTGTTGGGCGTAGGGGCCAGCATAGGAATTGCAGGTTTGGCCGGGAGGTGCTGGGAAGCTGGCGAGTTCTTGGGGGTCGCAGCGGATGGGGAGGCCGTGGGTTACGAGGGCGAGGAGGCCTTCTAGGAGGTAGCGGAAGGGGGAGAGCCAGTACATCCAGCTTCGCCAGAAGTATGGGAGTGCTTGGTAGGGGACTACGACGCCGCAGAAGGAGACGACGAAGAGGAAGAACATCGGTACGAGCAAGGATGCAAGCAACTCATTGGCGGCAAATCTGTACAGGTATCAGTACTTTGCAATGACGGAAGTGACACAAGAGATTGAGAAGAACTTACGAAGCAATTGCCTGACCGAATCCAATGTAGAACAGCTCAAACGACATGATGAATAGCCAGACTGAGGCTGCTGTGTATGTATCACGAGGGAAACCAGGTGGGAAGTACCAAGCACACCAGTAAATAGTTCCAGCAACAAGCGAGTACGGTATCTCAACCACGATACCTCCAATCACAAAAGCAACCCAGCTGTAGATCTTCGAACTGGCCTCTCTGCTCTGGTATATATTGCGGAAGTTGAGGAAACGAGGTTGCAACTGCTGAATCAGTGGTGGAGAGATAGTCAAAGTCATGAAGATGGAGAAAAGTCTGCTCTGCATATCGATCTGCGAGTTTCCAAGTTTCCAGAAAGTAAAGCCGTTGAAGAGTGCTGTGAAGATATGCAGCATGAACTTGCCAACGACGTACTGAGGTGATCGCCAATATGCAACGAAAGATCTACGAACCACAGTGATGATCTGAGTGCCAAGTGGCATGGCATACTCGCGGTCATCATCAGTTTTGGCACCACTAGAAGCATTGCGGCGTTCTTGGATCATGCGTTGAATCTCTTCTTGTTGCTGTTTCTTCTTTTCTGACCTATCCCAGATGTCGCCAAAGTCAGGTCCGTTGTAGTCTGGGTTTCCTGCGCCGATGGCTTCGAGCATCCATTCGGCTGGGTTGGAGTCGGGAGGACACTTCTGCTCTCCATTCTTTTCTAGGTAGGAGATCAGCTTTTCTGAGCCATCGCCGAGTTCGCCATGGTATACAGTACGACCGCCACTCTTGAGGAGCAATAGCTCGTCGAACTCTTCGAACAGTACGCTAGATGGCTGATGGATCGTACACAGAATTGCTTGCCCAGCATCTGCGAGTTTCCTGAGGAAGCGAACAATATTGAAAGCAGCTCCTGAATCAAGACCAGACGTAGGTTCATCGAGATATAAAAGTAGCTCAGGTTTTGATGCGAGTTCGACGGCAATAGTCAGGCGTTTGCGTTGTTCTGGATTCAGACCTTCACCAACTTTTCCAATGGTGGCACCGGCGATGTCCCGCATCTCAAGCAGGTCAATGACCTTCTCGCAGTAGTCGTACTTCTCTTCAAGCGAAACCTCTTTTGGCTGACGAAGTTTGGCAGAAAATCTGAGGGCTTCTCTGACAGTGGCCGTGGGCTCGTGTACATCTTGCTGCTCAGCAAAACCAGTAGCTCGCTGGAAGCTCTTTGGAAGGGGTTTACCGTCAACAAGGAAATCTCCAGAGACAACGCCAAAGTTGATACGTTGAGCCAAGGTGTTCAGCAGAGTAGTCTTTCCTGCTCCGGAGGCACCCATGAGTGCTGTCAACTTTCCAGGACGGACGTAGCCCGAGACGTCTCGTAAAAGTTGGCGTTCTCCGCCCTCGTAAGGAATAGTGTAGTTGACATTCTGCCATGTGAAAATGGTTTCGTTTCCGCCGATCGCTGCGACAGTCTTGTCGGATTCGGATCCATTGCGAGCCTCTTTATTGTTTGGTGTGGCATCGACCTGACCTTTATTGGGCTCTCCAGCTTCTTCATCGTTCGTCCTGCCTCCTGTCTCGACTTCCTTCTCCACTGACTTGGGAACCTGGCCACGTTTGAACACCGTTACTTCGCCACTACCTTTGTTCGGCTTCTGCAGCTCCATACCGAGAGCAGTAAGCGCCACAAAGAAGATGAAGAATGCGCAGATAAAACCAAAGTTGCGCCACAAATGACTGCGCGAGTATGTGAAGGCAGTCTTGATATAGTTGGCACCATTGACGGTGGCCGAACCAGGTGTACTACCTTGCAGAGCACACGACTGATATTGTTGGGAAGGCGCATTCGGGGGGACCAGGTAAGGAGGATTGCACTGTAGTTCAAGATTGTAGAACTCGTTAGACATCAGACCCTCGAAACCATACTGAACAGGATTGATCCAGCGTAACCACGAGAACCAAGGGTGCATTTTTCTTGGTGGTATGAGATAGCCAGTGTATACGACCAAGATCTGAATGACCGGGCCTGTGATTCTGGTGGCGACATCAAGAGAAGCAACCATAGATCCCACGGCTCTAAATAGAGCATACATGGTCATGGTTACAATCCATAGAAACATCAACGATATGAAGAATTGAGAAGCCGTTCTTTGTAGTCCAGACATGAAATAGACGACTATGTCGAAGATGAAGACCTGAACGAAGACCAAAGGAACATCAACAACAGTTTGGGCAATGGCGAAGGCGGCCGGGCGATAGAACTGGTAACTCTTGTGCTTCAGGAGGATAGGCCGGGACTGGAAGACAGCAGTCAATTCAGCCAAAGCGAGAAGAGCGTTGAACAACAGGGAGAAGAACATGACACCTCCTCGTGGGAAAGCTCCCGTTGCAGTCTTCGGCTGGTCATAGAATAGCGAACCTACAATCAGCGCCTGGAAGCCAATGCCACCCCATTTGCCAATAGTCGCTTGCTTGTCGCCAATCATGACCAAGAACTGGCGTTGAGTACAGGCCATGATCTGCTTCGGGAAGGAGACCTCAAAGTTCTTCTTCTTTGTAGCTTTGGACTGAGCATCATGTCTTGCTTCGACAAGCTGCCGAGTCTCAGCCTCGAACTCCTCAACTTCTTTGAGGTTGCGTTTCTTTTGTTCGCTTTCTTGGAATAGACGATCAAAATCTTCGCCAGATCGAGGAACCTTGTCTTCCCAGCCTTCTTTGACATGTCTTTCATGCTCGTCTGTGACGGAGGTGATGAAGTCGGCGGAAGTCCAGCGATCTGGTTGCACAAAGCCCAAGTCCTTGAAGTACTTTACAGCATCCTCAGTATGACCAAAGTAGCAGCACTTTCCTTCATGGAGCAGGACTACCTTGTCGAAACAATCGTAGAGGGATTCACCTGCTTGATAAAGAGCAACAGCAGTAGAGATACGAGCCATGTTAGTCAAAGATCTCAAACTCTGGACATACTCCAAGGCAGTGCTTGCGTCGAGACCTTTTGTGCTATTGTCCCAACATTGTGCACTCGCGCGGGTTACCATGGCTTCTGCAATGGTAACTCTCTTTTTTTCACCACCAGATACACCACGTATATATTCATTTCCAACACGCGTGCCCAAAGTATGCTCGATCCAGAAGAGCTTGGTGACGATCCGTAAGAATTCTTTGACGTAGGCTCCACGAGATTCGCCCTCCAGACGGGAATCCTTCCCGGGAGTCTTTGTTTTGAGAGCAAAAGACAATGTATTCTTGACCGTGATGGTCGCGTAGTGCAAATCATCATCAGGAATGAAGAGAACCTCGCCCTTGTACTTTTTGCCTATTTCTTCTGCCGGAGTGCCTCCATAGGTCACCTCGCCATCAATAGAGGTATATCCTGCTCGTTGGTTGGCAAGTGTCTTTAGCAGAGTCGTACAACCAGAACCAGGGCGACCAAGTACAAGAAGCATCTCAGCAGGCTTAATGACACCACTGAAATCCGACAAGATTGTTCTTTCTTGTGGTTTGCCGGCAGCTTGCTTGGGTCCTCTGGAAACCAGATTCTTGATCTTTCTGGGAAGACCGAGGAAGATATCTCCAACAGTGGGTTGTAAAGCAGCACCAAGGCCAACACCTCGTACCGTAAGATTTTTGAAGACAAGACCGACGTGCCTGGTTTTTTCTTCCTCGGAGTGTTCTTGTCTGGTCTTGCCAAACATGCGCGACATCAAGCGATCGATTTCTTCTCTTTCTTCATCGTCGTCTTCTTGTGTTTGTACTCTGCTGATGCCACTGGTCTGACTTGTTTTTCTACGAGACAGAGTACGAAAGAAGTCATCTTCTGTCATACGTTCCGATAGCTTAGGTCGTGAGTTTGTTCTCGTCCTCACAGGCGCGAAGGAGGGGTCTTCTTCGTCTGGTTGTCTTTGAACAGTGTCCGGCGCTTCGACTTCCTCAGTGGGATGATTGAGCATTGCAGCATGATTCGGAGATGCTTCCGAGTCTGATGGTATCGCCGTCTCGCCAGAGGATCTAGATGAATGACTCGAGTCGTGCAATGGAATAGCGACTTCATCGTTGGGAGAAGTTCCAGCATGCCAGGAGAGATAAGTGTTGCCATATTGTTGTGAAATTTGCGGATGTTCATCTATCCTTGCTGGCGAAGGCGTATAGCTAGTCTCTGAGGAGTTTCCTGATCCTTGTTGTCTGACCGAATCTGCTGGTATCCCAGTCTCGGGATTCGACCGCTCCATCTTGACACGAATGCAACAAGAAAAGTTGCCTGAATGGAGTATCACCACACAGCGTTCAGCGCATCCAAAAACCGAATTCCCCTAGAAGAGAATTCGATGCAATCCAAAGAAGGACAATTAAACAACCACAACAATGAAGAAAGAAAAGGGAGGCGACGCCCCTTACCTACCTCGCTCCTACCTATAGCCTACCTATTATGAGAAAGCCATGCATACCAAACCTCATGCTGATGTTTATCATGACGACACGGAATATGCATGTTGAACGGCACAGAAGATGGCGGGTTTTGTTTGAGGTCACGGAACTCCGAGATGAACATTCTAGAGAGCGATCAGCACTTGCTATACAACACTCGCTCGTCATTGCGCGGTAAGATTGCAGGCAAATTTGGGGAAGATCAGCTATTGTGCTCCGAATCAAGATCTCGTGCGTTCTCCAAGCTCAACCCATGTGTTTGAGCCTCAAGCCCTGTCAAGTGCTCAAGTACCTGTCAACGAAATTATCACGAGTCGTAATCAGATCGCTACGTGGGCCGAGAAAATTGGCAGATTGGCGTGTGCCACCATCTCAATCAATACCGCAGTGTGCACCCGTAGTCGCAATACCCGACCTACTTCCCGGCATCACCATCTAGATCATGATGCTTGCTTCCCTAGCATGTGGTCAATGACAGAATGTATCATCTTGAACAGTTTCATTGTGATCTTTCGAAGTAGGAGTAATAATCTACCAAATCCTCTTCGCAGCCATCATATATCTGTCCACACCATCAAGCTTCAACTCTCCTTTAGCCTTTTCTTTGCCTTTAGCCTCTCGCTCTTTAAGATTCTTCAAGCCCTCGGGATCATCTTCATAGATCCATCTACGCTTGTCTTCATCCACTTCTACTGCGCCCCAGCCGCCTACTCTACGGCCCTGAGTATCAAAACTCTGCTTCTTGTGTTCTTGCATCTTCATCTTGCGATAGCGTGTTCGTGCAAAACTGAGCAAGAGCATACCAAGAAGAAGTTTGAGCGCGAGTAGGATAAGGTATATGATTAGGAAGAAGACGAGCATAGTGCCCAGGGCGATTGCATCGTCAATCGTCCAGAAGCGCCAGGAGCTGGCACCAGCAGCGGCATCGGCACCTGCTCCGAAGGATGATCTACCCAACGCCCTCCTGAAGATCTGGTCGATGTGCGCAAGCGCAGCTGTGGTTGACGGCGAAGTCTCTCCAGATGCTGACTCTAATGCAATCTCTGTGGCAGTCGAAGGAATAGGCAGCGGCATGTGGGTAGCGATAAGCATGTGATAAGTCTGAACCGAAGCACGTATGAAGAGACATGAAAGAGGAAGCACCGGTAGGCCCAGTCGCTTAGTCAAGTTCTGGTCCGCGAAAGCATGTGAGTAATAGTCTTTCGTCAGCACATCCAAGAAGCGACCATAGAGACTCGGCTTGATGTTGTTGAACTTTGAGATGTAGGCATGTTTGACCCAGTCAACAATCATCTCACTGCCAATAACAGTCACGAAAGGCCCAAAGATCTGACCAAACCCTGTCGGGAACATGCTAAAGGCCTGCGGAAGAATGCTCGTGCTCTGAATCGGTGATGCTGTCGAGTTCGTGCTGAAATTTGTTGTCGAGCCACTGCTAGATGAGGCCATGTTCAGACCGCCGACCTCAACAATGTTACGTAGAGCGATGATGAGTAGCATAAGCCAGAGTTGGAATCTCTCAACCACATCTGCACAAGTCAGCTGGAATAGATTCTCCTTCTCGAACTTTTTGAACACGGTTCCCTTGATCTCAACAAATTGGTTTGACATCAGGAGTGTAAGTAGAGCGTTTGAGTAGGAGTTGACAGCGACATTAAGTGCGATGACTTGGTAGAACAGCATAGCCGCATGAGCGACGTTGTAGGCCAGAGCAAGTATGAACATGCCTAGAGGAAGTAGAACCTTACTGCGGCCATTGGGCTTACGCTCGAGAGTCTCTTTCGAAAACAGACATTCGATGATGTCCTGGCCAATAGCTGATAGAAGGCGATCGAATACCTCAAGAACATTGTAAATAACATAGAGCTTGATAGCAGCTTGTCCGCGAATCTTGTGATACATGCGACTGGCATCAAATTGGACAAGAATCATGCAGCTGATGATGATCAAGGCTCCATGCAACATGTCAGCCTTGTGATTTGGAAGCAGAGCAGAGGGTGTAGACTTGGACCGCCTGTGACGGTACAAAGGGTTGGAAATTCTGAGTTTCGAGGGCAATTGTTGGAAGCGCGTCGAGTTCATATCCTTTTGACTTTCTGGTTGAGCAGAAGGAACTGCAGGAGCAGAAACAGGGTCAATCGAAGGTGAATTGACCGAGCTTCTGCGTGAGGGACTGGCAGAAGGAGGTTGGTTTCTACGGCTCCAAACACGGCCCAAGCCAGAGTATATGAAGGAACCAATGTCTTTAAACTCTTTGACAAGGCTTTGAACAAACCACTTCAGCAGGATGAAGATGGCCTTCAAGAATCTCAAGGGCAAGATGGTAAATGTATATAACCAGGCGTCCAGACATGCCAAAGCACCGAACACCAGAGTCTGCTCAAGCTGAGGCGGTAAGGTTAAGAAGTTGTACAAGCGCTCGAACTTAACTTTTGAAGACTCGTAGGGGAAGTCGCTGCTGGCGGAGCGGTGAATGTAGAGAGCCGAGGGGCGCTCGGAAGAGAGTTCGAGTTGTAGGTATGTTGGCAAAGAGAGAGGCGGCACGGGGATGCTGGGAGGCATTGGAGATGGAAGCGAGTCGGACATGGGTGAGGGCTTCAAGGCTTCGACGCCATCTTGGTATTCAGAGCCCTTCAGATTCAAAGTAGGGCGTCTAGGCTTCGAAGCGTCTTTATTATCGATCGGATTCCTCGATATCTGAGCCGCCGAAGCTTTCCTCTTGATGACAGGAGTCGAGTTGGAGCGGCCACCTGTAGTAGGTCTGGAAGCAGTCGGCGGAGGGCGGCCATTCTGTACGGGTAGACTCGTAGGCTCAGTAGATGAGGCCTTGTCACGGGCAGAGATGCCCAAACCATTTGATTTCGCACTGGTGTCGTCGACCAAAGGTGGAATGTCATCGGTAGAAATGTCGACGGCGCGTAGTGGAAGAGAGTCGGGCGAGGAGATCAAGTCTTGCATTTGAGCTGAGGACAGCTTGAGGGTGGGAGACGGCGAGAGCAGCTTGCCATTGCTGGTCTTTGGTTTCAGCACTCGCGACGCTACTGTGGTTGGAGTAATCGCGGGACTATCTGTCTTCTCAGACAAGGCGTCGAGACCAGGACTCGTCAACTCGACATCGGAGGTGTACGAGGTTGTACCATGCTCGGTGATGGGAGAGAGGGCTGGCGTAGGCAGTTGGTCGTGGATCGCAGTGGCCTCGCTGCCATCTGGCGTGCTTTCTTTCATCGTACGTGCGAAAAGAGCATTATCATTGAACTGGACCAGCCATCAATGTGATTGCAACAATAAGAAAGGCAGGAGCGACAACAACGCGTCGTCTGTGCTGCCTACGGATTTAACCTCATATAAACGCCGTATACACCTTGCGCAACACTCTGGTCATCCAACCCTTCTTCACAATCAACAATATCTCTCACTGCCACGCAATCATGTCGGGCTACGAGGGTGAGCTTTACTTATCACTAGATTATATCTGTCCGTCGCTGACAGCCCTTAGTCGAACACAACATCAAAGAGGAGAAAAAGAACGAGGCACCGCCCCGCCGCCCTGATCTGTCCACCTTCTTTACCACTCTCGATCTTGTCGACACTAGTGGAGACCGTCACCCTCAGAATGCGCACTCTCTACCTCTCCCCGGCGACGTCTCAGCAGCCTTCCGCAGTCTCGCAAATGCCTTCTCCATGATGCAGGGTGGTGGCCATGGTCAATCGCAAGAAAACACAGATCAACTGCTAGCTCAAATGGTCGAGCAGCTGATGCAAGAGTCTGAGAATCCTCCCCGGGAAGTCAAGGGTGTCTCGGACGAGTTCCTTGCCCAGCTGGACAGAGTGCCAAAGACGAGCTTGAAGGACAAGGACTGCCCCATCTGCGGCAACCCTTTCCTTGACGGTGAGCTCTGATTCTGGTCGACTATTGTTGTCGCACCTTACTGATATCTTGTTGCAGACCCTCACCCGCTTGTCGTTCAGCTGCCCTGCCATAAAGACCACCTCTTCGATCTCGAATGTATCACTCCTTGGCTCAAACTAAATCCCACCTGCCCCCTCGACAGAAAAGAGTTGATCAAGAAGAGGGCACCTACACCACCTCCGGATGAGGAAGATGGAGAATACGATGACATGTATGCATAATCTTGCTTGGACGGTTCGTTTGGCATTCAGCGTCGCATCACTTGGAAGATGCGCTTAGCTTGGTTGAAAAAGAGCATTTATGATAATTGTAATATACCCATGAGACTTTGAACATACATCGAGACTCAAGTCTGCGCGCTCACAGATACTTGCTCCTTAGTGCTTGGCTGATGGAACTCATCCTGCTCGTTGTAGAGCCGTGTTGCATGTGGCTCATGAACGCCTCTTCTATGGCCGACTGGGATATACTGGCATCTGCTATTCATGTCAGCATGAATTGTCTGTGGCGATCCAGTATCAAATTCACGCACCATCAAGATCGCTGAAGGAGCTTCCCATACTCGGTGTACCCTCACTGCCCTCTCTACGGACTCTCGGGCTGAGTTTGGAAAGTTCTTCGCGATGTCTAGGACTCAACGCACTGGCCGGAGAAGCATGTGCATAGTCTCCTCGATTGACTTCTCTCTGTTTGCCAGCGCCGGTTGTAGATTGAGTAGCTGCTACAGAGCTTGCCGAAGATGCAGAAGAGTCAGGAGCAATAGCCCTTTGCTCATGCGCTCTCTTGACCGGTGATTTCAGCGTTGCAGCTGGATCAGCACTTCCAGTAGCCGTAGTAGCGAATGGCAAGAATCCGCCAGACGACTCGCCATCCTCGTCTTCGTCTTCATCATCATAGCCGTACTTGCCTTTGTTATAGTGAGTCGGTCTTCTGAAGGCTTGACTGCGCGCCATACTCTGACTCTCCCCTTCCGAAGAAGAATCTGATTCTGACTCCTGAAGTGGATCCGAGTCTGGCTCTGAGATCTCGCGCTGCGGTGATACAGGCTTTCTGTGGTTTCCAAAGGCTGTGTTGAAAGTCCTGTTGGTTGGTTGTGCTGGACTGGCAGGTGGTCCGGTACGGCTTTGTGTCAGTGTTCTTGTGGATGGTGTACGAGAGAGGCCTTCAGTCTTTGGTTGTTGGTTAGCTGTGGAGAGTGTGGGCAGCATGTTAGGCTGGCGAAACACTCCTGAACCACCTGATCCCATAGTTGGTGTAGGACTGTCTCTTATGCGGGCTGAAAGAGCAGATGGTGCTCTTTGACCTATATTCCGGTCAACCTGAGAATATCAGCATTTTGCACTATTGAGCTTACCTTGGCTACCGACTGCGAAAGCGGTTGCATTGCTACTTATGGCAACATTGCCAGTAGAGTCAGGTGGAAGAGGGGACGGACAAGCTGAAGGACTGAGTTTCTTCATCTGCGCCTTCATCTGTGCAAAGTGGCGTTCATACAGCCATGCTGCCTGCTGAAGTAGAAAGGCTAGAGAAACCTCGAACTTTGCGGACCTGCTCTTGTCAGCTTCAATACAGACCGAAGCGGATAGTATACCGACAAATCTTCCCCTGTTGAAATATTAGCTTAATCTCTTTGTCAACACAAGATGATACACACAATCTAGCTCTTTGCTGTTAGAAGCCTTGGAGATGATTTTCCATAATGCACGATCTTTAGTCGAGTTCCAATCAACCTATCTACGTTCAGCTTTACTTAAAAGCACAACTTCTAGTATCAAATACCTGTGGCGGATCTACAAAATCTCCTCTGGGAAATGGCAGCCGAATGAAGCAGGTATAGTGCACGGACGAGTCTGCCGGAGCTGACTTGTATGCTGGCGACGGCGGAGCGTTGATACCTAGAGCATTATGCGAGGTTTGGGCTGTTCGGAGGGAAAGTTGCTTTGGATCCTCGATGCTTGACATGGTATAGTTGATGTGTTTATGAAGAAGGATGATGGTGGATGGTCTGGAACAAGGTTATACAGATGCATAGCGCGAGCACGTGATATCAAACACCTCCCTTCAAGGATGCAACACACCTCGCCATGTCTGCACTCGAGCACTAGATTGTGCATAGCTTCTCATTGATACATTTGCTCCAGCTGCACTATACGCGCTGTATACTTTAATACATGGTGAGGGTGAACGTGAAGCAGGGTCGTTAAATCATGTATTGAGGTTTTCATGTCAGGTACCTAATGCCTTGATCTCCTGTAGCTGTCGTCGTGATACCGGTCGCCGCGTCTTCTATCATCGCGGTCACGATCACGATCACGATCACGATCACGGCGGTCGTCTCGCCTGTAATCCCTATCCCTATCTCGCCTTGGGCTTCTTTCTCGCTCTCTTTCGCGCTCACGGCGTGGAGGGCTTCTGTTCCTGTCGCGTCTCGGACTGCGCACCGGACTCCTCTCTCTATCCCGACTGTCCTTGCCGTCATCTTTGCGTCTACCATCCTTGTCGAAGACGTAGTCATATCGTTCACCACGGCTGTTACGTCCTCCGTACCTCTCACCCTCTCTGTAGTGTCTCTTAGCTTCTAGCCCGGCAATACCACCGAATCCGCCCTTCTTCCTGGCTGTCTTGGAGTTTGTCGTGTCACGCCATGCATCGGCGAGTCTGCTGACACTCTGCGAGAAGTCGACATGAATACGGTGGTCGTCAATCAAGACACCTTGCATCTTGAAGTAGGCGCGCTCGCAATCCTCCTTGTTGCCGAACTCGATGAAGGCATATTGTAGACTGTCGCCAGTCTTCTTGTCTCGGATGACTTCGCATGACAAAATTTTGCCGAAACGGCTGAAAATGAGCTCGAGATCTTCGTCACGGGTGACTGGGTTGAGTTTGCAGACAAATAGGACTTGTTCAGGAGGCGTGACATCGGCGAATGGTAGATCGCCTATCAGCTCAAGGGTCAAGGCTTGGGCGCGTGCTTCACGTTCGCGGCGCAGTTTCTCAAGTTGTTCGGGATCGGTGTTTTCGGCAATTTCTTCGTCGTGGGCGATGCGTACGGTGGCTAATTGGCCTGCTGTTGGTACAGGGCTTTTCGGTGGTTCGACCAAGCCTTCGGGGTCATCGTACGGGTCGTCAAGGACAGCGGTGTGTAGGATGCGGATGTCTTTGAGCGGGCGGCCTTTGTCGTCGATAAAGGCAGTGTTGATCTTCTCGAGAGCATCGAAGCCCTCTACGACTTCGCCAAAGATGGCAGCCTTGCCGTCGAGTAGATCCAGGTTTTCACCAAGGGTAATGATGAACTGGCTAGCGGCGAAACGGTCGTCCGGATTGATTGGTGAGGCAGTTGTAGCCATACTGACAGTGCCTCTCTCGGTGTGCTTCCTCTTGCGACTAAACTCAGGTTTGAATGTCATGGCCTCGGGCTTCGCAGGCTTCTTTGTGACACCATCAGGAAGACCCCAGATAGAAGAACCGCCATCGCTTTCGGCGGCATCAGGACCAATTGGATCGCCAGTCTGGAAAGAGAAGTTTGGTTGGACGTTGTAAATGGGCGAATAATTGTAGTACTTGATCTTGCATAGCTTCAAGAAGCTGCGTCAACGTCTTAGCAATCTGATCAGTCTCGTGACGGCGTAATATCGAGGCGCAACTCACTTCTCACATGCTTTAGGCGCCTCATCGACATAGAGGTCGATGGTAATGTCGCCAGCCGATGTTTCTAACAAGACCGACATTTTCTTGATTGTTGTCACAGAAAGCGCCAAAGTTGAAGCTCGAGTGACGCGTTGTCAACCGCGGCCGTGGGTCAGTCATCGCCCCGTCGTTCAGAACGGACGGACGCGCCTTCCCAAAGAGCACCTCAATCAGTCAACCACACAAATCAGCATGAACTGATCATCGCGAACACAATCTTGATCCTCTGATGCATCCACAAATCTCTTCTCGAATTATATGGTGATACATTTACAGATTCAACCAGCCAACCTTCTGCGTTCCAGGAAACCTCCAAAACCCAGTAGAATATTTACAAGATTCCATCCTTCTGACATCCGAGCTCAACACTGCATGTGTGGACCTGCACAAGCGCCTGTGGCTACCGTCCAGCATGTCGCGTTCCTCAGCATTACGAACGGGCCGCACCTTTGACAGATGGTTGGACTAACCCTGCAAATACCCTGTCTCACTGCAGCTCTGTTATAACCATCCGGCATCAAAACATCCTTTTCTCTTCCAATGATTTTTCTCACATCGCATCACCTGCCTTGCTTTACATGAATTCGTATGTATCAATCTGTCCCTTGACCGCACGAGCGCTTGCTTTCTCAACACTTTGCCGCTTCAGTTCACCTGCTTCACGCTTGTTTCAATGCCACCAGCACGCTCCGATTCCATGGCTCGTCAACTTGATCGTATTGGCTAGTCTATCTCAATTCCAGCCTGTCGTCGTAATCCTGGATGGCTGAGCGATCTTCATGACTCTTCCAGCTATCTGGCGTAGAGAAACCTGGCTTCACGCCAGATCGAGCGGAACTTAAGCATCACCATCGCCCCGGCCGGTCTTTACTTCAGCCTCAAGCTGCAACCACCCGTTCATGTGGTGCTCGAGACCGCTTTCAATCCTTGCGTAGCCAATACCCGGTCCGCTCATGCGCCTTGTTCAGCGTCGCCAATCGGCATGTTGCTGCTGCGCAACTTGTCATCTGTCCATCGCCAACCTATCACCCGTTACTCTCTTGTTTCAGAAACAGCACAACATATCTTCCCGTCTAAGCCATCGACTGAAGTTGAACTCTTTGTCCATCAACTTTCTCTCTGGCTCTAAAGTCATGTGTCTTCCCGCAAGTCTTTCGCTCCACCGTAAAATTGACGTTTACCTGCCAAGAGTCGGTCGTGTTGTTTGACTTCATCCATCTTAAGCCGAACACCTATTGAAGCGCTTACAGATTACGATCGATTCTCAACATAGCACTCAAGGCTGAGAACATGTCATCTGCACATGCATGCACTTCTTTGCGAGGCAATACTGGACTACAGACTCTTCGCATTTGGACCTTGTTATTCTGTCTGACTGCTGCATGATGAATAGTCTATGCTTTTTCGTGTTGCACGACTACGTCCTGTCGTTTTGCATCTTGCGGTATGTTGTCTTGTGCCCCGCTTGCGCTTGCAGATGTGGCAACTCAACAGGTCTTACTTGACTCTCGTTTGATCAACTCAAACGAGTGCAGCGCACGTTCTGTCCGCTCTTTCCCGATCTCCCCGCCTGTCATGAGCGAATAACCCGGAGCCGTCCTCTATCACGTCTTGTCGCCAATCATGACACGGGTAATTGCATTCCCCTGCAGCCAAGCAAGTGCCACCGTCGAAGATGAGATGGCTTCATGCGATACCAGATCCAACGACATCCAGAGATTGATGAAGCTGCCGTTGGACTCCCAAAAGCCCGGTCCACGATGGACCTCAATACCAAGGTCACACTCTCCTCACCTGCGAGTGATTGGGCTAGATTTCTGAGTGATCACATTCCCTTCGTATAGTGCTTCAGGACAGCAGTTCTTAGCGGTGTCATAAAAGATCGTTGCCTTGCTGCCAACAGATATACTGGTTTCGGTGCTTCCATTTCCTACAATTTGCTGTGCTTTTGTTTGACTCTTTAATTGACAAACTTTCCGCCTGTTGATTGTCATTTGCTTCCTTTTCACAAATTCTGTCTTCGAGCTGCGCAAACATGGCTCAAGTCTATCAGAAGAGCCACTATGACTATGACGGCATGCAGCGATCAGAGCGACGACCCTCACGTGGTCCTGTTCACACGGTTGATCGAGGTGTTCCGTACGTAGCATACTCGACCAGACCGGACCCACGCAATGAGTCGAGGACTTATGTCCTTCCAACTCCGATCCATGACATAGGAGAGGATAGCGACTCAGGTTCTGCCAGGAAACGTACCTCCATGGCTGTGAGTATATAACGGCCTGTAAACTCTTGTTTAAATGTTGACGGCCTTAGTGCTCGCGTTGCAGAAGAAGAAAAATCAAGTGCAGCGGCGGGCAACCTTGCCAGGCGTGTCGAAGTGCTGGAGTGGAGGCCAGCACTTGCTTGTACTGCAGAGTGTGTTGCATTTTTTTCACACGAACAAACCCACTCTGACCTTCCCATCCATAGGTAGGCACGAGCCAAACTTTCGACCTCGATACTTCCGTTGGTGGGCCCTCTCCTCTGGCCCCAATCTCACCTTACAGCCCTGTAACACCTAACGGCACGGGTTATCCTGCATATCCGACAGATGACAGGTCTTCATCGGTACCCGTTTATGGCAGATCTGGATATCCTCAGACATCTCTCCCTGCTTACAGCTACGACCTTGATACTCCGACATACGCAGTCAGTGATGAGTCTCGATCATGGACGACAGGAAGCCGCCCTAGCACAGGGATGAGCTATTTCCAGCAAGAGAGTCCTGCATCTTACGACTACCCTACCCCGATCTCTAGAATCTCAAGCGATTCAAGCGAACCTCTTTCTCCTCTGAACATGAGTACTTTGCAGCACTCACTTCCTCTCCCTCTCGAGCGCCGTCTGCCTGCTCCCAATTTTGTCGGCACCCCAGTAGCTTCTGACAATGACATCCGCGGCCCCATCAGTGCCCGCCTCTCAAGTTTGAGCATCAGCAGACCGTACAGTAGGAGCAATAGTACCTCTTGGGCATCGGACGGCGTTGAACGTCGCCAACCATCTATCCATGATCTTGCAGAGGCAAGTATGATGCTTCCACCAGTCACACGCGGACTACATGCAACTGCAGCAACTTTGCCGGCTCTCAGTCATGATAGTGCTCCCATGTCCACCGCCATGTTTGTGTCGTCTGGAAATGACGGTCTGATTCAAGCTTCCACCAGTACCGCTCAACCTGCCTACTACTCTGCCACTACTTCAGCACTTCCATCCTTGACCACCGGAATGCTTCCTCCGACAAACTACGCCCGTTACACAGCCATCAACAATAGCAATTCTTCTCTGCCAGTCATCAACTCGGGTGATCGTACAGACACTGCGTCCTACTACGGCTGGACGCCTGCAAACGCCAGTAGCACCGAGGTCCTGCCTGTAATCAATACAGTTGAAGTCACTTCTCAGTCCAATGCTAGCGCCGATCGCAGAAACAGCTCCGCGCAACTCTCAACAGGCTATCCACCTCTACACCACCCACGACCAAAGATCGTTCCATCCACGCCTCACGCCACGACACTCGAGAAGCATGATCGCGTACAGCAGAAAGATGCAAAGAGTCAAAGACCCTCTTCTGCGTCCAGTCAGCACAAGTCTTCCTCTGGCTCTTCGGGTGCAGGTTCCAGCAAAAAGAACAGTCACAAGTCCAACAAAGGAAGTCTGTGATGTTCCGAAATCTGGTTTTCGAATACGTTCAATCTCTCTCATTTGTTTTATCTTCACATCTGCTTTCTTTTTTCTCATATGGGTCTCTGGAGTACAGCAAGCGAGGCGTAATCTGCTGCGTCCCTTTGTCGGCGCTACTTTCTTCATCTTTTTCTTCCGGCGTTTCTCTTTTTGTCGTCTTCTTCGTTCTCCGGAAATTGGGTGATGGGACAAAATCTTATACAGCCGGGAGTTCAAGTCAAGTTCAACGGCGAACAAAAACCAAGCATTTTGGGGTAACTGGGCATTGGAAAAAGGAACGGAATACCTAGTATAAAGTATGTGACGATGCAAATGACAAAAAGATCGGGAAAAGAGCAAGCTTGAGGCGATGATTATAATGAGTTTCGATAATGAGGTTTGATTTGATAAGTAAATTAATTAATTGCAGTTTAAAGATCTGTTTACTTTATGTGAAAGATACCTATAGTGAGAGAAAGGAAGATGGAATTGATGCTCTAGAAGAATAGGGCAAGGTGCCCCGTTCTCCCCGTATAGCAGAGAGCGAAGTGTACGCTGTAAAAAGGCACAATATTTTCGACATCAGAGGCATGCCCAATGAAAGCCAAGAAGTTGTCGTCTCTCAGTGGACAACGGCTGTTTTCAGAAAGTATTGTGCATTGTTGTAGTCGATGTTATGCTCTTTGCTAGAACTGGAAAGCTGGAAGGGGGATAAGACAGGGGGTACAGGGGTTAAGATCACATGCTGAACACTTGGATCCTCCATACACGCCATACATGTTACAATGTGACTATCAAAATGCACAATACTTTCGTGAAACATGCTGTCTCCACAGAGAAGGCCACATCAAAAGCTATCTCAATGGATACGAGTGTTTTGAAAACTACGACTCTGCATTTCGATAGCCTACTAATAACATTACATCTCGTCTGAAACCATAGCCTTTCTCCTCAAGCCAGATATTTCTTCTCAATCTTGGCCTTTGCCAGAGCGCTCAACTCTTCAGGTGTAGGACGAACTTCAGGGCCAGAGTTGCGGATTGGGCCTTGATCGGGTTCGCGAACGAGGTGGAAGAGATGGACCTGCTTGGCAGGGTTCTTGACTTCGTAATCCACGACCTTGTATAGGCCGTCGTACCTCATTCCTTCTTGAGGCTTGTAATCGTTGGGGCCTTCGGTAGTCATCTTCGAAGCTCGAAGCACACGCACAGGCGTCTTCAGCTTACAGCTTTCGATCATGTACTGCGTGGAATCCGTAGGGCGGGTGGGATCGTCAGATTCCGTACCATAATACCACACCTCGTCTCCTCTGTCGATGTTGGGATAGCTTCCACCCGACATGACGCACGAGAAAGCGCCTTCTCCAGTCCTGCCACAAATACCAGCGACTGTAGCACTGTGGGCGCCGTCTCGAACAGCGCAAAGCTGAGTTGGCCACCATTGGCCATTGCGGAGATGACCATTGCCGTGAAAGTCGCCCTTCTTTCTCTTGTACTTCGGGTCCAGCTTGTCAGCTGCGCCCTCGCGGCCGATTTTGACGTTCTTGGTACGGCCTAGTATGATTCCGCGAAAGAGGTCTGGGCTGGTGTCCTTTTGGTACCACTTAATGTATAGCTCCGCGGCGTCTTCCTTTATGTACCATGGGTAGTCAACCGTTTTTGAGTTGAAGATCTGTGGAAGTCCTCTGTCGTTGAACAAAAGACCTTTCTGACGAATGGCCATGGCGCCAAGGTCGAGGAAGAAGGCACGATGGATACCGTCATTAATCTTGTTGAGGTCGTCGGCACTAGGAGCGATTTTCTTTGCTGCAAGTTCGTTGCATTTTCTGATACCGGTACAGATCTTGTTTAGATGTTCCTCAATGCCAAAAGAAATTCTGGGTGCTCTCTTAACCTTGTCGGGTCCGATAGCCTTATACCAGTCTGGGGGAGTAGGATTTCTCATGTCAATGTCGAGATGTTCGCCGCCGTTCATGGTCTCCATGGTAGCTTCAACAGGTAGTTCAGTTCTGCGCTGTGGGACATAGGAAAGTGGTGCGATTGAAGCTGCTGACGTGGATGTAGAAGGAGCTGCTGATTTGGATGTAGAAGGAGCTGCTGATTTGGATGTAGAAGGAGCTGCTGCCGAAGTCGATGGACGCGGTGCAGGTGACGCAGGTCTCGATGCAGGTCTCGATGAAGGTCTGGATGCTTGTGGCTTCTGTAATTGTTGCGCTTTTTCGATTTTGGCCATGTTGACGTTACGCCACCAGGGAGTGCCGTCGATCATCAATTCGTCCATGACCTGTAGACGATAATGTCAGTCAACGGGTAGCTAAGAGATAGGTGGAGGGTAGATTGTCTCTTCGGCCAACACTCCCTTGGGAATAATATTGTGCATTTTCACAGCAACAACTCGACCATGCTTAGTACGCGGGAGAGCATTGGATAGAAAGTCCCCAGATGTCGTTGGGTGAATCTATGCATGTATGTGGCCAAGCGAGTTGCAAGGTAGGAAAAAGTGTACAAGGTAAGAAGGAGATTGCAAGGTAAGGAGACTGCAAGATAGGATCACTTACCGATTGACGTCGACGTTGGTGGCAAGTCGTTTAATCTGCCTCTGTGATGGTCAGTAGAATGAAAGGGATAAGAACAAGGAAATGTCGTCGGCAGGAGCTTTTATAGAAGGCGCGACGGAACCTTGACGACTAAGCAAGCCACGACGACTGAATTTCGACGACTAAGCCTCGACGATTGGATCTCGACTGTACCACGACAACTGAAGCTCGGCAACTGCAGTAGTGAGAGAAGAATAAATCGTACAAATGTTGATTATCTCATGACTGTATGCAACGTCGAAGCCGGTCGAGTCATCGACGAGTGAGTCTACAAACGTAGGAAGAAACTAGGCAGCAAGTCTTACGCAAACAGTGGCTGCTTCCACTGACCATTCAATTGCCACAACATTCTCAATGAAGAGTGGTTAGTCAAGAAAAAGGTGGCACCACAGTAATGCTATATCACAAGGAAAAGGCTATATTCCAAGGAAAAGGAGCCCAGGAAGCCAGCGCGTTGTTTGCTAGAGAGCCAAGATTATTTACAAAATGTCATTTGATGGCAGAGCGGTATTGTTGTGTCTGGTACAAGTAATCCAAGAAAAATGTGGTCGGCGATGAGTGGCCTGGTTAGTGTTAAATGGTCGAGGTTGCTTAAGGCCGATAAAAGCGGCGCTGGTCGTGCAAACACTTCAAACATTGGAGCTGTACAGATGCGCCCAGTGAATGCGACAAACTTTCTCGAATAGAGCTATTACACACAACAACCATGACGAGCATCGACGACTTGTTCAAGAAGCCATTCCTTCCGTCAACTAACGGCGGTACCAAGCGCAAGTTCGACGGCCAAGATGCAGAAGCAGCATACAAATCAGCAAGACTAGACGATGCGCCAGAGAACGAAGACGATGATATGGAGGCCGGGCCCGAGCTACCGCCAGACGAAGACGAGGACGAAGAGGGCCGCTTCTTTGGCAGTGGTACAAATCAGCATACCAATGCCGCTCTAGACTTTGTCGACCGAGCCGACGACGGCGACGGCGCAAACATCAAGGTAGAGAAGATCGATCAAGCATGGGTGCGCCGTCTGGGCTTGAGTTTTGAGCGCAAGATCAACAAGAACAGCGAATTGCGCGCAAAGTACGAAAGCGATCCCTCACGCTTTGTCGCCAGCGAGGCCGATCTGGACGCCGAAATCAAGAGCTTGAGCATTCTGTCAGAACACCCAGAGCTATACAAGGACTTTGCAAAGATTGGCTGCGCAGCAAGTCTAGTCTCTCTTCTATCACACGAGAACACAGATATTGCCATTGATGCCATTGAGATTATCTCCGAATTGCTGGACGACGACGTACAAGCAGAGCAAGAACAATGGGACGCCCTAGTATCAGCCATGCTCGAAGCCGACCTCATCGACCTCCTCCTCGCCAACCTCGACCGTCTAGACGAGAACCTCGAAGCCGACCGAAGCGGTGTCTACCACTCCCTCTCCGTCCTCGAAGCCCTCTCCTCCAACTCCACAATCGCAGACACAATCGCCCAAGAACCCATCCTAAAGTACCTCCTTGCCCGCATCTCACGCGCCGAAAAATCAGTATCCCAAAACAAACAATACGCCGCCGAAGTCCTGCAAGTGCTATCTCAGGCCTCCACCTCCGTACGCGATCGCTTAATCTCTCTCGACGCAATCGACAAACTCCTACAATTACTTTCCGCCTACCGCAAACGCGACCCCGAGCGCGACAGCACAGAACAAGAATACGCAGAAGATCTTTTCGACACATTAACAATCCTGTCCGCACCACTACCCGGCAAAACCGCTTTCCTAGAAGCAGAAGGCACAGAATTAATGCTACTCATGCTCAAAGAAGCCAAGTTCTCAAAACCGCGTGCGCTCAAGGTGCTTGATCATGCACTTTCTGGTTCTTCTGGTCAGCCCGTAGCGGAAAAGTTCGTAGATGCTGCGGGGTTGAAACCACTATTTTCTACATTCATGAAGAAGAATTTGGAAGCTGCGGATACGGAACATGTGCTGGGTATCTTTTCTGCCTTGTTGCGTTTGCTCCCTGGCGAATCTTCCCAGCGCATCCGCTTACTCGCCAAATTTGTGGAAAAGGAGTACGAGAAGCTGGATAAACTGGTCAAGTTACGACATGAATATGCGGCAAAAGCTAGCGTCACGGATGATATCGATGCCAGTGCTGCTGTTTACTGTCTCAATACCCTGGATGTCATTCTTGCTTGGCTGGTCGCAGAGGATGCAGGTGCAAGAAAGAGGATCATAGCAGGATTGGCGGATAGAGATGAAAGTTTGGGGACGTTGAAGAAGAGCCTGCAAGAACAACTTGAGGAAGTTGATACTGAAGAAGAAGGGAACGTGGCTGAGATGCTTACGGCACTTATTGAGTGCTTGTAGAGCAAAATGTATATAAAATGACGGTTTGATCACGTTGTTCTCTTTATGGAGACAACGTTTCTCACGAATGTCTTGTGCATTTATATAAGTAGTCACACTGTGGCTGTCTTTTAGCACACGGGGAGGATGTACCTCGCCAGAACGGCAAGCTTGATGATTCAGCAGTAGTACGAAAAGTATGAAAACAGTCGTCACATGCACCTTTCGAACATTGCACTTGTCCACTCTATGTTGCTTGGCCACTGAAAATAGTTGCCCAATGGATTATTTCGCCGTGAGAATCTGGGTGTCATACGCGCAACAATTACATTGTTACAAATATCGAAGAAACTCCACATCATAAAGGCCATAAAGACATCTACACTCTGTCGAGAAAGACCAGAGTCATCCTTCTTCCTGCAATACGCATGATCCCACTCATACATACCTCCTTCGTCATTCATACATAACCCCATCAGCTTTACTCCAAAGCAATTCTGCCATCATGACCCTCGGCAGCATCCATAGCATCAGTAACAGCAGATCCCTCGCCCTCGAACATGAAAGCATCGTAAACAGCAGCACCAACAATGCAACCAAAGATGGGCACGAAAAGAGGGACGATGAAATAGAAGCCCTTGGCAGAGAAGACTTCGCGGCCGTAGATGATGGCTGAGAAGGCACGAGGACCAAAGTCGCGGGCTGGGTTGACGGCCTGTGTGTCCTTTGTCAGTAAAAGTTCTTGTCTGGGACCTGAGAACAGGAAAGGCAGAAGCGACTTACATAACCAGTCTGCCAACCCATGGAAGCACCAATAGCAACCATCAACGCAAACATCATAAACTGAGGAGCCTTGAGTGCCTCATTCTTAGGGTCTGCAACAGCAGAAGCCCCAAAAGCCAACAAACTCGATCCCAAAAACTCCGTAACAGCAGCTTCCCAATTACTTCCAAAGTGCGAAGCCGGATACGTAGCAAAAATGCCCGCAGAATGATGTCCCTGGGGTGACAAAATACTGCCTCCAGGAATAGTGTATTCAGGATCCCAAGATTTAATCGCAGATCTGTATTGACCATACACCAAAGCAGCACCAATAAAAGCTCCAGCAAATTGTGCAATGATCTTGCCCGGAAGTTGTTGCCATTGGAGTTTGGTAGGGCGGATGATGGCTGATGCAAGAGTGATTGCTGGGTTTACTGCTGCGCCGATGTAGCAGGACAGAGCTACTGCAGAGGCCCAAGCGAGGTTTACAGACAAGAAATTGGCGTAGTAGAAGTCTGTGAGGACGGCTTGGGCGACTACGCCGTCGCCGATGAGAATCAAGAGCAGTGTGCCAATGAATTCGGCGAGGTATGGGCGGAGGCCGCTGCGGTGCAAAGATGCTGGTATGCGGACGGCCATGATTGTTGGTCGCTGATAGAGAAAGAGAAGAAAGGGTCGTAAGAAGTCGTTCAATTCAAATAACCAGATGCCACATGAAGGAGCTATCTTCCTTTATATGCTACAAAAGATATCCTTCTTCTCAGACGCATGTCGTCGAAAAGCCCTGCGCAAGCTTGGTCCAGTTGTCCCTGCACGACTCGGCATGTTTTTTTGCTGGGCGTGAATCGTGAATGAAGATCGTCGTCGTTCACCGTTTGTTTCACCATACCTTCCGAGGACGATAAGGGTCATGGCCCATAGGGCGGAATAATGGCACAAAAAGCTTCGAGAAGTGCGGTGAAAATCGGTCCTTTTGGATGGACACGAAGCTCGGTGAAAGGTTCACTTGAGCCTCACAATGACGGTGTCAATCCTAGCCAAAAATCAACATCACAAGTCGACAAACATCATGCACATCGAAGAGACATGGAAGCAATGATGAATAACAATAGAGTTGTATTATGTTTGCCGATGCAATTTCTATCATGGTTCAAGGAGTGAGACAGAACGCCTAAGGCATTCATGAATCAAGCTCCAGCTCGGTGTGCGAATCCCTGTCAGGCGCGCGACATCCTTCGAGCCCAATCCAAATTTCGTTCCAAAACGTGCCAACTAAAAGGTATATCCGTGGTCGTCGTCAATATCATCAAGGTGGTGAGATAGCGTCATTTCATCACACCGCCTCTAAGAGTATCTCTTGAGGGCAGGGCTGCCGGCGCAAGCGGGTTGCGAGAACTTGGTCTCGACGTACACCTTTTGCATGCCATCCTCCTTCTTCTCAAACATGTAGTAGACCTTGTCGAGGTCTTCCATGGCGACACGGTGGGTGACCATCTTCAAGGGGTCAATCTTGCCCTCTTGGATGTACTTGAGAAGCTTCTCCCAGTAGAGGTGGACGGGAGCCTGTCCGTTGCCGATAAGGCGGATACCGCGCTCCATCAACGTGCCAATGTTGAAGTGGTTGGTCTGTAACAAGGTTAGATCTGTGTTGACGACATGCAGTTAGGTCAAGAAGACTCACGTAGCCGACGTAAACACCAGTAATACCGCAACGTCCGTAGTTTTTAACACTTTCGAGCATCTCATTGATGATCTCAGGAGTGTCAGTCTCCAGACCAGCCATGAGCTCAATGGTGTGTGCCCAGCTCTTGGGATATTCGCCAGCCACACACTCGAGAGCGACATCAGGGCCACCGTGCTCCATCTTCTTCAAAGTGCTGACAACAGTCTCACCCTTGGGCAAGTTGGAGAAGTCGATAGTCTCAATGTTGGGGTACTTGGACTTGCAGTAGTCGAGACGCCAGTTCTGGTCAATGACAATGACACGCTTGGCGCCATTCATATAGGAGAAGTCAATACACATCTGACCGATGGGACCGGCACCCCAGATGGCAACGACATCACCCTCCTTGACACCGGTGTCGACAACACAGTTCCAGCTGGTGCTGACAACATCGGACAGGTAGAGACCCTTCTCATCAGGAACATCGTCGGGCAGGTGAAGGAGGTTGACATCACCGCAAGGAACTCGGACATATTCGGCTTGACCACCAGCGAAGCCGCCAGTGAAGTGAGAGTATCCGAACATGCCGGCGGTGCGGCCACCGTACATGGCGTTCTCGATGGTGTTGGAATTGGTCTTCTCGCATTGCGACGACAACTTCTTCTTGCAGTACATGCACTATGACTTGTTAACAGGACATTATGTCGGAATGCAAGAAGGTAATACGTACGTCTCCGCAAGCAATCTGGAAAGAAGCAACGACACGTTCGCCGACCTTGTGGTTCGTGACTGCAGAGCCGACCTCGTCAATGATACCACAGAACTCGTGGCCGAGGATGTCGCCCTTCTCCATCTCGACAACCGAGCCGTGTAGCAAGTGGAGGTCGGAGCCACAGACGGTGCTGCCAGTAACCTTGAGGATGACATCGCGGGGCTCGATGATCTTGGGCTTGGGGCAGTCAATGACCTCGACTGTGTTCTTGCCTTGCCAGACCAAAGCCTTCATCATCTCGCTGGAGTCGCCATACTTTGCTCTGTCTCTTGCAGGGTTGGTAACGTCCTGGGCGGTGATGGCGTTGTCGCCGTGGCCAATGGCCTTCTCAGCCAGGGATGCTGCTTGTGATACTGCTGCCATTTTGTGAATGTGTTTTGTGTGTTCAAGTATTGAATATGAACAAAGATGCAAAGTAAGTTGAGACCGGACTTGAACTGCGGCTTCCACGCTTATTTGAGCTCGAGAGCTCGTTCCTCATCTAATTGCATACGTCAGGTTGGTTGCATCGCTCCGACGTCACCATATTTTTGAGGATCGAGCTGCGGCTGGTATCTATGTTCTAGTTTCGGTTTCAGTGTTCGTATGAACTCGTTTACGCATCTTCGTACACCTCGTTTAATATATATCAAGAATTGCCGAGTAGCTTACCATCCAAAGCTGGGTGACCTGCTAACTTAATCCTAGAGTCATGAACAGGTACGCGGCTCTGCGCGGAAAACCTTGGATGTCACCTCCAGCCTCAAACCTTCTGACATCATCCATCTTGATCGCGAGCCCCGCGACGCGGGGCACTTCGCGTGGGAAAAGTGGGGCATCGACACCTGTCAAGCATCGTTCTTGAGGCTTGGTGATCCCTGCAATTGCAACCGACTATGTCTGCACCGTGAAGTGATTCGCTGTTTTATGATATCTAGTGGACCGTGATACTACTTCCTTGGTCGTTGAAAACAAATTGTTTGAACTTATACATGAGAACAAAGGAAACCTCCGTGTGCCCTGCCTGGCCTGAATAACAGTTCATCTGATATCCCTAGCCACAGACATTGAAGCCGACGGGACAAGCTCCGAAGGATTGGATCGTGTCGGTCATGTCATGATTGGAATAGGCATAAAGTCCTCGTTCTCGTAACAGACTGGTCAGATGTTGTGGCCAGCTTGCTTGTTCTTCTTGAAAAGAGGCAGCTGGCGGGAAGTCGAGACGAGTTTGTTCATCTCCTGAACACCTTGCTGAGTCATCATATACGAAAGCTTTGCTTGCTCTGCTGCCTGCATTGCAGCGTACATGTTTCGCTCAGCTTCCACAGCGTTGGTAACTGTATCGAGCATGACTTGAGCGAACGAGGTCATGCGCTCCTTGCGAACAAGATCGGCTTCCTTAGAGGCTTCCTGACGAAGAGTAAGCCCCATCTCCATTAGCGTGACCGTGTCGCATTTTGCCTTTTCCATGTCAGCGTCTGATTTTGAATCGATAGCACCATCCTTGTGCTTCGAGCTTGTACGACAATGTGAAGATGCGTCTCCAGGAGTTTCTCTGGTGGCATTCTTGTCAACCAGAACGGTCTTCTCCTTAGATTCTGGCGGTGCAGGCTTTGGAGGTACAACCGGCATCCCGGGCAACTCAGGTAAATTGGGAACAGTATGCATAGTGGGTATAGTGGGAATAGCAGGCACATCCGGTACCTCGACCTCAACCGACTTTGATTTGCGGCTTCCCACCGAGAATCTCCTGCCGCCACAACCAGGAGTTGGTGAAACGTCTCTTTTGCCAGTCAAGAAACCCTTGAGATTGTTCAAGACGGATTTTCCCTTTGATGTACTTCTAGGTCGAGTTGGTGGGAAAGTGCCATCACGAGAAATCTCGATTGGTCGTGACGAGTGACGGGATATTCTGATATGTCCAATCGATGCGCGTTGGCTCGCTTCTGTCTTTGCGCTAGATTTCGATTTGACGGTACCATGGTCTGGTAGTTGATGCCCCGTACTGGGACGGGCTATGGGTGTCATGCTACGAGAGAAGGTAGGCGGAAGCGCTGAGCGGCCACTTCGAGCAGTACTATAGGTCTCAGACACCATTGTTTGACCGCCGGGTGGTACACTGCGGTCTTTGATGGGAACAGGTGGAGGCTCGGGACTTGCGGTCTCGGACGCTCGATAGGTGTTTAAATTTGGTGTACTTGTGGTTTTACGGCGAACGTCTGGCGGGTGAAGAGCAGAGGTCTTGCGTGCTTCTGAAGCTGGCGTAGGCAGCATGTATGAAGGAACACGATCGTTACGCGCGCGTAAAGAATTCTGCGCGCCATTCCTGGAGGTCGTTTTGGGCAATCTTGCTGTGTCAATGTGTGGTTTGGACGTTGCAAAAGCGCGCGAAGACGTGTTTCCATCTGAAGAAGCACCCTCGAATCTTGAGGGAGGCATGGTGCTGTTATCCTTCTTGCTCCCACAGTCCGATTTGTCGCTGTCTTTGACAGTCTCAGGGTTGTGATCGCCAGCTCGGTCGGAAGGCTTGGTACTGAGTTCGGTGATCGATTGTTCGCTCTCCTCCGAAATCTTTGAGAAAGCCTTGGGTCGTACGGAAGGCGAACTCTGCACAGTTGGTGAGTCCGGGACCTCCGTTGGGCTAAAACCAAAGTCCGCAGGCCAAGAAACACGGAACCCGTTCTCGCTGGGCGACGGCAGATCGAATTCGGCCTCTGTAGGAGCTGTTAAACTTGTTTGTGATCTGCATGAGGGTGTACGAGCTCCTTCTCCAAAGATGAGTTCATCGGCTTCTTCAGAAATGCTCAGTGTCGATCCAACGAACGAGCTAGACAATAAGCTCCCTGAGAGTTGTTTAACTCTCGTATACTCGAAAACATCCTCAGAGGCACGATCTTTATCGCCGAAGATCAGTCTGATGGGGCTCAGTTTGCTCTGCTCTGAGGGAGATGGAACTCTTGGTGGCAAGTTACGCACAGCCGAAGTAGAACCTCCATTAGATGATGTTTCGACGAAGTGGTCTTTGCGTCTTGACGAGCGAGCACTGCCGTGATCCAGAGTAGCGAGATCTGCCGGTTTTTCTAAGCGTCGCCCAGCAAATGTCAAGATCTCGTCAGCAACTGGCGATCTTGAGGTCAAACTAGGTGAACTGCACACAATCAAAGGTGTACTCTTGGCTGATGGAGTCCCGGCGATAACCTTTTGCGAATCTTCACGGACAGAATGTTGTGGTACAGCGAGAGAAGTAGTACTGGCCGTTGTCTGAATCGTCTGTTGGGCTCTGGGTCGCGAGAAACTGTATGCAGCAGGCGTGTACTTGTGTTCTTGGTCTACGGAAGATAAAACATTTCCCGCAGATATTCCGATTCCCAGACCAACATCGTGGTTTCTAGGTTCAGGTGTTTGTAGCGAAGAGGATCTCGGCGGGTGCCTGTTTAAATCGGCAGAGCTAGTCACTTTGTGCGTTCGACCAGCAAGCTTGAGCGAAGAGACGGGTGAGACAACACATGGCGAGTCAACGCTGGAAGACACAGAGTCGAGGATTGGAGACACGATAACAGGACTGTTGTGAACAGATGTGCGTGGCAGCTTGCTGGAAGATCTGAGCTTCGTGCTTGGAGTTCTGTTCGGCGCTGGATTTTCACGGCGAGGGGTCGATCGCTCGTGGGAGAGAGCTCTCTGTTCGCGCTCCTGTGGAGTGCTAGGGGTCTTGGACAGTGATCTGTCGAGATGGCTAGTCCCAGCTTCAGCGAGTCGAGCCTCCGTGGTTTTCGTCTTGGTAGCCGGAGAAATTTGGCTACTTTGGCGGAGTGATTTGGAGGTCGACCGGGGAGATGGTCCAGAAGCATTGTAGTTCAATTTGTCCCTCAGGATCGTTTTTGAGGGTTGATGTAGCGACTGCCGTCGCGCAAAGGATGCATTCAAGCTTTCGTCTGAAGTGACTGCACTGAGGTGCCCACGAGTTGAAGTTCTTGAGGCTGTCCTTGTGCCATCAGGAAGCGCGGTCGGCGTTGGTGACGACGATCTTGTAAGATTTATTGACGACTTGGAATGAACCAGAAGACGTGAGCGGTTAGATGCTGGAGGTACATTTTCGTTGTTGATACGACTCCTGGACTCGAGACCACCAACTGGTATGCGACTCTGTTTGTTGACACTTCGGTCTGCCAGTGGTGTCATTGTGAAGACAGAGGTATGCTTTCAACCAGAGCCTGGTCGAATCTGTACGGGAGGCTTCGTTGAAGCTGATGTGTTTCAGCAGATTAGTATGTTATTATCAAGTATTTGGTTTCGTATCGGGCATCGAGAGGAGTCGAGATTATTGAAAGAGTGACATCGACATCATGGTAATAGCGAGGGAAAGAACGTAAGAGTGTAAGTTGAGGAAGTTGCAGAAAGTCAGTCGTGCTTCCTACCGTAATATCATCGTGCCACCGAAAAAGAGCAGCCACGACGATCAGGTCAACGTCGAACGCCCTCGTACTTTCCTCATCACGAGCGGTGTTTATATGTCAAAACAGGAAGTCTGGAGATGAGCAAAAGATGGCCGTTGGCGGGCCTTCAACGTTCGCTTGCTCTTGACCTCAAGGAACCAAATTCGCAACGGTCGCTGTAATTATAAGTAGACATTGATTGCCACATGGGATTAACTTGCTCCGACAGTATTCGAAGCCCTAGAAGAGGTCCCTGAAAGAATACCGAACCTGGAAATATACTCATTTTCTACCCTCAGAAGACGAAGTATGTCCTCTAGGCCCATTTGAGTAACGAGCAAGATCATATGGATTGCCAGAACGAATTTTGGTCATGAACGTCGTCCGTCTTCCTTGGGGTCGATCTCTGCCGACTAGAGATGCGATCACAAGTTGATGACTTGAGATGAAGTTTGTCAGAATGAGATCTGACCTGCGATCAATTCTCGATGGCCTGGTCCAAACACATGGTTCAGGAACACCTCCATCAACTGATGTCAGGATTGAGGTACTAACTAGCTCATGAATACAGCGGTATGAGTAAGCCTCAATGCGAAGAGCACGCCTTGAAGAGAGCGATAGAAGAAGGGAAATGAGGGAATAGTAGTGTACTCAACCGGCGCGCGGTCAGGAAGGAACGGCTTTCGGCAACGAAACATGCCGATCGAAAGCCGGCGGTGGTAGGGACACCCGCTGTATACTTTCTATGTGTTCAGTTGCTCTGCAGCAAAACGGAGGCCTTGAAGATCTCGAGCTCGATGGTCGAAACTTGGGGACAATAATTGGAGAGTATGGCATCTTTCTTTGTGCTGACACCTCGTGTCGTTTGGCGAGCAGGAGCGATGATGGGGATGGTTCGCTCACAGGTTGTTCGGTACCGACGCCCGTAGACAGCAAGCTATGACCAGCTTCATTTTCGAAATGTTTTGTTTGACAGCTTGTCGAGATTCGAGAAGGCTCCGAGACAGGCAGCCCCTTGAGAACACTGTGTTGTCCTCATTTCCATAAAAGAAAGATCAACCCTCCTTTCCTTCTCTTCAAACACCGACATCATGTTTGGAGAGAGCTATATCGAGCGCAAGATCGACTTCGTGACGGGTCATACTGGCAGTAATGTCTGGGACATCACTCGAGTGACACTGGTCGCTCCGGTAAGACGCAGTCCTCTCCCTCAGCCGCAAATAGCAGGTAAAGCGTTGACGAAGATATCTAACTCGCTATGATAACAGGCTGCTGCATTGCTCTGGGCTGTTCTCCAAACCAGACAGAAATTTTTCGACCCCTATACTCCATCAGCATATCTGGCTGATTTCTTGCTTCAAGTTGGGGCTATTCTTTTTGCTGTCACGGCGTATGCTGACAACCCTTCTGTGTTGATTGGATTCCTCTTGATTCCAGCAATTGGTACTCTTCTTAATGGCGACAACCTTGAACACAGATTCAACAAGCCTGCAAAGCCTCCTGTCAAGGAAGATGATACCGCTGGACCCCCTGAACCTGTTGATCCGGTCCCTGTTAAGCCTTTCATCACCACTTACAGAGGTGCCATGATGATCATCACTTGTATCTCTATCCTGGCTGTGGATTTCCCTGTATTCCCTCGTCGTTTCGCAAAGGTCGAGAACTGGGGTGTTTCTCTTATGGATCTCGGTGTTGGTTCCTTCGTCTTCGGTGCTGGTCTGGTTTATGCTCGTCAGGCACTTAAGGAAGAGGACGAGGACGCACCCAAGGTCCCCTTTGCCATCAAGATGAACTCTGCAGTGATGCATTCTTTGCCTATGATTGCTCTCGGATTTCTTCGTCTTTGGACCGTTAAGGGTCTTGAATACCAGGAGCACGTTACCGAATACGGTGTACATTGGAACTTTTTCTTCACTCTCGGACTTTTGCCAATCTTTGTCACCATTCTCCAGCCTGTCATCAAGTACATCCCCTCTTACAGCGCTTTTGGCTTTGCGCTGCTCGTTCCCTACGAGATGCTGTTCACCTACTCCGACCTTGGTATGTTCATGTTCATGGCACCTAGAGACGACTTCATTTCAGCCAACCGTGAGGGTATCTTCTCTTTCCTCGGCTACCTCTCCATCTTCATCGTCGGACAGGGCATTGGTATGGAGGCACTTCGTCGCGATGTCAACGCTGCCACTCCCATCACACAGAACGATGAGTGGGTCGCTGAGATGCTCGGTGGGACAGACAGCTTGAAGGAGGTCCGCAAGACTCGTGAGCACAACTCGATGATCAAGCTTGGCAAGTGGACTGGTATCTGGATTATTACTTACGTCTTCTTGACATGGCACTACGGTCCTCGCTTGACTGTTTCCCGCCGTCTGGCCAACCTGCCTTACCTAGCATGGGTTGCAGCTTTCAACTGTGGACAACTCCTCCTCTTCCGCGTCATTGAGGGTATGCTTTTCCCCTTTATTTACTCTTCTCGCGACAAGAAGATTGAGCAGGAGCGAGTCAAGAAGGCGACCAGCAAGGTGCTCAACGCCTTCAACCGCAACGGATTGGCAATCTTCTGCCTTGCCAATGTTTTGACTGGTGTTGTCAACATGACCATGCCTACACTGGACATGAACGATTACCAGGCCATGGCAGTGTTGATCAGCTACATGGGCATCTTGACTGGTGTTGGTTTGTTCTTGGACCAGCGCAACATCACCATCAAGCTGTAAATAAAGGATGGTCCAGGTGTAGATAAGATAACTTCAACAAAACGTATAGACTCATTTTGAATTTTTGATCATTTTGCCAAACGACATCATCTGAGAGATGCTAGCACATTTAGCAATTCGTGGCGTATGGTTGATGATTGTGATGAAGGTTGGTCGAAGAGCAGGGTGACAGGTTCGGCTTGATCGTCATGAACCCTCCAAACTTTCTCGAAGTCCAGCCCCTCACTCTGCTCTTCGCATCTCCAACAAAACAGAACCAATGTGACTTTCAAGATCATGCCCTCGCCGCCAGCAGCCAAAAGGCGCCGCGTAGACTCCCTCGGCATCCACAAACCCTTCGTCTCGCCATTAAAGCGTAATCCCACAGCCACCACCGACCAAGCAACAACCACCACAACTTCAAAACCATCCATACGAGCAACAGGTCCTCAGGCGCCAACAACACCATACACACCCCTCCGCAGCAGCAATCTCAAACCCTCTACACCACTATCTCACCAAGCAAAAACCAACCACGATCCAGAAATTATACAAGCACAACACCATCTCCGCGCTCTCGAATCCCAAGTCCGCAGCCTGCGCAGTCAAAACTCTGTTCTCCAACAAGCTCTGGATATCCCTGTCCCCCACTCATCCTCGCAACAAACACCACGTCTAGTGCGTCTAGAACAAAAATGGCGCAAAGCAAGTCAACAAGCAGCCGAAGAGGTCTTTTCCTCGTTTTCACAGAACATAAAAGATAACGGGGGCTACACTGCCTTCCTCAAACAACAACAAAGCAATCAAGCCAGAAACTTCTTTGACGATGGGGAGCAAGAAGTAGGAGATGAGGAAAATGAAGAAGAGTGGAGAGATGAAGATGGGGATTGTTTGACGCAAAGAGGGAAAAGACAACGTAGAGAAGAGATTGACGCTAAGAAACAAGGGAAAGAGGTTGAGGCTGAAGAGGAAGAGGAAGAAGAAGAAGAGGAGTTGACATTGGGGAGTATGTTGCACGTCTTGAACATCCCTTTTGAGGATATCGGGTGGGATGCTGAGACTCAGGCGTGGAAGTGATGCACAGCCATCGGCTCTTTGCTTGCCCTTCGTTGCTATCTGGGCACCTCGCAGAGGAACAAGCTGCCACACCAACCGAACATGAGAGAGCATGGCCATGCTGCACATGATAAACAGGATTCACGATTGACGATAAACACTTTTTGCTATTAGACATGATACCCCAATACAGCTTTTGATTTTCCTTTCGACCATCCTCCTGGCTTACCCATTCTTCACATACAGGACCTAAATCACCGTTTTGAACACGACTGGACTAGAATATTCTGAACCCCTACTTGACGAAATCACTGTTGTGCTAGGGGAGTATGTTGATCAGTGCAATGTTCAAGTGCTTTCTTATTTCGGTCAGCCTTACTTGAATTATGACCATGTACTACTTTTGAGAATGATCGAGCTGAAAGCTTTCCCATAGCAAGGTAATCTGCCAATCATGTCTCACGGTATGGAAGGGATATGAGAAAAGGCAAGGTCAACCGAAGCACAGGGATAAAACGAAGCTGCAGCCATCACAACATCACAACCCTTTGCTCGACCTTCCATCTGCACGTTCAGTTATCATCCTCTTGAAAATTCCTAGCTCAAACAGTCATGCTAGATCCAACATCTTCGGTTACGATGTCAGAGTATACATCCCAGGAAGCTGAGCCAAGGACGCCTTCAAGGTCTTGTATCGATGCAAACATGGGAAGCCATCCTGCGCAAGAGGTTCGTCGAGAGAGTCGAGTTAGCACTCTTCGAGTCGATACCCGCGTGGCAGAAACTCTGCAGTCAGCATCAAGGAGAGTCTCACCGTCTGGAACAACAAGTGATTCGCCAGCTTCGTCGACATCAAACCACAGTCGACAAGACTCCACTGCATCATACACACCTTTGCGCAGTGCCAGAGGATCACTTTCGTTGGGTGTAAGTTGATGATGAATGCTTGAAGATCGATATGCGAATGACTGACGATACACATAGGGAACCGCGCATCATTCAGTCCTGTCGCGAAGATCTTCGTTGTCACAATCTGGCATCAGTAGAGAAGCCTTGGCACTACCGCTTGCAGATACAGACACGCTTATCCTTGTGCCGGAAGCTGTTGCAAACGCAGAGGTCGCTGAGGTTGCAGAGAGCCCGACACCACAGAGGCAAGCAGAACCTAGACCTACCTCTCGTCGGCGAAGGAAGTCTCGTCGACATCGGGAAATACGTAACACATCAATCATGACAGGTATACTTTGTGTATTACTTGTCGCAGCATTGAGTATGTGTGAGTAGACAGTCCTTTCATCCTGCTGGATGCCTGAGCTGACAAGTGACAGACGTGGCAATGGCGATACCCAGAGTCAACGATATTCCCTCCAGCGTGCACGTCTTCATAATTGGGACGTTTGTTGTGGTGGCAGCATTTATCCTCCTCTTCTCGATCCGTTTGCGTAGAGCCATCAGTCGACAGAAGTTGGAAAAGTCTCAGGGTGACGATGCGCGACACGAGCAGTCGCGGGCTGGTCGACACACAGAGACTGAAGAGAGCCTGATTCCGAACAGTCCAATCATGGTGCAGTACGAGGCGGATGAAGATGTAGAGAGAGCTTCACAAGACTCGACGGTCCATGTTCGATCTCCACCGCCAGCGTATGGTAGGTGGAGAGGCAGCTATCGTATGGATCCTGCTCTTTTGCATTGGAGACGAGTAGGAGGTGCTGAGGACAGCGAGGAGCGCAGTAGTGTCGACACAGCGCCGCCGATGTATGCTTCACCATTGAGGCCTACTCAGACTAGGCAGGACGGAGCGGTGGGAGTAGCTGAGATGGTCGAAGTCGGTCGGACGTGCTAGTTGCTCTTGTTCATGACTTATAACTTTATGTCTCGTTATGCAACCAGTCGCATCGATTGTTGCCGCAGTGAAACATCGCTCGGACAGAGTGCCATTGGATGCAGTCACATGAAGAAGACAGATTCACATGAAGAACACATGAAAATGTGCATGAGAGAAGAGGTGAAGAGCGCGAAGAATGGCGGCGTCATTGCCAAGATTCACATGCGTGGGGTGCCTCGGCTCCCCAGACTTGGTATGCACGCATCTTGAGCTCTCAAGTCGTCCCTTCCTTCTCTTACACCATCTAATACCTATACTCGAGCACTCAAATCTTCTTCACTGCTACATCCGGCTCTAATATCTCTCCTCGAACAGCTTCTGAGCCACTTTTCGCCCGAACCATCACAACAACAGCACAATGTCACTCGCAGACTGTACGCCTCTCTCTACTGCCTACAAACACCCCAATACTAACACAACACCTCAGCCAAGTTCCCTTCCTCAGCCGCCTTCGACGACATAAACACCGCTTTCCAAGATGACGCCGAGCGCAAAGACGCAATAAAAAAAGGCGGTGCCATCTTCGCCTTCACACTCAAAAACTCCTCGGGCGCTCAAGAATCCTGGCACATTGATCTCAAAGAGAGCGGCAAAGCTGGCAAAGGAACCGCCCCTGATGGCAAGAAATCTGCAGTTACTTTGTCGCTGAGTGATGCCGATTTTGGGAAACTGGTCAAGGGAGAGGCGAATGCGCAAAAGTTGTTCATGAGTGGGAAGTTGAAGGTCAAGGGTGATGTTATGAAGGCTACGAAGATGGAGCCGATCTTTAAGAAGATGCAGACCAAGGCAAAGCTTTAGGTTACGATATTTGGGGGGTTGCTGCATCTGAGCATCAGTTCATGCGCATGGCGGCTGTGTTTTGACTAGGAGTTTGGATACCTTGGGAATGAAAGACAATGACATTATACTTCACTGCATATGCTACTTGGCTTCGTGATACTGGTTGTTGTGATATGGACGAACTCAGAACATGATTGATCGATACCATTGACACTATCTACCCTGATATTGACATATAACGTAGCCTACGTTCCCAATACTGTTCCTTGAGCGGACTGAAATGATGCTGCATAGTTGAGATATGCAGGTTCAGGCTGGCCAGGATCCAGAGCCAGAAGTGTCGTACACACGGTGACACCTGGCAAGCTCATGTGTACTGTAGTGATCACGATAAGAGTAGACTGTCTTTTCCCAAGATTAGCTTCCGGTAGAGACTCTCAAGTCATACACACATACCCATCAAGGTTGCTGGAGCCTTACAACAACCGTTCCTCATTCAACTCTGCATACATCGCCTCATCGAGGCTTGCTTGCAATCTCCCTGACCTTAGCGATGTCGTTCTCGCTGAGTGCCTTGATCTCGTTCAGAATCTGTTGCTGGCGCTCTGCCTGCCTCTCAGCAAAGTGCACAGCCATCCAGATTCCAATGGCCGAGGGAAGTAATGTTACTGGGAAAGGCTTGTTGTACTTGGACGTCAAGACCCTATCTGTTTCAAAGCAATGTTAGCTAAAGCAATCGAGAAGGAATGCCAATGCGCGCTAGAGACCTCTTATCCGTGCCCAGGCAGACATTGTCGCAAGTCTATTCGTAAACGAGTCTTGGGTATCCTTGATGTTGTGCGTGACTTCAAGAAAACAGACCAATCAGATGGTCTCGTGCTTGTTGTCACAAGTCGGTATATGCAGCTTAGTTGTACAGAAGAGGGATGTCGTGCGAGACGTCGTTGACCTACGGACCGATCACTAGCGCCATTTCGGCTATCAGACTGCTCTCAATCGGGCGTCCGGACCGTGTTTTGCTTTCTGATGATCCCCAGACTTACCTTTCCCATGTTTTGTCACTCATGCGGGGGTGCTCGAAAGCTTGACGAACTTCAGCTGATCATCTCTAGATGACAAAGCAACGGTACATATCAACGGAGTTGTTGGAGTGGCAGCCTACACAGAGGCTTGAGTCTTCTGAGTCATCGTCCTTGTACGGTATGTCCACACGAGAGGCTTTGTGAATGATGTCGAGCGAGCCGTCGCTGCATCTGAAGGCACATGAAAGAAGAACGGGAAACACGGCATGGGGTAAGCTCATCGAGTAAAAGCTGATACTCAAGTGATAAAAGAGCCCCGAAGACGGCCAAGGTTGATGTGGGTAGAAATGTGGAGGAGAGCTTTGTGTTTTCCGTCGGAAAACTACGCACGCCAATGCTGCTCCATCAGGCCAAGCCATGCCCGTCTCCGTGACCGGCGAAGAGCACAAAGAGTACCTTACGTGGGGAAAGTCGTTCTACTGTCAGAACTTCCAATCGGGAAAGCTGTTGTTGTGAAGTATTGACTGCGATGCTGCACGAGGTCAAGTATGTACAGAGTATTGTTTGAAATCAACCTTGTAGGGCTAATCTTGCGATCGTAAGCGTTGTCGTATGATAGTCATGGACGGTTTGCTGATGCAAAAGCCATGCAATAAACCTAGTACAGACCACCGGCAGCACCTCCTATTAGCGATCACCACTGACTAATCTTCGGGCTATACCTACTGTTAGAGGTCTTGTTGAGGAATGCTTTCCTTTTGATGCTTAGTGGACAAGAACACGTTTGTGAGCCAAAACAATGGTGAGAATGAGACTTTCCTTCAGTATTCGTCCCGAGCATTTCGAGTCCCTTTGCAAAATCTCTCATTACATCCAGAAAAGCAGATTTGGCACGAGGTAAATTGGTATGCTGTTCATAGACACAGGAGATGTTGAGAGGCATCCGAAGACGGGAAACACATGCGGAAAGCGCTTGCCGATCGGACGTTTCTCCAGAGACTTTTGTCGTCAACCAGGGCGCGGCATCCCGTGTCCGCATCCGGCTAAAGCATCTTACACCTTCTTACGCCTTTCATGTCAAAAGCAGGGCGCGAATGATCGAGCAGGGCGTGGCATGCGATCGGAAAAGGTGAGTCAAAAATTTTTGCAGAGGAAACAACCACATAAGTAAAAGACGTGCTCTCACGTCAAGGTAGATCCACATACTCGCTTTTCACCTTCCATCGCTCTTTACCTTCCAGCTTGAGCAGTAAAATCTTGATACATATATAATTGTACCTCGTCCACATACAGCAACTATTTCCGCATCTCAAGTCTCCCATTGGTCGCCCTTCCTTCGGCTGAGTGCTTGTCGTATCTCGACTCCATCACCATGTCGTCCGCTTCGTCTTATGCATCATCCCACGGTGCCATGGCGTCCAAATTGCGCACGCTAGCATTGGGGTCGAAGCCTCACGTCAACATCATCCTGAACGAAGAACGCTCATCATACTCGACCTTGGATAAGCTTTCTGGCAAAGTCGAGATCGCCGTCCCTCACAGCACAAGATTCGATGAAGTTGGAATTCAATTTATCGGTTCGTTTCGCAGCATTGGTTAGCTTGTACGTGGTATCTAACTTACTTCAGGTACAACCAAGACATTCTTGGACAAGATGCCATCTACACCTGGCTTGGCTGGTGGACAGTCTGCCTTCCATCAATTCCTAAAACTCCGACAGCCCATCTCAGAGTCAAGCTATCCCCAACCGAGAGTATTCGAGCCAGGACGAACATACGAATTCCCCTTTGTCTTTGTTGTCCCTCAACAATTGCTTCCTCGTGTTTGCAAACACGAAGTGCATCACGAATCGATCCGTGATTGTCATCTACAGCTACCACCAAGCTTGGGCACAGTAACACCCCACGACGACATGGGTCCGGACATGGCCAAGATTCAGTATCAGATTGCTGCTCGTATCACCACGTCCAGCGAAATCGACGGCACACCTAAGCCCCTGGCAACAAGGATGAAGACAATCCGCATCGTCCCCACTGTGAATGAGCAGCCGCCAGTCAATGTCGTTGGCGACAGCGATTACATCTTGAGGTCTGAAAAATCCATCAAGAAGGGTATGTTCAAAGGCAAACTCGGTACTCTAGTCATCGAAGCAGAACAACCAAAGTCACTTCGACTCCCAAACCCTTACAACCCTGAAGAAACAACTATTAGCACAGTAGCAATCGTCAAATTACGATTCGACCCAGCTGTTGCAAACTCGCAACCACCACGTTTGGGAAGTCTAAACAGCAAGCTCAAGACAACAACCTGGTATGCTACTGGTGCACGTGTGGACTTTCCCACAAGGAAAGACTGCTTTTACGACCATAGACAAGGCTTGCATTCAGTAAGCATCGGACTGTCTTCACGCTGCATGGGAAATGTCGAGTGGGTCTCACGAACAGAGTCTGCATCCGCCGAGGAACAACTTGCCCGTCGCGACTCTGGCTTTTCACACCAAGAGGTTCCCAAATATCCGAGCCCTAGTACGAAATACAAGGGTGACAAATTCTGGACCGCGGAGATCATAGTGCCTGTGGCGCTGCCAAAGGACAAGCATTTCGTGCCCACCTTTCACAGCTGTCTTACCTCGCGCACTTACTCGCTGAATCTTTCACTCGGCATCCACTCAGCTGGCGTCGGCTTCCCTTCTGTAGAGCTAAAGCTTCCACTCCAAATCTCCACTGAGGGCAAGGGAGAAGTAGATGCCATATCACGAACTTCGTCAGCCGTCGAAGAACGTTTGATGGAAATTGAACTCGAAAATGAGCTTCTTACAGCAGAACACAGAGGCAGTTGGTCATACGACGACCTGGAGACCCCAGAACCTACTGACTTGCCGCCTGAGTATGAGGCATACCGTAGGCCTATCATTACCGCTGCTGGATAGGCATAATTGACAAAAAGGGAGGAGACTTTAAAGTCTGGGGTTTTGATCTGGCGCTAGCGTTTTTTTTTTTACTTTTTTTTTTGGTGTTTGATTTTCCTGTTCCAAAAGATACCCGCAGGTTACTGGTTGTGATGAGGCATGACTATTAGACAGACGACGTTCTTAATTCACGAACATATTACATTTCTCTAAGGACATCTCGAGCATGATTCCCATCAACTGTCTCCAACGACCTCAAGTGTTGGCAACGAACTTCGTATCTCAACGCGTGAAGAATGTGGGCCCAACTCGGCTAGATAGGTAGGTAGTTGTTATCTCTCGGTTCTTCCCTCCATACAATGCTCCTTCCTATATGGTCGCTCCATTGCCTGATCATCAGGAATAACCCACCTAGACGTGTGGAAGGAAGAAGGATTGTAACCGCCGCGATAAGGCTTGTCTATAATTAACCGAGGCCGATCCCAAGATCAGCATACTTCCCTTTGATGTAACGTCGCAGGTCCTGACAAGACGGAGCTTCCTTCATCCTTCTCGAGTCAGACTCGAATGCTGGACTGACACTACACTCTTATACCATTCCTCATCCATCATGAAGGTCAAATTACCACTCGCGGAGCATGGCTTTCCCACCTCTGGAGTTGTCAGAGCCGTGATTGAATGCGTTACTGCAGATGTCTCGGACATTGAGCAGTTCTACAACATTACCTTTTCCGAGACACGAATCAATCGCTTGAAGGGCTATTACCGCGAGAAGTTGACCGAGCTGAGAACTGTCGAATATCTGTTTCTGAATGCAGAAGACCGGACCGACTATATACTACTGGAGAAATACTTACATCAACAACTCGAAAGCCTTGGATCCTTGGAAACTTCACTCGAGGAATTGAAGCCCCTCATCGAGCCATTTGCATCTAAATTGATTGGGCTTATCGAACGCAGGCAAAAGGTGGTACCAACTACAGGCAGATATGCAGCAGATGTTCTTTCGGCTGTGTCTGAGGATGTAGGAAAGAAACTTCGTACGATCAGAGACAACAAACCTCAGACGAAAGATCCTGCAGCTCGCTTTGCAGCCTTTCGCGCGGTCAAATGCGTAGAGGAACTCACGGGGGCGGTGGAAGAATGTATGCTTTTCTACAAGGGATATGATCCAGATTTCACGTGGTGGACGTCTGCCCCTTTCCAAGAGGTGATTCAGCAGTTGAACTCCTTCCAGACCGCTACGACGGCTACACTAGTCGAAACCCCTAATGGCAGCCCTACCGATGACATAGTCGGTCAGCCAATCGGACGGTCAGGTCTCCTGGCAGATCTCGATGCTCAATTCATCGCATACAGTCCGGAAGAGCTGATCGAAATCGCTGATAAAGAGTATGCTTGGTGCGAGACTGAAATGATCAAAGCATCCAAGGCACTAGGGTATGGTCAAGACTGGAAAGCTGCACTTGAGCATGTCAAGAATCTGTACGTTGAACCTGGTCAGCAAACGCGTCTTGTCCACGAACTGTCTGAAGAGGCAGTAGCGTATGTCAAACGACATGACATGGTTACAGTCCCACCTATAGCCGAAGAATGCTGGAGAACTCTCATGATGTCCCCCGAGCGACAAAAAGTCAACCCCTTCTTTCTTGGAGGAGAATCTCTCATTGTGTCATATCCGACTGACACAATGTCGCATGCAGACAAACTGATGTCTATGCGCGGAAACAACAGACCAATGTCGAGAAGCACCGTCTTTCACGAACTGATCCCTGGCCACCATCTCCAGATGCACATGATCGCGCGATACAGATCCTATAGAAGTCTCTTCACCACACCCTTCTGGATAGAGGGTTGGGCCTTTTACTGGGAGTTCATTCTGTGGGATCGTGGTTTTGCCAGCACTCCTGAAGAAAAGATCGGTATGCTTTTCTGGCGGATGCACCGCTGTGCTCGCATCGTCTTCAGTCTGAAATTCCACATGAATCAGATGACACCTCAGGAATGTATCGACTACTTGGTAGACAAAGTTGGGCATGAAAGAGCCACCGCCGAAGGTGAAGTCAGACGAAGCTTCAATGGTGATTACAATGCCCTATATCAAGCTGGGTATATGCTTGGAGCACTTCAGATTTATGCCTTGCGGAAGGAGATGGTGGAAAATGGCGATCTCACGGAAAAGCAATTTCATGATCGCGTGCTCAAGGAAGGAGAGATGCCTATTGAGATTCTTAGAGCATTGTTGCAAGACAAGAGACTGCATCCAGGTCATAAAGCAGCTTGGAGGTTCTATGATCTTTAGACTATGAACTGAGGCAAGCGCGATCGGCCTACAGCTATTCTCATGCTTCATTTGACCTTTGTCTATCTGGCTCACTTCAATACACTCTGAAGATAAGACCTAAGTACAGTTAAGAGATTCGAGACTCTTATATGCCCAACACGGCTTACGAGATTTGTTCCCCTCTCCATTACTATATTTTGATACGCTAAAGGCCCCCCGCATGTGGAGTTGGCCTATCAGTGGATAAATTGTCGGCCGAACCACTGGCACGGTAGCACCTCTCGACTAGATAATACACGAGGAAGATAACAACATCGAACGAAATACAATGTAACGTTACATGATCGTCGGTATGAATTCTTCTGAGGTGACAAACTCCTTGCATATAACCACTGTCTGCTTGCCTTGATTATTCCATCTGGGATTGTTACTGGCATGTCTTGTTATATCTGACGACCAACAAACGAACTCGAAAAAATGAAAGTCACCAAGTCGAGGGACAACCATGGTGTCGTCGAAGAGGTCATCGGATCTCGACCTAAAGTGCTTGATGATGTCGACAAGCTGCAAAAAGTGCATCAATACGACCCAAATCTTCCAGAAAACGAGGTACAGATCCTAGACGAGGCATTCAAGACTGGCAATGTCGAAAAGGCTCTCGAGATCGACGAGGCCTTCACCAAAGAATCACCATACGAAGCAGTACGTGCCGCTGTGCGAGAGACGGATGCTGAAGAAACTGCCAATACCGTGCGAGCATGGCTTCTAGGTTTCATCTTTGTGACTCTCTCGAGTGGCATCAATATGTTCCTGAGTATGCGCAGTCCAGCTATCACCATTCCCACTGTGGTCATTCTGCTGGTCGTATACCCATGTGGGCAGTTTCTTGCAAAGGTTCTCCCAACAAGGAAGTTTAAGACGTTCGGTATGGAGTGGACACTCAACACAGGTCCTTTTTCGATCAAAGAGCACACAGTGGTGGTACTCATGGCCAATGTCACCTACGGCTATGCTTACAGTACAGACGCCTTGCTTGCCTTGAAAGCAAAGTCCTTGTACAACCTCGACATGGGATGGGGATTCCAGCTTCTGTTCACTCTCAGCTCCCAGATCATTGGCATTGCTTTCGCTGGTATCTTCAGACGCTTTCTTGTCTGGCCTGCTGCTCTCATATGGCCTGCCAATTTCTCTATGACAACTCTGTTGTACGCTCTTCACGACAAGAGCAGGCCTGACCCTGCTAAAACAAACGGTTGGCAGATCTCTCAATATCGCTTCTTTGTCTATGTTGCTTTAGGTTCTTTTGCGTACTATTGGTTGCCTGGTGTCATCTGGCAGGGTTTATCGGTCTTCTCGTTCGTCACCTGGATCCGACCAAATAATGCCACTATCAATCAATTGTTCGGAGGGTTTACTGGACTCTCGTTGATACCACTGACCTTTGACTGGACGTACGTGACAGCATACCTCAACGATCCGTTACTCAGCCCAACATTCTCGCATCTCAATACTATTATTGGGCTTGGAGTGTTCATGATCATCACAACCTTAGGTGAGTTACCAGACTCCAGCTCTGATACGTTTTGAAGTTTAGACTGACAGGTTTCAGGCATCTCCTATACTGGCGCTCTTTACTCGGATTACTTACCTATTAATACTTCCACTACTTTTGACAACACGCAGGCAAAGTATAATGTAACCAAGATCCTCGGTCCTGGCTACACTTTCGACCTCGAGAAATACCAGAAGTATTCTCCGATGTTCCTCGCACCTACATTCGCCTTGAACTATGGTTTGAGTTTTGCCGCTTTGATAGCTGCAATCGTGCATACCATCGTCTATCACCGCAGTGAGCTCTGGACTCGACTCCGTCTTGCAAGAAAGCAGGAGCCTCACGATGTCCATATGCGACACATGGCCAAATATCGTGAGGCTCCTGACTGGTGGTACGGCCTGCTGTTTCTCATAGCTACAGCCTTTGGACTTGCTACAGTACTAGGCTACTCCTCTCAATGCCCGTGGTGGGCATATTTCGTCTCGCTGATCATTGCACTCGTCTTCATTGTCCCATGTTGCATGATCCTCGGCATTACCAATATTCAGCTGTCGCTCAATGTCATTTCGCCCTACCTTGCTGGTTTCATGATTCCAGGACGCCCAATTGGAGTCATGATCTTCAAGGTTTACAGCACGATTGTTCTGGGACAAGCACAAACATTCAGTCAGGATCTCAAGTTAGCGCATTACATGAAGATACCCCCTCGCATTACTTTCTGGTCGCAGGTCGTCATGTCTCTGTGGGCCTCTATTGTTCAGGTGGCAGTGATGAACTGGACTCTGAGTAACATTGACAATGCCTGTGCTGCAGACCAAGCTTCTCACTTTACATGTCCAAATGGTCGCACCTTCTTCTCATCGAGTATTACTTGGGGAGTCATTGGTCCTCAGCGTATGTTTGGACCTGGCTCCATTTACGCTGCGTTCAACTGGTTCTGGTTGGTTGGTGCATTACTGCCTATCGCATTTTACACCTTGACAAAAGTGTTCCCAGACAAGCGACTACGCTTCTTGCATGCTCCAGTCATGCTCGGAGCTATGTCCTGGCTCCCGCCTGCAACACCGCTCTCCTTCACATCTTGGGCGTTGGTGGGTCTAATCTTTAATTGGTGGATCCGTCGACGATGGAATGGGTGGTGGAGCCACTATAACTATATCACGGCTGCTGCATTGGACTCTGGACTTATCATCTCCACGCTAATTATCTTCTTCGCTATCACGTTGCCAGAAGTTGAAGTGCCGAACTGGTGGGGTAATGTGGGTGTCTTTGAGACTATGGATGCATTGGGTACTGCAATTAGGAAGACCGTTGTTGATGGCGAGACTTTTGGACCAAAGACATGGTGATGCATAAGAAGATTGTCAGCTCTTGTTTAGATTGTTGTCAACTTGATAGCTGAGACATCAGAATGCTCAGCGAACATCTCTGCAACTTTTTTGTGCACCATACCGATGGTGAGACCTTTTCCGTTCCGAATCATTGGATCTCGGAGCTCAGTGGTCCGACCAACATAATCTTTAGTCTCATCCCTTTCATCCCAAATTGTGGCTTCCAGAGCTAAACAAGGTGGTTGTGAAAGTAGCATATTTGAGATGTTTCGTCCTTGCCCAGTCATTTCTCGAGACTTCAGATCAGGTACATCTCGCCTCTCAACAATCATGTATGCGCAATGTCTGTTTCCGCTTGCTTCGAAGCTGAGATGCCAGTAGCGGAAATGGTAGCTTTTGAAGATTGTTTGTATGACTGGATTTAGTGCTGGTGGCTGCAATGCTGATTCTGTTTTGTCACCAGTATCACTAGTTCTTAGGTCTTGGGTCCATGTTCGATCAGTGGTGGCATCTGGGAGCAGGAAGAGAGCTCGTTGGATTGATGCAGACCGCTCGATACTCAATTTCCATTGTTTGAAGACCTGGGTGCAGCGTAGTAACTCCCGCAGTATGTCTGCGTTGTTGTATACGCGTGTGCAGCGAGGATCCTCTTGATATCTGAGGGGCGCCAGGTCCTCTAGAAGACAGAGGAGTATCGGCTCAAGCAGCTCGGGCAAAGCGAAGACACGCTCAGCAGATGTCGACATCATTCGTGATATGTCTGCTACTTTATTGCAATGTTCAATGAAAATAGCCTGGAACCATTTGAACATGGTGGTTGTCCACACATCGTCGACGTCAGGAAAGGCCAACGCACAGACCAAGCGTTCATTCCATATCAGTAACCTCTTATGAACAGCTCATGTTCTCAGCCTCGCACTTTGACAGGGAATTTTTAATCATCCAAACTATGAGCGACCTTACGAAATCCGAATCGACTGTTGCCGATCGTGTTCATAGTTGCCATTACTGTTGATGATAGTTGATCATCTGCTGAGTGGAGCGAGCTTGTGTACGATACAGCGATTATATGGACACTCAGAAGCCGTGAGCCCTCACATACTCCCTATGCATGACATCCGCCAGTGCACCGCCCAAAACAACGTCTATGGGAGCCCAATAAGCCCGCCCCCAGCGTAAGGCATATATGCGTAGTGTCCAGCTCGCCACACCAGCAAGCATTCCAAACCCAACTTGCTGGCGTACCATCTCCTCGTCTCGCCCACGCTCGCGTTCCTGACTCCAACGTGGGATGAATCTTCTATACTCGACACCTAACGCTTGACAGAGCAGCACAACCGGTGTGACGACCAAAACTGATTTATGCATAGCCATCAACGTCCTAGGGTTTTGGAAGACATTGGCCGAAGCCGTGAAGCCAAAATCGTTCAATTGCCGTACATAAGCCAGTGCACTGGCTCCAGCTACGAAAGGCGCTATGTCAACGCATGCTGCTTCGAGATCTTGTCTTTTGATCAATGGTGGCAGGTTTCCGACGTATTTGGTGGGGTTCTGGCCGGGTACAGGGTGCCAGGCATTGTCCTCTGCTGTCTTGCTTGTCCAGAAGAAGAGGGAGCTTAGACTCATAGTGATGTGATTCGTATCCTTGGATCGCTTGTGAGATATGCTTAGCCCTGATGCAGTCTAGATTTTTGACTGATTTCTGTGAGAATCCGAATGCAGTGTGATACAAAGGGCCAGGAGGATCAATTGGCCGTCTTTCAACAAGTGCCTCGAAAGAAGATACAGGTTCGCAGCATCTGGGACGAGTTCGACTTGATGTCCATCTTACTTCAGCTTAGCGTGTCTTGGCACCGTCATTGACTTCATGGTAGGAACATCCATAGTCGACAGCAGTGTCTGACAGCTTCAATGCTACACCCACATCTCTTGCAAGGCAGGCCTTGAGCAGGACAGACTTGATTCAGACATTTGTTGGCAAATGATTGCACATGTTCATCCTGGAAGGTCGTCGCGTTTTAACTCATCCCTCTCCTTGTGCTTCACATCTGCTCCGTCTCTTCTGATACCCTCGAGATTAACAGCACCTTCCTGTCGCTACAAAGACCAAAAATATCTGTTTCAGGACGTTCCGATTCACTGAAGTGCAGATGTCCTGGTGGCGTCCTCGCTAAGGGCATGACAGACGGTTGACCAAACCCTGAGCAAGCCTCTTCTACGGCATATTTCGAGCTTAGGGATGCTCAGAAGAGATTCAGGCTACCTGTATCGAGGCTTTTGAGTTGTGGATAGTGTGGTTTGAGTCGTGCTTGTCTGCAGGTGATTGCATAAGGCCGGCCCTACAACAGCTCACAGACTGCATCATTCAATTTAACTTGTCCTCATGCTTGGGGCTCATCCGTGAGACGGCTCTTCTGGAGTGCTTGATCAGAACTTTGTGCCACTTGCCCTCGCTTCTTGTCAACATCGATGCCGAGCTCTTTAGCTCGCGCCCTCAGGTCCCTGATGCTCGTGACATCCTCAAACCCCTGAGGCATTATGTCTCCTGTCTTTTTGTAACAGGAACTGCACAAGTATTGCTCAGTGTTGCTCAAGCCCTCAAAACTGGTGCCACCCGGCGCGTGGTCAGGAGTGTCGTTGACTTTACGCCACCATAATTTATATCCGTGCTTTCGCTGAAATCGACAGGCCACACAGTGGTGTTCAACTTTCTCGGGATAAAGTCTCGGTCTGTAAGTCTTCCAAGGCAGCTGATCACGGACCCAATCATGATAGAAACACCACTGGAAAAGTCTTCTCCAGAGCAGAAAGGATTTCGATTGTTTGCGCTTCTCGTGGTAGACTCTGTCTCTTACGCGTTCTTTCTCTCGAAGTTCTGGGTCCTGACGCCTTCGAGCCGTAGTAATCGTCCCTTGCTCTATTTTTCGTGAGCGCCATTCCGGGTTCGTGTAATATTTCAATTCATCGGATGGCCTTGACCACTTTTGGGACGTGGTAGATGTCGAAAGCAGACGGTTCTTGGTTGCTGGCCGAATTGCCAGTCTGATTAGTCCACCAGCTGCCCACAATTTTGAAGACATCGATGTATACCGGTAACGTAGAAGTCGGTTCCTTGAAAGTAAGGATACTCGAGTAGGAAAGGTGGGAAAAGCTGGAGGTGCGGCAAGTTTCCGTGATTAGGCGGTGAGATTCTGCCAGATTTGGATGCTTCGCTTGTCGTTGTTAACCAACGTGTCTTTAGTCTCTATGGTTTGGCTGTGCCTAACTCTTTCGCAAGAGCTGTAAATTCTTTCCAGCTTTTGGCATCCTCAAAATGCTCAGGGCACGCTTCATTCCAATTCAATTTCGCCCAGCATCGCGAGCAAAGATACTTTGCCGAATCAGACGTGCTACACCACCACAACCTAGCCCGATAATCTCGCACATTGCAACCTGTGCATAGATGTGTGATACGCTCAGGATATAGTTCTGGGCGGTAAGATTTCCATGGTAAATCTGTCTGAGCCGACTTTGATCTCTTGATCCAATCCAACAGTGTTTCACGTCTGCGAAAGTCTTCGTTGTTCCTGTTTTGTGACACACACTTCTTTGATTGAGCATTCGCCTTCTTATGGTACTCCGGATCTCTAAGTCGACGCTCTTTGCGGTATTCAGCGTTATGGTCTAAGTACCGTCTGCGAAACTCCGGATCCGTATGGTATTTCACGAGAGTCCGGTTATGATCTATGCGTCCACTAGAAAACAGACGTATGTTTGTAGCTCGAGTTTCCGCGAAGGTCGAGGAGCGAATCGGGTTCCAGAGACTTGCAAGCATAGTTGCGGTCATTATGAAGACAAAAGTTTGCCTTTCAGTGTCGGTCAAGTTTGGAAGGAAGCTGTAAAGTTGTTGCGAACAACATTCGCGAAAGAGGTCGATCGAAATTCTGCCAAGGCGGTGTCATCGCGCCCAGGCTCAAACAATGAGCGACCCTCGCTCTGAATGCTCTCATCTGGTCACCGTCCCTCCAAGATGCACTAAACAACAACAACGACTTCTCTTCAAAAGGAGTTGTCTAATATTTAACTTGAGAGCGCGTGTTTATTCGACAAAAGGCCTTGATTTCATGAGTATCTCCAGGTGGCTCCGTCACTTTCATACCGCAGACAGTTTGGCAAGTTGTCTTCAGCAATAGATTGTCACTCGTCTTTTCTCTATATGCGTTGGCGAGGATTATACATTTTTCGACATAAACACAGTGTTAATCTTCATGGTGCTCAAGCGCTGCCACACCCGGTGATACTTGTGCGATTGAAATACACGTCAATCGACTTAATGTGCAATACAGCATCCTTAGCAGGAGGTCCAAGTGTCCAGCTTCCATTGTTACTGTCTTGATGGTTAGCTTCGATTCGCATTTCAAGCGATCACGGTCATTATCACTCACGTCCACGAGTTCCACATCCAGGCTCCAGCTGTCCTAGGAACAAACTTGGTAAAGGTTTGCAAGAGCTTTCCATCGACATAGTAGTCTGTTCTTCCGGGGACCCAGTCGACACGATACTCGTGGTAACCAGCAGATGAATCGGCCACCGCACTGGCATTAGATAGCGCATTCGAGCCGTACCAATCCTGGTTCGTGAAGTGAACATGTGTGGTATCTCCAGTCTGAATCTCGATGTCGGACTCGTTGTTGTCATCGCTGTAGAAGAAGAACCCGCTAACGGTGCCCCAGACATTGGGAGTCTTTGCTACTGTACGCATACTGCCGTACATGATATCATTGGCGGCAGTCGTGATTTGAGCACTTCCACAGGGACTATCCTCCGTGCAATATGGTTGGCCTCCAGGTACGGTAAGAGTGAGACTACCGTCTTTGCCATCTACACCAACGAGGGATGGTTTCCAATATACACCATACGGGCCTCCGTTGCGGTTTGTTGCTTTGAGAGTGGAGGGAAGTGTCTTCCAATTGTTGACCGAGATGTGAGAACTGAAACCTCCTACTTTAGGAACTTGGTACAGGCAACCGTCGAAAGGTGCCGTCGGAGAAGTGTAACGCTTTTCAAGTGGAGAGGCATTGCTAAGAACAGTGAGACAAGCAATGCCGACAAGCCATAAAGCAGAAGTGCAATGCATTTTTTTATCAGAGGGACGATCGAGTTGTAAGAAAATGCCTGTTGCGATGATACCCATACCTTCACTGGGTAGCTACGGCATACTTCTTATACTCTTAATTTTCCGAGCGCTCAACGTGGTGGCCTCCATAAGCGACTCAGCTAGTCATGTTGAAGTACATACAGTTTGTCTGCGTTAAGCTTCCACGGACCTTTGACCCCACCAGCTCGGGTACTTTCATGGCTGTACCATCCCTGACTTCTAGACGGACAAACGAGGCTGGGAAGTCATAACAAACCAGTCAAAAATTACTTGAGCAGAATATTGCGACAGATAAGATGGTTGCGCTAGACGTTTTCATGACACGCTCCGTGAATGCGTTGAAAACCGGTGAACGCGTCCTGAGGCGTCACGTTCAGTCGTCGACGCGACCATCAGTCGTAAATACGAGAAGGTGCTGCAGACTCAAGTCTCGAGCTCGAGAAGTGGATATTGCAATTTATTTCGACTTTTTGTTGGGCGGTAGGAGCTGTCGGCATGTGTCGCAATGCAGAAGAAAGATGGATGCATGAGTTTCGAGAGGTCGCGGGCGGAGGTTGCGAAATCGTGGAGCTGACCACACCTCCGAGGATCCTTTTTCAGCTCTCCACGCCAGCCGCTTTTCATATCTCCCTTGTGGCCTTGAAGCCAGTCACTCCAATGTTGCCCTCCCTACCTACACCCCATTGGTTTCTTTCCTGGTTTTCCACCAACCTTCTCTTCAAACTGATCTCCATAGTTCGTCTGCCTCTCTTGCGTCCTTTCAGACCGTCGTCATTCCAGTCATAATACAATGCCCATCTGGGATGACCTTGCTCGTTCCTGTACATGTCCTCTTCTACAGCCAGGAAACCCTCAAAGTCATCGAGAGTTATGCTCGAATCTACAAACTCGTCCGTCCAGTCCCAAGGTCCGACCTTATGTGCTATACTGCCTGTGCGATTCGAGTACTTGAGCTCGAAAGTGTCGTTGTCAACATAAATCCAGTTGAGCATCGGTGGATCTTTCTGAATGGTTGTCACCAGGCCTCTCTCGGCAGGTGAGCGATCCTCATCTGGATACATGAGATAAAATCCAGTGAATGGATGCGAATCTCCGCGTTTTGGTAACCCCGTAACTCGATTTTTGGGCTCGATCCAGAGTTTGTTGTCGCGGACAACGACTATGCTGTCGTGTAAAATTTCACCTCGTCCTCGCGACCGCGATCCTTCGTCTTCTATGATCACGTCTATGTAGAATTTTGTTGTTCGTGATTCTGGATTCGCATTGGCGGCCTTTTCGTTTTCTTTTTGCTGATGAGATACGCCCTGGGCTACACCAGTCACTACGCCGACGCCTGTTGCAGCAACGACTGGCAGGGAGATGCCCAGGCCCATGATTACATCGAACACCATGATGATATGGTTGGTAGTCACCGAACCTTGTATGTGTCTGTGAGAATGGTCCAAATTGTTGCGTGTGAAGTCAAGTGAATAGATTGGTTTGCGTGCGACTTGAAGACTAGGTACTGCGTACAAGGATGTGCTTCGGGTAGCGTCATTGCACGGCCAAACCTGTTTCAAGATCCAGGGTCTCTTGAATGTTGACCATAGACCACAGGAAATCGTGATCTAATGAATTTGCGCTCTAGATCATTACATGATCACATATGCTGTCTTCATCGTATGGTGTGGTCATCCAGCCCAACCACTCAGCGCTAAGCAACGCCGTTCGAATGTTTTACAAGAATTCCTAGGCGAGGGTACGACCCTGCTCAAATGATCATCACTCCGTCAACCACACTTGAGGCCATCAGTATGGCTCTATGTCTGCAGACAGCATACTGGCTAGTGTTTCGTCTTGGATTGAATGGTTCTTGACTGGGTTCTTTTGTTGTGGGGTGACGTACGACATTTGGTGTCATGTATCAACTTCGATCAGAGATCTGAGACGCACCAACACAGTCCCGCATGAGTTCGCAGGCGTTCACTCTAGAGAGTGTCAGGAAACTGTTCTCTGAAACGACTCAACCATTTCTTCTAGCACTCATACGATATCCACGAGCTCAGGCACGTCGCAGCTCAGCATGAGGTTATCAGGCTCGGTAGGCGCGGACAGCGCCAGATCCAAGCGCGGCGCGCACCGGACTTGGAGCGTTACAAGGAATGAGGACCCTCAAGTTTGCGCCCAGCAGAGCCAAAATCTTAGACCCGTTGTACTCGCGAGCACAAGGACGGATAGACAAGACGCAAGGGGTCAAGGTTCGTTTCCCCTGATTTGTTTCTAAAGAAAGGTCATGATTGATGTCGCAAGCATCTGACGGAACCAGAAAGGGAAATGAGATATACTATAGCATTCTTCTTTTAGAGTATGACAGCAGTGATGGGCAGGTAGTCGATATTAAAATGAGAGATGATGCCGAGCCACGCGGCTATGTAGAGCGACAAGAGGGTTCGGTGGAAGCGAGACCGGATAGAGAAGGAGATCCCTGGAAAACGGCGTAAGCTCGAACCTTCCCCCGGCCATAGACCCCTTTTGAGGCTGGAGAGCGTTTGGGAAGAAGACCTTCAACAAGTGCTCCGCCTCGATTATTGACCTTGATGCTTGGCCGGCACCTCGCACAGTCACAGCCTCACGCACTCTTCTTATCTATATCATCATCGTCCTGTATATATACTGCTCGCGTTGTCGCAAGCTGTTGGTCGCGTCTTACTCAGTCAGCCCGCGTTCTCGAAAGGTTGTTTCCCCCAAAAGCCGGAGCTGAAACAACAGCCACCTGCCACCACGCACGCCGGTTGACCCTCCATCCTTGGCTTTTCTTGTCAGGCAGGCCTAAAGCACTGTAGCAATCAACTCGACTGCAGCGGACCGGCCTTCGCACAAACACGACCACTCTCGCTCGCTTTCCCCATCCTCTCAGCTGCATTCGCCCACGCACTCGTCGTTCGTTAGTCTTGCTTGGTCGTGTGGCCAACCTCACCGCACGCGACACACACCGCTCACTTCAGCTCGAGTCTCGGCCCATCGGTCCGTGTTTGTCACGCTCACTTACTCCCTGCACCAAGCGACTCCTGTCCGACGCATCAGCCCAACCCCGACCACAATAAAACATCTCCAGGCCGCTGCTGAGCGGCTCCCAACCGTCACCATTACCAACCACAAGCAAAGGACCTCTCTCTTGGGAGGTCAGGGTTTCCCCAACAGCTCTTACATACCACTCGATCGCGACCGTAGTGTCAGTCCGTTCCCTTCTGGAGGTTATCATGATCGCGAAGGCCTTACTGGTCCTTCTTCTTCCAGACAATCAACGTCCAGTCGCATCATGTACATGCCCAGTTCGAAATGGACCTGGTCATTCCTGTTGATCGCCGTCTGTCAAGCTGCCATCGGTCTGGGACTTGAAGGGTGCGTTGTTATTGTTGTCCATGTGCTCATGGATTCTCACTGCTGACACGTGCCATAGCTATGTTTTTGCAAAATTCCAGATTTCGCTCGCTAGCGAAGCGCGGAAAACGACACAATCACGAACCATTCCTACGTACCTCGCCTTGTTCATTTTCGGTTTCATCTATCAACTTGCTCTCGTCTGGGATGCTCTACGCCTCAAGAACACGATTCAAGTCATCGGTCTCTGTCTCTACAACCTCGGTCTACTCATATACGCTACAGTCCAGTACGACCAGATAGATCGCGCCGTTGACGTACTAAATCAGAACGCGGAGATCAGCCCTGGCTTCGGGCAAGATGTGAAGCCTTTCCTGATTGCAGTACCCTGTGTTCTCGCGCTAGGTACAATAGCCTTCAGTTTTGTGGCTTGGAAGTTGTACGATGAGTTTGCGTGGTCAATCTATAAACACATCTCAGCAGACTTGCGTTTGAAGAGACGTTACCTTGTTTACCAGGTATGTTCACAATACTGCAAATGAAGCCCTCACATGGATTGACGAAGAACAGATTTACATCGCCCTCCTCAAGTTCGACTTTTTCTTCTTCCTCGGATTTACAGTGCAATTCGTTGTCGTGGTTCGCGAGCATACATCCGACGTCGAATTCGCGCTTACCATCGCGGCCATACCTGTGACCATCGCGATTCTGCTTGCGGCTGCATGGTTCACAAGACGCGAATCTACGCTGGGAATGTGCAGCACGATTGTCCTCTACTTCGGAGCTATGGCGTACTTTCTTTTCAAGCTCGTGCGCATGTATGACACGGACAATCCAGCCAGAGTGGCAGACTACGAGCCTGCGCGCAAAAGTTTGACGACTTTTGCTGTCATCACGCTGCTACTGCTGATTATGACAATCATCAATTGCGCATGGTGTACGGCGAACTTCAACAAAGGGCTGAAACCACACATCCAACGACGAAGAGCGATTGGAGACGAGGACAAGAGCTATGCGTACGAAAGACGACACAATTCTCTAGGAGGAGCGCATGCCATGGGAGCAGTGCCGGCGAGGATGACGATTGACTGATTGAATCAACCCTTCTGGCAAGAGTAGAGACCTGATCACGACGTTTCGGCTGGGCCGGAACGAATTGCGTATCGCATAGACGACCTTTTTCGATATCCCACGGGTGTCAGGCCGAGGGTTTCACAAGTACCTGCCTTTCATCACGGCGTTCTGTTTTATTTTCCTTTTAGTCTGTTTAGCTGTGAGGTTCTCTGCGGCACGATTTGGATGGCAAGGACAGCCTCTACGATGAGTTCGGAGCGTGTAAATGTCTAGTCACGGCAGAAACTGGTTTCTATTCAATCGAATGTCGTTCCCCACGCACGTCTATGTTCTGATAGGTTATGGAAATGATGATAGACCAGGATATGAGTGAGTGGCTTAGCTTGTGCCGTGGCCCAGCCACAATGACGCGCGCGGGGTCGAGGATGCGGCAGGCCAAACAAAACTGTCAGGCGTCCGCATAGAAACTCTAACCAAGAAGTGCCTGAGACACTTCGAAATACCAAACAACATGGCGGAACAAAAGACGCCGAGTGTCACCATGGCCGAGATACCCTCGACTATGCTGGCTCAAGCTGCAGCTGCTGCGAGAGCAAATGCCGACGACGAACACGACACGAGCCCGTCAAGAAATGCCGAATATCTGAACCCAAACAGTACAGATGAGAACCTACCGCCACCAGCATACGGCAACACATACGGCGATGTGAGCAGCCAGGACGCCGGTCTGGGTACCAAGGCCACTCTACGCTCTGACGGACGAGTCAACATCAACATCAACCAAACCTCTCGCCACTTGTCGAGCTTGCTCGTACCTGCCCTCAGAAGCCAGCTTGATCTTGCAGACACCACCCATGTCCCTCCGCCGTATATTCCTACCTCACTTGGTGGGGCGCCTGGCCAACCTCCGCCGCCACCTCTCAACGTAGTCATCCATGTTGTTGGTTCAAGAGGAGATGTACAACCATTCGTCGCTCTCGGAAAGGTCCTGAAAGATCAATATGGCCACCGCGTTCGTCTAGCAACACACCCTGTATTCAGAGACTTCGTCACCGAGAACGGTCTCGAGTTTTTCAGCATCGGAGGAGACCCTTCCGAGCTTATGGCTTTTATGGTCAAGAACCCCGGTTTGATGCCCGGATTTGACGTTATGAGAAGAGGTGACATTGGTAAAAGACGCAGGGAGATTGCTACCATGATCAAAGGATGCTGGAGGAGTTGCATTGAGTCTGGTGATGGTACAGGTGTCGCAGTAGACGACAACACAACCGAAGAATGGATGCGTAACACCGATTCCTCCATCAAACCTTTCATCGCCGACGCCATCATTGCAAACCCTCCTTCTTTCGCCCACATTCACTGCGCCGAGAAGCTGGGATGTCCGTTGCACATGATGTTTACCATGCCCTACTCTCCCACACAGGCCTTCCCTCATCCTCTGGCTAACATCCAGTCCACCAATGCTGACCCCCATCTCACTAATTTCATCAGTTACACGCTCGTCGAGATGTTGACCTGGCAGGGCCTGGGCGATGTCATCAACCGATTCAGAGTGAAGGATCTCTCTTTAGATCCTATCAGTTTGATATGGGCTCCAGGCATGCTGACAAGATTGCGTATTCCTTACACGTACTGCTGGTCGCCTGCTCTGATTCCTAAACCAAAAGATTGGGGCAATCAGATATCTATCGCTGGCTTTTATTTTCTCTCTCTGGCTTCCAATTTCACACCGCCTCCTGATTTGAAGGCTTTCTTGGACGCCGGCCCGCCACCTGTATACATTGGCTTTGGTTCCATTGTTCTTGACGACCCTAACGGCATGACGAAACTCATTTTCGATGCTATTCGCAAGACTGGTAGACGTGCCTTAGTGTCCAAGGGCTGGGGCGGCTTCGGTGCTGATGAACTCGGCATCCCAGAAGGTGTCTTTATGCTGGGCAATGTGCCTCATGATTGGTTGTTCAAGCATGTGTCTTGCGTTGTCCATCATGGAGGTGCAGGAACCACTGCTGCTGGTATAGCGTGCGGCGTTCCCACTGTCATTGTTCCATTCTTTGGAGACCAGCCCTTCTGGGGTGCCATGGTCGCTAAAGCCGGAGCTGGTCCTGAGCCTATTCATCATAAGGACTTAACTGCTGACAACCTAGCTGAAGCAATCAACAAAGCACTTGAACCAGCCACTAAGGAAAGAGCTCAGGATTTGGCCAACAGTATAAGTAACGAGAAGGGCACTGAAACTGGCGCTCAGAGCTTCCATCAGTTTCTGGAAGTCGACAAGATGAGATGTAGCATAGCGCCCAGTAAGGCAGCTGTATGGCGACTGAAGAGAACCGAAGTTCGTCTCAGTGCCCTTGTAGCGACTACTTTGGCCACTGAAGGATTGCTGGATTTCAAGGATCTGAAGTTGTACCGACCAAGAGAGTATGAAGCCGATGAAGGTCCTCCGGAGCCCATCTCTGGAGGCGCTGGTGCCCTTACTGGCACAATCAGTACAATGATGATGGGTGTCGCCGACTTCCCTGTCGCTGCATTGAAGGCTTTGAGAATTCATCCCGATGCTGTTCCCAACAAGACCACAACAGACTCACAGGCTGCCTCTGAGCAACCATCATCCGAGACCCAATTGCAACGAGCCAAGTCTTCCAGGGAGTCAGACATCTCTCCACTGAGCAGACCGACCTCGCCTGCACGAGGTGCTAGTGCAGGCGCGACTTTCAATCTAGATGAATCATTAGCGAGGATGGGCTCTCCCCATCTGACAGCCGAGGACAAGACAGACAAAGGCAAGCGCAGTCGCTCTTCCTCCTTGGCCGCCGCGCTGCAGGGTCGTCTAGGTGGCCAATTACGCCATCGTTCTAGCTCTCGTAGCGGTTCCAATTCCAGGTCATCAAGCCCCCGAAGGGCAAACGCCGCGCAGTCACAAGGTCAATCACAAGGAGGTGAGACGAACATCAGAGAAGTTATCGATGCTGCATTCGGCACAAGTAAAGGCGTTTCTAGAATTGTTGGAGCTGGTTTTAAGTCACCAATGGATTTTACGCATGCGCTCGCAAAAGGCTTCCACAATGCACCAAAGCTCTACGGAGATGAGTCGGTCAGAAAGCCCGACAAGATCACCGACTTCAGATCTGGACTCCGCGCAGCAACCAAGGAGTTCGGGTTTGGTATGTTCGACGGCATCACTGGACTCGTCACACAACCCGTCGAAGGCGCAAAGAAGGAAGGAGCCGCCGGTTTCATCAAGGGTGTCGGCAAAGGTATTGGTGGCATAGTGCTCAAACCTGGCGCTGCCATCTTCGGTATCCCAGCTTATACTATGAAGGGTGTCTACAAGGAGCTCCAACAACTGTCCGGATCTTCTGTTCAGAACTACATCATTGCAGCTCGCACAGCACAAGGCTACGATGAATGGCACAGGTCAACTGCCCAAGAACGACAAGAGATCATCCGACGCTGGAGAGTGGTTGAGTCTGAAGTCAAGAAGAAGAAGTTCATCCACGAACAGTTCCAAGATATGCTTAGAAAGCAATGGGATGGTGAAAATCGTGATGGCGGTCGTTTGCTGGGCGTTCGCTCTCGATCGCGTGCTAACTCTTGTGCTCATTCGCGTTCTAACTCGCGTGCTGCGAGACTTAGTACGTACAGCGAAGGAGCTACGCCGACGGTTGAGGTCACACCTCCCAAGTATGAGGACTTGCAATTTACTCGTGGTGCTAGCGACAACGAACTGGAGAGAGCCATTCAAACATCGGTCGCTGATACTAGCCGTGGCGACCCTGAGCAGGATGCCTTGATAGAGCGAGCCATCCGCGCCAGCATCGCCGAATTAGCATCTGGTCAACAATCCTCCGGTAATACCAACGATACTGATGATGAAGATGAAGTTCTCCGAAGAGCAATCGCAGCAAGTCTGCTCGACCATCAAGGCCAAGACCCACCAGCATATCAAGACTTATCATCCTCCGAGCACGACGAAGAGTTAGCAGCTGCACTCAAAGCCAGTCTAGAAAACTCTTCCGAGCATCAAGATAAACGTCTTAAACGACAAGGCCACTCTACCGACAGTGAATGGGATACAAACTCCAGCTCTGGAGACGAAGAATACCGTCTCGCTGTCAAAGCATCACAAGACCAACATTCTGCAGAGCAAAACCACGACAATGACGCTGAACTCCAAGAAGCAATCAGCGAGAGCCAGGAAACTCATAAGGCAAAGACGACTGCTGAAGAAGAGGAAAGAGTTGTTATGGAATACGTCAAGAAACAGAGTTTGCTGGAGGAAGAACATAGGCGTAATGTTGCTGGCAAAGGCAAGGGTAAAGAGGTGGAAGAAAATGATGATGACGAAGATGATGAGGATTATAAGAAAGCTGTGGAAGCGAGTTTGCAGCAGGAGGGGAAGAAGGGAGAGAGGGCTTGAGTTTCAGAAAGGATCTGAGAAAGGACTTGGTTATGATTTTATGATGAGACGATGAGATATAGCACGATACCCCTTTTTTTCTCTCTCTTTTTCTTCTCATGTACATGAATTTTTTATTCTTGTTCAACCAATACTTTTTTGTTCTTCGTTGTTCATTTACTGTGAGTTTGACATTGCCTCGAACACACAGTATCATGCAGTCGAAGTATGAATCAGAAGAAGGATTATGATAGAAAGTGATTGATGTGATTGTGACGCAGGAAAATTATGTATGTGCAAAGACTGCGTGTCATGTTTTGTCACTGTATCCTCTCCTTCGCTTTGGGACCTCCAAAGAATTCGAAGTTCCCGATATGTGCTCATGTCATAGCCTGTCGTTACCCTGTTACCATCCCAAAGTGCCTCTCATCCTGTTGTCATGTTTTGACACAAAGCAGAAACCGTAGCCTCAATGACTCTCACAGCGAAGGGATACTGTTTCCACTCTTCTCCCTTTACCACTTTGCGAAGTTGTCAATCTCTTCAGTCAACCTGAATAGCAGCTTTGCAGTCAAATCGACGTCAAGCAGAGATCCGTCTTCGATCTTCACCTTAAACTCGTTGTGTTTGCTCAAAGCACAGATGTTTTTGGACAACCAGGAGAAAAGAGCATTGCGCAGCTGTAGGTCGGCTAGCTGAGGTGCATCTGGACCGCAGATGTGTGCAATGCAATCTGGGATAGGACTGGAGGCTGGTGGGTTTTGAGTTTTGCTCAAATACAAGTAGGCGTTTATGTAACTCTCAATGAACTCCACTGCAGCGCGTCTCACGGATAGGATGTCGTACTTGTCCGCCAGTTTGTAGACTTTGATGGAGTATTCGATCACTGATGTCCCATCAGGTCTGCAGTTTGAACCAGAACCAAATGGCATGCCATAAATGTGCTTCAGCATGGCAAACACGGCTTCTGGCTCATGTTTTCCATCACACTCGTCGTCGATGATGAAGGTGGCGCTGTTGGAGACGGAAAATTGAGAGTTCAGACTGCGTTGGAAAAAGGGTGACCACATGCGTAAGATGACTCTGTGAGCATAGACTTGATGATTGCCAAAGGTGAGAATGATATCAGAGTCTCTGGGGTCGTTGAATACGGTGGAATCACTAATGCATGTTAGTCTCGGTTCTCTACAAAACAAAAGATCCGCCGTACAGGTGATCGCCGTTGATGAAATGCCCTTCGCTCATGGTTGTGCTTCTTTTGTGGAGTTTGATTTGAGAAAGAAAGTTGGGAAAGAGCGAGCAGGAAGAGAAGGCTTATATGAGTTGTTGCCTTCCTTCGTTTGTTGTTGCTTCGAGATTCACTCCCGCTTTATTTGTTCCGGAACTCCCACTGAGACACTGTCAGCGCCTGCGTCGAGAAGTATGACACACTCACTTCGATTTTCGTGTGCTCTTTTTCCGGAGCTTTCACTAAAAACGTCGTCAGCTCCTGCATCAACTCGAAAAACGACACGCTCACTTCGGTCTTTGTGATTCCTCGTCTAGAACTTTCATACGAAGATTCATCGCTGTATTGTTCGGCATGACAACTTCTTTCATTCACTGCGGTTCTGCTCTCGCTTGATTGGAATCTTCAGTGATCTCATTCTACCCTCCCCGTATCACTATCTCGCTTTATTGTAACTGTGCAGCATTCTGAGTCGCTGCCCTTGTTTCTCAGATACTCCTCAGCATCTGAAACTATTTGCTGAGTCTCGAGTTACTCACCCTTGCTCTTAACCCTATTACCGAACAAATGTGTTGCGCGCGAATCGGCTATTTCGCTCAGCTAGATATGCTATACGCATCATATGACTGAGTAGGTGACAGCAAGCCAGTTTTGGCTGAGTATAGAGTCTCACTCAGGGGTTTTGCAGCTTGTGTAGGGATATGTATTGTAAGGTATCTGCGTGGGAAAGCACTTGTTGAACTTGAGTGAATTCAAGGAGCACTCACCAGACCAAGTCATATCTCTGCACAAATCCAGGGGCTGGTCTGAGGTCATTTCTCAGGGCATAATGAGAGATTGGAGAGCTGCAGTTCACCTTGTGTTCACTTGGAAGATCGTCGTCGGATTGATCAAGTTTGATTTATTTATGTCTTGTATGAAACTCGTTGATACTGAACCACCTCTCCTCTCCGAGGCCAAGCTGCTTGATAGCAGTGATGTACTGATTCTTTGTGTATGTAAAGACTGATGGAACGGCCATGCGGAAAAGGCAAGGAAAAGCTGGAAGAGTGTCATGGAAGGTTGCTCCTGAAACGATATGATCAAGAGCTGCGGCATCCTTCATCAGCCTGTGCGCGCGAGGAAGGCTCAAGAAGGTTGTCGAGATCGTCCAAATCGCTGAAGTCGAGTCTGTCGGGATCAACACCACCAGCATAGCGCTTTCGAGGAGCGAGGAGCCCGTAACGGCGGCCCTCGTCAGCTCGTTGCTTCAGGGCAAGTGCTCCGATCTTCTCGAGCAATTTGTTTGCGGCATCGACATCAAACAGATTGCCCTCTCTCAACTTCTTGCGGAACAAGGCCCACTCGAACAACTTGTTGTAATTAGTGGCGCAGAAGTCCAGAGCTGCAGTGCGTAGAGAGACATCGGCGGTTTGGCGAGCATCAGGGCCGCAAAGAGTAGCGATAGTGTTGTTGAGCAAGATCAGCCTGCCAGAGTCTAAAGCTTTCGTTGCAGCATCGTGGAAGTTGGAGACAGCAGCGCGACGCAGAGAAGGGCAGTCGTATTTGTCGGCCAGGAAGAAGGTCTCGACGTGTAACTTGAAGAGTTCGTCACTGTCATTCGACTGCAACGAGTCGGTGTATGGCAGGTTGTACATGTGGCGCAGCATTCCATCGACGACTATGGGATCATCGTCGTCGCCGAGAGAGAAGACGGGGCCCTTGGCTACCTGGGAATGGTCAGTATGAATTTCTAGGAGAGATAAGGAATGCACACAGGCCACTGAGACTGGAGGATGCGCTCGAAGAAGGGCGAGCACATGCGAAGTATGGCGCGATGAGCATGAATCTTGATACCATGATGTTCGATGATGATATCAGAATCTTCAGGCTTGTTGAAGACGGTGCTGGGAAGAGTTAGCTTACGCCTGCGATACTAATCAACAAGAAGAGACTACCTTTCCTGAGTGGTCCTAGACGTGGTGTCTTCATGAGGAAAAGCGACTTCATGTGAAGAGTGCGTAGAGGGAGGCATAACGTGTGAAGTGATCGTGTGTGTTTGAAGAACATGCAGAAGCTCAACGGCAAAAGCGAATCTTGCGGTATTTGGAGTAAAGCATATAATGGGCTGCGATTGCTCTGGAAGGCCCAGGAAACAGCATGCAAACACAGAGGGCGAATCGGAACCCGTTTGTTTCCAGCTCCAAAGGATACGTGCATGTTCTCCAAGACAGCGCAATGATTGTGTCCGATAGAACTTTGTTTGTGGTCGACAATGTGAAGCAACATTCTTGCTTATTGTTTGTGTTCTTTCATCCATGAAATCGCATATCCTCATCCTCCAAGGCTAGCCGCAGATCAAATTACCTACAACTGAAATTCGTGTCCAGCTCGCACTTGAGCATGTTCGTATCTTACATCCACGGTTTTTGGAACTCAGGTTCCGTGTTGCGGTCTTTCAGCTTGATACCTAGGGACCGTGGTGCCCAATACTGCCTTTGCAAAGCTCAGCGTCAGGGGTACTTACTGCCACCTTGTCCACCAGCAGTTAAATTTCAAAGACCAATTTGTTGCCAGCTTCCTACCTCTTAGGCGCCATTCTGGTAGCGACATGATTCAGGAAGATATGTACATATTTTGATTGCGATTGAGAGGTATTCACAACGACTACCCCGACGTTGCTGCGGGTATCAAGTGTCCCAGGAGCGATCTCGAGCGCCGCCATCTGCTGCGAAGCACTTTTCAGCTGCAGCATGTTCATGGGAGCTGACTCCGAAGGTCGATATTATTTATGATCGTTGAGCAAGATCAGCGTTCTCAACCAACCGGCAGTGTAAAACTCTCTTCACCGGATGCAGTGTTTCAGAGGACCCTGCCCACCCAAAGACGAGGCGATCACGGTACGAGAGGAAATGCCGGGATAAGCGATGTTGAATAAAATGCTTGCCCCTTGTTCATTGCCGAGATTCTTGGCAATCAGAAGTCTGCTCGCTGTGTAATTAACTGACTCGAGCAATTGTGGGCTTCTAATGGGTTTCTGGAAGACCATCATGACGTGGATAAAGGACGTGTGGGCTCGCCTCGAGGTCCGATACATAGCTAGAGGTTGACATAGCATGCAACAGCGCAGCGATACAAGAACGTACACAACCTTCCTCGCGGAATGTATGACATGGAAGTAAGGTTTATGTTGGATGGACCCTGTAACGGTTCTCCCCATCGAGTAGTAAATTTAGGACAAGGCTGCAAAATCGAGTCAGTGGGATCAGTGGCTGAAGTCAGTTCGCGACATGCTTTGGAATGCGCTGTTGAGAACATCGTATAGGAGATATTAAAGCCGGCGGGAGTAAAGAGACCAGAAGGTAGGAGATTTGACCGAGCAATTGCGGAATATTCGAGTGACTACGATACAAGAGCAGACGTTGTTCGTTGCACATTGAAATGATGACGGTAGGAATTTGGGATCTGCAAAGTTCCTGTCGCTCAGTGCGAAAGTGGTAAGTAAGCAACATGAAACACCCGATCGACATAAGCTCTTGGTCCTTTGCTGCACGGCGTGCTCCCGAAGAATGCGATCATCAGGTTCGCTGCCTCCTTCAAGGAGTCAGCGCCAAAAGAGTGGTCGAGATTGAAATGATTTTTCTCCGTCTGCGAGGCGGGTTTTCTCAACGGAAGTGATCGACAGACAGGGCGGTGGAAATGCGGCATTATCGTTGCGCCAATTCTCCGTACTCGCAGCGTACGAGTACGTAGGGAGTAGACGCCAAGGGCCTGAGACTGGACGACAGCTCGTCAATCACGTTCTCGACTCTCTCGAATCGTGAAGTTCGCGTGAGGACCTGATTAACGAAGTAGTCTCCTGATTGATAGAACGAGACGTCCGACAACTGGCAACAAGAGAAAAGAGAGGCTCAAAGACGTGCAAGGATGCTAGTCTCCACAACAAGACCCTGAGGTGCCATGCATAACCGTAAAAGTCATGGTCCAAGCTCGAAATACGCCTATTCACCCATCGCGGCATCTCGATGGCGATTGTGCTCGTGGTCCATGACACGAATGAGGACGTGAAGGCAGACAACAGCTTGTATTCTAGAACTTTGGTTTTTTTGTGGGCCAATTGAAGATCGAGATCGGACTTTGCAGCCAGAACGTGGGCAGCGTATTTGACTGAACCATGCAGATAAGGTCTTGGCAGCAGCAGCTACTGAGTACCGCCTAGCGAAGGCGAATACGAGCAGTCAGTCATGTTATGCACAAGAGGCGCAGAGTAAGGGCAAGAGTGAACAACAAATCTCAAGAGGCGGTCGAATGCCGTTAAATATAGCTGAATACTTTTATATGGGGTCATCGGCTCGCGTGGTGGACAGGCTACAGCGGCTCGTGAATCGTGAGCATGGGCTTTTCAGAGTTTGTTTAGCACTTCTTTGTTAAGACGCCGACACGCTTTTATTGTCCTACGTCTTTGCTTATCGAATCGATCTCGTTCAAGCAACCAGTGTTGACGCGAAAGGATCCGAGAGAACCAAAGCAGTGGCAGCACCGCCTTTTTGCTCATTCGTGTCTGGATTGAAAACGATTGGACGGGCAGAGGCTTCTGGGCGATCACTAAATTAGCGCGCTTGTTTCCGACCCTTGGGCCTCTCGCTGCTGAAGCCGTTCAGCCCTCGACTCCTCTCGCAACCTGTCATAACTTCGACCTGACCACACTCTCAACACCCATCCCAGCGACAACTCAGTCTTGGGTGTTGGATGCCATACTAGCCGACACCTCCGCCTCGGGACCTTCGGAGTCAACACAAAGGCTCTCGTCACCTGCCCAAGTCCTTCACGTCTCCCCACATCCTTGGTTACTGGACAGAGAGGCCGCTCCAACCCCATATCGTTCATGCGCGTCGACCACCCGCGCCTACATCAACAACCGCCCACGATGGCTGAAGAGGACTCGTACGCAGCTCTCGCTGGCATCATTTCTAACCTTGCCAAACAATATACCCCTACCAAAGATGACTTCAACGGCCGTATCGCTGCCAACAGCATCGAATCAAATCGCAGTCTCCTGCCTGGCGCCGATTCTGACGCCAAACGACAACTCGAACGTGAAATTGCTGCTCTGGCCAGCCGTGTGCAATACCTCGAGAACAGGGTCGCTTCTTCCGCCTCAACCGTCTTCCCCATCACTCCCAACGAGCCGCTGCAGTCTGCTTTCTCCCCAGAGAGCTCGCCTACCGCTACTCGCGTTCTGACATCACGGCCTCGCTCTGCATCTCTGGTCAACAGTCTACTGGCAAAGTCGGAGAGTCCCAAGGGGACCGCCGTACCGCGTCAACTGACTGAAGAAGAGCTTGGAGTCCTTCGCGACCATGTTGATCGCCAAAGCGAGCAGATCAAGGCTCAGAAAGAATACATTGACAGCATCAACGAGACTCTGCAACAACAGCGCCAAGCCACCGAGCAAGCACTTGGTGGTATCGAGAGCTCAATGGACGACGTCGAGACTCTGAAGCGAGAGTTGTCCAAGAACCAACAAATAAATGCCACTTACCAGAAAGTCCTCCGCGAAATCGGCAGCATTGTTACTGCCGTCGCCAATGGTGATCTCAGTAAAAAGGTGCTCATCAGCGCCAAAGAGCGTGATCCCGAAATCGCTACCTTCAAACGCACAATCAACAAAATGGTCGATCAACTACAAGATTTCGCCAGTCAAGTCACGCACCTCGCTCGTGAGGTCGGTACCGAAGGAAGACTTGGTGGACAGGCTGTCTTGCCCGGTGTCAGTGGTATCTGGGCCGAGTTGACCCAGAATGGTATGCGAAACACACAGTATCGGCTCCGGGATCATCTGCTAACTACATACAGTCAACATCATGGCAGACAACCTCACCAACCAAGTCCGAGAAATTGCCGTCGTAACTACCGCCGTCGCCCAAGGTGATCTCAGTCGCAAGATTCAGCGTCCTGCTCGTGGTGAGATACTGCAACTTCAGCAAACCATCAACGGTATGGTCGACCAATTGCGTACCTTTGCAACAGAAGTTACTCGCGTCTCCCGTGATGTCGGTACTGAGGGTGTGCTCGGAGGTCAGGCTCAGATTGAGGGCGTGCAGGGCATGTGGAACGATCTGACTGTCAATGTCAATGCCATGGCCAACAATCTGACAACTCAAGTACGAGACATCGCTGAGGTCACCACTGCCGTTGCACGGGGTGATCTCACACAAAAAGTCAAGGCAGAGTGCAAGGGCGAGATTCTCGAGCTCAAATCAACCATCAACTCTATGGTCGACCAACTCAGGCAATTCGCTCACGAAGTTACTAAGATCGCCAGAGAAGTCGGAACAGAAGGAAGACTTGGTGGACAAGCCACTGTGCATGGAGTTGAAGGCACATGGAAAGACCTCACAGAGAACGTCAACGGCATGGCCAACAACCTCACCACTCAAGTGCGTGAGATCGCCCATGTTACCAAGGCTGTCGCTAGAGGTGATCTCAGTAAGAAGGTTGGGGCCGAAGTCAAGGGTGAGATTCTTGAATTGAAGGTGACCATCAACACCATGGTTGACCGTCTGAGCACTTTCGCCTTTGAGGTCAGTAAGGTGGCAAGAGAAGTCGGTACTGAAGGTGTGCTTGGTGGACAAGCACAAGTCGAGAATGTTGAGGGCAAGTGGAAGGATTTGACCGACAACGTCAACACCATGGCCAACAACCTGACCAACCAGGTCCGCAACATCTCGGACGTTACACAGGCCATTGCTCGCGGCGATATGACCCAAGTCATCAAGGTCCATGCCCAAGGAGAAATACTACTCCTGAAGAACACCATCAACGACATGGTTGGTCGTCTCGACAACTGGTCCCTTGCTGTCAAGCGTGTCGCTCGCGATGTCGGTGTCGACGGCAAGATGGGTGGTCAAGCAGAAGTTGATGGGATTTCCGGTCGCTGGAAGGAGATCACTTCCGACGTCAACACCATGGCCCAAAACCTGACCTCACAAGTCCGAGCATTTGGTGATATCACAAATGCTGCTATGGACGGTGACTTCACCAAGATGATCACTGTTGAAGCATCCGGCGAGATGAACGAGCTCAAGCAGAAGATCAACAAAATGGTCACTGGTCTTCGTGAGAGTATTCAGAAGAACACTGCTGCAAGAGAAGCAGCTGAACTGGCCAACAAGACCAAGTCAGAGTTCCTTGCCAACATGTCTCACGAGATCAGAACGCCCATGAACGGTATCATCGGAATGACCCAGCTCACTCTTGATACTGACTTGAACCAAAACCAGCGAGAGATGCTCAACCTGGTATTCAACCTGGCTAACAGTCTGTTGACTATCATTGACGACATCCTCGATATCTCCAAGATTGAAGCCAATCGTATGGTTGTTGAGGAGATTCCGTTCTCTCTTCGCGGCCAAGTCTTCAATGGCTTGAAGGGTTTGGCAGTCAAGGCCAATGAGAAGCGTCTTGACCTCGCCTACTATGTTGATAGTTCAGTACCGGACTACGTTGTCGGAGACTCTTTCAGACTTCGTCAAATCATTCTCAACCTCGTTGGCAACGCTATCAAGTTTACCGACAAGGGCGAAGTCAGAATTTCTATCTCCGCAGCGGACCAGACTGGATGCAAGGATGGCGAGTACGCAGTTCAGTTCGCCGTTAGCGATACTGGTATTGGTATACCGAGCAACAAGCTTGATCTCATTTTCGACACCTTCCAACAAGCAGATGGCTCAACCACTCGCCGCTTCGGAGGTACAGGTCTTGGTCTATCTATCTCAAGGAGACTTGTCTCTCTTATGCACGGAAAGATGTGGGTGGAGTCTGACTTCGGTCAAGGCAGTTGCTTCTACTTTACTGTCAAGTTCAAGGTCGGCAACCCCGATGTTAAGGCCATCGACAAGCAACTCAGAGCTTATCGCAAGCATAACGTGCTCTTCATCGACACTGGTAAGACTGGTTGCTCTGAGGAAATTGCTCAGCACCTTGTCAACCTCCAGCTGGTACCCATGGTCGTCCACAATGAGCATGAAGTACCCTCACCCCAGGCCGCCAGTGCTGCTGGAAAGGCTTACGACTGTGTTTTGGTCGATTGCAGAGAGACAGCTCGCAAGCTTCGCAACGTTGAGGACTTTAAGTATATCCCCATCGTCATGCTCGCTCCTATCATCAGCATGAGCTTCAAGTCAGCACTCGAAGACGGTATTGCAAGCTACATGACAACGCCTTGCTTGTCCATCGATTTGGGCAACGCTCTGATTCCAGCATTGGAAGGACGTGCCGCACCCACCTCTGCCGACCCCTCTATGAAGTTTGATATTCTGCTCGCCGAAGACAATGCAGTCAACCAAAGGCTGGCCGTCAAGATCCTGCAAAAGCATCATCACACCGTCACCGTGGCAAATAACGGTTTGGAAGCGTTTGAAGCGATCAAGAAGAAGCGCTACGATGTCGTGCTTATGGATGTGCAGATGCCTATCATGGGAGGCTTTGAGGCCACTGCCAACATCCGCCAATACGAGCGTGAGCATGAGCTTACCCGCTCGCCCATCATTGCCCTCACTGCACACGCCATGTTGGGAGACCGCGAGAAGTGCATTCAAGCCCAAATGGACGAATACCTCTCGAAGCCACTCAAGCCTAACCAGCTTATCCAAACCATCCTCAAGTGTGCAACCATGGGAGGAGCATTGCTCGAACGCAACAAAGACCAGAGACTGGCACTCACACAAGGCGACGACGGCAAGCAAGAGGACAGCGCAAGCAGCAGCAAAGTCAGCACGCCCAGGAGGCCGATCTTGGATATCCGTGGATACACCGACTCGCCGACCAACCCGACTAAGAGTCCTTCGATTGTGACGGCAGACCTCGGTGATCCTATTGAGCGGGTAAGCGGTTCTTCTCGATGCATTTTGATGTAGTGAATGGCGCTAACATTTGTGTCTCTCAGGAAATGCTTATGCGCTCCAACAGCTCTTAAGACCGCCCCCAACGTGGACTCTTTCGATTCCACATCCCACTTTTTTGCATATGGCGTGGCGTTAGATCTGTTCTTTCTGATGGGCGTTTGAGAGTTCTTCTCTAGCTCTGAGAGAAAGAGACATTGTGTAGGGTACTCTGGGAATTTTGCATATCGTGTTTTTGTGTGTCGTCTTTGCGGGCGCATTGTTATCAACCCCCTGTTTTATGTTCTCTTTTATACCCCATCGCATACAAGGTCCTGTCACAGGAAGCAATACAAATCTATGAGCGTTTATTCAACAACATGTTCTCAATTGCAGTTATCGTCGCTCTCATTCCAAAGTTTAGATTGCACATGAGAAGGTGCATTGGAAAAAGTGTTTCGTATTCTTCGTGATTATTGAGCAAAGCGCATGCTCTTCTCGCAGGGTGCGGCAATGATCGCGACACCTCCCTCTTCTAGCAAGTTCCTCTATGCTCCTCTGATTGTCCGCAGGATTTCCTGTCAGGCTCAAGTGCTTTCGCTGAAAGAATCCTATCTCTTTCTCAAGCCCAGACCACCAAGACCTCTCTTCTTGCCTCCCATTTTCTGACCAGCGTCGTCCACCTCCATAGCATCGTCTGCAGCATCATCACTCTTCTTTCCAGCAGCTTCAGCCCTGTGCACCTGCTCGGCACGCATAGCTTCCTCGTTTGTTCTTCTCTCTGCAGCTTCCATGACACTCTTCATCTGTGCTTCCAGCTCTTTGAGCACATCATCGCATCTACCGCTCCAAGCATCCAGCGAAGCCATCATACGTGTCACACTGCCGGGATTGAGGTCGCGAAGGGCGGCTACACTGCTGATGGCGACGATGCCTTGTGCGGGGTTCAGGGTGGCGGTGAGCAAGTCGGCGTAGATGGCGTCTGTGACCAGGCGTTCGAGGGCCAGTGGCGAGTCCAGCGACAGTGCAGATTGGAGGTTTGTGTATGTGAGTGGGTTGTTGTTTGTGGTGTTTGCGGCGAGGGTGAGGAGGGTGAGTAGGCGTAACTTGTGTTCTTGAGCTGGAGATAGTGGGGGCAGTGTTGATGCGAGAGCTGTTCATAGAGTTAGTCACCACTATCTTCTAGGTCTGATAGAGGAAAACTACCTTGGTATTCAGCCCATGTTCCCCAGGCGAACAGTTCAAGCAGTGTGTAGTAGTTGCGGTATTGAGCATCGTTGCGTAAATTCTGCATGTTTGGTGTCTGGAGGAGCTCGCCGAAGACATATGTATGAGCAGCTGAGGTAGCTTGGGTGACCAGATCAGCAGCTGCACGAGCTGAAGTGGCCGACTTTGACAAAGCGAGGAAGGGCGCCAGCGCATTGATTGCTCGGGTTTGTTCCATGGTGGATAGTGTGATGTGTCGAGGATGTGGGATTGTAAAGTCGCGTATTGAGAGTCTTGTTTGGGTGTCGGCCTGGAGTCAAGTGAAGAATGCGCGATCGTCAAAGTGAATGTTTAAGACTTGATTATTCGTCAAAAACGCTCGGAAGTGCAGTGTAGGAAGGTGCTCTGTTTGTCCATCGTCATTGTTGCTGTGCCAAACTCCGACCTCCGAACTGCCGCGCTCACCGCCTTCGCATGAATGCCTAGTACACACACAGGGAGGGGTCACTTCCCTGAGTCAACGTCTTCTGCTGTCATCAATTGACCTCAGGGGAATATGTATTTTCGTGATTATGTATGACGATTTCGACTATGAGGCAACGCCTGAGCCTTCTATTGCTCTAGGACCAGTTCACGAATCAATTGGTAGAGCGAGTCTGTTTGAACTCTTCGATCGCCTGGCGGACCTCGCTCGAGGAGACTCCTGTCTCACACTATGCGAATAAGCTCCGCATGATCAGAACTGCCATACTGGCCATTGATCCTGAGCTGGAACTATCCGACCCTCTCATGGTAATCACATTTTTACATGGTCTTGGACCCAATCACGGAACGTTCAGAAACAATCTCGATGCTAGTCGCGAAGAACGTCCGATCAACATAGATTTCGAGGAACTGATCCAGGAAGCCATCGAAAAAGAGGCAGGTCAGAGAAAAGAAGACGAAACAGATCAACGAAATGGAGACTTTACAGCCATACGAGGTCCCCTCAACGGCAAGATCATTGTTGAAGTTGACTATTGTGACCACTGCAGAATCCCTTTCCACTCGACTACTAATTGCTCCGAGCTCCATCCTGGACTGCGAAGTGAACAGACTCGCAAGCGTAGACGCGATGGAAGAGAAATGACGTTCGACGAGATGATAGGGTATAGGCACGCTGCAGTCTGAGTTACAGTCAATGCTAGCCGTCCAATCCGCACATCTAGTCTCTCATGCTGTTCCAGATACATGAAGAGAAATCGACTGTCAGCACGCCAGCCCCGCCATCAGCAAAGGCCAACTTTCTTCTCAGCGCTCGTAGACACCTCAGGCATATTTTGCGTCGTGGTCGCCATCACACCTTCGTCTCATTCTCGACGAAAGCCCATCGAATCGATCGTGGTCGTGCGCTGTCGGAAGACTCAGGGGCCAGATGTGAACACCACGACAAAACCAACGACGTCGTCACAATATCACCTTCTACAGACAAGGATCTCTTTCGCAATCACAGTCAAGATTCAAAAATGAGGTGTTGCTCTCGCTGACAGGCCAAATCTTGGTTGTCGCCCCCTTTTTGGGCGTCTACCTTTATATACGACCAAGATTGGGACCCTCCCAGCGGCAACCTCGCCACTGTTTGGACGCCAAGGGGACGCCCTTGGTGTAGTGGTTGGGAAGCTCACCAAAAAAATTACCGAGCCACGTGCTACGCACCCCCTAGTAAGATGCGGTCCAAACCCGTAGACTGAAAGCGCTGGAACGGTGTTTTCTGTAATCAGTTTTTGCTCTTTTGAGGTTGAGATCTATTGTTCCTTTTCGCCTAGTCATTCTAGATGTGCTGTTGCTGGTAGATGCGTAGGGGTATTGTGTTTTGAAAGGGTGTGATAGAGCACTGAGCTGTAAAGCTCGGCTGTTTCTTTACAGCGTATGATATGGTGAAAGCGTCTGGATTCGAGCCCTGAAGACGCCATGCTTTATGTACTTTCTCTTTGGCGGAATACTTCAATATCACAAAAGTCGCACTTGCCTCCTACTGAGTAATAGTTGAGACGAATTGAGACGATACTGGTGTAGTCGCTCCTTCTGTTGGCACAAACTTTCCTGTGCTTCCTTATAGTAAGCATGCCCAGACTTATACGCGCAGCAACGTCTTTGCCTCCTGTTGTCCTATGTCCATTCCACAAATCAATCTTAGCCCCTTAGATCACCTTCACACACCCATCAGCACCAATCCACCTACACTCACTCTCCCATTACCCTCCTTCCTTAAATCCACCTCTGCCTCTCTTCATCCCACTCTTTACCCTCAACATGTTTCTCAGCCTCCTCGATAATCGGCTTGACTTCTTCCACCGCCTTGAGTCCCAATATAGCAACAAGGGTCTTGGCCGTGTCTGCAGTATACATCCCGAATCCATGATCGAGGGTATTCATACATGTGTTGAGGTTTTGTTTGGCCCAGTCTTTGGTGCTTGTCCAGGTTTCGAGGATGGGTAGTGAAGAGAAGGTTTGTGGGGTGAGGCTGGGGTAGAGAGTTGAGAGTGATGATGACATTGTGGCTCTACTCTTGTGTGAGAGCTTCTGGGCCAGAGGAAGGAAGTCTGGATGTTTTGATTGCGGGTTGTAGTATAAGTTTAGCAGTTGAGGTTTGCTCGGATCCTTCGTTTCCATATAGAGTGGAGAGGCTTCAGGAACGTCATACGACTTTGTTGATCCTACACTCGTATACCGCGGTCCATCAAGGCCTAGAACATATGCAACAACATTGGAAAAGGTTGAAAGATAAAAATATTAGTTCAAAGCATACATACCAATTATTGACTTTGGCTTGTATATCCATGTCCAAGAATTCATTCCTTCTCAAGTAAAACAAAAATGCAAAATCCAAGAAAACACAAACCGCATTCGTCTATTTGACAAAATCGCCCAACTCAATGTTGGGAATGATGTAAGGCTGCACATCATTTCTGTGCATAGTCCTCTGCTCATAAGCATACGCCAATCCAATCAACTCAGCCTCCGAGAACTTGTTTCCCATGAACGAAAGACCAAACGGTACCTTAGGACCTGTCTCCACCAAAGTGTTGCGAGCATTGTATGTGACGTTCCAGTCTGCAGGGTAGAAGCCCATGGGAACTGTGATTACAGGGCTGCCCACCAAGGCAGGAATGCCGGGGGAGAGTTGGGTAGGGAGGAGGACGGCAGAAACGTTGTTGCGAGAAAGAGCGCCGAGGATACCGCCTTCACCGCCGTAGTAAAGGTTTACTTGGTATGCTGCCCAGAAGCGCGGGTCAGAGTTGTTCCATCCTTGGTTGAAAAGAGCGTCATCCCAGACGGCCGTATCGCGATCCGGCCAATCTTCCTGAGCAAAGGTATGAGTGAAGTTTCTGACCTCTGCAAGATCGGTTACGTTGTTAGGGTTGTAAGACAATTCCGAGAGATATGTGTGCAGGTTTGTCAAGAAGTCGGCGTTGAGGACGAGAGTTTCGTTGTTGTCGTTAACGTATTGAGGGAAAGCGGTGAAGTTGGCATCAACGACGGTGGCGCCTGCTCGCTCGATCAAGGCGATGGACTCTTGGAAGGCAGTCATCACTGGTTCGTCGATGCCATAAATGTCAATGACGTTCCAGGCTACACCAATGCGCTTTCCCTTGAGGGCAGAGTAGTCACAGGCTCCTACATAGTCGGGAATGCTACCATTGTTGGGAATAGCTGAGGTGTAATTGTCGTTAGGGTCGACGCCGGCAATTGCTTGGAGAAGGTAGGCTGCATCTTTGACAGTTCTTGCCATCGGGCCAACGGTGTCTTGATGCTCGGAAATAGGAATGACCAGATATCTGCTCGTCAGACCAACAGTTGGCTTGATACCGACAAGGTTGTTGACGTCCGAAGGAGAAAGAATAGAACCAGATGTCTGCCTTGTGTCAAAATTGTCAACATTTCGCGCTGTATATGCTGCTACTAACCTCAGAGCCAAGAGCCGAAAGAGCAAGGCCAAGCGAAGAAGAAACACCCGAACCACTAGAAGAACCACTAGGATCTTGATGAGGGTAGTAAGCAGCCTCAGTTTGTCCGCCATATGCAGACCAGCCGTTAGTGCTGTTGTTTGAGCGATAGTTGGCCCATTGCGAGAGGTTGGTCTTGCCGAGAATAATGGCACCAGCTTTTCTCAGCTTTGCAGCCAGAGTGGAATCACGAGGGACCTTTGCACCAAGCAAGGAGAAAGATCCGGCTGTACTGTGTCAGAACATAATTCTTCTAATGCTTGGAATCAGCACTCACCAGTGTTGTTCATCTGATCAGCAGTAGCAATGTTGTTCTTGATGAGAATAGGCAAGCCATGAAGAGGACCTAGAATAGTACCGTTCGCTCGCATAGCATCCAATTCTGCAGCAATTGCTAGGGCATCTGGGTTGAGCTCGGTAACCATGCGAAGAGTGCTGTTCATCTCCATGATTCTGGCAGAATACGCCTTGACCAGATTAACACTGGTGAAGCGTCCTGCCTCTAGACCAGTGGCAAGTTCTTCTGTAGTAACATTGATGAGCGAAGGGAATTCTCCAAGACCAGTAGAAGTATTGTTGTATGGAGTCACCAAGCCAGCAACAGTGCTGACCAGAGCGATACCCACAGACAGTGAGGTCAAGAAACGCATGGTCCGAGGTATGCGGATGTGGACAAGATAGGTCAACGACAGAAGAACAGCGAGGGACAATATCAAGAACGATGGAAGGTATATACCCAACCTACGAACAGAGTCGTGATAGCAAAGCGACTCGAAAGTCAGCAGCAGTCGCCCATATTTGTACTTAGCCAAAGCAGGTATACTCAACACTGCCCTCTTAGATAATGTCGATAACGTAAAGGTCCATTGTCCGTCTGTGCCGCTGCAAGATTGCAGGGTTCTGATATCTTGCATCAATGTTTCCCCACGGTGCCAGTCGCATTGGCCGGGTCTTGGTGTGTTTCTTGGTAATTTGGAGTAGCAGGGCTATGCTGAATCGATCTGATGGCGCAGAGAAGTTTGATAAAGTCCGAGAGGCTCACAATTGCTCGAACAACCACTAGGGTATTATTTCGCACCTTCCCAAAACGTCTAAATCTCTGCTGATCGCGGGTCCTGATATTGACTTTTGCGGTGACATCTTGCATGCCGTCTTCCGTTCTCTGAGATTCTGGAGATGGAAGAGCCGCGCCAATCTGTTATAGGAAGGCCACTGTAGGCACTGACTAGGCATACTAACAGAACAAACTTGTTTCAGCGCCGAGATCGGAAGCTGCTATAAACGCATGACTTGACGCAGACTTATCTCCCCAATTCACGCCATGTCTTCGCTGCGATGCTAGGAAGAGTATTTGGAAGAGACAACCGTAAATTATGCTGCAAGGATCGCGCTTCAATCCAAGGCGACTGGGTATCTAGTCAATGGAGTATACTTCTCTGAATACAAGATGTCCAATGCTCGCCATATCTATGCTTCTTGGGTAGTTCCTCCGTGGCAACCTATAGCCACTGCACAATGAACGCCGCGCTAACGCAAAAGAAAGACCCTTGAAATCAGTTTGAAATATAAAAGGTAGATTTCGAACAGTGCAGAACCCATTGCTGCATATCCGTCTATTGTCCGGGTCGAGGGAAGACAGGGACGGTCTCCAGTTGCTCCCATCCTCCCATGCTTGCTTGTGGAGTGTTCTGCCAGCCTTGACCAGTCTGCTGGTTCACAAACATAGACTGTCTGAATGGATTTGTACTTCCAGTAACGGCAGGAGTGAGGAATGATGGCGATTGTCCTGTCGGCTGCGATGTCTGAGGGGATGGTTTCGCGAAGGGATTTGTTCCTGTTGGCTGTGCTTGCAATGGCTGCTGCTGCTGCTGGAAGCCAGTCTGCATGGAGTCTTGTTGGGGCGCCTGCCTTGCAAATGGGTTGCTCGATTGACGCTGCTGAGGCTGAGCAGTCTGCTGCGACTGCATGAGACCATTCATCTGACCAGTAGGCATCATCGACTGACGGAAGGGGTTAGTGGCTTGCGGCTGAACTGGTTGTGGTGGTGACTGCATTTGTGGTTGTTGCTGTTGCATAGCAAAAGCATCTTGCTGCTGCTGTTGCATGGAGAATGGATCTTGTGACATGAACGTTTGTTGCGGTTGCTGTTGTTGAGGTGGCGGACTCTGGAAAGGCTGCTGCACCGTGGATTGGAAAGGATTTGAGGAGAAGCCGGTCTGTTGTGGCTGCACTTGTTGCTGGGGTTGAGGGCCATAACCACCAAATCCAGCACCTGTGAATTGTGGTTGAAGTTGAGCAGTGGGCGGAGCCATAAACTGCGAGTTCTGCGGCACACCGAAGGGATTTGTCGACTGAGCTGTCTGGAAACCAGGATCGGCTGTTGGTTGACCGTACATCTGAGGGAAAGGCTGACCAGTTGGCTGCGCATATTGCTGAGTAGAAGCCTGAGCCATGGGTTGCTGCTGCTCTTCGATTGAGCCAAAGAAGTCGATAAGATCTGGAGCTGGGCCTTTGGAAGGTGGTTGAGAAGCGGCGGGTGCAGCCTTCTCTTGCTTTGGCTCAGCTTCAGCGAAAGTAACTGATCTCGAGGACTTGATTGGTTTGCCAGACTTTGCTTGCTGCTCGGCCAGGTACTGGCGTCTGTTGGTCTCGAAGTCGTGATCGTCGATATACTCTTGCAGTGAGTTGGCCAGACTCGTAGGAGCGTGCTTGATCTTGGGGATTTCCAACTTGGTAATGTGTTCGTATTGTCTGGCAATGCTGAGATATTGGACGACTTGATCTGTCTGCTTTGCGAAGGTTTTGTAGATTCCAATGGCATGTTCGGCGTCTGGTTTTGAGAGCTCGAAATAGTGGCCTGTGCAATTGCGTGTCAGAGGTCTGAAGCAGAGTTGAAACGTCAATGTACTGACTCAAGATGTTCATGACAGCTTCGTTCATGGCAGTGAACAGGTCGAGCAGATCTTTGGTGAGCAAGCGGAATGCCATCAGCGAAATGTCGTTCTCGGGCTCGTTTTCAAGAGGCTGTAAAGTGTCAGATTGTGAGATTGAGAGCTGAGCGTGGTACGCACATCGCATTTGATCAAGACTCTGATCTGGTCTTGAATTGCTTCGGTCTCTCGTAAGAGACCTTTGGCGATAGAGAGGTTCTTCATGCGACCAGGGTTACGAATGTGGTCAACGTGAGTGTCGGCGAAAGACTCTGCGCGCTGGATGAGGTAGTTGTTGTATCGGCGGATGTTCTGACCCTGTGTCTGGACTGTTTGGCCGTGTCAGGGCTCACGTATGAGACTAGGATATGCAGAAGAGGCTTACCATCGGTATAGCTGTTGATGGCCAGACGGTTCTTGGGCGCAGCGGCCAGGTACTTGAGAGTTGCATCGCGCTCTCCTTCTTTGATCATCAGATGTACAATGATTAGAGCCTTGAAGCAGATTGTCCAGGTCGTGTCGCGTAGACGCTCTTTCAATGTGCGGAAGATCTCGGCGACACCGGCCTCGCCGCCAGACGTGGCCAGGAGAATGTGTTCGACATATTTGGACTTGGGCGGCGCAAGCTATGGAAGAAGACCGTCAGCGACCTTGAAGGGTGGGTAGGTGCAGTAGCGTTGATGTAGCCGTACCTTGACCTTGGTGCCGCCTTTGACCGACTTCTCGACCGAGCTCGACATTGCTTCGGCGCGCGTGACTGCTCGTGCTGTCTAGGAGTGTAGGGACGTGGCGGGTAGTCTGCGCTGTCTAGTTCATGCTGTTTCCAAACGGCAAGCGCGTTCGTCTAAGAACGGTGTAACAAGGACAGCTCTTGCAATAGCCTGGCCAACTTTGGGCGCGACTCGGTCATCTCGGAATGCCAAACACGCTAAACCCCGGCTGCCGGCAAGATGACTTGGATGACGTTCGATCTTGCTACATTTTCACATCAGATGAACTGACTTCAACCATGTCACAATCATGTTACGGTCGCACTCCCACTGGTCAAGGATGTGCAACCTGTTGATGATGTTGTTTCTTCTTCGCTTGGTCGTTGAAGGTAGTGGAATAGAAGAATAGTTCCACCAACTTCATGAGGTTGACACTAGCGTGACACTTGACCAACAACAAAGAGAAAAGAACAAATGGAGAAAAAATGATACCGGACTATCTAATCGAATACCACACCTACCAACATGGGTTGAAGGCACAGAGAACCTTCCAAGTAGCAATAGAATCAGAGATGCCATCTTCGCGTCCGTTTGGTAACAAGGTGGTGTGCCGAACGCAGATCTCATGCCGCCGCAACTCTGCCATAGAGCCACTTAGGCCTCCGAAGAGGAGAGCTCTATAACAAAGCTGCGGACGACTCGACTGATACACACTAGGCTTTCATCATCTGCGCGCTTTGTTAGTCATGAATCTCCTCGTGGTTGTAGCAAACGTGCACTCACTTTTTTTGAACTTGGAAGGTCATGAAAAGTTTCAAATCCATCGCGACGCGCGACGAAGAAAACGAGCCCATGGCAAAATCTCGGCTGTCCCGCCGGCCTGGCCCGTCACTTCTTAATGAGCCATCATGGACATGAGATCCAATTCTGATATTTGCCATTGTATTCACTTTTGATTTGAGGACAACATTGTATGCCCTGATGCTGCATAGCATGCTTCCGCAGGCAGTAATTTGCGGACGCATCCTTCGAAATGTATCGCTGAGACCCCTTCGCCGGTCGTGGGCAACCCGACCATCAGCATCAACATGTAATGCAAGAAGCTTTTCCTTGACTGGAAGGTATCGAAACGAGGAAGCAGATAAGTTGTTGTCTGAGTTCAAAGAGAATTGTGAGGCAAAACATGAGCGACATTTGACCACATGCTAACTATCTCCTTCAGTCCACTTTCCCTCAGCAACTTGCAAACTGGAGAATGTAGCCTCTAGAGAAGTTGGAGAAGATATTGTGCTCCATGGCTATCTCGGCACACAACGGCAGGCTGGCAAGAATCTGCTCTTTGCCGAACTGCGGAGTACAACTCTATCACATTCCATTCAATTGGTCGCCTCGAACAAGACCACCAGCACCGAGGGAGAAAGTGTTTTTGAGAGACTCAGTACGCTGAACGTCGAGACGCCAGTAGCAATTGAGGGCAAAATTAAGAGTCGCAAGGCCAAACCGTCTCCGTCCAAAGCAGATGAAGGAGCTGTCAAGCAAATAACAGATGTCGAGATTGAACTGACCAAAGTCTCTCCACTAAACCACTTCCCCAAGGATATTATGGTCACCCAAGACTCAGTCTTCTCTGCAGAGCAAAGGCACTTACAACTAAGAATGGAGAAGCCGCTTCGGGATGCACTAGCTTTCAGGAGTAAAGCAGCCAGCATCTTACGCACAGAATTGTGCGAGGCCAAGGACTTTGTCGAGATTGAGACACCTCTACTGTTCAAGTCCACTCCCGAAGGTGCTCGCGAATTCTTGGTCCCTACTCGCACACCTGGCCTAGCATACGCCTTACCTCAAAGTCCCCAACAGTACAAGCAGATTTTGATGGCAAGTGGTATTCCTCGCTATGTGCAATTTGCCAAATGCTTCCGAGACGAAGACCTTCGTGCTGATAGACAACCTGAATTCACACAAGTGGATCTGGAAATGTCGTTCGCAACTGGAGAGGATGTGATGAACACAGTGGAGTCTGTTGTCAAGACGCTCTGGCAGAAACTCCTTGGAATCTCTCACAGTGACCCGTTCCCGCGACTCTCATACGAAGATGCGATGTCAAGATATGGCTCCGACAAGCCTGATGTGCGTCTTGAATCCAAGATTCAACGTGTTGAGTATATGCTACCTGTGGATCTGATCCGCAAGATTGGTCCGCTACTCGATCCGATTGTCGAGGTGCTCAAGATACCCATCTCAGGCGATGCAAAAGAGACCCGTGCATTTGTGACTCGTTTCATGGACTCGCCAGAAGCCAAGCCTTTCAACGAGAACCCAGAAGGACAGCCCGGCATCTTCATCTACGATCCTCGCAAACCACTCTCCGGCCTTTCGGTTTTCGGTTTCGAGGCCGCAGAAACAATAGAAGAGACATTGGATCTTGAAGAAGGCGATCTGGTCGTCCTTCAAGCTCGTAAGAATGCACCTCATGCAGGCGGCTCAACACCATTAGGCAATCTGCGCCTGGCTCTGCACAAATTTGCTGTCCAGCACAACTACATGCCTGCTCCTCAAGGCTTCGAGTTCCTTTGGATCACCGACTTCCCCCTATTCTCGCCCTCCGTGGCAAACGAGCCTGGTCAAGGTGGCGCTGCAGGTTTGAGCTCCACGCATCATCCTTTCACAGCCCCGAAAACAGCTGAAGATGTGGATTTACTGCTTACCGACCCAGCAGCTGTCAAAGCAGAGCACTACGATTTGGTAGTAAATGGAGTCGAACTTGGAGGTGGTAGTCGCAGAATCCACTCGGTGGCTATGCAGCAGTTCGTCCTTCGCGAGGTCTTGAAGATGAGCGAGGAACGACTCAAAGACTTTGACCATCTCATTGAGGTGTTGCGAGCAGGATGCCCACCGCACGCAGGCATGGCATTGGGATTCGACAGACTGATCGCTGTCATGCTTGGTAAGGAAAGTGTCCGCGATGTGATCGCATTCCCAAAAAGTGGAAGGGGAGAGGATTTACTCGTCAAGAGTCCGACACGCATGACCGAAGACCAACTCAAGACATACCATCTGAAGCTTCGAGAATAATCTGTATACACTCAAACTGTATCATATATGTACAAGTAGTCCAAAAAGAAAATCACTCTAACTCTGACCCCATCCTTCCAAGTTGACGACGTCGGGCTCAGTACCACTCCTCACAATCACCCACTGCACCTCCTCATCTCCGTCATTGACCTCCTGATGCTCTTGATACGCAGGAATTAAAGCGAAATCTCCTGGCTTCAAGACCTGGCGTTTCTTGCCTCCCTCACTAACGACGGCACCTTGACCTCGAACAGCATAGACGATGGTATCTTCGGCGCCGTGGTGGTGAACTGCTGAAGCAGAGTGAGGAGAGGCCAGCATTATGGAGCTACAAATCGATGAGAGGTTTGTGATGGCTGGCATGCGAGTCATGCCTTGTATATCTTAGCTATGATTTATGGTGATGTCGGGCGTGCAATTTTGCCTACCATCTGTCTGGCCGGAAGTAGAGGGTTGAATGTCGGCAGACTTGACGACGTGCACTTCCTTTGAAGCCATGATTGATGTGATACAGGAGTGTTCGATGTTGAGATTATGTTGCAACTGGAGTAGTTGACAGGGACGTGGAACCCCATGGTTCTTGTTCTAGGCTTGTTCTTCTATTGACGTAATGACTTGCCTTTGTGCTGACGGGTGCTACGGATGTCCATAATGGACTCTCTCTGTCTGTCGTGGTCATCAATTAAGGCCAGTCATAAGTAACACGACGTTCTCAGTCCGACAACGAGTCGGTCTGATGCCATTCACAGTCTCGCATGTCATGTCGCAAGCTTGTATGCAATGTCACAGCGGTCCTCGGCGCTCATGGACAGACGCGGACTTCGGATTGCGGAGATGGACAAAAAGCTGGGGAAACATGTGAAAGTTGCCTCGGTACCTCGGCAGGGGGTACATAATAACAGCCTTTTGATTCGCTCCCGTGTCCGTTTCTGCTGAGCTTTACCAAGACTCGTCTCTCCTCGTGACTTGAAGGTATGTTGTTAGCGGGTGGACGGATGAGGTAGATGAAATGTCAAAAGGCTGACATGTGAAGTAAGGAAAACGGATATTACCCTTTGACTTCCTTCCCTCCCTTGCTTGTGTCTTCGACCTCTACTAAGCTTCCTGATTCCTTCGGGTACATACATTTATCATACAACATGTCAGGCACATATTCTAAGGCCGACGTGCAATCGCACAACAAGGCCGACAACCTCTGGATCATTGTCGACGAGGATGTCTATGATATGACCAAGTTCCAGGTGAGATGGAAGCCTCGGTTGAAGGGCTCAAGATTCGGTATGCTAACGCCTTCGATCAGGAAGAGCACCCTGGTGGCAAGAAGATCCTCCAAAGAGTAGCTGGAAAGGATGCCAGCAAGCAGTTCTGGAAGTACCACAATGAGGCCATCCTGAAGAAGTACCAGAAGCAACTCCAGATCGGCTCTCTCGACTCGAAGAAAAAGGCTGCACCACCTACCCCTCCTGCTACCCCTCCCCCAGCAGCCAAGAAGGAGAAGGAGATTGTCAAGCCTGAAGCCGAGCCCGGTTTCGTGGCTCCTGAGCCCGGACGTGACGCCAGAGAGGCCGCCGAAGCTCTTGACCAATTTGGTGACCTGATCCCTGGTGGCGACCCCAACTGGTACCAATCTGTACGTTGTCCTGGTCTACACTGAGGATGCATACTAACAGACTTACAGTACCACTCGCCCTACTTCAACCAATCCCACGCCGATCTCCGCGCCGAAGTCCGAGAGTGGATGGAAAATGAAATCATACCAAACGTTACCGAATGGGACGAGGCCAAGAAGGTTCCAGACTCAGTATACAAGGCCATGGGTGAACGCGGTTACCTCGCTGGTCTCCTGGGTGTTCACTACCCCACGCACGTCACCGACAAGCGTGTCAAGTCTGTCGCCCCAGAGAAGTGGGATCTGTTCCACGAAATGCTTCTTACCGACGAGATCTCAAGAGCTGGCAGTGGTGGCTTCGTCTGGAATCTGATCGGTGGTTTCGGTATCGGTGCTCCTCCCGTCCTCAAGCACGGAAAGAAAGAGCTCGTCGAAAGGATCATGCCTGGTATCTTGAGCGGAGACAAGAGAATCTGTTTGGCCATCACCGAGCCTGATGCTGGTTCTGATGTCGCCAACGTCACTTGCGAGGCTAAGTTGAGCGACGATGGCAAGCACTACATCGTCAACGGCGAGAAGAAGTGGATCACCAACGGTGTCTGGTCCGACTATTTCACCACTGCTGTTCGCACTGGTGGCGAGGGCATGAACGGTATCAGTGTTCTTCTCATCGAGCGCAGCTTTGGCGGCGTCTCAACCAGAAGAATGGATTGCCAAGGTGTCTGGTCGAGTGGTACAACATATGTCACCTTCGAGGACGTCAAGGTGCCAGTCGAGAACTTGATTGGCAAGGAAAATCAAGGTTTCAAGGTTATCATGACAAACTTCAAGTAAGTTTCACTAGCTGCCGACACATACAGAACGAATACTGACAGCAGCTATAGCCACGAACGTATTGGTATCATCATCCAGTGCCTGCGCTTCTCGCGCGTCTGCTACGAGGAATCGATGAAGTACGCCCACAAGCGACGCACTTTCGGCAAGCAGCTTATCGAGCACCCCGTCATCCGTCTCAAGCTGGCCCACATGTTCCGCCAGATCGAAGCATCGTACTCGTGGATGGAAAACCTTATCTACCAATGCCAGCAGATGAACGAAGTGGAGGCCATGCTGAAACTCGGAGGTGCCATTGCCGGTCTCAAGGCTCAAGCAACCACCACTTTCGAGTTCTGCGCTCGCGAGGCCAGTCAGATCTTTGGTGGTCTCAGTTACAGCCGTGGTGGTCAGGGCGCAAAGGTCGAACGCCTCTACAGAGATGTCAGAGCATACGCCATCCCCGGTGGCAGTGAGGAGATTATGTTGGATCTGAGCATCCGCCAGTCCCTGAGGGTGCACAAGGCTTTGGGCATGAAGCTGTAAGTGTGCACCGCTACACAAAGGGCGCGAACAGGTTCCATGCCTCAAGATCTCTGTCGTCAGCCGCAATTCAGCGCCTTAGGCTTGGTTCGAGAGCAAGTAAACTAGCGATACCCTTGATATGAACTGAAATGAGAACATCACTATCCGTTTCGCAAGTGCAACTGCCCGTCTATTCCGATTCTTTGGGTTCTTGTGGTCACTGTGCTTGTCACTCTCTATGCGAGACAAGCGAGATTTTTACCTATGGATGCTCTGCATGATTCAGCTACGCGCCGGCAAGCCCATTCGACATGTCATCAATTTGGTTGGGACGTGTTTGATTCATATCGAAGCTCGCTCATGCAGAGTTCCCTGTGCTTTTCTGCCTATTGCAGTCAAGATGGAGCGGCAAGATCGAAAAAGTTCAATGCATTGCGGAGTTTCCTCGATCAAAACATTTGGAATTCTTCTTCGTGCGTAAGAGTCTTTTGCTGCAAGACATGCGTCACTAAAACCCCTCGGAAAGAACAGAGTCATGCTTCTGCTTTTCAGCCCTTTTTGTGGGCACCTTTAGATGACATGCATGAAAGATTTGTTTGCAAGAACGCGCGCGGGAGATTTGCCTGGATTGGTTCCGCGTTTGGGTCAATTTATTGTCGGCTCTTTGGTCTTCTTCTTTTGCAGGGCGTGAACCCCACTAGATCCTCTGACCGTGTCATGCATGGCTCTCTAGCATTGATCCTTCTTAGCATCTGGGATGTGAGTGTTTTGGCAGGAACAGTGGTGGGGAAAATGTTGGAGGTTGATCTGTCAAAAAGCGGGAAGGAGCGGTCCGTTGCCTTTTCTGTCCACGCCATCATCACCAAACCAAACTCGCTTTTCACGATGGGAACTCATTCGTTCAGCAACACAAACCAAGATGTGCGACCAAACATGCAATGATCCTTCTCAGGGGGCCGTATGTAACCAGATCCAAATCGTCGGTGTGACACGGCGCGGCGAAGCTGCATGGTTGTGCAACAGCCTTACCCAACGAGGCAAAGGCTAGACAGCCATCTCCACATCGTGTCCTTTGCTTCCTTCTAGCTGACCTTTTACCCACTGTCAACACAGCAAAGCCATGTTTCGAAGTCGAGACGCCTTATCTTACTTCTTCATCGTGGCAGGGCTGTGAGGACAGCGGGAGATCCACACCTTGCGATCGGGGATCTCCAGGTAGTATAACGCAATATCGGTAGGCCTTTCTGACGTTTGGGCGTTCTTGGACAGGGAGTATGACATGCATTGCCCGGACCATCTTTACCTCTTCTCTGCAAGCTCATCAGGACGTTGGACTTAGAAAGCGGCGGTCCCGAAGGCTAGGGTATGCAGATGCAGCAACCCAGGCACAGGTACAGCGCTGGTCTCCTTGTTGACGATCGTCTTCTTTTCTGCTATGATCCCCCTCAATGCAGCGCGTTTGGTCGCCCTCGTTTTGTTTCGTCCGTTCGCGATCTGAACGCCGTTCGTCTTCTTGTCCCAAGCGTCCATCGTCTTGTTTTGCCTATCTGTCTCTCTCTTATCCCTCATTGTGGGTATCGTTCAATCCTCCGTCTTTCTTTTAATATCCAACCATTCCACCCGTTACGCGTTTTCCGTCAACTCACCGTCGTTCGTATCCAAACTGTACCGGTGTACCTGATTGATAAGAACATCTTGGCTTTCTTATAACCGAACCATGGCATCAACAGAGGTAAGTTGATACATAGCTACAACACTGCTGCCCTTACATGTATCAAGAGGGAATCCTTCGTCATCTGAATGATAGAAAATGCTGACCTTTCAGAAGTTAAATCCACACCGCTTCTCGCAGCAACAACCACAACATCATGAACCTCAAAGACTATCTGGTGTATACCAATACCACAACGCTCCTGAGGTGTTACCCGAACATGGACTCGAGTACGATGACAACGTATATCCTGTCTCGGACAAGTATCCGGTAACCAGTATGGACGACTATCCTGCAAGCTTCCGCGCACAACAGTATCGCGACACCAACAACAGACCACCTCGGATCATTTTTGGGATGAAGATGCGATCCTTCTTGCTCGTGGCATTTGTGTTCGTCCTCATAGTGGTTGGTGCGGTGGTGGGAGGCACAGTAGGGCATAGTTCATCTCATGCCACAGGCACTGAAGCACTCGCCAATGAAAGCTCGTATGTTACACTGCTGTTTTGTCGTACTATCTTATACTTATACACATTCAGACCGTCATCAACGACATTACAATCATCAGGCGGTGTCCGTACAATCGCTGCATCAGAACCAACCACAGCCTCCATGAAGCCGACCATATCAGCCACTGCATCATCAACAGCACTATCAACACCAACCTTTATCCCTCTCTCCGCCTGTCCATCTGCAAACAACACTCTCTACACCTCAAACCCTTCCACCAACTCTTCCCTAAACCCTTCCGACAATGCCACAACTGTCGACTTGACATATACACGCTACTGCGACGCCAACAAACCTACAGATTTCAAACCCCTGACTTCTGGCTTCGTATACACATTTGACGACTGCATCGAATTATGTGCAACTTACAATGTCTATGCTGTTGGATCGTCAAACTGTAATGTGGCTGTATATGATGTGCAGCAAGCAAGACCAGTTAATTGTGTAGTTGGAAGTGCACAAAACGCTAGTGCGAGTAGTCTAGGCGTTGATGGTGGACTGGCTGTTGCATTGCTTAACCCTTCAACCTAAGTGTTTGACTTGTCTAGTGTGGCGTTTTTCCTTTTGTCTCTGCATTTTTCCGGTCAAAATGTTCTCGGCGGATATGTTTTGTGGATTTGAGCTATGTTATGGAAAGGACAAGGCAGGCATGAAGCCATATGATCACTATCACTAAGTTATTTTTGCATGGAGAATTGGAGCTATTGCGTTAATAGGTTTGTATACTATCGAGGGTAGAATATTTAATTATCATCTTTTTGATTATCTTCAATGATCGCTCGTCGTAGCGATCTATTTCCCTGTGTGCTCCTAGTTCTTGCTCAGCTCGCTCTTCCAATTGCTCCTTCCTAAGCACTCATGTTTGCTCTTACCCAGTGTAGAGAAACTGAACTTGCGACTCTTTTAGCAATCGCAGACCCCGAATGCTCGAGCAGAAACAACTGACAGACTCAAGACAGAGTGGCGATGAGAGAAACACTAGGCTGGATCTTGATTTGGTAAATATGCTTCATTGAGGTATCGTTAATGGTATCTATGTACAAGCGGGTCATTCGTGAATCATATGCCGAATCACTGGCATCTGATCTATGTATGCAAAGAAGTAAGAAACAGGAAAAAGAAGAAAGAACAATGGTACATCTCAAGGATACTGGGATCCAGGAAACACACTTAGTGGTTGTAGCGGTAAGGTTCATAGGCTGCACCACGGTGGTAGTCACCGCCATAAGGAGCAGCACTAGCATTCCACACAGGACTCTGAGGCTCATGTGTATATCCGGTTTCCTGCTTGTAGTACGAGTCTGCAGCGCCACCGTCGACGTGTGTGAGAGGAACAGCATCAGAAGCGCCACGATGGTGAGCATAAGGAGATTCGACACGTTCGTAGCCGGCGCCGCTCTTCTCGGACTTCATGCTTCTGCCTCTGTTGAGGAAGCCAGCTTTGGGCAGGCCGAGCTCGGCGGCGGGAGCTTCCTTGTTGCGGATGTGGTGGGGGTTGGACTTGCCGGAGCAGCAGCAGCAGCTGAAGAGCCAGAACAGGGTGGCGATGAGGATGAAGGCGGTGGCGAGCCATGTCACGGCAAGCATGTGGCCGGACAAGCTGACCTTGACATTATAGTCCTTGAGCTTTTCGTGCAGAGTTGAGACGAGAATGCTGAACATGACTGTAGCTGTGATGGAGCCTCCGAAGATGAGAATGGTCGAGATGATGGCGCAGATCCAGGTAAGGAAGCTGCCCCAGCGCGAGCAGACGGCGAATATGCCAAAGACGATGGTGAGGACCAAGGCCCAGAGACCTGCGAAGTAGGCGGCGAACATCCACTTGCTGACCTTCTTGTACAGGTCAATTGATTTGCGGGTGCTGCTGTCGAGAACCTTGTCGTAGAGAGCATCGGCATTGCTAGAGACATATGACTCGAGTTGGGAGAGAACACCGCTATCACTAGTACCTGCAAGATCCGAAGCAGCATCTTCAGTAGCGTTGAGAGCCTTCTCCAAACTCCAGACCTGGTAGGGGTTGAACCAGAAACCGGTTTGACGAGCAGAACAGTGAGTGATGTTTGTACTGCTTGTGCCATTGCCACTGTCACAGTAGTTCCAGAGGAAGATTTCGTACTTGTTGGAGATGAAACCTTCCTCCTTGGCCAGGTTGATCACTGTACCCAAGGTACTACTGTCGGTTGTGAAATTTGAGAAGTCGGCGCTGAAGAAATGGAGATCGTTTAATGTTGTCGAGTGTTTATCAATGCCACCCAGGTTGATGAGAAGAACGCAGACGAAGGAGGCAATAGTCAGCGCCATCGGCGTGAAGATGCATACTGCACGCCCTGCTTTGCCCATGTTTGCTGGAAGTTGATAGAAGTTGTTTAGTGTTGATACTGGTCCTTCCTAGGTGTGTCTCGCTAATATTTTTTTTTTCCAAGAACCAATGTCGAGAAAGTATATGGCGAATGTGAAACTTGCGGAGGTGGCTAATAAAGGGTCCTTGAGAGTGGAACAGGCGTTGTCGGAAAAAGCGAATTGCTGTTGTTGTGGCGACGCTGGAAGGGTAGACAGCCCAAGCGAATGTTATAGGAAGGAAGGATGGAAAACTCCCAGTCAGGCGAACCAAAGAGGTTTTGTATCAAAACACTCCACGCACTCAGCACGGCACAGGCGATCCTCTAGACTCGTAGTCAGGCTGCCGCAGCCTTTGTCCGCAGGGGTGGCTGCGCAAACACTGCTGACGTACGTTTTGCTGCTGCTCTTCCAACATCTGCGGTGCACTGTCCGTTCACTGGGTGAATCGCACCATGAATCCTTGGCTCTGATCAGCATCCTTGGGAGGTCAATCAAACACATCTCCAACCTCCTCCACCTCTTCTTGCAATCTCCTACCTAAAGCAAAGTCATCCTATACCACGACCTTTCTCAATCGTCTAGGCCCAGGCAAAAGAGACTTCTTCGGCTGACAGTGCTCTCTTGCGTGCCCAGACAAAGGCAACGCGGCCATTGTGAGCTTTTCTCCGTAGACCAACCCGACACTATTTTTAGAACTTCGTGGCAGGGCGGGCAAAAGCCAAGACAACACCTTTGCACTCGCCTTACGAGCAAACTGGCTGGTCTATAAGGGCGAGCAAGACTTGTGGCTGGAGAATGATCTCATGATAACGAAAGCTCGTCGTCGCCTTATGTACGCAACTCATCCCATTTTTCATGACCTACGCATGCACATTTGCCCTGTGATCGATTCTTGACTCGCAGTTTTGCGCTGCAACACCTGTACAGTCTAGCATACCATTAAGTCACAGTCACACGAGAAACAACGATGGTGATGATTGTATAGCCTTTGAAAAATTGTGCTCGTCAGCAACGATTTTGTCCTTGTTTCTATATCATGATCCAAGTAACTGCATGTTCGTGCCATAGCCAGGAACAGAAGAGTCGACATCATTTTCCCTTTCCCATTTTCCACCTCTTTGATCTCGTGAAGATATAGATAAGAGAAAAGATAAGAAAAGGTTGTTCCCTTCCACATCCCAGCGTCATGCCAAAAAGAAACAGTGTGAAGAAAAGGGTGAAGATAGAAGTGAAGAAGCTGTGCAGAGTCGTCAAGCGACAGGACAAGAAAAACACTAGACATTGTAATCAAAAACAAGGTCTTCACTCTCATGTAGAAGAGGATAGACCCAAAGCGCCTGTAACACCGAGCAAAGCAGACATAAACAGGAAATCGTATACCCCCCAAGAGCCCGAAAGGTTTGAACGTGGTATAGCCCATAAAACAAGTCTCGTCTCCCATCGAGATCGAGTCCCGAACGCCGGAAGTTCCAAGATGAGATGGTAGGAAATGCATAACAAAGGAGATCGAGGTTGAAGCTGTCGGCGCGGTCGTGAATGGCTCCGATATGTATGATGTAAAGTATAGGTAGGAAGAATGTCGAAGCTCGAAGAGGTTGTGCCGTAGAGAGGAGAAGATTCCAAAAGGTTTTAAGTAATGATTATAAGGTTAGGTGGGTCGAGGCAAGACAACATAGGTTATTGCTGCTGTTGATCGCGAGGGTTGAAGAATTGGGCGTTCTGCTGGTTACGAGCACGAGCGAGCTGTGCCTCTCTGGCACGCTCTTGGGCCTTGAGCATGTCTGCATCTGGGCGGCCAGGGAGCATGCGGCAGATTTCTCTTGACAAGCTCTCGATGACGTTCTGACGGAACTCCTTGTCCTCGCGGATGTCCTCGCCCTCAAGACGGAACTTGTCTGTCTTGTTCATGTCGCGACGGCGCATGTTCTTGATCTCGGCAATGATGTGGAGGACGGCGCTCTCCTGAGCCTTTGTTCTTGGTAGGCCGTACTTTCCAAAGTTGCGCACGTAGCGACGAGTGACGTCTTGACAGCCATCGGCAGAGAAGGCGATACAGTAAGCAAGCTTCTTCTTCCAGCCTGAGACAAGATGTTAGAACATGTCAAGCAACCAAGTATTGAAGATGGAACATACCATGTGTGTACAGAAGAGGTTGGTCCCAGACCTCTTCAACGGCATCGACGTGCACCCAGCGCTTACGGTGCTCACTGTATACTTCGGTCCATACGTGGTCCTCGCTGTTCCATACCCAGCGGACTCTGCTGCCGACGGCACGGCACAACATGCTGAAGCAGTTGGCCCACTCACCAACACGTCCTCGTCGTGTTTGAAGGAGGACGAAAGCGTCGCTGTAGCGTGGGAAGCGTTCGTGAACCTGGCATTGAGCGTTGGAGCATTGGTAGATCTCGACACGATTGGCACCACGGGCTTGCTCGTCGGGAAGAGGAGCGGCCATGCCAACGGCAATAGTGGGTGCATGGCAGGCACCACACTTGGGGTTGTTGATCCATTGGAAGAAGTGGCGCTTGAACCACTTCATAAGAGCTCTAACGACACAGTCTTGGTAGCCCCAGGCAGGCTTGGTGTTAGGTCCTAATGATGCAGCCTCGGCCAGGAAAAGGTCGCTCTCTTCTTGTGCTTGGTCGTAAATACGTTCCAGAGGAATTGAACGAAGGGCTTCGTCCAGCAGACCAGGGTTCTCCCATCTGCAGGGAGTGTTGGATAGGGACAGGAGCATGGAACGGAAGCGCAACGAGTTTCTGTCTGAGGGGGCGGTTGCGACCAGCGGGATGTTGCGGAGAGACGAATATGAGGGCGGAGCATTTGGCGATTGTTGCTGCTGTTGTGTGGTGTTCCTGGTGAGTGCATTCATGCGCTTTGTGCTGAGAGCACGACGGAATTGGTCCGTCAGATCCTTGGCCCATGTCTCATTGAGGCCTTCGGGTACTGCTGGGCGCCGTCCTCGACTGTTCGGTGTGCGACTAGCCATGGTTCTAAGAAATAGACGGAGCCGTCTCGATAGAGAGCGATGTGAGAATCCGTAGAGCCGTGGTGGTGGTTAGAGAATGCGAAGGTTGAAAGTGCGAGGCGTGCGGCTGGTCGAGTGTCGTAGTGGGTGGGTATGATGGATTGCACAGCCCCTTGGCACCTAGATCGTCACTTTTTACAAGAGGGCGAATTATCAGCGGTCGACCGGGTCGCTGTTTATGTCGTTAGAAGGCGCGAGTTACGGCGCTTCAGAGGGACGGTGTTCGAGAAGGAGCGACGATGGTTTGCACGAAGGCAGGTGCGAGAGAGACGGGCAGATTATGGTCAGCCTCTGCCTTCGCGGCCACGCAATGCACCGGCGAACACGACGCGCACTCTAACGCTTGGACCATTGAAGAAGGCTGACGACGCCTTCCGCATTTGCAATGTCCTCCCACCCAATCCCCGTCCACGTCGTCCTTTTGCGACAACTTGTTCAGCAATTAAATCCACTCTGCCGTCTATCTGATAACGTGCTCAAGTCTATGCTTCGTATTCCTTTGCTACCTCAGGCAGAGATGCCCATATCAATCGTTGTCTGATTGTTCCAGAATTTGTCTTGCCTTGTCAATCGTATCTGATCTTTCCCACGTTGCGTGGCGTCGATAGACCGCTGCCGAGCCATCAAAGCCAACCACTCTTTTGCCGTCGACCTGACGCTCATTAGAAACACTCCCTGTCTATTTTTCGAGAATGTCCAAACACATCCATACTCGCCCGCCGAATTTCAGAACCACTTTTCTTTGTTTTGTTCGTATTCTTGTATCCTTTTGCTCTTGACTTGCCACATAGCAGTCGCCATCTTCTTTCTCCAACCCACCCTGCAGCACCAAGCTTGCATGTCTAGCCTTTGGAGCCGTTTGGTCTGTTGCTTGAAGGGCCATGCCCAGAAGGAGGCTGACGTGTGAACACTTTCGCCGTCCACCCGCTTTTTGCCTATTGTAGCTCTAGCCCCCTTTTTGCCCTTCATGACTCGTAACCCTTTTTTCAAGCCATCCCCACGCTTGTCCCTGGCTCTGTTTCTTTTGCTGTGTTGATTCGTTGATCATCCACACACACCTCATCAGACGTGGGGACGCGTGCCCCTCCATCAATTTCAGATCAGCAGCATGTCCTGCAGGCAAGAATTGGCTGTGCCCCGCAAGATGTTTCTGATTGCAATTGATAATCGCTTGATCATCTACAGCATTCATCGTCGACCTATCTTCCACTGTGACCAGGAATGACACGATACAGCAATAGGCTTTTGATAATGTCATGTAGTAGTATATTGGCTTTTCTTGCTTCTTTGCAGATGCTGCTGCGCCTCTTCTCCACGCAAGACGTCTTTTGACAGCACCACGCTGACGTGTGCTTCACATCAAGTGACTCGTTACGCAGTCCATACATCGGGGAGAACTTGCCCTGAAGTAGACTTGACAGAGGGGACCTTTGTGCGACCTCCTGCCATGCTCATATGACTCATTGCTTGTTGCTGTACGAACTATGGATTTCTTGCATTGCGCATACTGATAACCAAAGACACCTCAATAGGACCTAGGTACGTTGACAACGTATGTGCCTCGGTGCGTTACATGCGTCTCTAGCCCCCTTACGAATTTTGAGCCTCAAGCCTTACGCCTTAGCCTGCTCGACCTGGCCCAACCCTTTGCTCGTCGATGCGTGTGGCATGTCGCCGGCCGCGTTGTCAGACATATTCCAAGCTTTCAGACCTGATCTGCTGCCGTGCCTACGTGCGTACGAGGCAGGTACGCCGTCGACCCTCCCATCACCGCACCTGGTGGATACCTGGGCTGCTGCTGCAATTCAAATTCATCTTCTTCGGTTGAAGACGCGTCCCACTCGTCACGCCGTCTGTCAGACCCCGAGCCAGCCAATCCCCCAGACGGGAACGGTGCTGCATGCGTCGCCAACATCGCTTGACTGTCCGAGCCTACATCTCTCGAAAGCTGCATGTGTCTTCTTTGCGACGGTAGTCCTTGCGGGTCCGTTCCTTGTCTGCCATACGGCTCGTATGCCGTTGACATTGCTGCTGGCGGTGGTGCCGTTTCCTGTCCCCAGGTCCTGATGGGATACGCCCGGCCCTTGCGCCAGGTCTCTGTGACAGGTGGGAAGTACTGACGATACGATAGCCAAGCACATGCTATACCGAGCAGACTCCCAACGATCACGTCAAAGCTGTAATGCGTGTCAATTTTCGACCGCCAAGATGATCAATGTCTCACTTACGGATGGTGCCTCGCGTCCATGATTCTGCTTGCTGCGATCAAAGCGGCGCCGAGAGACGGGATGATGACTACAAAGATCTTCCATACTTCACCTCTCGAGTCCCAGATATGAAGCTTGGCTGCCAGGTATAATGACAGATAGAAGAGTCCAGCGAATGAGCCTGAGGAACAACACGTCAGCTCATCACCATCTCTTCGTCATATCCTCCAAAGCCACTTACTGCTCGAGTGTCCTGAAGGAAAGCTTCTGAAGCCATCTCTCAGGATGCTCATGTCGGTCTGTGTGCATATCGTCGAGTTCGACAGCCCGTATGGAGACGGGTCAACTGATCCGACTCTCGGTTGGCACCGATCAATAAGATCGGGACGTGGCTTGCCAACGGTGTTCTTGAGTGTGCCTATGCCATCCATGAGCTGATCGATTCTTCCTGAAGGTCGTCATCTTGTGTAAACCTACCTGTGATGACGAAAGCGGTGCCTTCTGATAAGGCCAAGCCCAGGATGCCGCAATTGAGTTCCCATAGCCTGTCGACGAGTCTGTAGCGTCCGATTCTTCTGCCAGTGCCTTCAGCGTCGGTAGGTTGTGAGTGTGCAAAGAGTCCATCAATCACTAGCGTCCAGAAGCAGATGATGATAGCGGGACATATGACAACGATGATATAGCATATGCCTGCCGGCACTCGTTCGTGTACTGCATAAGGATATCTTCCTCGAAGTTAGTCAAGATAACCCTAGGAAGCTGAAGTCGAAGACGCAATACTGTAATGTGTAATTTTGAAGTGCAAAATGTTGTCGGAAGCCACTATAAAAACGCAATGTTAGTCTCCAATTTTGGGCCGTTGGCTTTACGCAGGCTGGTCTTACTTGATTTTGTCAATAGCAAGAAATAGAATCGCCAGAACCCTGTTGAACGCATGTCGTTAGATGAGCCAAACACATCTTGCTCAAAACGTCTTACACAATAATCACATAGTCCAGGATGTATCTGGTGCAAGTCAGCATCCTCCCGAAAATGGCACGCGACACATGTATACTCACGATATCACCACTTTTGCAGGCAATGGCTTGCTCGAAAAGGGCAACTTCATCCTTCGCACGGCATCCATTTCAGCGATAATATCATAAGAATGATATGTCTGTCAAACGACAAATCAAAGTGAGCAAAGAGGTGGAGGTGAGCAAGATGACAGTGCGTCTGTGACCCCACACCGAGCTGACTGAAGAATGTCACTGTTCGGAAAGAAAGAGCTATGCTGAGTCGCGTGCCTTTGCGTTTGGCAAAAGGATGGGAAGGAGAAGTAGAAGACCTCTATGCGCTCAGCCCATCAGCTAACAAGTCACCTCCTCAAACATAGAACGATGCGTGTTTCATGGTGGCTGTGATCGAGGCTTGGTCCCAAGACAAGCGCTTGGCTACTGCACCTTCTCATAAAACAAATTTAGGCGGCTGTGATGAGTCAAGTGTCGAGTAGCATTCTCTGAGTGACCTCGATTTGATATCTATACAGACATGCAGTGCAATCCTGGTTCGCGACAACCTTGGACACACTCAGTCCTGCAGTCCTGAAAGACATGATAAGTTGAATCTTTCTCACACACAAGCACGACAGTAAAGCCGTCTTGACCATTACTAAGAACGGAGCATATTATTGGCATTCACAACACACGAGAATGGTGGCAGAATTATTCAGGTCACGTATGGATGATTTGATTTCTCGAGAACTGTTTGGAGGTCTGGCAATATCGTCGTCGACCTTCATTTTGCTAGCTAAACCCACGACCCTGACGATCTCTTGCTCGGATCTAAAACATCCGAGAAGCCGAGCTCATCAACGTTCAATTTTCAGCCACCTCATTATTTACAATTGTTAGTGAATTCGTCTTGTAGCAAACAGATCACGTTCCTCGTCAAGCTCGACTAGATCAGCAGGCCCACAAGAATTAAAAAGTGCATCAGCCTCAATCATCGCCCAACTCACATCCTAAATAACGAGAAGTCATCTCGTTAGCGAAGCGCCCCATGAACATGGCATTGAACAGAGATCCATCCTTAAGTTTCTGCCCAAGCGTCTCATAGGGGAGTTTCTTTGTTCTTTCGTCTCTCAATTCGATGATGCGATCTAGAAAATTGGCAAAAGCTTCTTCTGGAAGCTCTGTGTCAATGTATCTGTATGAACCTGGCCCACAGAAATCTGCAATATAAGCGAGGTACTTTTCCGTATATGGCTCTTGATACATCGCGGTATTGAAGCGTCTCAGATAAGCACGAGCCTTTGTCTCGAGTCCATGCTTTCTCGCAAGCAGGTACAGTCCAGCGAAGAATGATGGATCATGCTTGACATCGGGGACCGGGAATTCGGGGATGTACATGTCTTCTATGAAAGTTGCGACCGCAGCGGAGCAATGCTCATTACTGAGGTCAATCTCTGCGCTCTTTTGTGAGGTTAGCGGATCAATCTATTGATGTCCCGACGATAGCACCACTGACCTTAGGTGAGCCTGCGAGCATAGTCTGAAACTCGCGCGAGTGGGTTGCGAGAACGATTTTGTGAGCCGCAATCGACTGTTTCTCGCCGTAAACGATAGAGACGTCGGAGAACCTCTTATCATTAAAGAAGTTCTTTGTGTTCCTTGAGAGAATTTGTTGTCAGCATTCATCAGAAAGATGGTAAATCAGACCCACCTCTGTCTCGCTTCGACTCCTATCAGACTAGGGTCCCAATCTTTCGTGTGGCGGCTGAGCTCTTCATATTTCATGTTCTGATTCTTGAACAGATCTTTTCCAAGTTTCGCGCCGAACTCAGCGGCACGTTTACTGTCAAATATCTCTCCCTTCATGTATTGCTGGAGAAATTCTTCGTTACTGAAGAGCGGCGAAGAATATGCCTGGCAGAGATGCATGACCAGGGCTTGTAGCGTGTCATCGGCAAGCTGCAAGCAAGAGGGTCCGCATATTCTGACGATGTGCTCGATGAAGGTATTCTTGAATGTACGTTTGTCACGCAAGTTACGAAGGTCGGTGAGTGCCATTTCATTGAAAGCCGCGGCTGTTCTTCGACGAAGGCCTTGAATGTCGTATTTATCAGCCAGCAAGTAAACATCGATGAGCTTCTGTAGAGCAATCGTTCGAACCGGGCGTTTGATCTGATCATAGATGGATCCATGGTGGTACAGATATTTGATCACATCCATAAGCAGTCCAGGATCGTCTTCATCGCCCACATCGACGACAGTGTTCCATGCAACCTGTTTGAGTCAGTCAAGCACTTCATCATTAGTAAGAACCACTTACCTGGAAGAGACCGAGAAATGCAGTGGCAAAGTATCCAGACTGCTGCGCGAGGATGACTTTGTGCGCGCGGATCCGATGTTCGCCGAATTTGATGGTGATATCCGAGTACTGTTCATTGTCGTAGAAGGAAGCCGTGAGGCTATCCACTGATGCCATGGCGTGAGATTCAGAGAAGAGTGTGCGATTGAATCAAAAAAGTGTGGAGAGTTGGCAGGATGGCGCAGAGAAGTAGCGAAGTCAGAGGTGTTGATGAAAGTGGGAAAGCGCGATTGTCTTTGTGGACGTCGACCTGTTTGTGAATCTCACTTGCTGATGGAAGTCGCATTGAAGTTCCAAAACAGGTCGCAGCGAACTTGGTCTCACGTCCAAGTCTCTGCGCGGTGGCAGTTTAGTTTGTCTGATCTGACTTTGCTTTGACATCGATTGCTTCACTAACAGCGTACACCACTATCGCCTTCAGTTGCTCTGAGTCACTCCTTTACTTTATTTCGTGGGACCACAGGAGAAAGACCCAGGCCGCAGTGAAACGAGATTTTAGGAAGAAAGAGAAACAAATGCATTAGAATGTATAACTAGTGTTCTGAGTCTGTAGCTCCTCTCTTCTCAAAGAAGCAAACGGGAGACACTTGCGGTTGTGAAGATGTAAGATTGACATCTACTGAAAGAAAAGGAAATCGACGACAAGGAAACGCCATTGGTATTGAAGAAAATGCAGCCCATGAAGAAGCATTGATGCCTCCAGGCTCATGTTTTGTTGGTGTGAATTCCAGCCATTTCTGCAGCAAAGCGTCCAGCATACTTTGTGTTGAATAATGTTCCTCCAACAAGCATTTTCAAGAACGTTTTGTTCTCTTCGAACAAGGTCTTTGCGTCTTCGACACAGCGCTTGAAAACTTCTTCAGACAGCTTTGTATGGGTTTCCGCGGAAGAGTCTGGACCACAGACGCGAGCGACTGCCAAAGGATAGCTCGGTTTGTGCGTTCCTTCTTTCATGCCCTCCAAGAACCTGGAGCGGTGACGGGTGTTGGAGTTTTCAAGGCCGTACTTCTGAGTCAGAGCGCACATTTCTGTGATGTAGGCTGCCCATTCGTCCAGTTTGATTACATGGTCGGGGTCATAGATTTCGTACAGCATGATTAGAACCAGATCGGGGTTGTCTTTTCGATCAAGAGTGATGCGGTGACACTGCAATCGTGTCAGTCTCAGTATATTGATGGGTATGAAGCATGGGACAGCTGGATCAGTATCACTCACATTTGAAGATTGCTCAAGCACGTCATTGAAACATGCTGAATGAACGGAGAGAAGGATCTTGTGGGCGAAGAACGCTTCACCAGCACCATAAATGACTTGAACATCGGACAATGCTTCGAAACATTCTTCGAAACGAGGCCTGCTTCCAATTGATGTTTAGTTTATGAGTGTGAAACATGCAAAATGTGCGCCTTACTCTGGAATTGTTCGCCAGCATTCTAAGCGTACCTTTTTGCCACTGCTGTCGAGTAACGACTGAAGGTATTGACCAAGCTCTGAGACATGATCACCATCAAACAACTGCCCAGTACCATACAAGGTGCAGAAGTCAGGATCACGATGCAGTGTCGTCCAATGCTCCTTGCATAGATCCAGGATGGATTGTTGCAGTGTTTTGTCAGCGAGCTGAAGGGCAGAGGGTCCGCAAATCCTAGGAATAATCGAGGTGATGAAACAGTGTTGGTAAGTAAGGTTCTTGCCAACATTAGAGAAGGCAATGTCCATTGCGCGGGTGAAGTGGTTGCACACAGAAACTCGTAGAGACTCAACGTCGTACTTGTCAGCCAGTACAAACATGTCGACCATTGCTTCTACGATATTCCCGCCAGGCAAACGACTGTAGTCGATGTATCGACCACCATACATGAACTTGATCATTGCACGGACCATATCAGGCTCGTCGTCTTCACCTAGATCAATGATGGAGCTGGACGCGACCTGAATAGGTTTATCAGCCAAGCTTTGTCGAGCTCACGTATGCAGACTTACAGGAAAGCGTCCAAGAAAGGCTCTTTTGAAGTAGACAGAGTTCTGTGCAAGGATAATCCGATGCGCGGGCAGCAATAGATCGCCTAATTTGACAGTGACATCCGAGTATCGGCTGCTCGAGTAGAACTTCAACAATCTGGAAGATCTGAGAGTCTCGACGGACCCCATGATGGTGCTGATGGCAATGAGAGCTGAACATGGCAGAGTGAGACAGTTCTAGATAGGTGGTGCATTGTTTTATCGCTTATTTGGAAGGACGTGCGCAGCGGAGGCACCAAGAGGGAGATGTGAGACTCTGTTTACGACAGTGAGAGTGACAATGCATCTTGTAGAGACTTCGGAGTTTTGACGGTGGTTGACGTTGATCGTTTCTCATTGATATGTTCTTTTTCTGCTCTACGCTATGCACATGAAGGCAGTTTTGTGTTTGGATCATCCTCATGTTATCGAGGATATCACGGCGACATCTTGGCTTGGGAGAAGTCCATCTCGGGATGCTGGGCCATGAATTTTTCTGGTTGCAGGTTAGCACAAGACTGGACCTGACAAAGGCGGATAGGTTGTACACACCAAGCATCTCTTGCTTCTTCTGCTCGTCAGAAGTGGGCAGACCCATCTCTTTCTGCTTCTGGTCGTACATCATCTTCTCAACCATGGATCTGGTGTTGCCATCAAGGTCGCTGAGCTTGCTGTTCTCAGGGGCAATCTTGGAGGTATCGATCTTGGGAGCGTTCTTGACGACGTGGGCCCACCATTCCATCTTGTTGACCTTGTCGAGGTGGACAGCGAGTTCCTTGCCTGAGGGGGTGGTTTCTAGGGTCCAGGTAGATTCGTCGACATAGATGGGGTGAGGGAGGTCGCCCTAGTTGCTGGCCTTTAGCAGAGTCCAGACAAGGGAGATGGTATGAGGCATACATCGATGATGGGATCCTGGCCCTTGATTGCGACACGCAGGTGGTCCTTTGTGATCTTGATGTCGAAGTCGCGGGCCTTGAGGTTTCCAGGAACCTGAGCAGTCAAGTCTACATCCTGAATGGTCTGCATCCACTTGTAGGGAAGCTTGGCCTGTTCTTCGGCCTCACGGGCAGCAGAAGCCTTGTCGGCAGCTTCGCGTTCTGAGGGAGTTGGTGAAGACGACATTTTGGTGTTGATATTGAGGGGAATGTTTAACGAAGCTTCATGGATGTTTTGCGACTGCCCCGCCTGCTCATCAACGCTCGGAGGTGAAGCTTTGGCCGCCGCAGAAGATGATGTGTCAAGGGAAAGAGCGATCGGATGCTTCTTTGGAGCTGCCCATTATCGAGCAATTGCCAAAGAAGTCCAGTTTGAACTTATTCTTCTCTTGCTACATGAGTAACCGGATCACGTACACAAAGAGGAGCCCTCCAACCCAGATGTCATGTCTCCGAGCATGCCATGCGATGCCCCACAAGCTGAATGAGCAACAACCCGACATCGGCCGAAATTTCACCTGGTCTTGCTGAAGTTCGCGATGACTCTCTTCTCCACACTCCTCAGCAACAATGGCATCCCGTACACTAAGAATTGGTCGGCTTTCACATTCCTAATCCAGCGCTGCCCACTAACATATACACAGGTCTCATCCCTGGTGATGGCATTGGCCGCGAGGTTATTCCTGCCGGTCGTCGCATCCTCGAGGCCCTGCCCAAGTCTCTGGGTCTCAACTTCTCCTTCGTCGACTTGGAAGCTGGTTTCGAGACCTTCCAGAAGACTGGAGCTGCCTTGCCCGAGAGGACCGTCGACACTCTGAAGCAGGAGTGCGATGGTGCTCTCTTCGGTGCCGTGAGCTCTCCCACCACTCCCACCAAGGGCTACTCCTCTCCCATCGTCGCTCTCCGCAAGCGTCTCGATCTGTACGCCAATGTCCGTCCTGTCAAGAGTGTCAAGGGCACCACCATGTTCCCCGACCCCATTGACCTCGTCATTGTTCGCGAGAACACCGAGGATCTCTACGTCAAGGAGGAGAAGACATACGACACCGAGAATGGCAAGGTTGCCGAGGCTATCAAGCGCATTTCCGAGCGTGCCTCGAGCCGTATTGCTACCATGGCTGGTGACATTGCTCTCCGTCGCCAACGCGTTCGTGACTCAACCGGTCAGACTGGCAAGTCTGCCAACGTCACAATCACTCACAAGAGCAACGTTCTCTCGCAAACCGATGGTCTCTTCCGTCTGACTGCTCGCGAGGCTCTTGCTCAACCCCAGTTCAAGGGCGTCAATGTTGACGAGCAGATCGTTGACAGCATGGTCTACAAGCTGTTCCGTCAGCCTGAGACTTACGATGTCATTGTCGCCCCCAACCTCTACGGTGACATTCTCTCAGACGGTGCTGCCGCTCTTGTTGGCAGTCTGGGTCTTGTTCCCTCTGCCAACGTTGGTGAGGGTTTCGCCATTGGTGAGCCTTGCCACGGCTCTGCTCCTGACATCCAGGGTCAGAACATTGCCAACCCCATCGCTACTCTCCGCAGCGTCGCTCTCATGCTTGAGTTCCTCAACGAGGAGAAGGCTGCTGCCGTCATCTACAAGGCTGTTGACGCCAACCTTGAGGAGGGCAAGTACTTGAGCCCTGACATGGGTGGTACGGCTAAGACCACCGAGGTTGTTGAGGACATCCTCAGAAGAATGTAAAAACAGTCATGCTTGTATAGAATTTTTTAGATACCAAAAAGCAATGGGACACGGAACGACATGATCACACTCTACATATTCAGGTTATCGTCAGAATGCCACAAAGACAAATGGCATAGTGGTATAGTACTATCGTAATGTATCTCGCTCAATGGGCATTCACATGCTCAGCACGTCACATCAACGATCCGGGGAAAATTCTCGACGTCACCAAGGGTCTTTCAACATCCCGCTGAGTCGACAAAGAAACATCCCCCTCTTTCTCTTATCCTAAGCACTTCACACGACTTTTGAATTTCAAGATGGCGGACAAGTACATGCTCAGAGTGACCGCCGGGTCCGACTACGATGAGGCCAACCAAAAGCTGGTCCATGTCAACACCGAACAACCGCTCAGCATTTCAAACTCAAAGCTCGATGCTTCATTGACTGTCCGTATCCAAAACTACCGTGGTGAACCTGTCAACTCTCCCTCGTCGTGCGCCTACTTCGAAACCGACCCGCACAAGTCCGACCTCTACAGCATTTCTTTCTCCTTCACGCCCAAGAAGGACATCAACGGCCATGATCTGGTCTTCGGAAACGACTTTGACCACCCAATCAGGGACAAGCTGCCTCCAGGCTTTGGACAGGCAATGAAGATTGCCCAGTGGTTCATCGATCCTGGACTTTATGGCGATGCGTACGCCGACGAGCCATACCTCTACGGACCTTTCCTCAGTTCGATCAACACATTGAGAGTCGGAGAGAAGAAAGAGCCTGATGAATTAAAGGGAAGCGAAGACAAACCCGTCGTGGTGTCTGAAGGCGCCGATGGTGACGGTGTCGAGGCTAGAAAGAAGGCTGGCTTGCCTGACGAAGCAAACGCTCGCAAGAAGCACTTCCTCAAGGAGCAGCACCTGAAGGACTTTACTTTCGAGAAGGGCAGAAACTACAGCTGCGACTTCTTTAACCCCTACTTGGACTTCAACGGTATGCTGAAAAGTCAGAAGAGTGGAGGATCGGTATGCTGACAGACAGGCAGACTTTGCACTCAAGCTCCCTGGATTCAGCTACATTCCCGGCATCACCATCCCTATTATCAGTTACTGGGATGGTCAACCTCTGAGGTAAGCAGTACTGTCTTCGAACAGCCCATTCTTTCACTCAAAAAGTTCTCTGGTGTGTGATGAGCAGAATCTGACTAACACAAGGTCTCATGCACTTAGATATGTCCTCAAAGACAGAAGCACAAACGAGGTTCTCTTTGTCATCATCTTCACACTGCTACCCCGCCACAGCGAGGGGCAGAAGGACGAGTCAAAGAAGGACGACAAGTCTGGCCAGAAAGACGAAGATCTGGATTGAGACATGGTCAGGATAGATTAGATTAATACACGATACCCCCGAATACATGATTCACACTCCTCTCACAATTATAGAAAGGTAGAGACATAACGTCTTGTGCACGTCAAGACTAACGAGTCGTACATGTGTTCAGTAAAAATGTTTGGTTCCAGGTTTCCAAGTTTTCGAGACAGATCGTCATGTGTGACTTTCAGCCACCTGCAATCGTTGCCTTGGGGTGGCTGGGGATTTATGCAAGTTTTATATTGCTATTTGATTGGCGAGACCAAATACGCGACATGGTCTCAGAGTGTATGAGGCTATCACAGTGTATGTATTGATGTGTTGGCCGTGGAGAGCAACTTGGCTATAAGAATAGGGTCAACTCATTCTAGCTACCTGGCTGGTACAGGTACTTTCACACGGTTTAGAGCGTTTAGACTTTCAGTTGCTATCGTGACGATTTGCAAAAAAGCTTGGATCACACGCACGTCATTTAACCCGCTGTCCATTTACACCAGACGCGTAGAGCCGCCATCCAATTCTTACTCGTACCTCCACATCGATTTGCTCAAGCAGTCGATCTCTTTTTGCTCAATCTTGTCGCTGTTAGCATTATCCTGTTTCTTCTGTCTCGTTGCATTTTTCAGCCTTGTCTTTTGGATACACCTCTCACACAATGCGTACCCGCAACCAAGAAAAGACGCCCTCGTCGCAGTCATCATCGCAACAGACTGCTGCCTCTGAAAAACGCACAAGCCGCAAGAGAAGAGCAAGCAGCTCCTCCGACGCGCCAATCCCTCAGAGCTCTCAAACTACCGCCTCGTCATCATCACAAACCAAGCGCAGAAAGAGACAAGACGCGTCTTACGACCATCCTGAAGACCTCACCATCCTCGATGAAGAAGAGTCTGTCACCACCGCTACCCCTGCTTCTGCAGTCCGCCATGTCCACTTCACCGAGTCTACCTCTCAAGGTCAGAAGGCCACTTCGACACACCTGACTCCTCACATCCGCAAGACTGTCACAACCGAAAGACGTCAAACAATTTCCCCTTCCAAGTTCGAGCAGCTGTCGACACCACCTCCCAAGTCTCGCCTGTCTCTACCCGCCACATTCTCCCCTTCGCCCACCATCTCCAGCCTGTTCCGTCCCTTGAGTCAGGTCCTGTCGGAACGTGTTAAGAGCCGTCTTCGCCGCAGCCGTCTGAGCGAGGAGATAAAGGAGCAAAGAGATGGCTCCGAGGCCCATCAAGAGCTCGTCCAACTGCGTCAAGAGATTGCTGAGATTGAGGACACTATTCGTACCCGTCTTCACCAGCTCGACGTCGAGAAGCAGCTGGGAGAAGATGCCGATGATCAAAAGATGGAAGACATCCAGGCCGAGCTCGATCAACTCAATGAAGATCTTGCTGAGAAGAAGGCTCTGGAGGCCGCCATTCCTGATGTCGATTCCATCGACGCCGTCGATGTCATCAACGAGGACATGATGGTCTTTGATAGCAGCCAGAACATCTCATACCCTAGCCTTCCTTCTTCCGGCACCGAAGTCCGCACCGTTCAGAAGGTTTCCGATGCTGTTGACATCACAGATGCCCAAACCCAGGTTGCTCTTCCCGACTCCACCCAGGAAGAAGAGCGCCGCGCCTTCAAGGAGGCCATTCAATACTGGACTGACGAAGCATCCAATGCAAAGTCCACTCTCCAGATCCTGACCATCGAGTTGCAGTCTCTTGGCTTCCCTGGCGAGAACCCCGACGCCATTCTTGCCTCCATCCGCGAATCCTTTGCCTCTGTTCGTGAGCGCCTCGAGTCTGCTGTTCCTGGAGTTACTCCTAGCAATATCTCAGATGCCGACCTTGTCGAGCTCGTCATCCAGCACCTCGAGGGTCTTGCTAGCAAGGTAACCGAGCAGGAGGTCTTCATCTCCGACAATGACCAGCTTCGTCAAGAGCTTGTCAACGAAATTGATGGTCTCGTCGAGAGATTGAGCCAGGCTGAGATTCGTAAGCGCACCCTCGAAATTGGTTTCAACGAGCTGGATGCACAGAGTCAAAGAGATGAGCAGTTGATCGACTCTCTTAGCAAGGAGCTGAACAAGATCGAAAAGAACCACGACATGGCTCAGACTCTCATCAGTGAAAAGAAGGCACAGCTGGCTGAGCTCGACCGCGAAAACAAGGACCAGGACACAACCATCAAGAAGCTCGGTGAAGCCCTCGAGGGCTACAGAGCCAACGAGGCCAACCTTCATGCTCTCATCACCCGTATGGAGCAGGAGAACAATGTCAAGATCTCTGACCTTACCAAGGCTAACCAAGCTGCTGTGTCTGAACTTGAGGAGCAGCTTCGTGTTGAGGGCACCAAGCGCCACGCTGCCGAAGCTGATGCTGACGACAAGCAAAACATCATTACCACACTGGAGCGCCGTGCCGAGGAAGATGAAGCTAACATCGACACTCTCAAGCAACAACTTGCCACTCTTCAAGGTCTGCACACAGCCGAACAGCAAGCCAGAGAGGTTGCTGAGGCCGTCAATGACGAGAACGCAACAGTCATCGCTGAGCTTGAGGACAAGATCGAGCAGGCCGAAAGTGACTTGGAACAGCTTAGAGCTGACTTGGACAACCTTCGCGCCCTCGAGGAGGCAGAACGTCGCCAGCGCGAGGCAGCCGAAGCCGACTTGGATGACCGCAACAACCAGATCACTGAACTGGAACAGAAGCTGCTGGCATCAGGCAAGCAAGCCAACGAGTTGCGCCAAAAGCTATTCGAGGTTCAGCAGCGTTCCAAGGAAGCTCTTGCAGAGCTCCAGACCCTCGCAGAGGAGCGAGACACCAAGCATGCTGCTGAGCTTGCTGCCTACGACGTGAAGATCCGAGATGCCAACGATGCCGCCACTTTCGCCAAGATCGAGACCAAGGCATACGAAGAACAACTCGAGACCATTACAAGGGACATGGGCAAGCAACTTGATGAGCGCGCCGCCAAGCTTAGGGAGTGGGCGGCCAAGCTTGATGAGTTGACTGCAGAGCTGAAGGCAACAAAGAAGGAGTTGAACGACGCAATGGTGTCTCTTGATCAGCTGCAGCAGTCATCTGAGGCTCGCATCGCTGAGCTCGTTGCTGATGTTGCCGATCTGCAAGGTGTCATTGCTCAGCACGAGGCCACAATCAAGGTTCTCAATGCTGAGGCTGAGACAACTGCCCAAACCCATGCCGTCGCCATTACCGAGAGAGACGAGAAGATCGCTGACCTCAACCACGACATCTACAACGCCCGAAATGAGATCAAGAACCTTGAGGCCGAGAAGGAGTCGTTGGAACGCCGTGTCGAGGCCGAGGCCGAAGCAATGCTCGAATTGCAGGCCGATCGCGATGACCAGATCGCCGACCTCAAGAACAACATCCGCAACAAGCAAGCCGAGATCGAAAACCTTGGCCGCAAGGCCCAAGAGGTGGACCGCAGCTGGGAGCGTGTGATGAACGAGCGCAACACAGAGATCGAAGAGCTTCGTCAAACTGGATCCGAAAACACGACTACCATCGCCCGCCTTACAAAGCTCAATGCAGCACTCAAGGAGAAGTTCAGACTTTATGTTCGCGACTCCACTGCTACCGTTCAGGCCATGCATGAGGATATGGAGCAAGCTGTTCTCTCCGCCTCAGCTAAGAGCGGTGAACTGCGTGAGGTCGGCCGTCGTGTGCTTGAGGAGGTCGAGGCTATGGACACTGTCGGCGAGATGGTCACTGTTGCCTCTTCATCATCTGCTGCCAACCCTCGTGTTCAGCATCTTAAGCAAAGCCGTCGCAACCGTCGCCAATACGACTCTGGCATCGGTGTTGACGAGGACTCTCTGCTCGAGGAGTAAGGATGAGAATGAAGAAGCTTTTTGAACGGCCTTGGGTTTCATGACTGCACACACCCATGATGAAATTGCTTTTTTCTGTTGGCATTGCGTTGTTTTGTTTTGTTGATTTGGGTTTCTGTTTCTCCTTGGAAGGAACGATGGATTTTGAATGATGAGATCCTTGTTGATTGGTCATATCTTAATGGTATGCCTCATTGTCTTTTCTCTTTTCGCTTTTGGTAATTCATGAGCGAGTACGTAGTATTTCCACATAGGTATAGAAGAATTGGCCTTCGACTTCTGCATTGATGACGCTTCTTTTTCTCTGTACAATCCTCGTTAGAAAACATGTAAAGGTGTGTCGTCTCTCGGCGACGAAGCCAGGTCTTGTTACAACTTTCCCGGCCGTCGTCCTTGCTCAACATCATTCGTTCTCTGTCTTGCTGTCGTAAAGGCGAAGCCCAAACTACTTCCGATTGCTGTGGTCTTTTTCGTGTCGATATCCTCTACTGCGTCACATTCAATGTTGGTCAACGCATCTTCTCTGATGATCCTCTTTGAACAACCTTGTAGACAGTCGACCACGTTTTCTCTTGCCATTGTCGACGTCTGTACCGTTCTTCTCTAACCTTCTCCTTCGCTCGGTGACTCCGATGTCCTTCCCACGAACGACCTACGAAGCAAAGATCTTGAGTGCTCGTCTTTGATTCAAGACACTAAGACAAGATACCGACGTCCCATCGACACATTTGTCCAACGCTTGTTGATATAGACAATACATCCTACGACCTCTTAAGGTGAGCTTGCCGACACCAAACATTCTACAGCCCTTCAAGGCAAGCTTGCCGACTACGCTCCAGCGTAGTCAAGCAAGGCTCTTTAGGGCCTTGCCGTCCGTCCATCACAAGCAGCCTCTGATGAGCAATCAAGTCAGTTGCAAAAAAGGCGAGATGGTCGCGCGAGTCTATCCCCTTACTCTACTCCTTTCCCTCCCCTCTCTCTCTCTCTCCTCTTCTTCCCCTTCTATCCTTCCCCCACCATCTCAGCAACAAAACAAGAGCAAAAAAGATCGTTATAGACTCCTGGGAGATGAGCAAAAGATATGTTGACGAGAGTGGGATTTGAACCCACGCCCTTTCGGACCAGCGAACTCAGGTAGAACCTTAAGCTGGCGCCTTAGACCGCTCGGCCATCTCGCCTTTTTTCGCACCTGATATGATTGCTCATCAGAGGCTGCTTGTGGTAAACAGTCGCGTCTGTCAAACTATATACTTTGCAAGCGAAAAAGACTGAGTCTCGCGCCCAGCAGGAAAACCGACGACGTGGTATGGCGATGTGGTGGTGAGAATGGCAAGGAAGAGACATGATTTGCGAGGCTCAATCGAGATGCGCGAGCCTTGCCGTGAACTTTTTCCTGGCTACTACTATTGCTTTGTGTGCAGAGACATCGTCACAGAATCGAAGGTCTTTCAATGTCCTGCTTAATATGCCAGTTTGAAATCAAAAAATCCATAATCGTCGTTCGACCATACAATTTGCAAAGATCCGACTCACTCTACTAGTATCGAGCAGTAAATTACACCTGGAGACAGGCTCAGATATCGTATATGACGCCTGGAAGGTCTGTAATATGGAATGTTCGTCCTGGAGTGTTTGTTGAAGGTCTCACCCTGACTCTATGAATAGGATATTTTCTGTACTCGGTTGCCGCTCAAATCTCGTAACCTGCCAAAAAAAAAAGATTGAAAAGTGATTGAAGTCCTTCAATGATACAGGAAAGGTAAGCAGATATTACGAGCACCTTACCATTTCCAATGAATGATGAGTATAACAGATGTGCACGATCACGATCAGACAGACAAGGAGAAGAGGAATTAGCAAAATAGTATCAATTTCGAGCGGAGTATGCGCCTGTTGTAGAGCATCATAGCTAAAGAAACATCGTTCTACCAGTTCCCTTTATGATACCATCTTCGATGTGACCCACTTTGAACCGCCATGCATGAAAAAGAAACCATGAGATGCCGCCAGAAGAAATCGCAGCCTCGATGAACGCCTCCTATATACCCGCCATGTAACGCCACGAAATGCGTAAACTCGCTGGTGAGAAAGACAAACGCCGCGCTGAGGAACCAGAAACATCAAGTGTGGTTGTTTACCACAAGGTGTAACCACCGTCGATGAGGCAGTTGTTGCCAGTCATGTAGCTGGAACCAGGCGAAGCCAAGTAGACAGCAAGGTTGTTGAGGTCGTCAACAGCGCCGAGGCGCTTCTGGGGAGTGTTGTCCATCCAGATGCGCTTTTGAGCGTCGAGAGCAGGAACGCGGTTGAGGGCGGTGTCCATGTAGCCAGGCGAGATGGAGTTGACACGGATGTTGTAGCGAGCCCACTCGGCGGCGAGAGACTTGGTGAGCTGGATGACAGCAGCCTTGGAGGCATTGTAGCAGGACTGCTCCTGAGGGTAGTTGACGATGGTGCCAGACATGGAGGCGATGTTGATCATGGAGCCACCGGTCTGGAGTTTGATCATCTGCTGACCAACAGCCTGAGCAACAAGGAAGGTGCCGGTGATATTGATGTCGAGAAGGCGACGGAACTTCTCAGAGTCGTAGGTCTCAGCCTTGACGTTGGAGCTGGAGCATGTCAGTAAGAGTGAAGATGAGTGTGAAGGATATAAACTTACTCGGCAATGCCAGCAGCATTGATAAGAACATCAATTTGACCGTAGTGAGCAGCGACATCCTGGACAGCCTGCTGGATGGCGGCCTCATCACGAACATCGACCTTGTAGAAGCGAACATCGACACCAGTCTGGGCGGAAAGCTCGCGGGCAGACTTCTCACCTAGATCCTGCTGAACGTCAAAGATGCCAATGCCCTTGACGCCAACCTCAGAGAGGGCCTGAGCCATGTTGTAGCCCAATCCACGACCGCCGCTAGGAGTGAGTTAGCAAAGAGTGAAGTGAGGATAGAAGTGAAGAGATCTTACCCGGTAATAACAGCGACCTTGCCGTGGAGAGTGAATTTCTTCATGGTGGGAGGAAGGAGATCGAGCAGCTCAGACTTGAGAGGCTGAGCAGCGACCTCAATGTCCTGACCAGGAGGGTTGACAGGCTCATTGCTGGCAGCAGGGACAGAGAGGGTCTCCTGCTCACGCTGGCCAGACTGGTTGTACGAGACGACCTTGATAGACTTCTCATCGCCAAGAGCACGAGTCGAGGCCAGAGTGCGAATCAAGACTGGCGAGCGTGAGATTTGAACGGCGGCGCGGCGCATGGCGCGGAGAACAGGAGTACGCATGGTTGACAGGTAGACCATCTTGCCGAATGTTTGAAGTTGTGATGAAGGAAGAAGTAGAAGAGGGGTAGATCAAGTAGATGATCAAACGAAGAAAGACTTTGATGAACTTGGATGAGATCGTCAAAGTTGAAGTGGATGGTCGAAGCGAGGGAGGAATTGGTTCGCGGAGCACGTTATATACACGAGAGACGAGGGACGTGCGCGGAGGACCGTACTTGATGAATGTGAAGGGCAGGAACCGAGTGAAGAAGTTGAGGCAGGAACGAGTGACGCTTAAAGTAAACTTTGGCGGTTTGCTATGCTCTTTGACCACCCGAGTGGAAGGTGCAAGTGACGACCGGGCAATCAACGGCAGGAAGTGGAAGGGTCCAAAGCTTCGATTGATGGTCAATGACGGGTTCATGAGAAAACATTCTTGACAAGGGAAGATATACCTAGTCCAATCTCCACTGTAACAGTAGCAGGGCAGTCAAACACGAGCGCTATAGGTATTGATTATCACTTTTGACTTTCTCAATTTGTCCCAGGGATCCAGTTGAATGAGATGACGCAACCTGTGACAAGTTGCCTGACTACAACAAGATGAAAGGTTGGGTGTTCGTCAAGAATAGAAGATATGGCTCAGGTCAGCTTATCAGGCAAGACGGGAGCAGAACGGGTATGTGCAGGGAATGTGATTGATCAATGAAGCCTGAGACCAGGAGAAAACAGAAAGGATTTCTGAGATCCAGGTAGGGTCGGGGTGCCTTTTATCATCATCCCTTCTCGTTCATGCATGATAGGGCAGAAGAAAAAATTACAACTACCTGGGCCTTCTTTACGTGTAACACAGTCATGTGGCTTCTCACCGTTATCATCGGAAAGCGGTGAGGGCTGCATAGAAGCAAGGACCCGATATCCCTTCTCCCTGATGGGTTGCATGCCTTTGGTGGGTTATGGATCGATGAAGGACAGTGCAGGCCGCGAAACGCGGTCACAAAATATGACGGCTGCTTGCCCCAGTTTCTCGGGACCCCAGAAACGTTTGACGTGCAACCCACGCTCTCACCTCGTTGATTTCTAACAGGCTTGATGAAGGGGTTTGTGGCGCGCCTTGCAGCAGCCAACTCGATACCTGCATGCAGGAGTAGCAGGAGAAACATATCCGGATTCGATATATCGAGTCGCCTCTTCGGTCTACTGAACCTCGAGCCAGACAACAAAATGCAGACCGACGAACCATATTCCAGGAAATGTCCTATCTTCCACGCTCAGTGCCCAAGCCACGTCTATCCATATGTACCTTAATGACTTTCGCAAAATAGAACAAGTCACAGCCTCAACAGCTTGGTCATTGTGGAAATTGAGATCACAACCTCCAAGGCAACGAGTGAGCCATGCTGTGACCAAAGGGGGCGAGCCAGTGTCTTCTCTTTGTAATGATCCGTGCTGGTTGGTGTGTATGAACAGATGACTTGGATGTTGAAATTACACCACGAAAAGAACACTGTTACATGTCTATTCCCCACGAGAGATTGATGGACAACGGTCCGCAAGGAGTGGACCACAGAATGGCGATTCGGCCCGCCGTACCCGGGTGCTGGCGTGGGGGCTGGCGCGAACGGATGTCAAAACCCAAATTGAAACATGGAGTCGTCTGGTTTGGAAGGCCAGCCAATCTCGAATTAGGCTTCCATGCAGAAGGATTTTTTGGTCTGTTTGATGCTGGAGATCTGTGGCTCGAGTATGGTCGAATATGAAAAAAAAGGAGTGACAATGTGCAAGGGAGAAATTGACCAACTTTTGACTATGTAGAGAAAGCGGTCTGTACATCAAAGGTATATAACAGAAGAAACAAGACCCAGAGAGACCACCGTCGAACGCCGTGCACACGACGCTATGCAGATGAAGGAAAAAAAAAGGGAACCAGAAACCATATGTCCAAAGTAAGAAGGAAAAGGCAGTTTTGAACAGAATCGTGTGTTGGACGTAAGGGTGGTATCTTAGGTGAGTTCGACGTAGTTGCTGCAGACCAATGTTAGCCTAGTTCAATGGTGCAAAGAGCATTGAAAGCTTACCTGGGGAAGATGCCTTCTCTTGAGCCAATTCTACCTGTCCACCAATCGTTACTGCTATCAGACTTCTTGACAATAGTAATAATGTCGCCCTTCTTGAAGCCCAAGTCGCCAGGCTGATCAGGATCGAATGTGAACTTTGCAATGGCCTGACCTGGCTGGGGAGTCTTCACATCGCCGAAGTTTGGCTTAGGAGCACTAGGTCTAGAAGGCTTGCGATCGGAGTACGAGTAATCGCCTTGATCAGCAAACGCACTGTTGCTGCGTGCACGAGAAGCCTCTAGGCGATCGAAGGTTTCGCTAGGGTTGGCGCGGCCGTAGCTGGGTTGTCTGTCATAAACATCATCTTGCCAAGTACTGGCACGCGAAGGACCACCAAAGCTGCCTGATCCTGTGCGGTCTGTACGGACGCCTTCACCGTGAGCGGTGCCTCTTCTGCCTTGCCAGATGACGTCGTCGTGGGATTCATCGTAGACGGGAATGTCGTTGTACATGGCGTCGCCCTGGGCTGCAGCATTTCCGGCGAAGATTCTGCTGTTGAGGACGCGCATCAGAGGCTCGGCCTGGGGTGGAACGGGAACGGCGCCTTCGAGTAGGGCTCTGGCAGTGACGCGACGGTTGTACATCTTCTCGTTGGCATCTCTTCTCTCGATCATAGCACTACCCTCGAGAGAGATACCAGCAAACAAGCCCTTGGTCTTGCTGTAAGCAAAGATACCGGCGACACCTTTGAGCGAAGCAGCACCCGCAGCTTCGGCATTGCGACCGACAGGACCAGCAGCAATCGAGACATTGCCTCCCAGAGTGATACTGCCAGCTTGAGCAAAGGTGCGGACGGCGGCAGCGTCATTGAGGATGAAGACGAAATCGGTAAGTTCGAAACCGATTTGACCACCGAAGCCACCACCGACGGTACCAATTGCAGAGGGAGCGGACCTTGGGCCGATGTCAGCAGATGTCTAGGACAAAGCGAAGAGAGGCAGTATTACCAGGAGCCGTCTGCCAGACGGGCTACGATGACACCGGAGCCGAAACGACCAGAACCGAGGAAGCCGGCCTTGAAGACGGTCATGATGGCGAGACCTTTGGCATTTGCGAGGATTTGAGGAGGAATGATCTTGTCGGGGCCGAAGGACTGTCTGGGGTCGATGAAGGAGGCGAGAATCTTGCCAGTCTTTTTACACTCGCCTATGAAGCATCAGAAGGCGTGTAAAGGATAGTGGTGAAGGAGCGCGACTTACTCTTCATGGAAGAAGGCAGCGGGTTGTTGATGAGCGGCATGTCGAGCGGATGGGACGGCAATCGTATGGGAGATTGAAGACGTAGAGGTCAGAGGAGAGTAGGCGACGTGAATGGCACCCAGAGTCTTGAAGGACAAGGAAGAAACGAAGATGGGCGCAGCGACACGAGAATGAGATGCGTTAGGCATACAAGTCCAGTCGAACTCGGCCAAGTCATGGCATAGCTCGGCCACGGCGAACAGCCCCACCAACGACCAAGCGTCGTCATTGTCTGTGCACCGTGCTTCCTCCCGCCAAACCCCAGATCGGCAACAACTTCCGACCTTGGGGGTTCCTGCTTGCTGCTTGTACCGACATTATTGACCATTCTTTGTTCCTCGACCCATCGCATCTGCCTAGCAGCTCCCGTACGCCTTCAGTCGTCGCAAATCCATTACGACCATCCACAAAGCCCTTCCAAGAGATCGCCACAATGTCTGAAGCCTACGAGCGCGAACGGTAGACTCCTCTTTCCCCTGCTGCGACATCACACAGCCACTGACACCTTCCAAAGTCAAAATAACTCACGCCTCGAAGACCTCGCCGGAAAGGTATCCGCCTTACGCGGCGTCACCATCGACATCTACGACAATGCCCGCGACCAGGGCGTCATCGATTCTTCCGTACGCCCCCTGACTATTCGAGTCTTACAACCCTGCTAATACCTAGCCTCAGACAAATGCATTCTCCACCTTCTCGAACAGCTTGCAAGGCAGTGCTGGAAGATTGACGCGTATGGCGCAACAAGGAAACAAGGTCGCCATTCTCAAGCTCGCTGGAATCATCATCGCCATTGTTCTCGTCCTCTACTGGGTTGGCGGCTGGGTGTTTGGAGGCTCCAAGGCTGCTTGAGGAGATTCGCTTCTCATCGAGATGGTTTTTGCAACACAACGACACTGGCCCAAGTACTTCTGGTCTTGTGGAAGAGCAGCGTCACGCGCCCACGAGGCCAAGCATATCTGCCTACCGATACGTAGAAAGGAGGTTCGAGTCGAAGTAGCCCAGCAATCCGTTGTGGCTACATGTCAGAAGAGATGTACACCAGATCGCAGAGATAGGAAGTGGTCCATCTGCAGATTGGTACCAAGGAGACGGCCTGGCGAAGTTGGAAAACATGGAGGGCAAGGCACACAGCACGTTTACTACGTCAACATGACACTTCACGAAGTCACCACAAAAGCGTTACACATTTGGGAATGTACAGGCGACTAGGGTCAAATGTTCTTCCAAAGCATTTTCATATTGTATATTAGGCAGAAGGGCACTTGTATTCAACCATGACCATCAAGGTCTTCAATGCTATTTTGACCCTTCCCGCTAATGTCCCAATACTACTTTTTAACCCCAGACATTTCCAAAAAGATCATCTGAAGCTGGTGCCTTGCTGTTAGTTGTCGAAGCAGCCGGTGCAGGTGCACTGCTCCAACCACCAAAGTCATCATCCTGGCTGACGGTAGGCTTGCTAGAAGAAGTGCCCTCATTGCTTCCCCAACCACCAAAGTCGTCGTCGTTTGACACGCTTGTCATGGCAGGTGCTTTGTATGATGTAGTAGGAGCAGGGGCCTTGTACGAAGTAGTGGGTGGGGCAGGCGCTGCTGGCTCAGGGGTGCTCCAAGCATTGTTCGAGCCCCAAGCATCCATATTATCGAGGCCAGACATGGCTGGTACGGGTGCAGGCTTCGGTGGTGGTGCGGGGCTCGACAAGTTGAAGGCAGATGCAGAGGTTGAAGTTGCAGGCTTGGGAGGCGCAGGAGCAGGAGCACTCATATCGAACAAGTCTCCCATGCCAGAGCTGGCGGGAACTGGCGATTTTGTGGACATAGGTGCTGGTGATGGTGCGGATGTGAAATCACCAAAATCGCCAAATCCACTCGACATGCGAGCTGGTTGAGGCTTGGGAGCAGGTGCAGCGGCTGGTTTAGGCGGAGGCGCAGGCTTAGCATCGAAGAAGCTGCCGCCACTGAGAGAACTTGTACGTGATACTGGGGAAGTTAGATTCGAGAAGGCAGAGGGCTTGGGCTGCTGCTGTTGCTGCTGTTGTGGAACAGGTGTGCCACCGAAGTTCAAGCCGCCAAAAGCATCAGCCATACCACCGAAAGAGGACGTCGAAGCAGCAGGAGATTGTAGCGGTGGTGAAGAGAAACCACCAAAAGCGTTCGAGGAAGATTGAGGCTGCTGTACTGGAGCAGGCTTAGGTGCAGAGGCGTACAAGGACAGGATGGACTGCTTGAGATCTGATCGTGGATTGCTTCCAGCAGTAGCGACTCCTGAAGCAGCGCTAGCTGGGCGTGCTGGTGGCGCGGACTGGCTGTTTCCAAAAAAGTCGAGACCAAGTAGAGAGTCGCCAGGACGGTTTTGCTTGGGAGGTGCAGCAGGAGCCTTTTGCTGTTGTTGTGGAGGAGGTCTTGAAGCGATGGTAGGTTCGGCGGTGCTGGCACGGGCTGGGGTCGGGTCGTCGCCAAAAAGATCGATGACTGGAGCAGGTGCTCTGGGAGCTGCAGGAGGAGCAGCAGGACCGCTGCTCATCGAAGCATTTCTGAGAGAGGCCGATCGGTCGAGCTTGGCCTTTTCTTGAACTACGCTGAGGGGCTGGAGGCTGGTCAGCGGCTCTGTACTAGCAGAAGGTTGATTTGTATTTACCACGTCTTCATCCCCACCCTCGCCTCCCAGAGTCGAGGGGTCTGGAATGGGACCATCCATAGTCCATCTCTTCGAGTCGTACTTTGTGCGGATGAAGTTCTCGATCTTGCTGCATACGTGTTAGTCGTTGGCTTCAGGATTGGTTGCTCTGTTGTAGACGAGAGACGTACGCTTCAGCGGGAACATGACCAGGGGCGAGCTTTGCTTCCCAGTACCTATAGATGACAATCAGCAAATGTGTGCTATGGCAGAACGAGGATGCTGTACTTGTTGGCTCTGGTGTTGCCCCACTTCAGCATGCTCTGAAGTTGCTCGTCGGTCCAAGAATCCAGGTCGACAGACTTGACTCTGCTAATGTGCGTGCCCATGCCACGATGAATACCAGAGCATCTACATGTATTGTTAGCAAGCGTCTAGACGTATGGTTGCAGTGGCTGCGCACCGAATGCAGATGAAGATGCCCAAGTTCCAACTGGCCCATCTCGGGTCTGTCGACACTTGTCAGCTTCCACGCCTTGTTACAATATCCAAACATCGTACGCTTGTTCCTTTTGCAGTCTGCACAGCTCTTGTTTCCTTCCAACTTGACCAGGCTCTTCAACGTCTGCTGGTTCTGCATCGTCCTGTCGGGTCCAGCTGGTCTCCGCGACATGGCGGCGGTTGTGTGGAATTCGGGGAAGTGTCGTGTGAGGTGTGACGGTGACGGATTGACCAAGTGAGGTGATTATTGTTACGTCCGTGATGTTCGACTGAGGATCCGCGGAGAGATCAAATTGTTGTGTACCTAATCTGGATCTGGACAAGGGACGAACGATTAATCAAAGCTGCCCCTATGCCTATGACGCTGCTCCGCCCGCACGTGATCCTTGACTCAATACCGACGGCTCATTCAAATTCGGGTTTCATAACTCAAATGAACTGGTTTCAGTGTTCCTGTTCTTTTGGAAGTGCAGGGAATATGTAGAAAAAGACAATTGACCTCCCCAGCGCCTCGCTGCCATGCCTCGTATGGGTATTACGCCAAAAACACCGACCAAAGCTGTAATGCAATCCCTCGTCTTGTCGTCTCCTTTTGTAGTCGAATAACACCATCACCATCTGCCACCTCCCCTTCTTCCATAGCCACCACCACCTCCGCCCCGTCTGCCGCCATATCCACCGCTGCGACCGCCATACTCTCTGTCATCGTAACCACCTCTAGGACCGGAGGGCTCGTCACGAATCGGCGGTTGTCGACCTTGGAGATCCTTCTGTAGCTGTTGGTATGTCTTGCGCATTTGTGCATAACCAAGATGCATCTTTCCAAAAAAGTGATCCGCCAGTCTGCGATCGTTGTCCAATCTACTGAGGTATGCGCCGCACACATCGCAGACTTGGAGCTTCTGATGACCCGAGGGGCCTGAAGTGTCGGATAGAGCCTTGAGCTCACGTTCGCGATCCTCCTTCAACTGTTTTTGCTGCCTGATACGGAAGTATTCTGTGACTGCCGTATTGACACTGCCCAGCTCGCCCAAGATCTGGACCTCGACCAGACCATCCTCGATGTTGCGCGACAGTTCGCCAATCTGTTTCAAAAGAGCATTTGTTTGGCGAATCTCATCAGGGGTCTTTTCCAAGCGGCGCTGAGCGCTGTCGATGCGTCGGTTGCAGTCATCGATGTATTTTTGCATGTCTCGCATGTAGTCGAACTCAAAGCCCCATTTGCGCTTTTGGTGGTCGTCTGCATTTTCGTATTCGGACTTCAAGGCTTCGCTGTGGGTCTTTGGACATAGACCGAGATCTTGTTTGGTGTTGGTAAACAGGTCGTGAGGACAGGTGCCGACAAGGTAGGAGCGGCACACCTTTGGATCAGTGATGGACAATTGAGGAGCGCGCGATGCGCCAGGGCCAGCCAGCAACTGCTCGCCCATAAGCTGCTCTGTGAAGACATGTCAGTAAAGTGTCCAGACCAGGATGTTAAATGTGAAGTCGTACCAAGCAGCTTTCTCTGCTCGGCTGCCATGTTGACTATGCGCTTTGTCGCAGATGTGTTTTGTGGGTGACGTTAGGAGAGATTAGGCGACAGCGCAGATGGAGGAGTCGAGGAAGACTGATGCAAAGTGATTGATGTCGAGCGAGTGGTTGTGATATGCAGATGGAAAGCTTTGGCGAGCAGCAACAGCAAAAGCGGAAGAGACAGTGGCCGCTCCGCGCTGGTCGCTGATGGACTTCTTGGCACATGTATGCTCGACTTGTCAACCCCCTTTAGCCATCTCCAATCTACGCCATGAGGCCGCCATGCTCGTGATAGTCTTTGCCCTGTCGCTGCTGTGCCTGTTTGCACCATGGGCTGAAGGGCAATACACCGAGCTGCTCGACCTGCATCCGCTGCCTCAATCTCAACTTCTGGCCGCCTTCAACTTCAAGGCCAACACCACAAAGTCCGACTTCGATGCCCAGAACTACCGCTTGTTCCCGCGCTCCCTCGGCCAGATCCTGCAACATACACATGCCCGAGAGCTCCATCTTCGCTTCAGTCTTGGTCGCTGGGATTCAGAGAACTGGGGAGAACGACCCCGCCATGGTCGCCGTGAAGGAGGCACTGGTGTCGAGCTGTGGGCTTGGGTCGACGCAGACTCGCATGAACAAGCCAATGCTCGCTGGTTGACTCTGAGCAATGCTCTGTCCGGTCTATTCTGTGCTTCTATGAACTTCATTGACTCGACCAAGACCATTCGTCCTGCCATGACCTTTGATCTGGAAGGCTCTCATAAGAACACATCTGGCTTACACCTGCTGCACGGCGCTCTGCCTCACGAAGTTGTCTGTACCGAAAACTTGACTCCCTTCTTGAAGCTTCTCCCGTGCAAGGGCAAGGCTGGCATCGCGACCCTCCTTGATGGACACAAGCTTTTTGATGCCTCCTGGCAGACAATGGCCATTGATGTGCGCCCCATCTGTCCTACTGATGGAAGCGAATGCCTGCTGGAGATTGAACAGACGGTAGACATGGTTCTTGACTTAGACCGATCCATGCGATCTCAGCAAGATCCCATCCCCAGGCCTCCACCACTCGAGGAAATCGCTTGTGACACAGAAAAGTGGTACCACAATCACGATACTTGTTACCCACGCGAACGTTCTACAGAGCGTGACTGGACCCTGAGTAGGGTATTCGGTCGTCCCATTCGTGGTTCTTGCCATGTCAACCAAGGTCCCTCTCCTGAATCAGTCATCCTGCATGCTGCTCCTGGTCAAGATATTCAGATTACCGCCGAGGAGGCCCACACTGAGAACAAATCTGAGGATGGCGTTGTAAGCTATGTTCTTCCGCAGTCTGGTGATTTTGATATTGCCATGGGCGAGCAACCTCTGATCTCGCCTTTGACCCTGGAACAACCACGCCTCCGTGCTGAACGAACCATGGTCGGTTACGGCCAGGAGCGCGGCGGCATGCGGGTTATCCTTACCAATCCATCTAGTACTGATGCTGTAGACCTTGTCTATCTCGAGTCTTTACCATGGTTCATGAAACCATATCTGCACACCCTGCACGCCTCTATCAACTCTGTTCCATCACCATCATCTATCCAGCAGATCTTCTACAGGCCCGCCATTGATCGTGCCAGAGGTACTCATCTTGAGCTACGCCTCCACGTTCCTGCCGGTGCCTCCTTGGTCCTAACATACGACTTTGAAAAAGCCATTCTGCGATACACCGAATATCCTCCTGATGCGAACCGTGGCTTTGATGTTGCGCCTTCAATAGTCAAGCTGCTAACCAATTCAACCAACGGGCAACACAACCCGCCCGTATATTTGCGCACCACTTCCATGCTGCTGCCCCTTCCAACTCCTGACTTCAGTATGCCATACAACGTAATCATCTTGACTAGCACTGTCATGGCCATGGCATTTGGCAGCATCTTCAACCTGGTCGTCCGCCGGTTTGTTGCCGCAGATGAGGTCGAGCCTGCAGGAATCGTTGCCATTAAAGCAAAGGTCCAGGCCGTCGTCGCCAGCTTGAAGCAGAAAATTCAGAAGGGCAGGGAGGTCAAGGCTGCTGATCAAAACGGTGAAACCAAAAAAGCACGGTAGTTGGATATGTTCGGCCACAGCCCACATACAGTATATGAGAAAATGACATTCCTGATCAATACTATGTATCGTCCTTTGCATCTGGCTTCCCTCACAATCAATGCCCCTGGATATTGTCTCAAGATTAGAGACAAACCTGCCTAAGCTGTTCTCGTGAAATGGCTCCTTTTCTTCTGGCATTGCTGCTATTAATCTTTGTAGGTACACAGCTTTCAGGAAGCGATGTCCTCAAAAGGAGAAGTGTGCAAGATCTCACATCTGAAACTGCTTGGCTGTCTTGCATCTCACTTTCACTTCACTTTCACTCCGTCTCACCCTCACTCCTGAGCACCTCTAGACCATATATTCCCGTCAACCACCTCTTCACACATCCCCTTCCCCTTAGCCCAATCGTCCATCCCCTCCAAAGATCTTGAGTTCGAATCTCTGCATCTGCTAATAATTCTCTCAGAACGTCCGTGGCCCTAGTCATACTGTCCCTTGTGGTGAGGATCTCAGAGAGGCGTCATCCTGTCGGCTAACTGTAGAATTCGTAACTTCGGGTAGGTGATTCTCGCCCCTGATGTCTAACCAGCACAGGTCCAGGGCCTAGTCCACTCGCCAGCTCGGAGCAGCAGTCTTGCACCTGATCTTGCAAACACAAGGATGGTGATTCTGCGCGCACTGGGCGATGGCTGGATTGAATTGTTCTTTCGGAGAATTCTCTTGCAAACACAAGGCTTTCACTGCTTGAATGAGCTTTCTAGAAGTTCAATATTCACGACCCCCGCTGTAAGTGAAACTTTCCCCTAAACAACTCGAGATCTTTGGCATCACCTTCTTTTTTGCTTTGTTTGTCTGTCACTATGTACACTGCGTGCTTGTCCGATGTTGTTCCTTCGTCTAGTGGCCCTTTGGATTCTTCTCGGCTGGATGATCAAACACTTTTCCTGGGTTCATCAACCAGTTCGGGTCCAATGCCATCTTGACCTTCTGCATCACGCCAATGGTATCCAAGCCTAGCTCTTTGACCAACGAGTTCTTCTTTCCAAGTCCAATACCATGCTCACCAGTGCACGTTCCTTCCATCTCCAGCGCTCTGTCAACCATTCTCGTTACACACTCTTCGACCTTCTTCTTTTCCTCTGGGTTCTTGCCATCGTACATGATACTCTCGTGGAAGTTGCCGTCGCCGACGTGACCAAGTACCGATGCAAAAAGGCCCAACTCATCCATCTCGCGCTTGGACACTTCCACAATATCAGGCAACCTCGAAAGCGGCACCGCAACATCCGTACTCCAAACCTCCTCATCCCCCTTCCTCAACGCCAACATACTCCATAGCGACTCCTTCCTCGCGGACCAAAGTTTCTTCTGCTCCTCTGGATCAGCAGTAAACTCAAAATCCAGCGATTTGCATTGTTTGCTCAGTTTCTTGACCAAGTCTACGTTTTCCCTGACTCCTGCTTTTGTGCCTGAGAATTTGAAAAACATGGTTGGCACTTCCCTCCACACTTTTTTTGTGGATTTGGATTTGTTGACTACGCTCATTTGGACTTCGTCCATGATTTCCATGGCGCCGATTGGGACGCCGGCTTTTATGATCGCAGAAGCTGCGCTGGCTGCATCGCGGATGCTTGGGAAAGTGACCACCGCGACGCTGGTCTCTTGAGGGATGACTTGCAGCTTGAGCGTGATTTCTGTGACGATACCAAGCGTACCTTCAGACCCGATAAACATTCCTGTGAGATTGTAACCGGCGGAGGATTTTCTGGGTCGGCGTTTGGTTTTTATGATTGTGCCGTCTGCGAGCACGACTGTGAGGTTTAGTACGTTGTCTTTCATGGTGCCGTAGCGGACGGCGTTTGTGCCTGAGCAGTTTGTTCCTGTCATGCCTCCTATCTGTGCAGACGGTCCGGGGTCTACAGGGAAGAAAAGATTTGTATGGGCGATTTCTTCGTTGAGTTTCATCCAGCCGATAGAGGGTTGCACTACCACGTCCAGATCATCTTCGTGCAAGGCGACGATTTTGTCCATGAAGGCGAAATCAATGCAGAAACCACCATAGGGAGCCGAAAAGTTGCCTTCTAGACTTGAACCTCCAGAATATGGGACTGAGAAAGGTATGAGTAAGACCTAACATAAGCATTTCTAGGACGTCCTTACCGATAGGAATCTTGTACTTGTAGCACACTTTAGCAATCTCAGATACTTCTTCTGTAGACTTGGGATACAAGACAGCAATAGGAAGCACATCAACGTTGATGGTCGACCACTCCGAGAATCCATGTCGATGCAACTCATCATCATCTGTAGTAATCGAGTCTTCACCAAGTTTGGTTTGCACTTCTTCAATTGCCTATACCACATCAGTTTCTCCTATCCTCACACATAGTTGAGATGCTTACCTTCTCCCACTCTGACTTCTTAGCATACACCGGTGCCTGGGAAGCATTTACCCCATCTTTCTTGAGGATAGACCTGGCATCATAGGTTCCATATGTATATGCCAATGCTCCAGTAAAAGCACTCAAAAGCAACACCTTGTTGGTAGTCCAGAAAGCGGATTGGTTAATAGGTCCTGCACCTGTAGAATTAAATCGTCGTTGTTGGCGACCAATGAGTGGCGTTCGGCGGAGTCCCCGCATGACGGCTGGATTGAAGCGCATCCTTGTCGCCATTGTCCAGAGAGTCTCACAAGGTAAGACGTATGGTATACGTAGAGTCGATGAAGAATATAGAAGACACGTCTCTGACTGCCCTATCAGGTTCTTGCCTATCGAGAGTGCAGGATTGGGACGATGTCACGACTTCCGAGGCCCGGAGCACGTAAACTAGCTCGCTGTGTATTGTCCCGGCGGGAAGGCCGTGTTCCTGTACCGCACCCGCTATTGACCTAACTTATCTGTTCCCCTCTCGCTGCCTCTCCACTCTTCTTCCTACACCCCACCTTTGCTCCTGAGGCGCTCAGGCTACTGCAGCGAGCTGAGATTTCTCCGTGCATATGCATGCATACCAGTTTCAGCCGCAAGGGCACGTGTTTGTGCGTTGCTCCCTACCTAGCATAAAACGCTCCCTCGCGGTGTGGGCGTCCATACTTTCGGACCGACGGTGAAACACTCCTATATCAAACTGTATAGGTATACGCAACAAGCCCTCGCAACAGTGCAAGCCAAGCAATCGCTCTCGTTGTTGTTCTTTGCCAAGGCAGTTCAGTTGAAACTTGGAAAGGTGTATTTCAAAGCAGCTCCTAAATCACCGATCTTGCGAACTGCCGTTCATGCAAATCGCAGATTTGAAAGGAAAGAGCGCTGTCAAACGCGCAACGCCCACCACGAACGAGGAGAGGGTCGCAAAAAAACGAGTTGCAAACATTGGAAAGTGGTCGAAGGAATGAGGCTGTTCCTTGGCTGCATGAAATTGACGGTCGCCAACATGTGGTGTCATCTGCTGGTCGCAATATGGTCGTCATCTGGGCTGCGGGAAAACTTTCCCATGTTTTGATCTGTCTCAAAATCCCATGATAGCAGGGCAATTTCAAACCCCGAGTCCGATCATCTTGTTATGCGAGATGTCGCCGAGCCCCCTCCCAGCTTATGGATTATCTCGTTTACATGGCTAAGAGTTCCATCCTTCCAACCCTTGTTACTTTGATACGCGTGCCGCTGCAGCACCACCGGATTCTTGAGAATGCCATTCTTTCGGAATCTCTTCCACACCCATTTGTTAGTTGTGACGACAGAAAACGCAGGCATAGCAAGGGAAAGCATAGTGCCTCGTTAGGACCTAGGACCGCCTGCACTGCTTTGCCTCTTTCTTATACCCTTGTCCCTGGTATTATGGGTAGTTCGGCCGAATACCAGTCAAAAAGACCCACCGGGAACCAATGACCATCACGGCAACGCAAGAGAAGAAAAAAAGCAAGCTGGGCGCAACTCTTTCTATGGGCAGTAATAGCTGGGCTCGAAAAATTGGCAGACTCGGAGGTTTGCTCCCCAGAGTCACATTGTGTAATCTTGACGAACTGCGGAGCTGGAGGTTGGCTCAGCTGGGTAGTGGCACAGTCATGCGCGCGTCAGTCCACATACGGAAGCGGTAAATGCTTGTAGGGATACAGGAGCCACCTCCGTCTATACTTGAATCTTTCTTTTCCACCATTGTTTGCTGGCAGCGAACCGAAAAAAAGCCATGGCCCCCATCCCCATGCCATGGGAAATCCTTTACTTTTTTCGTTGAGATGGCGGAAATTTGCCGCTGTCATTCTGGCGGCGCCGTAGGCGAGCCGTGTCTCCGTGTAAATCACAGAAGAGGTTCACATCTGCGATCCTTGCTGCAAACCCTATTGGGCCATATGCCTTTCTGTGCTAAGTAAAAGAAACTGGCAGGTGGGGGCTTAAACGTATGGGGAGTTGAAGTCCGTCTGCGCGTCGGACTTGGTGACCGTCGCCTGCGTGCCCATAGCATAGCTGAATATAAGGAGGGTTACGCTCCCGTGAGGGCCGAACCCATTTCCTGTTCCACCATTCCCCCTGCCTACTTCCACTTTCCCATCTCTTGCACTTTTGGAGGAGTCTGTCACCACCTTTTGTTCACAACTTGTTCACAATGAATCTCGCAAGCATACTTCAGCATCCCATCGAGGCAATGCACACACCAACACCTCGACACTCCTCTTCCAGCATGTCGACCTCGCCAATACTCTCACCTCACGCAGGGTGCGGTGTAGTCAAGCCATCAAAGTCAACCAAGCGAACACAAACCAAAGCCGCCTGCCTCGGATGTCGGCAACGAAAATCAAAGGTCAGTTTCGAGAGTCGTTTCATCCTGTCCTGCAACACCGTTACTGACTCGCGTCTCCATCAACAGTGCGACGGAGACCGTCCATCATGTAAAATGTGTCTCGAAAGAAACTCCAAATGCGAGTATTCAGTCGAAGAAGGCAAGACCCAGCAACAAGCCACCAAAGAGCAACTACGATCGTACAAGGATGTATTGTCGTTGCTGAGGAGTAGCTCGCCCAAGGAGAGCGAAGCTATCTTGCATATCCTCAAGAACATGGACCTCAACGCCGCCTGCAGGTTCATCCTCGATGGACCTGTCTTTGTACTGAGTCGGTGAGCGATATGCTTCGCTTCCCATGTGCCAGAGACCGTCACAGTGCACAATACTTCCAGCAACCAAGTGGTGTCCATGGAGAGAGCTTCTGCGTAGGCTATCTCCATGGCCACACCTCAGGCACCTGTGCATTTCGATAGCTTCCGATGCCCCTCTACCTCGCCGTCGGACAGGGGTTGATCGCGAAGTTATGACGGTCTTTGGCGTGGGAAGAAAAAGAACACACAAAATACTTTCTGTACACGTCATCGTCCAGTGGAAGCAAAGATACCACTGCAGTCGACGTACACACAACACACAGCATACATCCAGCACTGATCGATTGTTTTTTCATTCGTCAAAGGTCTTGTTTTTGTGGTTACACTGGGTTGTAAACATTAAATAGGAGGGAAAGTGGTTTGATATGCTGAAGGTTTTCTCCTGGCGCGTCTACACCTTGCCGATCATTCCACTTCTGATGGTAAAGGCGGTGCTGATGCGGTGTGGCTTGCGAGCAGGGCTCACACTGCGAGGTCCGCGATTTTCAGCTGGGGCCAGTCCAGGAGCTGGAGATACTGCGATGGTATGCCTTTTGGTCGGATCTCTTCTTCTGTTACTCTCGACGACGTCAGTCGATGGCCATGAGATTGTTGATAGCTCTCCAGAGAATTGAACGCCAGTATCTCGCTCAAGTTTCTTTCGCCAGATCTCTACTTGTATGTTCCACCATGTTTCGAGCTTCGCACGTCGCTTTTGTGTTTCGTCATCCCATGCGCGTACCATATCGTCGCATTCGCGCTGTAGACTGTCAATCTCTTTGACTTGGCGGGCTTCCAGTTCTGCTAGCTCTTCTTCTTGCTTGACTAGTCGTTGACTGATGCGTCTGCTTTGCTCGCCTCTGAGCACGCTTATGGCACCGCTGTGTTTTGCTTCCATCTGGTCGCGTGCTCGTCTTGCTTTTGTGAGTTCGGCGAGATCCCGATCGGTGATGGCTCTTTCATGTCGATCTCCACTTGTTGTTTCGCCGCGACAGTATGCTTCCATGTGTTTGAGAGCGATTGCGTTGTTCCGTGTTTCCACTTCATGTGCTTCACGCATCTCGTGTTCGTCCAGTACATGCTTGTCCTCTATGCGAGCGATCACCGCGCTCTGTTTTTCTGATAGCTGGTCCTTCTGGCGGTCGAAGTATGGTAGTAGCTGTAACTTGCGCACTGCGTAGCCGTCTATTATGCCTTGTCTCTTTGACCCAGCCCAAGCAACTAGACTGTCGCGTTGCCGTTCTTGCTCCTGTCTAAGGTCTTTAAACTCAGGCATCCCCAATGCTTTTTCCAAATTCTTTCTTTTCTCTTCCTCCAAGGTCTGAAGTTGCTCGGCTCCGCAAACTGGTGATCTGGATTGCGATCGTGATTTCGGATATGATGCCGGATGTGATGTGACTTCCGATTCGTGAATTGTAGGTGGTGTTGTAGTTGCCTCGTCATCCCAAGCTACTAGCATATTCATCAATGCATCCTGCTCTTCTTGGCTCATTACGCTGGCGACCAGGCTGCCGGGTATCGGGCGCTTGCAACATGTAGGCGGTATGTTCTCATCGTTGAGCGAGTCTTTGATTATCTTGCGCAGTGCGAGAGTACAGTATCGATGACCGCAGGACAGCGTGTGCAATGTGCGTCGGTGTCGGGATCCGCTTTGAGGACAATGAGGGCAGTCGCTGTGTATTTGATCAGACTCGATTCTTTCTTGCTGATAATCTTCGCTTACTCTTTTTCTCTGGTCGAGTCTCCCGAGTCGGTTCTCCTCAGCCTCAACCTGCTTAATCCTCTTGTGATGATGTGTCTCTTTGGAGACGATTCTCTTGACCGAGACCAGACGGATGACAGCGAGAACGTTGAAGGAGATGGCGAGATGATGGGCGACGTCGCAAAGTTGAACGATGAGCGGCGAAAATCAAATCGAGCATGATTGACTATCGAATCGTAATCTTTTATTGATGTTGATGTGGTGGAACAGCGTCGTCCACGGGTTGGTCGAGTCCTGGCATTGGGACAATCTCTGGAGACGCGGGACGCATCTGTAAAGTCTGTCGAGTGTGAAGCCTGAGAACCAGTAGACACAGATCGTCGTGGATGCGTCGAGCTTGTCAAACTTGATGACACTTTTAATTCCCTCGACTTGTTTTCGAGAGGAGCAATGTCAATGTCCAGGTTTCGTGCTTGACTTCTCAAATCTTCGTCAAAGGCCTCAACCGTTTGACCTTCGGCAAGCCGGAGGACTTCGAGAGCAAACTCGTCGTCCATTGATACCTAGGTTCTTGCCCGAGTATCAAATATTGCCTTGATGAATCCAGCTTTTTTTGATGTCGCGAGACGCATGGGAATGGTGCAACTCCAGACGCAATAGAAGCACACAGGGAGCTGTGGTGCAAAATCAAAACTGCCGAGGCCTTCTACCAGTTGTCTAGGTACCAGTATGTTGTAGCGGTCTGTACCTATCGGAAATCCCAAGCTAAAACTCCGCAAGATACCGACACCGGACTTTATTGTCGAGTGGTTGTTCTGTCGCAGACTGGTAGGAGACCAGAACTTATGAAACAATAAAAATGGTCGAAATATGTCACGGAATCGCCAGCAGACAATATATCAGAGCAGAAAAAGAGAAAGTAAACGTCAGCGATGAACTTGATCATCGAAGTTCATCACAACGCACCAGCTGCATGACGTCCCGAACACAAGGGTCAAAACAGCCGTCTTCTTCGCCGCCGCAAGCCCGAGATCTCTATCTGGCTCTTGCTTGGTAATTCAATTAAGATTCTTCTGCTTAAAGGCTCGTGCTCTTGACATCGGTTCGTTCCCAATGCGCCCTGCTACCGGTATGTGTCTTGTGACTATGTCCTTGAGGCTCGAGTCAGTAGTGTTTTAAAGGGCGAAACACTAGCACCATACAATCGGCATCTCTGCGATTGCGGGGCCTGTCAATGCATCCGGGTTCACCGAAACTTTGAGCTTGTAATAGGCACTGTGAGCGCTCATAAAGTTGATGATTGGCGGTGAAGGGTAATTGTTTGATTTGAAAGGGTTGATTTTGACAGATGACATTCTACACCGTATAGCTTACCCTGAGGCAAACGGCAGGGTAGATGGTGGTATAGCTGAGACACAAGCGAGCCATCCAGGATGGACAGCTTGACATGAACTCTCACCTCCTCCGTAGTGCCTTGGCCAGAAAATCTTGACGCCACAAGCCGATATGAGATTGCTTATGAAGAGTCATGCTGGCTCTCATCCAATCAACACCGATAAAGTCGGTGCTTGGTCAGGTTTGGCATACAGGACAACTAGAGGACTGTCGCAACTGTGAGTGATCCGTCCACATCAGCCTCAGCTTGTAGAGGTAGTTATCTGTGCTTCGAGTTCGAAACTTGACATCGTTTCCGATGTGGTGTTCCCAAGAGCTCGGGTCACGATCAAGATCCCATATGTCATTTAGTCGCAGGACGTTTGGAAAGAAGTTATTCTGAGACATGGTTATACATAGGACAACGTGGTTGTGGATCGAACTTGGTGAACTGGCGATTTCTGGAAGGTAAGAACATCGGTTCGCAAGACACTCGGTCCATTCTAGGGCTGGAGCGTTGGTCCTTGAATGTCGGAAGCATTGCCCATTAATTGCAACTTACTCGGTACGACAGGTAGGTGTGTCGGTAGTGACCAGTGTTCGGAGACATGGAAACCGATTTTTGGAGGGTCTTTTCTGTACGCGCTCATGGCGACGTTTTGTTCACAGAGTTCGTTAACTTTGGGAAGCGATTCGGGGATGCTCAAAGATTGAGGATTGAGATCGACCGGCCCAAAAAGTGCTTGTTAGTCAGCGAAGCGGGCCTGTTGATCGTGCTTGTCAAGTGCTTTCCTGCACTCCATGTTCGTCATGCATGCATGCATTTAGGAAATTGCAAGCTTGCTGTGTTATCGGAGTCAAGTCCAGCGAAGAGGCGTTGACGCTGGAGTAACTTGATCGACCTGACAGCATTGTGCTGTTTCACAACATGAACAATCTTCATGCCCGTACCAACATGGGAGCATAGAGCACGACGATGATACGATGACAGGAGAAAGATGTCTCATGCTGAAACAGAGACATTGTTGACCGGTCTTTCCTTCTCGCTCACGCAAAGCCGAGGCGAAGCGAAGCGGAAGCGAAGCGAGCCCGACGAGGCCCGTGCCAGTTGTCGATTGGCAACGTTGGCAACGATACTCTCCCAAGCGCACACGCTCCCAAGGAGACGGTTTAGATGCATCATGGTCTCGTTCATGACATGTCACCATTCGAGGCTCCAGTCAGCGCATCTGCGTCTGATGCAAGCATCTCGAGAAGAGAGACTGCCAGATCTACCTCATCTCATCTAAGACCCGAGGACGCGTTCCTGACATACTCTCCGCCTTACCGATCGACCAACAAGGATGGCGCATCCGACGAGAAACGCAAAAGAGGCAACCGTGGCAGTCGCAATGCCAGTCGCAGGAGACCACGCACATGGAAGAAGCTGCTTTGGGTGAAACAAGCATGTACGAGGAGCGCCGCAGAAAGAGATGCTATATACCACGAATCAAACACTGAGACTTTCAGATCCTGACAACTACACGGATGAAGAGACCTTCCTAGATCATCTGCAACGCAATCCTCGTCTCCGACCTTATGACTTCTGGCCGCTTGTTGCAGACTCTACTGTTATCGTCCAACACATCGGCTCCGTCATCATCTTCGTTTGCTGCTTTGTCGGCATCAAGCAACAACGTGTGTCGCCTGTATCTGTCGTCAGCTGGGCCACTTTCGGTACCATCTTGGGTTGGGTCGCTCGTGACTACTGGGTAGGACAAGAGGAGGCTGCTCAGGCTGCTCGCGTTGCCCTTGCCGAGGCCACAGCTTCGTCCAAAGCCGTCATAGATAGTCAGCGCATCCAGGAAGGGCCCTTGAGTCCTGCAGATCCTGCTTCCACCATGTCAGACAATGCTAAGCTAGGTTTGGGTATTTCGACTGTAGCCGCTTCACGACAAGCATCTGTCGTTTCAGCAACAGAGGGCTCAGCATCAGCCGCGTCCACCACTGTTAATCCAAGCGGTGCTGCTTCGTCAGGGAGTTACAATTACTACCCACCTTTTGAGAATCAGACCTCTTCACTTTCGCCTCGCAACCAAGAGAGATTGGCAACGGCCAAGTCTGCCATCTTGATCTATTGTGCACTACTAGGCTTGAGCCCCATTTTGAAATCTTTGACCGTGTCAACTTCCCCGGACTCTATCTGGGCCATGAGTACTTGGCTTTTGATCATCAACATCTTCACCTTCGACTATGGTGCCGGTGTTGAGGCGAAGTATGTTTCTCTACACATTTCCTGCATCAAGTCTCTACTGACAAAGCTCTGCTAGATTTCCTGCTTCTTTGTCGACGAATGCTGCTCTTATGGCATCCACAGTGCTTGCTTCTCGTCTCCAATACACCAATGAAGTCTTCAGCCTGACACTTTTCAGTATCGAGGTGTTTGGATTGTTCCCGGTCTTCAGGCGACATTGTCGACACGCTTCTTGGACAGGTCACTTGATACTGACTGCATTGACTGTCCTCGGCGCAGGAGGTGGACTTTGCGTCACTATCACAGGAGGAGGATGGAAAGCCGGAGTTGGCGGTGCCATTCTCGGTGGTATTCTCACGTGTCTTGCCATGGGTATCACCAGCTGGTGGCTCATTGGATTACAAAGATACAAGAACGAGATTCACGGGCCTTGGGATCCCGCACGTCCAATTATCAGACGACATTGGGATTAAGTCCGAAGAGAGAAATCAGGATTCGTCTATGACTCTATGACTTTATCTCTCTCTGCTGTTCTACACTTGAATTGCTGGTGCATTGTCCCAGATGGTGCTACTCACGGACAACGATGCCTTGCGTCTTGTCAGCTCGACTTGATTGTCCTTGAACTCAAGGAAGGAGTCCCATGACATGTTCCCATTCTGCGACAAGGGAACTTGGATACTTGACAGTGGAGAGACATCTTCTGCCTTTCCAATGGTCACCGTCAGCGATGTGATACCGTCTGCCGTATGCCATTTGATGGAGATGACTTCCTTCTCTCCCGCCGCGCGTACTGTCTGACCCATCAAATCTACCAAAGCCGACTCGTCTTTGTCGAAAGCAGGAGAGAACCACAAGCCCAGGCTCCATGGTACGGGCTGGGAAGTCCAGGAGCTGCTGTCCAGACACTTGCTTTTGAGTGTAATGGAGTCCAAATCTCGTGTCCTCCGAAGCAAGGTCTGCAGGTATCTCCAACCACCAATTCGCGAACCAGCATGGCTTGGTTGCCAGTTGGTCAGGTCAAAGCATAATGAACGTAGATATGGCACATCAGATGTGAGGGTGCTAAGATCTGCGCACCAGGCTCCCAGCATGTGCGCTCCACGGGTACAGCAGAAGTAATGAACCCACTCGTTGGCAATGGTTGCACTCTGCTCGCTTTGTAGCGCCCTGTCTCCCGATGCTGCGTCTTTGAGATCGATTGTGATATGGCGAATATGGCTGGCTTGTGCTAATGACAAGCGGCAAAAGAATGCTTGGATATGGGCGACTCTTGTGAATACGAAGTCCCCGTTTTGCAATGGCACCGAGTTGTTCGCCTCGAGGTAGATGGCACGACAGGTTCTCAAAAGAGCAATGCCCAGGGTAGTGATCTGACCGTGTTCTGGCTTAATGGTCGTGTCCCATTTTGGATCAACGATAGGCGTAGATGGTGTCAGAGCGAGATCAAAGATTTCGTTCCTCAGCTCGCCAGGTAGTCTGAATAGAGGAGAGCGTGTTTGAGGCAGCATCGCCACCTCTTTGTGGATGTTGTTCATAGCGTATGATTTGGTGAGATATATGGAATGAATTGTCAAACACGAGAGAATGGAAACATGAACAAGATGAGATTATATAGCAGGAGCTCGTCGATCAATTGGCACCGAGTCGAACCCTTTATGTGCTCCTTCAGCTCGTCTCGGATGCCTTCTACCCCGCCAAAACAACACCCTGATGGCCGGGGTCACACGCTGTTGCATGATAGCCGGATGTCCCCTCTTTTCCTACTCGGGACCTAATCGGCGCTTCCTGATCTTGTGTCGTCTACCGCCCACCGCTTCTTGGTCCGCTTGATGTGAACTATATCTGGAAATTCGTAAGTCTCTGTTTCTCACTTGATTATGTGCTCCGCCTAATGGGCATGTAGTAAGCATGCAGTGAGCATGAGGCTCGTCGGGGTTGCTTTGCGGCGATCCGAAAGCCCCCCACTTGCGCGCCGAGCGCCAAGGCTCGCGTGCATCACGCGTTGCTCAACCTCCAGCTTTGTTGCTGTCTCGACTCAGGTTGACGTCTCTTGCGCATTCACACCATATCATCATCATTTTGCTTGCCTATTATCTCCTTCCATCGCGAAGAACGCCTTTCAAGGACACATCCTGATCGATCGAGGGCGCGTTTCCGCTTTACTCTTGCGTTTGATCCGAGACCGATCCGTGGTCGCGCAACAGCGAAAGAAACCAGACACTGTGATTCTTCCGTAGCAAAGGTTCTCGCGGGACCCCATCGCTCTCGCTTTAGAAGTCGAGCACATCCCTCGACTTCTTCTTGCTGGACGTGGGCGCGTTTTCGCTCTACTTTCGTGTGCGGTCCAGGTTTGGTCTCTTGCTTTTGCGTAGGCACGGCTACGGATTGGGCTTTGAGTCTTCGCAGCAGAGTTCTTGCGGAACCACATCGTCGTCAGGTTCGTGGATTCTTCCAGGCGTACAATCGGAGTCAGGGCTGCTCTGAAATCTTTACGACATCGCAAAGCCCGGGTGGGAGGGTTCCAGCATCAGTTTTCTTAGTGCTGGGGTCTCAGTTGAGATAAGTGTACCTTTTCGCTTACCTGCTAACATAGACTTCTCCTGGTCGTTGACCTTAAAATCCCTTGTTGCCGCAGCATGGAACCTCCGCCAGGCATCATTTTCACACATGAGCTCGAATGGGTGTGCAAAGAACCAGCTTTGGTGATCTGGAAAGACCCCGACCGATCAGAAATCTCCTCGCTTGGACTACCATGTCCTACCGGAAAGCCTACGTTGTTGACTATTTGGATTGGCAAGAATGCTGCTAAAGAAACATACTTGATGTTGCATTTGCGCATCACTATTCGAGTCTCGAAACGTCGAAAGATTCTTGACCATTATCTGCTTCCTTCTCCGGGCTCTCGTGTGACCACAAGCACTTCGGTTGTCCACCTGAAAGATGCTTCGGAGGATGTTAGGCAGTGTTTGGAAGAAGCGTATGGCAAATTTTCTACACAAAAATGTCTTCGTATTCCGTTCGTTCAGCCCGAACCCGGTCGTGTTTTGATGCCAGTCTCTCCGGAGAAGGCACCGTGTCTAGGAGGCACCGCTTTGCATTTGATGACCCTGCTTCATTCGCTGTCCCGCGCCAATAGTTTTGAAGTATTCGTTGGGCACAGCACTTATGCTCAACACGCTCTGGCGAACATTGAAGGGATGTTGGCGGGTAGCACGAACGTCGACTTGTCGCAATCCTATGGAGAAAAGGGAGGTGTCTTTGACGATTGGCGACGGATTGATTTTGAGCAATCGGGCTGTTCGGAAGCTCAGGACCCATCCTTGGGGCACAAACGCGCAGAGGCCAATTGCGTCAAAGTCGACACTTCCTCACATGGAGCTTGTTCACTCAACGATCAGTCCATACGAGAACAGCCAGCATGTTCACCGCCGCGTTATTCTCTACCACAGAACGCTGAGTTGCCCACGACTCCCAAGACTCGTGTCGTGAATGAGAATTTGGATCTGATAAATGAAGCGATTTGCCTCAAGCGATCTTATGGTAAGTCGCTTCTCTGTTGCTGTTCCCAACTCTTTCCCTCGTCGTGATGCCGCGTGGTAGTTTGGAATTTTAGAAGTATACAATTGTTCTCAGGGCAGAGACACAACCGCAGAGAGCCGATGTTGTAGATGTTCCTAATGGAAATGTTCTGTCTCTCGAAAAGATTGTGTAACTCTACAACTCTATGCGCGATGGCTTTTGTTTTCTAGATCTGCCTCACAGTTCATCCTCATAGATGTTCCTGAACTGAACCTGATTGCAGCTTCCATTGCTCACGAAGACGACTTCCCACCAACAAAATCTGCGAGATCACAGCAAATTTCTTGTTCGCCAAATTTCAACGATACTTCTTACGTCACGCATGATATTGAGAAATTGTCTTCACCGGAACAGACAGGCTATTCGCCTACCATAGCCAATACACCAAGCACTGTACAAGACACACATCCGCTTTCTGCTGGACACTTCACACTGAATGATACCAAGACGATCCAAATCGAAGCAGATGACTCGTTTGCTGGTCACTTACTAAGTGCCAGACGAAATACGTCTCCCTCCACTGTCTCAACTCCAGGCCGTTCTGATACGCTCAGTATCAAGCCTACGATCTTCACAAATAGGGACGCGCCTCCTAAGTATACGACCAACACGGAGGGAATGTCTTTACAAAATCAAACCTCAGCAAAAGTTGCGAGTAGCTTCATGTCAAGTTCTGCATCTCTGGACATGATATCACCGAACAAGTCAACCATGCGCTCATTGAGCAAGGAACTACACACCCTTGTCTCTGCAAAAGTGCCGCTGCTTACTGAGCAAGCATTGCAACGCCTCATCAACGATCTGCTAGAAACACTGGACTACAGCCAAAAAGCCGCAGAACTTGGACTCCAAGAGACATTAGATGATCTCAAGGTTGAACTACAACTTGAAAAAGACAAAAGCATTGAGGACATTGACGACCATGCGGAACACACTCTCACCGATGTCAAATGTCAGATGGAGGATCTGGCAAGTGGCCATCTTGTGTCTTTTGAAGATGTGTTGCAGCGGACTGGAGAGCAATGGAAGCAAACGCTCAAGGCATTCTTGATTGTTCTTGCCAAAGCGGTTGCTACGGGCAAACTTGACGATGATGACCAAGCAGCCAGCACCAACGACATCAACACGACCCGACCTCGAGATCAACTTTTATCGGCGGCGCCTGATTTGCAAAAACCTAATGTCGTCTCGTCTGGCATGGCAGACTCGCCAGCAGTGGCTGCCACAAAGCTCTTCTTACTTGAATTTGGAGATCTTTGTATGAGTGCGAAGGTGAAAGTGCTTGACAGACTTGCGAGTCAGAATACAGCAGAAATCTTCTTGACGGTGGATAAAGAGCTTCGTGAGGCTTGGGTTACTTCTTGGACTGGCCAACTCCTATCCTGAATTGAAGCCAATGGTATGACGACTCTCCACCAATGCTGGTCTAGCTGCCAACAGTATCGTGCATGGTTATAGTCACAAAAATTACAGTCTTACGTGCATGTAGAGGCGCGGAAGGCATTTGACATATATCTGATCCGATACTCTCCTTATTCTAGCGCTTTGAAGAAAAACGAATTATGATTCGTATACCAAAACGCACAAGTTGAGGGTCTATACTCTTGGCGAGTACGCTCATTTCTTTTGTTTTCAATTCGTTGTTTTCTCTATATGTCAGAGCACGCGATTCTATACCTCCGCCATGTAAAACAATCATATCAGCAGTCTCATTATTCTCAAATCTTGCTATTGAGAACACAGATGATTGCAAATCGCACAAAACGAGTGACTAGTGAAAACTGCAACTGCTTCACTCTCGACTTCCTAGTCTGGCAATGAATCCGATACTCTCATTGGCTAATCAAAGGGGTCCGAATTGTTATTCGGAGGGCAGAATGGGATCCAAAAATCAATGTGCTGTCTATCTATTGTGCATAAGGGACTACTACTCTGCTCAGCACTCTCACCTCTTCATCTCCTTCCTACCTCGCATCACACCAAACACAACACGACTCAACCAAGTCCACCACTCCATACCACATCATACCTTGACACACAAATATCTTATCCGAAGTTGAACATCATGACCTCTGAGCACAAAGCCAACACTACATTCGGCTCTTCCTTTGGGTGAAAATTTCAAGCAAAGATCTTACCTTTGACTATTGTCTAACTTCATTATAGTCTCTTCAACGACCCCACTCACAAGGATGTCACCCTTGTCTTTGGCGACACCGATCATCCAACTCATCGCCGCGTCCACAAGATCCTGTTTGCTGCCAAATCCAAATACTTCAGCAAGCTCTTCAAGGTAAACTCAACGATCTTCGCACGCGTCCAATATCATTCTCTTTTTTTTTTTTTTTTTTTTTTTTGCCAGGAAATGAACGACGATATCTGCAAGCTTGAGGTTGGCGACTGCAACAGTGTCGAGGCCATGATCCGTCACGTCTACGGCCTAGCTTTCAATAAGATCTTGGACGAGTCTGGAAACCCCATGGAGCACGGTTGCACCGACTTCTTTCTTGACGTGTACCAAGTCGCAGACCACTATCAGCTCGAAGATCTTCGTGATGAGGTCGCCTCCAAACTTGGTTCCCAGATCGGCTCCCTGTATTGGGGTTGCCAGGCCAAGCTCTGGCGTTTCGCCGACAAATTCGACAAGTACCCTGAGCACGAAGCCATCTATGAGGGTGAGCCCGTTCACGGCTGGTTTGCCTTCATCATCAACCACTTCAAGCAGCTTCGTGAGCAGCAAGACTTCCGCGACACAGTCCTCGGCCGTGCTTATTTTCTCATGACTTTCTTCCTCGAGACTCACGGCATCTCAAAGTTTGACAAGACGCGTGGTGCATTCGTCTGCTCTTCCTGCGTCAAGAACAACCTGGACAAGGACCACAAGAAGTGCGTTGTTTGCAAGGAGAAAGAAAACACCAGCGAGTAGTTCTGGCAGCACGAATGGTTCAGAGCAATTTCGCACTGCTGATGATGCGGTTGACAAAACACAGGCATGAGATGTTGGCAATGACAGACCGGGAAAGGTGAAAAAAGGGCAATGGCGAAGAATGGGGGACTAAACTAGCACAAGTGACCAAGAAGGTCATCTGCGACAGTGAAAAGTAGTTGCCCACAGGTCAAAAATGAACATATGAAGATCTTGTTTTGAGACCAGCATCACAAAAAGAATGCTCTTATAGATTCAACTTTACCTACCAAGTCGAAGATCGTCATGTCCGTCAAGCAACTTCATGCCGATGGATGGCAACGCTGCAGCAGCATTGTAACTAACCTGCTGTATCGTCGATGCCGTCTCTTCCTCCCACCGACATTCCCACCACTTACAAGTGCCGAGGGCGCTCTCACCATTCCGCAGCACAGACAACAAGGGCATCATTCACCTTTTTGCACGTTTCCTGATGGAGATATCATTGCGAAGAGAGAAGAATAATTATCGCGAGAATTTCTCCGAGAAGAGGACCGTAGCAAAACAAGCTTTAGGGACTGCGGGTAAGAGTGTCCGAAAAACGGACCGGGGGTTGCTTGAGCTTGCGGGCGCTTTGCAGACTGCGGGGCATCTGTGTAACCTTGTTTTTCTTCGCTTCAGGACATTTGGAGGGGTCTTTTGGAGTATACGTCATGAGGCTGGTTTTGCTGGCGTATCGAAGGATCTGATTGCGAGAGGAGGTGTTCTGCAGCTCTCATCCAACCGGCCTTGCGTTTGAGGCGTGGCTGCAATGGAGCAGAATAGAACTTGAGGTAAAAGATCGAAAAAGTGACGTTCGGCTCAAGTATCCTGTTCCTCGGACCGGCAGGGCGTCAGAAGCAGAAGCATCGATCCGGGTTCTAACCTCTCCGAGATCAGCAGCTTTTAATCATCTGGAAGGAAAGTCGGATGATGATCAAGAGGGCTCTGGAGACGGCATGCCCGTGGGAAAAAACTTTGGGGACAAGATGATCTCCACAGTCACTCCATGTTCATCCACATGGCGGGGCGCCGGTTTAAGCATTGACAACAACGTCCTTCTTTAGCATCATCGGCCAGGTTCGTTCCTGCCTTTTTCCGTGACTTGGCAAAAGTTCTGCTGACGATCCATTGAAAGTGGCTTGCTTCTCACTGGACAGACCATGCAAGACAGCCCGTCAAGGCAATGATGTGCTTGTGACCAATAGTATCATAGTGAATATTTTAAGCGGGGAACATACCAAGCCAAACCTTCCTCGGTGGATGATATATCACTTGGGTCGTGTATAAATACCCAGCATGTTCCTGTCTCCTCCTCTCACTGACAGACAACTAGCCTTTCTCATTCTGTTCCTTTGTCTCCTTGAGATCATTAGCAGTATGATGTTTCCTCAATTCAAGAGGGCTGCCCTCTTCGCCCTGCCTGCGGTAGCAGCTGTCTCTCAGACGACCAGCTCTGATGCCACCAAGACAGCCGATGCAGGTATCATTGCGTCTACATACTCTGGCAGCACAGCATCAGTTCTTTTGAACGGCACATACACCACGTGAGTTCTTTGAGATCTTTTGTGGAGCAACAAAGCATTGACTTTTTTCGACTAGATTCACTGCTCAGTACACACTACCTGCAGCTATCGATTATGGTGCAAACTTGATACCCAATGTCGAGGATCCACAAGCCAAGGTTGCGCAGAGCGTCTGTCCTGGATACAAGGCCTCGAATGTTATGCATAACCAGTACGGCTTCTCGGCTACTCTAAATCTTGCCGGACCGGCTTGCAATGTCTACGGCACCGACGTCGACGTCCTCAATCTCACTGTTGCTTATCAATCTCTCCACCGTCTAGCAGTAGAAATCTCGCCAGCCCACGTTACTGCAGAAAATGCTACCTGGTACATCTTGCCTTCTGACCAGGTGTACAAGCCCGAGCAGACTGATGAGGTTACCGATGACTCTGATCTTCAATTCGTCTGGTCCAATGATCCTTCTTTTAGTTTTGCTGTCCTCAGAAAGTCGACTGGCGATGTTCTTTTCTCTACTGAGGGCACCGTTCTCGTTTACGAGGACCAATTCATTGAATTTGTTTCTGCCTTGCCTCAGAACTACAACCTCTATGGCTTGGGAGAGCGCCTTCACGGCATCAGACTCGGCGACAACTTGACTGCCACCATGTACGCTGCCGACAATGGTAACCCCATTGACAGAAACTTGTACGGCACCCATCCCTTCTATCTCGACACCAGATACTATGAGAAGGACTCCATGACCGGTAACTTGACTCTCTTGACTGGTAATGCAAGCGCCAACGCTAGCTACATCTCGTACAGTCACGGCGTCTACTTGAGAAACTCTCACGGCCAGGAACCTATCCTGAACGCCGGAAACATTACTTGGAGAACTCTCGGTGGCACCATCGACCTCTACTTCTTTGATGGCCCTACTCCTGCTGAGGTTACCAAGCAATACCAGACTGGTGCTATTGGTCTTCCTGCTATGCAGCAGTACTGGACTTTTGGTTACCACCAATGCCGCTGGGGCTACAAGAACTGGACCATGATGCAAGACGTTGTTGATAACTTTGCCAAGTTTGGGATTCCTCTTGAGACTATCTGGAACGACATTGTAGGTCTAATTCTCGCATGCAACATCTGACAATTTGCTAATTGCGCATTCCTACAGGATTACATGTTCCAATACCGTGACTTTGAGAACGACCCTAACACTTTCCCTTACGACCAGGGCAAGATGTTTATTGACGGTCTTCACGGCAACAACCAGCACTACGTTACCATTGTCGACTCAGCACTCTACATTCCTAACCCTGACAACGTCTCGGATGCATACTCTGTCTACTCTCAGGGTCATGATATGGACGTGTTCATGAAGAACCCCGATGGATCTGAATACATTGGTGCTGTCTGGCCTGGCTTTACCGTCTTTCCCGACTGGACTGCTGAGAACGCTACTCAGTGGTGGACTGAGTCTCTCAAGGAATGGCACCAGAAGATTCAAGTCGATGGCATCTGGATCGACATGTCAGAAGTTAGTTCTTTCTGTGTCGGCAGTTGTGGAACTGGTAACCTGCACTTGAACCCCGTTCACCCTCCTTTCCAACTTCCTGGAGAACCTGGTGACGTCGACTACGGATACCCTGAGGGCTTCAACATCACCAACGCTACTGAAGCCGCTGTTGCTTCGTCCCTGTCCGCCTCCCAGGCATCTGCCAACTCGGCTACACAGACCTCCTCGAGCACTACTACTCAGCCCTACCTTAGAACCACACCTACTCCTGGAGCTCGTAATGTCGACCACCCTCCTTATGTCATCAACAACCAGCTTGGCGATTTGGGAGTCCATGCTGTCGCACCTAACGCCACTCATTCCACTGGTGTACAGGAGTATGATATCCACAACCTGTTCGGCATTGATATTCTCAACGCAACTTACATCGCTCTCACCGAGACCATCAAGGCCAAGCGTCCGTTCATCATCGGTCGCAGTACTTTTGCTGGTGCTGGTAGATACGCCGGACACTGGGGTGGCGATAACTATGCGACATGGGAGTCTATGCTCTTCAGTATTCCCCAAGCCCTCGACTTCTCCCTCTTTGGTATTCCCATGTTCGGAGCTGACACCTGTGGCTTCTCTGGTAACTCGGACGAGGAACTTTGCAACCGCTGGATGCAGATGAGCGCCTTCTTCTCTTTCTACCGCAACCACAACACCCTCGGCGATAACTCCCAGGAGCCCTACATCTGGAGCTCAGTCATCGACGCCTCGAAAAGAGCTATGTCGATAAGATATTCGCTTCTTCCCTACATCTACACCCTCTTCCACTCAGCACACACTACTGGTAGCACTTTCTTGCGCGCTATGGCCTGGGAGTTCCCCAACGACCCCAGCCTGGTCGACGCCAACCGTCAATTCATGCTCGGACCCAGCTTGCTCATTACACCCGTTCTTCTTCCTCAGGCTACCACTGTCAACGGTGTCTTCCCTGGCAGCAAGGACGGAGTTGTCTGGTATGACTGGTACAACCAGAGCGCTGTCCCCGCCTCTTATGGTGCAAATGTCACCATGGACGCACCCCTGGGCCACATCAACGTCCACATTCGTGGTGGCAGCGTCCTGCCTCAACAGGAGGCTGGCCTTACCACCACTGAGTGCAGGAACAGCTCTTGGAGTGTCATTGCTGCTCTTTCAGCTGAAGGTACTGCCACTGGCAGCTTGTACATCGATGACGGAGAGAGCATCATTCAGAACTCCACCCTGTATGTCGACTTCACTGCTGAGAACCAGCGTCTGTACGCCTCTGCTCGTGGTCTCTGGCAGGAGAAGAACGCTCTTGCCAACATCACTGTTCTTGGTGTTCAGAATGCACCCAAGAATGTGTCTCTGAACGGCCAGGCTCTGATGTCTGGTGTCAACTACAACTCCACTAGCAAGGTTCTCAAGGTCACTGGTCTTCAGAACGCCACTTCTTCTGGTGCCTGGGCCAAGGACTGGGTTCTGGAGTGGTAAAGAAGAAAAGGAGATAGATGACTTATGATAAAAAGACCTACATAGGTGGTCTCAAGATGTTGATAAGGAGCCAAAATCTCCATAGAAATGTATAATACAGAATTTTTCTCACAACAAAGAATCGCACAAGATCATCATCGATATTTGAAATGGATGCGACAAGAAGCCTGATTGCATGAAAACAAGGTTCGGACGGTCGGCCATTCGTACAACTGCGCATTTATTCTTGAATTCTGAGCTTTGTAACTTTGTCAATTTCTTGCTTTGCTAATTAGTAATATTAGCAATAATATTACTAATAATAAGGTCAATTTACATATAATATCTACTGCTAAGTAGCAGTTTTAAGTATAATAAGATAGTATAATATATCTTCTTTAAGAGTAGCCTTATTAGCTAGTCTTTAGTATAGGTAAGTATTCTTATACTTAAGCTCGTCTATATAAATATTAAGATTATTCTACTTAAGGTAGTCTTTAATATATATAATATACTTATTAAGAGTAGCCTACTTTTAGTTAGATATAGCTATAAAAGTACTATAAAGAATCTTACTTTTTTTTTTTCCTTTTTAAAAGGGTTAGTATTATAGCTACTATAACCCTTAAGTCTATAGTAGGCATAAGTAAGACTCTAACCCTTAGTAGACTTAGTAAATATATAATAATCCTTCTTAGCTTTACCCTTTTTCTTATCTTAGTACTACTTATAGGTAGTAAGAGTAGCCTTACTAATATTAGAAAGTATAATAGTATTAGTATTATAGTACTTATAAAGAATAGTAATAGTAGTAGTAGCTTTAGTCTTATTATTACTAGTAGTATAGTACTATATGAAGTATAGTTATTATAGTAGAGGAGTATTAGTTAGTAAGGATACTAAACTAAGAACTAGAGTTAGCTATACTAACTAGATATAGAGATAATAATATAAAGTATAACAATAATAGCAATAATAATAATAGAGACATAATAATAATAGGAATAATTATAACTAATAATAAGAGAGTATAATTCTTTATATTAACTACTAAAGTAACTTAAGAAGTAGTATAAGAAGACTATTAGCTACTAAGCTAGCTATATCTATATAACTAGCTATAGCTATATAACTTAATACTATCTACTATACTATAGTAGCTTTAGTTAAGAGTTCTATCTATTAAGTAGTAGTATAAGACTACTATTACTACTTAATAGTAGGTCTTACTAGACCTCTAACTATAGTAGGAAGTATACTAGGAGTAAAGGGGACCTTAGTACTAAGGGCTTTAGCCTTACTCTTATCCTTAGTCTTAAAAGTAGTAAGAGTACTATTTATATAGTTAGAAGGTTAGTATAGTAGGTATAGTAAGTATAATAGTATAGTTCTTCTTTATTATTCTTAATATAGATAGCTTTCTTTAAAAGCTTTTTAATAAGAGGTACTTCTTTAAAGTTACTATTAGTATTAGTATAAACTAACTATATAGGTAATATAGCTACCTCTAAAGAGGTAACTAGTAAGGCTTATTAAGAGGCCTTATTCTTACTATATTAAGAGTGTTTAATACTCTCTATAGGAGTAGCTAACTAAGTAGCTAAAGGCTTAGTAATACTATAAGAGTAGTAAGAAATAAGAGTTTAACTAGCTTTAGCGCTAGTATAAGTCTCTCTATAAGTAAAAGCTTTAAAGGACTTATAAGAGTAAGCTATTATTAATACTAATGTTAGTACTAATATTACTACTACTACTATAGTAGTAGTAGTAGTAGTTACTAAAGAAGGAGTATATATAGTAAGAAATAAATTTTAAAAGCTAAGAAGTAAAGTAAAGTAAATAAACTACTATTTAATATATAATAATTTAAGAAGTAAGAGTATTTTCTATAGATATCTCTATAGTACTAAGGTAGAGAATAATAAGACTTTATATTACTATTATAGATACTAAGATAGAATAAGATATAAGTAGAAATATAGAAGGAACTAAAAAAAGAGTAAATCTTTCTAAAATAGTAGTAGTAATAGTAAGAGTAAAGAATTAGTAAGTTTCTTAGCTATTATTAGATATACTATAAGCCTAAGCCTATTAATAAGTAACTACCTATAGAGAAATAGTAGGCTTATATCTATACCTTTAGGCCCTTTACTACTAAGGTAGTTATTACTACTAAGGTTACTACTATAAAGCTATATCTTTAATATACTCTATTAGTTATATAAATAAGGTATCTTCTTTCTTATAGTTAATTATTATAACTAGAGGTTAGTAGCTTAGTATAATAGCTAGCTTAAAGTTAAATAATATCTTATATAAAAGAGGTAGATTAAGCTTATACTCTAGCTTAGATCTCTTATAACGAATTTCTTAAAGGCTCTTAACTATATAAGCTATTTACTCTACTATATCCAGAGATAAAAAAGGAACTAGTAAAAAGAAAATAGGCTTAATAAAAGAGAGAGTAAGCTAGGTAAAAGAGAAAGAATTAATAATAATTAGTACTTATTAAGTGTTTTAATATTTATTAATATTAGCTAATATCTATTATATATTAGATATTATTCTCTATAATACTTCTATAGCTACTACTACTAAGATTAGATATACTATTTTAAAATTTAAAGGTAAAGAAAAGTCTTACTTAGAAGACTATACTTACTTAGTAATTTTAAACCTTTTATAGTAAAGCTTAATAATAGTAAGCTTACTAGTTATTCTTAGAAACGATAATAATATAGTAGTAAATAACTTATACTAGGAGGGTTATAGATTAATTATAATAGGTTAGTTAGTAGTAGTATAGTTTTCTTATACCTTTATAGTAAAATTAGTAACTAGAAACTAGTCTTTAAGTAATAAAGGAATATTAGAATAGTGCTTAAGACACTAATTAAGAAAAAAGTAGTAGTGTTAGTTAGATAGCATAGCTTATATCTCTCTATTAACTTTATTCTTATTATAGCTTATTAACTATATAAATAGTTAATTAGGTAGAGCCTACTACTTTCTACCTTACTTACTTTAAATTATATAGATCTTATAAGCTTCTACCTATAGATAGATCTAATCTTATTAGACCTTAAGCTTTAGTATAGTAATTCTATTAATAGATAAGGGTATAGATCTAGTAATAGCTTAAAGGATTAATCTAGTATTAGTATAGTAAGTAGCGTTAGCTTAAGTAATACTAATAGCTAATTATCTTACTTACTCTATATTAACTAGAGGTTTTCTTAAAAAGATATTTTAGCTATTATAACAGCTATATATAATTATAGGATAGTAAGTAGTAGTAGATACTTAAATTAGCTTAGGTATAGTATTAGTAGTTAATTATTATATAACTAGTTCTTAAGTACTTTAAGCTTATAAAGAAGAAGAGGTACTATTATTAAGTAGTATTAGATTAGTAAGGCTATAATTAGTATAGTACTATTACTCTTAATTATATAGAATATTATTAATAGTATAGTATCTACCCTAGTATATTATAGTTAAGTAGTAATAAGTAGATAAGTAGTAAGAAATAGAGAAAGTAAGTAGTAAAGATAGATATATATCTATATCTTATAGTATTAGCGTATTTTCTCTACTATACCTTTATAGGCATATTAGTATATAATCTACTATACCTTAAACTAATATTATATAATATTTTCTTAGATAATAGTTAGTAGATTATACGCATACTCCTTAATATAATTAAGAAGCATATTATATATACCTTAGAGTACTTTAGTAAGGCCTATATATTATAGCTACTAATTAGTAGCACTAAGTAGTTAATTAGACTTATAGAGTATTAGATTAATATTACTAGTATGCTTATAGCTAAATATCTCTTAATAAAGATATAGATATGCTTATTAATAGAGCTAATAGTGTTTTTTATTAATAACTATAATCTAATTAATATTATTAGCCTTAATAATACTATTAGTACTAAGAAATTAGTTAGCTAGCTTAACGTAATACTACTTAAGTATATAGGGTAGAAGGTACTTATTACTATTAAATTCTTTAAGATAGTTAATCTATAGCTAAAGCTCTAAAACACTAATCTCTAGCCCTTACTTACTACCTTAGAATAGCTCTAGCTAGTAATAAAGAGCCTCTAAAGAGCTAGGAATTATATAAGGATAGTTACTTTATAAGTATATTAGATATCGATTCTAGAGCTTAGTATAAGTAGAACTAGTATATTAGATAATTAGTATATAAATAGTAAGGAAAGTAATCCTATTAAAGAGATAGCGACTATTATAAGGTAAGGTATTAAAGAAGGTAGTCTATATACTAATACTACTTATTATTATCTAGAACTACTAGGATTTAATATACTAGTTCTACTTACTAGTTCTATACTTAAAGTAGTTAGTAAATAATAGCTCTTAGCTAGCTTTAACCTCTTAAAGACTATAGTATATATTAGCTAGCATTATAGTCTTATTACTATAATTAGTATAGATAAGTAGTAGTATATAGCTAAGCTCTTTAATAGTCTAAACGTATTAATTAAAGACTAATACTACTAAGTAAGTAGATATACTAGCATAGAACTAGATAATAGACCTTAAGAAGTAGTTAATAGTAGTATATATTTAGATACCCTAATGCTTAAGCTTATAGTACGTATCTATTAACTATATATAGTTTAGCCCTAGTAATAAGGCCTTACTATAATAGTTTTTAATCTTCTTCTATTATTAAAAAAAGCCTTAACTATAGCCTTTATAGTTAAGAGAGTAAGTAATTAAATAAAGTTAATCTCTATTTAAAAAGTATTAGATTCTTTACTAATATATCTATAGTACTACTATATAGAATTAAGTAGTAATTTCTTAAAGAATAAGATAGTATTAAAAGACGTTTTCTATAGTACTTCTATAAAGGCGTCTATAGAGAATAAACTATAATATACCTACTAACTATATAATATTTCTTATATATATAAGTATATAATATACCTTTTCTAAGGTTATTAATATCTTCTTTTCTATACTCTTTAATAAGAGTTTCTTATATGTCTTATATATAAGCTCTTAGCTAAGTTAATCTTAGTAGACTAACTTTTACTTAAATATACTTAATAAGATAGCTATTAATAGGCTTAAAGCTATCTAGCTAGAGGATAGTAGCTATAGTATTATTATTAAACTAATAGTACTAGAATAGCTTCTTAATATAAGTGCTAATAGTAGTATAATCTATATAAGTTTAGGTAGATATCTTTTACTAGTAAAGCCTTAGCTAAAGTACTTACCTCTTAATAAATACCTCTTATTATATAAGTTTCTTAAGTACTTTAATAATAGTTATACCTAATTTTATCTAGCTCTTTATACTATCCTTCTATAGCTTAAGATTAATTACTTTATATAGTATATTATATTAGTAGTAGTAAAGTAGATAGTATTAATAGTAAAGTAGATAGTATTAGTAGTAGTAAGATAGATAGTATTAGTAGTAGTAAGATAGATAGTATTAGTAGTAGTAAGATAGATAGTAGTAGTAGTAGTAAGAGAACAATAATAGTAATAGTAATAGTAAGATAGAAGGAGTAAAGTTAATATATTAGATATATTATAATAAAAGGTAAATAAAGTATATTTCTAAATTTATATAGTACTAACTAGTAAACTAGAAATCGAGAATTTAGTAATATTTAGAAGCTCTAAATTAGCTAAGTTACAAAGCTACAAAGCTATAAAGCTCAGAATTCGAGGGTAGATACGCAGTTGTACGAATAGCCGACGGTCGTTCGTAATCTACATCGTGTTGTGCGACCTCGGAGTTAGGCCGAGGTCTTTGCAACGGTATAGCTAGCTCCGAGCCTCAAGCTCTCCACTGTCGTCATTAATCATACAGAAGAGCTGAGAGCTCGATCTCGTTTGTCTTCACTCTTTTGTTTGTCGCAAACCATTGTTCACTGAGATCTATCCCCCAAAACCACTCCAGCAACCATGGCATCCCAAGTTTTCCAAGCCAATCGTACGGCTCTTATCACAGGCGGCGCTTCTGGCGTGGGCTTTGCTTTCGCTCAGCTATGTCAGAAGATTGGCATGAATGTTGCTATAGTGGACAAGTCTCACGAGAGCCTCGAGAAGGCAAAGGAAGTCCTATCAAGCAGCGCCAAAACTGGACAAAAGACCGAAGTCTACGATATGGTATGCTTAGACATAGATCTTGCAAGCTCGCGAGACATGCACAGAGCAGAGGTACTGACTACAAGACTGCCTTAGGACGTCTCTGAACTCGCACAATGGCGCAACCTCAAATCCGAAGTCGAAGCCAAATTCGGCAACGTCGATCTCTTGATGCTAAATGCCGGCGCATCCTTCAAACCAACCCAAGGCTTTGGCAACCTAAGCGCATGGCTAGACCCCTCCTACCACCACAAAACCTACGACACAAACGTGTTTGGAGTGCTCAATGGCATTGCTGCATTCCTCCCTTTGCTCCAGAATAAGAACACGCCTTCGTCGATTGTGATTACTGGAAGCAAGCAAGGCATCACCAACCCACCTGGTGGAAACAACCCGGCGTACAATGCGAGCAAGGCGACGCTGAAGCATCTTGCTGAGCATTTATGTCATGATTTGCGCAATGAGAGTCCGTTGGTTACGACGCATTTGCTTATTCCTGGGTGGACGTACACAGGTCTGAGTGGTAACAAAGGACCTGTGCCTGACGAGGAAGCCAAAGCAAAGAAGCCTGAGGGTGCATGGTTGGGCTCGCAGGTTGTAGAGTACGGTGTCAGAAAGATGATGGAGGGGCAATTCTACATTGTGTGTCCCGACGATGATGTCTCTGAGGAGTTGGACAAGGCGCGCATGGCGTATGCAATGGGGGATGTTTGTGAAGGCAGACCTCCGTTGTCGAGGTGGCACGACGAGTACAAGGACAGCGCTGCTGAGTGGATCAAGGAAGAGGCGGAGAAGAGAAAGGGAGGACAGTAGAATGTGCGTTTTGGCATTGGCATTGAATTGTAGAAGCTACTAAGTATTCCCATCTCTTTCAACTTGCTTTCCTCGAATAGGCGGTTCTAATCGTGACCTGTCTTTGGTAAATGTCAGCAAGAATGCATCGCAGAGTGTCTGTGGCTGCGAGAAGAATGTGACGAATGTTGGTCATTAGGAACAATTTTTTGGTCTGCACTTATTTTGTTGACTCTTCTTCTTGGAAGGCCATATCAGATCCCTTGCATTAATCATTGCAACAGGCGGAAGGGTGGAGGAGCGTCATAATGAAGACAGAGAGATGCTTACCAGGTGTGTTGCGCTGCTCATCGATCGTAGCAAGAGCGGTGTGGCTGCAATGATCGACGGACGGATGGCAGCGTTGTTGTTGTTGTGGAGAGGAAGAAGACAGCGTTCAGCAGAGGAAATTTTCGAGATAATATCGCCGGAGTTTAACCATTCGTAGTTTCTGCGGACTCGTACTTGTAACTACGTTAGTTATCTTAACTTTGATCCTTCACCACATTCCTTGTAGACCCGCTTGTAGAGAATGCGGGCTACTGCACCACCAGTCACTTTGCTGTTGAGATGGCGTCCATCCACAGCTCGGACATTTGAACCCAATCCGTCCAATGCAAACCAACCTGTCGTTGTGCTGGTTGATGTAGAGCGCGCCTTCGACTCCAAGAAGTTTGCAACTACCCAATGCTCGGGTGATTTCAGATAAACAATCGAGACAGTCTTGTAAAAGATTTCCTGCTCTTCGCCCAGCACGTTTTCAACCTTGAGCGAGACCCCGTGAAGCACATCTTGTGCGTTGCTCATGTCTGGCATCAAATCCTGCTCACCCGAGGGCAATGAGACGCAGAGAATGTAAGGCATTCTGTCCACCATGACTGTCTTCTGTGTAAGTGGCAGCGCGGCGCCACATTCTTTGCACTCTGCGAAGCTGGACTTAGCCTGTGTGATGGGGCCAGATGCGAAGTGAGAATTGAGAAGATCTGCTAGCTTGCGCTTGTGTTTGTTCTTATCCACGAGATGAATACAGTTGATGTTCTGGTCTTGTGGTGTTTGGCGATAGTTTTGAGTGTGACATTTTGTACAAGTCTTCTTCTTTGTCGTGTTGAATGAGATACTTGGTATACCCAGAGCGGCGTGATCCCACAAATCTCCTGGGTTAGCCATGCCCCCTGCCTGAACCAAGCCAGCTGAGATTAGGTGATCAAGCAAAGGCTGTCTGTACTGGTCGACATTGGTCCTGGTCTTTAGAGCTGGCCAGCGAGCTCTGAGGAGCCGCAGGAGCAATGATGTGGCTGTGGGTATTTCAGGGTCGTCGGAAGCATCATATGCCAGGCGTCCAACACCATGCATGCGCATAGCGGTGACGATTGCGTCAAACCAACAAGAATTGTCTCCTTGAGTCAAGCACATCATCTTTTCCGGGCCTTTGATCCGCGCTTCATCTTCGTCTGGAGAAGAACACAAAACGAGGTCGTGGATGGCGATGCGCGGATAATAGGTAAGATTGCCATAGTTCGGATCTTCATGCAACTTGAGGGTGTTGACGGGTAAATCGACCACTCGGGAGCTTGGTGCAGCGGCATCGTCGGAAGGATCGGAAGCGCGTTGGTGCCGCTCCTGAAAAAGCCATGTGACGTAGTAAAGCTGTTGACAAGGTTAAAAGTCTTGTATATTTAGTCAGGTTTGAGATAACCTACTGGCATGTTGTTTTTGTGTCACCTTGAAGGCCAAGATCACCAAACATCTGATGAAATCTCTAAGATGCCGCATGAAAGCGCAAGGCGGCGGCGGAAGTTAGATAACTTAGCGAATTTCCGTCAGCTTGCTTGGCAGCCAACGCCTGTACCATTCTCCTTCACTACCTTGTAACGCGCTTGTAGCACAAAGGCTTTTCAGACGCTTTCACTTTAACTCTGTGTCGATGTAGAAGAACAATTAGAATCATGCAATGAAGGAATAAAAACGGTGCAATTGGTAAGTCTTAACTGACTATAACTGTTTTGCTTTGTTATATCACATCTAAAAAGTGCATGTTAAAAAAAATACAAGACGTTCTCCAGACAAAACTCTCTACCGCTTCCCTCGTCCTGAATTGTATCGCTATAAAAATGTTTGCCATCCATCGCCATAACAATACTTGACAGCCATTGCCAAGCTTCCAAACAGTGAACAAGCCCTGAGCATCAGCTCATTTCTTTCTATCAACGTACTTGTTGACTCGAACATACTTCTTACGAGGACCATTGGAGACATATCCAGGACAGACGCCTCCGTTAGTCTTGCCCGGATGAGGATACTTGGCTCTATAACGCATGCCGCATATACCACAAACGAATTTGCCATTCTGGTGCTGGGAAATTCTGTGCTGATCTCGCAAGGCTCGGCCTTTGTCGGTGTTGAACCACTCTTGACTGCATCTTTCGTCGTCACATGTCACCTGGCGGACGAACTCCTCAGGCACATGGATCTCATCAGCGTATTCGACTTTGCACTCTGTCTTCGCATGGTCGGTGGCCATCCATGCATGTCGATAGCGTAAACCGCAGGCACCGCACGCAAATTTGCCGTCGATGTGCTGTTTCTCATGCTCTGGTATATGCTCAGGGTGATTTGGAGTGCTGTACCCGCAGCGAGGATCAGAGCACTTAGCTACAGATTTTCTGTCGTCAGCTCTCTTGTCGGCACGCTCATGTGACTTCAAATGCATTTCCAGCCCCTTCTCGGTCGTGAGTCCCTGGCCGGGTACTGAGCGGACACACCCTGGCAAAGGGCAGACGTGCGGGCCAGCTTTTCCTTCATGAGCCCTTCTCGCGTAACGAAAACGGGCGTTGTTCGCAAGCTCCAGCTGACGCTTCTCCTCTTCGGTCTGTGGGTTGTCCAATGAATCTTCGATCAGGGCGTCTTCTAAGGGGTCGCTTGTTGGTGTCACAACAACAGTGGGCTTTGTCTTTTTGTTGCCAGTGCGGGAACCTGGTCTCGCGTTCCAGGTATCTTGAAGCGAGCAATGAGAATCCGCTCCAGCCCATGGGATGTCGTCTTCTGGTGGGAACGGCCACCATTGAAGGTTGTTACAGACCTGGTCGTTGTTGGGTTGATGCAGGGCTCCAAAGGCGGCAGCGAGCATTGCCTCCACCTGGTAGAGCCTGGCTGCCAGGTGTTCGTCCGACGGGGAGACACGAACGAACTTCTCGCCCACTGCAAGAGTGTACCATTTCAACTCCAAAGTCTCGGTGGCCTTGTCGGTTGATTGAATAAACATGTGGAAGGGACTGCCCTTCGCCGCTCTGATACAATATGTCAGATCTGTTTCCTTGTTGGTGCTTAGCTTGAACTTACTCTCTCTTGGACTGCTTGTCGTCTAAGTGGCCAGCCTTTCTCGCTTTGAGCCCACCCGCAACCGACCATGCGCAACCAACCTTAGCACAGATAGCTGTGACCTTGCCCGTGAAGTCTGTCTTCTTTGCAACACACAGGTAGACGCCAGGACATGAGGTATCGAGCCATTTGAATAACTTGAGCGATTCTTCTGTTGGTCGGTGGCTAGCTGTCATAACAGAAACAGTCCAGGGCAGCAAGATACTCATTGAGTAATCGGCATCTCTTTCGAAATCGAAGTCACCTTCTTCGTCTATCATGTTGACGACATACTTCGATGACATTCTGGTTTGATGCAACTCCTCGAGCTTTTGGAGCCACAGCTCCCTGAAGCCCTTGCTCGTATCCTGCAGGGCCCTATAGGACCTGATCAGTATGTGCGTATGAACAATGTATGGAACACGTACCCCTCGATGATAGAACTGGTTTCAGAAGAGCTTTCGTCGTCGCTAGGGGCAGAGGTGCCTTGCTTTGACTGCTTGCCCTTTCTCGTGTCAGACTCCAGCTGCTCTGTCGTAGAGCCTGATGAGGAGTCATCCGAGGACTGTTGGTTGGGCTGTGTGCTATCTTGTCTTTTTGTGGTCTTCTTCTTCTTCTTCTTACGCGATCGTCTTCTCTTGGTACTCGACTTGATTGGGGAGGATGCTGATGAGTCTTCAGATGAGATTACTATGGCAGACTGCTCTGGTTGATGTATGGACAGCACTCGGTGACCTGTCTGAGCAGATTGGATTGACTGTGATGATTGCAGATATCCGGTAGTCTTGGGCCGGCTTGACAATTCTGATGGTGGTGCAGGAGGGCCCGCAGGTCTGGGCACCAGAAATTTCTTCATCGTGGACTGCGAGGATGAGGAAGATGATGAAGATACCTGGGTTGGCTGAGAAGCGACGCCGCAGTCTAGACAAACCACAGACAGAGTGCCAATACATGGCAGGTGCAATGAGACGCTCTTTCCAGCAATGATACCTGCTTCATGATCCATGACGAACGAAACCCGAAAGTCACATAGATTCGCTGAGTTCTCCTTCCAAGTCGAACGAGTTCAAAAAAGCCTATTGTTCAGCCCATCCTCAGTTTTAACAATAGCTCGATGAACATGGCATCGGCAAACTGACCAAGAGTTGCACATCTTTCAATACTTAGCTGGACGAGGTCAAGTTCCTGAGTGTGATTTGCAGCCTGTCAGGGGGACAGATAAGTGCAAAAGCCTGCCAGACAAGAATACATGGCACGAGGAATAGGATTAGCAAGGACAAAATCAGATTTGTATTGAGGCAACAGGAAGTGATGATACCATGACCATCTACTATCGAAGAATGTCCCTCTTCCGTCTCCCCTACTCAAAGATGTCCTTCTTGGGCTTCCAACCACCCTTCATGGCGGCGTCCTTGATCTGATCGGGAGTAGGAACAGGGGCAGCGGGGACGGGTTTCTTGAGTTTCTCTTGGATGGCTTCGGCAGCGTTCAAGTTGTCTTGGATACCCTTGGAGACGGCGTTCAGAGCCTGTTCGACACGCTGAGCTTGCTGGGTGAGATGGGCAAGGCCCTCGAGGGTGTCCTTGTTGGCCAACTTCAACTTGTTCACGACGTTGTCCATCTGTTTGAAGTCGGACTTCATTTTCGACAGGTCGCAAACAGCAGCGCCGGTGCCGGTGATGTAACCAGTTGTGTAGGTCTTGGTGGTTGTGGGGGTGCTAGTGGTTGTGAGGGGACCGGTAGCGCCGAGGCCAGGGGGCTCCACAAAGTTGCGGGTAGGAGCGGGAGAACCAAAGTTCGGAGTGGGGATGGGACTGGCGATCGCTGTGGCACGGTTAGTGGATGCGATCTCTGTCTGGCGCATGCGACATACCCTCCTGCTTAAGCATTTGCTCAACCCTGGCCTTGCCGTCAGGGGTGTCGAGGTACTTCTGGACGAAGTCGGGGATCTGATAACGTGTCAGCCTTTGCGCTCTAGAGAGGCAATCGAGCGCTACTAACGATAAGGTCTTCGTTGCCCATTTTGTCTGTGGAGCTTGTGGATGTGGAGTCTCGGTGCGAAGTCCGGCTGCGCGCGCAATGTTGATTCTCTGTTGAGTGCGCGCGGCTAAAGTCTTGGCAGCTGCCAAGGCTGACGCGGAAGTTACACAACCTAGCTAGGCAGGAAGCATTTGCCAGAATTATCACACATCAGCGACAATGTCTTCTGACTCGGAGAAGGTGCGCGAGTGGCTACGCGCCAGACTCAATGAGGGAGTGCATGCTACTGCAATCTTGAAGAAACTTGAAGAAGGTAAACACATCATCTCGGCGTATCTCTGGCGCTTGACTAATAATGTTTGTTTCAGCTGCACAGAGCCCCGCAAAACCCTCTTCCGACACGGCACAGGTCCCTTCGGCAAAAGCTTCTTCGTCTCAGGAGGAATTTCGTCTCTTCGGCCAAAGGTTAGACCCTCGTATCGATCCGATCGGCGCCATCATCTTCAACGTTGTGTCCGAATCTTCGGCGAGAAGACGACTTGCTCGCAGTGTGGCCAGCGACTTACAAAGCCACAGTGGCATCTCTGCTCCCGGCGAACAGAACAGCGAAGTCAAGCCTCCACAGACCGTCAGACGCCGTGTTGCTCAGACCTTTCCCCGCAACACCAAGACACCCCTCTCGGCCAGACTCGGAGGTAAGAAAAGACAGGGCGCAGGTCAGATATAACCGGTACTGACAATATGAACAGGCGGCGATGCCCAGTCCCAGCTCCAGAACCAGCAGACTATCTCCACGCCCGTAATTGAAGACGACGATGACGACGACAACGACGATGATGATGATTACGTCGAGATCCTCAACGAAACCCCCAGTCTCCGCCGCTCTAAGCGTTCGCGCGTCTCTACGGAAGAGCAGGTAGGAGCCAAAAAGAAGCAGAAGAGAAAGAGTGCATAGAAGGCACACCAACAATCGTCAGAAAGATTCCGTGCTTGAACAATTAGAACCGGTGCTCTCATGGATAATATACTTGATGTGTCTAGCAAAAAGATGCAGCCCAATTGAGCCTTTGCCCGTTACTCCTTGTCCCCTTGTACGCTCAACCCCTTGGTGTGTACGTTTCTCTGAGTGCAGTTGGCGTGATCATTCAATGAAGTCCAACTGAGGAGAGCTCGTGGTTGTCTTCTCTTTTCCTCCTTCCATATTTGACCTCTCGACTTGTTCACCCCCTTCGAGCGTGTTTCTCTGATTGGTGAGCAAAGCTAGACTGCCAGGCTCCTCACACTGTCCAGCGCGAGCCAGCAAGTACGACATTGTTTTCTGTGTCCGCAATCTCTTCTCGATAGTCATGCCCTGAAGGCACTGTGCTGGGAGATTCTTGATAGCTCCAGGCTTTCTGATGAACTGGAAGAAGTTCTCATCAAGACGCTCGCAAATCACGCGAAGGATTGGCACGAGTTCGGCTAGCCTCGAGAGATACGGCCACAGCGTCGATGCTGGTACGTTACCAAGACTTTGCAAGATCAGTCGCTGCTTTTTCGAGAGGAAGGAAGATAGTATACTTACGGTTGCCTCCAAGGAGCATTAGCCAACAAAGGCACAACACCCCAACCAAAAAGTCGAATAAACATAGCCATGTTGAATGCATAGGTACGCTCCTTTTGCAGTTTTGCCTTTTCCCGTTTCTCTTCATCTTTGGTCATCTCTTCTGGATGCATGGACTTCATCACCTGCTTCATCACAAAGTTCGATCTTGCTTGCTCAGATGTCTCAAGCTTTGGTTTGTGCTCCCTTTCTTCCCACAACTGCCCTAGTTGTGTTGATTTGTTGTGGGTTTCTTGCTCCAAGCTGACAAAGGCATCTGCCAGGTGCTTGTATTCAAGGATCGCTTCGGAAACGTGGACAGAATTGTCCTTTGAGAGCAGCCAGATACGCTTGAAGCGCTGCTCAAGTTCACGAACAGGCGATTGAGTATTGATGATGGAGAAGTCCGCGTCAATACAATACATGCCAAAGTTCTTTGTAATAGACATGGCCATATCGAGGGTGCTGTTGATGCCGGCTGGGCCCCAGATGTGATCCAGTATGCTTGTCAGTTGAGAAGGCCATGTTGGGGGGCTGTTGGTTTTCGGATTGTCGGGGACCTTCGAGATAATATCTTGCCAGATAGTTCTCCAGTCACTGCCTTGACGGGAAGGACTTAGTGGGATAAGAAGTGGAAGCTGCTTTCGGACGGGAGTTGGAGAAGTGACAGTTGTTGTGGCTGGAGGTAGAGTTGGAGAAGTAATAGTTGTGGTTGGAGGCGGAGTCTGAGGAACGGTGGTTAAGCCATTTGGGGTCGCATACATAGTATGCTCCGGTGTAACAAGGTTGGAAGACTTGACCTTTTTGGCCTTGGGAGTATCGACGTGAGGTTTCTTTCGCTTTGCTGACGTTGCTTGAGAAAGAGGTATCTTAGAAGCTTCCCAAAGTAGTTCTGGGACCTTTTGACTAAGAGCTCCCTTCTTTGACTTATGCATCGATGCCACATTGGTCATGATTCCGGCAATGTGTGCAATGATGTATTGGCAACGCTTGGATATCTGCTCGACATCCTCGGGTCTTAAGGCAAAAGCCAAACCAGTAGCCCAGTACTGTTGCAAGTCAGCAATGTGAGCACCCTTAGTTGATGGTTGTCGGACTTCTTCAGGTAACCAATCTTGGGTGACATCGATGTCTTGAAGAGTTAGAGGAGTTGGAGGAGTTTCGTTGCTTTTGCCCGCCATATCGGATACCAAATGGATGAGATGAGGCCGTGATGCAGGTTAACAGAAGATCTTTGGAGGTAGTATCAGTTTGGGACAATAGCAGAAGTACAATACCGACAATAATGATAATTCATCCGACATCAATAGAACGAACACGCTTGAACGCAATTGAATGAAACAACAATAGGGGCTCGATAGGCAGCGAAAAAGGCAAGAAGACCTGAAATATGCATTATGGTGGCAGTAAGGTGCGGATGTTAGCTAAGTTATCTTGCTTCTTCCTAGCCACTTCACTGCATCTCAGGAAGGCTCTGGAACTCGCTTGACAGCAAGGTCACCAGAGACGACCTGTTCACCTCCTTGTTGGTGAGGATGTCATACTTGAGGTTGCGTGGCATAGTCACACCGTTGCCGTTGGTTAGATGCGACCACACGTTCTCCTCAGCAAGCTTGCAGACCTGACGGAGAGAAGGGCTGACTTTGGCGGCGTGTTCGAGGATGCCAGGGACTCTCTCGTTCCAAGCCTCGTAGGCTCTTTTGCAAGATTAGTTCATGTATACAGGCAGTTATTAGAGAGGGTGCTTACAGCTTTTTCCAATCAACTCCAACAAGGAGAGCAAAAACACCAGTGCCGAAGGCGCGCTGCAACCAAAAGAGAACCTCGCCGATACGAAGTGATTTCTCAACGATCGCATTAGATGTGTCGGAGGCTCCGTACATGTGCTCGATGGCGTTGTTGACCAAGAAAGCCCGGAAAGAAGCCAGCGAATCTTTTCTTCCAAGGGAAGACGTGTATGCAGCCTCGTAAAGAGGATACAGCAACTCGTCCTTGTTGTGCAGTGCCTCAATCTGCGTAGCAAGGAGGTGGGCGGTATTGTGGTGCTCGCTGAGCAACTGAGCCTTAGCGAAAGTTGTGTTCACATCTGCGATAAGGAGATGTTGAATTGCGTGACCCAGAACTTGGTGGGGAGAGCTGATCTTGTTGTTATTGTGATCGCGACCACGTAAGATGGTCGAGACCACATCCTGCGACTCGCGTAGAGATCTGGCCAAAGCAGAGGCGTTTTGGACGCCATCCAAGGAGAATGCGGTGATTAAGATGCGCTGTAGGGCTTCCGAGGCTTTTGTACATGGATCGTCTCCCATCGATCTCATGTAAATAGCGACCTTGGTAGGCCAGTCTGAGTCGAGGCCAGAGGGGATGACGCTGAAGACCTTGGTCTTCTCAAGGAGACATTTGTTTTTGCCTCTCTCCTTCTGTGCTGCTGGGGCATCGACGGGCTTGACAGCTTTGTCTTTGTTGGCGTCTCCGTCGTTGGTCTTGTCCTTGTCGGTCTTGTCCTTGTCGGTCTTGTCCTTGTCGCTGCCGCCGCCATCTAGCTCGGCTTCGGCTAGGAGCAGCACGTCATCTTCGTCCAGGGTGTCCTCACCTTTCTTGCTTGTTTTCTGGCGCTTTGATCTGCGAGGGCCGTCAGGGGCGGAGGCTTGTCCTGCCTCAGTCTTGTCGAGTGCCTTGCGTAGGTGAGCGAGAAGCGGGGTAGTCTGCATGACTTGTGCATCGACTAGCGAGTCTCCAACGTTGATTACACCGCCGACAAACCAACGCCATCGAGCTTCGACCTCTTGTGGGGTTGGAACCGTTCCGTCTTGGTTTGAGGCGCAGACATTGAACATGTCGCCGAGGTACTTCTGCACGCAGGTCAGAAACAATAATCTACGAGGCAGAGACGGGAGACTTACCGTGCCGTCAAAATCAGAGTTGTCCATCTTCGACTCCAGTTGATGAGATGTTCTTGTTTTCTTTGGTCTCAGGATGGTGTGGCGCAGAAGAAGCTCGATAATCTATGTAAAAAGCGACGCTGCGACATGCGGAAGTTTGAGTGATCCGGACGCCAAGACCACAACACAACACCCACCCTCGCTCGCTCGCAACCAAACTAGCACCCTATTCTCTCGCTACCGACCATCGACATGCCACTGCCTGTCATGTATCGCTATCCGCTACTCACTCTTAGCAAGATCAGCAGGTCTTTCTCCATACCTCGCAGTGCCGATCCGTCTTTCCGGTCCGAGGCTCAAACCTTAACCTTCACCGCCACGGTTTATGGAAGCATAGACGATCTCAGCCACATTCAGGCTTTCCCTGGGACCCTGTCCATGGAAGAGGTCGAAGCTGAGCTTGTGGAGAAACGGCACAGTATCTTATCTTGTCCCACACAGGGTATTGCCACATGCGCTGTCGACTCTGTCCTTGCCGTTGCTCGGTATCTTGGTATTGCACGCAATGCTATCGATGTCGCATTTTGTCGCTCTTCAATTCCATATCCCGCCAGCATCATGCTCCAATTTCTCGATCAATCATGGACTGGCATTGGAACGCAACTTCTCAATACCAAACGCGACGCACTACAGGTAGCTATCCTGAGTCATATGCACAGCATTGGAGAGTACTCTTCTAATGGTTACCTTGATCCACGGTTGGTTTGGCAAATGTTTAACGGCATACCCTCAACTTCGTTCACCTTGGTCCAACACCGAACATGCATGATTTGCCTCACCCACACAGACCCGATGCAAGAGAGCTTGTCTCTGATCCACATACCCAACCGCTTCATTTCCTCCGCCGCTTACGCTCGAATCACATCGCCCCCTCGATCGACCATCATCCGAGATCTTGTACAGCTACGTCTATCGTCAGATGCTGTTACCGTCGCCGCCCCTTGTCCCCAATGTCATCACAACGATACACAAGAGGAGGTATACATCGCAGACAGACTGCCTGAGGTTCTAGCTGTGGGGATCGAGAACACCAGTGATGGGTGCCTTTCCTATGCTGCAGACATAGATATAGACTATCGTCATCTCGATCAACCAAAGTCTGCACCTCCAAATCGGGCGCGTTATCAACTTGCCGCGTTGCTCCATATTTCTGGTGACGGAGATCTTGCGCACATTACCGCTTCTATCCGTGTTGCTAGCAAGGGCTGGATCCGGTACGACGGCAATAAGTCGCCTCCTATCAGTGTTTTCGGTCAAAACGACGCATACCTTAACTCAGCACCCCAGTGTGTGATGGCTTTGTACAAGTCAAGGCTAGATTCAATATGAGAGACTTGTGTTGGGGTTCCTTCTCAGAGCGACACTTTTTGGTGTACAGGACAGGCAGTAGGCAGAGAATACATTGGTGGCTTTACATATCCGGTTCTACTCGTGTTGACGTATAAGAGTCGAAAACTCCTTTGAGTAAATAAACATGGTGTCCGCATTTGACTCTTCTCTTGGAAGGCCAATCTGGATCCCTTGCAATCATCATTGGAGCGTGGGGGGTGGGAGATGGAAGGTTGTCTTACCAAGTGTGTCTCGCCCGTCGTCCGTCGTAGCAACAGCGATTTGGTTGCGGTGTTTGACGGACGACGGTGTGGTTGTGAGAAAAGGAAAGAGCTTCGGCGCAAAGAAGAGAATATCTTGGATTTATATTGCCGGAGTTTAACCAGAGACATCTTTCTTTCGTGGCACTTAACCCTTTCATTCTCACCTGCTGCTCTGCCGAAAAGACTTAGAAGAAATCCATCTATGGCCTCGTCTGGGACTCAAATACTCGATCAACCCAGCTGGATGCACGATATCTGTGGTATAAGCTGGTGATCCGGCGCTGCAAAGTACCTGGCCGATGCAGAAGCCGACTCGGGAAAGCATTTTGCCGAGCAGTTGCATGGCAGGCTATGAACTCCACTAACCCCCTCTGAGGCTCTGGTAATGTCTGTAGCATGTAGACTAACATCTCTGTTTTCCAATTTACTGCTCTCATTTCTTACAAACAAAATCAATCGCGATCCATACCTCCTCAAGCCAGATTCAAAACATCGCCAGTACCATTGAGCAATCACAACAATGTCTATCCTCATCATCAACGGACCTAATCTCAACCTTCTCGGTACCCGGGAGCCTGCAATCTATGGCCACGAAACTCTCTCAGACGTCGAGAACACAGCAAAATCCCTGGCCTCATCACACGGCCTCTCACTAGAAACTTTCCAATCCAACCACGAAGGCGCCATCATCGACCGCATCCACGAAGCAGCTGGATTTGGACCCCAAGGTGATGGCCAAAGACACATAGATTGGATCATCATTAACCCTGGCGCTCTGACACATACTTCTGTGGGTTTGAGAGATGCATTGAACGGAGTCAGTATTCCATTTGTGGAGTGTCATATTAGTAATGTGCATACGAGGGAGGAGTTTAGACATAAGAGTTTCTTGAGTGACAAGGCTGTTGCTGTTATTGCTGGGTTGGGGACGTTTGGCTATGAGGCTGCGGTGAACTTTGTGGCGAGGAAGATCAAAGCTGGGAAGTAGATGCTTTAAACAGCGGTCGGTGAGTGTGGCAGTTTGTAAAGAATATCATGTTGGAAGGAGCTGATCATATTGCAGTAGTTTTTTTCCGTGGTTTCACTTATGGCTTGCCATCGCTAGCTTTCTCGTCATTATCAAAATGTCTACTTTTCCATCATCAAAAGTACTGAGTGTCCAAGAAGAAGAAAGATATCCAGTCTACCGCTGATGTTGTCGTGTTGATGATCCTGAGCAGGGAGACTTGATTGTTTGACTTCGGCGGACATCGTAGACAAGGAACAGTGAACATCAAGACGAAGCCGACTGTACTCCTGTTTGCTAAAGTGACGTGTATACCTACAGAAATGCACAATACTATCAGCGAATAGGAAAGTGCACCCGAGAGTCGTAATCTCATCGGCTCTCTTTGGCCATGCCTGTGCCTTTGTCATTGATCGTGAATTTTCAAAGTGCACATTCTTACTCTTCGCTACAGTCGGAGCACAGTGGGGGATCAAATAGTTTGCAAATTATGCTTGAGTCTCAGTGCGATGGCTGTGAATGAAAGCGATTGTGATTCTTGCTTAACCTAACGCCTAGATAGAATGATATGTACAAATACGATCTACTTCTTCGTGGTCGTCTTACTCTTTCCGCCTTTATCGTCACTCTTGGTAGAAGTGGTTTTCGCCGAGCTCGCAGATGTGATGAGTGTGCTGCCTGACGTGCTAGCTTTTGTGTCTGAGCTTGTAACAGTCGCCGAAGCCCCTGAGGAAGCACCACCAGAGCCAGTCGCAGAGGCAGAAGCTCCGCTTGAACTACCACTACCACCTGAAGAAGCCTTGGTTACAAGCGTAGTCTGCGAACTATGTGTCTTCCAATAGTCCTCAAGTTTCTGCTCAACCTCACCTGCCTTCTTATAAGCATCCAAGTCTTGAAAATCCTTGCACTTTTTGGAAATTGCTTCGCTTTCAAAGTCACCATCGCGGTTGGTAAAGTCTTCGGGTTTGAAACTCTTAGCGCGGTATTTGGGATCCATAGGGTCGATGAAGGTGGTCTTTTCATCGTAGCCGAGATCGGTTAGTGCTGTGACGTTTAAGGCGGCCATCATGTCGTGGTCTTCGTGGATTAGGTTGTGGCAGTGGAACATGTAGAGACCATCCCATCTAGGAAGGAATGTTACAATCATTTCTCTCAAATGCTCTAGATGCGCCGAGTGTGTACTTACGGGCCATAGCGGGCAAGTACTTGGACTTTCTCGTTTTTGTTCAGCCATACGACATCTTTGAGTGCAGTCTGTTCGTATGGAAGAACACCACGAGTGCCACCAGTGCGGCTAACGACTTGAAAGTCGATGAGGTGGATGTGAATTGGCTAAAGATAAAGATCTGAGTTAGCAAAGTCTCAGCAAGAGTTTCAAAGATGTGACGAACATGACTCCAGCCTCCTGCACTGTTTATGAGCTCCCATCGCTCGACAGCACCTCTCTCAGGCTTAGCAATGACGCGATCTTGAACATCCGCCCAGGTGATTCCATTCACACGCCATTCTCCACCACTGCGCTCGAATTCATATGAACGGTCGACGCCCGTCTTAGCAGGCGGGAGTGGTACACTTCGAAGAGTTGCCGGTAAAGGACCGTTGTTAGAGTTATCGCTCACTGAATTGCCGACCATAAAGCGCATAACTCGATCAGTGCCATCAAAGTCGTCATCAGCAGCGACATTGCCTGTGTTCTTGAGTGTGATGTTCTGACCAGCATAGGAGGAGAAGTCAAAGACCACTTCCCATCTCTCGGCCATTGAGATGTCGAGTTGGGTGGTGCTGACAGGACTAGCGAGGAGACCTGCATCTGAACCAATAACCGAGAATGGAATGCGAGTGCCAACCTTCTTGTCTGCTTCGGCGTAAAGTTGGAACGAACGACTAACGGAGGTGTCGAGGAAGCGGAACAGATATTTGCGTGGCTCGACGGCAAGGTAAGGCCAAGGTTGTCCGTTGACCTGAACAACGTCACCGAAGACACTTGTGGTCTCTCCATTAGCCTCGGGGTCCCAGAGTGAACCATCAGCGTTGTATCGTTTTGCTGCAAGAGCAAGGGGAATATCGTAGTTGCCAGAAGGCAAGCCAAAAGAGTTCTTCTGGTCATCTTCCAGGATATAAAATCCAGCTTGCCCATAGTAAGCGTTTTCGGCAGTGTGTCCAACAGCATGGTCGTGATACCAGAGTGTTCTTGCAGCTTGGGCGTTGGGGTAGTAGTAGTCTTTGTATTGTCCGGGCTCGGTTGTGTCTTCTGCCCATCCATCAAAGGGAGCGCGACCTGAGAAGTCGAGTCAGGATATCTCTTGTCATGTCAAAAGGAATAGACTGCTTACTATATGATCCATGCAGGTGGACCGAGTTTGCACGGTCGGCATGATTGATGAAGCGGACAACAGCTTCACGTCCTTGCTTCATCTTGAAAGTCGGTCCAGGAACGGTACCGTTGTAACCAACGTGTCGTGCTTTCTTGCCAGGATAAATCTCTAAATCAACAGGCTTGATTTCGATTTCATAGTAATCAATGTTGTCATATGACCTATTATGTGTTAGAAGGGCAAGCGTATACGGGAGTGAAGTCAGATCTTCGACTGCTTACTTGTAAGGCTGAGCGATAGGCGGAACAGGTAGGGGAAATTCGAAAAAGTTTTTGTAGACTGGACTGAGCCATCCTTTGGCTTCAGCCAATGGGAACAGAGCAAGAAGCAGAAGAGGATGCATGATAGAAGAAATTTGATGTTTGTCAGGAGTGGAGACGAGAGATGATGGTGTTTTTATTGACTAGTTTGTGTGCGGGCAGGCTGTATAAATACCTGAACATACTTAGACGTGACTCACTTAGAGAAGCAGACATTGCTTGGGTATGGCCTATGCTATTACCACGATGGTTTCCAGAATGAGCTATACAGAGTAGAGAAACATTCGGAGTCGCCGCCAGAATCCTTGCTCCTTGTCAGCAGCTGAAGACTAGAACTTCAAAGCAGACACTGTACATGGCGAGACAGCTGCCTGGCGCTTCGTTTGACAAGGTAAAGGCCCTGGAGTTGAGTATTCCATCGAAGGTGCAAGAGCCAGTCCGCAATCCAGTCCCAGAATAGTTACATGCGCGAGGTAAGCAGGTCTGTTTCACAGCTGAACTCAAGGCCAAGGTGAATGTAACGAGACTCTCGACCACGAGGTGCGGGATAGCTGGGAGGCTCCAGATGGCCAAGACTGTGTCCGAGAGACAGAAGACTATCGAAGCATATTCCGACAGCTTACACAACTCGACAAACAACTGATTGGATTCGAGTGGGCTGACGAGTAGCAAGGGCCAGGTTTGTGGTTTGAACTGCATCATCAAGAATACGCAAAGGTACTGTACTGTCTGTAATTGTCCTATCTTGGAAGCGGGTGGTCGAGCGAACACGCCATATGCGGTCTATGTACCACAGCAATAGCTGGATTTGGAAGACTGGCCAACTCTGCTCTGGTAGCTTCAGCGCTGAAGGCGGCAAGGTAGAGGTGCGAGTACATGAGATGCTTTAATTTGTTCCGATGTGGCTGTACTCGCCAAGAGTCAGATTCCACTGACGACCGTCGACAGCACGACCATCTCAACACTGAAGCGAGTCTATTTGCCAATCTCAGTGAGCACCTAGAAACAGCTGATAGAATGCCGTTTACAATCATCAATGCTGTTGTGGTGGTCAGTGGGAGCAGAGCAACGAGGTTTGAACGCGAAAGCAGCCAAGAACTCGAGATCTGTAGGCTTGGCGCTGACCACCGCCGGATCCTTCAACCACAAATCACATCCGCATGCAAGTCTCTCCAAACCTTGCGAATTTGTTCCGTGTTCCATTCGCTCATTTACTCCGTTCATCAATGTAAACATGTCACTATCTGGGCGCCAAGCTTGGAGACTCGGCAGCTGAACGGTGATGCTTGTTATCAGATGCCATGTGTACTCGGCATACGGTCTCGAACCTAGGCCACCACTCAGACGACAGGCCCGAGCCGTGCGCCAACTGCCCTACCGTGAATAGATGTTCCGTATCGATAAAAACTCGATCGCTTGACTTCAGGAAACCCACGACGTAGTGGCGAACGAGGCTTCGGAATCGCCTACATTCACTATTTCAGCTTCGATGTTACTACCACGAGCAATACGCCACGAAGTTAGACCTGGGGCTTCAACCTGTCTTCCTCGCTTACAGCAGAACTTATGCCAGCAGACTCAGTCATTCTATACTTACACTTGATGGATGGCCTGTCAGCTGGTGAACAAGGTAGGCACACTTCTCGTACCCGTCTTGTCTTGCTCAAATGTTCATCTCCGAGACATCCTTGTCACTGCTGCGGAGTTGTCGCGACCTGATTTGGGTGCGATACTCGAATGAGCACCTTGACTGCATACAGCTATGGTCCGTTCGAGAATGTCTTGTCAGTTCCTCTCTGATGTACCATTATTGGCCATAGGCTTTCACATACTGTGACTGGTAACAACGATGTGGCTATAAAGTGACAGTGCTGTACTGAGTCTATCTGATCCATTGCTCCAACTCACACCCATTTGCAATATGCTTTCTACTGCTCTCAAATTTCTCTCTGTTGCATTGTTGAGCTCTCGCGCAGCAGCTCAAACAATCGAACCGTTTGTCCTCGATGGCAGACTCGATAGTGCTACTGCTAGCGATGGCACTTACAACTCTGGCGGTACCATTTCTGTCAATGGCTATTCTATTACGATCCCGCAAAACCTCCAAATACAATTCCCGGCTGCGTTTGCGCCCTTCGGTGATTTTGCGAGTGCAGGATCCTTTGTTGGCCATGAAGTATCCGTAAGCTCATCTTTTCTCTTCGAAACTCGCAACGAGGATGCTGACAGTGTGGCTCAAGGTGACTGGAAACGTAGTCAATGGCAAAGCAATTGCAGGTCTTGTACAGATCGGGGAATACCTTTTGCAGTTCAGCTCTGGTACGGTCGAGAGTATCGACTCTTCTGCTGGCACCATGAAAATCAAAGGTGGCCCGACCATCAGGATCAACGATCCGAATGGCGTGTACTCCGTGGGCTACACCAAATCTCCTCTCTACACTGCAGACGATGAGAATCCTTCCATCACAGCATTCAGCGGCTTCCCCATGTGTATACCAAGGTCCTCGTCTGATCCTCTGTGTCCATCGAGCAACCGCCCAGCAGGACAAAGCACATTGTAAGCCAATGTTAAGTCCTGTCAATGAAATCAATATGCTAACGATATCAAAGCCAAGCACCCGATCCACTGAAAATGGCTCCCTTCCAAGTTGGTGACTACCTCGAATACTCTGGCATAAATGTTGGCGGCACTATTGTCTGCTACACGATTGTTGCTCCAAATGTACAGATCACCACTTCAGGGGCGCCTACATATATCCGTGTTGAGGATGCTATTGTTGGCATTTTCGATGGCACTACCACGTCAGAGTTTGGTGATTCGAGGGTAAGTTCTAGAGTTGGTGCTGATGGGTATACCTCGTACTGACATTGAGTAGTTTATCGGATATACGTCCGACCCAAACGCCGCCATCACAGTCTACGCTATCGATGTCGATCCTTGCACTGGTGAAGAGACAGAGCGAAGCGTTGGCGCTGCTTCGTACAAGAGAGGCGATGTTCGCAACAAGTGGGAATGGAGGGCCGCTACTACCACAACATCGAAATACACTCGCGAATACGTCCTCCGCCTGTCTACAGGCGAGAAGCTTACAAACAACAAGATCAACGCCGGCCGTTATGTCCAACCCGTTCTGGAGTTCCTCTTCCCAGAAGCAAATGTTCCCGGCATTGTTCCTCCTGTGAATGATTTCAGCAACTTTCCCTTTCTTGCACAGGGTCTGGGATACGACAATCAAGGCAATCTTTGGGGTCAACTCAATCCTTGGCCGGGTGCCAGTGCTCCTGCTACAAAAAGCTGTGCTCCATACTCTCCTCCTGCTTCTACTTCTTCGACTGCCGGATCTGCTTCGTCTGCTGCTGCTTCCAGTACTGCATCAGGATCGAGTGATTCTTCTGCTTCCGCTACATCGACTCCAAGTAGCTCTAGCTCGGCTGCAGCAAGCACACCCACGGTGGCTGTCGGAGGCACCCAGACAAGTCGTCCTGGTGTTGTAGTCAAGCTTGGCTTCAACGTCACCAACCAGGCCGAATTTGGTACCAACGATCTCACATACAGCTGGACTCAAGTTAGTGGACCCAGTGTCACGCTATCCAGCAACACTGCTGCAAGTCCATCTCTCACTGCTCCATCCGGCACTGCGAAAGCCACTTACATCTTCAACATCAAAGCGAGCAGTGCTGCAGCAGGCACAAGTGGAAACGCCAACGTCACCATTGTCAGCGATCCTGCTGTCAAGGATATCGTAACGATCGACAGCTACACATACAACTCTTCGGGAGGCGGGCAGGTCACAGTCACTGCCAGCACAAACATTGTCGGCTATAATGCGAATCTGAAGTTGTATCTGACGAACGCGGCGACTGGGACAGCTACTACAATGACATATCTTGGGAATGGCAAGTACAGTATTAGTCTGACCAAGACTAAGAAGCCAGCAAATGGTATTACTGTCGCGAGTGATGGAGGTGGTAGCAAGAGCACAACACAAGTAACAGCGTAATGGAGTCTACGGGATTGTGCTGGCATATTTCGATATACCTTGTACAGTTATGCTTATGCAAGTCAATCTGCACAATAATTCACATAAGCGAGCACAGCCACGGATCCTGCAGGGTCCAGACTTCCAGCCCAGTGTTTCAGGTTGTTGATGGACCCCGCCATAAACTCCCCAAAATAGTGACAGGAAGCTTGCCAGCGTCAAGCTCACCGACCTCTTGGTATTTGGTCACGTCATGCGATACACTGACCAACCTGCTTTGACGCTGATGATCATGAGTACAAAAGGGAGGACAGCTGTCGGCTAGCTCGATTCCACAATCCACTTCCTCTCCTTGCAACATTGAATTGAATTACAAGAACCAAAAACCTCCTTTGAAGAACATACTCAACATGTCTGACTACAACAACCGTGACTACGACGAGAACGCTGCCCGTTTCGCTGGCGAGACTGTAGGCAGAGCAGGTTCGTCGCCCCCTCTTTTCCTCTTGCCTTCACCCCCATTTCAAGACCACCACTAACTAACCACAGAGGGCACTTACGATCGCGCCGATCAAGCTTGGGACCGCGAAGAATCCCGCATCGGCGACTCCTTCCGCCGCGACGAACAAGCCGTCGAAAACGCCCCCGAAAACCTTGCTCGCTACGCCGAACAAGGCTTCAACAACACCGTCTCCAGCGTCGAGAACATCCCCTCAGATATCGGAGCCGGTCTGCGTGGAGCAGCAAACTGGATTGGCGAGAAGATTGGAGGTGCGGAGAATGAGGGTAGACGTGCTGAGCAGGATGTGCAAAACAAGTACAATGATGCCGAGCAGGATGTGGATCGTTTTGGCCAGGGAGTCAAGAATAGGTATGATGATGCTGAGCAGGATGTGGATCGCTTCAATCAGGGTATGCAGAATTCGTATGATCAGGGTGAGCAGCAGGGAAGACGTGATGGCTGGTAGAGGCTTGCATCATGTAGAGCTCTGATTGGCCAAGAGGCTAGGGATATCAAATGACAATGATCCAGCAAGATCTTGAGAACCGCTTTCCTTGAGTCAAATTGCAAAATGTTCTTGTGCTGGATAGAGTGAGATGGCGACAAACCGCCAGTTGGCTGATCGTTTGGCAAGAGTCTCAGAGCAACCTACCACGCAAAAGCCTCTTCGATCAAGTCGACCCGCATACCATCTCTCAGACATCCAACCACAGCTTCTCGGACTTCATCTGACATGGCACCGGGCGCGCAAACCACTACCACGACTCTTTTTCCCCTCTCCGCTACAGATCTAACAACCTCTCCGACATTCATTCTGCCATTTCGCAAGTTGATACTTTGCTCAAGTCCCTTGTCTTGACTGCTCTGCTCGCCAGTACACCAGAACTGGTACTCGAGATGCTTGTTTTGTGACTGAGCCGCGGGCTCAGGCAAAAGAAAGGTGGACACATGCTGTAGGAGGGCTTCTTCTTTTGCCGACCAAGCGAGCACAAATCTTGTTGCATGGCTCATCAGAGGCTTTGAAGCAGAATTAGTAGATCGAGACTCATCAACGTATTGCTGCAAGAAGCTCATGCAGCTTGTGATGCCAATGCCTCCAGCCACACACAAGATAGTGTTTGCAGTCTCCAATGGTAGCAATGTAGCACGATGTCCGCCGTAGAGTCCTTCGGTAAGGATGGATATGGGCAAAGCGCTTGCCTCCGATCTACGCAGCTTCTGAAGTAGTGAGGCGGTCATCCCTTTTCTGGCTCGCATCAGACATACTACTTGATCAGAACAATTCGAGTCGTGGGTGTGCTGTGAATCAGAAGAGTCGTCAATTTCCACATTGTGCAGTTCCGCTTCCTTCACAATAGATGCATTTGACACGACCGGCGTGTTACGAGTGGGTTCTGGGCAACTCCAGGATGCGATGGTGAATGGATGATTTTCCCAAGGTTTGCCAAGAAGTGGTATGTATAAGAAAGAGTGTTGACCAGGTCGCACTCTCCATGCCTTCTTCGGGTGTATCGTCATTTGTAGTATATCGGTATGCGGAATTTGTTTGACCACTGCAATGGGACTGCCAGAATAGTTGAAGTACACGAGGCGGAAGAAACGCATTAGTCGGTCAAAGGCCCAAAAAGCAAATGCGATGTACAACCAGACCTTGTAGCCCCATTTGTTGCCAAAGCGCAGATCGATATGATACCAACAGCCCATCAGCGCAAGTATAGCAAACGCTATATGTGTGATCAGGAAGAATTCGTAGGATCGGATCCTTATGGGAAGAATCGCAAAGCATACAGCGAGACACAGCACAACGGTAGCGATGATACCCCACCAGTAGTACGGCATAGCTGCTTCTATTCGATATGCAGCTGCTCCACCAGTCCAGAAGTAGGTAATAGTATAGATGATCGAATGTACGACAGCTTGAACAGTCGCAACTCGAGACGCCCAACGGTGGATAGCTAGCATTGTGCTCTGGCTCCAACCAGTGATGAGTATGAGTAGATTGTTACGACCAGAGAAAAGGATTGCGAGAGCGAGATTCGCAAAGCTGAGAATGCCGGTACGATTCGAGACGTAGGCAGCAATTTCGTGGCGACGGTCAACATACCAGGCATTTGGCGTGACATGGTGGAATGAAACGGCTGAGAAGATGATGTTGAGAACAACGTATGAGGCAATAAAAATTGTGAGGCCGCGCTTGGGCAGATAACCTGAAGAAGACGAGGTGGTCAGCGATTCATCATGCTGCAGGCCCTTGCCCACTGAACTTACCAAGTCGGTAAGGCAACGGCGATAAGTGTCGGCCGTTGAACGTAGCAGGGACCAGCAAATACTGGCCGACCTTTAGTGACAAGCTGCCGTGCCCGAAGTTGGGTGTTATGTGCATCTTCCAGATTCCTGAAATGATACAGATGCCTACGACGAAGAGCATGCTGATAAGTCTGCTTGACGGTCAACACCATGCGAGTGCGGATGCATGTGTGTACTTACGCGTAACGAGTGTGTCTGTGTTCGGACAATACAAACTCCTTCATTGTGACATAATTGGAGAGGTAGGCATTTTCATTGACAAGGCTTGTCGAGTTTAGCCAGGTGGAATCTGCTTCCAGTTCGACGACGGGTGTGGTCGATGGTAGAGAAGCCTGTAATGTAGGAACGTGTAGTCCATTGGCGGCCAACTTGGAGAAGCATTGGCCCTGTTCACTCTCGTTAGCGCTGTCCTGTGCACATTTTTCGTGAATGCAGTAGGAGAAGGTCTCCAGCCAGGTCCGATCGCTGGCATAGCAGGCATCACTTGTTGTTGCCATGGATTCGCTTCCCATATCCATACGTTTGATCAACTTCATGTCCATGCCGCTATGACTCATGTCCATGTCGTCCGAGAAGATTGTGCAATTCAAGTAAAGAGCAGACAGTGCATCATGACAAGAGTAACAGCACAAGGGCTGATACATTGGGATGCCGAATCCAAGAACTCCATACTGTGTCTCGGCTGAAACAAGACGAGCGAGAAAGATCGGTGGACCGAAACCAAAGGCGACAAGAGTCTTCATGATGCCGAGTCGGCTTACCAACAGATGAACATTCGACGTTAGGGACCATGGCTTTTGTATAGCACTGGCCAGCCAGAACCAACTCCGGCATATAATCTTGGCTTCCTATACCGGACATGGATGGACTGCATGCTGAGAGAAGATTTGAGCAATTTATTGATATAAACCATTGTCGCCATCGCCATATCGAGATATCTAGATGCCGGTTGATACAGCCACATGGATTATGTAAAGCGTGTTTGTGGGAACGATGCACGTTTCGAGAGACATTGAGCAAGTTTCTGGGCATGGCGTTCGCATGGATGAAACGATATGGATCTGCGGCTGCAGCCAAGCCACTTGACTGACCCGCCACGACAGATGACCCGCAACTAGACGTGAGAAAGTCTTCGCTGAGTATCTCATATGTACACAAAAAGTATGGCAATACAGCAGTGGCCACAGACACCTAACAACACAAACAGGCAGAGATGGTCTTGAGGGAAGAGCTATCCCGCTTGAACCTCGGTAAATACGGCTATTGCGGAAGCAGCGGGGTAGTTTGTATGACTATTGTCCAGCAGAATTCAAGCAACAACGACGGAGACAGCGGAAGAGTATGAGTAGGTAGGTGACTCAGCTCGATTCTCTTTGCTCTTCGGGGTGTGTAAGCTGGTGTTTTCTGCAATTCGCCAGTCGACGAACCCTCCATGTCGTCGTCAACACCACAACACAACAGATTGCGCTCACGCGTAGCTTGTGAGCCATGCCGAGAACGCAAAAGGAAGTGCGATGGAGCTTTTCCATGCAGCACCTGTGTCAGATATGCTTATGATTGCCATTATCCGCAATCCTCTCGAAAGAGAAAGTCCGCCGCAATATCCGATACGGCAGCTGAACACACCCCTCCAACGCCCACGGACCAGGATGCTCAGACTCGGATACAGTCGCTGGAAGCCAACTCAGGCTCCGCCTTTGTCAGGAAAATGGCTCTGGGTATTGATCCTGCAAATGCGCCTCGTCTAAGGCTGTTTGCATGGAATGTTTTCCTTGGCTCACGCAAGTCAACACATATCCCAGTCTCTCGTTCTTTGACTCAAATCGTCTCATGGCCGGAACTCGAAGAGCTTGTCAACATCTATTTCTCGAAAGTCGATCCTTGCTATGGTTTTGTGGATCGTCGCTCGCTCGAGCGTCGTATGCGAATATACTGGATGAATGACAGCACAGAGACAAGCTCATTTGAAGCCGTCATGTGTGGGATTGCGGCTTTAGGACTTCTTTTCTCTCGTAGAAACGTGGTAGACGCAGAACTAGACCTTGTCGAGACTGCTAAACGTATCCTCGAGGCGTCAATTTCAGTGCATCCATCCCTGGATATTGTTACTGCATGGGTACTGCGAGTAGCTTACATGCGAATGACTGCCCCAGCGCATGCCGCGTGGATGGCTAGCTGCATGTTGATGCATACCCTTGAAGCAGCTGGCATACACTCAACCCACGTCCTCAATTGGAGTGCCGATGAGTCAGGCCAGCCGCTGACTCCCGAGATCAGAAAGCGGATCCTTGGTGTTGCCCAACATCTCAATATTTGGATGTCATTCGATATCGGACGTTCGAGAGTTCATCTGCAGACGCTGGATTTTGATTTACCGGCCCCTAGAGAAGGTGGTTATACCACGGAACTTCTCGAACTCCTACCTCATTCGGAGAATTTGAATCCTGACAAAAACGTAGATGTGGTGGATCTCAGGAACTCTCTTGCGACCATCGTTGAGCGGCATCATTCTGCGCCGCCATCGATCCTTGCTCAATGCAACCTCACCTTGTTGCTATGTCGTCGCTTAAGAACCCTCAACTTCCACTTTCAAGGCAACCTACTGAATCAGGTATTGACAGTCACTGCCAGGGGCATCCAAGCTGCTCAAGATCTGTTGGATGATTGCGCACCGTGGCACCATGTGGTGAATGTTCCATTCCAAATCATCTGCATCCTGCTCGCATTGGATACACCAGCTGCAATCGCACAACTAAACGATGGTGTCAAGACTCTGAACAACATCCAGCTCGTCTATCCAACCGACGCAGCAAAGGAAGCGTTGAGTACAGCTTGTTTACTCATACACTTGCATAGGAAGCGCAAAGAAGCTGATCTCAAGACACTCTCAGAGATTGTATCGACATATTCACCTTCGGTTTTGCTGGACCAGCAGATATCGTCACAGCCGCAGACCATAAATGAATGGGGCAATACTTGGCTTGAAACTTTGCCCGAGATGTCAGATCTCCAGTCCTTCGATATCGATCGTTTCTTGAATGGCAGTAGTGAGTGGAGTATGCCTGGTGACTGGACACTGTAGGACTGTGTAACCAATCGGGAGGGGCGGGTGTTGCGGACCGTTGCCAACTACCTTGCTACAACTTGTAAGAAGTTGGGCACTGCTTTTGAGCTCTGATCTCACCAGCAGAAATTAGACCATCATACTTCCCAGCCTCATTCGATCACCCTTTCGAGATGGCTGCGTTGCTGAAGAAGACATACCCATGGATCAAGCTTCCGCTCATCATATCAGCGCCAATGCTGGGCGCTGCCACTCCCGCCCTCGCAGCTTCAGTCAGTAAAGCTGGTGGTATCGGGTTTCTAGCAGGCGGTACCAAGCCTGCTGAGCTTGATGAGCTGTTGTCAAAGATCTCCGCCTTGATTCCGTCCAAATCACATACTCAGAACGATGTTTTGCCCATTGGTGTTGGCTTCCAGAACTGGGGCTGTAGTCTGGATGCCATGTCGCCCATTTTTCGAAGATACTGTGTTGCTGCTATTTGGCTGTTTGCCCCAAAACAGCTAGCAGACTTTGGACCATGGGCTCAGGATATTCGAAACGTCAGCGAAGGACGTACACAAGTCTGGATTCAAGTCGGAACGGTATCTGAGGCACTGGAAGTCATGAGGCTAGCTCGTCCCGATGTCATCGTCGTGCAGGGAACAGATGCAGGTGGTCACGGTCTTCGCCAGTCCGCCAGTATCATATCACTACTACCAGAGACTAAAGATGCACTCAAAACTGCTGGATATCCTGATGTGCCAGTACTAGCTGCTGGCGGAATCGTTGAGTCTCGAGGCGTCGCTGCTGCACTCACTCTAGGTGCCGACGGCGTAGTCATGGGAACGAGATTCCTCGCTGCAAAAGAAGCTGGTATCGCAAAAGGTTGGCAGAACGAAATTATCCGTGTCAAAGATGGAGGTACCACGACCAAGCGGTCAACTCTTTGCGATCGTCTTAAAGAAACCGTTGGATGGCCGGAACACTACGATGGGAGAGCTATTATCAACAAAGGACATTTGGACGAACAAGCAGGCTTATCCGATGCAGACAATGTACGCTTTTACAAAGAGGAGTTGAAGCGTGGCGATGAAGCTTTTGGTAATGACGGGAGAATGGTGACATACGCGGGTACTGGCGTCGGGTTGATCAAAGAAGCCAAATCTGCCGCCGATATTGTGGAGGAGACGTCTTTTGGCGCTCTGCAAATACTGCAACGCTCTGTAGGTATCATGGGCTCCAGGCTTTGATCATGCCATCAGCGTACTCGAATCTTGGTCTACAAGCTGTCTGATACTTCATGCCCTTCGGCGTTTGACGGTCTGAGTCTGTATGCAAGAGTCTATCGATGCCCGAATGTAGATTACGCGTTCATGCTTCTGCAGGTTACGTGAGAGCCCGCGGACCATAATATGGAAGATCTCTGTCAATCTCAATTGACATGTCTCACAATTGTGCATCTATACAGCTCGGAAATAGGCTATATCACTCACCTCGGGAGAAGAGACGAATGCCTTATAACCGAGATGTCAGCCCTGCAACACAACGGCGGGCTGGAGGCAGGCGTTTTGTACGGTGGAGCCCCGCAAAGGTGACGTGCATGGCGCTCCGTCAGGCCGTCAACCTTGTTAGACATGCTCACGCGCCGATCTGGCCTGCACCTCCGAAGTCGTTGCATGCGAAGGATCCAAGGCTGTTGTCACTCTCAGTCATGGATACGAGTACAATGTCCTTTCTTCCGTCTCTTTACTCACCACATTCATCTCTGTTCCTGGAAAGACGCCGTCTCTGGGCTGTCTACCAGCGTGATCATGCCCTAGATACTTCAAAGACTATCTCACGAACATCACTCATCTATCCGGAAAATCTCAGGCTGGAAATTCCAGATCGACATGCCTGACGGAATCACCGACGCGAAGAATGGCATTACTGGCGGCTACAAAGGCGAAAATGCCATCATCATTCGAGCGATGATTGCATTCACAGCCATCGCTTGGTACAATGCCGCCGAGATTATCATACTGGTCCTGGTCGTCTTCAAGCGCTACTCCGGGCTCTATTTCTGGTCGCTGCTCATCACCGCCATCTCCATCATCCCATACCAGGTCGGTGCATGGTTGAAACAGGTGGGAGAGGCAGACGCCATGGGCATGATAATACTGTCGAGTATCGGTTGGGTTGTCATGGTGCCAGGATCGAGTCTGGTCTTGTATTCTCGGCTACATTGCATCACACAGAACCGGAAACTTCTCAGAGGTATACTCTATATGATCATCATCAACGCCATCGTCCTTACCGTCCCAACGAACGTCCTGTCGCTTGGATCCAACTCTAGCAAATACTACTTGTTCACTTTTGGGTACTCCGTGATGGAAAAGATTCAGATGACGGTTTTCTCGCTCCAAGAACTAATCATCTCATTCATCTACCTTGTCGAGGTCCGTCGCGTCCTAAAGGTGATTGATGACGGTCGCTTCAGAAAGATCATGTGGGAGCTCGGTGCCATCAACATCGCAATCATTGTTCTGGATGTTGCGCTTCTCGCTGTCGAGTACCTTGGCCTCTACCAGATCGAAGTCACACTTAAGGGGATGTGCTACAGCATCAAGCTGAAGCTGGAATTTGGTGTGTTGTCGAAATTGGTCAAGATAGCCACTGCTCGTCAAGGCGTCTATGATCTACAAACTGAAACCGACAGCTCTGGCAAGAACGCGATGACATATCAAGGTCACGGCGCATGGCTGACCGGCCTATCTGCTTCACCACCTACGTTGACGACACTGCCTTCGAACACCACATACAGCACCGGGAAGCGCAACAGTACATGGGGCAGTATTTGGGCGACCGGCAATCCTTTCGCGTCAACACATGCAGAAGTACAGAAGAGGCATCGCGATTTCGAGGACACTGTAACGTTTTCGCAGACCGAACCGTTGCCGAAGCCGAGTCTGATCGCTGAGCACATTTCTCACCCACCTGCTGTTGTTACGTCAAGACGCTCGTCGACTGAAGATTTGTATCCTGGACGACTTGACTGAAATGCCTTTTTCTCGCGATAGAGTTATGGCTCTCGACGGGCTATCAACACAGCTTGCCGCGGACCAGGTGGCAATATATCTAGCCAGACGGCATACCTGCAAGATAGCAGTCTTGATCCTTGCTGACGCATGGATCAGCGCGTCTATCAGAGGTTTTTACCGCTCCAAAGCAGTGTGATACAAGCCCGACGCCAGTTTCCATGCTTCAATACCAGTCTGTCTCTGCCATTTCAAATGTGAATGTTCTGAGTACATCGGATAAGTTCGAGCTTTCACAGCAAGCTCGCATACCGAACAGTCCGAGATGATCCTGATGTCACTCAAGATTTTCGGCTTCGCTGCCGATGATATTCAGGCCTTGAGGGCAGATAAATTTTTCAGAAGACAGGCAAGATGTCAAAGTCCAAACGGACCAGACTGAGGCCAGCTTGCGAGCACTCATCGCGGCAAGGCCTGTCGCAAAGACGACAGTACACGCGCGTGACCCCAGTCAACATTCATACACGACTAAAATCTGGCCCTCTTCCAGCGGCAACCTCGCCACTGTTTGGACGCCAAGGGGGCGCCCTCGATGTAGTGGCTAGGAAGCTCACCAAAATTTGTTCACACTGTATCATGTATATCAATAATCGAAAGACTGCGGATGCGAGCTCTGGCCGTGCTGTTTATTATGCACCTAGCCCTGGCGCCTCAACAATCTTGATCGTGCCAAGATATTCAGTGAGGTAGCCACGACAGTCGGAAGGCACTTCCGAGGAAGCATGGCAGATTCCCCTGATAGTCTTCGTGCTAGTAAGGACCCTGTACTTTCGTCCTTCCATCAGAAATTCGACATGTGCAGTAGGGCGAGTACGAACAAACACCATTCTAAACCAAGGGATCATTTTTCTTATGCTGGAAGTTTCCATGCAATGTATTGTTAGACCCGCGATGCTATCTTCTACTTGACCCAACTCTCCTCACTCTTTCTCGTTCTCTGTCATCGCCCACAAAATCAACCTTGCTATCATATCGCTTACTTCAGACGTCCGGGGTATATCATGACCACCACTATGACAAGCAATTCTCGTTTTGTCAGGCCTACACATTCCAGCCAGCTGCAACGCAGATCCCATCCTCGGATCTCTGTTCCCATATATATGTACAGTAGGGATTGGGATCTTGTGGACGTCTGCCACTTGAGCTATGTCAAGTCCGAAAATGATCGCTGGAGGAGACTGTTGACTGTTTGAGTGGTGGTGGCTGAGAGGAGTAAAGTTTTGAGTCCATCGCTGACTGCCATTTTGGAGAAGTGCATCTAACGATGCTTGGGAAGATAATGCTAGGCGAGCTTGTTCGTCATATTGTTTTGCTTCTTCCTCAACTTTATACCCCTTTCCAGCAAGATATGAAAGGGGTACTCCTCCACATATAAGAACGGCGAATTTGAAAGGCTGTGCTTTGGAAGCAGCTTGTATTTCAAGCATCAAAGTAGCAGCCAAAGCACACCCCTGAGAAAAAGCAAGCACTCCATCGTAAGGGCCTTGCTTTTCTAAGACTTTGAGTAGCCAAGTATGCACAGAGCGTAAATTGTCAATGGAAGCAGAGGGGTAGAATGAGTAAAAAGGACCTGCGAAGAATTTGTCTATTGCCGGTGCAGGATCTGCAGAAAGAGGTCCATCAATAAAGTCAAAGACAATTCGTGTTTCTGGCTCTAGAGCGCGCAGATGCCGTCGGAAAGCCGCTGGGTGCATGTTAGCAAGAATGAGACTTAAGTGGTTGAAGCATTGGAATTGACTCACCTGTTTGTTTCTCTAATATACTTGCACTTGTGCCTTTTCCATGTAGACAGAGAATTTTCATGGTGAGACTGCGAGATATTCTGCTCAAAAGCTTTTGTATCTTTACATATGATTTCTTTGGATATATCATACGTCTCGGATGATTAACATAAATGTCCCGAAAACGTGGAGATGCATCTCGGTCACCGAGATGATCACCTAACACGGCAGTGCTTGCAGGGATCGTCGAGGCAGCGCACTGGCTGCAGTATCGGCCGAACTACTACTGCTGCTGCTTAGCTACCAGCTCGCATTTTGCCATCCCGAAGCCGCGTGTAGTAAATCCTCACATCTAGCTTGTAAGATGAATGATCTGAACACGTTGCTTCGCCTCTACATCTATTGCCAGATCAGAGGTTCCATGTTACATTCTTTGGCAGATGGTGAGGAGGGAAGGAAAAAGTGAAAGTGCTCATTACCATGGTGTTACTACAAGCATTTTCCCAAACGCCCCTTGTTTATGCCTCCATTGACCCTATGCGTCTAAAGAACCCAACAACAAATCTCTCTCGTGACAATTCGACCCATAACGTCCAAGTCTTGTATCTTTGTAGACGCATTCCTGATAATACACCTTTACGCAAAATCTAGCCAACACGTCTGGGACTAGCAGTCTCCTCAACATGCTTATTTCTAGCAGCCAGCAAAGGCGTCCTCTCACTATCGCCCTCAGCATCTCCGTTCGTACCAGCAGCAAAGCTGTTCCAAGCTTGCAACTGGGGTCTCAAAGCTCTGGTACTAGGAGACTCCGAGACATCTCTTCTGGTAGAGGAAGCAGTTGCGGAAGTAGCGTCAGCACGGCGAGCCTTGCGGTTGTCGCGGATCATGTAGATGATGGCGGTGACAATGAGAGTGAGCTGCATTATGCCGACGAGCACGTAGACGATCCAGACTGACCAGCCGGCAAGACCAAGGCGGACGATCATGTTAATGCCGAAGATCCATGTATACTGTTGATACCAAGTCGTCAGCGATCAGAATTCGAACAAAGAGGTAGAGGATTTCTGGCAAGACAAGACTTACAGGTGCACCCATACAAATACTCGCCAAACTCAAACTTCCAAGATGGCCAAGATGGATAGTGGTCCATACTTGCGGCACCCACTGCACGCAAGCAAAGCAAGCAACAGCGATTCCCAATACATTAGCCCATTCCTGCGAGTACCAAGGGAAGCGGTTCAAGATGACAGCACTGATGAGCATGATAGCGAATGCGAAAGCAACCACAATGATCAGAAGACGGTTAGCGCGGCGAGCACGACGGAAAGTGCGGTCTGGAGATGACAGAGAGCGGCGACGACCATGGAGTTCGGCATCTGCCTCTTCTTCTGAGAAGTAGACGTAGAGGAACATACTATGATCAATCAGTACCCAAACTTCTTTCTCAGTACAAGAATGATGGTTAGATACGTACATGCACCAGAACAAAGAAACACCACTGACGACCTGGAAAATACCCAGCAGACGAGAGATACATCCGAAGCGTGTGTAATGTCTACAGCAAGCGATATCCGTCTGACTAGAAGGCAAGACCATGATATTGGCCACGGCACAGGTTCCAGAGATAGAGCCGAGAAGAATGTACAGAGTTGAGAGACCTTCTGCCGACTTGCGGCCAATGATGCGCGCGAATTGGGGGATATAGGAAACCAAAAGCCATCCCAAGAGTGCGCTATTGTAAGAATCTCTGTGTCAGTGGTTGCTCGTTTGAGAACCAGGAAGCGAAGAAGAGTAGATCTTCCTCAGGTGCGATCTAAACACTTACCATGATATAGCAAACTGCCCTGTGGAAGGCTCAGACAACTTCTTGCATTTGTCCTGTGTGATGGATGACATGATGTCCATGATGAAGACCGTTTTCTGCAGCTGCGTTTACAGTCGATAATGCAGGGTCAAAAAGTGATAAAAAGATCAAAAAAAAGTCCCGAAGGCGAACAAAAAAGCTATAAATGGCCCGTCTCAAGTTCGCAATAAACAAATCTCCAAGCCGGGTCACAAGGAAAGGTTCCGTTTGATGGTAAACAGAAAAAGGCAAACGTTTAAGGGGCCGCCTGATGCAGAACTCGTATACAAAAAGAGTTATTCAAGCAAGAACTTTCAAGAGTCAGGAGCATGGGAATAAAAGAAATCTCGACCATACGGTTGCGAGCAAAGCGCAACATGCTCGAGGTTTGACCGTGACTAGTCGAGTCATTGCAACGTCATGTACGACCTGAAACGCCGTGTGTACGGTGGACAAAAAGTTGGCCTGACGAATCTGATTTGGTCATCTCGTGCAGAAGCAAGCCTCAGAATTGCGATCAACCAAGGTCAGTTGCGTGCTCCAACCACGTTCGCGTATGTACGGATCATGAGTGGTTTGTTTTGTCAAAAAGCCCTCTCCAGTAATGAGGTGAGAGATTTAACTAAAGAGGCAATGATTCGCGACAATCTTTGCCTGAACAGTGCACGCTGCTTCCCCGTGCTCGCTCCTGCCGGGCCTCGGGAGATCGTCCCGCTTCCCTGTGACTTGTCGACAGTTCCAGACCAGAGGACCCTTCTTTTCATCTTAAAATACTTCAAGGCTCACAATTGTTCTGTCATATCATAAGAACGTTGTCCAGGGTCCTGTCTGTTTCTGTTGTTCGAGAGTGATTTGGGCTCGCTGTCTTGTGTCTGCAGCGCGCGGACCTAGGTCACACAGCCTCTGCAACGCCAAATTTCATTCTGACAAACTATTGACCATAAACTTTGATACAGTCTTTGATATCCCTAAAAGTCTTTTCCTTATCCACTAAAGGGCCTGCCAACGGCTTTCCAAACACAAGTTGAGCTTTTGCTTGCCAAGTCTCTGGGATCTTCCACTGTGCGTATATTTCGTCGTGCATCATGCCTTGATAGTGCTGAAGGTTGCATCCAAGACCTTCGGCTTCGAGAGCTGTCCAGACTGTGATGTTTGAGTTAGACAGGGAGTCTCACGGATGATGATGGAAAGTAGACCTACCAACGTATTGGTGCATTCCGCTGCTGTGATCGTACCCTACAAGACTGGATTAGCATCGTTGACTTGGAGGGGATAATTGGATGAAACATACATTCAGGATTCTCCTCAGACATCTTTGCGAATCGAGGGTTAAGTTCCTTGACTGACTCTACATCCTCGAAGAACAAGATCTACAAAGATCAATCAGCGCAATGACACAAACCAAATGATCGACGCAAAACTCACAGTGCCGTATGCAGCACGAAAGCCCTGAACCTTGGGAATCAGAATATCTACAGCCATAGGCATGCATCTTTGAATGGCTGCAGCGCCCATCTCCCAGAGCTTGTCATGGTCGTCTCCAAAGAGAACGATGCATCTGCAAGAGCGAGCATTGAAAGGTGAAGGTGCATACCGGATCGCATGCTCAACGATGGAAATGATACGGTCATTCGATATGGTAGATTCTTTGCTGAGAGAGTAGAGGGAGCGGCGAGCTTTAGTGGCTTCGAGGAAAGATGTCTTGTCAGCCATGTTGTACGATCAAAGATGATAAGATTTTCGAGTTTCTAAGAGATTTTGAGAGCTGTAGTGAGCAATTTCATATTGTTTAGTCGAGGACATGAGCGCAGATATAACTTGTCTAAATCAGTATGATATTTTGTTTCATTGTCATGTCGGAGTTTGGAAGCGCCGCTCAGAATGCAAGGTCGTGTCGTTATCTGGAAGGATTCGCTCCTCTGTCGAATGTGGCTGACTAGAACCAATACCTTTACGACGTCCAACTTAGCATGCTGGGGTTTGATGATTCACTGCTTATAAATATTCGGTGCGATAGAAGCCGATGTCCGGCATGGAGTTTGTAACCTTTTGTCATGGAACTACTGTGTTCATTTTTTTTTGTTTGGTAACGATACCTATGTGGTCGCTCTTGACATGTCTTTGCAATTATCTAGAATGTTGGGGAAATCTTGAAGTTGCTACTCATCATGCCTTACTGTCGTACCTCTTTATGTCGTCGCCGCTGGTCTAAAGCTTGCTCTTGTAAAAGTGGATGACCTGAGGGTTGCAGTAGGACAGCAGACCCTGTGTGCCCCATTCAGCGCCGATACCACTTTCCTTGTGGCCTCCAAAGATACTAAAGATGCGGTCAGTGTGCTGACTGAAGAAGTGCAAGACGAGCATGAATGACTTACGCTTGGGGAGTGAGCTTCTCAAACGAGTTGACGAAGACACTGCCGGCCTGCAGACGCAGAGCAATACGATGAGCAGCCTCCTCATCTTTACTCCAGACGCAAGCACCAAGACCAGAGTTACTATTGTTGGCACGTCTGATGACTTCCTCCTCGTCAGAGTAAGGTTGGACTGGAAGAATGAGACCGAATTGCTCTTCTTGAATGATCTTGCTGTCGTTAGGAGGGTTATCGATGATGGCCGGCTGGAGCCAGAAACCGGCCTTGTTTTCGACATCGGCGCTACCGGCAGCGAACTTGTAGCCCTTGTCCTTGCTGTCCTGGAAGAAGGTCTTGACCTTCTCATACTGCATCTGGTTTTGAATGGGTCCAAGCATGATGCCCTTCTCGTCGGGTGTGCCGACCTTCAAACTGGCTGCAGCCTTGGACATTGCGTCAACCATAGGTCTGTAGATCTTCTCGTGAATGTAAATTCGCTTGGTGGCAACGCAAACCTGGTAGCGGGGTCAGCCTTTACAACACTTTTTAGAAGCAAACCAACATACTTGGCCACTGTTCTGGAAAGCTCCCATAACGAGCTGAGGAGCAGTAGCCTCAATATCAACATCCTCTCTAACAATACTGGCATCGTTGCCGCCGAGCTCCAGAGTAACACGCTTGAGGGTCTTACTGCAAGCAGCCATGATCTTCTTTCCAGTAACAGTGCTGCCAGTGAAACTGATCTTTGCGATGCCAGGATGCTCGGTGAACATGGGACCAAGCTTGTCATCACCACCAAGAACCTGAACGACGCCAGGAGGGAAGATGGTCTGAGCCAGCTCAATTGCCTTCAGCGAAGAATAGGGAGTGAAGGGTGAGGGCTTGACGATGATGGTGCAGCCAGTAAGGAGAGCAGGGCAGATCTTGCCGAAAGAGAGAATCAGAGGGAACTGCGAAAAGACTATCAGTGCTGGCTTGAAACATGTAAGCAAAAGTCACGTACGTTCCAAGGGCAGATGGCGCCCACGACACCCAGAGGCGTGTATCTCGTTGTCATGATCTTCTCATCGTCCTCGATTTTCTCTTCGGGAATGTCCAATGACACGTGGTGGTCGATAAATGCACCAATGGCGCCAACCTCGTAGGCGGCGAATTGTCTGGGCTTTCCAGTCTCCTTGCACAGCAGCGTAACAAACTCCTCGTGGTAACCATTCCAGAGATCACGGAAGTTCTTCAAGAGCTCCTTGCGCTCCTCGATAGGCCTCACACTCCATGACTCGAAAGCTTTCTGCGCCGAAGCGACAGCCTCGTCAACGTCTGACTGGGTAGCAATTGGCACGTTCCAGAGCTCCTCGCCAGTTGCAGGGTTGACACCTCTATGATAGTTGTCTGATTTTGTGCGTGCTTCGCCATTGATGATGTTGGCGAAGTTGTCTTCAAACGAGATGTTTGCGGTCTTGCCGGGCGACATGATTGAAATTGGTATGTTCAATTATGATCTGAAAAAGGCGAAGTAGGTATGCTGGTGACAGGGGGCAGGAAACGGCCTGACTTTATAAGTCGATCAACTGATCAGCGATAAAAGAGTGCTCATATAGCATGCGGGTCTAGGGAACCGAGGATAGACCACTAGCGCGGTATCAGACCATCAAAGTTGTCAGTCCCAAGACTTCCAAGTGTCAGAAGCTCCGCTCCAAGAATCCTTCCGCACTCTTTTTTTCTTGTGAACAAGTGGCCGTTGAAGCCACGCCACTACAGTGTCGGATCAATTTATCTAAAAAGACCATGCTTTGATTCATTCTGATTGTACACCGCTTTTCCTGACACGATGTTTGTGCACCTCAACGACTGGACGCGTGACAAAGAAATGCCCAGGGTCCGAGGGTTGATCAAGGAGAAGACTCCATGAACCCCGCACCCTTTGTCTCCGCATGGCGGGGTAACAAACTGCCAGGATCTCGTTTTCATCTGCCGTGCATGGCATTACGACTCATTGCTGCAAACTCGGAAAGCGTCTGAAGTTATCGGATCTGTGTTATCCCGTGGATGTGTGTCCATCTCCTAGATACCGCTTCGAGGAGTGTTAGACGAAGGCTGGGAGAGAGTCTAACTCGCTCACCATGCGAAGTTTTTGATGGACAGAAAACGTGGGACGGGTAATGATTAGTTGATTCGTGGATCTGACATTAGAATAACGCTAAAGGAACATGAAGTAACACACAAGACAAAAGCATGCCAGGGTATCAAATATAGAGACAAAAGGCTTTCAGAAATAGTTTTGGTACTGGCAGAGGCATTCGTCCTCAGCTGGTTGAGCAGTAAACGCATCGGTGACTTGGGCGCCAATCACGCCATTGGTCGTGTAATAGCAAGCTGGTGTGTTCTGACCGCCAGGGCTCACCAACTCGACTTGGACAGCGTACGGCCATAGGGTGTAACTCGCATTGTTACCAGTAAAGGTGTATTGCTGAGCAAAGGTATTATCAAGGTGAAGGGTTCCTATGACTTGAGACTGGTTGAAAAAGCAGGCAGTGGACCTGTCGTCTGCAGTGATGTTCGAAGCTGGGATGATCTTCTGAGACACGTTCGCAGCAAAGGTATAGCGTGGAGACGTGTCGTTGATGAATGTCAAAGGAGCCGAGTCGAAGGAAATGCTGAACGGGTTGTTGGAAGCGGAAATGGTCATGTTCGCGGCAACACCTTGGGCAGATGTGGTCATGTCGCTGCTATTGGTGGCATACAAAGCAGATGTATTGGACAGAATCCAGTTGAAAGTGGCCAAAGAAGAAGCAGGCGATTGGTCAAAGGTAGCGCCTGGGAAGCATCGCCAGGTATCAGGATTCGAAGTGCAGTTGGTTTGAACGACGCGCAGGGCTGTTACAAGACTGTACTCGCCCACAGGGTACTGTGATTGGGATATGCCTGGCTCTCCTGGGTGTGCTCCAGCTTGGCCATTGTTTCCTCCTCCATTTCGTGTCAAGCCGACACCCAGACCGATTCCAAGGCCAATGATAATCAATGCAGCCAGCACCAGAAACCCTATCCTTTTGCATCCTCCTCTTTGGCGCACGACAGGTCCGATTGCGACAAGCTTATTCCCTTCTACGCCGCTGGGGTTCAAGACGTATGGCGGTGGCATAGTATCATGACTGGTTCGCGGTATAGTCCTTGCCATATGAGTGGAATCGCTCCAGCGGCTGGTAAGTCTCTGCGATGGCGACGACATTGAATGTGAAGACGGCGGTCTTTCGGAGACGACGGCAGACAGTCGCTGGCCGGCTTGAGTTGAAATGCGACGAGGAGGCGGCGATTGCAGTGCTGAGGAAGGATGCGGTGCCCAGGCGGCACCACGAAGGACGTCCATGTCGATTCTACTAACAAAGCCGTTGCATCGTTTGCTGCATGTCTCGGTGGAGGGTCTGAGGTCAGGTACGAGCCGACGCCTTTCTCACGAGAAGAGTCGACCGTCGTGCGGACGCCATTCTGTTTAGATAGGAGCGTTCGGCCAAGTTTGGCCTGGGCCTTGAGTTCAACGGGTTTGGTTCAGTGACCTTCCGCTCTAGCGTTCACTGTAATTCGCTCAGCTTCGCGAAACCTTCTTCAGCCTATCGAATGCAAAATCCTTCAGCTGAGAGGTCAGCATGCCGTCTACTTCTTCCGAGTAAAGACCCCAACTGTTCATGCCACGAAGATGCATTCAAGAAAGACCCCGAGTGAAGGCAAGCAGATATTAACTTACAACACTGTCTGCGTCTACGACTACGATAAAAAGTGACCGTTGGCTCTCGGTCAAAATGTCATGTGCATCTTCACTCGAGCCCGCACGGTGCTTCTGCTTTCCTTCGGACCGTACTCCTTCTCCCATGCATCTTCTCCTCCCCCTCTGACCACCTTTTCCTCGCACTGCCTATTCGCACAAATCGATGGATTTGCCATAAGGTATTAGCAACTCACGCTTGAGAATCCATCACTGCACGCAGGAATGGCTCTCCTACCACCTTGCACCCATGGGCCCCTCTGCATCCATTTTTCGGAGCTCAGGGATATTCCAGCCCGGAGCTTGGCATGTCACCAAATTGAACGTCAATCGTCTTTAACTAACTTGACTTCCTATGAACATCTCATGTCACAAATCTCGTCCACGAAAGATAGGTAGAATTCTCTCTCATGTCTCTATTTCGTATTAGTCATTGCGCAGAAAGAAAAATCTCCCTCAAAGCACGATCAAGTGCTCTAAATACATATTGTTCATAACCCTGTCTTCCGCTTAACCTCAAATCCTTGGTCATACTGCCCTCAGATAATTTGCACGGTAGTTTGAGACTGCGTTCACTGTGCTCGCATTCTGCCTTTGTTTTGCTGTGAGCGAACCTGAACTTGCCTTCACTGTGCGATTTCACTTCAAAAGTCCATCCTCACTCTCCGTCGTGGTCTTGGCGCTGACGCACGGATTGGCATAAAGTCCGTGCACAACGGACCTGAACTCCGAACTTTATCCGCCAACATGGCTACCATCGACTGGAGCCAGTACACCTCTGACGGTGACCCTAACAAGGGGGTCAACAGGTCTTCCGATCGTTTTCCTCAGTATCTTAAGGAGCTACTGATCGACATCAACAAGATCAAGGCCATCAGGGACAATTTTGGTAAGTCAAGTATGACTCCCCTGTGCTGTGGTCTGTACCTTGCCTCGTATTGCAACTACAGCATGGAGCGAATGAGCTACTATGAAAATGCACAATGTATTCGAGAGTAGAGAGGTGTCCACACAGAGTCGAGAAGTTGTTGCTTCTCAGAGGACACTATCTCGTTGTCTGATAACGTTGTGCATTTCGATGGCTATATTAGTTACATACTGCAGCACGTGGGGAGACACGATCTTTGCTCGATCTTCACTAACCTCGAGCAGGCTCTGCAGGTGTCTCCTTTGACAGCCTCCCTCCTGGCTACGTTCTTGACACGAGATATCGTGCAACAGTCACCAACGGCCAGAAATTATACGATAACTACGTATACGGCAACGCCAAGGGTCCTTTCCGCACGATCGCTTCTTTTGCTGAACACGTCGCATCCATCCTTCTGAGCAACATCACAAACTGCCAGTGTCGCGTTTGCAAGCCCCGCCATCCTACTCCCAAAAAGGGCAAGGCCACTCACCAGGCCACCGCGACCAATATGCCTGCTAACAACAACAATCACGACGACATGGCATCATCTTCACCCATGATGGACATTGATGACGCTCAATCCCCCGTCAACACTGGCGTTGACGACGATGGAACCCCTAATGTCTTTGATGGACTCATGCGCAAGGCCAAGCAGGGACAGCACCTGAGCGTGGCTATAACAGAGCCCCTATCCATGGACTGGCTGGTCGAACAGGACCTCGCAAACCTCCCCGCCTATCTCGACTCACTCGAAACCACCACGCGCTGGTATCCTCGTCTCGGCGAGATTGTCCTCGTCGCGCGCAACCTCAAGGACGACCAGCTGATCAAGTTCGACTCCAATGCAGGCATCTACAAGATTCAGGATCAGGGCCTCGGCTGGGTCGGAGTGCCTGTCTGGGAAGCTGTAATTGTCACTCAGATCACCAAGAACACCTTGGGTGCTGGCCTCTTGGACCAGAAGCAGAACACCGACGGCTCAGAGGATGTCTTCCGCGTTGAACCCATGCCTGAGATCGGCAACTCTGATAAACCCTGGTCGACTCGCTACAAGATCGTTCACCTTCTCAACATGCGACCCTTCTCTCTCTGGCAGGAGCTCATGAACGGCGCCGATATTGGCAACTCCCGCGAATGTCACCCCACTGTGCGTCACGCTTTGACTGCCATGTCTTCCATCTCTGTCGTTGGACGCTACCACTTCAGCTCCAATGGCAAGGAAGCTCGTGTCTACTGCAAAGGCCTGTATGTTGGCGCGGAATTCTTTGTCGCTGGCGACCTCGTTCGCTTCTCTTCACCCATCCACAAAAACAGCTTTGGCAAGGATGTTCTTCAAATCAAACACATCTGCGTCAGCTACAACCTCGAACGCGACACCGCTTCTCCCAGCAGCATTCATATCACTGGCGTTGCCTACACTACCGATCCGCAGCACGCTTCTGGCCACTACCAGCGTGCCATCCCCTACGAGTCGTTGCCATCCCCTGGCATGCGCGGCTACGGCCTCTGGTACAAGATTGGCGAAGGCGACAGTCTTGTCCGTGTACCATACACCAAGCTTTTCACTCGCCTGGTCGAAGACAAGTTTATGAAGGGCATGATTGGTAGGCCTTGTCTTGTCAGATCCGCCGTGGGTGGTACCGAGCATCTGAACTTGGCTGGACACATCGTTGACATTACTCACGGCTTGGGGGGCGTTCGTGTCGCTCGTGAATACTCGACTCAGCACGATGCTCGCATCAAGGAAGGACAGACCTGGTACCTTGGCGAGAACCGCGTTGACCAGCTCGACCTCACCCAGATTAACGGTCAAGATGTTGGTCACAAGGCTCGCTTTGGCTTCGAGTCCACCCCTACTCCTCTTCAGGCATCTCACCTCAAAGCCATGTTCCGTGCTCGTTCCGCTCGTCAGAAGGGTCCCAAGATTGGCAACACCTACTCAGCTCTCACGATGAACAGATCCTATGGCATGGTCGCCAGCAGCATGAACGCCATCCAAGACGCCCTCGCCCAAGAGAGTGCCGACGACAAGTACTTCAGAGACGACTTCAACGAGAGATCGATCAGAAAATTCGAAGACGAGTTCACCCAGCGCACCACCGAAGCCGACTTTGATGAGTACATCTCGTAGGCCGAGAATGAACAAAACAAGTCGACCCCCTACCTCAACAAGCAGGGTAGGGATGCTGCCAGGGCTGAGAGAGAGGTCAACGAGGAGTTGTACCAGTACATGGACTTGTCCTGAAGGACACAACACGACGAAGAAAAACTGAGAGTGGTGCTTGGATCGACTTCCAAATCCAGGACACCCTTTCGACTATTTGGACAAGATTCATATAGGATGTAAAATAGGTTACAGGAGAGACATCAGGAAGATGGGCTGCAAAATGGCAGTTTTAGATAATGGATTATGGAAATGATATGCATTGAACTCCAACTTCTGGCCTCTTAGTGGACGTTGCTCTGATTTGAATACTATGGTGTATATCTATGCCTATATTACCACCTACTTGCTGAAACGAGAGTTATTTCATACACTGTGGCCTTGTAGTCGTGGGTGGGACGACTGTCATCGACGTTATGGCTACCTGATGTTCGTGACTCCTTGTCTCAGCAGACATTGCCATTTATCGATACTATTATGCATTGTTATGACTGTGCTCCGGAGCTGACTGCTGAGGTGAGAGTTGTTCTTCATTCGCTACAGCCTTGTTGTCGACGAACGATTACTATTGCCGATGTTATAGGTACTTAGTATTCGAGGTTCCTCGCCTTGGTAGACATTGGCCTCAATCGGACACTATCGTACATTTCTGATTCCTTACTCCTGCCTTCATTGCTAAGTCAAGAGCTGTCTCTTTTGTGCCATGGCCTTGAATCTTGATGCGGTGAGTGTTACAGATGCTTGAGTCTAGAAGTAGGAAGAAAGTAGAAATGGTCGGAGCTTTGGAGAAAGAACCATGACGACGCTGATTGGCGGGTCGGATGTCGGCAGAAGGGCTGAACAAGGAAAGCAGCAGCGCGACAAAAGTTCAAAACAACCCAAGAAGGTGCATCATCACAACGCCTCGACGACGTGTATCTCATATCGCAACACACAGAGACACACAACTGGGCACATGTCCATCTGAGACTCCAATACGCGACTTGCGACCTGCGACAGCAACTCGGACCGGACGACTTTTGTTAAGCTGGTTCGGACAAGGAGTCGAGACATCGCCATCCCAGGCAGAACAAAGCCATGTCAAAACGCGTAGCAGACGGACAAGGTGGCTCAGAAAGATACGGCGGTATGGAGGATCCCCGCGATGCAGCAATGGACCCACCGCGCAAGGCCACAGCTGCTCAGTTGGCAAAGCGCAAGTAAGTGAAGCTGCGACAAGTGACACAGTGACCAACCAGTGACTGACTCTTTGTTTGTCCAGCATCAAACCCCTCAAGGGACGTCCCGGCGCATCCAGATCTGCTTCACCGTCCAAGGCCAGTCCTTCACCTGGCTTCCCTAACCCCTTCGGCGGCGCCGACAGTAACCCTTTCGCACAAAGCGCTCCTGCTCCACCAGCTGCTGCCAGCTTCAACTTCGGCCAGACAACTGCCCAACCACAGAGCAATCCTTTCGGAAACATGTCGACATCACAGAGCTTCCCGCCGAACGCTCCTACAAACAACAGCACATTCTCCTTCGGCCAGTCACAGCCGTCTAGCGCTCCTACCTTTGCGCCTCCTCAAGCTTCCAGCTTCAACTTCGGTGCATCAACACCCTCTGGCACATCCTTCAGCTTCGGCGCATCACCAGCCAAGCCGTCGCAGAACGGTGACGCCAACAAGGCTCCTTCATTCACATTCGGCTCGACACCTGCCTCGCCCGGTCCTTCGGCTCCTGCATCACCTGCACCTGCTTTCAACCCCTTCTCCAGCATGTCGGGACCCTCGTTTGGTAGCACTGAACAGCCTATCAGTGCAGCTGAGATCAGCGAGATTGAAGCGGCCGGTCCTCGCCTGACCCAAGAGGGCAAGCTTGAGCAGCTCGCTAACATTGTGCGTCAAAGCGACCCTAAGTACAAGGTATTACCATCATCACTATCGGCCAACATGGTTCTTGTTGGCTAACTCTTGCGCAGGATGCCAGCCTTGCCGGTCTCAACCTATCAACCCTCCCACCTGCAGTGCAAAGGAAACTTCTCGACTTTGTGCGCAACAAGCCCGAAACAGTGAGTTTGACATCGATTGCCTCTTTCGATCTGTCTCGTTACGCCAGCTCCAATGGAGCTTTTGGTTCTCATGACGCCCCTTTGTTTGCCTCGCACATGCCCCAAACCTACACCCATCTTCCTGCTTTCAGCGAGGAGTACTTCATGAACAACGGCTTCGTCGATGAGGTAAAGCTTGCCGAGGCAGCAGCGGATGCAAACATGCCCAGCTCGTGGCAGACGGGCATCGCAGCTCTGCAGTCACGCCTGGACGAGGAAAAGACTGGCATGAATCAGATCCACTCATACCAGTACTTTGCATCTTCGAACCAGTCGCAAGCTGGTCACCAAGAATCCTGCTTCACACCACCTACAGCTGAATCTTTCAATCCCAATGCATTCGCCTACGCCCAGCCATTTCAACAATTCAACAGTGTTGAAGGTGGTCAAGTCCCCTTCGTAAAGCCTCCCCACATCGAGCACGACACTCAACATGACATGCTCGATGTATCCCTCTATCACAACTCGAACATGCTCCTGCAACAAAACTTTACCCCGCTCTTTGCTAACATGATACCGTCCCAGACACAGCCCGAAGCTCCCAAGTCTTCCTTCTCGTTCTCATCCACCGCACCCGCCCCCACTGCCTCGACGTCTTTCAACTTCGGTGCATCCACCGCTTCTACTCCCCCAGCCAGCCAACCCGAGGCACAGTCATCGCCTTTCAAGAGTTTCGGCGCGACTCCCGCTCCAGCATCCCCCGCGCCTACCTCTGGCTTCAAGTTTGGCAGTACTGCTGAGCTGGCCAAGAAGGACGACACTCCGGCTACCACTTCCTCCTTTGGTGGTTTCGGTGCTTCCAAGAAGGATGAGACACCTGCAAAAGCTCCGTCAACAGCCTTTAACTTCGGAAGTCCTGCCGCTTCGCCTGCACCCGCACCCTCGACTTCGTTCAGCTTCGGTGCTTCAACAGCTGCACCAGCTTCTCCAGCTCCAGCTTTCAACTTTGGTGCAGCTGCTGAGAAGAAGGATGAAACACCTAAGCCGGCAGCATCTGCTTTCAACTTTGGCGCTTCAACAACCTCTGCTGCCCCCCCATCGCCCAAGCCGGCTGAGAAGAAGCTTCCCTCCCCATCATTCTCCTTTGGTACACCTGCCGCTTCTAAACCCGCTGAGGAAGTGTCCTACCCCAGCCTGAGTGGCGCTTCCTCGCAAGAGTCGTCTGCCGCACCCAAACCTTCTTTCAGCTTCGGTCAGACCGCGGCTCCTGCTGCTTCCTCGCCATTCAAGCCTGCCACTACACCTGCTGCAGTAGAATCACCTAAACCTCAGAACGCTGGCCTGGGCAATTCCATGTTCGGCAACTCGCCCGCTCAGCAGAAGCCTGCCGAATCTGCCTTCAAGGGTTTTGGTGCTTCTACCCCTGCCCCTGCCCAGCCGAGCGCACCAAAGCCTGCCTTCAACTTTGGTTCGTCTGTTAGCGCACAAACGTCTGTTGCTCCTGCTAGGTCCGAGCCTCGTGCAAGCAATGCATTGTCCGCACCTACTGCCTCGGGTGTCGCTACTCCCCCAGCCTCTCCTCAACTTCCACCTACCGAGATGGAGTCTGCTTTGCTTAAGCAGCTCAACGAGTCTCTGCGCACTTACCTCACATCAGCCGATGCTTCCTTGGATTGGAGTGCCGTCATGCGCTTGTACCTCGAACAAGCTGCCGAGATTCGTTCCGATAACAGCGGAGCTCCTTCCACAGCATCCATCACCAGCTCAAGCGAGCCTAAGTTGATTACTGCTCCATTGGCTGCTTCGAGCACCCGTGGCGAGAAGCGTGTCGCTGATGAGGAAGTCACAAAAGAAGATGACCACAGTAAGCGTGCCAAGCAGGCATCTACCCCCAGCAAGCCCACCTTCGCCCAGTCTACCATGAATTCCGCATCACCTGACAAACCTCTATCCAAAACTGCTTCTTTGTTCAGTGACATTTTGGACAAGCCCGAGACACCCAAGTCCACAAATGTCTTCTCAGCTTCCGCGGACAAGACCCCTGCTCCTCCCGCTACTGCTCCTCAAGTCAAGTCCAACCCCTTCGGCGCTATTGCTCGCAACGTCTCTGCTACTCCTGCGCCCAGCACTCAGAAGACTAGCTTCGTCCCTCCCGCTACGGCTCAAGCACCGTCATCATCCAACAATGGAACATCTGCACCATCGCCTTTCCAGATTCCTAAGTTCGGCAGCGGCTCCACTTCTTCGACTGCACCTACATCTGGCTTCCAGGTTCCCAAGTTCGGCGGTGGCTCTTCTACTACCACCACACCCAGCTTCCTTGGCTCATTTGGTGCAAAGGCTGCTGAGCAGGAGGCCAAGGAACGTGAGAAGCGCAAGGAAGAGGACATGGATTCTGACGAAGATGAGGAAGAATGGGAGAGGAAGGATGCTGAGAAGCAGGCCCAGAAGAAGGCTGAGCTCTTGGCTGCCAGCCAGTCTCTGAAGTTCAGCTTTGACACTTCCAAGAAGCCCACCAGCTCTGCCTCGGCTGTCTTCTCATTCAGTGGCGCACCCTCAAACACCTCTTCATCCTCCAACATCTTTGGCAACCTTTCTGGTAGCAAGCCTGATGATGAGGACGAGGACGGTGATACCGATGAGGATGAGGACGTTCATGCTGCTCTGACTAACGCAACCCCTGCTAAGCCCACGGCTGGCAAGAGTCTCTTCGAACGTGTTTCCTTTGACGCTGACAAGGAGAAGACTTCCGACACACCTAGCGCTTCCTTCAAGTTCAGCTCGTTCGGTAGCTCCGGCGCTGCTGACAACACTTGGAAGGGTAGCGATGGTATCAAGTTCGGTGCTAGCACAGTTACTGCTGGTACTACTACTCCTGATGGATCACCTGCTAAGGCTCCTGCCCCTAAGTTCAACTTTGGTGCTGCCTCACAACCAGCTGAGAAGTCGTCTCCCTTCAGTGGAATGGCCGCTGCTAAGCCATCACCAACCGGTAGTGTCTTTGATGCTGCAAAGCCTTCAGCACCGACCACTGGCTTCTCGTTTGGTGGTGCCGCTCCTTCGACTCTCGCACCTCCTTCAGGATCATCTGTCTTTGCCTCAGCTGCCACTTCTCGCGCCACTACTCCTGGCGCCACCACCACCGATGCCGAAGGTAGTGCCGCCGAGTCAGAGCCCAGTGATACTCCCAACGATGTGCAGAAGGACTTGACCTCTCTTACCGCCGACGATATTGCCAAGTACGATCTCATCCACGAAGCACGCTGTAAAGTGACGAAACTTGTCAAGAGCGATGACGACAAGCCCGCCACATGGGTCAGCCAAGGTGTTGGTCCCATCCGTGTCCTCGCCTCCAAGGAGAACTCCAAGCCTCGTATTCTCATGCGCGCCGATCCATCAGGCAAAGTTGGCTTGAACTTCAACGCCCTGCTCAACCCTGCATTGTATATGATCAAGGCTCCCAAGATGGTACAATTGAGTGTTCCTACTGAGGGCAAGAAGGTCGAGTCCTTCATGTGCATGTTCAAGGATGGTGACAAGGCAAAGGAGTTCTTGGAAAAGCTTCACGGAGCAATTGCCAAAGCTCAAGGTTAGAAGCTTGAGAGGAAGGGACAAAAGCCGAGGTCGACATTGCGGGAAAAATTGCACCGCCGTAACTTGCGACACTGATGAATGAAGAATGAATCTCTTACTGTTCTCTTCATTCTTTCTCAGGCTCTTTGCTTCGGGAGGGCTTGTTTGTTTTCACATGGTGTCTTTTTGCTTTGGTTTTGGGAGACGGCAAGGATTAGGGTTGTGCAGGCGTTCTTCTATCGCATTCTGGTTGTTATTCTGTCGCTTTGAGGCTTTCGAAGTGTCCTTTTTTTCCATCATTCTCACTTGTGAGCGTGTCCATACTTTTTCGTTCCATAAGGCAAGCCGCAGTCCACTGTACATCACGCTCAAAAAAGCAAATTCACATGATGTTTTTCGTCTTTCTTCTGCTCATTTGATATCGTCTTTCGGTTTTTCGCCAAGTCGAGCATGACAGCGGTATAACCCTGGTCCTTGCTCGTTTTTCTCAATGCACATACTCATACAACAACCAGCGCTATATCATGCCAATCTCCTCGAGCATCTCCATAATTCTGTTTTTCTTGGTTTGTGGACGGTGGAAGGGTGGAATATCGGCAATCAAGACGCGTATAAGCTATAACCGCAACAAGTTGTCATGAATAAGGTGGCTGTCAAGAAGCATGCATGATGGCCAGTTTCTGAACTTCTTGATGTACGCTAACACTATATAGACTATGGACTACCTAGTATGTCCTGCTGCGACAAGCATCCTAGGTTTCTCCGACGAATGGGGTCTATATGATGAGATGATGAGATGAGGCAGATATCTCTCTTGCGGGTCTTTGCTGCCTCGTAATCACGTTTTTTTCCTCTTTTGATTTCAACATCTTGGACACAACAGAGGTAAGCTTGCTTATCTATCGTTGTTTTGACTATGCAGGTTTGACTTGAACCTTGGTTCTTTTGCGTCTTGCTTACGCTTTGATGAGAGATATATCTTGTTTTGGTCTAGTTGTATACGCACGAGTTAGGTTCGATCTCCCCATTATCTTCGTCCGGAACACGGAAGTAGATCCGTCATCTTCTTGGCTCTACTGTATGGTTTCCCCTTGCGATCTCCAAACATAGTCGTAATCTTTTACGATCTTGAACACTGATCAAGTCAGGGTCGATCTCTCTGTCGATCTTGCGTCCAAAAACTCGGAAGTGGAAGCGTGCGTCTTTCCTACCCATCGTTATACTAACTACTTGTTTGGTATAGCTACAACGCCCCACGGCAGCCTCCGGATATGCCTTTCGTCTTTTCCACGTAATGCCCTAAAGTCCACCGTTATAGGCGACCACAGTGGTACGGTGTCTCCACTGCTCGCTTCTCACGCGTGCGAAAAAAAAAAAAAGGTTTCCTATCGTATGCGTATCTAGGTTCTGTCACTTTGCGAGCCCCCAGGGTTCCGGATGAGCTTTTTCGCGATGGGAGATCTATAACGGCTTTTTTTGCGGGTGATGCGGTGCGAGCGGGAATAACCAGACACTCACGACACTTTTTCGTTTCTGCAAACTTTGCAATTTTAGCTTAATACACTGACTGCTCTTTTTACAATGAGAGATTAACAAGAGATAGAGTTATAGACGTTTATAGGCAGGAGTGACATATTCACGCCTACAAATATCCACTAAGCCTCCGTAGAATGCCGGATCTACGAGGAGTCTGCTCGGGGAAGTCGAGAAACGGGGTTAAAGCGATATACCGAGGGCGAATGGAACTAGAGGATGGATGTAGTAGTAACAGGTAAAAGATAGCTATGGATAGAAGAAAAGATGGAAGGGGAAGACTAGCAGGGTGTCTATGGCTCAGGGTTAGTGTTGTACAAGTGAACGGGGAAAGGGCGTCATGAAGGTTCAGGGCTCATGAAGTATTGCTACAAGATCGTTGGATGATGTATCGAGCAGATGGAGCGAAGGGTACGCAAACAAAGCAACGTCTTTTTGACCCTGCAAGTTGTCATATCCGCGATGAAAGCGAATGGAGTGAAACGCTTGGAGACAGAGAGAAAAGGGAAGAGAGCATTCACATCTTTGTCAAACGGTCGCAATCTCAAGAGAATCGTAGGGAAAACAATCCTTTGCTTGGAGAGCACTATCCAAATACTTCGATTGTTGTGTTCGTTACCCTTGCCTTGTCTCTAGCATTGTGGACATCTTGGTAAAGGGTAATGCTGTGTGTTCTGGTCGCGACTGCGAGACCCTCTACGGAGAGGCTTTCAAGCCCCGACAACGAACGCGACATTGACATGGATAGCCTGCATACAGTACAGCTCATGATCCTCGCGTTCAAGTAGCCCCTTTTTCACTTGTCACTCACTTGTCGCACGATCAGTGTCGACTGCCCCCACAAGGTTCGTGTCAGCATCATGGGTTTGCCAGATCTAGATGCGCTTAGCGAGAAGATGAAGATCATGAGATGGAGTTTCAAAATCAGCGTGGTGCAGCAACGAAGCGAGCAAGGGTTCGTGCACGCGCTGTGTTGTGCATATGCAGCGCGTCTCAGATAAACAACACAACAGTATGCAGGGTTTTGTGACGACCCCCTTTGCGTGCCTCTATCACACTCGTAAGCGATTTATTCGATACAACCTGCAAGCGAGTTATTTGATTCACACAAAGGTCTGCGCTGAACTTGGTAGTTGCCAAAAGATAGAATATCGAAAGACATGCCTTTCCGGCGCTGATCTCCGCGCAAGCAACTTTGCACGAGAACGATAGACCCTGAGGAAAGATAGCAGCTGTTGAAGTGGTTCGAAGGAGATAGGTCCGAAACACACGACAGCCACAAGAACTGTTTTGATGAGAACTGCAACTGGGTTCGCGGCGACAAGTCCCGGCCTATAGCGCAGGCAGTAAGAGCCCAGCGGCTCAGTACTTCAGCAACACAAAAACGTGTGTGCATTATATTGAAACTGTATGGTCAATGCAGGAGGCCGCAGACTTGTAAGACGGTTTGTGACACCCTCGAGCAGCACTGTCGAGGTTTCTGCTCAGCTGATCATCATCGCTTTGCAAAGAGATCCACAGAGGTCTTTGCGCGTATGCGATGCAGGTACAGGGTATCGCGGTAGTTGGCAGTTTGCTAGTGCATGCCACTGCATGGCTTGGAGATAAGCACTGGTTCGCTGTAATCCTTGCGAAAGCAGACACATCCCGCGGTAGTTGGGTCCCCCTAAGGATGCATGTCGGCAGTCGCTTGCACAGGCAGCAAAGTAGTCGAGAAGTGAGACCAGTAGTGAGTATTGGGATCCACTGTCGTGGGTCGTGATTGAAGGCTCGCCGCTCGTAGCGTGCAGGAGATCTATGCACTATATCGATAGTACCCCTCGCTAGGCAGGCGAGGCACTCGATGCGGGGTTCGCAAAGGGACTTTCCAAGAACCGCAAGTGCGGCGGAGAAGTGTCCGGGGTGATTGCGCGAAAGTGTCAATGCTCGCCTTCGGGTCAGGGTCGCGGCAAGCAAGCTTTTGGTGCACAGTTCGAACCTACCAACTCGCCTTCCCTGCCTGTTCGAGGCATGATTCACCGAGAACAGTCTGCAGGTGTGTAAGTTTGCAGCTGACAGAAGTCTTTGTAGGATTCTGAAGGAGGGACAGCCACACAAGCCCAGGCTCTGTGTTCGACTTGTCGCTACTCGAGTACACAGGTGGACGAGAACCGGCACCGCCACGCGTAAGCAAGACACGGCACTTGGAACTCCATCTCTATCTCAGCTTGGTCGACCAATACCGATTGCGGTAAGTAAAGCCCGAGACTTCTAACAGCAGCCGGCACCGACTTTTGGAGCTGCGCTGCCCTAATCTAGATGTTTGTCGGAGCTGAATACCGGTGAACCCCTGCTCGATGGTAGAGGCTAGCCATTTGCCAAAAACAGGGACTAGACTACGGAGGAGCCGGCAAAGATTGACTCAGAGATAAAGATTTCGGAACAGCCGACGAGGCGCGCTGATGTCTGAGGGGGTGACAAGAACTCGTGAGAAGGAGAATTTGGAACAAAAAAACTGAGTCGCGCAGCTGGTGGTACGACGCCGACAGTTGACAAGCATGCAACGTAGAGCCGCAGGGTTTGAGGGTCTGAACAGCGATGAACATAGTTTTTGGGCGTCAGCTGAACTTGAAGCCATAGAAGATCCATGGAAATATCGGGGTCTGCAAGGCTGATCTTGACTCTTGAAGCCTTGGGTCGCGCAACGGCTTGATCACAAGTCTTGCTGACAGGAAATTTTCTGAACCGCAGACGCGGCAGACAACAATTGCCTGCTGAGTCAATGAATTTATCCTGAGGGCATTGCGGCAGCAAGACTTCAACCGACGATTGATATGCATGGTTCAGCGCGTAAGCAGACTGCAGCCGCGGCGAGATTCGCAAAACGTTCTATAGGTTCTCGCACCTCGACTAAGAACTTCTGTGCCTCACATCAAACAACCGAGGTATGTTGCAATGATGTTGCAATGATCACTGCGATGAATGTGTATGGTTATGATTCAGATGAACAGCCTAAGCACAGGACAGACGTTTCCATACGGGTGCTAAGATCAGCGATACGTACGCAAAGCAGCAGCAATTGTGCAAGTCGAAGCTCGGCGCGGCACAGGGTGAACGCCCAGCAATAACTGTAGAAGGATCCTGGGGCACCGAAGAGTTACGTCTGAGCATCAAGAGAGTGATGAACTGTGAGACGCCTGAACCAATGTCTAACAATAGGACCGACCACAACAGTCAAGTCATGAGTGATACTAAGTCTGGGCGTTGCATGCTCCACGAACCAGGGCGAGGACGATATACGAGGTGGTTCCGACTTTTTGCAACGTCTTTTCGTGGGTCAACCATTCTTTGCTGTATAGCAAGGATAGACTTTCGAAAGCAGCACATAGACTTACGTCCGGAATGGACCAGAAGATGGACCAAGAACTCGGAGTCCGGTGCTGGGAGAAACCCGTTAGAAAGGACGACGCGCACAACTCGAGGTGGCTGGGGCTGTGCTGACAACCCGTTTGGCCCAGCAACGCTGGCAACTGCACAACAGTGAGAAAACCGCAAGTTTTCGTGGTCGCGAAGACGTGCGATGGGCCATGAGAAGCTGGTGACGCGCGCATCTCCTCGCTGGTATACAAAAAGCGAAGTCGAGAATTTGTATACAGACCATGGTGGAGTCATGTGTGGAATCTGTGAATTGGCCGCGAGTTGTGCAGGCTCAAAACTTGGAACACCTACAGCACAGCAAGCAATCCTCTGATGTCAAGCACAGTGGATTGGACAGTGGACCGTGGACGAAGCGCGACGCGTGAGCAGCTGTTCGAACTGTTCGTGAAGGAACCGAAGAACAGCACAACATCTTTAACGGCCTGCGGGTCCGAATTCCTGGTGGCTTGCTGGCTTGCCCTACGCTGGTGTAGATCTTTTACCCTTTGTTGAGATACCGCCAGCACAGAACTCAGCAGAAACAAGTACCACACAGTTGCATGAGCTGAAGAAGAATCTGAACACAGAGGGCAAGCTTGTGGGGCAGCGATTTCACTGCTTCATAGGTTCCAGGAGAATGGTCACGGCCTCGGTGTTGAAGTCCGACTATCGAAATGTTCTTGCTGTGGTACAATCAATTGTTAGGACCATTGACTAGGACCAGCCTCCGAAACTCTGGCCGAACAATGGTAGCATTCATGCAGGGCTGTTGCTTCGGTGGAGTCTCTCCTGGTAATGTCCAAGACTTGTGAAGAAGAGAATCGCGCGTGAGATTTCAGATACCAGACTACTGGAGTTAGTGTTCTCGATCTTGATCCGCCCTGTGAGTGATCCGCCTTACGAGGAATCTTGATATGTCGATCCGGAGAAGTTGTTTACGAGACCGAGGCAGACAATAATAATGCCGAAGCATGCACAATCCATTCCAGTGTTGGAAGGAAAGGAGAAGCGTTTGCCGTATACCAACCAGAGTGACGCAGGATCTAGAACATGTTTGAAGGTTACCAGACATGTAGTGAAGAAGATGGCACTCTCTGCGGACAGTCTACAGGCTACAGCAGACCCAAAGGAGTGGCTGCCGGCACAGCCGACCTTTCGGGAAGTACCAAACGCCTGGATGACGCCAGTTTGGGCTGTAAGGTTCGGCAACACTTGTATAGGACCAGACGTCAGGTCTTCTCAAAAGAGCAGGCGTCGCTCTTGGGTGCTGCTTGTGCCTAATTGGGCAAACCGAAACAATCGGCTTATAGTTGAGACATTCGAACGGTATTGTCGATCGCGAATTCGGTATATCAACGAAGAATGTCTTTGTGTCTCGGGACTATGATATTGAGGAGGTGAACGAGTGGAGGAGCAGCAGAGCAGACGGTTCAAATAATCAAGACATTTGCTGCAGGTACAGAAGTCCTGCGAGTTTGGGAAATTTGATGCTGGAAGCTTTTGTGCATTGTTTCAAGAACATGTGCTGCGCCTTCACGGAGTGGCCAGAAGATTGGGTCGAAATAGAGATCACCGCCCTAATTAGGAAGGCGACACTGCACGAGCTACTCATTTCGTCGCGATTAGTACAGCAGATGATTATAGACTTCTGAAGATTGTCATGAGAGTCAGGAATGAATTCTGCGGATTGTCATGAATATTGCTGTGCTTGTACGTGCGCATAGGGCAGACTGGGCAGCGCCACGAGATTGTACAGTCCTTGTTTGAGATTACTCAAAGCTTACAAGAAATTGAACCGGCCGAGCTGAAGGAAATGGATTCATTATTATTGGGAAGGATTGTGGTACTCGCGCATGTACATCCTCCTAAGGGAACATCCCTGCGATATGATATGCATGAACAGGGTATAGCTGTCGTGACAGCATGCGAGTATGTTTACAAATCAGCGAAGACGCAACTCTATGACTCGCGGTGGCTTGGTTGCCTGGCCGGTATGAATAGAGCTGGGTCGCAGACAAGTGCATTGAGAAGAAGAGAGCAATCGTAGCCGCCGTCCGGGAAGGCTTTGCCAGGTTGGTTCAATGGTGGCAGACATGGAATGAGCAGGGTCAAGCTGATGATGGAAGATGGGCTTGAAGCTAGAAGCCACAATTTCGGCACGGGGTGCCAATATTGCGGAGTGGATTATGGGCGGTAAGGTGGATGCTGTTTTGATTCCTTCCTTTGTTCCTCCTTTGAACCTTCTCCCGAGTCCATGATGGCAAAATCAACGTCCCGCGGCATACGGCGCGGTATGGGTATCTATCGCAATCGATTGTGTCTTGTCTTAGGTTATCATTGACGTCGGCGATCCCGTACGTCAGCATGCAACGGCGCATGGGTGAGTGAGAGCGAGGTCGCAAGCAAAGAGGTGGTCGAGCGACGTTGCGAAGCGTTGCAAAGCCGTTGCAGGATTTGCGGCTTCCAGCGTCTCGCGAATTTGCCAGCGTCGCACGGCACGCAACTGAGCTGACGGTGAATGGCCGAGCAAGCTGGACGTTGCCAAAAAGCCGTTGCTGTCCAGCTGTGCGACAACCGTCGAGATAGTGATACGACCAGCCCGCCGAACGTTGTTTCCCTCTGCCTTGCCTCTGCAATTCCTTCACGCGACCGTTGCTATCCCTTCAGCGGGGCCGGGTTGAGTGAAACCTCAACCAAAGACATTCTGAACGGCCTGCCGTAGTCCACTACTGTACGCCGTAATGTGAAGCAGCTTGTGTCACTTGGCCGCCGCAGAGGTTTGAGATGTTATATTAACAAGCTCCTTCTCTCGTGTTGACTAGAACAAAAATCTGGAACAGCTCATATACGACCTCGTCCGCTCATCGTCCAGGAATAGAGAGTCTTTTTATACATCAACACGACAGCCATCCTCCTCCAAAACTTACACAGCACGGCGCCAACAGTCACACAAACGCTCTGCTTGCATATTCCTGTCTCGAACCCCACTTCCCAGCCCCGCCCGTCACTGTTTACACTGTTGACGACCGCTCGACTTTGTCCAAACGGCATCTTTTTTTCACTGCGGGCTTTTTACTTGAAGGCGCCTCGTCCTCCAGTTCTTTCTTTCCAACCACATTCCACGCAACACTCGTTCACATCAGAAACATGGCTGGATCTCGTTCACCAAGAACCACTCGCTCCAAGACACGACGCTCTATCATGTCGTCGCAAAAGTCCAACATCAAGACTTGGGCACGTCATCAGAAGCCTGTGCCTGCCCGCCTGACCAAGGACAAGGAGCAGACCAAGGCCACTCCTCAGCCTGTTGCTTCTGTCCCCACATCACCCTACTACCAGTCTGCTCTGATCCAAGCACAACTCACCAAATCTTACCAAAAACCTCGTCTTGCTGCACCTGCTGCTCCTTCAAGGCACACTGGCTCATCATCAGAATCATTCCGCTTCCTTGATCTTCCTGCCGAGATTCGTCTCATGATCTATGGCTACGCTGTGACTGAGCCTGAGCCTCTTTACATCGACACTTTGGCTGCTCCTCCTGCCATCACTCGCGTCTGCCGCCAAACTCGTCGAGAAGCATTGCCCGTCTTCCTTGGCAGCAACTCTTTCATCACGCTCTTCAGCTCTGTCCCTGGTATCGATGTCACCTGCCCTGAGCCTTGCTGTCTTACCAAGTACACTACTTCCTTCTCACCTGCTTCCGAGTCATGGCTCTCTACCCTGCCCCCTTCGCAACCTCTCATCCGCGACATGAGCTTCACTCTTCAGCCCTCCACTTGGGATTCGGAGTCTGAGATCTCAGCAGACTTCCGCATGATTGATGGAAAGCTTGCTCACGGTCCTGACTGCCCCTTCTGCATTAACGGCTCCTATGGCAATGTCGCCCCTATCTCTTTTACCCACCCTGCTGTACCTGACAGCCTCAAACTCCTTATGAGCCACGCTCAACAGATCCACGACGCTGAGCTCGACGCTGTCAACACTGTACTGCAGTTTGGCAAAGGCCTCAGCCTATATGATATCGTCGCCTTCACCAAGGCTTTCACCGGCCCTAGCGAAGTCATCACTGCCAGACAATGTGATCAACAGCGTCTCGTCGAGCACTTCAAAGAGTCGCTCGAGGAGTGGGACGCTGCTAAGGCCGATGCCAGATACGAGATTCAAGAAGATCTCAGACGTACCTCAGATGACCTCTGGTCTGAGAAGGAGAAGTGGTGTGGATCCATGTGAACTCATCCATTGTTTTACTTGCATGTTGCTTTCTGTATAGCGCCGATGGAGTCAAGGGCATTGGGATATTGGGATTGTTTTTGGCCAATGGCTCACGATTAAGACGATGATGATGACTACGAACTCCCTTTCTTGTTGATACTAGACACATTTCACGAATCAAAACTTCTACACAACAATCACGTTCTCATTCTCTCCATCTCGAGTGTTTGCCTCTTGCTCATTGCCTCTCGTTTGCACGGGAACATGTGCTCAGCTGAATGGCATCGGATATAACTCTACCAGCCTGAACCCTATTCCAGATCGGCACCACTGACTGTCCGAGGACCCATCTTGACGCGTACTGCAAACTCGCTTCACGTATGGCTGTGCACTGCGATCTTCTGCTAGGGCGGTGACGGTCTCCGTCTTGTCGAATAACGTGTAGCCAGACGGCAAGTGCCTGTCGTCCGCCTTTAGCTCGGCATGTCGGCGCCATCAACAGCTGTCAGTGCTAGGTATATTGTACACGACAACAAACCTTGCTTTGTTCTGACAGTCAATGCAGCCGCAGGAAAGGAAACCTTACTTTCACCCTCATCACCGATTGCTGCTCAACCTCAGTACGTACGTACTTCGAGATGACGGCAATAGGCTTCCATCTTTCTGGTTCGCGTTTTCAATACTCATTCCCACATGCATGTCTTAAGCACAGCCCAGCTACGACACGTGGTTTAGCGAAGGATCTACATGGCTTCCACTGTTCTTCCAAACGCGCCAGAAGCTCTGTAAGGCTATACATGTTTCACTACATTGTTCCCATAAACCAATAAGGCAAGTCATTGATCCACACTCGCTTCTTGAACTCTTTCTCGCGTCGCAAACGTCTATCGTGGGATGTCCTAACATCATAGCAGTGAACGTGCTTTTTAGGTTATGGGTATTGTGGGTTCTCCGCTTGACTGAAGTCAACCACGAATTTTCGACGTGTTATCGATATAACCGTTTTTCGCGTATCCTGTTATCTTAATGCCAACCCTATGTTTATGCTTGATTGCGGAATATCGATAAGGGCTGATCACGCACGTATTTTCTTCTCGGTCTGAAGATCGTGTCACGATCTTATCACATGAGGACTTCTACGTTCAACAATGTGATAACTTATCGATTGTTTGTGGTTGATCTTTTCTGTCAAATTTCTGGAATGTCTCTCTTTGCTGATCTCCCTCTGTCGATCGCCGTTCGTGCTCTGTCTGTAACTTGCTAATCTCAACAAGTTTTCCGCCTCGGTTCTCAAAGGTCTGTACAACTGAGCGGCAGGGCGTGTGCTGCTCTGCGAAATCCAATCGCATCAGACTCAAGCTTGAGATCATATTCTCGAATTCTCGGCATCGCTGGAAGGCAGTTGACAAACGTTCATGCGATCGATGGGCACACACTCGGAGACTGTTACGAGCACGTCAATTTCATGCTTGGTGACATTCATGCTTGGTGACACAAGAACACGAAATCCGTCGTGATTGCCTTGTCATAGCCGTTGCTGCCACTGACATCCGCCATCCGCCGTGCTTCCGCTGACATCTGCTCTTGCCGCCACTGACACAATACGCAACTTCCTTAAAGTTATACCCCGAATATTTTGAATTATCTGTTCTATGCTTTTACTCTCTGTGCTTCCAGACTGTTGGAGCTTCCAGAATAATTTAGGGCTCGCGCAATGGAGTCGTTGTTTTCGATGTTCTGACCGTCTTGCTGTTCGACCGTTGACCGCCCATTGCCGCCGCCGCCACTTACATCTTCCCTCCGACCCTGAGACGTGGCAATAATGCATACATCGCAGATTCACCGGGGTCGGAATTGTTCACTTTGACATTTCTACTCCTGAATTTAGAGAAGGACCGACGTCATCTGCATACTGAGGCGCTCCCAAGTCGCCTTCAATGGTTGTTGCCTCTTACACACTCCGCTTCTGACCCGACTCGACATTATTCATCGAATTGACCCACAGTTTCCAGTGACGACAATCCTTGACGCTCTTTCTATGTCTTGAAAACACGATTGTGTTGTTGTGGTCAGCCTTCGGGACAAACGCCAGCGCAGTCGTCGGAATGACCACCTAACTGTCGTCCAATTTCTCTGCGCCTCTCTGCGCCTGTCACTTCTAGATATCTGTTTACAGATGCACTCATGCTGAAACACGCTTCGTCGTACTCTTGGCCTGCCACAAACATGTGTTGCAACATCAAGAGCCTCGACACGGTGGCCCAAAAAAATCTGGTTACATTCGACCGTTAGAAGGTCGCGTCTCTCAACCACTTCTTCCCAAACACTGGCCGCACACAATTATCCTCCTGACTCAAGCCAGCACATAACTTGAAACTCAACTGTCAGCACTGGGAAACTTCTTCTCCTAACTTTTGAGAATAGAAGGTGAGAAGGTCCGATTTCTGTCTTGTAACCGGAGCGACAATAAGGCGTGTAACACGGCCGAGTCGTCCAAACAAAATCTGCCGAGCCCGTTAAACATTATTCTCCGATACCCACCACATCTTAACATATCTACGATTCATTCCACGTCTATTCTACCTTTGTTCTCTGAACTCGGTCTTCGCCTAGGTGTTTCACTTTGTTCACGCAAAAGGACCGACTTCTTTTGTTCGTGTCAGGTAGGTGATTTAACGCATGGCTTCCACGAGAACCGTTCGGCTGGGTGTTTGGCTGAAAGAAAGTGCATGAGTTTTCTCATACTCAACCGTTGGCTGTGAATTTCAAAAGCGCTGCTGGAGAAGGCTTGCAAGAAGGCGTCTGTTGAGCCGCTATGTAAATCCCTCTCGGTGGCTGGAAACTAGTAAAGCACATGTGGGCATTCCAAGTGTTGAGCCTCCAATTGAGCCTCTTAGGGAAGTTCTATATCTTCACATGCCAAAGGTAATTCTTGAGATCGATCTTGGCATCAAGCACGATGTCTGTTCCTCACATTCGATAGTCTGGGAATATGGCACGCTTGGAACATTAGTTTGCTGTGGTTGTCGGTGTTAGTGTATCTTGATAGTCTGGTCAGTGTAGGCTGCATTATCGAAGTATCCTTATGCCTAACAGGCGCCACTTCCTCACCTCTCCAAGGTGGTATAGTCACTAGTGGTAGCGAGTGCTTTGCCCTTTCTTAGCCTAGCGCTCAGTATACTATGTTATCGAACTCCGTGTGTTGTCATTGGCGGTCGCAGATGTACGCATGGTCTGTGGCTTCTGATGTTGGAATTGGTGAGCCAATAATCAAAACTTTGCCATTGTGACTTCATCAACCACTCAGTCTGTATGAGTCTCACACAACACATAGAAGACAGGTCCGAACAGCTACAAACGAATGTTCAGGACATGTGACCGATTACTCGTCATCGTATCATGATTTTATGCCTTAGATTAGTTTCTGAGCATATGACCCTGTCCTAGAAATCTGTCCCAGGCAAAACATCGAAGTCACGACTCTGTCGAAATCAAACACAATTGCCCTTGCAGCAATTCAAAGGATACATGGTACCTCGATTTTGAAATAGACATGGCAGGGTATCAATCATATTACAGGTCCATCCGCATATATACAAACACAAAGTAGAGGAATCACCCAAGTCACTCGCACCATATCCTTATTCCTGTCTACTCGACTTCAATCTGACAAAGGAGATCCTCTTCACGCAGCGGTAGCAGCAGGCTTGCGAGTCTCTAACTTCCTCGGCGCTCTTCTGGTTGGCGCTGATGTTGTGGCCGCTGCTGGTTTGGATTGTGTACCACCACTGCTCTTTGTTGCAGCATTTAACTTCCTTGGCTTCTTCCTCTCGACTGTGTTGGATGTTGTAGTTGATTGAGCAGCAGCTGGCTTGCTTGCAGCAGCTTGTTGTGGTTTCGCTGCTGGTTTCGCGTTGTTGGTGTTTGTGACCGAAGGAGTTTGCTTCTGTGATGCTGATCTGGTAGTTGGGCCGGTGGACGTGCCATTGGTTTTCGGAGCTTGTTTGGGCTGCGAGGAAGTATTTGTGGTCTTGACCGTGGGGGCTTCTTTCGGCTTGGGTGCTTCTTTGGGCTTTGGTGCCTCTTTTGGTCTGGAAGGCTGCTGTTGTGTGCTCGAGGTCTTCTGCTGTTTTGGTGGCTGCTCGCTTTGTTTGGGCTGAGATTGACTTCGTTTCTTGGGTTGCTGGGGTGCTTGTTGCTTGTTGTCGGCTTGACCACCGCCACTACCTCCTCCCATACCCAGAGATGCTCCTAGGCCACCAAGACCAACGGCAGAACCTGCTTGTGCCATGGAGGGCATATTGGGCATCTTCGGCATCGAGGGCATGCCAGGCAAGTACCCAGTCATATCCTTTGCTGATTGCGACCATGATGAGGGTGCCTTGTCTGGCATATCGTTCTTCATCTGTTCCAACTCTTCCTTGCTCGGTGCTTGTGTCTCCTTGGTCTGCATGACCATCTTGTCCAACGCCTTCTTCTGTGCTGGAGTCGACTTCCAATCAGGGAGAAAGTCACCAACGACACCCTGAACACCATGACTGGCCATTTCTCCCATGTCCCAAATCTTGCCGTTCATGGCACCGTACACGGATCCGATACCACCACCAAGCAGGCCCGTGACAGTCGATACCGTTCCTCCTACTATGGCTCCTGTAAGCTTTCCGAGAGTGACGCCAGGCTGCACACCTAACCCAGCACCAGCAGCAAGTCCCTGGAAAGCACCGCTTTGTGCGTACTTTGCAGCTTTGCCAAAGGACTCGGCTTCAATCTCCTTATTGACGGCCTTTGCAAGAGTCGCTTCTCGTGCATCGGCATCGCCAGCTGCCATGGCTGCTTGTCTCAACTCCCATGCCTTTTGTGTTGCTTGCAAGGCCATGCTAGCCGATACACCCGAGTTTTGTTTAATGTCATGTTCTGAGATGCCTTTCTGGCCATTGGCATTGTTGGAGTTGCTCATTGTTTTCGCGTTTGAAGCTTTCGGCTTCGACTTTTGTGTTGTCTGTTTCGGCGGCATGATTGCTGAAAGGACGAGTTTTGTTCTCGGTATTGGTTGCTTGAGTATTAGTGATATGGAGTATCGAGTAGCTATGTAACTGTGAGAGCAGAGCAATATGCAGGTCTACGTCATCATCATCGCGCCGCTCGAGGTCTGGAATACCTGTTTTAATCTACAACTGCGACAAACAGAGTTTCACAGCCACGCTCTTCAGCACGACTCACAAGGCAAAGAAATGCAGATCCAACGCCGCATCTCCACTCTGAAGAGGAGATAATTGAGATCAGAGAACATCTCTTGGCCAGAGCAGCTTACTACTGTGTTCAAGTCCGGAGGCTGGTCCGCAGAGCGACCACCAACGCGAGTGCCGAGAGGTGTTATTTTGATCACCATTGTGCGTGCAGAGCATTTCTTAACTCGCTGCCGCCGACTGGAAGTGGTACTAGACTAGAGTGCAAGACTTACCTCGAACTTCATCTTCTGTTTTGCGAATGCCACCGCAAGTGCCATGAGAAAATTGTTGGTACTCTGCTATTAGCAGTTCGCGATCCGCGATGGATACATCATGTCCGGGCAGGACCAGCACAAACCGTGCCCTTGATAGCAAATATGAACATGACACTGAATGCCTATGATGTGTAGAATGGTAAGGTACAAGAAGGGATATCCACAACAAAAGAAAAAGAAAGCTATCAAAATCGCTGCTACTTTTAAACTGTAGATGGCGAGATATCAACAACAACACATTAACATCGCTTTTCGAAGAACGAACGAGGTAGTCGCAAGGAAGTCGTTTGTCGCAGTGGATGTAGTATGAGGCGTCTGAGCTAGGGTATCGAGCAGGGCGGGCTTGTATTGCGCATGGGATTGGCACGAAAGTCGCACATGGGCAAGCATATAGCTCACGGTTGTCGTCGCTCTCGGATACGTCGTCTATGGTCAAAGGCGGTCGCATATGGCCTGGTGTTAGTCGCATCGGGTATCAATCGTCCAACATCGATCCACAATCATTAAGCATTTTCACTCCAGTAAAAGGAAAAAAAGTGCAGCCATTCATCATGCCACCTTCGAATGCCTCCTTGCCTCAGAAATACTGCGCCTGGTCTCCAGGGCGGTATCTTCATGGGTTGGGGGTCCCTGGTAATTCTTCTTACCCCACACGAAGTACCATGCACCTGCAATCAAGAAGAAAGCGACGAAGACCACTGATGCGTAGTTCATGAGTGTGGCGGTGACAGGCACAGTAGTCGGCATGCAGAACAATGGCACAGCAAGACAGCTCCATGCGAGAGCGACGATGTTGCAAAACAGTCCGAGAGGTCCAAGAGCAAAGGGAGCACCCTCAACATGCTTGCGACCAGTGAAGAGACTGGTAGCGATGGGCATGGCGTATGACACAGTCAAGCAAATAACACCAACACCAGAGAAGGCGTTGTATGCGGCGACCGATCCAAAGTAGATGACACCGAGCAAAATCTGCACAATCATGCTGAGCAACATGGCGTTAAGAGGCACACCTTCCAGAGCAGTGGTGTTGTTGACCTGCTTCCACCATTTGCTACCAGGAATGGCACCGTCGCGGGAGAAGGCCCAGACGCAGCGTGATGCTGCGGTAGTGCATCCAATACCGCAGATAAGACCGAGAACCATAAGAGGAAGAAGCAAACCAATGGCGCCACCAGGTGAACCGACGGCAGTGGCAATGATGGTAGGTACGGGCTGTCCTGATGCGAGGGCAGCAAGCATGCTGAGGTCAGGAATAACGAACAGAAGAGGAAGCAAGAACATGAGGCCAGCAATAAGGTTGAGAATAATGGTCGCAACCATTGCCTTGGGGACCTGAGTTGCAGGCTCTTGAACTTCTTCACACATTGAAATGATCATACCAGTCGACGAGGTTGCGTATGCTGCTTGCAGAAGACCGACACAGAAGGACCATCCACGGGGCCATCCTGACTGGGGCTCGAAGTCAGTAAAGACGTACTTGCCAGAGTGTCGGCCACCCTTGGCCATCACGAGTGTGGTGATGAGAATGGCAATAACACCAGCAAGAGTCCAGAAGATGGCAAAAGTCTAGATCACGTAGTCAGTATCCTCGCAAGTCCCAAAGTCTTGTTTCACATACATCAACTAGAGCCAACCATCTGTTTCCCAACGAAGAGACAAGGTTGCAGAAAAGGGTAATGGCAACAAAGACCAAAAATGTTTCCCAGTTGCTGGCGTCCCATATGCCGACACCAGGCGACGACTCGAAGACATTCACACACGAGATGATAAACAGTGCAGAACCGAAGTTGACAGCCAGAGTAATCGTGATGTTTCCAACGACATATGCCCAACCGCAGATCCACGACAAGACTCTCTTGTACTTGGCTGGCGCCAACATGAATGTCTGGTAGTAGACGCCACCAGCCGTCGGGTAGACCGAAGTAATCTCACCCAGACTTGCAGCGACACAGATAATGATCAAACTGACCATGATCCATCCCCAGATAATGTTTGCCGGGCCACCACCTACAAGAGGATAGTAGAAAGTTGTCGCGAGACCGTAGGGAATCGAGGCAAGGACGAAAGACATGAAGGCGACTTGAAGGGTTGATCGGTTGCGTGCCATCTCGGGCTTGTAGCCCATGGCCAACAGAATGGCATCGGACTCGTCGACATCGACTCCGCTCTCTTCGTTTGACACTTTTCGCGTCTCGCCGAGTTGGTTCTTGGTCGAAGGTGCGGCTTGACCATGGCCAGCGGCCATACCGGCTTGGTCAAGGTTGCGGTCCGGAGGGTTTGTCAGGAAACCCATGGTGTGTAGCGATTAATTGATGCAAAGAGTGAGCGTAGGAAAAAACGAGACAGGGCAGCCACTGGGGAGTGCCCTACACATATGTACAAGAGGAAGCGACGCTTTGACTCTTTGGGCGAGGAAGGTTCGCATAGCGTGCGGTCGTCTAGTAGCCAGGCGTTCGGAAACGAGTGGGACTGTTGGAGCACACAACGCCAATGACGATATGCTCAGATTTTTTTATTCGATGACCCTCGAGAAGCCGCTCTGGAAGCGTCTGCAACAAGGGTGCTTGAGACCTTATTTTGTTCATTCTACTTACCACTTACATGCGATGATATTTGTATAACAAAAGAGATGTGGACATCTTGCAAAATCCGTTGAGCCCTCGAACGTGCGGCATTATCTCCAGCCCTGGAAGAGATCAAGAGATTGCCAAGCGTAAGACGAAACGTATCACCCCAGGGCGTTGACTCGCTGGCGGAGGTGTGTCTGATGGGGTAATTATCGCACTCGGATCTCTCTGATGCCTCTGACATCTGGGGCGGCGACCTCAATTCGTGAAACAATCATTGAGACAGACGACAAGCTGAGCGAAGTTGTCCTTCCGACTGCTGCCATACATTTGCGTTCAATGTTGTCGCGTGAGCGATTTGAGTCGAGTCGTGGCCGTCTAATCGTATTCTCAACAGTCCAATCAAGATTGCTCTTTAGCGCAACCTGCCTGAATCAGGGCGTTCGACAAGACATCCTTCATATCTCGCCGAGAGCCCTCCCTTGATTGCGATAATAATCAATCCGCGCGATCAATAATGCCACTAAAGCTGTCGTTGAATTGTTTGGAACACCCAGGCGGTATATTTGACTCCCAGGTTTTCGTAACGACTGCCGGCGGCCTTTTGCGGCTGCTACTCAAAACTCATGTCATGTATGGAGCGAGACTCATGGCTGTTCCTAACATCCTCTAAGTGTAACGCCGCCTCGGTGCGCAAGAGTTCAAAGATTCGCTTCTGGTAGAAGCATAACAGTCTGCGTGGCTTATCGGCTGTGATTGCTCCACGCAGACTCTTCTCTGCGTGGTCCTTATCTAGAAGATACACATTGCGACAAGCCCTAATCTCTGGTAAAACCAATCAGCGACTCACGACATATTCCTATATTGTTTCACTGTATACCACTTCCGCTATAGGTGTGAATATCCACCGAAGAGAGATTTACCATAAGAAGAAATCCGTTGCTCAATCCTGCATCTTCGGTACTTGTTCCTGCACGAAGGTTCGGAGGAACTGTGCCACGTGAGCGACCAGGACAACCCCTCCAACCCCTCCCCCACTTTGTTGATATGCGTAACAAGCAACAAGTTCGACCGATCGCATATGACTTCCACCAGCTCTGAAATCACGGCCATAATGGCCAAGAAGATTGTACCACGGAGAGCGATGCTAGATGATAGGCAACTGACCCAAAGTCACTCAAAGGACCCATCAATCATCTTCGTCTGACACTGAATCGCTAGAGAAAGTAACAAGCTGTCTAAACGAACGTCGAAGTGTAAATTGTAAGTTTGCAAATTGTAACGTGGAGGCACCTGCCGCGGCCAGCGGCAGAGAAGCCCTACCTTGAGGCTTGATCGATCTCGCCAGAGAAGAATGTCACAGCGGCGAAGCACGGGTTTCGACCTCGGAAATAAATACGAGAAGAATTTGTGATGCTATAGGGCTAATTTGTATATTTTTCGATCAGTGTTGACGTCCGATGCATCGCATGTTTGTCAAGATCTGAGCACATCAACATGGAAGGCGAGGTTCCAGAATCTGTACTAAGCAATACGCCCGAGGAGGCAGCTTCGATCACGACTCTCACGATGCCGCTATGACATACGGAGATGATTTCTTTTCTGTGACATAACAACTGACGTCGTCTTTTCTTATCCAATCGTCTTACAAGATGCACCTCGTTGTGAGAAACACAATCTTGATAGGACTTGCTGCGTTCGGCTATGTCGCACTCTGGAAGTTTGCCAGCGATAATGGCACCTTCGCGTTAATGCGAAAGTCGTCATCACTGAATCGTCTACCAGGAACCGGCGAAGGATATACCACTGAATTTACAAGATGGCGCTGGCTTGATGAATTCTTGCGAAGCTTGCTTACGCTTTTCTGGCCGATGGTCAATGGTACCCGTCCTGGCTCGTCGTTGATGTGCTTCTACTTTGCTGGTCAAGGCATTGTCGCATGGATTCTCACAGCTCTTGAAGGACAGCGCCGACTCAACAAGGACAATTGGAGAGTAGTCTCACTGACTACCGCATATGGTCTGCTGTTTCAAGGTCTTGGTATCGGAGTTGTAGGCCCAATATTTCTCGCCTTCTCTCCTCTGGGAGATATTTCCACAAGTTCTGTCTTGGTTCACCACAAGACAGATGTAGATGCCATAATCCCTGCAACGATTGCTGGAATCATCGTTCCTACAATTCTGATGTCGCTTCATGCCCCAACGGTTGTCTCACTGGAGCAAAAGATTGATCTCATCCGTCTATGGCAATTCTTCCCGCTTTTGTTCCGCTTGGTTCAGCGTGTTTGGTCAAGCTTTTTCCTCGTGCAGCTCAAGACATATAGAGATGAGCTTGCCGAGAAGAGTCCCCGAAATCAACGACAAGCACTTCGCCGTGTCTACATTTTTGGTCTTTGCTGTGCGGCAATTCCTCACATTGGCACAATCGCCGTATCAACAATAAGCCTGTTGTTCCCTACCTTCTTTGCAAACGACATCACGGCACAGTTCCACCCTGCTAATCTTTTCATTCCCGTTTCACCATTGTCTGGGAAGCAGGCAGGTACGGTAGGCGAAGGTGCACACTGGTTTTTACAATGGGACATGACACTCATGTTTCTCACATATCTGGTCTGGGCATACCTCGCCGTTGTCAAAGTGGTCTATTCTAAGTCAGGGGTGTTCTCGTCTTCGCTACTACTGCGTCTTGCTGGCCGCGCTTTACTCTTCGGTCCCATGGGCGCTGCTTTGCTCGCGTTCTGGGAAAGAGATGACATTGTTTTGGAAGCCGAGGAGCAGAAGATCAAGTCTCGCAAGGCGTCAGCCGCCGATTTTGCTTCCCTACCTCAGGCTGCCAACAAAAGCAATTGATCTAGGGGCATAGCAGTGAAGAGTAATGATGACAGGTCTTAGTCCTTGGCTCATAGGCGAGAACCCTTCTGCAGCAGATCGACAGCTTCCTTTGCCATACCCCTACAAGTGTGTCATGTCAGTAGTAGACAAGATATCCCATTTAGCATCACTTACCACGAAGCTTGATATCCAGCACCGCCAGCACCATAGTTATGAATGACCAAATGCTCACCAAACTTTTCTCTTTCCAGTCTGGCACCGCCTTTCCTGCTCGCTGTTTCATCTCGTCAGCTTTGTACCTCAATTCCCTCTAGGAAGTCAACTCACGTCTCAAACCAACACCATGATAAATCACCTTTAAATCCTCCGGCTTGCCCAATTCAGGAGCTAAAGCACAGCAACGTCTCTTGATATCCTCGGCAAACTCGAGATCAACGTCTCCATTCCAGACATTGTCAAGACGAACACCGCCTAATACAACGCCATTGTGAGGACCCCGTGGGAATACGTAGGTGGTATCTTTGTTTACTCTTTGTGGCGAGCGAAAGTACATTCTCGTCATGGGAGTTTTTGGGCTTTCGACGAGCATGATTTGACCCTGTTTCTTCGTGAGTTTGTGTCCGTCGTGTTGAGGTGGGGATGTGTGTGTATACTCTTGTTGGATAGACGCTCTTGTCTTCTACGCCTTTTAATGAATAGGCACCCAGACCTGTACAGTTGAAGTACGCAGTTGCGGAGGGAAAGGCAGTGAACAGCTCGTCAATAGAGTCAAACATGCCTCTTCTGATCTCAATGCCTTGTCGTTTTACTTCCCCTTGTAACCTTTCGAGTGTTCTTCATAAGCTTTTGCAAGACTCTAGGATAGCATTGAAGCACACAAAGGTAGAAGAAACACAGCAAAGAACTCACCAAGGAAGATAAACCTGCGTATCCACCACAAACGTCTTGAGATCACATCCAAACTTCGCTCCCTCTGGCAACTCGTTCTCCTCCAACATTCTAATCCCATCCACCAAATTCTCATACCAAATCTTCCCCGTCGCTTGACTCAACACCCCCGCCTCCTCAATCACCGAGTCATATATCGCAGTAATAGGCATACTACAAACCCCCGTTTCCTTAACCCTTTGAGAAAGCTCCTTGAATTTTCTATAGGTGATGGCGTCCCAGGATTCTTGGCGGCCATTGTCGGTAGCTACGGAGAGCCAGTTTGCGCCTGCCCAGGGAGAGGTGTAGGTGGCGTGGTGGTCGCCGGGGAGGAAGCGGGCGATGATGGTGATGGTGGAGGAAGGGAAGCGGGAGGAGAGTTCGAGGGCGGTGGTTAGGCCGATGACGCCTGCGCCGAGGATGAGGTAGTGGGATGGCATTTTGGAAACAACATGAAATTAGTTGTTTGGTCAAGATATTGTCAAGATATGGAATGGATACCGAACATGACTTATATGAGCAGTACAATGGTTGAGACATGTGACGGAGCGTGAGTCAGGACATGGGGATGAGCCGATGTCGGGTGAGTTTCCCGAAGGGGATGTTTCCCGATACTTGCTTGGAGTCGTGTCTATATTCTTACATGCTATGCTGTCACTATACGGGATAGAAGGTGTATCATGAGCTTGAAGACATGCAGTCGCGAGTGTTATACCATTGCGATATCTCAAGCAAGAATATCTCCACCTTCAGGACCAGCCCTTGCCTTGTCCATTCTCTCCTGCGTCGTCTTGAAAGCCCGCGGAACCTTGGTCTCCTCAAACTTCATTCCCTTGTGTATCATGTCCGACACACCCTCTGCTGACAGCCAAATGACTGGCATACCATGACCATTAAAGCCACTCAGAATGTACTGCCCAGGCTTTCCAGGCACTTCACCAATATGAGGGTTGCTGTCATAGCTGTATCCCATAACACCTGTCCAAATCTTTTTGACTTCAGCTTTGCTGTTGTCCCAGCCCCGGAAGTTGTTTTGCATGTAGTTGGTGTAGTAGTCTTTGGATGCTTCGATTAGCTCGGCGTCGTCGGTGTTGTTGTACCATTGCTCGCGATGGGGTTTGAAAACGGCTTGAGAGCCGCCGACTATAATGCCACCGTCGGAGCGAGGGATCAAGTAGCTGAGGACGCTAGGGTCGCCTTGTTCGCGGATGATGTATGAGTTGCCGACCAACGGAGCAACGTCTCCTTCAGGAACAGCGATATGACAGCAGATGCCTTTGCAAGGCACGATATTCTTCTCGTATTCCGGCAACAGAGTCTTGGTGTAGGCATTGGTAGCATGAACGACTTTCGGAGTCTTGATGTTGCCGCGAGACGTGGAGACGGTCCACTGGCCATCGGATGAGGCAGAGATGGTATTGACTGGGGTATGTGTTTGAATGTTGACGCCGCGGTCTTTTAGTATTCCTAGTAAGGTCATGATGAACTTGTAGGGCCAGATGGTGCCGGCGGTGTAGGTGGCGCATGCTTTGGCGTGCTTGATGCCGCTAATCTGTGGCCGATCAGTACGAGTCAAGGAATGCATGTCAAGGTGTAGAATACTCACACCCTCAGCATCTTTGCCAGTGACAAAGTGAACATCATCCATGTGCTTTAGACCATAGGCGACCATCTTGTCGTAGGTAGCCTTGGCTTTATCGGCAGCATCCTGATTGCACCAAACATCGGTCGTCCGCGTAATGACAAAGTCGCAGTCGATATTCTCCTTTGCGACGACGTTCTTGATGGCTGTAACATGAGCGGCCTCGAACTCAGCAATCTCAGCGCCAGCTTCTAGTCCGTGACGGTCGATGTATGTTGGAATGTGACCATAGAGATCAGGACGGAGATGACCTCCGTTACGGCCTGTCGCTCCGCTACATGCTGAACGCGCCTCGAGCAGGGTGATTGACGCCTTGCTGCCTGCCTCCAGGAGATGGTACGCTGTCGCGACACCTGCATATCCAGCTCCAATGATGACAATGTCGGATTGTTCAGGTAGCTGTTCAGTAGAACGATAGTCGTCAAGCTCGTGGAGGTCGGCGCGCCAGAATGACTCGGTGCCGCCGCCAACCGTCGGGAGACCCTGGGCCTGATGCATCTTCGTGGTTTGCGTCTGTTCTGCTCTGCTCTGCTTTGCGACAACTCACAACAAGCAATTATATTCACAAGCCCATCAAGGTCGAGCTATCTCTGCCCCTCTCGAGTCACGTTGTATCTCAGGGTCGCATGACACGAGATAGGAGATAGGCCAAGCTCTCGCCGAGACGGCTTCCTGATCTTGTCCACCTCCGCATCACAACCTCACCTGCCTACATCGTCTGTCTCTGGAGATAACAGTCAAGGAAACTTTGGCGATACGGACCGACGTCTGTCTCTTGCGCTATCAACGCCTGCCATATCTCGAGTTAAACATTCTGGTGGCGCACATGCGGGGTGCTCCCAGCGGAGTTGCTTGACCGGGAAAATGGTGGAAGACTTCTAGATCGCCAGGTATACATACTTTGGGAGTATGTGTAAACCTTGACAAGAGCAGATTGTCTGAAGACATCGAAAGTCGTCCTCAATGATAGTCTGATGACAAAACGGGTGAGAGCTTTGATGGATGAGCAAAGCACAGTAGACACTGTCCACGAGTATGTTCACTGCCCAGTTTCCAATTGTCTTGCACGTGCCCGAACGGTGAGTTGTACTCAAAGTCTGATGAGATCCTCTTATCAGCAGCTGCACGAGCAGTTTATTAGGCTGAGCTGAAGGCGCTGATTGCGCAAGCTCGCTCAAGGCCTGGCCGCGCCAATCTCATGCAGCCATTTTTCTAATTCTTGAACGCGGATAAGATATGCGCTTGCGAAACCATGCTGAACCAATAATCATGCATTGAACGGTCATGCTGGAGATAGGCGCATCAATCCCTCTTGGTGCAAGATATGAACAACATAAATGAACGAGTCCACTGGACCACCCTCTACCTTGCTTGCATTTAGTTCTGCTCTCAAGTCTTTTTGCAACCATGTCGATACATTCACCGGAGATGGTCACCGTGCACAATGATGAGAAGAAGGTCAACACTCAAGAGGGATATGTCCCTTCTTCGGATGTTGAGAGTGGTACTATACTCCCCGAGTACGACCAAAATGGACCGGTCGAGTTTGAGGAAAAGAAGGACCTCAAGCGTGGACTGAACCAGAGGACTATTCAGATGATTGCTCTTGCTGGAACCATCGGAACCGGCTTGTTTCTGTCCTCCGGCAAGGCCATCTCGAGAGCTGGTCCATTGGGTGCTTTCCTCGGATATACCATTGTTGGCTTTCTCTGCTCAGGAGTCGTCATGTCCATCTCAGAACTGAGGTTAGCAGCAAATACAACCACCATTGGCATCGCATGCTGACACAGTGCAGTACTCTTGTTCCTCTTAGTGGAGGTGTCACTCGTCACGCCGAGTACTTTGTCGACCCTGCCTTATCATTTGCCAATGGTTGGAACCAAGTATACGCCAATCTCATCAGTGTCCCGGCCGAACTGTGTGCTGCTGCCGTCTTGTTCGAATTCTGGACTTCATCTGTTAGCAATGGCGTTTGGATCACCGTCCTCGGAGTCTTACTTATTGCAACCAACATTGCATTCGTACGCGTCTACGGCGAGATTGAATTTACATTCGCGACATTGTGAGTAAGAAAAGGGCACGAATACATAGGTCAACCCAAGGGATCCCAAAAATTCATCAGGGGGCTTTCCGACCGCTATTTGGACCACCCACACACAAGAACACATACTGATTGTACTCTTCTCTGTTTAGGAAGATCATGCTCATCATTGGCGTCAATATAATGGCGCTTATAATCACGTGTGGCGGTGGTAAGTCAAGCAGACGGCACAAACATCCATCTTTATGAACCCATGCTAATTGTACCTTCGCTCTAGGTCCCGATCACAAGAGCATTGGCTTCCAATACTGGAGGAATCCCGGTCCATTCGTTCAATATTTGCACATAGAAGGCTCTCTGGGTCGTTTCTTAGGCTTCTGGACCACCTTGAACAACGCCGTCTACTCGTACTCTGGAATCCAAAACATTTCGATCGCGGCCTCCGAGACCCAGAACCCACGCAGAAACATTCCCAAGGCGGCCAAGAGAATCTTCGTGCGCGTTCTACTCTTCTACGTCCTCACTATTTTCATGGTTGGCCTTGTGGTGCCCTCCAACGATAAGCACTTGTTGAAGTCTACCGGTACTGCTTCCCAATCACCTTTTGTTATTGCTGCCAAACGTGCTGGAATCAAGGCCGTCCCATCGATTATCAATGCAGTCATCTTGACTAGTGCCTGGAGCTCTGGCAATTCTAGCATGCTCGCTGGCTCTCGTATCCTCTACGGCATGGCAAGAGAGGGTCGCGCCCCCAAGATCTTCAAGAAGACCAATCGCTTCGGCATTCCCTGGGTTGCCGTCGCTTTGTTCAGCGTCTTCTTATGTCTCGCCTACTTGTCGCTGTCAAGTGGTGCTAACACTGCGTTTTCCTGGTTGCAAGACCTTGTTTCCGTGGCTGCCATCATCGATTGGATGGTCATTTGCCTGGTCTACCTCCGCTTCTACTACAGCATGAAGAAGCAAAACATCTCCCGCAGCGAGCTTCCCTGGGCTGCACCCTTCCAACCATACCTTGCATGGATTTCGCTCGTCGTCTTTGGTATTCTGCTGTTGACTGGTGGTTATGTCACCTTCATCCATGGACACTGGAACATTGAGACTTTCTTCTCGAGTTACTTTAACATTCCTCTGTTCTTGGTCTTGTACTTTGGATACAAGTTCATCATGAAGACGAGCATTGTTCCTCTGGATGCATTGCCCATTCGCCATTTCATCGATATTGCGAATGCTAATCCTGAGGCTCCTGAGCCGCCAAAGCAGGGATGGCACAAGTACAACTTCCTGTGGGAGTAGAGTCCTTGGGCATGTATTAGATCAAGACTTAGAGAGCTACGAACAGAACAGATGTCACTGGAGGATTGAATTTTTGATGTACATGTTGTATCAGATAGAACTCAAAGATCACTCAGAATTGGATGGATCGCTTCTAAGCCCGTGACTGCACAGCGTATGGCTACGAGTTTCCATCAGCTAATGGAGCCCGAAACCTCGTATCAACATTCATGAATGCAACCGTGGTATCAAGCACCATGCACCCACAACGGCCAAGCCTCACCAAGCGAGTTGTGGCTGCATGTCCATTGCTTATCAGACTTCCTGAAGGCGGGGTAAGATGGTTAATCTCGGGGAACCTTATATGCGTGATAAGGACAACAGATAGGCGAAGACTCCTTTGGGCAGTTGACCGCTGCCCGAATTGGGCCGAGATGGTGAGCGACCGACCAACAACACGAGCTGTCAAACCTAAACTGTTGACAGACGACAAACGCGAGTTCGAGGGGCTAGATATAACAATCTCGGACCGTACACTTCTTTGTGATAGTTTCATCGCTCATCTCTTTCTTCAATTTCAACTTGTTCATACTTTCAAGTCTTGAAGAAAGCTCATAAAACGGAACTCTCACATCAAATACCTCACTCATTCTCGAAAACCTCGAAAAGAATCAACAAAGATGCCAAAACACGTCGTCTTCGATGTCGTAGGCACACTAGTCTCCTACGACGCCTTCTTTGCCAACATTGAAAAAGTACTGGGTCCTCGTCTCCTCGCCAAAAACATCACCCCCAAAATCTTCGGCTTTGCGTGGCTCGAGAGCTCCGAGAGAGAATTTACCTACTTGTCTATCTCTTCGCGCTACAAGCCTTACAAACAAGTCTTTAGCTCAATGTTCTACCGCATGTTGTGGATGGCTGGAATCTCCGAGCCTAGAAGCTTTGCCACTGATGCTGAGAGAGATGAAATGGTTGCTTCGTACTCGACATTGGTGTTGCGTCCAGGTGTGCAAGAAACCTTTGACTTGTTGAGATCGGCAGGGTTTCAAGTCTGGGCTTTGTCGACAGGAGACGAAGAGAGAGTGCTAGGATACTTCCAAAAAGCCGGCGTCGAGTTCCCAAAAAGCAATTTTAGGTCTTGCGATGCTAAGGGTGTTGCTAAGCCTGCGCTTGATGCGTACAGACCACTGTTTGAGAGTTTCGGAGACGATGAGAAGTGGTTTGCGGCAGCGCATTATTGGGATGTTAGTGCTGCTAAGATTGTTGGGTGAGTTGATTCTTCTTTCTGAGGGTATATGGAATGGATTGTGCTAATATGTTGGACAGATTCAAGGGTGCTTATTGTTCGATTTTCGAAAAGGAGGATTGCAAGGATTTGTTTGATGTTGATATGGATGTTATGGCTGATACGCTACCAGAGATGGCCAAGAAGATGATTGAAGCTTCAAAGTCATAGTCAATATAGTACTTTTGGGTCTAAGCAATTGATGCCATCTTTTCCGTCACTTGTTTCGCATGCTCTTTTTGGAACAGACTTGGGCGGCTTGTTCTTAAGAACAGCTACCTTCGTTGGCTTCGGGTGTAGTGCTGAGGTCCTTGGGCAAGTACTTGATACCAGTCTTTGGACAGTTTCCTTTGGTACCGGTAGGGTTGACAGCGATGAATTGACCGTTGGCAACACTTCCGCGGACGTTGAAGACATATTCGACCTGGTTCAGCTCTCCGCTGCTGCAAGATAGGATAGGAGTAGCTCCAAACTTAGATTGCAGTGCATTGGTGATCTGGGCGTTGGTGTAGGTCTTGCTAGAGCTAGGGGTGATACCAGCGTTAGCCAACCACTTGTAAGTAGGCAGATCCTTGAACAGGGTGATGGTGGTGTTGAGGAAGTCAACCAACTCATCCTCCTTCTCGTAGTCGGTATAACAATCGGGGTTCAAAGTAGAATAGCAAGTTCCGTGCTTGCTCCATTCGTGCTCCCTGATTGAATGTTAGCACTTGATTAGTATTTGAGTCTCGATGCATGTTTACCAGAAAGACTCGTCGTCTCCCTGATAGTCCTTCCAGTAGGTCTCCATGTAGTCAAGGATATCGCCGTGGCCTTTATCCAGGAGGATACAGCCAATGTCGGTATATGCTCTTGAACTGTCGCATGTGGCCTCATACGAGCCATCACAATTATCTGGCCAGAGGCCATGGATTGTCCAAGAGTCGGCGGGCCCAGTTGCTGGATCCGAGTCCCAGAATTGGGTCTGCAAAACTTGACCCTGAACCTCAGTACAGCATGTGTTTTTGATAGTGCCGCTGGTCTGGCAACTAATTGGCGAATTGGCCGGGCATGACTCAATCACAGCAGCGGCTAAACAGAGCAAGGTGCTGAAAGCAATCAGAGAAGACGACATGTTGGAGAAAAGCGCGAAGGTGTTGTATCACAATGTATGACCAAGGAAATGAAGTCTTCTTTATAGGCTTCAATTGAGTCTCATTGGTATGCTGTGGTCAATCGGTCACCTCCGTGATCGTCGTCTCCTGCATGATTCGGTCGGGTCTCAGTGCAGATCTTCAGACCAGGCGAGGGCTTGCTTCCTCGAGCGCGGATGTAGGCAAAGCATGATTCGCTCTGGCATGAAATTTACCTTCTCCAAAGAGAATAGTGGATGCAAGTGTAACAGCACGTGGAGAAATGGAAGAAGGCTGTCCGTCTCAACAATGTCCGACGAGTCTTGGCCACGGCGCAGAGTTCAGCACTCAGTGAACTTCAGAGCACGCACTTACCGAGGTCTCACATTCGCGCCTCACGTCTCAGAAGAGTTCTTGTACCTACTCAGTCCAGTCCGTCTTCTGCTTCTCCAAGATGTTTGAGCAGATATTCGCTCTAGAGTATCAATCTATCGTATTGCATTGCATTACAATCTGATATGCCGCTCGGATGCAGATATAGGGCATAAAAGCGCAATGACGACGATAACGCCTTCCTCTTTTGTCCATGTTAACAGCTTCGTATCTCGCAGTAGCGAGGCCATATAGTTTGTGACCACCACGCCTCGTCGTTGTGTAATATAGTGGTTCTTTCTGTCCATCTGACCAACTCTTCTCGATCTTCATCTCGAATTCAGCAACAATGCAGTTGCGACACTTTCTCTCCCTCGGTTGCGTGCTGCCAGCCGTCGTGTTTGCTCACCGCTCACCTACGAAAAAGCCACTGGAAGCAGCATCTCTGTTTCAGGTTGCTCCAAAGCCTCAGTCTCCGCTACCGATTATTGAGCTCTACAAGCCTGTGCCTATTCCAGAATCGACCACATGCAATGTCCAACAGACTTTGATGGTTCACACCTTCGCATCGAGCTATGGCGTCCCTTATGTTGGACAATACACACCACCAGAATGTGACTTTAACAGCGTCGTGATTGAATGGACTGTCACTAGCGCTGGCCGTCAGTTCGATCGTCTGGCCGAGATGTTCCTAGGAGACATCGAGGTATGGCGGACAAGCACTGCCGAGCCTACCGCCTCTGGTATCATCTTTCGGTACCAGAAGGATCTGAGCATGTATTTGAGTTTGTGGAAGTCGCCACAGCAGCTCATATTTAGCTTGAATAACGTCTATGATTCGACCTATACTGGAGCATTCAACACTACTCTTACAGCTACCTTCTCCTACAATCCAGCCAAACCTGCACACGCCGATCTGATCTTGCCCATCACTCCTCAACTTGGAGCTTCAGGTCAACCAAGCATCTTTACTCTGCCAGGAGATAGTGCAACAGTCCAGCAGACGCTTCCTCGAAATGTTACTCACGCGACTGTATCCATTGCAGCCACTGGTCAAAGTAACGAAGAGTTCTGGTACACAAATGCTCTTCAAGCCGATATCTATACTTTCGAGTCCACTGTCGGGACTTTAATCGGATATGGCCCTTTCCGTGAGGTTCAATTGTACATTGACGACATGATGGCAGGCGTTGCATGGCCATTCCCTGTCATTTTCACTGGCGGCATTGCGCCTGGATTTTGGCGTCCTGTAGTAGGCATAGATGCTTATGACCTACGAGAGTACGAAATCGACATTACGCCTTTCTTGCCAATGCTGTTGGATGGAAAGTCGCATTCCTTCAGCATCAGAGTTGTGGGTGTGGATGATAATGGAGGCAATGGACCAGCCACACTATCCTCAAACAGTATCAACAGCTATTGGTTGGTCAATGGCAAGGTCTTCCTCTACTACGGCGATGAAGAGTACAATGGCACTCATTCTCCTCCATCCATCTCTACTTCGCCAACGATTCAGACCACATCCAACATCATCAGCACGGCCAATGGCACAAACACAACCTTGTACTACACAACCACCGCCAAACGCACCTTCACAGCAAAATCGCCCTTCGGCACTTGGACCCAAAGCCTCTCCTACAGTAACGACGGCTACCTCGGCGAAGGCGGCCTAGCATCAAGCAACATCCAGACCACCACAGGAACCTCTGCAGCAGTCCTTCTCTCAGCCCCAGAGTTCTCAAACACCCTCAGCTACACCTACCCCATAACCGCAAACTCCACGTACGCATCCACTAACTTCTCCGTTTTCGATGCGTACGTAGACTACGGACTCAAGATCTCGTCATCAGGACGTCCGGATGTATCGACGTACACACTGGTTAGTGGGCCTATGGATCTGATTGCTCGACAGTTTGGAAACGCGTATTACTCGAGTGTAGCGAATCATAGTTATTCGTATGGTGTTATGGATAAGAAGTTGCAAGAGGAGAGTTATGGAACTAGTTATTCGAGACATGTTAAGACGGACAACTTGACCATTACTTATGACTCGGAGATTTGAGGTTGATGCTCATTCAGTCCAAGGCAGAGGCTTTTTGTCGCATTTGACAGGGTTGTGGTCTCTTGTAGATACCAATGGCGATGGAATCATGACATGCAGTGTCGACAAACCGTTAAGCGAGATCCATGATAACGTTTTCATAGTCAATAAGAAAAGACATAAATTCATTCATTACATATATACAAAAGACGTTGAAAACATGAAACTTTCATCTAGTGATGCATGCCATACCCCATGGTTCCATTCAGATCTCTAAAGTCTCCTCTGAGAGAATCAATACCTTCTTTCTTGACTTCCTCGACAAGCGCCTTGACCTTAGGTGCAATAGCCGTGGCATCAAAGCCAAAGTACTTGTAAGCAGTCTTGCCGGGGAGAGACTTGCCAAATGAGGCCATCGAGTATCCAGCATCGGCATAACGCTCCCAGCCGTTGACAGCATAAGCCTCGATAACTACACGAGGAGCATTGCTGCGGTATTGTAGAACAGACTGCTTGTACTCTTTGCTCTGTTGCTCGAACAGACGCTGGCAAGGGAAAGACACTACACGTGCCTTGATGTTGTGCTGCTTTTCAAGCAGTTTCTTGGTCTCGACGGCACAAAACATTTCCGAACCCACACCGATAAGTGTAACATCGGCGTTTTCTTGCTCCATAAAGACGTAGGCGCCTTTTTGGACGCCGTCGCGATTGCTGTTTTCGGGGTATTGGGTGAGGGCTTGACGGGATAGTGAGATTATAGATGGAGTTGTATCGGCCTTGATGGCGGCAATGAAGGCACCAGCTGTTTCTTCAGAATCACAGGGGCGAATGTAGAGAAGGTTGGGCATGCTGCGGTACAATGCGGCAAGAGCAATAGGCTGATGTGTGGGTCCATCCTCACCAGTACCGATTGAGTCGTGAGTAGCGATATGAATCTGTTGTAGACCTTGGAGAGCACCCATGCGGATACCGGGTGCTGCATAGATGTAGAACATGAAGAAAGATGAGGTCACAGGGAAGATCGTGCCCTTGTTGTAGGCAGCCAGACCGTTAGAGATTGCGGCCATGGCATGCTCTCTGATGCCCCAGTGAATGTAGCGACCAGCATAGTTGCCGTTGATGCCACAAGCGGTCTTGAGGTCAGGATGTTGGAAATCAACCTTGTCCTTCCATGTCATATTGACCGAAGGTGTCAAGTCTGCAGTGCCGACCATGAAGTTTGCAAGGTTCTGGGCGAGAGGGTTGCAAACCATGCCAGAAGATTTTCTTGAAGGTGTTGGTGTAGTAGGGAAGCTACCCTTCGCCGGAACGAACTTTGTCCAGTCCTTGGGCATCTTGCCTGCAACGCGCAACTTAAACTCCTCGGCCAATTCAGGATACTCCTTGCTGTAACCTTCCAAAAGAGTACTCCACTCCTTCTCGTATTCCTGGCCTCGTGACCTTGCTTCACGGAAGAAGTCGTAGACTGTGTCAGGAACGACAAAGTGCTCTTCAGGGTTCATGCCGAAAACGCGCTTGATGTTTGCAACATCCTCGGCGCCGAAAGCAGCACCGTGAGCCTTTGCATCGCCAGCTGAAGCACTACCAATACCGATGATTGTGCGGATGTTGACAAAGGTAGGCTTATCACTTGCACGTGCTGCGACCAGAGCTTGTACAATGCCCGAGATATCTTGGACACCGTTGTTGACATCGATGACGTTCCAGCCACAGGCCTTCATCTTTTCGTTGACGTCGTCGTTGCATGTGATATCGACAGAACCATCACATGTAATTTGGTTGTTGTCGTAGACGAGGACAAGGTTGTTCAACTTCCAATGGCCGGCAAGCGAGACAGCCTCGAGAGCCACACCTTCCTGCAGACAGGCATCACCAATCATACAGTAGGTCATGTTGTTGACAAGTTCATAGTTTGGCTTGTTGTAGGTAGCAGCAAGATGCTTGGTTGCCATGGCCATACCAACAGCGTTGGCAACACCCTGACCCAGAGGACCAGTTGTGACTTCAATGCCCTCGTGCTCGATTTCAGGGTGACCAGGGCAAACAGAGTCTATTCTGTCCGAGTGATATGATTTGAGTTGTTCAATGGTCATGTTCTTGTAGCCGACCAGGTGCATGAAAGTATATTGGAATAGACATGTGTGACCATTGGAGAGGACAAAGCGGTCTCTGTTGAAGTAGTTGGGATTCGCTGGTGAGTATTTCATGACATATTTCCAGAGCGACACACCGATGGCTGCCATGCCCATGGCACCTGTTGGCTTGGGTTAGTCTTGTCTCCAAAATTTCTAAGCAGACATGAGTACATACCACCGGGGTGACCACCACCGAATTGCTCGCACAAGTCGGCAATCAAGCAACGAAAGACACGAAGCACTTGATCATGCTTGTCGGCTTCTTCTAGCTGTAACGTCGCAGCGCCATTTGTGCCATCGATCTGAGTACCAAGCACCTTCACGGGAATACCGGAGGTAGCTTCTTCGTAGTTTTCAAAAGAGGGTGCCATACTGAGAAGTGCGAATTTTTTGGAGCCTCGAGGCGGAGGGACCGCATGGGATCCATCGAACCTTTATCAATCATGATGGAAGCCGTATTTGCATGTACCTCAGCGGCGCTCCTGCTTCTTGGGTCAACAAGAACATCTCGTCAGAAACAAGTAACCCGCCATCCCGATGAACGATGCGGGGTTGTTCGCCTGCGCTACAGTTACCACTTTCGTTGCTGGCGTCTAATTTTGCCTTCGACAGAAAGGGGAAGCCGCGACTGACCGCCGCCAGAAACAGAAATTTTTAGCGCCGTCACTCGATACCTCGCGACGCTGCCTTTCCTCTCACCAGCTCATCTTTCAAATCTGGCAGTCTCAGCGCTGTTGACTCCAATGCAGTCCACAAAACGAATCCACTGAGAATTCTCAACATGTCCACAGTGAAACCTGGCATCAAATTACGAGGCTCAACGCTCATTGACCTGGTCATGATTATTCAGACGTATACAAATTGGCCAGGTGCCGTTGTGACTTGTCGCTCTTCCAACCTTCGGCCTTGAATCTTGTCTTGACCATTCTGACTTGAGCTTTTTTCTATCCTTGTCTTTTGATAATCCTCGATTCTTCACAGCATCATGGCACCAAGTATCGTCTCCGACATTGAGCTGCCCAGGGACATTCCCGAGTCCAGGCAATCAGCTGCCAATATTCCTATCGAAAAGGCCTTTGGCTTGAAAGACAGAACCATCATCATCACTGGTGCTGGTCGTGGACTCGGCATTACACTTGCTGTCGCTGTCCTCGAATCTGGCGCCGATGCAATCTGTCTGGATATTCTTCCCGAGCCCAGCGCCGAAGAGTGGGAAGTCATAACCAAGCTTCAAAAGAGCACCGGAGTCCGAGCGACATACCGCCGCTGCGACATTACGAATGAAGAGGCTGTCGAGAAGATTGTCGCAGATTGCGGCGAGGAGGCTCGTCGACGAGGCAAGCCTGTCAGAGGCATGATCTCGTGCGCCGGCATCCAGCAGATGGTCGACGCTATCGACTACCCGATGGACGGCCTACGTCGCATCATGGATGTCAACGTTGCCGGAAGCTTCATAATCTCGAAACACACCGCGCGTTTGCTTCGCGATCAGAAACTCGGCGGTAGTATTGTCCTGATCGCATCCATGTCTGGTCAAATTGCCAACCGTGGCTTGCATTGTTCGGCCTATAACACTAGCAAGGCCGCTGTACACCAGATGGGTCGCTCTCTTGCTTATGAGTGGGGACAGTGGGGCATCAGAGTGAACACCTTGTCGCCTGGTTACATTCGTACTGCTATGACGGACGGTCTGCTGCAGGAGAAGCCAGAAGTTGAAGAGTCATGGATGAGAGGAGCCCTGTTGGGAAGACTGGGTGCACCTGAAGACTTCAAGGCTCCGTGTGTCTTTCTCCTGGCAGATGGAAGCTCCTGGATGACTGGTGCTGATTTGAGAGTAGACGGCGGCCACTGTGCGACCGCATGAACATGCCTCGGAAATGGTAATGAAATAGATAGAGATATAGATTTTGTTACAGTCTTGCATAGGACCATCAAATATTGATAGGGTCTTCAGAAAATATGTTGCAAGCCAGTGATGTCTGATATCAAGCACAACCGCCAAATTCGAAGTTTCGAGCTCAATGAGATGCAATTCAGTGATTTCGATCTTCCATGTCTAGTCTCAATCAGGTGCCAGCTAAGAGTTGAACACTTCCTGAGACGCGTATTGAGGCGACAAAGTAGAGTTTAAAACCTCGTTTGCGGCATTGCCAATATAAGGTATTTCGAGGTCAGCCCCATCGTTGCCGTTCATTCATCCTTTCCATTCAAATCTGCCCCGCACTTAGAAAGCATCTCCAACTTTCTTTACCAACCACCAGCGAATTGACTCGCTGCATGCTTAACCATCGCAACCTATGAGTTCGAGTCGGAATGCCAAAGCTACGATCTCAGAAGACGGCTCCTTAGCTCACGAATCCCACGACGCATCACCTTCACCACAGCAGCCCCGTGATGGTCCCTCAAAGCGCTCGCTCCGAGGTCGCTCGGGATGTTTGAACTGTCGACGACGACGAAAGAAATGTGACGAGTCTAAGCCAAGCTGCGCCAAATGCGAGCGGCTGGGTGAAGAGTGTGAATGGGACTCGGGTCTGAGTTTTCGCTTCACTTCGCTTGAAGCTGATCATCCCAGCATGATAGCCGGGCAGAAGATTGCAGCTACGGCCCCGTCACTGCAAATGGTTGACGTCGTCTTTGATCTGGATACTCATGAGTGCAAGGAATTTCTCAATGGTCAAGAATATTCCACAGCTGAGGATACTCACGAGAATGAGGTCTCCACTTCACATGAGAATGACAGCGGCACATTTTCGTGGGACATGGACCTCGCAGTCGATGGAACCACTGAAAGTCTACCTCAAGATCAGACATTGGTCAGGAGGTTCACGAATGATCACATCTCGCCAAGGTTTCAACGTGTATCGATCTTGATACCGGAATCTCACGAAAACAACAGCGTTGATAACAGCAGGCGTTCCAACAGTTTTGCAGCTGGAGAAGGCGAAGCCCAACATCATGTCACTTTTCAGACACCACTTCATCCTAGCGACGATCCCATGTCAACTGGTAGTCTTCCTGTCATACGCGAAGATGACCATCTCTTATCATTTTCTCTGCCCGAACTCGACTCTTTGGATTATCTCACCAACCGCGACGCTTTCCCAACCTTTGGGGACTCCTTGTGGCCTACGATGAGCAACGAGGAAACCAACGCTCTCATGGAAGTGGATCATGTCCCTGCCGAATCACCAGACATTTATGCCATGTACTATCCCAATGCAACATATCGAGAGCTGCATACGACTTTATACAATCACATGGTCGATACAGCCCGTGGCACTGGTCTCACACGAACAGGCACGCCCGAGTCTGATGATTCTCAGCACAGTACAAACGATCAAGCGACATTCAAGCATGCATCTCAGTGGGAGCAGCTCGGGTCAGCTAGACCTACACGAAGCAATCTTCCGAAAGGCATGACTGTACGCCGTGAGATGGAGCTCTGGCGTAATTACCTTGACGAAATAGCTCTATGGCTGGATATGTTTGACAATGATCGTCACTTCCAGATCCATTTACCAATCCTGGCACAAAACTCCGAACCACTAAGACTATCAGTACTGGCGCTTTCTGCAAGGCAAATCGAAAGGAGAGATCCAGATAAACCTTATACAGAGAGTTTGGCATTGTATCAAGAAGCAATCCGATTGATTGCTGGAGAACTGGAAAGTATGAGTACAGAGGTTATTGGAAGTTGTGTCTTGCTTTGCGTGTTGGAGATGATGAGCTGTCAGTATTTTCTAACCAACTTTTCTCCATTATACTGACTTTATCTAGCTTCTCCAAAAGATTGGGCACGACATCTCAATGGTGCGGCCATGCTGCTCAAGGCTGCGGGCATCAACGGCGTTGTGGGAGGCATACGACAAGCCATTTTCTGGTGTTTCGCCCGCATGGGTGCGTCTTTTATTGTTGCTCTTTGCATACATCTACTGACTGCTACAGATATGTGGGGTGGATTCCTCTCCGATTCTTATACCAAGATACCGACGAGTTTGTGGTTTCTGCCTACAGGCACAATGTCGACAGCCATTTCGAAGTTCAAGACGGATTTTCAGAACTTCGACAGCTATGCGAACTATTCGCTCTTTCTCTGCGCCAGTGTACTTGACGTTGTGTCGAGACGTGGCAGCGCCAACGAACGCGGAAGCACTTTCAGCGCTAAGTGGAAGGCGCTGTTCGATCTCCTCGTCGATTGGAACACCAACAGACCAGCAGAGATGCGGCCTCTGGCATCGCGCGCCTGTGACAACGACGACGAAGGAGCGTTCCCTGTCGTGATCTTCACAAACGCCGCGGCCGTCAGTGCAAATCAACTCTACCACACTGCCACTTTGCTCATGCTGCAGGCCAAACCAAACGATCTCAGAGTCAGGGGTCAGAGGAGTATCTTCTGGCATGCGAGACAGGTCATCGGGATTTCAGTGAGCAATCTGCTGCATGCTGCATGGACAAATGCACCACAGCCATTGTATATCGCTGGCAAAGTCATGTCGAGTAAAGCCGAACATCGTGTCGTGCTAGAAGCACTAGCAGAAATCGAGAGGACGACTGGATTCGCTACCCAATGGCGAGCGCAAGATTTGAAAGAATACTGGGGCGATGAAGGAGGCTGAGATTGGGGCTTTTGATGGTTCGTTTCTCAATACATCTGCACCTCGACAAGCGCTCTTCCAACTCCAGAGTCCATGCCGGGAACACCGGCATTTTCCACTTCGTATGCGACTGCGCCCTTTTCCGCGCACACTTCCTTGAGATGGTCCACACTGCCTCCTACGCCAAAGTAGAATCTCTTTGCCGCAACAACCGCCTTTGCCATCTTGGTGCGACTTAGCAGACGAATCAACAAATCCACAAATGCCGTTGTTGACGCCGGACTATAGATAGTTTCGCTAGCCAGAATCAAACTGCCCATATCAGGAGCAGACTCTGGAATCAACGAAGCAAGAGTTTCACCCCAAGGACCAGAGATAAAACTCAATTGAATTCTCGACGCAGCAAGTCCAGCCAAAAACTGCGGCAACAGCGCAGGGATATTTTCGAGGTCTCCAGAAGGGTCGGTGGATAAATCGATCAAAGGCGGAGACGTAGTAGCCGCCCAAGTCAAGAGCAAATTCGGCAACGTGACCAATCTTAACACACTAGCATTATAATCCGTGAGTGTGAAAGTCTGCGGAATACCGTTTTTCAAACAATGTTGAAACAGCGTCAAAGTAGGCAACGCAGACCCGGCACCCAGTTCCACAACCCCATCACACCTCACCAATTCATCGATATCTTTGCGCGGACCACGATCCAACAACAAGGAAGATAAATCAACACTACACTCCCAAGTCTTGAATCCACCTTCATAGACATTAGGAGCCAAATCCGTAGCTTGGAGTTGCGATAATGTTGTATCGTTGTCGTTGTCGGCTGATGCTTCAGACATGAGTTGCACACGTATATCAAACAATTCGCGACGTGGCAAGATGAGTTTTTTGCCGGTTGGAGAGGTGATCATAGCGGTGCTGTAGCATAATCTATCCGGTAGAGTCTCATATATTTGGCGCAGGTCGTGTTGGAGGACAGGTACTGGAGCTGGGATTTGTGAGGTGGGGTCTTCTGAGGTTGACGCATCCTCAATGGGAATGTCTTGGTCGACGGATTGGTCGATGTCGTCGCCGCCAAAGTTGAAGCTGAAAGCCATTTTTTGAAGAGTTGTGTGTGAGACTTGATTTTTTGTTGTCGTTCGTCGTTCGGGCTTTTGCAAAAGTCGAGAAGTTTTCGGAGAATGGGGATGCCAAGAAAGTTGTTTTCCGGTGGTTCAGAAGGCTGGAGAGCTATTTTGACCTCAACAACCATTATAGAAGGATCTGGAGAAAATCCCATTTACAGGATAGAAGACACATCGTCCTTGCCTCAAGTCTAGTATAAGTGTATCTCTTTTTTATGAGTCTGTCCAGAGATTTGATGGTTTTAATCTGACCCAGGCAGATATGGATGGCAAGACGAACCGAGGGTCCAAGCGTCTTGCCCTGTTCATCACCTTCTTCGACAGCTCTCTCATGCTGGTATACCATCGACTCGATATTCGCTAGAATATATCTGAAAGCGCGTGTAAAACTGCGTGCCTCTTGACGATCCAGTCAGTTCTTCTGATCACTGGATGAAGTCCAAATATCTCGTCGGTTCAAAAACACGCGAAAAGCATCTTAGGCAACAGTCACCTTGTATGTGACGCATATTTACTCAGCGCGGAGAATCTCTTCTTATATACGAGTCACACATCTCTCCTTTTATCCCAGAAATTCCCGTCTTTTTGACGAGCATCAACATTCTAAACATTCATCTGTGCCGGTTCAAGAATCGAAACTACAAAACATGGACTCTTCGAACAACCAAGACCCTCCCACCTTGAGAATCATCAGCATCTCAGATCTCACATCCAACCAGACCGGAAATTCCAGAATCCGTGTTTTGGCTCCTCATACTACCGATACTCCAAACCCGGAAACCACCAGACCTGGTTTTGAACTTGCGCAAACACTGCTTACATCTTCTTTTATCTCTCTGATGCCGGAGATTGAGTATACAATCCCTAGCCACATATTTGCGGAATCTTGTCCTATGTGCGATGAGATCGCATTGGATGAGGGGGAGAGAAGAGAGGGGTTTGTGGCGAGATATCCCAGGGGTTGGGTTTTGGTGGCTTGCAAGAGACATGTGGATGTGTTGAGAACAACAAGTGCAGGAGGTGGACATATTGTTGTAGGCGGACAGCCAGAGTCACGATCGAAAGCAGCATTAAGATTCAGAGAGCGCGAGCAACAGAGAAAACAGCAGAGGAGAGCTGCAAGTGCAACTACACCTTCTGCTGCAGACGAAGTACCTGAGGCGCCGCCATCAAACACCATAACCATACCAACCACCGCCTCCGCTACAGCACAAGATCCCTGTCCCATCTGCATATCCAACCCACCACATCTGCACCTCGACTGCAACCACGCCTTCTGCACCCCCTGTCTAACAAACTGGCAAACCGCCTCCCTCGACACATCCCTTTCCTCCTGGCTAACCTCAACCCCCTTACTCCTTCCTCAATATCCCATCCTAGCCGCAACCCTAAAGTCGAGATTTACGTGTCCGATGTGCAGAACAAATCTCCAATTCACAAAACAAAGCAGGAGGAAAAAGAAGATGAGGAACCAGAGGGCCAGAGGGGAGGAATTGACGGGGGGAATAGGGGCGAGGAGTAGGAGGGGTGGGCAGAGGAATAGAAGAAGAAGAGGAGGGAGGGAAGGTGCGGGTGTGATGAGGAGTGAGTGGGTAGTTCCTTGTGTTGAGGCGCCGCCGTCAGAGAGTATGCCAGTGGTGGAACGAGCACAAGCCAGCCAAAATGATTTCACGGGAGTGGAGTAAGCGCACTTCTCAGCAACAGCAGAATAAAAGTGGCAATCTTGGATATTAAGAGCTTTTACATTACACATATAACCTCAACATCTATAATCACGAAGTTCCTGCTCCCCCATCTTTATCTTGCCCTTGCCCGGTAAACTCTGCATCCAGATTCGCATTCATATCACCGATATTCAACGCTTCATCAAACACAGGCATCAAATCTCCACTAGGAGCATCAAACCAAGGCAACATATCTAAACCCAACAAACTCATATCCACATCTTGACTCTCAATCAAGAAATCGCCAAAGCTTTCTTCTGTACCCGCATTTGCATTTTCAAAGGTTTGCAAGTTGTGCGATGGGTTCAAAGATGGGACGTGTAGAGAGTTGGTGTTTTCTTGATGGGATTGTTGCTGTTGGACAGGTGAAGTGAAGGTCGTTGGCGAGGGTGGTATTGTTGCAAAAGCGGAGGCTGGGAGCGAGGATCTGTGGTGTCGTTGTTGGTTCGGTGAAGGGCGAGGTAGGTTGTTGCCAGAGTATGTACGTGTGTGACTGCTGTCTGGTTGCTGGAACGAGGCGTTATTGTTCTGCATGTTGTTGAAGTCGAAAGGTGTGTTGTGGTCGATGAACGAATCGAGCGATTGCGGTGCTGCATCGTGTGCGCCAGGAATACCAGAGAAGTGCCAGGCTACATTCGTGCTTGGAGAATTAAGGGTACCTGTTAATGTCCATCCAATTGCTGTTGTCTCATTGTTAGTTCTGTACCAACAGCATTCAATGGTCTATGACTTACGTTGATTTTGGTCACCAACCGCAGGAGGCGTTTTAGATTGCAAAAATGAACTCTGCATCAATGCGCTTGGAGACCATGGGTTCGATGGAGTCTTTCTTCGCCATCCTGGTTGAGTGAACGCAGGTTTTGGTTCTGGCTGCTCGAAAGCACTTTCTCCTTCTTCCACTGTGTACAAGAGAGGGTCTCCAACACCTTTGAACTTTTGGTCCAAGACTGTCAGAATATATTTTGTGCCTGCCCAGTATGTCTCGAGACTTTGTAACGCTTTGTAGCAAAGCTGGTAATGTTGATTGGCTGCTGTTGCCAGTAATGTATGGCGAGCTAGTGCTCTTTCCACCATCGGCGGTCTGGTGCTGTTTGACAACATGCTTGAAGGTCGTATCATATTTGCTGTTTCTGTAGCTCCTGGCGTGGCATGTTCGCGAGCCGGGCTACCAGCACGAGAGTTTACCGCCGATTGAGAGCGTGAATGTTCTTTTGAGGTGGCCGTCTGTTCGGCGGTTTCCTTGAGAAAAGCACAAGCAGCAATATAGATTGGCTGTGTAGTGAAGGGGTTACCAAGACTGGCTTTTGTATCGATGAGTTGTGAGTAAGATAAGATGTCTGCAATGGTTTTGGCGGAAGACATGGACAACGCTTGACTGTTAGGAAACAGCTGAAGCATTCTGCCTTCGAAAGTTTTGAGTAATGTCGGTTGATGAAGCAAGACAATGAGCGTGTGGAACCAGAAATGCAGCAAAACAAAATTGGTTCCTTCTCCAGCTTTTACATAGTGGTGAAAGTTCATGGCTTGGAAATGGAGTTTCGGGGAGAGGCCTATGACTTGTCAGTAGTTGATCAAAATTTCTGCCCAGGCAGAAAAACTAACCCTGATATAAATTCGTTACCCGCGCTTCCATATCTGCCAATTGTTGCGGCGTTTCGCTAGTAATGTCTGAAGGCTCCTTGATACTGTTAAGCAGGTCTGCAACTCGACCATACAAACAGACGATTCGAATCAGTGCAGGGAATGGCGAAGGCCAGCCAGTTTTAGGATCCAACAAATCGAGGGGCGGGAAGGAGAGTTCAATATCATCATCTTGCAACGTGCTTCGTCGTCCAGTACCAGAAGAAACAACTCGATCAAGGAAGAAGACTGCCCATAAGGTGTCAACTCGCTCGCGTTCCGCTGCCCTGTGCTCCTCGGCTGTATCCTGATCTTGATCTTGTAGATCTGCACGGCCGAGCATCCTGTCCACTTGTTTGTCATTCCTCGAGTATCTAGGAGAAGAACCATCACGAGCTTCATAACGGAGACCATCAAGCTTGTGCAAACCCAAATCTTGAGCCATGCGGATGGATATACCAAGATACATCCAGAGACCACTATCTCTGCTTTCGCCAAACTCGTTGTAGGCAAGCAAGAGCGCAGCTTGCACAGCAGCGACACTGGGCGTCGCATATGTATCAATCAAGGCCACCTTCGCTCGTTGAGCAAAAGCAGAACCTTGCTCCGAATGGTTCACATGTTGGCCATCGCGCGATTGCTGGACAAGCAAATGATGGGTAGAGAAACGAGCAGCAAGAGCACAAACTGCATCAACCAGAATTGCATCGACCTGCTTCTCCTCAAGGTCTTTTAGAAAACGATCGCGTTGGAGAAAGGGAAAATTACAGGCAAGGTGGACGAAGAAAGTATCGCAGAGGTGTGTGATCAGTTCGCTCGGCGGCATTGATGAATTGTCGTAGAAAGGCAGGGTCTGCGGCGTGCGAGCGTCTGGATCATAGGTGGCAGAATGATTTGACATGCCCGAAGCGCCAGGCTGAGCACCAGCTGATGGAGAGGTCACACCGTCGGTTGTTGATGATGAGCGATTGACTTTGACGACCATCTGCTTGAAGCCTGGCATGATGGCAGTCGGACCTAGCCATCGAAAATAAGGCATACGATTTCGAGCGCCGGAGAACAAGGAAGAAGTTGGTTTCGGGAAATAGCTCTGATCATCATCATTCCGTGAAGGCTGCGATTGAACAGGTTCTGGTGGATTAGGTGTAGGATTTCCGGTGTAGGGTGTTGTCGTACTCTGATTATGTAACCTGAATTCTGCCGGCTTTGATTTCCTGGAAGGAGGGGCCTTGATCGAATCTGATGTCTCGGAACGACGCAAGACAGGAGCGGCAGCGCGAGGAGTCTCCGTCTCATCGACATTTTGATTTCCAGAGGAATTGTCATCAGCATAGCCAGTACAATCCAATTTGTTGTTAGTGCACGTGTTGCAATGCGGACGTTCACCAGAACATGCAACCTTGCGCTTTCTGCAAACCAAGCAAGCAGTAGAAACACGACGCCTTTTGGCTTGAGGAGCACCTTGACTGGTAATAAATCGCAACTTCTTGGGTTGAGGTTTCGATTTGTTTCCTTGGGCTGTGGCAGAAGGAGCAGACTGTGCTGAGGAGGTGTCATTAGGAGTCGAGACGGGCTTAACAGCCCAATCTCTTTGATGATGGCTAGTCATGACCCGAACAGGACATTCCTACAGATTGACGAGGTCGACGACAGCTTGCCGATCAGCAGGAGATGCAAAAGCTGGAGAAGAGGTCGAAACAAGGAGTGGGGTCAAAACGGGTACAAGCCAAGCAAGCAACGAGGCTTCGAGTCTGCAGGGCGCTGGTCTCACGACTTGGGTCACGTACAGACGAGAAAATGGACGCAGATTGATGGCAAGAGGAAGGTAAAAACCTGGGATGGCATTGCGGCGGCAAAGACGGATTGGGGTCATTCCGAAGACGGTCATGTCGTTTTTCCAACGACAAGCCACATTCGAGAGAGACCGACGGCGCTCGAGGGGCATGTCCACATGCCCACAATTGGACCTGGCTGGGGCCTTGAAGAAGGAAGTTGCGGGGCGCCAGGGTGGAACTTCCGAACACGAGAGCTTTCCCCGCCGCAGTGCACGGATCTCCCGCGGTTCCCGAAATAATCTCACGTCGACTGTCGTTAGCAACTTTTTGGCATGTGAAGCTTTAGAACAGTACGACCATCACCCATCCATTTCTATTAATCATGGAGGCCATCATCCGCCCGGCCTTGACTGCCTCTAGTCGTCGCACGGTCGCTGCTCGCTTCCACCCAGCATGTCGCTGCCTGCACAACAGCTCGTCGAGAACAGCCACGCCACTCCCTCATCCCATTGCTGCTGGTCCGCCACCACAGCCTCCGCAGGCACCTGCCACCGAGACCGAGGATCGCGTTGCTCGCAAGAGACAACAAGCTGCCCTTCTGGCAAAACAGTCGCAGATCAAGGTCGACCCTTCGAAGCCAGCATCAGCTCTGCGCAAGCGTTTCTGGAAAGAGTCTTCGGTCAAGGAGACACCCGGTATGCTCTGATGCTCTCGCAATTGCGCTGCCTTCACTCACACAGATTCCAGATGGACTTCAGATCATGCTGGACAAGCGACCCGTCAGAACGGCCTCCAAGGAAATCCTCACCCTACCACCTACCAAATACGCCCTTGCCACGGGTATTGCTCTTGAATGGGATCTCCTCACGTCGGCGCAACAGGCGCTAAAGTACCACTACATCCCTCTCACATCTCTGAGTTCGCGCGCAATCGACATCCACAACGCTGATCTGCAAGGCGACAAGAAGATCAGAGAGAGCATTGTCACGATGCTTATGAGATATCTAAGCACGGATACTCTACTGTGCTGGGATCCCGAGAAGAGCATTCACGATCCTTCTTCGGCGCTCGACATGAAGATTGATGGCCAACCACAGCAGAGCCTCCGACAGAAGCAGATCGAAACTGCCGAGCCCATTCTCGCATACCTCACGACGCACATCTTCCCTGGTCTCGAGATTATTCCTATCTTGGGTGAGGATAGCATCATGCCAGCCAAGCAGCCCAAGGTGACGCAGGAAGTTATCCGTGGATGGATTTCAGCTCTTCCCGCCTTCGAATTGGCAGGACTTGAGAGAGGAGTGTTGGCTACCAAGAGTCTGCTTGTGGCCATCCGGTTGTTGGTCGAGTGGAGTCAGGAGTTCAGACACCTGCAAAAGGAGGACAGCACATCTAGATTCGGGATTACTGAAGCACGTCAAGCTTCAAGTGTTGAAGTGACATGGCAGACGGATATGTGGGGTGAAGTTGAGGACACTCATGATGTCGAGAAGGAGGATGCGGCAAGACAGCTGGGCAGTGTGATTCTGCTGGTGTCGTAGATGACTGTAGCACAATGACTGTATAGCCTTGTATAAATATCCATATAAATATCCAGAGTTTGAGATTGTTCACGCACAAAAGATGGATACTACAAAGGGGCAGTGTAGAAATAGACTTTCTGGCCAGCCCGCAAACGTTGAATCCACCGGCGTCATCTGCATGGACTGGATGTAGCCGAGAGTTTATCATGCTGTTTGATCCTTAGCTGTCGTACGTACTCTTGTTCCGTCGAGTTCCCTGCTGCTCTCTTTCCTCTGTACATATCCTCTGGTTCCAGCAGATCCGAGGAGCATCCCTATCACAATCGACTGAAGATGGCTGAAGGGTAAAGTAGCTTGCAATGAATTTGATCTACGCCAAGACTGACGTGCTCTGGGGTCTTAGCAGCAATAACACGCCGTCGCATCAGCGCAACAAGTCGTCGATTGCAAAGTCACTCCTGTCCAGGGTGACAAGCAGGGGCGACGTGCCTCAATCCGAGGCTGCCACTCCTGATTCTCCTACAACTACAGACAATTCAGCAGAAATGGCCTCGTCACGGAACTCTTTCCAGAACGCCCGCCCAGCCCCTCATCTGGTCACGACCATGACCAACTCCAACCCCGACTCTGCCTCTGCCTCGCCCGCTACTCGTACGCCAACCGCTCCTCGGAACGGCTCCATCACGGCCATGCCCCAACAATCTACCACCTCAATCGAGCAGTCGGTCAAGCTGTTCAAGGTCTTTGAAGCCTTGCGACAAGGAGACACGGCCGGCATCAACAGACACCTCCGCGAAGACTCGACCAAGCTCGAAGGCAACACCATCGTTCATCTTGCTGTCCAATGCGCCGAGCCCTCTGTCGTCGAGTACGTCCTGAGCATGGGTCAGAATACTCTCGACATCAACGCCAGAGACCGTGACGGGAACACTCCTCTGCACATCGCATCCACCCTAGGCCGCACTAGCGTCATCAAGCTTCTGCTTGACCAAAAGTCCATCAACGAGTCTGTGACAAACTTCCAAGGAAAGACTCCACTTGATTTGGCCCGCAGCCCAGAAGCCTTCCAGCTTCTACAGCTAGCTCGCTCCATCTTCATCGAGAGGACAACCCATAGAATCCAGCACCTCATCCAATCTGCCGACTACGGTACCCTCGAAGACGTCCTTGCCGATGATCACGTTCGTCATGTTGTCGACATCAATGCCCCTGAATTGGCTACAGAACCCCAGACTGTCGAATCCGGCGGTACATTGCTACACGAAGCCACTCGCAAGAAGGACACGCAACTCATCCAGATACTTTTGCTCAACGGTGCTGACCCCTTCCGTCGCGATCGCAAGGGCAAGCTGCCTCAGGAAATCACAAAAGACGATCACACCAAGCAGATTCTCAAAAAGTCTCCCGCCGCGGCTGCCGCCCAACGAGGTGTTCAAGAGAAGGCTATACTTGGTACTGGTGAAGGTCAGCCCGAGAATGCTCTGAGTGCAAAGGAGGCACGTGAGATGAAGGGCTACTTGAAGAAGTGGACCAACTACACAACTGGCTACAAATTACGATGGTTCGTGCTCGAGGATGGCGTGCTGAGCTACTACAAGCACCAGGACGATGCTGGTTCTGCTTGCCGTGGTGCCATCAACATGAAGATTGCTTCTCTGCACATGGACTCCAAGGACAAGTTGACTTTTGAAATTCATGGCAAATCGTCAGTCAAGTACCACCTCAAGGCAAACCACGAGGTTGAGGCAAAGCGCTGGTTCTGGTCTCTCAACAATGCCATTCAATGGTCTAAAGATGAGGCCCGTGAAGAGCAGAAGCGCCAACGTCAAGAAGGCGAGGCCTTGCGCCAGGCCGCCGCAGACAAGCAATCTGCCGCTCCTTCTGTTGCCGACTCTTCGACTCTTGCACCTACTGTGAGCGATCGACGCACCAGTATCGCTCATACTGCTGACGGAGAGACTTTGTACGCTGATGAGCCTACCAAGTTACATCGTCACCGCACTTTCGAAACAGACGGCGACCGTGATTTTGAAGATGAGGAGGATGATTACGCCGATGATGACAGCTCTCACGACGTCAAACCCATCAACAAGGACGCCTTCAACATCACCGCTCAGTCAGCCAAGCTTCAGCTGGACTTGTTGGCCTCTGTCTCGAACTCACTACAGCAAGAGAAGACCACCAACCCCACCATCCCTCTGGGCCATCCCGATGTTGAATATGCTCTGGCCTCTTACGACACTGCTGTCGGCAATCTCAGAGGCTTGCTGATAGATCTTCTACGCATTTCCAAGGACCACGACGCCTATTGGCAGCATCGTGTCGACCGAGAAGCACACATTCGCAAGCTCTGGGAAGAAAGTATGGCCCGAGTTGCAGCCGAACAAGAAGAGCTGGAGAACCGCATCGGTGAAAGTGAGGACAAGCGCAAGAGAACCAAGCGTGCCCTGAGAGATGCTCTGGAAGGACAAGCTTCAGGTACAGCAAGCCGGGCCCACAGTCGCAGAGGAACTACAGCTACACAAAGTAGCAAGCTCGCTGCTGCTGTTGCAGGTATGTCTGTTGCCGACGATGGCACGGCTGTTACAGGTCCACCATCGCCTTCCCTGAGTCGCAGACAGACTCTTGCAGATTTGACCAACAACGATGTTTCCGACGACGACTCCGATATGGATGAACAATTCTTTGATGCCGTCGATGCTGGGGAAGTCGAGGTTGTCGATCAAATGCCTGTCACAAGCACGCCTCAAGCCAACATTCAACCAGAGAAGACTGCACCCATCGAGGACAACAGTTCCGGCGCGATCCAAAAGTCTTACCGAGGATATGAGGACCCTGTTAGATCCAAGCTTCCTCTCGATGCCGACAATCGACCAAAGGTCTCGCTCTGGGGTATTCTCAAAAACATGATTGGAAAGGATATGACCAAGATGACACTTCCCGTCACCTTCAACGAACCCACTTCTCTGTTGTATCGTGTGGTTGAGGATATGCAATACACTGAGCTCCTGGATATAGCTGCCGAGCGCTCTGATTCTGCCGAAAGAATGGTCTATGTCGCTGGTTTTGCTGCTTCGGAATATGCTTCTACCATCGGCAGAGTCGCAAAGCCTTTTAACCCCTTGCTGGGAGAGACCTACGAATATGTCCGTCCTGACAAGGGCTACCGCTTCTTCATTGAGCAAGTCAGCCATCATCCTCCAATTGGTGCCGCTCACGCTGAGAGTGCAAAGTGGGAATACTATGGTGAATCTTCCGTGAAGAGCAAGTTCTATGGCAAATCGTTCGAGATCAACCCTCTCGGTACATGGTTCCTGCGTCTCAAGCCGACCCACGGACCGGAAGAACTCTACACCTGGAAGAAGGTCACTTCATCAGTCGTTGGTATCATCACTGGTAATCCCACTATTGACAACTACGGTTTGATGGAAGTCAAGAATCACACTACCGGAGAAACAGCAATTCTAGACTTCAAGCAACGTGGTTGGAAAGCCTCTTCTGCTTATCTCGTTGCTGGAAAGATCACCGATGCTAAGGGCGTTCCTAAATGGAGCATTGGCGGTCGCTGGAACGACAAGATCTATGCTCGTCCCACTCCTGGCTATGAAGATGAAAATCTTGGCACATCTACCAAATCGCAAGAATCCAATCAAGCCATTCTTGTATGGGAAGCTGGACCTCGTCCTCAGGGTATTCCTTTCAACTTGACACCATTTGTTGTCACGCTCAATGCACTGCCTCAACGTTTGCAACCTCTTCTCGCACCTACCGACTCTAGATTCCGACCTGACCAGCGCGCTATGGAAGAAGGAAGATACGACGACGCATCTGTAGAGAAGAACCGTGTTGAAGAGAAACAGAGAGCCAGACGTCGTGAGCGTGAAGCTGCTGGTGAACACTTTGAGCCCAGGTGGTTTAAGCTTGCCAAACATCCTGTAACCGGAGAAGAGTATTGGCACTTTGGCGGCGAGTATTGGGGTCTTAGAGATAGGGTTGCTAATGGAGAAGCCAATTGGAACGAAGCTGGCCTTGAAGAGATTTACTAGGCTTGTTGAGACGTTTGGATCTTGTTGGACCCGGAGAGAGACATTGTTTGGTTAGGCACACACCTATACATTTTTTCTTCACTCCTGAGCCTTCTTTTACCACGTTCTCGTGTACTGTAATGTGAAACACGGCTTGGTTTCTTGGTGTTTTTGTCTCCCAAGTCCCCCAATTCGATTTTTGAACTTTGTCATCAACTTGACCCCTTCTGCACCCCACAGCAACATTGGAATTGCTTCTTTTTGTGGCTTTTGAGATCTTTTTTTTTGATTTCTCCGACTCTTGGGGGGTTAGAAAGTGTCCAGCACTTTCATCCCTGATGTGTTAAGTTCAGGCCTTGATTTCCGGAAGTATAGTACCAGTAGTTCGAGGCAATAAACTCAATCGTTTGAAGATCTGCACCTACACCTACACCTATTTTCGACTCCTCCCTGTGGACTAAGTGTAACGCAAGTAGGCTTTATTAAACGCAGATCACCATGAAGGAAACAGGAAGAGATCCGCTTAGAAATGGCAATACACGTGTCTCTATGCCCGTTCTGGAGTTTAAATCTTGTTGTTTACCGCAGGTGAATCACAGTGCAAGATATATACCCTTCTAGCACATAGGGTACTGTACGCAAAGCATGAAAAAGTGATACGTTGTAAACTACGATCACATGTCAAAAACAAAAGCCAGGGACCAAGTAATATACATTCGCTTACATCAAAGCTTCAAAACTCAAGGAGACGAGGTTCCTCCTTGGAAAACAAGACCAGCACAAAAGAGACAAAAACAAGACTTTAAGCGTAGAAGCCGGTTCGCAAATAAGCAGAAGACACAAAACGTCTGATGAAAAACCATATATCTTTATTTTGATCCAAAAAAAAAAAAAGTATATTCAAGGCATTGCAGGGAGGAGAAGGGATTTATTTCAATGTTCACTCTCACCCAGCTAAATCTGGCAGTGAAGCAACTGCTAGACTACAACAAAAGAGGTCACGGACGTGAACAAAGTGCAAAGAAGTACTGTAACCCCCGCGTGAATGAAACCCAGGCAAAAGCTGCCTATGATACAGCCGCCAAACAGCAGCAGAAATGAGACCACCACGGCAAGGCGCCAGAGAGAGCCCGAAGAGTGGTGTCAATAGCTGTGAACTCGTCTTGAGCAAGACCTCTTGCGGGCCAGAGAGCGCCAAGGGGAGGAAGATTACTTGACCTTGCCCTCTGCCAGCTCTTGCGAAGTACTAGTTTCAGTGACATGTGCTTTGTCCCTAGCACTCCCACTCTCGCCCCCATCGCCCTCAGATGTGACGACCGAAATGGCATCAATCTCTTCCATCGGCTGGTTGAGTACAGTTTCTTTAGTACCCTCGTCTCTCCTTTCTATTGGAATGAAGGCATCATAATACCTCGGCAACACAAAACCCAGCAATACAGCAAGCATACCGAGGATGGAGAGAATGAAACCAGTAATCATCATAGGATCATAGCGAAGAATGTGAAATTCGGGAAAGGCGAAGCTCAAGATGATGGCGAGGACGGGGCCAGACACGTAGCGCAAGAGGATAGGGAGGAAGAAGGGAATCTTCCAGTTTTTGGAACCGGGACTGGCGATGGTGAGATTTAGGTCGTGACGAAGTTGATTGCCCTTGAGGATGTGTAAGCTTCTGAGCTTTTTGTCTGACGTTGTTTCATGTTGAACTTACTGAGTAGAACGCGAGGTACCACAGTTGATTAAGCTGATCTCTAGCTTTGGCAATCATGCCTTTGCCGCGTGTTTCTGTGGACTTAGCGATGACACCTGCAATCACTGTACAAATGACAAAAAAGCCAAAGCCGGCTCCTGCACCGGGGCCCGCACTCTCAAGGCCATGGGCTACAGTAATGCCAATAAGCAGTCCTCCGAAGTATCCGAGGTTGTAGACGATAAAAGCAGGCAAGCCAACTTGTCCCGTAACATCCTTCCAGCGGTAGACGGTGGTAGCACTGACAACCTCGCAAAAGACGACAAAGATGAGTGCGATATTGTTGATCCACCGATCTACACCGTCAAGCAAATAGTATCCAAACTCGGTGCAATATGGAAGACACATCAAGAACGACACCAGCGTGAGGGCGGTAACGATGACCGGGCGAGAGTATTTGACACCAGAGTCCACGAGCAAAGTAGCAACCACATCCAGCATAACAAACGCAGAGCTGAATCCCAGCACAATCAAAGTCAGGAAAAGAAGAACAGCCCAGAAATTGGCTCCAGGCATCTGCAAAACCGCCTCTGGTAGAGTAAGAAAGCCAACAACGAAAGCTCCCAAGCGCTCATCTGGTGACGGCCAGCGTCGAAGAAAGCCAATGATACCAAAAATAGCGAAGGCTGCAAAATTCTCAAAGAGAACGTTACTGCCACAAATGAGTACAGCATCCATAACAGCATTCGAGTGCTTTTGGTTGTATGAGGCATAGGACGTGAAATAGCCAAATCCAATACCAGTCGAGAAGAACACTTGTCCTACGGCAGTTTGCCAAACGGTACCAGAAGCCAATTGATCTCCTCTCCAAGTTCCCCAAAGAAGCTTGACTCCAGCACCCGCATTGTCCAGCGAGAGTGCACGGCCGACGAAAATGATGGTGGTGATTATGGGTAGTCCCATTGTAAAGTATACAACGCGACCAGTCATGCCAACTCCACGAAAGATGGAGAACCAGATCAGGAACCAGATAAAGGCGCTCCATCCCACTGTCTCTCCGATAAGTCCGACAGCCGGATAAGTCGTGTACGATGCGACATCTTTGCCTCCGTTGGTAAGGCTTCCCACAATAGGTGCTGGGTTGGCGACAACATCGTTATTGTAAAAGTCTTCAATGCGGTTTTCCCAAGGCAGTGGACTAGTAAAAGAGTTTCTGAAGTAGATCATAATCCAAGCGAGATTGACGGTAAAGTACTGGACGACGATAAAACTGACAAAGACAGGTCCGATACCGACACCTTTGAGACGTCGATTGATGCTGTTGAAAGCGATGACACTCCCACCTCTATAGGTTTGCCCGATAGCGATCTCGAGAACGAGTGCAGGAATGGCGATAAGAAAGACAGCAAGAAGATATGGTATAAACCATTGCAGACCATAATTGTTGTACACAACAGAAGGATAGCGAAGAAGATTGCCTTGACCAGCACAACCACCCATAGCAGCTAACAAGAAGGCTGCTCTAGAAGGCCACTGATCACGACCATCCTCAGACTTCTCAGGCTCGGGAAAGAACCAGCTGATCCCTTTCTTCGCATACACCTTGATTGTCTGTAAAGCCATGATTGCCGCAAGAAGTCGAGGGACGCAAAAAGGTGGATTCTGCCATGGTTAAATCCTACGAGCAATCTCGCTGACCTACCTACTAGGGCGAGATAGCATGCTGCATCTCTACAAGCATGCCGTGTGCCAATCCTTGGCTGCAATTCATTGAGATCCTGATACCTTGGTCTTCTTGGCCTGAACGGCGATATTGTCTCGTGCGCTGCAATCACATCGCCGTATCTTTATGGGAGAGTGTCCGCTTAGGTTGGTCGAAGTTTTGTGGTCATCCCGCCATCAACAATCTCCGGTCGGACATCTCTCTGGCGCGTTTCAAATTGTTGGAAGCAGCGTGTTGTAAGAGGAGAAGAGTTGGGAAGGTGAGAGACGCGTTGGAGCACGCGATGCTCGGCATTACATCATAGCGATCTCTGGATTTTTAGACAGGGTCGGTACCGTCACAACAATTTCTTGGGTACGACAAGTTTTGACGACAACTACACAACCTGCTTCTTTGTTTAGACTGTTATTTGCTTTCGCATAGTGCTTCTGTATCCAAGAAAATGTGTGAAAATGTTTTGGGTCGTGACTTCGAGTCGCGATGAGTTTATCTCTTTTTGCTTTATCTATCCTCATTCTTTGGACGTAAACTTGCTGCTATCTCTGTTTCTCTTGCCACGAGATGAACGAAAGGGACAGAAGGAAACGGATATCAGTATACATACAGGTCTTCTTCTTTACCTCTCTTCACCCATCCACAATCTCAAACTATCCAACCATCATTTCTCAAGCCTCAAAGCCACCACTAGCCATCAATTCCATTGCCCTCTGTTTTTGTGCGGCAGAAACAGTACTAACAGATTCTTGTGTCACGACATCGACATTTTGAGAAGGATCAAGCCTGCGATTCTCGAGGATTTGTGCGGCGGCGGCACCGATGATGGCGCAGATGGAATTTGCTGCTGCGTGGAGGTTGAGTCTGTCCAGGTCGCCTGGGACGTGGCAGAAGAGTACTTCTGCTGGGGTTTGTTTTGTGAACTGTTTTTGAGGAGAGGAGTGTTAGTGATTGGATTTCTGGTATATAGCTTGTGACGCAGAAAACGAAGAGTAGGGTTCTCAGGGGAGGTTGGGGAGAGAAGAGAAGGTGGCGATGACTTACCTTATTAGCCAAACTCTCATAATAGATAAACCCACAACAATAAGTCCCCGCATCCTCATGAGCTCTAATATCCCTTCCAAACGCCGTCTTCAACACTTTACCTGCATTCTCCACAACATCATCAACATTCAATCCCGTACCCAAGCCTATAGGGACTTCCTCACCCCAAGGGTTGGGTCCTGCATCTTGAACTGTCTTCCCTGCTGCATCTTTGATCATATAATACCTTCCGAGCCCTAAAAACTTTCCAGCCCATCCAGAGGTAAAAGTCTGTTTATAGCTTCTGCGCTCGCAGGAGACAAAGTCCCAGCCATCGGCCATTCCCATGTGCAGTATCAAGTCAGCTGTCGTACCTGACGAGTCATGCAGAGCAGATGTGTAGCTGCGGATGTGTGCGTATTCGACGCGTACGGCTGCTCCCTCTGCGGCTGTGGGGTTGAGGATTACAATGGGGTGAGAAGAAGGATTGAATTGAGACCTAGCGGGGAGGGTCTGAGGTAGCAATTTTGAGATCTCGTGGGAGGTGTTTTTTGAGTAGGTTGTGCCGTCGCCGCGGGGGAAGGGCTGGGGAGGAGGGTTGGTTAGTATGGTGACTGACAAGGTGTCGGTAGATTCTTTCTTAGAAGTCTGGTAGAGAGGCGTATGTCTTGTTTGAAGTTCTTGTCTCTTCTTCTTGTATTTGAAAAATGTCCATGGGGGTAATCATCCGCACTCGAAAACGAGTATATGATGAGGTCAAAAAAGGCGAGATAAGAAAGATACTTACACCAAAGCCCGTAACCAACACGGTAATAGATCTGACACCATGATTATCATCCATGTCGTCTTGGTATCGAAAAGTTTATTCTGGATGTTGTGGCTTTCAAAAGACCGTGGAGACGGAGGTAGGTCCAGGATGATGGAAGCAGGTGAGGTTGATGCGGTGCTGCGCGGTCGAGTTCCGCGGTCGATGATGCGGGGAGGGGGCCGTGTGGGGCTCTATACATTGCCAATCCTGGATGGGATCTGCGTTGGACAAGATTGGTGGAAAGGGACGATATTACGATAAAGACAATCGTGAGAAGATAGTTTCGTTGCATTATCCATATGTGGTCTTCATGATCACACAGGTTGTGCCTCCAAATCGAATGCTACTTCCTTCTCATCTTCTCCCTTTTCGCCCTTCTGATTTCTGCCAGAGTAATCACCAGGTCCTTGACTACCATCCGGAACCCAGAACTTTTGATCAAAACGAGTCAGAATGAAGAGGTAGATGACCACGATTTCGAACCCTAGTAGAACGATGTAAAACAGAGCTCTGTGGTCGTACCAAGCAGGGTCTGAAGCTGGCCTTGGTGTAGCCCAGATTGTTCCGCACCGAAAGCCGGAGATGAAGAGGCTAAAGAAACTGGCCACTCCAAGAATGATCTGCTTTGTGCGCATGCTACAGGAGCCAAAGTTTTCGGCTTCAGGGTCTTTGGGAAGAAGACACGAGAGAATGAGAAACACTGGAGCGATACAGTTGAAGAAGAGGAGGTAGAGGTTGGATGCTCGTTGGACCCAGAGAGATGCTGTGCGGACGCCTTGATCCAGGGTCTCGACGGACGCGATGATGAAGCTGAGTAACAGGATGACGACGACAACGATGCCAATGTAAGAGATCTTGATCGCTTTCCTCAAAGTGAAATTCCAGCCGAGTCGTGGTTGAGCAGCTCTGAGGATGCGGCTCGCAAGGACCAGAACCACGGCATAGACTACCATGACGCCGAGATTCAAGAAGATGGATGCAGCGATGGCAAGGCGAGCGTTCTGGAGTCTGGTTGTCCATGCAATTCGCAACACACAACTGACTATGCGAGCCATGCAGAAACCGAACATTGCCCAAGAGGCCAGAAACTTGTGACCCTTACGTCTGTTCATCTGGAAGATTGTCATGTTGCAGATAGCGCCGACGATGTAGAGCAAGAGGTAGACAGAGATCGCTGGTATATCTGTGTTGATGGTTGGTCGACCTCCAACCGCCGCGGTGGTGGGCGCATAAGGGGGCTATAGCAGCTATGTCAGTCACTTTCGACAAGAAGGAATGGAGACTATGATAGCTACTCACCCCATGCTGGACAGCGTGAGCCTCGCAGGGAGAAGACATGATTTTAAGACGTGTCAAGAGCGAACTAATGGTCAGACCTTTTGAGATGCAGTCGATGAGTGTTGTCTGAGTTGGCGACAGTGAATTGTTCGAGGACAGTCTGTACGACGGGAAGTGAGTGGTCTGGCCATCTTGCACTCCCAACCTTTTGTATTTTATCTACAAGCTATAGTAAGAGAATGGTATACAAGTGATGTTGACCGGGTTTTGAATACTTAGAGCGAGCGAGACGAACTCGGATCCGTTACGGATTAAGCTCAGAAGGCAGTGATACCTCGCGCTCGCAATCAGGGAGACACATTAGGGCTTCTGAGAATCATCCAGTATGTGCAAGTCCATGCCCTACGAATACGACCAGAGAAAATCGATCTCTGCTCACGGTCTACCGCAACATGAGCCTGCTGAATCTCTCTAATGAAGCTAGACGTGTCGAAGGGGACGAAGGGTGAAGGATTCGGACACGGAGGCAGGAACAAATCTCGTGCGGGGCTAGCGTTGGCAACAATCGGACTGGATTTCGTCCGCCGTCCGAAGAGGCTGAGGAGGGCAATCATCGCTGACAACAGCTTCTCTTGTCTTGTTCGGATGCGTTTTGACTTATCTTGCGACAATCAACATGTCGGAAGAACCACCTGCAAAACGCATCCGAAAGGGGACCAGGAGTTGTCAAGAGTGTCGACATCGAAAGATCCGTTGTATCTGGCCATCCGACAATGCTCAAGTCTGTCAGAGCTGCGCCAACAGAAATCGCGTCTGCGAGTTGCAGCTTGAGGTAATACCGACTGTCGAGACGACAAAGTTGACTTCTCGAGCCCGAATCGAAGCCTTAGAGAAGTCGGTAAGCGATTTATGGAATGCCATCGGCCAGACTCCTCCGGTCCCAATAGGCCAAGAACCACAATCCCATGATAGACCTAGAACCAGTCATATTGATTACCAACAAAGTCCTGATTCATCCAATCCTTCTTCACCAGCCAATCCACCAACTCATTTACTTCGTCTTCTCGACAACGATTTTCTGGACTCAAACGGTCATGAAACCACTACCCCCACCGCCCGTTTGTCCACTTCGACCATGTCTAAGGAGTCAGCCGCTTTACTGAAGCTCTTGCCCTCGCGCGAAGACATGGCCATTATTGCAGCAAACGCCTCGGATTGGCTATCGTGGTACAGAGTCCTCTTTTCTCTGAACATCGCCATGAGTGCTGGTCCTGCCATGCTCGAAGACTATGACAAGGTCAAACAGTCCGCCACGCATCCAGTCCCTATCGCAACCCTGTTGTTGGCTGTGACTTTAACGGTTCAGCAAGCTCCTGATGCAATCAGCATGTTACGAAGCATACCTGATTCGGCCGCCTTTATCAAGGACGTTTCCAACCTCGTGGAAAAGGTTGTTGTCTCGAACGATGATCTGATAGCTGATATTGATGGGATCCGGTGTGCTCTGTTGTTTATCCGCCTGTAAGTGTTCCACCTTGTCCTCCTTGGTCTTGCTAGCAACTTCATCATGACATATGTTTAATCATCTTCGAAACAGCCAACTGGGCCGAGCAAGGGTCCGGAAAACCTGGCTTACTCTTCGACGAGTCATTGCCGTTGCCGAACTCATCGGCTTGCCAAGAGCAGCAGCAACTCTAAGTCTTAACGCAGAGGCTCAACCTCGATCAGATCACCTCCAATCTGAACAGTACCGTGGAGATGTATCAGCAGATCAACAAGAGAAGGCCGAAGTCTGGGAGTCTGTGTGTGCCATTGATCGAATCATCTCGATGATGTGGTCTCTTCCAGTGGCTACGTCTAGTTTCCCACTTCCGGTCCGGTCATTTATTGACTGCCAAGGCGAAGTTATCTTGCAGGCCTTCATTCATAGACTCGCTAACATTGCCAGTAAGGTTCTGGAGCTCGATGGTGTATACATACAGGACAAACCCGTACCGGATCTACTGAGTGCGGTCATGTCTACTGATCAAGAATTGCAAGAAGTCGCCAAAGCTCCATCAAAATCGTGGTGGATCGAATCGCCATCGGTATTATCTCCGGCAGTCATATTCCAGCATTGGCACTCGTACCTGACCATACGCACTCATCTTCGACTAGCCCTTGCCTATGATCATGATCAGAGATTTCTTTACAACTTCATTGCTTGCCTGAGTGCCTGTCAGGCGCATACTAGGCGTTATATCTGGTTGCGACCACTTCTGCCGGCAGGCTTCTTTGCAAATTCCATCATCGACTTGCAGGCGTTCTCGGCGATTGTGTTCCTAATGTTATCTGCGAGAAAGTCCGCCACAGCCCCTTCTGCCGTGGCTTCTCGGCATATAATGACCCCTGAGCAGACCCATTCTCTGATCGACGAAGCTGTTCAAGCTATGGAACGAGCGTTAAGCCGTACTGGTAGTCATTCTGCTTTGCACGGACTCGAGGCCATCAAGAGTCTGCGATCTTTAATCGATCAGCCAGATTCGGCTGAGCCACAGAGAGCTAGTCTGCTGCTTCCTATGATTGGAAGAATTCATGTATCTCGCAAATCTGATACAAGTCGTCAGCAAGACCAGTCGATGCAATCTCCTAGTAGCCGAAGACCCGAACTTCCTCCTCAGGGTGGATATTCTACCAATATGACAGGGTCAAACTATTTGAGTCCTGAAGCTTTGAACACCCTGTCTTACTCGATGGAAGTACCGGAAGACTATCTTTTCTTCACCGATCAGAACTTCGGGACCGAGCAGTGGTTGTCATGGACTAACTGATAACTCTGGATCAAAATCAAGCCGCCGCAGCAAATGGTGACTGATTAGTCGCTTTCTAGGCGATCATTAACTTTCTGGTATATATCTATCAACAAAGGAAAGGTCTAGACGCGACTAGCTGCAAAGGGGTCGTGAACTGAGTTCACGCTCTCCTGATCCTTATGGTCGATATCAACCGTTGTAGCAACCATGATGCCATCTGTCTTGTCGTCCGATAGACTTGATTGCGCAGAAACGTATGGTTGTGCCTGACCATGCGCTTGCATGTTTCTCACGAGCTCTTCGTCCGAGTCGACAGAGTGACTTCTGCCTCCTCTGCTTACAGAAGATGTGAAATTTGTGCTTCGGCCCTGGGTGTTCTTTCGTTGGTTCGACGAAAGTTCGTAGTGCTTTGCGTAGCTGCTGTTGCCTTTCGTAGAAGGTTGGCTCAGGAAGACGGCGCGAAGAGCTGGTAGACAGGCGCCGATGATCGCGACGCCATTTTCGACCATGGATACGGTACAAGTCAACATCGTCTCGTTTTGCCAGGAGTATACGGCTCGGACAACTGTGTGATCGTCAGTACTTGCGAGTCCAGGTTACCATCAGTGGTAAACTTACTGCTGGCGATCAAGACAAAGCCACCCAGAGCGAAGATGAAAGCAACGGCTAATCTTTGCTTGAGCTTCATTTGAAGCTTCATGACCATAGTGATGGGAAGACAAATGATGGTAACGTCAGAAAAAATGTTGAAAAAGATGGTGATCCAGTAATTGATCCTTGAAGCCTTTGCACTGCATTGGTAGTTCGGATCGTGGGACCATCTTTTGTCGTATGGATAGCATTGGAAGATATTATCGAAGAAAATCGTGAGGAATGTGACGGCCAGGCCGCCCAGCGCAACGTTGTATGCAATCTGCATCCTTGAGCCCGGCGCGGCGAGTTTCTTGTAAAAGATGACGAGGGCGACTTTGATGGACCAAAGGGAACAAATGTAAAGGACTGAACCAGGGACAATCATCTTCATGATGCCGATGAAGTCTTCTTGGCTTGCGTTCGCCATGTCTGCCATGCCTAGATTCCACCTGCGTATCGTTAGATGGTTGAGTTGCGATGACCCCGGATGCCACGAGGGTTAGATGCTTACATATGCTGCTGTATCGCACAGTCACCGATCAGGCATGCTGCCGCGAGGATAAGGAAGTAGTCATCCAGGGTCAGCCGACCGAAGCGCTGCCATTTGCTAAACAAGCGCAGAAACAGGAAAAAGCATGGTATGATGGTGCAAATGTACCATGAGATCTGATATGACAGTGTTAGGTGATCCTGACAGTGTAGATCCGGGATGAAGGAGAAGCACGTACAACCTGGCCAACCGAAGAATCTGGCATGGCTGCGTTGAAGCGAGACAATCAATCTACATGAAAAGACGGTCCAATAGGTCCCACAGTTCGTGCAAGGTTGCAACAAGGAGAAAAGAAGAAATCGATACCAGCACAGTAATAAGACCCAGCGGCATGGAACAATGCACTTCTTATGTTCGTCTTCTTGACATTACGGTTGCATGGAGGCTTGCAGTAGGGCTTAGGATCTACATACTAGTGGGCAACTATTTCGCGATGGCTTTGGCACGATGGATCAGCAAGCTACACAAGCGTGAGATCAAAAGAGATGGCTCCACGTTTTTCTTCCAGAAATCTGCAACACAAGAGACGGACTCGTTCAGATCCACAGCATGTATGATCTTGCAATCTGCCGGTTTTTCTGGGAGCACGACAATCCCAATGGTTTGTGGACAAAGTTACGCAAGTAGGAAGTTGCTCTCTGATGAGACTGAATCATGCGTGAACGGCACCTTACCCGGTCCACCCACGGGCGAACCATCTGGCAAGGGAAAACGATTGCGAAATTTCCTTAGCATCTTAAGAGTGGTACCTTCTGCGGACGTGGGATCGGGTTTCCGAATCATGAAATGGAGAACAGCACAGACGAAATATTTTAGCTGTGGTCAGACCAGCACGGCATTTTAGTTTAGGGTTTCTGTCACTAGCATGGATAATTCAGACTGGCGCGTTCGTGTTATAAGCCTTTTCATCAGCTATAACTTAACCCTAGCCAATGGAAGTCTGCCTAACTTAGACCCAGCAGGTAGAGTTTATGGTCAGAAGTTGGTTGTCGAATACGAAGTTTCAAATTCTCGGAAGGCGCTCGCGTCTTCAACTTTAAAAACCCTTGCAACACCCGACACTTCTCACAACGCAACACACGGCAATTCAATAAATGCGATCCCAGCAATTCGGGAAGGACTTCGAGTCAAGCAAGGTCCCATGACTCTTGCTCGGATACCCACTGTGTTCGTTGGCCTGATCAAAGCGAATACGCAAGATTTCGGCTTTCACGCTTCCGATTGGCAGGTTTGACCGTTTCGGTTTCATCGTTTAAGTTTTTTCTCCTGCATGGTTAAAGTGCCACATCGAACTGGTAGCCGCAAAGTGGCGCGCTTTTCACCACACCCATGACTCGTATCGAACGACACTCAAGACTGCTCTTGCGAGATGCCGGGATGATAGCCGCGCAGCATTAAGGCTCCGTGCATTGTTCAGGGTCAGAGGCTCCTTTCTTCCATGCTCCACACCGTTGAGTACCGACATGTACAACACACTGAAAAATTCAAGCCAGGAGCTACTTGGGTCCACGGGTTTCTGTCAAGACATCATCGGATTCGGATTACTGCGTGGATTCATGACTTGTAACAACGCTCCGCAATGCTGAAAAAGGCAGGTCGGAGTTAAGAGCATATCCATCAGACTTCAACACACGAGCAGATCATTCCGGCGCGAGATTGCCGAATACTACCCTACAATATGTGTGCTGCCCTATGATGGAAAATTGGAGAGACTGCTGCGGCATGGACCCTCTTCTGACCTTTGACCAGTCTCAACCTGCACGTGGTTTCATCAACAACAATGATCTGCAGGAACATGGATCCTTCTCGCGTGGGTGCGAGAGAATAAAAGCAGATCTTGCTCCTTTGCACGATGGTCCCATTCGTCCTTCTCGTCTCGACTTGAACTTTGTTATTTTTCCTTCGACCCTATCATCACAAAACAAGGATGAGAATCGGTCATGTTTTGAATGCAGCCTTGGCTGTTCCCTGTGTGACAGCTCTTGCTGTGTGCAAGGATGCAGCTCCTCCAGGTCCGCCAGCTCCTCCCGGTCCCCCTGGTCCACCTGCTTGGGCTGCTGGGCGCGGACCCCATCCGCATCCAGCGCCGCCAGCAGGACATCATCCAGCTCCTCCCACTGAACCAGCTGCATCTGCTCACACGTCAGTAGGTGCTCATGCTGTCAAGCTCCACCAAGGCACTGTTCAAGGTTTTGCAGATGCCAGCGGTAACTCCGTTTTCTTGGGCATCCCCTTTGCCGAAACGACTGGTGGACAGAACAGGTACGTTGAAAGGATATCATGTAACGGTCATAACGGCTCGCTTGCAGCATCTTTCGCTTAGCTTTTGAAGACCAAGACTGACACAAATTTGCAGATGGAAGGCACCTATTCCTAAGGGCAAGCTTATGCCAGGGCAGGTCGTCAATGCTACTGCCTATGGCCCAACTTGCCCCCAGGCAATCAGCAACACTCCCTACAGCCGTCAAGATGAGGACTGCTTGAACCTGAATGTCTGGGCTCCTGTCAATGCTACTGGCAAGAGCCTTCCTGTAAGCAATTTCTATTGAATTTGTTGCGTGCCTATTTGACACACGCTAGGTCTTTGTGTATATGTATGGTGGTGCCATGGTCACTGGTTCCAGCAGCAATGTACAATTCCAAGGCAACAACTTTGCCCGCAAGGATGTAATCTTCGTCAGCTTCAACACAAGAGAGAGCATCTTCGCTTACCCCAACTCGGCTGAGCTGGGCAAAGATGGTTCGCAGAACTTTGGTATTCTCGATGTCCACCAAGCCTTGGAGTGGATTCATGACAACATTGCTGCCTTTGGTGGCAACCCGGATCATATTGTGTTCGGTGGTCATTCTTCTGGTTCCGTCCAGGTTGACCACTACCTCTGGAATAACCCTAAGTCATGGCTTGTTGGTGCTGTCGAAATGAGCGCTAACGCTGAATCTGGCCCTGCTATTACTCCCCTCAACCAGGGTCTCGACATCGTCGCCGCCGATGTTGGTTGTAGTACTGGTGTTGGTCAGCTCGACTGTCTTCGCAACAAGACCATCTATGAGATTGAGACTGCCAACTTCAACAGCACTTCCAACACCTGGTTCTCACCCATCATTGACGAGGTAACTCGCTTCTCTGATTACGCTGGCCGCTTCGCTGCTGGCAAGTATCCTTCTCACGTCCCTCTCTTGACCGGTAACTCTGATGGCGAGGGAGTCATCTTCGGTCTCGTCTACGGTGGAGAGAACACCAACTTCAGCTCTTGGATCAACACCTTCGACGCTGATGTCGCTCACATCCCTGATGAGGAGCTCATTGCTGCTTACAACGTTTCTGACTATGCTTCGGTCTCTGCCATGAGCGGTGCCCAGTACGGAGATGCTCGCTTCTTCTGCCCTGTCGACTATCTCATTGATGTTCGCAGCAGCGTCCAGGATACCTGGGCCTATAGGTTTTTCGGGGCCTATTGTAACGTTGTTGGCTGTATGGTTGGTGCCCCTACTCATGGCACTGAGATCCCCTTCTTTTTCGGGGGGCAGGAATGCTTCAGCGCTCTATCCAACGTCACAGAGGCCCAGCAGGCTCTCGCTGACTCAATGAATGAGTGGTTCGTCAAATGGATCAAGAACCCCTCTGCCGGACCCGGCTGGGACAAGGTGAAACCCAAGTGCGGCACTGTAGCCAAGATTGGTGTTCCTGGCAATGAGCTTGCAATCGAGATCGGAAGCACAGGAGACTACAATGCTCGCTGTCAGTCTGTGTACGATCCTCTGCAGTCGAAATACCCCGTTCTGAACAACGTCACGGCTATCTAAGCCGCGACGATAACTAAGATGTTCATGTTGACATCAAATTATCTTCTTTACATTATAGACTAATATAACTTTCTACAACTCTCATCAGAGTATCCTTATGACATGTATGCGTTTTTGAGTGTTCAGATATCTGCTGGTTAATGGGCCTGGGCCTGCAGGCGAGAACGAACCTTTGGAAATATCAACGTATTACTTCAAGCAGCCTGTGTGCTTGTGCAACTTGCTTTCAAGCTCAGCCAGACTTTCTAAGACAGGGCGTTGCCAGCGCGAACATGAGACAGAAGAAATGTGCCAACATCTATATCCAAATAGAGGCCACAAAATGGCATTTCAAGCTTTGGCTTTACGATCACTCATTGTTTCTACGCTCATTCTCGTATGATGAAATATTGTCAATAGGTTCATTAGTCATATACGCATACAAGATTATCGCTCAGAATCCAAGATCAGAAGTGGTGACATCCTCAGTAAAGTGCTTCTCTCGCTTGCCACTGGTAAACCACAAGAACCATGGCACAACAAAGCATTTGATCTTGTGACCCAACCAGCCGGCATCCTGGACAGTCTTTACGACAGCTCCGGATTCCTTGAAAGCGGCATTGATGCGGTCTCTACGCAGTCTTTCGTAGGCTGCAAATGCGTCGCTAAAGCTTCCGGTGCCCAGTTCTTGTTGTCTTGCCAGACATCTTGCAAAGAGCACGGTGTCTTCGAGTACAATGCCTGTGGCTTCGCCTTGTGGCGGCATGGCATGAGCTGCATCTCCCAAGAGCATCGTGCGTTGGGTCGCCCAGCGGCCTTCAGGTGGCAGAGTAAAGATGGGCCACATGAACCAATCCTCAGCAGTGTCGATTAGAGCTTTGAGGTCATCGAATACCACATCGTCAGTAGCAAACCTCTCTCGCATATCTTTCTTCGTGAGCTCTTGGTCGGCACCACGGACTTTCCAACCATCCCTGGACGCAATTTCTGGCACCTGCAACACACCGCCTACATAGACTGAAGTCTTCGTCGGCTCGTAGAAACTTGACAACATCATTCCGCGTCGTGCGAAGTTGATGGCTGTCTTGTTGAAATGCAGTTGGCTAATATCTTGGATCTTGGGATTGTCCTTGTTTAGAGGTGCAAAGCCGAAGGCGTTTGCAATGCCAGCGTAGATTTCCTTTCGCTCGGGCTCGACATGCTTCAGACGAGTGACACTGTGAATACCATCACAGCCTACGAGCATGTCTCCGTGAGCAGTGGTTCCATCCTCGAAAGTCAGTGTGACGCCTTTCTCATCGTCCTCATCAATCTTAGTGGTCTTCTTTCCACAGGTAAATTCGACATTCGGACACTTCTCGACGGCTTCCACAAGGGCTTTCATGACATCTGCACGAGTGACTCGTAAAGCCTGGACACTGGTTTAGCATAATTCATAACCATGCTTGAACAACGGACGAACTTTGTACGGCGGATCTCCAAGACCTTTACCTTCCGGTCCTCTGAAGCTTGACTCTCCCAACTGCACTGGTTGGTACACACTGAAGACCTCGATGCAATCAATCTCCATGCCATAGTCATTCTCTCTCATTATCGGCAGGACACCTAGACGATCGAGCAGTCTCAGCGCGTTCGGTGTCAGATTGACCGCTCCGCCAATGACACCAGGCTTAGGACGAATCTCGAAGACTCGAATTTTCGGTGGTGCCGACTCAGGTGAGAATTTAGCCAGGGCCATGGCAGCCGTGAGGCCTAGAAATTGGTGTAAGCATTACATTCTCATTCAAAGTCATGGGATGACTGACCTGCCACGCCTCCACCAAGAATCAAAATTTCAAGAGGGGTCTCGTTGTTGAGAGACATGTTTGTTGGTGGACGCAAGGAAAGAGCGATGCGGACATCTTGGCTTCATGTTTATAAAGCCCATTGCTGCGTCGTCAGCACGACACAAGGCGGATCTATCGCTCCTGCCTGAAGATCTCGGAAATATCTACGGCACGTGTGGCTTAAAGTTACACTGTCCTACTCTGATCCGACTGTCATATCATCTCACAACATCGGGAGCATTGGTCGCTTGAGATTCAGGACGTTTCGTCTCGTCTTTCCGAGCACACAACTCGGTCACAACTTACAGCATGATACGCGCGTACTGGAGACACGACAACCGCCAATTGCTCATCGGCTCAGTCATGGATGCGAAGGATCCCAGAAGTTGATGTCCATGAGCAAGTATCTATCCCGAAGTCGATCGCCGCTGCATCTCGGAGGTTTTGTTCGGCAAGAATCGTGGTTGGTCGACGGGCGGACTTCGCGAAAGTGGTGGTAGTGACGCCCACCTCACGCAAACTACCCACCTGCCCTGCTTCGAGCACTGGATGCGAATGATTATAGTCTGACAAGAGGTCTGGAGTGTCCATTCGATTCGTTTGTTTCTCGTTGGATACCTTGTTCTTCGGGCCTCGAGAGACTTTGTAAAGATGCGGAGAATGTCTGCCGTTCGACACATGCTTGCGGGCGGAAGAGCTGGGGGCGTCAATACGCGCAGACGCATGTCACCTCAAGCTTCTGTTCAGGGTGTTTCCTCAATGCTTGTGAGGAGCTGATACTATTCCTATACTTCTAGGCTCTCGAGGCTCGGGTGTGTATCCTGCTCGTGTGACTTTTGAACATGGGTCTAAACTCTGTGACTTTGGTATACATATATGCAGCTGACTTACAGCATCGATATTCCCCTCTTCCGAGTCGCATGTTGCCCAGCCATCGAACGGCATTAATAGACCTCAACAGAAACATGGTGAGGCTGTGGATCCATCAAGATGGCTGGTGAATGATCCAATCGATGATCTATGTGGAGTCCAGGTATGCGGGCCAAAATCTAATTCGTGCGTGTATATTAACTGGCGATCCACCTCTATCTGCTATATTTGAACGTCTCTGAACACCTCACATATACTCTACGATTTTCACCAAGACAGACATGCGAACCTTTGCCCTTGCAGCATTGGTGGCCTTGGCCGCAGCTCATCCTCCTTTCGAGCATCCTGGTTGGACAGCCCCGCCTTATCGTAACAACACTGCTACACCGTCCCACCATAGTGGTGTTCCATGCATCTCAGCCGCGGATGCTTCGTTGATCGGTACAAGCTTCGGCTTGACCATCTCCAACTATACCGAAGCTCTGGCAATTCAGCTGTTTACCAACAACTTCACCGATCAGTCTGACAGTGTCAATACTCTGATTCACGAACCCGGTTTGACAGCCCAAGACGTAAGTCAGAAAGAAACAAATCCGAATAAACAAAGTGTTGACTCGTTGCATAAAGCTGGGCTCCTTGACCTTCACCTCGAAGGCAGAATTCCTCGCCGGCCAGGGAGCTCAGCCACCTGTTCCCTTCAAGATTCTCAATCTCTGGAATACTTGCAACACCGTCATCATTCGTTGGCTATCCGCTCAAACACCTCTACCCGTCCAGGGTATCAGTATCGCTTCTGTTGTCCCGGCGATTGCTGGACAGGGTGGTGGCTTCGGCGTGGGCCCTCAAAAATGGCAAATTTCTGCTATCGTCGCCGAGTTCAACTCTGGAGCTTGGTTGGGTAATCTTGGATATCCGGAATGTGAGGTTGTAGCTAATGCGACAGCTTCTTGAGTTTGGACAACCTGAGGCAGCGGTAACAAAAGGATTGTGGTCGACACGATGTATATAGTTTCAAGGATCAATTGTGTCTCACTGTGCTCCCGGTTTCACGGATATACCAAAATCATCTTATTAATGACTGACAATCATCCTTATATCAAAGTTCATCTCCGCTTCGTTGCTCATCGATATCTCGACACATATTGACTACTTAGCGTTGCTGTTGACTTGCGAGATTTCGACATGTTGTGTCTTTTTGCCATCCAAGTCTTTGGCTGGTGGCACATCGTGGGCGCCTTCTTCGTCATCCACTTTCTTCTTCAGCTCAGTGGTGCCGAAGAGGTCGTCCATTTTCTCGAGCGACAGACCTTTAGTCTCAGGGATGCTATGTTTGGAAAGGCTTGTCAGTCATCTTCTTTTCCGAGGGAAAGTGTGGACCAGGCACTTACAAGAACCACGCGAAGAAGAAAGCTAAGAAGCATGCCACTGCAAAAAAGAGGAAAGTACCGTAGCCTGCTTTGCCCATTGTAGCGAGCATATTTGGTACTGCACGGGCCACGACAAGGTTGAAAAGCTGGGATACAGTGTCAGATCAGTGTGATGCGGCCGAAAAGCGGTAACACATACCCATTGAGTTGCAGCACCCAAAGCAACATTGACACTACGCAACCTAGCAGTAGGTATCTCAGAGACTAGGATCCAAGGAACCGGCCCCCAGCCAGCTTGAAAGAACCCAGCAAAAAGGTAAATGCAGACTAGTGCCATGTAACCTGCCCCAAGGATATCGGCACCTTTGACTGGAGGCTTGATGCGGACATAGAGGCCGACGTAGAGCATGGCACAGCCCATAGCGATTGAAGTCCACAGTAGAGATCTACGACGACCAAGTGAATCGGCAGCAAAGATTAGGAAACAAGCGCACATGGTCATTTTGACCTGGACATAATAGTCAGTGATCATTTCCAGATCACTTGCAAGGTAGTATACTCACAACACCATAGATACCAGTGGCGAACAAGCCAGCGTCTGTACTAGACAAGCCCAGATTCTGGAAGATTTGTGGAGAACTATGGTAGATGAGTATGTGAGTTAGTTAGTGTTCTCCAAGCAAGCCGTGTAAAAGTACACCATGGTGAGTTCAGGGTGGTCTGTACTTACTAGTAGTTGATCGCATTTGTGCCAGTCATCTGCTGGGTAATCATGAGCCAGATAGTGATGATAGCTCTCTTTCTGTTTCCAGGGATAGTCCACATCTCCTTCATCAGATCCTTGAAAGAAGCACCGCCGATCAACGCTCTCTCATGATCAAGTTGCTCTTGCATTTCACGAAGCTCCATTTGTACGTAGGGGTGTGAAGAAGGAAGTGCCCTGACGTTTGACAGGACTGCAGAGGCTTCATCCCAGCGATCTTTACGTGCTAGCCATCTAGGTGATTCTTTGCAGTAAAACATTGACCCGAACAGCAAGACTGCTGGAAGAGCTTGCATAGTAAGAGGCACGATATAGGTTGTTGCTCCGGACAAGTGCTTGTTGGCGCCATAATTGATCAGAGGCAAACGTCAGTACCTCAGCATCCAGCTCACGGACAAGAGACTCACCCAGAAAGCAAGCATAGTACCTGTGGCAATGAAAAGCTGATAGATACCAGTAAGACCACCACGAATAGCTCGAGGTGCATTTTCGGAGATGTAGAGCGGGGTGACCATCGAAGCTTTGCCGACTCCAAATCCAGCGATCAGACGGCCAACATACATCAGAGCGATATGACCGTCAGCGGCTGCTTGGAAGACGCAACCAACTGTGACAACTACAGCAGCAATAAGAAGAGCAATGCGTCTGCCTAAGCGGTCGGCAATATACGAGGCAATGAGAGCACCTGCAAAACAGCCGCATTGCAATGTAGAGACAATGTTTGCTTGGAGGTCAGCTCTCTGGATAGTCGAGAGATCATCAAGACCATATTTGCTGCCTCCAATGTCAATGTAGATGTTCATGAATAACCCGACTGTATACTCACGTCTTGAATGCAGGGAGAGTGAGTACGCCACCAATAATACCAGAGTCGACGCCGAACAACATGCCTCCGAAGCACGCCTGGTATTGTTGGTCTCACGTCATTGCTTGTTGGAAGAAGACTTCTTACCGAAAAAGCCAGGAAATAGACCTTCCAACCATAGATCTCTGGAGGATCCTCCTTCATCGCATCATTTTTGACAATCTTCTGAAGCAGGCCCATCTTATAAGTGCTTGGTAAATGATATGAATTCAATTCAGGAAGCGAGCAGTAGACTCGAACAAGAGACAGACATTCAAGGATGGGACATGGTCTGATATATCTGTCGCAAGCAGATCATTGACTGCAAGCACAACGCCGCACAGCATTCATTCGTGGACATTGTCGACGATACTTGGCCCGTCTGGGCGATTCTGGGCAGTCACGACCCCAAGAAAGACATCTTGAACGGTCGCATACAAGTCAAAGAGAAGGAGGAGGGTAGAAGAGTCTGGGGTACATTAGCGTGTCGTGGGGGCGGCTGTGGTCCGTGTCGAAGGAGTGGGGTGATGTTTGGGGAAAGGTCAGAAAGCCGACCGGGTGAAGCCTTCGGCAACGGAAGCAGTTCAGGCTAAACTTGCAACACAACAGATCGTCATCTGCTGCTTCCTGATCAGAGTTCTGTATCGGGCTATCCGGGCAAAGAGCAAGCGGGGCGGAGAAATTACCACCTTAACAATAAGAACAGCACACTCCTGACATCTAACATCTTTCTATGTAAATCGAGTGTGTCTCTTACAAGATGTCTACAGCTCAAGCCGCAAGCAAGAATCGTCCTTTCCCGCTACACCCGTTGTCGCAGAACCCTTTGGTTACACGCGATGACTTCGCTGCAGCTTGCGCTTCATTGTTAGATCCTCTGGAAGCAGGATTTAGTCCAGAGAAAGCATTGGTCAGAGTCGGAGGTACTGGAACGAGATGTAAGTATCATATAATTTTTCCGGTGGTTATCGAGGGGAGCAAGATAGTCTTTCCAAAGGAGAGAAGCGTACATGGCCAAGCTTGTAGCAAGAGCTTGTCTGTACATATCACCAAGTCGATGTGGCAGTGCGACTAACCAAGACTGAAAAATGATTGTCCGTATTTTGTGTCGTTCGGAACAACTAGTATCGAACACAGAAGCTGACGGTTTGACGCAGTCGATGAGACAGCAGCTCAGATTGAAGGATTCGCCCGTCCGCTATGGGGTCTTGCACCACTTCTTGCTGGAGGATCATACAGCAAATCAGAGCTATGGGTTAAAGGCATGATCGCTGGTACAGATCCTGAAAGTCCCGAGTTCTGGGGCAACATGGAAGATCTGGATCAGCGTATGGTCGAATCATGTCCTATTGGATACACTCTTGCCATTGCCAGCAAGGACTTCTGGGATCCTTTGACTGATAAGCAAAAGGAAAATGTCGCAAATTGGCTGGGAAGCATGAACGACAAGGAGATGCCAAACACAAATTGGTGAGTAGAATACGCGAGAGATCTAGACTTGAGACTAACAGTGTCAGGTTGTGGTTCAGGGTATTTGCCAATCTTGGCTTGAAAGCTAATGGAGCTCCATACTCACAGTCGCGCCTCGAGGCTGATATGGACCATCTGGACACTTTCCACCGCGGCGAGGGATGGTCGAACGACGGCCCAGCAGGCTATACCCAGATGGACTACTACTCAGGTTCTTTCGCCATCCAATATCTTCAGCTACTTTACGCCAAGCTTGCAGGTGACTCTGACCCCAAGAGAGCCGAAGAGTACCGCGATAGAGCTCGCAAGTATGCGCTTGACTTTGCGCATTATATGGATCCCGAAGGTCACGCTATCCCATTCGGAAGAAGTTTGACGTACCGCTTTGCAACCGTAGGCTTCTGGTCCGCTGTTGCCTTTGCTGACCTTGAGTTGCCTGCTCCGCTGTCGTGGGGTGTGGTCAAGGGCATGCTTCTGCGTAACTTGCGCTGGTGGTCGAAGCATCCAGACATCTTCCAGCCAAACGGTATGCTGAATATCGGATACACGTATCCGAACTACTATCTGGCCGAGAACTACAACTCTCCGGGCTCGCCGTACTGGTGCATGCTGGCTTTTGCTGCTCTAGCATTGCCGGAAGAGCATCCGTTCTGGTCATCGAAGGAAGAGCCGCATCCGTTCAAATCCGAATCTTCTGCGCTCCCAGAAATCAAGGCTCTGAAGTATCCCCTGCATATCATGGTGCACAAAGCTGGACACACTTTCTTGCTATCATCTGGTCAAAAATGCCACTACCCGCTCAAGTCTACCCAGGCCAAGTATGGTCACTTCGCCTACAGCGCATCTTTCGGCTACAGCGTGCCGACAGGTGGCTACACAATCGAGCAATATGTTCCAGAATCTGCTTTGGCTCTGAGTGATGATGACGGCGAGATGTGGAAGATGCGTCGTGATGTTGAGAACGCTCAGCTGGCCACCAAGGATGGTTCGCCGTATCTGTACTCGGAGATGAGACCATGGTCGGACGTCAAGGTCCGTACTTGGCTGCTTCCACCTACTGATGAAGCACCTTCTTGGCATATTCGCGTGCACCACATTCAGTCGGGTAGACGTCTGCGGAGTTACGAAGGTGCATTTGCTATCAAGGGTACGGCCAAGAGAACTGGACGCGCATTGAGCGCTCTTTCTTCATCAGAAAATGAGGGTAACAAGGCTGGTCAAGCGTCCGCTTTGACAGTGTCGGAAGCTGGAGCTGTCGGTATCGTTGACCTACAAGCACCCAGATCCGGCAAGGTGCTCGATGTCGATGCGAACTCCAATCTCATCGAAGCCCGTACCGTGCTTCCATCTCTGGGTATGGACATTGAGGCAGGCAAGGACGTCTACTTCGTGACAGCCGTGTTTGCTATGCCAGCTTCGGAAGGTTGGACGGGTAGATGGCGTGAGGCTTGGGAGAAGAAGCCAACACTTCCTAGCTGGTTGAGAGATGTTTTGACGTGAGATAGATTGGTCCATAGATTAGCAGGAATAATTGGAATCATTTCAATTAACCTCAGGCAAGGAAGGATTTTGCACTGGATCGTCTGCCTCGCCTGCCTCGCCTGCCTCTTCTGATGCTGACTCGCTGTCATCCTCGTTATCGTCATGATCGTCGTCACTATGGCCGTTTCCGCCGCCATCGTCGTTGACGTTGTCTTCGTCGTGTTCGCTGAGTTCGCTGCTGTGATCGTAAACATCGTTGTCATGATCTGATTCGAATCCAACAGCGTTAAGCCTAGCCTTCCTAAGGAAAAGTCGTCCAGCGAACTCCGTACTGAACATCTTGCCTCTGCCGAGTTGTTTACGAAAAGGTCTACGCCATAGCAAGTCATCAAGATTTTCCGCGCACCAGTCAAGAGCCTCCTCTTGGATGGATCTATCAGCAAATGTGATGGCAGAAGGGCCGAGCATCTTCGCGATACATTTTTCTGCCTGCTCGAACGTTTCATCAACCGGAACTCGTTTCTCGTCCCGGATGTACACGATGCTTTTGATGTTTGACATGAGTAAGTCTTTAGTTTGATGTCGTAGCACCGGAACATCATATTTGTCGCCCAGAATGTAGAGATCCAGTAACGCCTCGAAGAAGTCCGTGTAGCGGAAGGTGACGGTCATGACACAACTATCCTGGTCATCGTACATGATACGAAGCATGGCTTCTACCAGATCCGGGTCGTCATCATCGCCCAAATCGATCTCAGGACTCGAAGAGACCTGATTTAAAGTTATGAGCAGGATCGTGAAACTGCTTTTGAACACATACCGCAAACCCTGATGTAAAGGCGCGATGGAAGTACGATGATGACGTAGCAAGTATAGCCTTGTGCGCGAAGACTTTGCGATCGTTGAACTTGACTATGATGTCCGAAAACTGTTGAACATTGTATAGACATGTCACTCTCTTTCTTGTACAGATCAGCAAGCCAACTTTGCCTGCAAGGGGACTCGAGGACAACATCGCGAGGCATACCTCTTGAAACCCATGACTAAAGGCCTGATCGCAACTGTAGTCGTCCTAGGCTTGGAGAGGTTGAGTCAGATCACGATTCTGCTTCTTACTTCTCACGATCAGTCACCAGCGCACGAGCTGGATATACAAGCGCCGGGCAACTCAGAATTAAAGATCGGGTGTTGACTGGAAAGTCCTGCGATATCGTGATCAGCGTGAGAGAGAGCGGGGTTGTGGGACATTGGTAAAGGCGGTGAGAGATTCTGCCGAAGCTATGTCTTGCCTTCTCCATCACAATGCCATCCACCGTTCTTGCCAAACACGACATCAGTCATCTGGAAGGGACGAGATCAATGAGACTTTTCTTCTCTTGGTCTAGCGGCTTATCATGTTGTTGACCGATTCTTCTCTGCCGTTCGTCTGCATGTCTCTGTACCTACCTCAATATGCAAGAACCCTATCTCCGACTCCTCAGCGTGCCTCAGTCCGTTTGTTAAATCATGTACCTCCAGCTCCTCACCCATCCGAAGATCGATCGCCAGTATGACTATATAAATTGTTGCCCTCTTCCCTGGATACGTCTTGGCTGCGTCTTTTGTGAAAGCCAACTTGATTCTCCGAAGATTCGTCATAATAACAGAACTCCGTTGTTACCTAACCAACCACAAAGTCCGTCAACAATCATACATCTCTGGTGAGAGTACCAAAGAATATCCGAAGTTTAGCGTCAAACCTCGCCAAGCATCTCGCACCATCGATTGCATTTTCAGTCAAACTTCAGACACTCCGTTTGCAAGTCGACTCATCAGGCGGAACGATGTCTCTGCTCGAGAACGACTCAGGAGATGACGGCGAGGTCCGTCACAAGCGCTTCGACTACCATGCGCCCTCGCTAGCTGGGATTATCGAGTTCTTCAAGGCAGACGACATCAGTGATGTCAAGGCTGCTATCTTACTGAACCAGACCCCAGGAGAAATATACCAGATGAAGAAGCATATTAGATGCTACCTCCGCGCCCCCTGCCCCTGGATCACATCTGAAGACCTTTTCGACAATGCTGGCAAGATTCTATGCTTGAAGGACGAACACCCCCTTGGCTGGATGATGCCTGCCGACAGACGGGGCGTACTGTTCAGACACTTAGTCATTCCCCCTGTGGCCAAACTCTACCCTGATCTCTTTATGGAGCCAGACCTCGAAACTCAGATCCGCCAAGATCAGCCAAACGGATACGGCAGGTTCACCCAAGCCCCCTTCGTCGTGTGCAGGGAGGTTCTGGTCAGGTTGATTGAGGCATGTGCTCAGGAGATGAGAGAATATTCATGGTAAGCAACCCCTCAAACATATCCCCCTTCTCCCTTTGTCCAGTGGTTCCTTACCTCTGAGTCACATCTCGCCGTGGCGCAGACTCAGAGTCATGCTTCAGAAAGGCATAATTGTTTCAGGATCAGAGATGTGTCCAGAGAGAGCTTCTAAACCACAACTCTCAACGGACGCCACTCTGTTTCTCAAACACATTGTGCATTTTTACAGCTGCCTTGGACACAGAGCACGTTCGCTGGGAGAACTGAATGCTAATGGTTTGTGCAGTCTCAGAGATGCCGAAACCGAAACGCAACATATCTCACCGTGTCCCAAACTCAAGCGCTCTCGAATTGATGGCTTTGAGGCAATCGAAAATGAGGAACAGCCAGCACCGAAGAGACAAATGGTCAAGCCTTTTGCGTTTACTCACATCAAAGCTGTTACAATTCGTCCACCAATTCGTATCTCCAACCTCACGGAGCCCGCCGCTGCTCCTTCCGAGCCAGCCAAGCCCAAATCAGCCGGTGAAAGAATTCGCAGGAGTGTTGCAGAACTGCTTGAACAAGAAAAAGCACTCAGAGCTCAGCCACGCAATGCTACTTCCTCTCCCATTAGTCCTACCAAGGACAGAAAGAACTCCACACCATCGATGACTGATAACGAAAACACTCCAACTCGCGGCGAACGTCTTGATCGCGCTGTCGTCGAGCGTAGGCGCCTTCACATTCTGAACATACCCGCTAAGACCAAGAAAAGGGATGTGGTACGTACACAAATCAATTTCTGGCATCAGATCGCAGAGTGCTACACCCAATAGATGTCGAAAACATACTCACTGTACTACAGGCAGACTTCTTTATCGGCTACAACTTGGGTCCCATCACCATGTACACACGAAGCGCAGAGAGCCAGTATTGCTTTGCAGACTTCTACAGTCATGAACAAGCAAAGCGTGCTATGGAAGACTTGAACCGTACGCCTTTGCTCGGTCGTATGGTTGACATCAAGTTCGCACAGGCCTCTCCTCGTATTGACGAGAAAGAGAAGGACAAGTGTCCCCTCCCAGTCAAGCCAACCGCTAAACTCTTCTCTGAAAGAGTTAGACGCTGATTGATTCCAACGTTGTCCAAGATCACATTATTTGGCCAACCCAGCCCTCGACAAATCCTTGGAGTATACCCCCTTGTCGTCCAAGGTCAGTGGCTCCGACTTCTCCAAGTTCCACCATCTTCTGGGCTCACTGCACCCATCCATACCTTCTCATTTCGCCAAAGTGAGCTAGCTCTTTGGGCATCCTCTTGAAATTGGCCAGTCAATCTTCTTTGCTTCATCAGAATGGAATGGTGCGAATACTGGTGCTGTTGAAATAATGTCTGGCGTTCAAAGAGCAGCTTAGGACTGTTGTGCTGGGGGCGAATAATCAATGACGAAGAGTTTTGAAGGATAGAAGAAATCGAATCAAACTTCATTATTCACAAGTACAAGCGCGTTCGCTACCCCTCCTCTCCTCTCCATCAAGCGACTTCCACCCCCTTACTAGTCTTCGTATGCAACCTCCCCAACCAACTATCCCTCAACGCCCTCCTAATCCCCTTGCCCCAAGGCAAAAACACCAGCACCGCAAGATTGTTCCCCGCCAACACCGCACAAAAAGCGCCCGCAATAATCTTCTTATAACCATGTTTCAATATCCACTCTAGCAGATAAATCCCCATTCCAAAGGAAATAGCCTGTTTGCCTAAATTCATGGCTATCAACATTTCCGCAGTATTGGACGTCATGGAGTCCACCGCGTAGGCTAAAACAAAGGAAAAGTAAAAGTAGGAGGTGAAATCTGTCATGGAGACGCCAGCAAAGTAGCCGATCCAGTGCAGGTTGTTGGCGGCGGTGAAGCCGTAGAGGATTAGACCGGCGGGGGCGATGAGGCACACGGGGAGGAGGACCCAGAGGCGCATTTCGGCTTCGCGGATGGAGTTGTTGCGTTTGGTTAGCCAGGCTGCGATGCGGTCTGAGGAGGAGGCGAAGGGGAGGGCAAGGCCGTAGCCGATTATGTTGCCTAGTGCGATGAGGCCGCTGTTTGACGGGTTCCAACTGTAAGGAGGCGCCACGATCTTGATGGGGAAGGTGTAGTTGAAGGTGAGAGCACCGAGGCCGATGTAGATGCCTGAAAAATTGATATTAGCTCAAGACTGGCGTTGACAAGTAGATTTTGCTAGAGCTTGCGACTTACCGAAACTGGTCACTACCCACATCACAGAAGGAACTAAAAAGTAACTGAAAGACCGCAGCATAGTCATGAAGAACTCTGCTTCGTGATCAATACCACTCCATGGTTTGAGTGTTTGCAACCATGACTTTCTGGGCGGCGCCACCGTCAACACTTCAACGTGTTCAATGTGTCCCTTCTCTTTCTCAATGCCTTCTGGTGTTGTAGTCGGAGCGACAACGCGCTTATATGATGACTCCTCGACGAAGATGAAGGCAAGGATCAGAAGAGCGCATGCAAAGGCAAATTCGACATAGAAGTAAAGTCTGGTAGATGCGTTAGAAGGGCTGGTGATAGCGTGTGAGAACGATCACTTACCTCCAAGAGTACCCAGCCGCAAGCATGTATCCGGCGTAAAGTGGTCCTATGATTTTGTTAGAGATCATACCACGTCTTATGTGGGTGACAATCCGAGGATACCTGTGCTTCCCCAGCATAAACACACAGTATAATAGCCCAGTCTTTTGCCGCGCTCGTGGAGGAAGAAAATGTCGTTGACAAGCTGAACAGGAAGTGCTTCGCAGACACCAGAGCCCAAAGCATGAATGATGCGAGCAGCCATGAGACCGCCATAGGAAGTAGCTTGCGAAGCTCCAAGTAGGCCAAACACAAACTAAAACAGTCAGAAATGTATCAAATATGTATGTGGGCTCAGAGCAGCCTCACCATGAGCAAAGAAAGAAGCAGAATCGGACGTCGACCAAACTTCAAGTAAGCAGGAACGAGCAGCAAAGAACCTAGAAACCGTCAGAACTGCCACCTCTATCAAATATGGCGTAGACATACCAAAACCAAATACTAAATTAGGATAAGACACCAACCCCGAAGCTTCAGTAACAGAAATTCCAAACTCCTTACTATAGATCTCCAAGTAAACAGAAGGTCCCACAAGAGCACTGTTCCCAAGGAACGAGTAGAAAGAAACAATAATCAAGATCATTGTTTTCTTGGGCTTGGACCATTGGAGGGGGTCGTTGGGGTCTTCGCTGGGTACTGGATAAAGAGCTTGTCCGTAGGCTGTGTCGTCGCCTTCGAGGGCTCGAAGGTTTACAGTTCCCGGTAGATCTTCTTCGTGGGCATGGCTGGCAGAAATGAGTAAAGGTTTAAGAGTTGCGAGGCTACAAAATGTACCTGTGGACAAGATGACGTTCATGATGGTGTGAAGGTTCTCCCATGATGGATGATTGAATTTGAGCAATGCTTTGCAAGAGAACCAGAACTAGCAGATCAGAGGCCCTGGCAATGTCTCTACCTATATATCCAGTCCATCCGGCCCTAAGATCTGCTTCCGCTATCGCTAGGGTATGCAAATGCGGAGGTGATGCGGGAGGAGTACCTATATGCCCCACAGTTTGTGGGGCACTCAAAAACCGGGGAAGTAACCAGCCAACCAGCAATGCATCCCGCCATGCACATTACTTTTCGCGTCGTGACTTGCTCCATGAACGAAGCTGGTGACAGAATTTTGACACGCTGAGCGGTAGACTCTGCATCCTCAACTGCCGATCGCTGTTGTTGGAGAACGCACACGTCCTCAACCACTGTGGCTCCAAACATCTAACCCTACTCCGCAGACAATGACAGAAGAAGCACTGAGGGCAGCAAGACCTGAAACATCAGCGACAGCAGTGAAGTGGTTCCCCTTCCTTTCTACTGTAAGACCGTCAATTCCTGGTAATGACATGTCATAGCATACCTGCCAGATCTTTACTCGTTGATCTATGCTGGTAGTTGCGACAGTGAGTACTTTGGAAGTGGACGAGGCTAGAATCTCGACACCAGTTACGGCGGCCGTGTGTGCACGCGGAATGATAAGCGTGTTGACCTGTGGTTTCCCTTGTGCCGCACTCCAGGCACAGACCGTGAATGCGACTGCATTGTCGTCACCTCCAGTGAGGAGTAGGCATGTCTTGTCGTCGAACCAATGCGGTTTCATAGAATGTATCGTGTTTTGATGGATTTTGGCACGATGTGTCCACTTTAAGCCACTTGGTTCGGCCGCGACGGCCAATGAGCCAGTACGAAGAGGGAAGAAAGCAACATAACCATCAGTACCCGCTGTAATCAGTGATTGTGCCTGACCGAAGGTGTTGACGTGAAGACATTGTGTCAGGCAAGAGGTCAGGTAGTTCCCAACCATTAATATTCTCCAAGAATTCTCTTGGCCCGGACAATATTGGTACATCTGTATTGGTCAGTAGGCCGAGCAAAAAGAGCGACATGAGATTACTTACCCGTAGAGTAGAGTCTGAACGAACCATGGTAATGACAAAGTTGCCAGATTCTTCTCTACACGAGAAACTCATAATTCTGAGATCAGGCAATTCGCTCTCGGTAGGACATGCAGATTCACAGACCACTCCCAGCTCGACTAGAGGTGCGAAATCTACTCTCCATACAAAAAACTCCTCGAATCCAGCGCTACTGAAGAGGTAACGGCCATCGGATGACCATTCCAGCTGCCGAATACCGGTGTTGTGCTTTCTTAGCGTCTTCAGACAGCGGAAGTGGGGCAACTCGCTCTCAGCTTGATAGATCAAAAGTTTGATATCCGTATCTTCAGAACCGGTTGCGAACAGGCTGCCGGACTTCGTCGGATTGCTGGGAGCGACGGCCAAAGATTTGATCTCCCGCCCATGTCCCCCTTTGTTCAAAAGTCTTGTAGAGTTTTGTACTTGTGAGAACAGGCAGAGTTGAGATGCCTTTGTCCAGACGAAGTGTCCGCCACGTAATCCCTCAGGAACAAACTTCCAGATTCGGTTCGCTCCGCCGCAGTCGATGTTCAATATCTCAACCTCTTCGGTTGCATCGAACACAATGAACTGACGACTATGGAAGCCCCAAATCATAAGATGTTGAGTTTCCTCGTCAATGTGGACGCCCTCGATATTCGTGCCTAAAGGAAGAGTTGTTTGACCGATCAACTTAAGGCCAATTCCCGAATCTGAGTTTGAGAGGTAGTGTATAGCGTAGGTCCCGTCTCTGCCTACCGAAAAGATGTGGCCGCTAGTTTCGGTCAAGTTCGGTCCAGCATACCAAGCAAGATCGGTGACGGCTTCAAAGCCATGAGCTTGGGCAAGCAAATACTGATTTGCGACATCTTCATCACTATCCGGCTTGTCGCGCACCTGATATATCGCTATCGAGCCATTTCGTGAGCCCAGAACAAGCATCCAACTTTCTTCCTGACCGAAGTTGATGGCAGCGAAACTAGTGATCACAAAGCCTTTAGGCAAAGCCAGTCTCCACGTAAACAGGTTCTCGATCGTCCGGGTACCCTCTGTGCCAGCGCTTAAGCTGAAACGTGTGAAGAGAGCTGTCTTGGCCTCGACGTTGGCGGTCAGAAGACCGATCTGCTGGCAAGCACCTTCTGAGGAAGATAATTGTTGAGCGAATAGAGCTGATGTTTTTCTGGATGATTTTACCAACTCTTTCACCTCTTTCCCTTCATAAAGCATCACTGAACCGTCCATGCCTGCCAAGAAAGCAATAGACAAGTTCGGTATGCTGGTAACGACTGAATACCCCCGGAGCTTTTCCTCCTTTCGGATCCAATCTGTTCGAGCATGGCCGTTTTCATCTTCCGTCAACAGCAGGATATTCCCAGCGTCAGTAGTGACTAGTAGATTGGTCTTCTCCAGAAACGCATAACTTCGCAGCTTGTCTTGACGCCCAGCTTGCGGTCTCTCCGGACATGCCAACCCCAAGTCCTGTATCGACCAGGTTTGAGTATGATCCGACTCGCTAGTGAAGGGAATAGACTTCGGTTCGAGAGCGATACTACCGTCTGCACCACCACTGGCAACTACAACTTCGCTTGGTGTGTCATGAGATATTGCCCATGACCATATGTTCTTACCTGAATGCAAACAAGAGCCTCCAAGGTGTGTCAAACCGAACTGATCAGGACTGGTCTCGCCAAGACTCCAAAATTGGTGAGTGGCGTCTTCACCAAACGACACAACGTAGGAGAGTAGTTTTTGATCTTGAGAAGGAATAAACTTCACACCCCAGATTCTGGACGCATGCCCCCAGCCTTTGGCAATGCATCTTCCACCAGAAGTGTTGTCTGGCAGCACATCAGCAACGTTGGCACCAAAGCCAGTCTCCCGAGCCGATGTCAAGTCTGCCGCTGCTTGTGGGTTGGTAGCGGTGTCGGGAAGAGATGAGATGTCCCAAATGCGAATAGTGCGGTCGTCACTACAACTAGCGAGTAATCGACAGGGCTTGTTCAAGTTTCCGCCTGATGAGGATTCGAAGATCTGTACACCAAAGATAGAGCCTTCGTGGCCTATGAGCACATGGTGTAGTACCGAAGACGGCACGCTGTTTTCCTGTAGTACACAGGACCACACGATGATGTCGCCAAAAACTGTGCCTGATGAAACAAGGATTCGTGTCGCGTTGATCCAGTGAATATGAGCTGAGTAGAGAATACACCTTGAGTTTGAGGTCAACTCTTGCAAGCCAGTCGTCGAATCCAGTTCTAAGAGAAGAAGAGCATTGTGTGCAGTGATCAAAGCAGCCTTTTGTTTCTGTCCAGATACTTCGGGAGAGACAGCGATGTCAAGAATCCAGTCGGGTGACTCGAAAGAAGAAAGGCGACTTAACAGGGAATGGTCAGCTGAGGTAAAGGCATATAGAGTGACCAGACGACCACCCCAGACAATGATGCCACCAGAATGAAGGGCAATTCCATGAATAGCTTGCGAACAAAAGACATTGATTGACTCGATCAATTGGTTGTCATGACGCCTGTAGATTCTCAGGATCGGACCCTCTCCTGCAAACAGGTGGTCCTTACTAAAGGCCAGTGCCGTCACCGGGACCTGGTGTAATTCATGTTACAACCGTCATTACCTGCTGGTCCAAATTGGACTCGGATGGAACCTACTTTGACCATCTGCAGCAAAGAGACACAGTATCTAGCAAAGCAGAAACCGTACAATCAGAAAGCACCGACAATGCGAGAAACTTAAAGGTTGATGCAAGAAAGTGGCAGTGAGTGAGAAAATGATGCCAAGGCTTGTGAGCGTCGGCTTTTTCTCAGCCAAAGTCCGGGAAGCAAATTCTTGGATGCGCTCCAAAAGATTATTTTCTGTTTTTTTCGCAACTCATTTTTGTTCGCCAAAAGTTATGTCGATTTAGGACGAGAGATTTGTCTTGATTCTCCTCTGGATATACTATGGATATTCACCGCTCTCGATTCGTGGCGTACCCGTCATCGGCCATCAATGCGCTTTCATTTTCTCGTTCCAGCGACAAAAACTATACGGATCCTAGACCTGCGCTGAAGCTCGCCCTCGGTCGTGCAAATGGAGACATAGAAATCTGGAGCGCCGATAAAGGAGACTGGGTTCAAGAGTCGGTCTTTCCTGGAGGTTCAAAGAGAAGCGTAGATGCTTTGGCATGGATTCAAGAGCCGGACGACACAGATTACGAGGGACACACAATTCTCGGCCAACTGCGCCTGTTTAGCATTGGCTCGACAGCAGCTGTGACCGAGTGGGATCTGCTGACAGGAAAAGAGCTGCGCTCGTCGACTGGCAACTTCAGCGAGGTGTGGTGTTTTGCCGCCCAACCGCGATGGCGACCCAGCAAGGCCTCGCGTGAGGACGAGTTCCGTGGCCAGAACTTGGTCGCTGGCACAGGCGACGGCACCCTTGCCATTCTCTCGACCGAAGACAACGACCTTGTCTTCAAGCGATTCTTGGCCCGTGGCGGAAACCGCAAGACTCGATGCATGAGCGTGACTTGGAAGGACAGAGATACAGTCGTCGCCGGCTTCACCGACAGCACGATCCGTATCTACGACGCTCGCAACGGTTCTCTTTTGCGCAACCTCAGCTTGGGAGCAGGCATTCCTGGTGCCCCTCGCGACACTTTGGTCTGGAAGGTCAGATGTTTGCCCAATGGCGACATTGTGTCAGGCGACTCGAATGGTCAGCTCAAGTTCTGGGATGGAAGAACATACACCTTGTCGCAAAGCGTGCACGGTCACGATTCCGACTGCCTGGATCTCGTCAGCAGCACTGACGGTACTACTGTCTTCTCGGGTGGCATGGATGGTCGCATTGCTGTATACAAGCTCGGCGGCAAAGAGGGTGAAAAGAGAAGGTGGGCAAAGACCAGCCACCGTCGCATGCATGAGGGTGATATCAAGGCAATGGCCGTCTACGACTCCAAGCACATGAGTGTCGTTCTCTCCGGAGGTTCGTTGAGTTGTCAATCTACTCATCTGTGTCCTGCTAACGTTTACCAGGTCTCGACACCACGCCCTTCGTCATCCCGCTCCGCAACTTCAACAAAGAGAACCACCGCAGACTCCCCGGTCTACCTCAGAACCCCGTCCTTGCTTCTTGCCCGCAACAGCGTTTGCTTGTCAGCTGGGCTGAGAGCGAAATCAGCATCTGGCGCATGTACAAGCAGAGTCCTGAGCGCATTCCCGTACCAGAAGACACCAGAAAGCTCCTCACCCGCATTCAAATCGACTCGAAAGAAGCCATCACCTCTGTGGCCATCTCCCCCGATGCTTCCCTCCTCGCCGTTTCTACCGTTGATTCTGTCAAGCTGTTCCACCTCTCCCGCACCGAAGACGACCGCGAAGACCGATTACGTGTACGCAAGATTGCCGCTCCCGAAACCATCGCTGAGAACGGTGCCCGCTTGATCACATTCTCACCAGATGGAAGATGGCTGGCAGCAGTGACACCACAAAGCGAAGTCTGCCTGGCAAGAGTAGAGGATGATTCGGACAAGCCCACTTTCTTGGACGCAAACGTCGAAATGGAGCGTCAGACTCGTAAAGTCACAATTCAGACAGGTCTCAAGAAGTACGAGCGCACCATCAACAGGATCGCTTTCTCGCCCGACAGCGCTGTTCTGGTTGCAAGTGATCTCTCTGGTTACCTTGACAGCTGGGTCCTCGAGGGTCGCTATGATTCAACTGCTCCTGCTATGGACACTGCCACAAAATCCTCCTCTGGCTCCGACAAGGGCACTTCTTCTGACGATGACAGCGACAGCGATGACGAGGACGAAACCACAGTCTTCTATGGTCAGCATTGGACAGATAACCCGTCAGGCAATCTCTTGCCCAAGCTGGATTCCGCCCCCCTTGTTCTGTCTTTCCAACCACTCTCACCAGCACAGCAAGAGGAACCTACCACCAATGGCAACCCTGGTGTTCACCCCACACGCAACAACCCTCATCCTCAATCCCACGCTCTCCCATCTACCAAATCTCCTCTTTTCGTTGTCACATCTCACCACCAAGTGTACACATTCGATGTCTTGACTGGTCGCCTAACAGACTGGTCGCGTAGAAATCCTACGAGTGTTCTGCCAGCCGAGTTCCAGACAATCAAGGATCGTGCCATGGGCGTGGTATGGGACATCAATGATGCTCGCGCTCGTGCCTGGCTATATGGTGCCAACTGGGTCGGTATGCTCGACTTGTCACAAAACTACGAACCCTCTAGCGTGTTAGACGAAGCTTTGGAGGATGGCGAAGACGACATCTCTACCCAACACACACCTAGCAAGAAGCGCAAGCGTCGCGAGAGCAACAAATGGGGCAAGCTCGCCGAGCAGCGCAAGAAAGCAAAGGGTATGGGTGGTGCTGGTGACAAGGCAGCAAGTGGAGAGACAAAGGGCGTTGTCGACGAGATCCGCCGTATCGAGGATGGAAAGGCCATCGAATTCACAAATGGCACCTCCCACGAGCAAGACTTGGACGACGAGGAGGCACTAGACGACGCAGTGGGTCCTCTACGTCGCGGCAATGACGATACAGAAGTAGATACAAATGGCGGTGCTGATGGTGCTCTGGCAGTCACTTCAACAGGCCGAAGAAAATGGTGGTGCACATACAGATACAGACCTATATTGGGCATGGTGGCCATGGGCGAAAAGACATCAGATGCAGACGACGAACAGCCTGAAGCCGTGCTGGTGGAGCGTCCGCTATGGGATCTGCCACAACTACAAGAGCTGGGTAAATAAAGGTCTCTACCAAGCCAAAAAGTATTTGTTAACATCTCGTTCTACATATCTGGCTCTGCATAGAGGTGCTTGGGTTCATTGTCTCATAGCGTATGGAGTTTTCTTGTGATCTTGTTCCAAGCCCTCTCTTCCGAGCGTATCAGTTGTCAATGCTCTTTCGAGTTCGAGTTTCTTGTGGCTCAGATTCTTGAAGGCGTGATCACATCATCCATCTCGCAGATACCTCCTGCAAGCCACGTTCTCTCCCAAGCTCACGTTTCAGCAACATCCACCACATGCTGCTTCTACCCGCAAATACACATTATCAGCCCGCATGTGACCTCCAGCCCCTGCATCAAAAAGAGTCATCCCCAGTACAAATACCTTGAAGCGAGTTTGAGCCCTACAGGAGTGTACATCGCAAAGTGTACACCGCCCATCTCTGCATCTTGGCTCAGTGAGGGCTGTTTCATGGCAGGGTGCGGGATTTGCTCAGCTGGTCGTCAGCCAAGCGTGAAGATAACGATGAGCTGATCATGAGACAGACTCCGAAGTTGCTGGGCGTTACTGCGATAGACAAGAAAGGGGCTCTGTGGTGTATGACCGTTTTTCGTATACAGTAACTATAGATGCCTTGGTACAGCGGACGTTTCTTTACATGGTCGGGTGGTGAAGTTGTAAGGAAGGAAGGAATCTAGGCCCAAGATCGCCAAGGATGGTTCCTTCGCAGGCAGGGGTCCAAGCGTCATTGATATAAGGGTCTGGAGCACCCCACCTGTCAGCGAGTCAGTGGCTATCATTTCTCAATTCCTCGACGTCTCACCAGCTCTTTTGATATCAATTCTCTGCTAATTGACGGCTGAGACACTCTCTCGGTGACCTTGTAGAGATTGGTATCCAACAGTATGGTCATAGGGTAGTCCTTGTCCACCTTCTATTCCACGAAGCACTGGATTTCATCATATTCGAAGCTTTCGTTCAATACAGCAGATCAATTCATGATGGCGGCAACTATCACAGCTATCGTGACGGACACCATCACAAAGACTGCAGCTATGTCTGCCACAGTATCCTCTACAGCTAGAGCAAAAGCTCAGGGTGGAATTTTGGAAGGCGAAAATCCAACACATTACAACCCCAAGGATCCTATCATTATATTCATCATTCAGGTATTTGTTCATGCCAGCTGTAGATTTGGACGGGTAGGATACTGATCTCAAGCTTATAGGCTGGTGTGATTATTCTGTTTTGCCGATTGCTGCATTGGCCTCTATCAAAAATTCGACAGCCGCGTGTCATCGCAGAAGTCATTGGTGGTGTCTTGCTCGGTCCCTCGGTCATGGGTAGAATTCCTGGATTTACAGCTACCATCTTTCCAGCAGCTGCACAGCCAAATCTCGCTCTGGTGGCCAACATCGGTCTGGTACTTTTCCTGTTCATAGTGGGTCTGGAAGTCGACTTGCGATATCTGGCGAGCAATTGGAAAGTTGCCTTGAGTGTCGGACTTGCTGGCATGGCATTACCCTTTGGTCTGGGTTGTGGCATTGCTGTTGGCCTACATCGCCAATTCTCGGATGAGGATGGAACTGAGCCAGTTGCCTTCGGCACATTCATGTTGTTTGTGGGTGTGGCCATGGCTATCACTGCTTTCCCGGTATTGTGTCGCATCCTTACCGAACTCAAGCTCTTGTCGACATCTGTTGGAGTTATCGTATTGTCTGCTGGAGCTGGTAACGATGTCACTGGTTGGGTCCTTCTTGCGCTCTGTGTGGCTCTAGTCAATTCTGGCAGCGGCATTAGTGCTCTTTATGTTTTGCTGACAGCTCTTGGATACACGCTCTTCCTCTTCTTTGTAGTCAAGCCGGCCTTTACTTGGGTACTCAGACGCACACGTACCTTCGAGAATGGACCATCCCAGGGAATCATTGTTCTGACTCTCATGATTGCCCTTGCATCTTCCTTCTTCACTGGAGTCATTGGTATCCATCCTATCTTTGGTGCCTTCATGGCAGGCTTGATCTGTCCCCATGAAGGTGGTTTTGCAGTCAAAGTCACAGAGAAGATTGAAGATCTGATCAGTGCTCTGTTCTTACCGCTCTATTTCGCTCTTTCTGGACTTTCTACAAATCTTGGACTTCTCGATACTGCCATCACATGGGGATATGTTATTGGTGTTTTGGCTGTCGCATTTGTTGGCAAGTTTGTCGGAGCTTCTGTTGCTGCTCGTGTCAATGGTCTCGTTTGGCGAGAAAGCTTTACCATTGGCGCTTTGATGAGCTGTAAAGGTCTTGTGGAGTTGATTGTCCTCAATATTGGCCTGCAAGCCAAAATCTTGTCTCAAAGGACCTTTACCATCTTCGTGGTCATGGCTATCGTTACCACGTTTATTACCTCTCCCCTGACTATGGCTTTATACCCACCATGGTACCAAAAGAAGCTTGAAGCCTGGAAGAGGGGTCTCATCGATTGGGACACGGGCAAACCACTCACATCTGGCGACGATGCCTCGTCTATCGTTGCGGCAAAGCTTGAAACCAGCAAGATCAAAACACTACTCGTACATCTGAGGTTGGATAACATGCCTACCTTGATGACGTTTGTCTCGCTCCTGGCCACTCCTGGGAAATTTGGTGATACGGCTACAAGACAGCATCCCGCATTGGCTGGCAAAAAGAATAGTTTGGACGAGACCTTGACGACATCAAGTCGACCTCTCGAGGTTCATGGTGTCAGGATGATTGAACTCACAGACAGAGACTCATCTGTCATGAGTGTCTCTGACGTCGAGGAGTTCCACTGGAAAGACCCTATCATCAACACTTTCCGAAACTTCGGCCGACTTTATAACTTGGCCGTCTCAGGAGAAGTCGCAATCGCGCCTGAGTCTTCTTTCGCCGAGATCATCACATCAAAAGCAGCCAGCGAAAACTCAGACCTTCTTGTTCTGCCCTGGAGCGAGAGTGGAAGCTTGCACGAACAACAATCCTACAATGGCAACCCCACCACACCCCGCCGTCTCGAAGACACAAGTTACGTCAGTTTCGTAGCTGCAGCGCTAAAATCCTCAACTTGCAATACTGCAGTCTTTGTGAACCGTGGTTTTGGTGGCAGTGCAATGGCACATCGTCCAAGAACTCTATCTCGTCAAGCCAGCAAGATTAGTCTGTCGAATGATCGCGGACCTGCATCTTCTCCTATTGTCGACAAGTCGCACCATATCTTTATGCCATACTTTGGTGGTGTTGATGGTCGTGTGGCGTTAAGACTTGTGTTGCAGTTGGCAGAAAATCCCGATGTCACTGCCACTATTGTCTATTTCGATAAACTGGACGGCAGTGATTCCGCTACAGAGCAGGAGACAGAGTCTCATGGTTCTCCTGTAGAGCTTGCAGGTACAGCTTTGTCGACGTCCAGGAGCGGCAAACCTAAGCCCATCACAAAAATCGAACACAGTGATGAGACATTCTTCACCATGCTCCAGAAATCTCTACCTCTAGAGCTATCCTCAAGAGTAGTTATGGAATCCATCTCATCGCACTCGCCCCTCGAAGAAGCAGTTTCACGAGCGCAGGTCGAGGTCGCGCAGAACCCGAAGAATGCAGGCGATTTGATAGTTGTCGGCCGAAAAGATCTGTCCAACGAGTCAGAAAGAGCAGGTTTGGGCCTTGTTGCTCAACGATTCGTAGACAGTGGACTGAGAGCGAGTATTCTGGTCATGCAAGCCAGACCGTCTTACTCGCCTTCGGAGATGTTGTAATTGTGGGAAGATGGCATGGATGTTTCTTGAGACAATTTGTTCGTTTGCTGGAAACAATACGTGCGTAGTTGGATGTGTGCAGTGCAAGAGGTGCACTCGGGAGTACAAGTGCGGGCAGAGTCCGACTCCAGACATCATGTTTATGACATTTTACGAATATATGGCAAGCTATATGCAAGCAGGAAGGGTGTTGTTGGACAGGAGAGACCTTTCGGCTTATTGCAACATTTTCCATTTGCATATCCTGGTTTAAACGCGCGGTATCAAAGCACGAGTAATGATTACATACCTCGAAATTCGTTCCGATCTTGATTTGGAACGTGTCACTTCAAAGAAAACAAAAATCAGGATCAAGCTTCGGCTGAAAGCGAATCGAGGGAGACGTATACTAGGTACATGCAGGCTACAAGGCCGACTCAGAACTCCAGCTGACCGGAGATGATGGATATTGTGGCAGAAGTCATCTGCTATAGGAGATTAATCTCTCATTTACCTAGTTTGGTAGTAAGGGCGGTGAGACCTGATCATCTGCTGCAAAGCAAAGGAAGGGAGGAAGGAAGGCCTGAAACATGATCGGTCAAAGAGTTGATCGACAATGAGGCTGCAGCAAAGGCGGGATGCCATGTCGCATGCATGCATGTGCCTGCTTGAGCCTTGGTCGCAAGCTTTGCCTGATGTGCAGGTCTTCCTTGTTTAAACTTTCCACCGATAGCCGGTGCCTGAGCGTTCAAACAAATATTTTGTTGTTTGTAGGGCTAGAAGCTGTTAATGCCATGCTCGGGCTAGATGGTTAGGGAATATAGCAATTTGTTCATCAGAAGGGACTGTATCTCAGCTCTCATGTGAGGGACAAAGGCTTGTGACTTGATTTCTGGCAGCCGGTCTTTCTTCTTTTCTTTTAGGACTGTGCCGGCTTCCACGCTAAAAGCCGTCACATGGCGCAAAGAAGATGGAACGTGGAGAAAAAAGGGAAAGTGGGCCTGTGCCTGTCGTCATGCCCATAACAAAAGCTTATTACGCTGTCACTCGCGCGCAACTTCCGAACGCTTTGCCTTGCCTTGCCCACCCTTTTTTCCAGTCCTTCTACCTATTTCCTATACCTACCAACCTATATGGGGCCTTTTCTCTCATAGTCGCGTCAATCCATCCATGGCTCCCACATTCACATGGACTTTTTCCATGACTCACTAGTTCTACCTGGCTCGTCGGCTAAACACAGTTCCAATGTGACTACCGACAATGCTTCTTCGAACCCCACCAAGCCCAATGCCGGGACCTCACGCTTGTCGCCCTCGCTGTTAAAGGCTCTCCGAGATCCTTACCAATTGATTGGCGTCAAACCCGTTGAATCCGGCAGTCAGAGACCAAGACCCGAAGGCCCACAATTGGACGACTGCGAATGGCGGAGGCAGGTCTTGAATCTCAAGATATCGCAGGTATCTTCACTTCTGTGTTGTTGTCAATGAAGACACACGACTGACAGGCTTTCTCCAGGCAAAATGCTACACGGATTGGCTCTCGGCAGCCTCGGAACTCGACACACTTGAAGGCAGAGACGCCTGGAAAGAGCAAGAGAAATGCGATGAATATGACACAGTCTTGCTCAAAGCTCGACTACAAGAGCTGGAAGATGCGCGCATCAGCTGCGACACAAAGCGCATGCTGTTTCTGGCGCGAACATCCTTGACAAGAGACCTAGGAGGCATGGGCGATTTACGCTTGTACAAGCATTGCAGGGTCGGCACAAAGAGTCTGATCGAACGCTATATTTCGGCTGCTCTGGAAATGCTCGAGACCATTGTCGACATGTGCTCGCCTGCAAACAAGAGCAATACCGATGTGGATGTGAGGGAAGTTTACGAGCAGCTTCTTAGCGCTAGACAGGCCTTTGGAAGAAGTGCGTTGCTGCTATCAGGAGGTGGTACACTCGGCATGAACCACATTGGAGTGCTCAAGACGCTGTTTGAAGCCCGTTTGTTGCCTCGGATCATCTCGGGTGCCTCGGCTGGATCCATTGTAGCAGCCGTGCTGTGTACCAAGACCGATGATGAGATACCACAAGTCTTACGCGAATTCTGCTATGGCGACCTGGATGTGTTTGAAAGAGAAGGAGAGCCTGAGAATGTCTTGAAAAAGGTTTTCCGGTTCTGCACGAAAGGCGCTCTTTTCGACATTTCAAACCTCATACGCGTCATGAAGGACCTACTCGGAGACATGACTTTCCAGGAGGCTTACAACAGAACGAGACGAATTTTGAACATTGGTGTGTCGACCGCCAGCTTGTACGAGCTACCGAGGCTACTCAACTACATTACCGCTCCGAATGTCATGATTTGGTCTGCGGTTGCCACGAGTTGCTCCGTTCCGTTGGTTTTCTCGCCGGCCCAACTACTAGCCAAAGACCCTCGCACTGGACTAGAAGTACCGTGGGATCAGTCACCTCAACGCTGGATTGACGGTTCAGTCGACAACGATCTGCCTATGAGCCGCCTAGCAGAGATGTTCAACGTCAATCACTTTATCGTTTCTCAAGTCAATCCTCACGTTGTACCGTTCTTGGAGAGAGACGATGAGATCGCCGCATTTGGATCTCAGTCCTCGAGATTTTCCTTGTCTGCTGGGCCGAGCTGGCTTCGCAATGTTGCCAATCTCGCAAAAGGAGAGGCTCTCCATCGGATGCATGTCCTTTCTGAACTTGGCGTCTTACCGACTACTATGTCCAAGCTCCGTTCAGTACTCAGTCAAAGATACTCGGGCGACATTACAATTCTGCCTGAAGTCTCATATACACAGTTCCCGCGCGTTCTCAAGAATCCGACAACTGACTTCATGTCTCGCGCCATGCTGAGCGGCGAGAAAGCAACTTGGCCAAAGTTGTCACAAGTTAGAAACCATTGCGCCATCGAGCTGGCTCTCGATACTGCAGTGCAGAAAGTTCGTTATGGACTCGTCTTCTCACCTAGCCAGATCGACCTCCGACTCAATGCTTTTGCTTCAAGTATTGCTTCAAACGAGATTCAGATGCGGCACACACGACGAGCCAGCCATGGCAGTCCTCCCGACAGCGAACGGCCACATCTCCTTGCTGTTCCTCCCACATTCTCTTTGCGCAAACCAAGCAATGCACAACCCATGCATGCATCCAACATTTTCCTTAGTCGCAAACACTCAGGCAATCACGATGATTTCACTTCTGGTCAAGAGACAGCTGTCGACTCTGAAGACGCAGATTGGTCCGACTCTTCCCTTGAAGATTATCCCACACGCCAAACTCCTAAACTGTGGCCTCCTACATTTATCTCTCGCTCCCAACCTGCAACACCCAATGTGCATGCCAAGCTGTACATGTCGTCTTCTCCAGCATTAGTCTTTACGAAAGCCGAAAAGGACGCAGATTTTGGAAACCAAAGCTTAGTCACCTCACCTAGCGAATACAAATCCGTGTTTCAAAATGCACGACCGTATGTTGAGGAGGGTGTAGACGTTTCTGGCACTAGGGGTATGGTCAGAAGGAAGAGGAGTCTGACTACAGGATTCAGGGGTTTGTGGCCGCCTGGTCGATGATCTGTTCCATCTGATTATTTCTTTGTGTTCTCTTGGGATGGGTGGTATGCATCATAGTCTCCTTCGCATCGGCGTTCAGAAGGATTCGGTGGTCTATTGCTTAGTAGACTTGCTTTGGGCATAAGAGGTAGTCTGTAACGCATGCAAAGGGCTTTAGGTCCTTTGAACGTACATCGAAGCATCGAAGGCGTTAAGTTTTTATAGGCATAACGAAAGGCGTTTTTCCCACAGCTCGAGCAAGATCCAGTGAGCAACGTTTATTTTGATTGCTGTGTCGGGAGTTCCAGAATATCAGCATGCGCCATCCACACCCAACAGATTCTGTCGACTTGTCATTGGCTCAGCACGCCATCTCAAAATCGACCCTACTCCCTCCTGCTCACTGATTCCTGTTTCTCTGACCACTTCTGCATCTATATCGCTCACGATTCCTTGATATCGAGCTCGGAGTTCTTCTTTGTATTCGGCCAGATCTGGTATCGTCCATTGATCATACAAGCGTCCATGAGTATTCGCCGGTAGAAATCTTCCATGAGCACGTAGAAACTGATAGCAGAGATAACAAAGCCATTTCGACGTTCCAATGACCCTCGGAGGCAGAAAAGTTTCTAGTGTTTCTGTGGAGGATTGAAAGAGTAGGTCATAGTAAACCGCCAATTGGACTTCTGCATGGACGTGACAAGAAGTTGCCCAAGTCTCATACCCAATCTTCGTTTCCACGGCTTGATAAGGCGTCAAAAACTCCAATCCCAGAGGTGTTTCTCCCTGGAACAAAGTAGGGAAGTTTAGACTGAAGGAAACAAGAGAAGTGCAGACTCGCCAATAAGCACCTAGTTTCTCGATTTGACGCAGGCATTTTATAGCAGAAGCCACTTTTGGAGTTGGTGTTGCTGTAACACTATGTTCCAGGCGTCGTGCAAAGTCTGCAATTTGTTCGGTTTTGCAAAAGTTATAAGTTGCTTTTATCAGTTTCTGCAGACTGGACAGTTCGTCTTGGGATCCTGGCTCCATGGTTTCAAAGGCTTCGTAGATGGAAGCGAGCTGCTGGACTAATGCCTCTACCTCTCGTCTGAGGGATGCCTCCTTTTTGGTATAAACAAATTGAATCCGATGTGTAAGGTTGCTAAAGTCTTGCCATAAAGGTTTTTTGTGTTGTTTAGCCAGATATTTCGGTTTCTCCCATTTAGAGGATCGTAAACGAGCGAGCAAGCGTCGGAAATGCAAGTCCACGATTTTGGAGAATAATTCTTCGGTGCCGGTTGATTCTTCACTCTCAGTAACAGTACTGAGAAGTTTGGTGATGGAGTTCAGAGCATCTTTGACTTCATCACTCAGCGAAAGATCCAGTGCTGCAAATCTTACAACAAAGCCCGGTGGTTCAAGATGCTGTTCCAAACATACAGCAGCAACACTTTGTGCTCCTTCTTCGATAGCAGCCAAAAAAGCAAAATCATCCGCTATTTGTTGTTCCGTTTCTAAAGGTAACGTATAGCTTTCCCTTGTTGTAAGATTTTGGGAATCCAGAGTAAAGGTTTGTGGTTCGATTGGTACAGCATTGGTGCATTTTTCTAGAGCTACCAGGTGTTGGCGAAAAGTGTCTTCCGGGAGAAACTTCCAGATTGAGGATTCTTGATCTGCTGTTTTGGTTTGGAGGCGTGACATGTCAAATGCTTGAGGAAAATGCGAAGAGATGGAAAATGGGTTCGTTTGTGTTTTTGTCTTGAGAGGAATTGGAAGAATTTAATGCATTTTTGTGCAATTTGTGCCAGTTTTATGCATAGAGGGATAAATTGTGAATGTTCTACCCTTGACTTGGCTCAACCTCTTTCTTTTGTTGACTTTTTACACATATATATTTTCTCTCTCAGTAAGACACATGATAACGCTGGTAGTTCCTCGAAATATGTTGACTCCGTTCTGGAGGTCTATCTCCAAAAGGGCAAGGATGTCAACAATCCGTCTTTCGTTCAGTGATACCGGGTTTCTCAAAAGCATTATACATTATTATCTGCAAGCACGAAACAACGTCCCCTCGCAGAGAGGCAGATTGTGCCCTTGCTGAAGCCCTGTTCCTGTGCACTCACTCATGAGCACCACCATGTTTAAAAAACAGCCAAAACTCCAATAACAGCAGCAACAATCCCAACACCACCAAAGACGCAATCAACCTTTCCAGCAGCGCCAGTAGAATCCACCAAAGGTGCAGAGGCAGAAGTCGATCCAGACGCAGACACGCTTGCCCTACTTGCCCTATCATTCTCGACATCAGCAGCGCCTCTGGCAAAAGTCGGAATGGTCTTGACCCACGATCTGGTCATGCTCAAACTGGCGGTTGTGACTGCTGAAGTAGTGGATGCTGCAGCCAGAGTGGGTAGATCTTTTGTGCTTGTCGTGGAAGTGGCTGCTGCGTTGGTGATCGAGACAGCCGAGTTCGAAGTCGAAGATGATACGCTCGAATCACTCGAGGCTGCCGTGGATTGTTGAGAAGAGGTGCTGGTTCCGCTCGTAAAACTAGTCGTGGCCGTGATGGCTGCAGCAGAATTGTACCCATAGGACGACCACCAGTTGGCCTGTTGCTCAGGTGTCCAATTGTTCCAATCAGCGGGATATGTGATCATCAAATCGTAGAAGTCGTCGATGTCATCCGTATTGCCTTCATCATCGGCATCGCTTCCATCATCCATATCGCCTTCATCGTTCGCCTCACCATCATCAAGCTCAGTACCATTGTCCACGGCTGCAGTAGCAGTAGCAGTAGCAGCAAAACTGGTGATAGTAGGCCCAGCAGTAGTAGCCGTAGCACCTCCCGTCACAGCCGCACCAAACCCAGCCAGAAAACTAGGTTTATATGTTTCCGTACCAACATACAAAGGACATCCAGGGACTGTAGTCTTAGGAGGTGCTCTGCCGCCTCCACAATCCAAAAAGTCGCATAGTTCTCGAGTGTCGGGGACGATCCATGCGTAAGAGGCGCCAGCTGGTGACGAGACGTCTGTTCTTGTGCAGCCTGTGAGGTCGGTTCTTGCGTGCACCAGGGCAGAGAAGAAGAAGATGGGGATGGATGGAGATAGATGCATTGTTCTCTTTTTTGGCTTGTGTTGTTCGATTTGAATATGCACTTGTTGATGATATTGCTATGCCGTACTGATAGAATGAATATCACTTTGCTTTGAAGAATCGAAGTAAAAGACCAAAAACTTCATCAAAGGCCCTAATGTTAAATATGAATCCAAGGCAGATGCCTAAACAAAGAGATTTTTCTGGTTAGCCAATTTCCGGTCGTTCTTGCCTGGGACATAAGACTCAGGCAGCGTGAGGCATAGCGCAATCCTTCTGGAGTGGAAGCAACGCCACATGACTTCCTTCCGAAACGGCTATACCACATTTCGCAAGAGTTATGTTTACGACTGAGAGCCCGAGTCTACAAAGCCTTGCTACATGAGAGATTAGAGACAGCTCCTCGAGTCGAACAAAGACAATGAAACAGGCTCGAAGTCGTACAACTTATAATGTGGAAGAGCATCAAGAGAAACAAGTCAAAGAGTCAGAGACAAGAAAAGCCAAGATCAAATCTCTTGGCTCAGTCTAAAGCGAGACCCGATAGACGCATATGTCTATCTAATTAGTCATGAACCAGAAAAAAGACAAGGTTGGTAGACAGAGAACGGCCGTACAGCTTGCATGAAGCGTTCCGTCCATGGAAACCAAAAGTCTTTGAGCCTCATTGTGCCGTCCACCGCTGATCAAGTACCAATGTAGCAATTTGACAGCTTCCCGGAGAACATATGATGTGGACATGGTTGGTATTTGCTGCTCTCTACAGTCATCTTGGTGCACTCAGATGAACAGAATCAGAGGATTGATGTGATCAAAAGAAGAGAAATTCGATATAAGGTCCGACTAATACATTCAAGAAGCTCCCCTATGCTCTCGCAATTCCCGAGAGTTCGATGCCATGCCCAAAGTAGAAAGTGTACGTTTGCTAATGAACAGGAAGAAGAGCCGCTTCGAAACTAAGATGAAAAGAAAACGCCGCGCTGACCAAGAAGAAAGATGAACATGAACCAATGGAAGCAATTATCATTGTGTTCAGAAATTTGCAAGAAAGAAGAAGAAAGGATTTGATGTGAAGAGGGATCAAATAAGAAAGGGCGAACAAGAAGGAAGAAGGGTATAAGAAAAACAGGCGAAGAAAATGCAAGTAAAGCAATGCTCAGAAAGAAGAAAGAGCCGAGCAATATTGCTCAAGGTCAATAGAAAGCGCAAAGAGATCAACAAGCCGCACAAAGGCTTTCCTAGTTGCTTCTGTCCTTGCCTCTCTTACGGAACCAGTCCATCACTCGTCGAGCACCACCACTGCTGCCACCGTTTCCGTGACCTTCATACGCATCACCAAATTTGCGGTTCTTCTGCAGCACTGCCTGTTGGCGATGCTGGGGTTTAGCCACCACGGGCTCAGGCTCATTGAAACCAGCGGGGTATTTCTGTCGCGGCGTTTGAGCAATCGAGTCGGATGCCTGCGACTCTGCTGATTGAGAAGGCGTGTAGAAGTTCTCCTGTCTTGCTCCCCCAGCGCTGCTTTGAGGAGGGGTGTAGTTGTTGTATTGCTGCTCTTGTTGTTGTCTGGTGAACTGCTGCTGCTGAGAGAAACCAGGATCTGACATCTTAGTAAGATCGGGAGCAGTTGCACCACGCACAGGCTGATGAGTCATTTTACGGCGGTTATCAACATTGCTGTCCTGCATGACAGGAATGCTGCTGCCGGTTGTGCTTTGGCTAGGAGAGCGGCTTCTACCTTGGCCGAATGCCATGACGGGCGACTGCTTCGAAGCAGGACGACTGCGGGCATTGGCCTGAATAGAAGCACGTCTACCACCGTCGGCAGCTTCTGGTCCCGATCCACCAGAGAAGCTCATTCTAGAGAAGGACATGGGCAAGAACGAAAATCTTCTTGATGATCGAGGTCCAGCAGTCTCACTGGTCTTGCGGTTATAGCCGAAGGAGCGACGAGACGATTCGGTAGAAGGACGAGGAAGGTCCTCACCAGAATGAGGCATTGTGTTCTTCATGCTGACAGGAGGATACATGCGCGAAGATTTCTCACGCTCTGGACGAGCGGTGGCAATTTCCTGTGGAGTCGCTGACTGACGACGAGAGTTGGTACGACCAAACAATTTTGTAGTGAAGCTTTCCATTGTGTTAGAACGTTTGTGCCCACGAACCGGTCTTTCTGCGGGCTGTTGAGGCGCAATCTGGATGTCAGCAGGCAGATGTTGGCTGACTGGCCTTCCTGTGTATGAGTTTCTCTTCGAACCATCTTGCGAGTTTTGACCCGACATGATGTATCCAGAGCTAGATGGTTTGGGCTGTGAGAAGCGGCCTTCAGCATTGGTGGCAGCAACAGTCGCCAGAGCAGGTTGACCATATGAGTTGCCACGAGATGGCAATCTCGAGCCGCTGGTGGTGGGCCGACCGCTGGATGTAGGAGAACCAACATTGAAGGGGGTTGAGTCGGTGACTGCTCGTGCGGGCTCGCGGTTCGGACGAACAGGGGGTGACATAGCGGACTGAGTGGCTGGGCGTTGCTGAGAGCGTTGAGAACCAGTCGAAGGTTCGTATGACGCAGAGTTGACAGCCACGGGACCAGAGGCACTGTCTCCTCTTCCACGCGATTTTCCTTGAGAAGATGGGGAAGGCTGAGCCAAGACAGCACTGCTGGGCAAAGATGTCGAGATAGGCTGTTGTCTTGCAGTCTGAGATTGAGGAGCAACGTACTCGACTTGAACTGTTCTACGCTTAGCATCGCGAGGTGTCTTGGTCTCGGTCTCGGTGATAGGAGCAGTCTTGTTGCTAAGACCACCAACAACGGCAATCTGACTGGGTTTGGATGGCTCTCTGACTGACGCACTGCGGGCGAGTTGTGGTACGTCATATTGGTCTTCTGTGCGTGCATTAGTTGCTGCATAGTGCCTTTGACCAGTGGTGGACTGACCGGTAGGAATGGCAGAGTCAACAATGTCAGCAGAGGTGGTCGTGGTGCTTGTTATGAACCCGACAACATGGGCATACTCGCTCAGCCAGCTGTGACGAGCAACCTCGAACAAATCGGCACGCTTCCTCGGGTCGGGTACCAAAATACGACGCAGGAGATCGCGAGCGTGAGGCGTGACATACTCGGGGAAGGTCAAAGGAGTCGACACAATGTACTTGTACAACAGGTTAATGTTATCACCCTCGGGATTGGCGGGATCATCATCGAAAGGCAAGTATCCTGCAAGCATGGCATACTAGTCAAAGTTAGCTTCACCGCTGTTTGGTAGGTGTAGGTTGACATCGACATACCAAGATGACACCACAACTCCACACATCGACCTTGCGACCAGTATAGAGTGAGTCACTAACAACCAATTCTGGCGCAGCATAGCACGGGCTACCACAGCTCGTTTGCATAAGATCACCGCGACGGTGACCGGTCGATTGAATGTGTTCCAGGCCCATCTTGGAGACAAACTCCTTGTTGTTGAGGTGGTTCTCGATCTCCTCGCCGAGCTCATCGTCCGGGTTAAAGGTGTTTGCGAATCCAAAATCGGTGATGATGATATTGCGGTTGCGGTCCAGCAGCAAGTTCTCCAGCTTCAAGTCACGATGGACAATACCCTTCTTATGCAAGTAGCCAACACCAGACACGAGCTGTGCAAACAACCTACGAGCCGCATTGTCCTTAAGATAGCGGTGGTTGAGGATATAGTCGAACAGTTCTCCACCCGAGGCATACTCGAGGATGATACCAATATGCCGTTCAGTCTCAACCATCTCATGCAGCCGTACAATGTTGGGATGCTGTAGTCCGCGCAAGATTGAGATCTCGCGGTAGATCTTGGGCAGACGGTTAGGGTTGTTGCCCAGCGTCTCACGGCGTATCAGCTTGATGGCGACCTGCACTCCCCCCTCTTTCTTCCATCCCATCTTGACCTTGCCAAATTCTCCCTCACCCAAGGTTTGTCCCAAGATGTACTCTCCAAACTTGGTCTCCTTCCTAGGGTGACTTGACTTGAGGTGTTCCTGACGACGGCGGGGTGCAGCAGCCTCTTCGGTGGCCTCCATAGCTGACATTGAGGGATCGTGTTGACTGGCGGAGATAGGCTGTGCTTCGGCGACACGAGCTCTTTCACGAGCGGCGTCGGCTTGTGGATCGTCGATTACCAGCCTGCTTAATATGGCACTGTCTTCACGAGGAAGGGTGTCTGGTGGCATGTGTCTCGGCGATGAAGCCTGGTCCATCTCTTTCCGGCGGGCCTGCGATGGGCTGTCTGGGTTGAATTGCGAGTGAGCAGATGAGTATTCTTGTTGAGGCATGGCAGGTTCCATAGAGTCATATGCGGTAGAGATCTTGCGCTGGCTGGGCGACGCGTGGGCTGAAGAAGAGGATACTTGACGGGCGGCTACGGCAGAGGGGCTGTCGAAGTGTGAGAGACCGCTGGCTGTTGACGGTCTTTGGCTCTGCGGTCTGCGCGCAGACGAGGGCGAGGCATTCGGAGAGGACTGAAAATGCTGAGGCGCGACGGCATGAATGGCGGCCGACGACATTCTATGGTTGAGAATAAGCGACGATTCTCAGGGCGCACAGAAGTTGGGGGCGGAGCGCTATCGAATGGCTCTTGAGTCGGCGCGGTCGACCGAGGACGGATGTTGCGACCTGGACGAGCAAGCAAGAGCAAGGATGGATGCGTGTGATGATAGGAAAAGCGCCGTGGGCGGTGAGCTGCCCGGCTCGCTCTCGAAACCAGGCACGAGAATCGCTGAAAGAGGCCCCGAACTGGACTGTGATGAAACGCAGCTTCGATCCGCTAGCAGCTAATTTCACTGGGAGAAAGCGGAAAGCGCGAACAAAGGTCTGAGCGTTAATACAAAGCCTTGGGCTCCCAGCGCGATGATTCACTCCTACCAAGTCCTGGAAATGCCAAAGAGAGCCAGCACGACGAGTCGACGAACAGAGAGGCAGAAGCAGCACCACGAGTAGCGACAGGCGTGCACTGAGGACGTCTCACTTCTCGACCAAAAGCCGTTGTGATGTTCTGATAATGTAAACTCAAAATCCTGAGCCGTTCTTTGTTTGCCCTTCTTCCCGCAAGCCCCTTTACCATCGAATCCTTTACACATCGTACAAAGAATGCTACTCAACGCCCCCGATTTTAGCAGCAATACCGAGTCGCTACATGTCAGGCTGCAACAGAACGACTCGTCATCAAGCTTGCACTGACAATGATGCCCTACCCGTGCCCTTGTCTAACGACTAGCATGTTAGCATCTTGCGTATTTACAGCTTCACACTGACGTCCCGTCTTGCAGCATCTCTAGAGCCCAGAGGTCGGAATCTGGCATGTGCTGGTTAACATTCAACATGTGTTTGTTACCCACTTCCCCTAACTCGCCTGCATCTCGGCTCTGGTCAGCCAAGTACCAAATTTAAACCACACATAGCGCCCCTCTACAGAGATCGGCCAATCCAAATACCAATAGATGCCATCCTCCGACTCTCCGAGACATTTTGTTTGACCCATACCTAGCCCATCCACTCGTCTATATGATTTCCGCTCTCTACTCTGACTCCATTCTTCTCACCCAGCCCGTTTCGCCTTCGCTGTTTCTGTCTCGGTATTCATCTGTTTGGTCGTCATCGTCTCCCCCTCGTTCTCGCCGTTTTCAGGCGTCCAGCGACAGCTTTCTGCATCGTTTCAGAAGTCGTCCTACCAATCTCGCTCGGCTTTCTTCTTCACTCTTCCCTTGTTTCTTTTTGCCAACCTACCAGATTGCTTTTCTCTTTCTCCCGACGGTGCTTGCATGGTCTAATGGGTCTATTGGATCTATTGCAAGCTCGCCCAAGTGGCTGGGAGCTGCCGTCCGTCAGGCCCACTTGGCTGCCATCGCTTTAAGATCGTGCTGACGATCTACGTCACCTGCTTGCCTTGAAAACTTCAGATTGATTAAAAGTCGTCGCCAGCTCTTGGATATCACCTCTTGTCTGCTGATTATCTATGTTCGGCTGAGGGAGACCGTCTCTGAGAGATTGACAGCTGCTGGTCGCAATGTGTTGTTTATAGCAATAAGGAGCAACTCAAACCGTGATGGCGACAAACGGGATTTTTGATAAGATTTAGATGGACTTTCACCATCACTTGCATAGCGCCGGAAACGGCATGCGAGGGCGGCTGGTCGGTCGAACTCTATTCTCCGCATCGAGGCCCTGAAACGAACATGTGCCAAAATCACATGCGAGAACGTTTGTTGCTCCTGAGATTTGTACATCAACAAAGTACCTTGTCAAACACTGCTGCTTCCAGAGCTCCCGATATTATGCAGTCAAGCAATAGGTCAGCTGCTGACCTTTTTCGCAGCGTTCATTCAAGGGAGCCTTGCGAGCCCGTATTCCCCGAAGCGCCCTGCGGATTCAGCTGAGAAACATACTTTATCGCCAAAGGCTCGTGCTTCGGGAACATGTCTCTGCCAGGTTCAGCCATCCATGGTCGTCAACAACCTCGCTAGACTCTGTTGGCGACTGCCCGCGCAATCTGTGCAAAGCTGCCTTGGCATCAATGTTTCAAGTACCTGAATGCCGTCATCCACAAAGTCCTTCTATACAACATTCCATGGCTTGAGGAGTCTCTGGTCAAACATGAGCAGGTGTGCCTAAGCGAGAGAGTTGGTCAAGCAAATATTGGAAAGCAGCCTGCAGCGAGCCGCTCCGTCAAGGATGAAGCCTGTTCCGGACAAGATTGAGATCAACCCTGTCTCGGCATCAAGGTCCATTGCCAAGGCAAATTCGCAATGTTTGGCTGCGCAGTCGATCAGAGCAGACTCGATTATTTGAGACTCTCAATCTCTTGACAGCGAGATGGCAAGTTTGGCGGTCCATTTTGAGTGCCTGTCTTCGGCAAACGCGCCTTGAAAGGGAGATTATGGATACCTTTGACAGGAGGCCTTGCATGTCGTCAAAGCATCTTGGCAGAACTATGACCAGCACCTTAGACGAAAGCAAGTTCCTGACAAGGCGTGCCGTGTTTTGTGGGCTCTTGCTTTTGTGGTTCAGGCGGCGATGGAATGACGTTCTGTCTTCTAGAAGGTGTCTGACACTGCGCCGTTAGACAACAGGGGAAGTCTCGATGATCAAAGCATCAATTGAAGCACCATGTCATAGGAATGCTCAGGAGGTCGACAGCAGTGGCTTCTGACCTACCTGGAAGAGTCTAATCACACGCGACGTTCGCGCCTCTTAATTGTGCGCTATAGTAGATCACAATATACTCGTGTGCTCTAGAAGTGCTGGTAGTCCATATGACCCTGGCTGTTCATATTCATTCCTCTTTGCATCGAGCATCCCTTGCTCCTGAAGCAACCCATATGATGCGTGACGCTACCTGTTATATCTGTTTGTTATCTGAGGTCCACGTTCAACATGATTGTGTCAATGAAATTGTATGTGACCAATGAAGTCTCTGTATCACTTGTTTCTCACATCAAGCTCTCGATCATTTCCCCAGAAACGTGCAAACAGCATATCGATTGCAGGTAAATGAGAGTGCTCAATGCGTTCATCTAGACGAAATTGAAGACATTGCGCAATCTGTATACGCCAGCAACTAGACCGTGAGAGTCATAGTCGCTGGCAGATATCGACAGAGTTGATAACGAATAGCACGAGTCGGAGAAGAACGTGGGGATGGATGGAGGACAGAAATGCCAAGACCGAGGTGGGGGTTTCGATGTGTCAAGACATTGCGGATGCTTCGACTCGCGAGGTGTTTGTGGTCGTCATTCGAAATGCATTTGACTCCAAAAGAGGTATCTAGCTTTACGAAACTCTGTATCTATGTTTCCGATCTTGGGACTGACATGATGATTGTTCGTAGCTCGACAAGCTGGTCATTTCGCAAGTCGGCCAGCTTGCACAGCGTAGATTGGCACGCGGTGTCAAGCTGAACCAGACTGAAGCGACGGTAATGCTCACGCTGACTGTCACAAGACATAGTCGCTAATTATATCCCTAGGCCCTGATCGCAAGCGTTCTCCAAGAAGTTGGTCCATCTCTCTCTCCTTTGTACCCGAGTGCAGACCAAAGTAACGCGTTGCGATAGCTTATCCGCGATGGCAATCACTCGGTGGCAGATCTCATGTCCCTGGGCAAGACTATCCTCGGTCGCCGTCATGTCCTCCCGCCCGTAGTCAACTCTCTGGTCGAGCTTCAAGTCGAAGGAACCTTTCCCTCTGGTACATACCTGGTCACTGTCCATCACCCTATCAGCTCCGACGATGGTGATCTCGAGAAAGCCCTGTATGGCAGCTTCTTGCCCGTACCAGACAAAGATATCTTCCCTCATGCCGACGCCTCTGAGTACGCCCCCGAGAAACAGCCTGGTGCAGTCATACCCGTCAAGAATGCCAAGATCGTCTTGAACGAGAACAGAAAGAGGATACAGTTGAAGGTTGTCAGCAAGGGAGACCGTCCCATCCAGGTAGGTCATTGTGATCGCGAAGTGAAAGAGAAAGCCAAGTTTGACGCGCTTAGGTTGGATCACACTACCACTTTGTTGAGACCAATCCTCTGCTCGACTTTGATCGCGTCAGAGCCCTGGGATACAGGTTGGATATTGCTGCTGGAACTTCCGTTCGCTTCGAGCCCGGTGACACCAAGACTGTCAATCTTGTCGAGATTGGTGGTAACAAGGTCATCAAGGGCGGCAATGGTCTCGCTACTGGTTCGCTCCATGATTCCAGCATTGCCGATTCTCTGGTTGAGAAACTGCAGAAAGGTGGCTTCCATCATACCCCCGAACCTGCTGGCGACTCTGCTCATCTTGATATGTTTACTCTTGAGCGTGAAGCTTACATTTCCATGTTTGGTCCTACTACTGGTGATCTTGTCCGCTTGGGCGCTACTGATCTGTGGATCAAGGTCGAGAAAGACTTTACTCAATATGGTGATGAGTGTACCTTTGGTGGCGGCAAGAGCATTCGTGATGGCATGGGTCAATCTTCTGGACGCTCGGACAAGGACTGCCTGGACCTGGTTCTTACCAACGCTCTGATCGTCGACTACACTGGTATCTACAAGGCTGATATCGGTGTCAAGGATGGCATTATCGTAGGAATTGGCAAAGCTGGCAATCCGGATATTATGGATGGTGTTGATCCTAACATGGTCATTGGCTCCAACACCGATGTCATTGCTGCTGAAAAGGATATTGTCACTTATGGTGGCTTTGACAGCCACATCCATTTCATCTGTCCTCAGCAGGCTCCCGAATCGCTTGCGTCAGGAATCACAACCCTTTTGGGAGGTGGCACAGGACCAAGGTAAGGAACTAGATCTTGAGATACTGCGGTGGATTGCTGACATGATTCTAGCACTGGCACTAATGCCACAACTTGCACACCAAGCGCATGGCTGATCGAGAGTATGCTGCAAGCTACTGATGTAATACCCCTCAATGTAGGTATTACCGGCAAGGGCAACGATAGCGAACCTGGTCCTCTACGTGAACAGGCCGAAGCTGGTGTCTGCGGTCTCAAATTGCACGAAGATTGGGGATCCACACCCGCAGCCATCGACACTTGTCTAAGCGTTTGCGATGAACATGATATCCAGACTCTTATCCATACCGATACCCTCAACGAGTCTGGCTTTGTCGAAACCACTGTTGCGGCATTCAAGGGCCGTACCATTCATAGTTACCACACTGAGGGAGCAGGTGGTGGTCACGCTCCTGATATTATTTCTGTCGTCGAACATGAGAATGTTCTTCCTTCCAGTACTAACCCTACCAGACCTTACACCAACAACACACTTGACGAGCATCTTGACATGCTCATGGTGTGTCACCATCTCTCTCGCAACATCCCTGAAGACGTGGCCTTCGCCGAAAGTCGTATCCGCGCAGAAACAATCGCGGCAGAGGACGTTCTGCACGATCTCGGTGCCATCAGCATGATGAGTTCAGACTCACAAGCCATGGGTCGCTGTGGAGAAGTCATCCTCCGCACCTGGAACACCGCCCACAAGAACAAAGTTCAAAGAGGTTTCTTGCCCGAAGACCAAGGCACGGGCGCAGATAACTTCCGCGTTAAGCGCTACATCTCCAAATACACCATAAATCCCGCCATCGCACAGGGAATGTCCCACCTCATCGGCAGCATTGAAGTTGGAAAACTGGCTGACCTTGTTCTCTGGCATCCCTCCAACTTCGGTGTCAAGCCTTATCAAGTCGTTAAGGGCGGTATGGTGGCTTATAGTCTGATGGGTGATGCCAATGCTAGTATCCCCACCGTCGAGCCCATGATCATGAGACCCATGTTTGGTGCCTCTGTAGCTCACAACAGTATTGCTTTCGTCAGCAAAGCAGCAGTAAGCAAGGGAGTCAAAAACAAATGCGGTTTGAAGAAGCGCGTCGAAGCCGTAAAGAATTGCAGGAATATTGGAAAGTCTGATATGAAGTTTAATGCCGTCAAGCCGAAGATGAAGGTTGATGCTGAGAGTTATGTAAGTTTTGGGTTCCTGGTGAACACGAATTTGGAAGGATGGCGTACTGACTTGTGTAAACAGACTGTTGAAGCTGATGGTATGGTTTGTGAGGCTGAGCCGTCTGCTCAATTGCCTCTTGCTCAGACTTACTATCTCTACTGATGCGTTGTTCTGAGGCAATATGTTGTCATTTGTTTGTATCTCTTCGAATCTTTTGTCGCCGTCACGAGTCAGGATGATATTTACTGCTTTGCTGCGTTTGTTGCGAGCGTTCACGCTTCTCTTTACATATTCTATGGAATCGATTTCGGACCAGCAAGGCATAGTGTACTGTGAGCTGTGACGAAGTGTAAAAAGAGACAACTCACGGAAAGAGAAAATGAGTCAATCGTTGTAGCTCTGTCAGGACTCTTTCCGTCTTTTGCTCCTGGCTTCTCGATATGATTCCTTGATGAGCAACACACGACTTCAATCCAGAACATCCACCGAGTCCGATTCCGTGGTGTTTACATTACCTGCCACTTTTCTCTCGTCCCACACGCAGATATCCCTTACCTCAGCACAGTGACCCGAAAGAGTGATAACAGAAGCTGTATGCTACTTCATGGGTTTCTAATGAGCCTTGTTAGTGGAGATTGTGGTGAGCATGTCAAATAGCGGAAGCGGGCCGATGTGGAGAGGAGAGTCGAGGAAAGAATTGGCCGATGTCGGCTCAGCTGTGGGCTCCCCACCGTCGTGTGGGAAAGTGTTACAGGCCAAAGTTGACTTGAACATTCAGACTCATACAACAACACACACACACTACAAAATGCCTTCATATAACATTGTCGTCTTCGCCGGTGAGTAGTCTAGCAGCAGAATGGAGAGAATTGAACAAGGCTAACTCATAGCAGGTGACCACTGCGGTCCTGAGGTACGACCACGCCTATGACATAACCGCTGGGTTCAATTTACTTACACGCAGTCGCAAACAGGTTACAGCTGAGGCTATCAAGGTACATGATGATTGAGATGAGGAAGAGGAAGAAGCAGTCAACTTACGCGACACACAGATCCTCAAGGTGATTGAGAAGGAGGCCAAGGACATTTCCTTCAACTTCAACGAGCAACCGCTTGGTGGTGTACGTCTCTTCTTTCGCAAGAGTCGACAACGACAGGAACTGATATCCTGCAGGCTTCAATCGACGCACACGGTATTCCTCTTACCGACGAGGCTCTCAGCGCCGCAAAGTCTGCCGATGCCGTCCTTCTCGGTGCCATTGGCGGCCCTGTACGTTCTTCACCAAATTTTCCGCGCCGACCACACCGTCTGACAAGAAACAATAGAAATGGGGCACTGGCGCAGTCCGTCCCGAGCAGGGTCTTCTCAAGTTGCGCAAGGAGATGGGCACATTCGGTAACCTTAGACCTTGCTTCTTCGCTTCCGACTCCCTCATCGAGGGCTCACCACTCAAGGCCGAGGTCTGCCGTGGTGTCAACTTCAACATTATCCGTGAATTGACTGGTGGTATCTACTTTGGTGACCGCACCGAGGACGATGGTTCAGGTTACGCCATGGACACCGAGCCCTACTCGCGCGCCGAGATTGAGCGCATCACCCGCCTTGCCGCCAACCTCGCCCTCGCCGAGAACCCCCCAGCTCCCGTCTGGAGTTTGGACAAGGCCAACGTGCTCGCCACTAGCAGACTGTGGAGAAAGGTCGTCACCGAAGTCATGGAGAAGGAGTTCCCTCAATTGCAGCTTGGTCACCAGCTCATCGACAGTGCTGCCATGATCATGGTCAAGAACCCCCGTGCTCTCAACGGTGTCATTGTGACCAGCAACTTGTTTGGCGACATTATTTCAGACGAGGCTTCTGTCATTCCTGGCAGCTTGGGTCTTTTGCCTAGTGCTTCGCTCAGTGGTGTCCCTGACGGCAAGAGCAAGTGCAATGGTATCTACGAGCCCATTCACGGTACGCTACTCAGAACTATTTTCCCCTATACTTCAACTAATCCGCCCTCCAGGTTCCGCACCCGACATCTCCGGCAAGGGCATCGTCAACCCCGTTGCCATGCTTCTTTCCGTCGGCATGATGCTCAAGTACTCCCTCCAAGAGCCCGAGCTCGCCAAGGCCGTCGACGAGGCTGTCAGAGTTGTCATCGAGCAAGGCATCAAGACCGGCGACATTGGCGGCAAGGCAAAGACCGCCGAGGTCGGTGATGCTGTTGCCAGCGAGTTGGCCAAGATCCTCAAGAAGTAAAGGACGGAAAGAAAAAAGTTATATGCCGGAACATGAAATTGTATAAAAGCAAGGGAATAGATACGACACAACAGCGAATGACATTTATTATGATCTTCTACGGAGCACAGTCTTTTGAACAATTCAAGTGCTTTTTCCTCAATCTTCCTGCAAGACCGCATTGGCCTCAGCAAAGGCTGCTTCTTATCATCTTTCTCAAGTCTTTGCTTCCATATCAGGCTTCATCACAATAGCTGATGCTTCTTCTTCTCCGCAAGTGTTCACTCGTCTAAGAACAACGCTGCCTTCAAGACTTCATTTCTCATGAATACCGTCTTAAACCATATCAAACCCGAGGTTGAATTACACAGGTCACATTGTTTTCGCCAGTCAATCTCCCCTAATCATATCTCATAATCAACAAGATCCAATTCAATAATGCCCTTTCTCAGCGGACCAATAGGCACCCTTATAAGGCACAGGCTTATTCTCCTTGACCCAAACCATATGTTCCTCACTCATATGCTCGGGCGGAATCAACCCATTAAACTTCCACAACCTGCGTTCCGTCTCTTCAACATGGAACTCGCAATCATAGTCTTTGTCGTAGATATGCGGTTTGAGCGCTGCATCAATCATGCCTGCTGTTCTGCGATACGTGTCCGTGGTATTGTCCAGTCGAATCGCAATGTGTTTGATTACAATCCGGATGAAGGGTTTGGGAGAAGTGGTTTTGGCCTCGCCGCCGACGTAGACGTTGGAAGGGGATATGGTGTTGAAGTGGATTACGACGTAGAAAGCAGGTAACCCCACGTTGGTGTAGATTTTTGTGATGTCGGCGGCGAGGGCGGCTTTGGTCTCTGCGTCTTCGAAGACACCGGGTGGGTGGTAGATTTGCCAGAGAGGCATGACTGTGAGGTTTTCAAATGATCAGGGTTGAGATTTCAAGCGGTTCGTCTGTGAAAGAAACAGAGTTTACAAGAAGTAAGAGGCTCAAACCAGCAAAGAGCTCGACGATAGAGAGAGGTTTATATAAGTTAGAGCTGGCAAAAAACGGCTCATCCTGTTGTCTGTCAACATCCACGTTGTGCGAAAACACGGATTACTGATACTCTCGCTATAGCGAGACGATGGTTATTGAAACTCAATACATGTTCCAGCTCTGGCGATTACTGATAGCCCAGCCACCAAAGCTGGCATAGTACCAACGATTAGTGCCCACCGGGGTGGGCCATGGAATGCCATTCTTCCGTAGCTCAAAAGGCAAACGTCTGAACAGGTCGGAGAGGCAACACAAGGACTGTGAATTTTTCCAGGTATCGTCAAGAGTAGTTGTTACCACGAAGGCATCTTACAAGTCTGGCATGTGTGTTGCAAACAGATGAGTGCTTGCTGATACGAGCTTATCGTTGAGTCAACAATTGACCCCACACTTCGGAGTTTAGTCCTCTATCGAGCCTCGGTGGAGCGGTTAAATCCGAGCCCTCAAGGCTTCCGATCAGTGATCAGTGATCACCATCCTTTGTGCCACCAGGACTTGGACGGAGTCCATCTTGTACCGGCCTGCATTGCTCATGCCTCGGACTCGGGGTATCTCTACCCCTTCGTCCTCATCCCATCCTTACTATCTTCTGCCATAGTGGTGCCTACCATATTGCTGACCAACATTCGCCCAATGCTGATCAGACTTAGAAGGATCCGATGCAGCCAAGACACCGACAACCCTGTCTTACAGTGCAATCTCGGACTCAGGTGTGATTCGTTGCCCGCCTCAATTGCTTCGAGGCCATATAAATGTGACCAGCTGCCGCTTGTGAAGCGCAGTTCCATCAGCATCATCTGAATATTCACTGAATCAAATTCAATCATGACCAAATCTCTCATCTTCATTACCGGTGGCACAGGCTATATCGGTGCTGAAGTAGTCTACCAAGCACTTGAAGCAGGCCATCGTGTCCGTCTCAGCATCAGAAGACCCGAACAGGCTGCTGTATTGAAGGACCGCTACTCGCAATATGCTTCTGAGATCGAGACTGTCGTGATCCCGGACATCAGCCAACGTGAACCCTTCGAAACCGCTTTGGCTGATGTCGATGCTATCATTCATATCGCATCTCCTCTTCCTGGAGCAGGGAAAGACTTGAAAAAAGACTTCATCAAGCCTGCACTTGATGGTACTGAATCAATCTTGTACGCAGCGCTCAAATTTCCAAAGATCAAGACTGTCGTCATCACCTCGTCTGGTATTGCACTTGTGCCCATCACCACTCACATGGAGGTCAAGAACGTCCTGAGGGGTAAGACCAATCCACATTAGCTACCGAGGTGTTACTAATTCATCTCAGAGGACACTGGAGAAGTCTTGCCGGTCGATCTTGACATGGAAATACCAGATGGTTATGACGGTCAGCAGACAATGTACCGCATCTCGAAGGTCCTGGCTCATCAAGCTGCTCGCGACTTCCTCGCAAGAGAGAAACCTTCGTACAAGCTGTTCACCACACACCCAACACTTGTCATAGGTGAAAGCAGAATTCAAAGCTCGGCTGAGCAGGTCGATTTTGTCAACGGCATCCTGTGGTCGATCATCAAGACCGGATCACCAAGCCCCACACCTATGCCGTCCCTCTGGGTAGATGTCAAGGACGTGGGTGCCATCCATCTCAGAGCAATCGACTGCGATGCTCCTTCGGGCACCGAATTTGTCGCATCGGGTCCCGAGGTATCGTGGAATGACATTGCAAAGTTCACATTGGAAGAGTATCCCGAAGTTACCAAACTCGGCCCCGATCACGATGGCTTCAGCAGTCAGGTGGAAGCAGTCAATGCTGGGAAGTACCTCGGATTGGAGTGGCGTCCATGGAAGCAGACATTCAGGGAAACTATAGAGCAGCAGCTGAGTTTCCAGGACAAGGCTTCGAAGTGAGCATCAGGGTGCATAGCTTTCTTTTGTGCCTTGGTAACGTAGATCAATGAACGACATGTCATCGATCAACCAATCAATTTCGCTCGATGCAGAGACTCGTCTTGTAACGTGAGATGAAACCTGATAGTGTAATGCTGACAGACAAATTGGCTTTGTTGACGTCTGTATATTGTGTAACGATCCATAATCAGATTGCCACCCTTTGCATACTCTGGAAGGTAGCAGCAATGACATGTGATGCAAGAAGGGCAGGACCTTGACCGAGGCAGACGGAAAACTGCATGAGTACTGGGTGACTTGTTAGTGTCACTCTTGCCAGCACTCATCATCAATAAGCTTACTGTGTATGAGTTTGTTCTCTTCCAGGATCCAACGCTTGCCTTGGTAATCAAAGTGACAGGGTGAAGTCACGGCATTACCTGTTGGGTCCACAAACTGCCTCAGCTGACCATTGGAGACATAAAAGTTCTCAATATCACGAGGTGTCATATACGGATCGTCTTGGGGATTGCTTTGTCCCGAGATCATGTGTTCTTCCACCAACGTGTCTTGCAACATCCGTGAACGATGACCAAAGTCGAAATTTGGGTAGGTCCGATACTCCAGTTGATCAAAGTTGTCTTGACCTAAGGCCGAGATCAATGATTTTCGAACCTTTTCAGGAGAGAAACGATCAATGTAGGCACCGAAGGCTCTTTCCAGAGCAGCCTGATGTCTTCTAGTGTCTGAGAGCATTCGTAGTGCCATCTCTGCACATCGTCGCCACAGTCTCTTCGCAAAAGTCGGCTCATGGACAGCTGTGTACGGGATTGGGTTGAGTTGTCGGACAAGCTGTGCAGAGAGGCTTGAGGATGAATCTGTATGAGCTGACAATGGCATGTACGGCATACGGTCATCAGCGACAGCAGTATAACCGAGCGGCCATATCTGTTCGCGTTCTTGATCTAAAGACTTTGATATGTCCTCTGGGGAAGAAGACTGTTCGGACGTGCTCATGGCTTGTGGGAAGTGGAGGGCATCAGCCATATCTAAGGATAGCAGATCATCCGATGCTCCAGGGAAGAAGCTTTCAAGTGTTGATGGAGACAAAGGGGTCAAGAACTGTGCAAGAGTAGTGTCGTCGATTGCAAAATCACCAGAGTTGACTTGAGCATTCATGTCATGGGCAAGCTCGAAATCGTGTCGGTGGTTTCCAGGAAGCTGGTGAGAAGGTGGAGCAGGGGTGACTGATTCATTGCTCACAGGAGTATTGTCCTGAGCACTCAGACGCGCGATGGTCTCTTTAGCTTCTGCGAGCTGTTTGCGAAGAGCTTCAATCTCGCTATTTGCATTCTTGAGCTCGTCCACTTTGCGCTGCCTCAGCCGTCGTTGAGCGTCACGTAACTGTGCCTTGCGTTTGACCTCGCGTGACGTCTGACTGTTCATTGTAGTATCTGATTTATCCATGCTGGCGACGCGATTCCTGAGAGATCGCACTATATTACTGCACTTTAGACAGATACAGCAAAGACAAACATGAGGTCGTGCCTGCTTCGTCAGCAAGGGATCTCAAAGACCGTCGGCCTCTTGTTGCTCCGAGGCTGCTTTAGGGCATGGACGTAAATTCAGCGACCTTGTTCTAGGCACCGTTTCTTGGAAACTCTATTGGATATCGCGAATTGATGTCGGAGATCAATGTTCTACAAGTATTCGCGATCATATCCTTCGAGATATCTATGTGAATTTTATAACCACGCTCAGTTTAGACAGAAGGATATTGTGCGACCACATATCTGAAAGTCATTATCCAGTAACCCAAGACCACTTTACAGCATAGTCAAGCCACCGAACCAGCCTGCTTAGATCCTTGCTTGAATATTCTCTCGTGCTTGAATGTTTTCTGCAGCAGCAGCGTTTTTTCTGGCCCACATCTGCTTTCGCAGTTCGTGACCGTCCATGAATGCATCAAACCATTCTGGCTTGTAAGGTGGTAGAGGTCGTCCTTTGCCATTCTCGCCTGGACCAGCGAGAGCTCTGACAGTTTCAAAGTATTCCTCGAAGTCAGGGTGAATGACGTTAAACGCAGGGCCGTCGCCCTTCTTCTTCACGCGTTCTGCCTCCCATTGCTGTTGCTCCTCGAGAGGCGGCAATTTGGCACGCCCAGCCAGCAATCTTGCTGCGAGTACAGCTTGCCATTCGAAAATCTTGAATGTTAATCCAGCTCCAACCTGACACAACGCGTTAGTGTTAATCAGCAAATCAAATTCGAGTTACTTACTGCTCCGACAAATAGCAATGTCGGATCTTGCTGGTAGACGACATTCTGATATAGGCCCGGGACTCTGTTGTTTCTAATCTTCACATCCGGCAGAAAAGGGAGACTCCAAGAATATCCAGTGCCAAAGATGATGTGGTCAACATTTTGTACTGAGGTACCGTCAATGAAGTGTACGGTGCGTTGGCCCCCTGAGGTGTCGATATGCGAAATAGTTGGCTTCCTGATGACTCCTGGGTTGTTAAATGCGCCGTCTCCAAAGTAAACGTTGATGGTATGACCGTTGACCACTGCATAGACCTTGGAGTCAACCACGCCAACAAGGTCTGTAGAGATGTCGGCTGCAGATACTGAGCCACCAACCACAACGACACGCTTGCCTTCGTAAGCATCTCGGCCGCGATACATTTTGCTGTGTAGAACACTGCCAGGGTGTTGGTTCTCAAGCTCCTCTAGCCCCTTTACTGCTGGAACATAAGGCACATTGAAGTGTCCACTCGCGACAACCACGGCGTCGAACCACTCAACCCACCAGTAATCCTTTTCGCCTTCCTCTCTTCTCAAGGTGACTTTCCACTCATCACCGACCTTCTCCACTCTTTCAACATGAGTATTATAGCATACTAGATCCTCATAGCCATTGCGTTTGAATAGACTAGTCACATAGTCTCTCATGACAGTCCAGTGCCGAAAGGGTGATTTCTCACCATGCAACTCAATCGTTCGTGCCGAAAGCTCCCCCATGATAGGCTCTTGGGTGTACTCCATAGTTACCACATCAACATTTGTCTCAAGATAAGGATAGATCGACGAGTCTGTCCATCGGGGCTGAGTGTTTCTTGGAGTATGACCTGGAACCTGTACCGGTAATTGTACTGGCTGATCTGCCGTCCTCGTAGCCAGCGCTGCAAATTCAGTCAATGGAGCTGGTGGTAGCTTATCTCCGTACCTATCTATCTGGTCAGCTGTCTTGAATGATCTTGCAGATAGCAATAGATAATTTGAAAAGTTCTCGAGAACTATCCGCCATGATTAAGGCGATCAGGGAACAATAAGAAAAATACACTTACCAGCATCCTCCTGGGCCTTCCTGCCTGTCAAAGACACGGATTTGATCAAACGCCTCTTCTCGAGCCAGGGCATCTACTGTGATTGCTCCCGATGGACCAGCGCCAATCACAGCCACTCTTCTGATCTTTCCGGTCGCCATCTCTGTGCACTTTGATTTCTAAAATTGTTTTGGGCCAAGATCGGTTGCTCCTGAGGCGATAACTCCGAAAAGCCTGTGTACGTATTTGTGTACCAAATTGCAAAAGATCTCAGCGAACGATTGTATATACAAGAAGAAAAATCAACGACAAGAAGAAAGCGACAATCAAACGGACTGAGGGTGTAGAAGAGCACGGGACCTTCCTAGACGGGACATGGACATGGCAAAGAAATTGGCTTGATCACGCAAATCTTGGCGACCGGCAGATCGCCCGGGTCAAGAGCGACCCTGTCAGCTTTCCTTCCTCTTCTCTGCGCTCGCGATCGTACAGCAGTAATAAATCTGCCACGCGTCGGTGCAGAATTGTTCAATAGCAATCGCGCCCATAGCAGAGAGCTTTCAGTGTCAATGTGGGTCGTCAATAGATCTCGCGTGGTACGAATACTTCAACACTTACATGCGGCAGAATTTACTTGCCGCCGCCTTGATGACAACCTGATAACACTTCACAATATCTCATAGAGATTCTGATTTCCCTTATGTCTTCTATAGTCGATCAAAGTGGAAATTCTCATGTCTTGGGGACCAAATAGCAGACAACAAGATAGACAAAAAAACAAGGTGAGTATCTGATAGATGCTTTGAAAAGCCGTGGTTGAACCTTAATCGACAACCTCCTCTATCAGCGTTCCTGCTTCCAGGCTACACCTCAATACGACTTCATCACAATCACCATTGGCACTATATAAAACCAATACACTCGCCAATCCAAGTAGGATCTGGAATGATCCAAAACCCGCCTCCTTTCTTGCTCGCTGCTCGATTGACGTTCATCTCGGCTAGAAGAGCTTCACGCTGTTTTCGTCTTGTGTTTCTGCGCTCGACATTATCACCACCAGGCAGGAACACTGTTGCAGCCAATGCCTTCAATGTCGACCTCAAGGATTCTTCGTACTCTTTGCTAGAGATCTTGATTCCTTGCTCTTCTCTTTCTATCAACGTCTTTCTTAGCTTGTCATGTTCATTAATCGTTCTGCGACAGACATCAAGATCCTCAAGGTCGGGATATTCCTTCAAAACCTCTGCTTTTTCTTCCTTGGTTGTGATCAGTAAGATCTTCGCAAGGGTGTCTTGACATTGTTTATAGTCGGCCTTCCACTTTCCGAGTGCATCCTCAGTAGTAATGGGATTGTCAATCAAATGTATCACGACGTATTGGAGCGCCAGTTCACAAAAGTGACGCTTCTCATCATGTGAGACGTCTGCGGCAAATTCTCTTGCTTGATCGCTTTCAGCTTTTTCGCTCCTCGGGACCAGAACCTTCTCACTTTCAACTTCGTATTGGTTCAAGATGGCTTCCCTTACAGCCGCTGTCGCAAGCTTGGGATACCGTGCTAGTACAGCATTTCTCTCTGCCTCGTACATGTTCTCGGCTTTCGGTGCGTTGTTTTTCAACCAAGCGTCGCACTCCCTGTACTGTTTGGACAGCTTCCTGGAGGATTCGTCTTCCAAGATGAGGGCTGCTGTAGCGTCGAGCTTCAGACGAATGAAATGTTCCAGCTGAAGCCCATGGAGGCGGAAGTTCTGAATTCTGGTACTCTGGGATACACCTAGAGTTGCACATCGATCATAATATTGATACACGACGCGCTTTCTGGCTTTCTGGTCACTGAGCTCTGGATGATTGGACAACAGAATCGCTCTTGCGTCGCTGGACGTATGGACTCCATTTGCCCAAAGGCATACAGTCGCTGGTCGAACAATGAACGGTGGTCGAACAGAATTGATGTGATTTTGTCTGACGAAAGGCATCTTGTAGAATTGCTGGCTCTTATGAAAAGCAGAACTCTCATTCAGAGGCGAGGTGCAAAGCGATTGCAAGTGGCTCAGGATTTAGCTTGTGGTCATGCAGGTCGGCTGGGTTTCAATGCGGCACAGTGCAGACATCCCTGTCTTGCCTGGATTGTGTAACCACACCCGCATACTCGGACAGGATCTGCAACAAGTGTGATCACACCGACGACCTGAAAACCAAAGAAGTGACATTATCAACCTTTAGCATCGCGAAACGTACTGCTTGTTGCGGCGATGTGATTGAGCTGTTCTCGGGCATTTCTCCTTCTCTTAGATTCACTTGTGCCACCTCCACGACTTTTTTGCCTTACTATATGCTGGCAGAGTTAACATTCCAGAATATCCATGCGACGCTTATTCGTGAACTGTGGTTTCTGATACATCATCTGCGGCCTCTTCCTTCTTTGATACCTCTTCTTTCTTACGTCCTCAGAAGCCCTCCAAAGACTAATAGATTGAAGAGGCGAGGAAAGCATTCAGAAGAAGGTAGATTGCGCTAGTTCTTGACAACGGTGATAGTAGTTTTTGATTGTTTCAGGTCTTGGCTTGGGGATAGAGTTGCATTTCCTGTCGTATTCGTGCGTAAGAGGCTTGGGTTACACTGACTTTGATGAGGTGCATCTTTGATCCATCGGACTTCTCCTAGGTGGGTAGAAAGGTCAAGTGCTAAAATGTTGCAAGGTTCGGTGGAATCAGCGAACACCCCACGTGCGAATGCCTTGTTTGTGATTGCCAAGCAAATCCAACTGCAATGCAGAACGCTCCTTCTCCTTCTGCTTCTCCTTACTCTATCGTACAATAACAACAAACACAATCAGCCTCCGTATTCCTGCCGCAATACGATGCACACTCATCCCGAGTATACCGGTCTAGAGCCCAGGAATGAGGAACGAGACGTTGTCAATGGATCATTCCATTGTTGTTTAGCCCTCGGAATTCTGACTTTCCTGCCCTAAACTTCTTCGACGTCAGGAGGGGCCAACCGTTGTTCTCTTCTATTGTAGCAGAGTTGCCACTTCCGAAGCTTGTGTCTACACGAAAAGTGTGTTCGAGGTAACGTTAGGTAACTGGTGGTGGTTGTGCTGCACGCTGGATCAACCTCGGCTCCTGATGCTGCCTTGAGCGATAGTAAGAACGGCGACGGTTTACAAAGAGTGTTCTATCTTTGGTTTGAGACACAAACAGCCTCTTGGATATCTGTAAGTGGCGTAATTCATGGTTCTGTACCCCGAAGACGAAGAGTTGTGTTGCTCTCGAGATGCAAACTTAGGATCTACAATGCCGAGGACGCTTCTGCAGGAACCCGTATAACTCAAAACTGTGAACACACGATCTTCAACGATCCAAGGCAAGAGACGCAGAGTCAAGGTAAGTCAGGCTAGACTTGCTTCGATGGTCTTGCTCTTCGCTCCATTTGGAAAGTGTGCACGCTCAGAGATGAAGGGCCGTTATGGATACGAGAGCTGAACTCCTGGTAACGGGTTCCTGGTTCCTGAGCCAAGCTCACACCAGCACCCTCAAGCCATGCATCACGGTATTGGCACGAATACCTCTCTGGTATAAAAGACCTGCTTGACCATTGTCAGATTGATTCCTCCCATCACTCGCAACCACGGTCATTCGTCTGATTTTTCAATCCAACTTCCACATTCGCTATACAAAGCATCACTACACCTTTTAATATCCCACAACTTTCAATCCACCACACCACCACAAACATGAAGTTCACCGCTGCCGCCTCTCTCGCCTTCATCGGCGCCGTCGCCGCCCAAAACTCCACCACTGCCGCCACCGGCTGTGTTGCCAAGTACAACACCTGCAGAACCACCCCAGTCGATGGTCTTTCCGCCAACCAGGCTTACTGCGCTTCTCAGAATGCTCAGTGCCAGGGTGACTGCTATGCTGCTCTGAACACCTGCAGAAGCACCCCTGTCGATGGCCTCTCTGCCAACCAGGCTGCTTGTGTTGCCGAGTATGCTACTTGTCTCGGCGAGAACCCTATCGCTAGCACTGGCGGTCTCATCTCGACTTTGATTCCCTACAGTGCTACTGCTTCTAGCAGTGCTACTGTTGCTTCCGCCTCTGGCAATTCTAGCATGGTTTACACTACTGAGGTTGTTACTGCGTAAGTGGCTACCCTGTATCCTTCTATCTGCCTAAACATCATCTAACCCGCCATCCCAGATTCACCACTGTGTGCCCTGCCCCCACCGCCGGCGCCTACGTCACCACCATCGCCAGCAAGGAATACACCATCTCTTCGGCCACCACCATCACCGTCACCGACTGCCCTTGCACCATCTCATCCATGGTTCCTGCCAAGTCCACTCTGACTTCTGCAACTGGAGCCAAGACCAACGGTACTGCTACTACCACCAAGCCTGCCATTTACACTGGTGCTGCTGCTCAGTTTGGTGCTGGCATGGGATTCTTGGGTGCTGCTGCTGGTGCCGTTATGCTTTTGTAAGCATGTTTGCGGTGGTAGGTGCAGATGCATTGCGGTACATTTCACCGGCTTGCTGAGTGATGGATGTGGTGAGCCACGAGATGTCAAAGAGATACAGTATATCCTCAAGGAAGCTTATTCCTTTTTCTTCTCTGATTTGGAGAGGACGCTGTCAACTAAACTTCAATGACTAGATTGCAACTAATATAAACCATACCATCAATGTCAGATAATAATCAGTATTTCTTTTGACCATAAGACTATTCGCTAAGCATGGAGACTAATTAGAGTGATATTTTCACACACATCTTATATACCAGCATCACTACCCTAGTACTTATGGTAGCCATTCTTATTGAGGATTCGAGCTTCGAGTTTTGTGGTTGTAGTTGGTAATTAGAAAGGGAAGCAAGAGCGACTCAAGATGATGGCTGATATGCACGGGTCGCGGCTGAGCAGTAGGGTCTGCGGCACAAAAATTCATGCAGCCAACGAGACATTTCAATTCTACTAATCGACGCACCCTTCAAATCTTCAACTTATGGTCAAGGCGCCCGAGTTTCTGAGTCTCAGCCCGTCCGCCATAGCGACGTACGTCAGGATGAGAGCTAATGTCGCAGCCACGACGGAGGTCCTTGATTCGCTCAACGATAGTTTGACACACACCTGGAGCCCAAACCCTTTGGAGGCGAGTCGTCTCCTTGCGTTGAAGTACATATTCCTAGAAAGCAGTATTCCAAGCACATACGGCCACAGTCAGCTGAAAACTGGGCATCCCGTCCGCTCTGCCATACATAAGCAGTTGAACGGCAGATTAGTACTACGGTGGGTGACCACGTGGGAATCCCTGCTGCTGTATGTTTTGCTCTTTTTTTTGTTTCTCAACATCATACATTCTTTTTGCTCAGGGACCTTGTCGTTGTTCTGGGATGTGAGCAGCTTGCAGACTGGAAGCGTTTCTGGCTGCATCATGATTCTGAAATAAATACACACAGCATCCTGACTATACGCTGGACGTGCTACAAATTGAAATTAGGTTGCACATGTAAGTATATTGCCTGCCTACGGGTGCTAAGGGTCGAATGTAATCCATGTGCTACAAGACATCGAGCATATCAAGGATTTCGCCTAAAACATCATCACATAATCGCAACTAGGCTCAAAGCCTTGCAGGCACAGATGTTTTTCCAGCACCAAACACATGAACCCTCTTTGTCCTTTTCATTTGTCGCTGTGCTTGTTTCTTGTATAGCGAGGACATGGTAAGAGGCGTGATGAATGACGGGTTCTGAACCTGTCACTCACTTTATTGCAGCTGATCAAAATCGGTCTATACATAGACCGCGGTATGATGTTGTTGCTAAGGTCGAGCACGACTATGTTCTGCTGAAAAGCAATGGTTTTAGACAACAACGTCAAGGCACGGAGCAGACTTCACAGGTCAACAGGTGAACATCGATTCTCACGTGATTCTCAATGCTGTCATTTGCATGCTCTATAATTTTGCACGGTGTTGTTGTTGACTTTCGGCAGGCCTTTCTAGCACACTTGTCTCGTCTGCTGTTTCATGCTTCTGGTGTTTGTCCAAGTGCACAGCGATACCTTCGATGAGGATGCTCACTCAAGTCCAGTTCTCTCTCTTCCCTCCTTTCCTTTTCCTTTTCTGGGATGTTTGTGCACTTCCATCGCTCAAGAAAGACCATGATCTTTCAACGTAGTGAAACTCACAGCCAGCAGACCTCTCTAGCTCTTTCAGCTTCCGTCAGAGAATTTTTTGTCGTAGATTTTGTTCAAAAACACATGTGTAAGGTCTTTGGTAAGCATTGTTCCATCGCCCAACAGCTCGCGGAATGTACTGTCTCCGAAGAACGTCTCGAAGTGCTTGAGGACCAGTTTTTGAGCATTCGTGGTCAGTGAATCATCGGCAAGTTGATGAGCATCAGAGCCAAGCAACTTTTGAATTGCATGAATGGTTTCCTCGTAGAACGCGCCATCTGATATCTCTCCTGCAAGAAATTCGTTGAACTGTTCTGCAGCCTCTTTTCTGAGTGATCTGATATCGTATTTGTCTCCTAACATGAAGACCGTTAAGTGAAATTCTGGATAGCTCCAATCATTGATTTGTATTTCTTGCTTCTTGTATGTCGTACCATAGAGATGTTTGAGCATGGCCATGATTGCGTTGGGGCTAGCATCTTCATCATGCAGCTTAATGACTTTCTTGTTGGCTTCCTGAATCATGGTCAGCAAAATGACTCGATATCTCGTGGATGGTAGCAAAAGATACACTGAAGCTACCACAGAGAGCCTTCTCAAACCAAACCGATCCGCTTGCAAGCATAACCTTGTGAGCAAAGATTTGCTGGTTGCCAAACTTGACTATAACGTCTGGGAACTGCTCATCATTGAAGAAGGTACGCTTTCTGCACGAAGATTAGACGATGATCTCCCAGGTTCATACAGACAAGTGTGACTGACTGAGCGGGTGTGTTGTTGGCCATGATTGCTAAGACGTGCGGCAAAAAGCAGGCTCCCTGTGAGCTGGGGGGATGGTTCAGAGCTGATGTTTGAGAGGAAAAGCGCAGAATGAAGATCGGAAGGAAGATGAAGTAGCGTCTCGCAGAGTGGCAGTGAATTTATCGGACTGAAGTGAGAAGTGTTTCACCTGAGCACACCGCAAGTCGATATCTCTCCGTGTACACAGTTTTTTCACTCTCACTATCATTAGACATTTACAACTAGCTTCATATAGTGGAGATGTTTCCAAAAGCTCTACACAGCAACTTCTTGCAACGGGCAGCTTCCCATTGTGGAAAACATCGCGCATCTTGAGAACTCTCTGTCCACTATGACGAAGTGTGAGAGGACTAAGACAGGCACTGTGAAAATTCAGCACACGCGCCGCTGCAATTACTCAGGCTGGGACTGTGAAGATCAGAAGCCGTGTTGAAGCTACAGAGATGAATGAGGAGCCAGATTGAGATGAAAGCAACAAACAGAGAAAGCAAGAATGGAACGGCGCTTCATGAAGTGATAGGGGTTGTAGTCATCGTGATATGCATCGAAGCTATTCGACGAGGTTTTGGTACTCATCAGCTAGGATCAAGTGTGGATGCTGTTGGACAGGTATGAATGTGGCAGAGTTTGGGGTTTTTGTGTAGAAGATGCATTGTTCTGAGAGCAAAAGCAGAATGTGCTCTAGAGAAAGAAGGCTAAGCTGTGGAATCATGTTCGCCCTTTCTTCGAGCAGAAAACCTGTTCAACGTTCTTCCCCAATAATTGTACATGTGAGTGGCTGCTGCCCTCTGAAGACATGGTGAGAAGAGGCACTGAGGCCCTTACCAAACTGCGTCGATTTGCCAGCTCCAAGGTGTGTCTCTCGGCGTGACGGGCGAAGTGCTCCAGAAATCCTGTGAGGGTTTAATTAGTATATACATTCTTCGTGCTGACAGATCACCAACTTGGATGCCATACACCATGAGATACTCACATCCCTGTTTCTTGACTGCAAACGGGTGATGAGCTCGCCAGTTTTCTGAAGAAAGTGGCGGCTGAACGAGTCGCTGAACATGGTTCCGTCGCCCAACAGCTCCTGGAAGAGCTCACTTTTGTACAAGTGGCTTGCTTGTTCGATTATGAACTTGAATACATCTCCCTGAATACTGTTGTCGGCGAACGTGTCTGCACTTGGTCCGATGATTTGCTGAATCGACCGAACGATGTGATCTGGAAAGTGATACTGATTGGGATCGCTCGAGCCGTAGTGGTCGTCTCTGAAAGAGTTGATAAAATGGAAAGAGGCCGTCTTGCGTAGCTCGGGAGCATCGTAGAGGTCGCCGAGTCGATACATGGTCAGGTGCTGGTCAGCGGAGTCGCCATCAAGTCCGTCCAGGCGATAAGTGCCGTCATAGAAGAATCTCAGCATAGCAGTCACGGCGGCCGGATCGTCGTCGCCGCCAATATCGATCACTGTCTGCTTCGATTCCTGGTCAGTCAGCAATGGTATTCAGTGCATCGGAGATGTTGACTTGCCTTGAACTCCCCAAGCAGTGCTTTCTCAAACCAGATGGAACTCTTCACAAGGATAAGTCGGTGAGCAAAGATCTCCTGGTCGCCGAATTTGACGATGACATCCGAGAGTGTCTTGTCTGAGAAGAATGTGCCGAGCTTTCTTTCCTCACTTTTCTGGTCAACGCCGACTTGTTGATCTTGGATATGGGAAACGTACCGTGGTCCTCTTGGAGTTGGACCTTCCGATGAGGTTCGCACTGATATGTGACCCGACATGGTCCTGCTGTTGGATTCTTGACGATGGGCGAGAGAGTTGTGTCTCGAAAAAGTTGGCGAGAAGGACTTATGGTGGAAACAAATGAGCCAAGGCAGACAGGCGGAGTGTGAGTGAAATAGGATCAACAAGACGTCGGCGCGCCGGGTTAGAGAGTGACAAAGGTGAGGGTGTTTTCAATAGCAAACACCTGACACTTTCAGTTCACTACACCACCAGACAGACCTTTCTTAGAAATAAAAACCAAAAGAAGCTGGTGTGTTGGCACAAAGCGCGCAACCAAGTCCAGAACCAGTCTGAATTATAAAAGTTTCTCTTCGCATCACAAACATCCTTCACTACACGATTCTGACTACTTATCCTGGGTAAGCACCTCTTGCCGAAAGTACAGTGGGAGTTCATGAATCTGATTTCTTTCAGACAGCATGGTTACCATTGATCTTGCAATGACTTTCGTCTTCGCCATAGCGGTTTTGAATTTAAACAGTGTGCCCAGGGTTCTGAGCTTCGATTGTGTTGTACGCGACATTTACGACGGCAAAGATGCCATTGCCGTCACCCAGGCGGTACGTCCTGATGCCACCAGACCCAGTCAATCAGATCATGTTTGCACCTGGGACATGATGGTCGGATGCGACACCATGAAAGGGTGAGGAAGCAGAAGATGCTAAAAGCATTACAAGCTGATTCATGCATGGCTGAAGGTAACAATTGAGGGACGGAAATATGAGAGCTTCATACAAGCCCGCAAGACGAGAAAAATCGCTTACACATCATCGACTCTGAAGATGCAAAGAAATGTAAATCGCTTGTGCATAGGGTGGCATTTCCAGTAGCGAATAGTGTTTCATAACGCGAAATGAGATTGTTGAGCGCCACGAGGATGAAGAAATCATATGCGGCATTGAGGTGTCAATGAATCTATAAACTCTGTCAATTTGACTTTGGGAGCCAACGATGGGGGAAGATAAGCAGAAACACTCCGGTGAAAGATATGGAAGTGTCTCAGTGAGTCGGCGGAGATGTATGAGGACAAGGCGCTTGGTCACTCAATGAAGGTTTGCGGCTGCTACCGAACGTGGCCCTCTGAAAGCCGGGATTGGGAGCCGCCGGTTGCCAGGGGCCAGACCCCACCAAGGCAAGTCTTCATCCCGAAATTCTGTGATAGCGAGTAATGCAAAGACCGAAGGGGTTGGGGAATAGTGACTATTGGAAAAAATAGGTCTTTTTTGAAAAAGTGGCGATGCCAGTACGTAGAGAGACATGCTCATCACAAATAGGTGCACTGTAAGTCGTTGGGATGTACGAGATCTGCAGTACCCTAGAGCGGCTGTCGAAGATGTCGTTCGGCTGTCACTCGAGGTAAGAAACCTTCAAGTTACCTAGGTCCGATCACGGATTTGTTAAATAGGTAAGAGAAGACAAGAAAGACGGAATTCTTCGGGCAACGACGTTTAAAGTCGTTGCGATGAGCGGAGATATTGGTGACATGAATTGCTTGGAATTCACGACGTTTAAAGGTGCTTATCTCAAAGTCTGGATCAGTGGCGTTATGGGCAAGGAAGCGACTAGACCCACGGCCTGAGGGAATGTCATGTCTCGCTATCTTGGGTCAGCATCCTTTTGACCTTCCCTGATCCTCGAATACTGAAAGACCATTCTTCTGCTCATTGCTACGCAAACTTGACACGCGACCGACGAAGTCTATCGAAAATACAGGGCGCATCAGGGCTGACTTTTTGAGACCCGACGAGAAGGAAGCAACGGTCCAAGCGTCGCGACTAGGAATTCACGTACGACAACGCGGCTTCATTTGTGCAGTCACGACTGGACAGGCTCCTTCCTGGACCATCTTAGGACACCTTTGAACGCTCACCCCTCTGCGGAGGCGGTGGGCTCTGTCAGGAAAGAGCATGGGAGCATGGAATACTGCGCCACCTGAGCCCCGCACCCGTCGAGGAAACTGGCCGACGCTCCTCTTCAGCTGGTGGTGTACCATCTTTGCTGCTGTAATCATCCTCACGCGCCTGGCCGGCAGGAAGATTCGCAGTGGTCGCCTCTTCCAGGAGGACAAAGTCATGGCCCTGAGTCTGATCCCGCTGTTTGCGCGTATGGGCCTGGTTCATGTCATTCTTTTATACGGCACCAACAATGTGCAGACTGCAAATCTTACTCCTCACGAGATTCACATGCGTCAAATAGGTTCCAAACTGGTCCTCGCATCACGCATCACATATGCTATGTTCATCTGGATCAGCAAGTTCACTGTCTCCGAGTTTCTCAAGCGCATCACCAGTGCCATCTGGAGACGCAGCTACGAGATTGTCCTTCATGGTATTCGCGTCTTTCTGGTTGCAACCTTTATCGCCGTAGTCATAGCCACTCTTTCCGAATGCCAACCCTTCGATCATGTAGGCACACGATTCCTATACACTCCACGCTGCACGTGCGCTAACACCACTTCAGTACTGGCAAGTCGTGCCAGACCCTGGCCCTGCATGCAGACAGGGCTATGCTCAGCTCATTACTATGGGTACTGCAGACATCATTACCGACATCCTCCTCGTCGCCTTCCCAATCCCAATCGTCCTACGCTCGCAGATTCGCCTGAAGCGCAAACTCTCCCTCGTCTTTCTTTTCAGCTTCTCTGTCGCCCTTATCGTCATTACCGGCTTGCGCATTCCCTATGTCATCCTCCATCATGGACGTCAACAATACCGCACTGTCTGGGCATCCATTGAAATCCTCGCTTCTGCTGCCGTCTCCAATGCCATCATTCTAGGCACCTTTGTCAAAGACCGAGGTGTGAAAAAGAACAAATATAGGCCCGACGCTACTTTGGATACGATAACCCGCGCCGACACTCGTCGCGCCACCATCGCATCCTTCCATCGTGACAGCGAGGAAGCTCTTTTTAGGGAGATGGGCGTTCGCATGCCTGAGGAGCTAGCTTCTCCCAAATCTCCTCAGGTCAGACCTGCTCCGGTTGCTCGCATCTCGTCAAACTCAAAAACAGCTCACAATACCGAGTATCTTATGTCGCCCGCCGATATCAGTGATAGTCCACCAAGCCCACACGACAGTGCAGATGCTTTGCGCAAAATTTCCGACACAGCACCCTCGACAGCTACAGGGCAAAGTGTTTCTTTCTTCGACGTCGGTGGACTGCTTGGTGACAGCAAAAATCGACAAGGCTCCTCCGGTACTATAACCCAGGACTTTGCTGACCAAGGTTCTCGTCCCTATGGCGCATCCAGACCGACCCAAGACATACTTTCGGATCTCGGCGGTATGTTATCCTTAACAAGAAGCCGATCTCATCGGACTCCCACAAACCGAGACCGATCACGATCGCGTCCGACACATAGCAGAGATGGTACTTCTCCGCGACCACTCTCGCAAACACACCGTCCACAAGAAGATAGTAATTCCTTAAGTCTGCAAGATATTGGTGGTCTGCTTGGAGGCAGTTTACAAGGCCAGAACAGACCTGCCCAGCAAGAGCCCATATCGCCCACTACTCGAGCACCGCCATCGAGTATACCGCCAGATTCTCAAGCGCCTCGAATAGCGGGACCTCCAGTCGCCCGACGAAGAACTTCGAGCGACAATCTCTGCCTACAAGACGTAGGCGGCTTGTTGAAATAGAACAACGACCATTTCTACTTGTAAGATATGTCACGATGGCACTACGATATATACGGCGTACATGTGGAGGAAACTTTATACCTGTCTATACCTTTCCCATTCTCTTCTTTGTTGGATATATACCTTTGGTTTTCATATTCTGGTCTGTTTGGATGTTCTGGTACTCTATACCCCCTTCTGATCTGTTTTTTTTTATGTAGTATTAGATGTCTATTACAATTCTCACTTTCTTCTGTTTCGACTTTTCTAATCTTCTTGTCTCAGCCTTCTGTATTGATGCTTCTCTTGTGTCACTGAGTCTGGTTCCATCACACTCTCATTGCTGAAGTCTCATATCCGAATAGATATCTTGAGATGCTCTCTCACGGTCCACCTTGCCCTCGTTCGGGGTAGATTGAACAAGACACGCGCGTCTAGCTTTACCAGCTTTTACTCGGTTGTATAGAGGCACAAAACTGTATAGCTCATTGGAATTAACGTAAAAGCAGATTTTTTCATTCTCCGAGTCTCGTGTAAACTTTTCAAGGCTCGATCTAATCTCCCAAAAGACCATAGTTGAACACCTTTTTTGCATCCTTGAGTTTAAACAGTAGTGTTGACCTCATCAGTCTCGCCCTCGCGTTCCGGCGCCGCAGCCACAGCTTGATCTTCATCAGCGATGGTTTGTTGCTGAGCTCTCAAGGCATCTTCAGTTGCCATTGCATCCTCCTCGGTTCCGACTCCGCTGGCGCCGACAGGAGCGGTAGCATCTGCGTCTTCCATGTCTGCGTCTGTGTCGTTGAGGGCTACACCGCCATCACTGTCGACGACAGTTTCCGGTGCTGCTGTAGCTGAGACGGTAGGGTCTGCTGCAGGCGCATTCTTGCGGTTGGGTTGCTGACTGTGATCGATAAGCGGAGACTCATCCTTGAACAGTCTCAACAACATAGCCCTCCTCTCCTCTTTGGGCAACATCAAGTTCAAACTCGAGATACTGCGCCAAAGCGGCAGAGTCAATCTCTCGCTAAACCCGTCTTCTTGAGTGGAGGGCTCGACGCGCAAGATACAACATCCCATTCCGATATCCCTAGCTTTTTCGCCGATTTCGCCGAGTTCCTTCCAGTGCTCGCCACTTACGCGTGGGAACATCTCGATAAGGAGTTTGCGCAGGGTTTGTTGTTTGTAGCAGCGGATGATGCGGGTTTCGCCTGCCCAGCCTTCGACGATGGGGAGGCCTTCGCTTTGGAGGCGCCAGCGGCAGATGTCTTGGCCTTGGGCGTCTTGCTTGACGAACATCTTGACGCCGGAGTGGACGAATTTCATACCGCGGCCTTCGTTCTTGGTCAGGATGTCCTTGGCCAGAGCGGTGGTGTAGTAGATGGCCTTGACGGGATTGCCGAGGGCGTTGCGGACCATGAAGCGGTCGCGCGGGAAGCGGGATGACAATTGGTAGAAGTCGAAGATGCCGTCAAGTTCTTCGTGGGTGGGTGAGAGGTACTTGAAGGCTTCTTCGTGGGGTTGGTTGTTGCGACGGCCGCGAGGGGCTGCTGCTGCGGCAATGGCGGCAGGCTCGTCAGGGGTGATTTCGTCTTGTCTGAGAGGTGCAGAGGGAGGCATGGGCCAGTGTTCCATTTGGCCAACCTCACCAACAGCGCCAGGACCAGTACCTTCGTCCTTCTCGGTTCTTGCTCTCTTGACATCCTGAGCGGCAGAATCGCCGACGTCTTCCAGACCGCGCTTGTTAGACGCAGTGTCGATGTCAGAGATGGCCTCCTTGTTCTGACGTTGTGCAGCAGAAGCAGTGCCAGTCTCAACAGTGTGGTTAGGGTCGCTAGGGGCGTACTCCTCCACGGTCTCGAGCTTGGGAATGACGCCTTCAGACTCGGGCTTAGCCACAATCTCTTTGGCGATAGAGACGACGGAAGGAGCGGTATTGGCAGACTTGGTCTCTGACTCGGGCTTAGCTCTGATTTCCGACTTCTTCTCGAGAACAGTGATGAAGAAACCACCAGTGTCCTGCTGGTGAGGGTAGACGCGAACACAGCGATCCAGAGGAAGGTTGTGGCCAGCAGGTGCGAACATGCCAGGAACGACACGCTCGAGCGAAGCCTCGAACTTCTTCGACTTGGCGTCCTCAACGTCCTCCCAAGAGTTCCAGAGACGGCCCTCCTTGTCCATAATCTTCCACTCCTTGAGTCCAGGGTAGCGCTTGAGCTCAGGTAGCTGGTCGCTGACGTCGACAATGTTGATCTTGTCGATACCACCACAGCGCTCAATGGCGCTTGAAATGACAGCCTCGTTCTCGACAGGGTTCATGGAGCAAGTCGAGTAGACAACGCGTCCACCAACCTTCAGCATTTGGAGAGCACGGACAAGAATGCGGACCTGAGTAATGTAGAGACCAAGACCATTTCCAGGAATCCAGTCCTTCCAGATGTTGGGGTTCTTTCTGCAGGTACCGTCACCAGAGCAAGGAACATCAGCAAGAATTCTGTCAAACTTGAGCCACTTGCCCTGCTTCTTTTGGCCTTCAGGAACGGGATCTGAAGGAAGCTCGATCGAAGGGAACATGGTAGCATCGTGGTTGGTGACAATCAAGTTGGGGCTGTTCAAGCGCTTGACCTGGTGGACCAACATCTGGGCGCGCTGGTAGTTGACGTCGTTTGCGACCAAAAGACCAGTGGCTCGGCCGTCATCGCTCCAGTCATTGCCCTCGACAGTCTCGTCGGCAGCTGCTGCAGGATCGGCCTGAGCGTCTTGGTGTTGCTTTGTAGCCTTGCGAATACGCGACTCTTCTCCAGCATGCAGCATCTCAACCAATTGAGCACTCTTGCTTCCGGGTGCGGCGCACAGATCGAGAACGGTGTGGTGCGACTGGACATCGAGGAGAAGCGGAGGAATCATAGAAACAGCCTCCTGGCGACTGATGTTGCCGACGGCAGTCTCAGAGACGAGGAACTTCTGGAAAGCGGCAAAGGGAGGGAACTTGCGAATGACATTCTTGGGGGTGGTCATGTAGTAGGCAAGCTGGTTGGGGTACCACTTGATGGGCATCGGAGGCTCGACATTCTGGTCGTCAAACTTCATAGACTTGATTTGAGGGATGAAGTGTTCGTCCAGGTTCTTTTGCACGGCGAGCGCATGTCTGCGAAAAGTCAGCGACTGCTTGTCGACCCTTCAGAAGTTCGTCTTGTATACCCTTTGCTGCCGCAGAAGCGGAACGAGTTGGGCAGCTCGCGACGAAGGGCGGCCCAGAACTGTTCACGCTCCTCACCCTCGGGCACAATGTTCATGTCATTGTAGAGTCTCTCGAATTGCTCGTTGACCTTGGGCACTTCGGCGTACGACTTGCGCTCCGTCGACCAGTTGTTACCGCCGCCGCCGCCACGGCCCTTGCCCTTGTTCCTAAAGTTCTACCACACTGTCAGCCGCCGTGCATCTTACAAAGACTCGAAGATACTCACACCTCTACCCTTTTTCATCGGCATGATTGGTTTATGTGAAGAACGGAAATATTTCGCTTCTAACGTCACTCGAAGAGAAATCGAAGCTCCCGCAGACTCGCACGGACCATTTGCACGGTTGCAATTGCCCTTTCCGCTTTCACGAGTCACCCGAATGGAAAGAACATAAATGTGTGAAGAAATATAGCATCCATGAGTTAGTCGTAGCTTGTGTTCCAAACCATTGCTTTTGTCATCTCTGGCCGCCTCCATTGCTTCCACCAAAGAAGAATCCGTCAAACAAGTCGAAGCCTCCATGTTCATCCCATGGCTGACCACCGCCATCGAAAGCAAGCCCTCCCGCCCCGAAGCCCATGTCAAACTCTCCATAATTACCTGGCGTTTGTCCTGCTTGACCCAAGACTCCTCCTTGGTCGGGGAGCTGGAAGTCTTGCAAGAATTCGAAACCCTCGATCGGACCTGGCATTCCTTGAGGCCCAGGTGCCAAATAGTTCTGCCCTCCTCGAGGGTAGTAATGGTGCTGACTGGGTGATTGTCTCGCTATTGGCGGCGGGGTTGTTTGTAACGATGGGTCTATCGGTGGGCTAGGTGCATAAAGTCGAGGAGATATTTGATTCTGCTGATACGCAGGTCCCGCAGGCGTGTTCGGGAAGGCTGGTCCTCCTTCTCGCTTTACCACCGGATTGGGTGGCCGCGCCATTGGGAACGGTGCCCTCCTTTGTGCTGATGGACGATTGGTTGACTCGTCATCTGTGAACAAATCTCGCAAATTCATGTCAAATCGTGGCATAGGTCGTCTGGCTTGTTGCGGCTGCTGCTGTGGTTGTTGAGGCTGAGGTCTGCCTTGGTTGGGAGCCATAATAGCTGTGCCGTGGTTGGCCTTCCTGACGTTGTGCTCTCCTGCAGCGGACGCATCCGCATGCTGTTGTACTTTCTGCGCTTGTGCGATATACCGTAGTGCCTGCGTTCCGAATCCTGTAGTTTGCTCCACCATCGCAATGGTTGCTTTGCTCATGCGATCAAATGCATCCCGACATGCTTCAGCAGGCGGACACTTTTCAATCATGTCTCCGAGCACAGATGTTGCTGCCAGAATGGTGAAGTCAACATCGTCCAGAGTAAGCTTGGACCTTACGACCGTCGAATGCCAGATGGCATATAGGAAAGATATACCAGACATGAACAAGTGGTGTGTAGCCAGGAAAGTGTGGTTGACCAGCCTTACGCGATGTAGCTGACGGTAGATCTTCAGTGTCTTTTGACCCGCTTCGGCCACCTTCAAGAACACCATTTCCTCGTCTTCTTCTTCATAGTCGACATGACCTGGACTAGTAACATCATCGCCAGTAGACGCATCTAGTTCCCCAGCTAGTGACGGAGGTACTGATAGAGATTGGCGGTAAAGCATGGTCACTGTGAGCCAGTAGTTGAGCTCCAAGAATAGTGGAGAAAATGCGACTCCAGTCATCGTCTGTGTAGGAGACGACTCAATCCATTCGTACAGTCTTCGATCGATGTCGCCTCGCCATTCCCTGAAGCTTGAATATCTCGACAAGAACGGTGAAGGAAGATCTGTGTGCATCCATCGGTTGGCCCCATTGACAGTACCTCTTTCTCTAAATTGCTGAGTCTGGCGGTGCTGCAATACTTGCAATACCTCTGACTGCAGTAATCGAAGCCGGAAGTAGTGGTAAGAGACGTGTTTATAACTCGGTATGCTGCCATACTCGTTCTGTGGCGGAGTCAAGAAACCACTTGGTGTGATATACTTGTCGTCGAGCAGAGTTGGGAACTCAGTGGTGATAACCTGGTCTGTAATACCAAAAGGTCTGCCAACGCAAGTAGAGACCAGGCGATCGAAAGAGTAAACGCACCACCATAACCTTCTTCGGAAGTCTCGAATGTATTGTCGTCGTCCAAACTCTTCTCTCGCAGCACTAGTCATCTCGCCCTGTCCTTGCTCAGCACTGATCTCTGTCGCAGCCTCCGGGTCCTCGTTGTGAAGGCCAAGATCCACAGCAAGACGGACAGCTACGCCTACAATATACCACAGACCCGGTGCGACAGGACGAAGTAGCGCGAATCCTGCCAGAAGAAGGACGGCCTGTAATTCTTCAAGACCACCACCAATGCCCTCTGTTGCAGACGAAGACGATCCAAGGAATGACTCCAGATGTACTATAGCTGAAGCGTGATACTCTTCCGGTCGGGATTGCTCGTTAGAGAGCTTTTGCCTCTTGCGGCTCTGTCCGGCTTTCCCATCGGCGGCATTCTCTGCGTCGTTGTTCTTGTCAGAGGCTTCCAGAATGACCCCAGCGCCTGTAGCAAAGACGATGTTGAGCATATATAGCTCGCGCGGCGTTCTCTTCTTCTCCTCTGTGGCGTAAACTTTGTCAAATAACGCCATAAACTCTCCGCGATGTAATATAGGTATCTGTGGGTTGGAATGCTCAAAATATAGCTCCATCAATCGTCGTCCAATGTCCTTGTCGGGGAAGGTCGCTGGTTTGATGGCAGGTTTTGTCTGCAGTCCAAAGAATGAATCCCTCATAGTAGTTCCTCCTGTAGCTGCGCTCGTTAGTGGCTTCGAAGGACGAACGCCGCCACGTTCTGATGTCGATCCAGATACTGAGCTCTTGACGGCAGCAAAGACAACTCTAGCGAAGGATATCCCAGAAGTAGAACCGAGATATCTAGAATCTGAAGCTCCTAATACTGATACGTTTCCGATGTTATGGACTAGATTAGAGAGGTGCTTCTGTTCGGTCTGTTCATCCGAAACAGCAGAAACAGGTCCAGCGCTAGTGTCAGTGTACTTCTGTGCTCCAGCTGCCGTGGCTTCACCTGAAGATGTTATCGTAGGAGAGACAGGCGTCGCCACACTCATGCTGAAGTCATCTGTAGGCGCATAAGGAATATTGTTGGCTTGGAGCAAAGATTCCAGATGCTGCACCCGACTCTCTAGATAGTATACATAGCTGTTCCACGTCAGTGGAAGTCGAGAGTTTCCAAGGCTGTGATTTCTTACCTCCTGGGTATCTCCCTCTTGCTAACAGGATCGAAGCCGACGCATCTAGTATAGGTAAGTCAGGACGTCCAGCTCATCAATAACGAAAATACATACTTGACATTGGCCTTTTCGCAACTCGTACATGCCGGTAACTTCTGATCACAGCGGTTCTTCCTCAAACGACACCGATTACACGCGCTGACATTGCGAAAGTTTGATGACGAAGCTGAAGACGCGCCATTGGAGGCGCCGGCGGCGGCACCATCACCAGAAGCACCTTCGACGGCCTCATCAGCAGCGTCAGAAGCCTGCGGATTGGCACGCTTCTTCTTGTTGGTTGACTCGGTTGCGTTGTTCATTTCGCGGTCGGCATCGCTCACGAAGGCAAGCGCGAAGCGGCTACGCGGAGGCCACACCGGAATCTGTCTCTGCCTTGTCTTTGTCGCACAGATGAGTGCATACAACAGGGATGTGCCGCGTTTGATAGCTCACTTTTTCCTGTCTTTGTGCTGCAGTTGATCTCGAGTCGACTCGGTGATAATGACTCGTCGCGCGTTTCCACCTGTACTGTTATGCCTGATATCCGATCATGCACTGATAAGCCCCGGGCATTGGGTTTTCGTTGCGTGGAGAAGGAGACACGGTTGGGCATGAGCTAGTACGCTAACCTGATCGGTTTCTAGCCTCGGGTCAAAACAGCCCCGATCAAATATTTTGTCCAGGCAAAATAAGGAGAAATATCAATGCTGTCGAATCTTGAGCCTCATGGAAATACTCAGGCAACCATGTAAAGATAGATACTGACAATTTATCCCACGTGGAGAAGTTGGCCGGGAGCTTTCGATAAGGTTCAATCGTTTCTGAATTGGCATGTTTACGGTCTAACACAATCTTATGAGGAAAGCGGGTTTCTTTTTGAAAATGATTCTGCAAGGCACAATCCATTCATTATCGGTATCGACCTGTTACACGTGGTGCAGCACAATATTATTGAGATCTCAGATGGACAAAGAAGTATTCAAGTGCGCATGGTTGGCCTTTTTCGAGCTGTACAGATTTTGAGTGCCTGCTATGGGCATCACCCTGCTCTCAAACATGGACAGGGTCAGTCGAATTGTGTATTCATCAAGTGCATCCGAAGCCCATCGACATCGGCTTATAGTACAGCGACACACTCAATCTCTACATCAGTCCCCAAAGGTAGCGTCTTGACAGCCACACAACTATGTGTCCAAATCAGCATGTCGATCACAACCTCGGTTGTGAAGCACTCACGTTCTACTCGGCTTGACATCACCCCAGTAGGTCTTGTACACCTCATTCATCTTTGCAAAGTCGTTCATATCGGCCAAGAACACATTGACCTTGATGACCTTTTCGATGGTTGTTCCTGCTTCCTTGAGAACAGCGGTAAGGTTCTTGATGCATTGGTGCTGTGAAAAGTGTCAACTCTTTTGCATATACTTGAAGAGCGGGAGCAATATTTTACAGTATGAGCTTGAATATCACCGTCAATAATATTTCCTGTCGTGTCCATGGCGATGGCTCCTGAACAATAGACGAAGCCATTGGCCACGATGGCTTGACTGTAGATGCCAGGAAGAGGCTTCGGAGCCTTTGAGGTCAGAATTGCAGTTTTAATGGACATGATCGAGTACTGTGTGTACTAATTGAGTCTTGTGTTATACTCGAGTTGAAAGAAGTGAGATGTTCAATTGTTCGGGAAGAGAGTTGAATGTTGTAAGGTTGATCGGTACCCTCTTATCGCACCGCCGGTGGGGTTGGCCTATCTTGATGGTAACACGATGGTATCCTTGTCCCACTACAATGCTTGTCAAGTGTTTCTCTATATCTGCTCGAATGTTGTAACCCTGCAGACCGAGAAATTGGAGCTTGATATGAGAGTCGTGATGGCTACAGAACGAGACACGACTTGACGAGAATAGCAATCGACATTTTCAGCCATATCTATCAAAGCAAATCGATGCAGCTAGACTACCTACTCGTATCATTCTTACAGCGAATGTGTCGCATCGTATATATAGCAGAAACGCCATCCATCCAGGCGCCAACCGTCCCCGAATACCAAGCAAGAACGGGTATATAGTCGAAACCTGGTGCTAGCCATACCGAGCACAGAGAAAACGCCCAATGGACCTCCCGAATAGCAATAAGAACTCCTCTAGAGTCGATCTCGGATCGTTGAAAAGATACGGGACCCGCCGTGAAACTGCTTTCATCTAGGTGAATTTTTTGAAACGAATGAGAAGGATTATGAAAATGATGGTGACCCCGTAGGCAAGAGGAACTGATCATGGTCGGAAAGAGAATTCGTGTGAACCGTGTGAAAGATGATTCGAGAGATCATTGGCATGATTCTTCATCGGAGCTCACTCGTACGTCTGCGTCCAGGAATGGGAGGGCTTCCGAGTCCAGATTGGCCTCCTCTGCTTTCGAGTATCGGCGCTTTTCCTCCACCATACGCAAGCTGAGAATGGCGCCGATGATTGCAACGAAGCTGTTTACCCACCAGGGGAGACCTAATACGCCCACGGAAAGACCTAAAGATTGGGCCAAGCCGGAAAGTGTGGGCCCGAATGCTCTGCACAAGCTTGCCGACGATGCTGCCACGCCATTGAGAGTGCCCAGGACCTTCTTCGATGGGGCTGCATTGGCCAACATGATGGCCAGAGACGGGTAAGAGAGGGCTTGTGCTGTAACCTTCCAGACCAGCACGAAATAGATACAGGGCATACGCAGGGCTGTCGGAACGAGCGTAAGATAAGGAACCATCAAGTATAGGATCGGGTACGAGAGAATGACGAGTCGGAATGTAGCCAGACTTCCAATCTTGCGATTGACGAACGGGAATACGAAGAGCGTGGCAAACATCTGGATGAAGCCTTGGGCGGAGAGGATGAAGCCAATGACCTTGGTGGGCAAGGCGAAGCCACCAGAGAATTGGAAAGGCAGATGCGGCGCTTCTTTGGACTCGGGCAAACTGAAAAGTACAGGGAGTAATTGCTCAGCAGATATCGTGTGACTGTGGATTTGTTAACAAAACAATTACCAAGCAGTCCTCGGGCCAGACTTACTACGCAAGAATGCCATATCCAACGATATTGAGACAGACTTGCCACGTGAAAGCCTTTGCGACAGCCGCGTCATCACGACGAGAGCATGTGGATTGGGATGATACAGGCTGAGCTTCGTTTGGCAGCTCTCCAACCAGGACTGGATTAACGACTGGAGATAATTGGCTCGAGGAATAGCCAGGCGCAGCATCTTCGAACAGAGCTAGCGTCTCGCCAGCCTTCTCGTGAAGCTGATTTGGGCGGAAAAAGTCCAGAATCCAATCACCGATGTCGAGGCCATAGTCTCTGCGATCCTTGAGATCTTCATGAGTCTCCTCGAGGAAAAGGATGCCTACCAGCATTCCGAAGATGACGACTCCTGCGCAAACCAAGTTCGGAAGTAGGTACGGGAATTTCTCAAACAACGAACCGTGCTCGAAGTAACCGGGGTAGTTGCGCACAGGGTCAGCAAGAGTGCCTCCTAAGCCAGAGCCAATGATTGACCTGAAACTGTAAGTAAGATGGCGCTGATGGTATAAGAGATAGGCCTACCCAAGGCACCAGATGAATGGCATGATCGAATATGCACGTGCTACATGTTGTTAATACGTATTTACTAACAGATGCCAGGGAACTTTACTGACCTTGGTGTGCTTCGACAGTGACTACCTCTGCGACCGTCGTTTGCAAGACACCAATATTCCTATAACTCGTCAGAATGGTCAAGAGTGAATCGATGCCCAACGTACCCGTTGAGAAGACCTCCCAAAGCACGAGCAATCAGAGCCGTGGTCAAGTTAGGAGAGAACCCAAAAACGATCATACTGATGCCAGTGCCCGCCAGTCCCGTCAGGAGGATAGGTTTGCGTCCAACCTTGTCGCTCAATCTACCCCACATGACTCCGGTTGAGAATTCGGCGAAAGCAAAGGCGGATGTGACCATGCCAGCATATAGAGCAATTTGTTTCTCGTCATTGGTGATGTGGAAAGATGAGATCATGTAATAGACATAAGGAAAGATTGACATGAAAGCAATTGGCTCGCATATACGGCACAAAGCTGTAATGAATGTCAGTCGTTCGAATCTATGTGAGAGAAGGTATGTGTCGAGCCACACCTAGGACAAACAACTGCCGAGTAGGGAAGGCATTCGATTGCTGTTGCACTTGGCGACGTTGTGCATGTGAGGGCAACATGACGCGGATGGAAGTGGGACAGGACAGACGGTGAGGAATTCCAATTCCTTTGTACGAGCTGATGGGAGAACAAGAGAGCACAACTGTTTCAAGTCCTGGCAAAGGCAGGCCCTTTATGAACAAATTGAATTCCAGCAAGTGTCTTGGAGCGGCTGACAATGCAATGATGAGATTGTCTTGTTCAGGTGGTGGAACGCAAGACCCGCAGATCCGGGTAGATGCTGCGAACGTAATGGGACTTCGAAGCAAAGGCCGGCGGATACGTGCAGGATGACTGGTGGTACCACTCAAGAGACGGTGAAGAAGGACAAGTCAGGTGGCGCGTCTAATGGAACAAGAAGAAGAAGACAGGGCGAGAAGATTATTATTACCCATCGTCATTTTGCCGCTGACAGGCCAGGTCAAGAGCGGGTCGCCGTTACAGTCGGTGAAGTGCATTCCTCAGGAATTGGCCTGTGTGCGTGGGCAAGAGGGCGAACATCTCGCGGATCGCGGAAGTACGAAAGGTTCCATGCTTCCCCTGTTGGTCATGAAACCTTGCGGTGGAACCAGCGCGGAGCAGAAACTAACCTGTACTCCACGCCCCGGGCCTTCGGATAGTGGTACACCATTGGTTCGGGGAACTCGGCTTCGGAGTTTAGCGACGATGGTCTATTGAGCCTAATCTACAGCCCTATATCTCAATGATCTCCCAGATTTCGACCTATCTTCTGGTTTGGAAACTGGGCGATATATTGGCACTGTTGCCGGTAGCTTCGCTATATTGATTTGCGCATGAAGACAAGATGTGCTCTGCACGTAGCCTGACTACAGAGTCAACTACCCATTTGACTGGCGGTGAGGAGGACAACGCACTCATACACACCTCAGGCAGTGTGCAACAGTGTCCAAGAGGTCATCCGCCTTGTTTGCACGACCAACCACTGCCGAGAGCTGTCAGTATCTCGCCCGACTGGCGGCAGTCACTAGCCGAAAGATGAGATCGCCTGTCGGCTGCAGCAGAGATTGTTGCTGTACCGAAATGCTGTCTTCGTAGATGGCAAGAAGGGTCCATATGTAACACATCAAGATGCTGGGAGATTCTGCGAATCTGGTAATTTTTTGGCAAAGCGGATTCATCTATCGATGGCAGGACAGCAAACCAGGCGAGTGGGTTTCGGGATGACTCGGCTGCGACGCTAGTCGCAGAGAGACAGAAGCTTCCAAGGACCTTCTTCGATCAACTTCAGACAGCTTACCACGCTAGTTCAGGGACACGCTGCAATAGGCTCCTGGCAAGGTTTGGCCCGCCGACACGTTCCCAGTCGCTCTCTAGCTCCCGCCTCTACGATGCGCCGTCTTCGACTTTGGCATTTTGACTTTTGGGGGAATCTTGGGAAATGGAGACACCACGTCATGATACAGGCCTCATCGGCGAGGAGACAGCGGTGCCCCCTTGTCGCATCAATCTTCCTGGACGCCGGGTTGACTGCAGCAAGCCGGCGCGGCGGCATGCGCGCGGGTTTTTGCAGCATGTCGTGTTTGTCGACCAGAACATCGTGAGTCGCTGTTCTCGAGGCATCATAAACAAGACAAACTAGTCATGCGGCATCGACTTCTGGCTGAAGAACTGCCGCTTGCCAGCCTACATAAGATGAATTCTGTGCATACGAGGAGTTATCGTGGCTATTGCTGTCTCGACGCCATTCTGTGTACAAGAGACCTGTCGACGGGCGAACGGGCCGAAACACCACGTAGTCATGCGCTGGAAGGGAATCCAGATGCTGTCAAAACATGGATCGCAAGTTCAATGATGCTGGGCCCATCGAAACTTGACCTCGTGACCTATCAGACTATGGTCAACAGGGGTCACTGTGATGCTCTTGCTCATCTCGTGCATGAAGCGAAGAAACAAAGTCAAGATCGTTGCGTCGAAGGAGAAAGCAGCACCGTTGTGAGACGCGCGCGATAGACGCCGGCCTGAACCCAATTGACAGGTCAGCGATCCACCACTGCAAGGTCATTCTTGTCCGAAATCAGGAGAATAGCTTTGAGATTCATTTAGTATTATATTACGTGCGTAAAAATGGAATTGGCAAAGCACACAGGAGCAGATTTATCTAGCTGCTTTGTCTCGTAAAGTGTGGTGTTTCAAAGCGGGTGTTGTGCGTTAGCGGCTGTAGCAAGCGGCGTCTGGGCGGACAGAAAGGGCGACGACCTTCACTCTACTCCGTGCATCTCATCACCACCTATTGCTCAATGTCTTTGGCGCAGTCCAACACTCGCGGAGGACTGCAGGCTTTTGAGGCACAACAACGTCGCCTGGACTTGTATGCTTGCTAGTCCCATCCTTGAGCTGTATGTAGCGAGAAGCTCATGAGTGTCTGTGTAGTGCGAGCGTGAAACAGGCCTGTCCTAAGGGCATCTACCTCACGCCCACACCACGCGATCCACACGTCTGGCAAGGTGTGCTATTTGTTCGCAAAGGTAGGGTCGCCGTGATGAATGTTTGGACAATCTCTCAACCGCTCTAGGCCCTTATACACCCGCAATCCTCAAGTTCTCCCTGCTCCTTGCCGCCGACAAGCCTCCAACCATCACCTTTTCCACCGATGTTTTCCACCCATTGGTCACCCCTTTGACCACATACACCTACACGACGAGCGACACAGGCGCTGATACTGTCCATGCCACCGATGACGAGCGTCTTCCACCCGGTGGCTTCAGCCTACGACACGGCTTTCCTCAATGGTTCGGACGCAAGAAGCCGAAGCCTACATCTCAGGTCGGGCTAGGCGAAGAAACAACATCGACATCAGAACGCTCGCAGTCTTCGTACGGCCCTCTGGCCATCGTACAGATCTTGTTCTACATGCGGAGTGCCTTTGACACAGCCGATGTGCTCGATAAGGTGCCGCTAGAAGCGGCGGGCAACCCGGGTGCATGGCATGCGTGGCAGACTCATAGAGCGCGAGTTATTGGCACAGGCCCTCGCTCTACGACACCAGAGGATGGGAAGAGCCCCGCGTCTCCTACTTTACGTCAACAGCCAGGTGGTGCTCGGAGGCCTGGCCAATGGAATTGGGAGGGCGTCTGGGAAGAGAGGGTCAAGAAAGGCGTGCAAGCGAGTGTATCACAGCAAACTCTGTTCGGTACTGCCGGTTCAAATGATGATCTCGTAAGTTGTGCGAGAGCAGACTACTCCGCAGCATGGCTAGCTAACACTCGTGTCTCAGATCAACTTCCTGAACATCGACACAGACGCGACTGATATTCCTTGGCACAAGGAACAAGAGGCTGGTGATAACTTGGTAGCTTGACCAGCTTTTGAATGGTGGTAGCCTCGAGAAATGTTTGGTCCACAAAACCTCTACCTGCTGCGATGTTTGTGCTTTCCTAGCTTGTCGGCTCTAATCAATTGGTCCAGTATGGGGGCTCCATCTGGGAACTACTCAAGTTGAGGTTCGAGTTGCGGTTTCCTTTGAGAAGCGAGTCGTGGGTTATACAGGGCAGTCGCACTTGCCTTCGTCTGGACTTTCACATGAACGTCATGAGTTCTGCAGCGATTCTGTATCTCCCACCTACCTCGATTTTGGACTACCATCGATTTATCAGCCTTTGTCCTGTTCCCATCGCTTCGATTGGATAGCCGAGTGCATGCGTCTGGTTTCGAGCCATGCCATCCAATAAGGAGGCAGGTCTACACGCTTCAGTGATCGTCTCGTCTAATCCTTCTGACGGTACACATAGAACACCGATCCAAAGACTTCACAGGCACCACAAAATAGCAAAAGTAAAACTCCATCGAGCACGGCATATGGTCACACACCGGGCGTTTTGGGCCTGCATGGCTGGCACTCACCGCAAGCTCACATGTTCGTTTCGTCGCCGGCTTCTGTGGGCAGCATCTCAACCATCACTCACCCAGCACGTGCCAACACATCACCGCCGAACGCCTCCGGTCAGAACAGGCCTACTGTCGGCTCTCCTGAAGTACGTCTTTCGAACAGAACGTCAGGCTCTCCTCTGAAAGTCCGCAAAACACGTGAAAATCTACGGACTGGATTCATCGATGATGCTGCCTCCACAAGCGGACATTCTGTCCATGATCTTGCCCAAAACAAATACTCCTGTGCCCAGCCGCTTCGCGAGATCCAGAACACTGTACACGATGAGACTTCCAGGCCTTCATCAAGAAACAATCGCTTCAGTTGGGAGTCTGATACTCTCCACCTCACAACGGTCATTGAGCGCTCTCCTGCCAAGCCTACCTCATCTCAAACCGAGAAGACCGAGTCGAAATCTGCTCCTTCATTGTCTCGCAAGCTTTCTGTGCGCAAGAGGGTGGTGTCAAGAGTTCGAGAAGGCCTGCTGAGCCGTTCCAAAAGTTCTTCAAAAGTGCCAGTGAGAGTTGACGATGATATCGCCATCAGTCGATCTGCCTCAGAGCATGGAAGATTCATAGAAATCACGCCCAAAGAACTTTCTCAAGATATGGAAGAAAGAACAATTGCTTCGCATAATCTTGCTTCTGGCTCAGTGCAGAGCTCTGTCTCAACGGTTTCGCTTTTGGGAGATACCAGCCTGACAATAGAAATCTCACCTTCCCCTGAGGTTGCTATCAAAAGCATTCTGCCTGGAAGCGACGGCAGTTTCCCAAGCCCATCTCAAGCACCAAAGCCAAGTCCTTCACCGTCACCAGAAAAGACCCCTCGTCCAAGGAGATTCGCACGATCGTCTCAGACTCACTTTGGAACCAATACAAAACCTCCCTCAATGCTCCACGTCAATCTTTCTGTCAAGCCTGCATGGGAAACCTTGGACGTGGCCGACGACGCGACCATGTGGGCTATGATTAAGGCTGAAGCAGGCCTCGTCAGCGATCCCTCACCCACAGGAGGCATAGGCAATGGCAATATCCATCGCTCGGCATCCCAGAAGCCTCTCAATATCATCGTTATAGTTGACAACTCGTTTGTGCTCATCCAATCCTCATTCGTTGAATGACACTGACGCGGGGTAGATCATTTGCTTCCCCGTTGGCTCTGCAGAGTATATCCGAATTTACCCGGTGCGTTTGCAGTCTACTACAGGATCACCGTGATCGTCTCGCAGTGTTCTGTACCTCTTGCTCTCACGAAAAATGCTCGGATGCTAGGTCAGGCTGTCAGCTACATGCTCTGCAAAAGCCGGATGCATCGTCACTGTCAAGCCAGGTGGCAAAGCTAGAGTCTAGCAAGGCAACGCCACATTCCTCGGCCGCAAGGTTGTATGACTTGGTTCAGGATGTCCTAGCGTCAGTAGCCGATGTAGAAGAGGGTTTGGACATCACACTCACACATGCAATTGTGTTGTCCCCGCTTCCGCACAGATGTGCATCAATCCTTCGCGAATCCGTGTCGTGGCCAGTCCATCAAGTCCAGATCGGCTACGCCTACGAACCGCCATCTCCTCGCGAGCAAGTTACGACAGGTGGCTGGTGCTTCGAATGGGAACCAGCTCACGACACCATTCTGCAAGCTCTTATCCAATCAGCGCGTGAACTATCACATCTGCAAGAGCTTTCACACGTCAAAGTGTCTGTCAATTCGACCGAGCCGTGTCGCGTGGAAAAGCTCCTTACGCCTCACCGGAAAGCGACACTACATCCAGGTCAATGTACAACTTTGTTCGCGAAGGTGCTCATCCCTTCGGTCAATCATCGGCGAAGTGCAGACCCAGCCTCGGTTGAGGGCCTCCTGAGTGAGCTTCACCAGACGCTCGGCATAGGCAGAAGTGAACTTTTCAAGGCGGAAGTGCGATACCGACACTCTCTTCTTCCTCGGGACACAGAATTGCGAATTGAGCAGACATGTGAGTTGATCCGCACGAACAGAAACAGCCAATGGGGTGCGATCCATGAAGAGGAAGACGAGCATGGCGTGGATATCGAGATAGAGAAGGCCAGATTTGCTGCAAGAAACTATCCCCCGGACGTTGCAATCAGGATCTTGCAAAAGAAATTTGGCAAGTTCTGGTCCGGCAATGACGGGCCACCAGTCTTGCATCGTTTGCGTGGAGAACTTGAGTTTCAAAAGAAAGTTTGCACGGAGATGCCCAAGGGCGTAGTACAGTCGTCTACAGCAGCCACACAACATCAAGATGCGAAGAGCACGCGCCGAACCACGTTACATCTTGCCGATACTGAGGCTCTGCAGGTCTTCAACACAGCCCCTTCAACACCAACGCCTGATGAGGGCGATCCAAACATAGAAATGCTTGTCGCCGACCGGCACTCCGACCACGAACAGAGGCTGGACGATCTCGTGGTACAAGATGAGGCTCGGCGGATTTGGCGGCATATGCGACGCAATAGCCGGACTACGTCAGGGATTTCAGGTGCATCGGACGCAAGTAGCCGGGCTTGCTCAGGCGTACCGCAGCAAGAACAACAACTCCAGCGGCGCGGATCACAGGAGAGCATTGTGAACCGGATGGCTGCGGTGGACACTCGTATCAACGAGATTCGCCTTAAAGCTATTCAGAACAAACGCAGTGTCGGTGCCGAGACGCTACGGGAGTTCAGCATGATGCATCAGCAGGATGATGGAGGACCAGATGACTTGCGAGACGAGAATCGTATGTATTGGCTCTGAGTCGATGTAGACTTAGCGGTCTGAGACGACGGCCAGGGTATACCCCTTTCACCCTATGAATGCCGAGCTATCAGTTTTGGACAGCGAAGCACTGTTGAATGACGCCTATTCCAGACATGCAATAGCTACAACATCATTTATAAACCGAAACATTACCCAAACCAGGCATCCGGACGCACGACAAGATAACGTTTCGGGACCTGACCGACAGCGGAGCATGACTTCGTCTCACTCGACATCCTTTCTGATTGTTCCCTACCAAGTTACCAACTGAGGCACCGGGCAGAGGTCCGCGTGTGCATCCGGATTACCGGTGTCGCTGATATTGCTGTGCGTCTATCGGGCCGTTGACCCACGCATGCTGGCTTACTGCAAAGACGAGGAGCATGCATAGATCCATGTTCCAGCCTTCTGGAAAAGACAGTGCGCAACACTGTAACCATGTTCGACTTTCGTTTGCTCTATGCATGTTTGAAGCATGCCGTAGTGCCTAAGCGCCTGACGCGAATGCGTATATCCGTCAACACATATGTATTAATCTTCAAGAACCCTGTTCTTCTCTTCCCTCGCCTTGCTTCTACATGTGCATATGTGCATCTGTGCCTCGGCGCCTACCACCTCGACTACCCTGCATCTGCATCATCTGATTGATCATTCTTTTCACGATCGGAGATCGGCCTCGGATATACGTGTTCTTGTCTTCGTGCCTCGTGCCAAATGATCGGAATATCCCCAATGTTCTTCGGGTATGAGTCGGTTCCGTATAGATGTGCAATGGACCATGCCGCTGGTGACACAAGGCTTCCGGGCCGTGTCTCGACGGCATCTTACCCCCGATGAACCTTCTTTCTGTCTGTGTTGCTTTGGACTCGTTGTTTTCTTGGTCTATCCTTTGTCTTGTCGTGCATCGGCATGTCGTGATTTCTACATGGTGGTTTGGGCTAGTCGGTCGGATGTGTCAGGAGTTCGGACCGTGGTGTCCGTAGATGTCACTGCATCCAGTTACAGAATGTTTCCGACCTTCCTCTTTGGCCTACTATGTGCCTTTGTCATGGCGACTTGAGTGGCTATACGAGCGTAGACGCTCGTAGGCATCGCCAGAGGCCAGTAGGGAGGCAATTTCTATTACTCTGACCTTGAGATCTTGATCTTGCCAAAGCCAGACAAAGTGGGCAGAGCGAAAGTATCATGGCTGTCAAATAAAGAGATGGATCATCTACTCCTATGTTCTAGAGGGATTTCTCATGAGTGCAAAAGGCAAATGTAGATGGCGAGAAGAGTAGTGTAATTAATCCAACATGACGAAAATTATACTTGAGCCTCAATATCAACACGATTCTTTCTCTCAATCCTCTCCAATCCACCCATAAAAGGCCTCAGGACTTCAGGAATTAGCATACTCTTACTGCTTTCCTCCCATCCAGCTTCCATAATCGCAGCAAGCACTCTGGGGACTGCGAGGGCGGTGCCGTTGACAGTGTGCGGCCACTCGTGCTTACGGCCAAACTTTTCAGTCTTGACGCGAGTGGCTAGACGTCTGGTTTGGTAGTCTGTACAGATGGATGCGGAAGTCACTTCACCCCACCCTTCGTCTTTTTCCCTGCGCGAAGGGAAGAAAGCTTCGATATCGATTTTGCGGGTTGCCGAGGCGCCTAATTCTGTAGTTGGCATTTCCAAAACTCGACAATGCAGACCTAGACTCTGGAGGATTTCTTTCTGGATGGAGACCATTTCGTCAAAGAGGGATTCTGAAGGTGAAGGCGTGGGCTCGGAGAAATGGTCGTCGCCGATGTTGTCGGGCATCGTCCAGGCGAACATTTCTACTTTTGTGAATTCGTGGACGCGGTAGAGGCCTTTTGTGTCGATGCCTCTGGCGCCGGCTTCGGCTCTGTAGCAGCGGGATGCACCGATGATTTTTAGGGGCAGGTCTGCTTCTTCGACGACTGTGTTTGCTTTCATGCCTGCGAAAGGGATCTCGGCTGTTCCTGCTAGGCAGAGTCTAGGCTTGTTCTTGTCTTTTTCTGGCTGGGTGATGGCGTAGATTTGTTGTTCGTCGTTTTGGTCGCGAGGTTGGAAGCCGCAGGCGTGAGCGATGTGAGAGTAGACGATTGAGGGAGGAGAAACGACTTTCCAGCCGCGTTTCATGGCAATGCTGAGAGCGTATTGGATGAGAGCTTGTTCGAGCAGGGCGGCTTCGTTTTTGAGGAAGTACCAGCCCCAGCCTGAAGTTGTGGCCGAGGCGGTAAAGTCCAGCATGTCGAGCTCGGAGCCGACATGGACATGGTTGCGCCAGACGCGATCGGTGGGTGAAGGGTTGCGATCGGGATGCTCGTTGATGTATTCCTTGATGGAGGGCACGTCACCTTCTGGAGTCTCTAGACTGCTCAAGTTGGGTAGTGCCAGGGCCAGCTCTTCAATTTCATCGTTCATCTGCTTGTCTTGAGCATCGATCTCAGCGAGCTCGGCCTTCAGCTGCTTTGCCTGTTCCAGCAGATCAGGGTCCTGTCTTGTTGCCGGGTTTGCCAGTTGACGTCGCAAGATGTTGTTGCGTTCGCGCAAGTTTCTCGAATGTCGCTGCTGCAGTTGCAGCTTGTCGTGTAGCTCAAGGATGCGCCATGAGTTTTTTGACTGCTGCTTGTAGTTGCGGGCTATGCAGTTTTGCTCGTATAGACCGGGGGCATTGCGGATATGTCTAATGTCGACTGTCGGTTTGGGGGCTATCGAGGGACGAGTATATGCGCGGTTCGAGACATGAGCGAGTCTGCCGACAGCATGGCTGCGACTTAGTGTTTTTAGTTGTCGAAGATTCATTGATTGAAGCTTTGCGAGAGGCAGCTCTGACAAAACAGACGCCGCGCCCGTTTCATGTCAAAAAGAGACACTCCAAGCGTCATGCCACTTTCTTGTCTCTTTTGCTCCTTCGTCTCCTGACATGTTTTTCTGCAAGAGACATGTCTTTGAACTCCAATCCAGGTAGGTTTCCTCAAGACAGTAGAAGGTTGGTACAGTGTTTCGTGCTACACAGACATGGCTGGGGGCATGTGATTAGTCGAATGGCTGGACGGCGCCGAGGCCGTGAGTACTCGACGAGATCTTGTCGCAATGATCCAAGACACTTGGACGAGTAGATTCTGCTATATACTGCGTGTCCATGACGGTGGGCAGATCAGCACTCTCTCGCCATGGTGTCGCACATTGAGCCACCTCAGCAGGTGCTACACACGCCGCGACGCCCTCCTTCGGCCACCAGTAGAGCCTCGACAACAAGACGCCATCGTTCATCACACTCCCAGCACACAACTTCGTCTGCCTCACCTCTGAATGAATTTCCTGTCTTTGCGCAAACCGGCGACGTAGAGATAGTCATTTCCTCGGCGAGTGGTCGCAAAGAACAGCGCTATCTTTTGCACAGCATCATCCTCAGCCAGTGCTCGTCCTTCTTCGCCATCGACCTCAAACGCCCACTCGTGCACAATGCTCTACCTGCTCCTAGCCCGGCTTCGTTGTCACGCATCGGCGAGACGAACTCCAGCAGAAGCAGTCTAGACTCGATCGACGTTCTGCGTCGCTTCTTTTATGTCCTCGATTGGCATCACACAAGAGACAATGACATACCACGCTTGATACAACGTCCTCCGAGCCAGAGTCCGCCGCCCGTTTCGCGTAACAAGCCGCCTGCTTCGTCCTCTGCCTTCTTTCGTTCCATGTCGAATCTGTCCGCCCTGTCGCTGGACCCTCAACCTGCTGCAACTTTTGGCCCAGACGATGAAATATTGCGAGATTATGATAATCTCTTTCGCATATTCTACAATCATCCTCCTTCTCTGAGCAACGTCAATATTGCTGATGCGTACACCGAGTCAAAGACTTTGCTGCAGCTGGCTCAGATGTATGATGCCCTCGATATCGTAGGCTCGCGTGTGGATCACCACCTGTTAGGCTTTCAAGGTCGCCTCTTCAAGCAGATTGCTCGCTACCCACCATCATATCTGAAACTAGCATGCTTAGCAAGATCAAGAGTCATCTACACGGAAGCTTTGATCCATGTAGTGGGCCAGTGGCCACAAGCACAATCACAACTTGTCAACCATATCGATCCTCTCGTCCTTGATATCATCGAAGACAAGGTTCAAGAGCTAGAAGACATGAAGCTACGCATCGAAGTCCGCCTCTTCAGACTAACCCTAACAACCAGTCGAGGCGAGCGTGTCAATCCATCAAACAGCTATCTAGATTGGATGGCCATGAGCCTCTTCCGCCAATGGCTAGCCGAAAACACCACTCCAGCTCCCGTATCCATTCTCAAGAACTCTTCGCGACCTTCGTCATCAGATGCCGCATCCGCATCTGCTTCCGTCTCGGGACGATCAGGTCGGCAAAGCACTTCACGCGCCTTAGTCCCAGCGAAACCATCATCTCAGCAATCGCCCCTGCCAGCTCAGAATCTAGGCCGCATTTACCGACTCATGGGCAGCGTCAACAAAGATGCATATCTCAACCATGACGAATGCAAACGCTTCCTAAAACTCACTCCGGAAATGTACTCTCGCGATAACCTTAGACGGTTTGAACGAAGAGTTGACGAGCTCAAGAATCTGGCTAGAGATGCTGTAAAGCCTCTGACTCGTAATTTTCTAGAGCTCGATCTGGGGAGTTTGGCTATGCCGTCGAGTTCAGCGAGAAGTGGTGCGAATGTGACGTCGACTGGGTTGGGATATTTGACTTGTACGAAGGTTATGGAGGAGGATTTTCCTTGGGTTGCGTGATTGAAGATCCTGGAATCAATGTCTTCACGATGATGGTTCTCACGATCCGGAGGATTTCTTTTCTGCTTGCTGTTGTTGACGTTGCTTTTCCTTTAGTTCCTGATACCCCAAATGACCCCTTGCAGCTTTAGCTCAGTATGCATATTTTAACAACTTTTCCTTTTCTGCATTTACACATCCCTCAGACCGAGATGAAGAGAGATGGTGGTAGTTGTGCAAAGTACATCCGAACATTTCTATACATTCCAAGGGACATCTTTGAGTCTATATATATGCACTCACTTAATCCAACCGACTAGCATGATTACCAGGCCCCTTGGACTCATCCTCAGGCTTCCAAGTAAAAAACTGCTCTTTAGCAGGGATACACTTTCTCAATGCAACACCATAATCGCCAGCATTGGGTGTCCTCAACAACGTATGAATATGGAATTTCGCCGGTTGTTCGTTATTCAAGAACACACCAGAGTGATGATCAAACTCTATAATCACCACTGGAGATTGAATGCGGTAGTAGAAAGGGTCTTCAGAGCCGAAACCGCCGATCCAGCTGAAGTAGGTTTCTGAAGCAAAGGACATGGCGTGTTTGAGTTTCTTTGCGCGCGAGGAGGCGGGGAGGTAGAGGAAGTATTCTTCGATGATTTTGGAGACGAGGGATTGTTGGTCGGAGGTCATGTGTTTGAGGGTAATGCCTTCGTAGGGAACGATGCGGTTGTCGCGGTATGCGCCGCAGAGATGGCGTTGGTCGTCTCTATTCCAGCGACCTTCTGGCATTGCTGGGTCTTTCATCAACTTGTAGATTTGGGTCTTTTGCTGCAGCTCTGGGGATAGCGATTGCATGAGTTCAAGGCCGAGGGCTTCTTCGCGAGTCAAGATGCGTGTGCCTTTGTAGGGGCCAGAATCAATCTCATTGGGCTCGGCACCTGTGAACCAAGGGGAAATGACGATTTGCTTCTTAAAGAGGAAGATGTTGAGACAAAGGTGGTGACCATAGAAGGACCAGCCCCAGGGTTCTGTAGAGGAAGGCTCGCCGAAGAGGACGAAGTTATAACTGAATTCATTCATGACTTTTGTACCTTGGACGAGTTCGCCGAGGAAGCCGTTGATGCGCATGGCAGAGATTGCTTTTTGGTAACCTTCAGGCGATAAGGTGGCTTCAAGGATGGCGAGGATGGAGTCACGGACTTTATCTGATTGTTCATCGAGGCGTAGGCCTTTGTGTGCGAGGAGGAACTCGGGATTGGACCACGTTCGCCATTCGGGGCTGTCGATGTGGTAGCTCAGGGCTTGTTTTTGCTTGTCGGTGACTTGGGAGAGGAGGGACTGGGCAGCCTTGACGATACTGTCAATGTCGACGCCTTCGTCTTCGTAGTTGAAGAGGCCTTCGCGGACAATGCCTGTGGGAACATGGTCAATAAAAGCAGTGTGAGAATGCTTGACCAACTTACCATCGCTTGTAACACCCTTGAAGGGTTCAGCGAGTAATGAACGCCAGTACATATACAAGGCATGAAGCCATGGCGGGTTGTGCTTAGTCTTGAAGTCGTGTGCATATTCGTGTGCATCTTGCTGTTTCATCATCTGGAAACGCGGGACATTGAGATCCGGGAGATGCTTGCGGTATTCGCCTGAAGGACCATCTTGTTGTGCCATGATTGTGGAATAGGTTGGACGAGAGATGAGCAGCAAAGAGATAGAACTCCAAGAAAGACGACAAGAGCGTCTTGTATTGTCCAGGCCGTCAATGGGTCGGCTCTTGTCAATGGCACTTTCGTAAAGGGCAGAGCTGACTGCCCCGCTTCTCCACCACATTGTCCCCACTCAAGACAACTGATGCGGCTTGTTCTGCGTCTTCGGCATCATGCCTTTGTGCCCTGAACACGCCATATCTGCAGAGTGAATATAATGACTGGCACCGAAATGGAGTGGAGACGATTGACTTTCGTGTCTATATTGACGACGAGAATTGATAGTATTGAAAGCAAGTTGAGATTGAGACTCTGAGAGGTTGCTCGGGTCGAGCTCACACGATGCCGAAATGGATCATGTGACAGCGTGAAAGTCGACGACAGTCGACTACGCGTCAACCAGCGACGCAGCGTGTTTGTTTTTGCTTCTCGAATAAAGTGCATGCATTGTTTCATCGAGCATGCGACTCCACCAAGACCCGTAGAATTATGGACATCCTCGCTGCAGAGGTCGATCGAGTAGTCTTTACTCCATACCCTACACAACTAAAGGTCGGTTAGACTGCCACCGACGTCTGCTGCAATACTGATTATCGTAGTCCCTCCATGATATCGTTTCTCGAACATCCGAAGCAAGTATATGCCTATGGGCCTCTTGCTATCACTGCCGCATTTCTTCCTTGAGTCAAGCTCTTATAGATGCTCTACCACAATGGCCATATGTATTAGAAATTATCACTCGCCTGTCTTGTGCTGTTGATCTCCGAAATGCACTTGTGCAAAGAGAGCCCTCGCTCCTACCTCGTCTCCTAATACATGCGCTGGAATCTCAAGCTGAGAGTAGAAAGGTGAAAATGAATTACCATCATGCCCTTGTGCTGTCTTGGCTGACTCGATCATAGTATGTGGACGCTGCTGTAGCCCTCCTATCTCAACCTCTGCCTTCCGATGTCGCCCTTCCAGCCACTGCGCAGAACTTTTTGCTTCAGCTCTTCGATCGTGCCGCTACTCAGCCGGGTGCTGCCACTGTCGAGCAAATTCACCGACTGGTCTACGGAGCTTGCAAACCAATCCTTGGTATCCTCTCTCCAGGTGTTCTGGCTCATCTGGAAGAATACATCTTCTCCATCCTCAAAAGCTCTTCTGGTGTCGAAGATCAGTCTTTGGGCATGTATTGTCTAGCTATCATGAGGATGATTCTTGAAAAGTTTCAGACCGAAGTTGGGAACGATGCTATGTGGCCTACCTTTGATCACTCCGTCGATTCTTCCAACTCGCAATGGACACCCGATGTTATCAAGCAATTCTTCCATGGCAACAAGACTCACAAAACTATGCAGCTGCTGGTCTTGCGCGTCATCTGGGCCTGCAGACCAGAGTCCGCGGATCCGACTGGACAAGGCCTTACTAGCGTTACTCTTGTCAACCAGATCCTAGCCGGTGTGTCCCAAGCAGCAGTCATTGATTGGTCTCACAAGAATGCTGTCATCGTGCGAAAGCTGCAAGAGAAGTGTCTCGTGCCTGACATGCTTCCTGCTCTCCGATTCCAGGTTCTTACCTTCTTGAGCTCACTGTCTGATAAAGTCATGCTGCCGCCCCAAGCAACGCTTTTCTACGAGAGATCGTTGCTGGACTTGAGCGCTGCCTTCCTCAAACGCGAGTACTTGGACATGTCGCTGCGCCTATCACTCTGTCGTTTGTCGGCAAAATTCAAGCCCGAATGGTGGGAAGAGCTTCTGAGCAAGGTCATGAACTTGCTAACAGAATCACCACCAATGCTGTTATTCAACTCTGCTGATAGCTACGTCTTGTTCCTTAATCGCATAGCTGAAATGGTTGAGGACAACGAATTTTGTCGTCGTGGTATACTTGCGACTCTGCATTCTGATCACAATCGCCAAAAGCTGGAACATTTCTTTGCTAGCCTGGAGGCCTCGCCCGAAAGCGACATGGAAATCGGCACGAACAGATTCTGTGTCGCTGCCTACACCCTTGCTAAAAACAAGCTCACATCTTCGCTTTGCTCTCTTTTGCTTCGTGCAGCCTTAGCTGCGCCGCAAGAGGAAACTGCCTCCATACGTCGGATGCTGCCTGAGATTCTCCGACACCATGGGGTTGCTGAGTCAAGCAAAGCAGTCTGCCCTATTTGCGTGCAAACAAGACTGAAAGCACCACAACGTCCAACACCATTTGTGGAGATTGAAGCTACACCCGAGTCTCAAGATGCAAGCCTACATTGGAAGGAGCGTCTCAGTGCAGTCATGCAGACCCATGCCAAGTACCAAGAGACATCTTTGGTAGCTTCTTTCATCACCATTTGCCATGACCTGGAGGCACGATGCGAAAGTGTCGAGGAGCCGCTGAGGTTGGAGCGCCAAAAGTTTGCAGGTCTGGAGAAGCGATACGCAGACTTGAACAAAGCATATGGAGAGCTTGAGGGTCAAGTCATAGATAGGGATCTGCGTATCAATGCTCTCGAGGCAGAAAATGATCGTCACGAGAATGATCTGGCAGCTTCTTCACAAGAAACCCGGGATTTGTTGCAGCGCATCGACACGATCACAAGGGAGCTTCAAGAGGCCAACCACAATGCTCAACGGGATATTGATCAGCTCAAGCAGGAAAGGCAAGGTCTGGAACTACAGCATGCTACCAATATTGCCTGTAAGCAGGAGGCTTTTGAGCAAATACGTGAACAACTTCATCAGGCCAGGCTAGATGTCGAAGACTTGCGCTCTGAGTTGAGCAATACGATGGAGTCGAGAAGGCACGACAATACTGAGTACGAGAAGCTGCAATCTGAAAAGGAACATCTCGAGCAACAGGTCCAAGAGAGTCGAGGCAAGATTTCACAAATCGAAGAGGAACGAGCGACGCTGCTTGAAGGTCACAGTCTGCTTGAGCAAGATATCTTCAAGCTTCAGCAAGACATCAAAGAACGTCAACAGCAGCATGAGAACCTTCTGAGTGAGATTCAAGCTACCAAACAAAAATCAGAGGATGGAGCCAGGGAATCTGCCACAGCCTTCGAAGATGCTATGTCAAGGGCAAAGCAAGAATGGATGAGCATGAAGAACCATCTCGAAGAGCAACTGGAAGAAGCTCGACAAGATCTTGCTGAGGCAGAAGACGGCTTCCAGCAACAGCACGAAGCAAACAAGCAAAAGACCGCAGATCTTCGCAAGCGTATTGAGCGCTTGACAAAGGACTGCACAAAGAAGGACGCCCAAGTTCTCGAAGCGCAGGAGATGAGAAACAGACTCATGAACGCCATGGGGCTTTCTGGCATGATGGCTCCGCCTCAAGAGCCTGTAGTGAGATCGTCAGTACTGCCTGTGCGATCTGCATCTACCAACTCATCAACACCACGAACCGCGTTACCCTCGCAAGTCCCCTTCACACCTGCGCCTGGCGCCCAACGTTCTGATGACGAGCATGAAGACGAAGAACCAAATAGTACATTCATGTCTGACGCCTCAGCAGATAATGGACCTACTCCAAAGCGAGCAAGACCTCGTCCATCGTTGAGGCCAGCCAGTACACAAGAGAAGAGGACAAGCATCGCGCCGAGGTCTGCAAGAGCTATGATGCGAACAAAGAGTGCTATTAAGAGACAGCCTTTGCAGGACATGCCGACCAATCGATCGCCTGTACGAGCCAGATCGCCGAGCAAAGTTGCATTCCACGACATCCAGAACCATGGATTTGGAATCAACACTGCCGAAAGGCGGGAACTAGAAGATTGGTCGTTTTCTGCAGACCACATAATGACGGGTACGCCAAGTGTAGGTTTAGGTGATAACGCAGAGGATGGTCTGGATGCAAGTACCACAGATGTTTAATTTGGGCATAATTGTTGCTTATGATTTACTGGATACCCAACGAAAGATTATTTTCAGTAAAACCTGATGCTTATCAGAAAGTGACATGTGCCTTTTCGATGTATGTGCCGTCAAGCCAGGGTGGGTGCATGGCATGATGCATGGTCTCACATGCAGGGAGATCAACCTGCAGGGCATTCATTTCCTTCCTCACTTTCAAGCTCAAAACATAGCTGAAAAAAGCAGCAAACAATGACTGGACTGCCGTTTCATCAGCTTAGTGTGTGTCTAGTCACAAGACGCAGCTCGAGTGATACTAGCGGATATGATAGTTCGTCAGATGGGACTTTTCAGAACCAGACTCACTGGCTGCAAACGCGACCAGAGACCTTGACATCAAGATGCAACCCAGATGCCGCAAATACCACTTAATCTACCACTTCTGAGGTTTTGAGCATGCATCGGTGCTCTCCGGAACAAAGCGGTGAAATTGACAGGCAAATCCTCACTTCAGAATGACGGCTTCTGCTTCTCGTCTGTTTGTACTGTGTTTGTGCATTGCCGCCACCTTCCTTCCTCAGATGGATGGATTGAGCTTCACCACACCTTTTTCACACGAACTCGTCTATCGCACGCCAGCCTTGATCCAGCTTTAACTGGTCTTCATTCTTCGCTCCTCCATCTCAGCCCATAGTCTTTGTCCTAATAACCACATCCTTTTCGCGCCTCTTTTCCACTCTTACGCCCATGGAGAATCGCCCGTCAGACACAGAGCGCCGGCGCAGATATGGCCCTCATCGCTCAACTCAATCAGGCCATCCTGCTCGTCCTCCAGCTTCTGCTTCGCCTGCTTCGCCTGCTTCGCCTGCTCGCTCACAAGCTCTTTCTCCCGTCACAAATGGTCAACGTGCTTCTATAAAGAAGCCCAGACACAACACCAGTCAACAGCGATCTTCGTCCCAGAGATCTGTGACTAATGACACTCGTCAACGTGGTCCGCCGCAGCCAATCTACCCTGACAGCATTCAAAAGAGTGAAACCTACGTCCCAAAAGCTGGAGAGCCAACCTGGATCGAGATCGATAGCATCCCGCCAAGTCACAATAATCCCACGAGCCTACACCGTGTACTTTTCAACTATGGCCACGTCTCTCGCATCAACTGCTACGACAAGTTCAAAGCTTCAGCTCTTCTCACATTCGCCCGGCCTGCGCTCTTCGACAAGCCCACACTGCCTGGAGGCTGGAAGCTCGCTATCAAAGGTCATCCATACAGCTTTGACATGATCGAATCTCCAGCGGACTCTGCAAGAACCATACAAGAAAAAACCACAGTTCCAGTCGATCGGGTTGAGTTTGGTGTGATGACTGATGAGCACCACATGATGGTCATGCATACAGTCTCTGGTGCAGTGGATCATCCAGCTGTCCTCATGCTTGACCTGCATTCCGAGACCAGGCATTCGCTCAACTTTCGCTTCTTCCTATCCACTGAGCCTGAGGCCCCCTGGTACAGCGCTGAACTTCCTCTCAGCTCTCCTCTTGGTATCAAGCAGATTCGAACCTCTGATGGCCGGAAAGAGATGGTTATCACTTCCCAGTTCCCTCCGAAGTGGTGGCAGAGTATTGGGCGCGACCTTCTTGAGGAGGTTCACCAAACCCAGCCTGGAGCTCGCAAATATTTCGAATGGCCTAGAGGCTGGCGCCGCGTCACCGATATCGATCTCAATCCTGATGAGCGTGAGCTCAGTCCGGTCGCATTTGTACCTCCCACTCCAGTGGTCGACACAGGTCGCTGGCTGACATGGAAGTTGAGGTTCTCTCCCGAGATGGACGAATTTGCTTACAACACAATCGTCGAGGTGTTAGAGGCTCACAACGCGGCTGTACAAGAGTGCGATCCTGCTGAGTTTGACACCGTTGCGCGAGAGGATCCAGTCGTCTGGGACCTACTCGACCCACACCAGGCTTCTTACGAATCAGATCTCCATGAGATGCAAGATGAGATGATGCATCTTAGCCAAAGCATCCGCTATCAACTTGAGGTATGTATTTCCAACAACAAAATTCTCGAGTACACTATGAGCCGAGAATTTCTGTCCAAGCTTAGTGCCTTGGATAGAGACTTTGTTCGCGATCCCAGCAACCCCTCAGTCGTCTCACCAGCTTTCATCCTCCTCGAAAATGTGGCGGATTCAAGGCGAACATTCTTCAATCCCATGGAGATCTTCGACACTTACGAACTGAGATACCCACGAAAGCGTCGAATCCCCAAAGGCTGTGTCTTGATGAGGACAGCCGTCATCACCCCTACGACTTTCTACGTCAAGACACCAACCGTAGAGGTATCAAACCGTGTCGTCAGGGATTATCTCTATTGCGTCGATAATTTTCTGCGCGTCAAGTTCGAAGATGAAGATCCTTTCGGACGTCTCATGCCAGTGGCGAAATATGAGAACCAGCACGAGGTGTGGGCTCGTATCGAGCGTTGCCTCCGTCATGGCATCGACATCGCCGGCCGCCATTACGACTGGCTTGCGTGTGGTAACTCGCAATTCCGTGAGAGAGGTGCCTACTTCTTCGCGCCCTACAGTGAAGAGAAGACTGCCCGTAGCATCCGAATGTCGCTTGGAGACTTTTCCAGTATCAATATCGTCGCGAAGTGCATGGCTCGCATTGGCCAATGTTTCTCGACCACCAGAGCTTCTACGGGCTTCGGGAATGTCAAAGCTACGCTAATTAAGGATATCGAGAGGAATGGCTATTGCTTCACCGATGGTGTGGGTAAGATTTCCAAGTTCATTGCTCAAATGGTAGCCAACGAGCTGTACGCCGCTTCTGGTACCGATGAACATCCATCTGCGTTCCAATTCCGTATGCGTGGTTTCAAAGGGGTCCTGGTGGTGGATCCTGCCTTGAAAGGAAACACCGTCCACGTCAGACCCAGTCAGCGTAAATTCGACGCAGCAGGTAATGACAAGCTCGAGATCATCAAACCTTCGAAATTCTCTTCGTCAACTCTCAACCAGCAGCTGATCCTTGTTCTCACTTCTCGAGGGGTGCCAAAGCAGGTCTTTGTCGACAAGATGGCGAAAGAACTGCATGATATTGACCTGGCAATGAACGACGAAGCTATAGCTTTAGAAATGCTTCAGAAGAACGTCGACTTCAATCACATCACTCTGACCATGTCGGGAATGATACTCGATGGATTCATGGACGCCAATGAGCCTATGTGCCAAATTCTCCTTCAGCTTTGGCGTACCTGGAATTTGAAACATCTCAAGGAAAAGGCCAAGCTATTCATAGAGAAGGGTGCATTTGTACTTGGATGTGTCGATGAGACAAACACACTCCGAATGGATTCGGGCGAGCTTCCTGAGATATTCATTCAGGTGCCAGGTGAGAAGGAGGGCGAATGGAAGACTGCGCAAGGTATATGCTTACTCGCTCGCAACCCGTCCTTGCATCCTGGTGATATTCGTGTTGTCAGAGCTGTTCAATGCGAAGCTCTGAAGCATCTCAAGAATGTTGTTGTCCTTCCGCAGCAAGGAGAACGACCGCTTGCCAATATGTGCTCTGGCGGTGATCTTGATGGTGACGATTATCTTGTCATGTGGGATGATGACTTGCTTCCGCCAGTTGATCAGAGGAACTGTGAACCCATGAACTATGATCCGCCAACACCTGTCATGTGTGCTGGACCTGTGCAGGACGAACAATTTTTCAAGTTCTTCATCGACTATATCAAGAACGACAATCTTGGTTCTATTGCCACCAGTCACCGTGTCCTGGCTGATGAATATGGATCAGATGGAGGAGTGGCGCATTACACCTGTAAGGAGTTGGCTCAACTTCACTCCAAGGCAGTCGATTTCAACAAGACTGGCGTTCCTGCCATCATGGCTGAAGATCACTGGCCCAAAAAATATCCCCATTGGATGCCATGGAAGCCCAAAGCAAAGCAGCGTATATCCGAACAAGTTATCGGAGTGCTGTTTGATATGGTGCAGCCCCAGCCGTTCGTCCCTCAGCTGGAGCAACCGTTCGATAGACGCGTCCTCGATGCTTACACCCTGAGTGAGTCTCATCTAGAGAAGGCAAGAGAGTTTAAGCTCGGGTACGATCAGCAGTTGCATCGCATCATGGTTCAGCACAACATCAAGACCGAGTTTGAGGTCTGGACAGCCTTCGTCATGGATCACAACAGAGAGCAAGGCTGGTTCACGTTGGCAGAAGACCTCGGAAACCTTATGAGCACCATCAAGGCAGACTACCAAAGCCAGGTCAGAGAGTACCTCGGTCTTGCCGACCCTGGTTACTCAATCTCCGAAAAGGCGTTTGGCATCCTCGCGCCTTTCGTGGCTGCCATGTACGCCGTCACAGCACAAGAGGTAACGCGATGGAAAGAGAGCAAGTTGGTGTCGATAGACGAAGACACAAGAGGCGCTCCTCTGATCACATACCCCTGGCTCTTCAGCAGAGAACTGGGAAAGATTGCCACCATGCAGTCCGGGCCTTCAGCATTACAGGCTGAGTTTGCATCTAAAGGTGGAATCAGGCGTAGAGCGCCAGTCGTCAAGTCCAGTTACAAGACGGAGCTTCATAGTATCAAGCTCGAGCCTCTTGCGGAATGGAAGCCTGAAAATGCTGTGGGTGACCGCGTGGGAAAGACAGCTTTCGATGTCACAGAGATTGACGACATCAGAGAGGTGACATTGCAGGCGGTCGAAACAGAACACTCTGAACAGAAGATGGCTCAGGACGGTGAAGTAATGAAGGAAGTCGTGAAGGAAGTGGTTTCAGAGAATGAATCTGAAAACGCGCAAGCTGTGGAGGAAGAAAGTGTAGAGGAGGCATTCACACCCGGAGAGTCCGAAGAGGAAGAAGCCTTGGAAGAAGCGCCAGAGAGAGAAAAGGAAACCAAGGAGAAAGACGTCGTGCAAGAGGGAACGACGAAAGACGAAGAGGCAGAGGAGGTCGAGGATGCCTTCGATCGTTTGATGGCCATGACATCGTAGCCACTTGCAGCAGTTGTAGACTCATAAAATAATCCCAGTCTCTTTTCCCCCTCAAATCTCTCACCCAACACTAGCCTCACCCCTCTCAAACACCCTGACACCCCCATCATTCTGCACAAAATACAACGCCTCCAATTCCTTCCTCTCTTGCTCTTTCACCTCATCCTCCACATCATCATCCCAAGCTCCTCCTCTACTCACCCTAATCACACCACTAACATCCCTAGCTTTCCCTGTATCCAGCGGTCGCAAACTCAACACCCAAGTACTGATATGCGCCTGCTGAACCACAAACGCCGCATGAGCAGCTTCCAGCGGTGTGGCTTTATGTTGCAGATCTGGGAGTGCGGCGGCAAGGAAGGGGAAATCGGCTTCGAGCACCAAGGTTGTTGTTGACACCAACGAGCGCAGGGATAAGAGTAAAGAAGAAAGGGCAGATGCGGACGGGGAAGAGGAAGTTGAGAGAAGGAGGGTTGGTGCGTCGAGGATTAGATGGATTCTACGAGACGGGTGGGAAGAAGAGAGGGTGGTGAGGAGAGAGGTTAGAGATGAGTGGGTTGAGGAGATTGAAGAGTCTTTGAGGTGGACTGTTTTTGAGGGTTGGGTCGGAGGGGGTTGTGTTTGTTGTTGGGGTGCCTGTGGTTGTGGTTGCGGAGGAGTGGCAGCTGGTGGACCACGAGAAGGTATGGGACCTCTAGATGGCAGAGGACCGCCTCGACTCGGCAATGGCGATGCAGGAGTGTTTCTCATAGGTAGTGTTCTTTGTGCTGCAGGAGCTGTTGTCGCTGGCGCAGTTGCAGTCGTTGTATTCGACGTCGCGACAGGAAACAAATGCGTCAGCCCATCCACAAAAACAAATTTATCCTGTTGAGCCAGACGAGCCAGATCGATACCCTATTTCAATCCCTTATATCAGTATTCCTTCCTCTTTTCCATTCCTCTTCGTTTGAATCTGGGTGTCTTACAGCGCCTCTTCTAGCCTCGCTTCTCCAGAATTCAAAGTCGCGCATCCAAGACACCAAGACTACGGTTACATCCTGCTCTTCTGAGGGTTGGGAGTCTTCTGTGGGAGTAAATGCGCTTCGTAGCAAGCGGGTGACCAGCCATTGGGGAGAGGAGTCGAGGACGCCGGTGAGGAGGAGTTGGGATCCGGGGGTGGGGAGACGGAGGTAGGGTTCTAAGAGTGGCGGGGTGCGGTTGCGTGTGCTCATTGTTACTAAGACTATTCCAGAAGGAAGACGGCGATGTCTGTATGGTTATGATGTTCGCGGGCAGTGACTTTTCGAGTGCTGTGGTGGGGTTGGAACGGTGACGTGGGCGCCGACTTTTTTTCTGAAGCTTCGAGTTTGGCTTGTGATTCTTGGCAATATATTTCACAGACAGATGAATACAGCAATTGGATTAATTATGGACGGCATGGGTGTTTCGATGTCTATTTGTCTGCTATTTGTAATAGCTCTGTTGTCCTCTTCTGCATCTTGGCCCTTTAAGTCTGATCGCCACTTCTTCAGCTTGGTGGACCGGGTCTGAAGCAGTTGCCCGAAGGCTGTCTGATGCTCAGGCAGAGGCATGCTACATGAGAGTGATCTGGATTGATTCCTCTGAAGCTCGAGTATATCCCATGTCGAAGATGGGCTCTTCTTCTCATGCAGCTCGAAAAGCTTCCTTCTGCTATGCTTGCTTGAGGAACCATCTCTGTAGCAGATGAAAAGCTGTACTGTATGCGAAGCTGCTGGTGGCAGAATGCAGGCGGTTTATGATGTCTTCTTCTCACTCGATATTCCAGGCTCAGACAGTCTTGACCAACTTGTTGACAAGCTTCTTCTGTGCCTGAAGGTCCAAATCCTTCTCATCCGTTTCGGTCAAGCATCTTCCAATAGCGACAGTCTCTGCGATGGATGAGCTGTCGACCCAGACTTTTCCATTTCTGCCAACAGCGACCTCGAACCTGACCTTCTCACCAATCTCTTCAAGCAGGCTAACACCACCCTTTCCAGCACCCATCATCAAGCGACGGGCAAATGCTGGCGAGACATCAAACAGCATGCCACCCTTGAGCGGACCAAGACCGTCCGACTTTCCAGTAGCAGGATTGACGCATTCGATCTCGACATCGCTCCACTTGTCTGCCTTGGATACACGAGCGTATACAAGAGCTCCGGAGTTGAGCTGGGGTCGTGTCTTCTTGGTAGCGCCTTCGAAAGCGAGCTGACCGAGCAGGACAGAGGGAGTATGCGGCGTCAGAGTGCAGTGATACATGTCGGTGGAGGAGCGTTGGACCATGGCGACAACAAGGTCGCCGGTGTGAGGGAGATAGCGGCCTCCAAGGTTCTCAATCCAGATGGCATTCTTCTTTGAATCGGTGCATAGTTCTCCAGCTTGAGTTGCGACGATCGTGACTGGTGGAATGTGTCGTAGACCGGGACCAAGAGTCAATGTGCGAGTAGTGTTTTGAGAAGGCAGCTGATCTGGCGACAGCTCCTGGCCAGGCAGGACAATGACGGTCGACGACATGATTGGATTGGTTTTCTGAAATTCACGGCGATGACGAAGGGCTGATCTGGATAAAGGCAGCGCAGCAACGGGACAACCTCGGCAGGAAATTTGTTCGAGGTCAAGAAAGTCTGGAGCGCAAAGTCCCATCCAAAAGATCAAGCACCCAATCCACCCTTGTCCTGTCGCCCTTTCCTTCTATTCCTGTTTGCGACAATCTCCCACTCCAGTCTTTTCAGCCGCTTCACCCACCCATCACATTCAAAATGAGCTCCGAAGGCGAGACCGCCCCCAAGGTTGCCATTGGTATCTCCTTTGGTAACTCATACAGCTCCATCGCCTACACCTCAGGCGAGGCCAAGGTCGAGGTTATCGCCAACGAGCTTGGTGACCGTCAGATCCCCACCGTCCTCTCCTACGTCGATGGTGAGGAGTTCCAGGGTACCGAGGCCAAGTCGCAACTCGTCCGCAACCCCAAGAACACCGTCGCATACTTCAGAGACTTCCTCGGAAAGGACTTCAAGTCGATAGACCCTACCAACTGCCACGCCTCTGCCCACCCCGTCGATGCCGAGAACACCATTGCTTTCCAGATCAAGGACACCGAGGCCGATGAGCAAAACACCCGCACAATCCACGAGATCACCGTCCGTCACCTGCGCCGTCTCGCTTCCTCCGCTTCCGACTACATGGGCAAGAAGGTCAACGCTGCCATCATCACCATTCCCTCAGACTTCGCCGATGCTCAGAAGGACGCCCTGAACAAGGCCGCCACCGATGCCGGTCTTGAGGTTATCCAATTCATCTCCGAGCCCGTTGCTGCTCTCCTTGCCCACGACGCCAAGATCAACGAGAACTCGACCCAGGACAAGAACGTCGTTGTTGCCGACATTGGTGGTACCCGTACCGACATTGCTGTTGTTGCCTCGCGCGGTGGTATGTACACCGTCTTGGCCACTGCCCACGACTACGAGCTTGGTGGTGCTCAGCTCGACCAAGCCTTGATTGACTACGCCGCCAAGGAGTTCATGAAGAAGAACAAGACCGACCCCCGTACCAACGAGCGCTCGCTCGCCAAGCTGAAGCTCGAGGCTGAGGCCGTCAAGAAGAGCTTGTCTCTCGGTGCCTCCGCTGCCTTCAGCATTGAGTCGCTCGCCGACGGTATCGACTTCAGCTTGACCATCAACCGCACCAGATACGAGCTTCTCGCCGGCAAGGTCTTCGGCTCCTTCAACCGCCTGATCGAGTCTGCTGTGGAAAAGGCTGGTCTTGACAACCTCGATATCAACGAGATTCTCCTTTCCGGAGGTTCTTCGCACACCCCCAAGATCGCCAGCAACCTCAAGTCCATCTTCGCCGATGCCACCGTCACCGCTCCCTCTACCAACCCCGCTGCCGTCAACCCCAGCGAGCTAACCGTCCGTGGTGCCGCCATCCAGGCCAGCTTGATCAGCGAGTTCGAGAAGGAGGATGTTGAGCAGAGCACCCACCCCGCCGTCACTGTCGCCCCTCACCTTGCCAAGGCCATTGGTGTTCTTGTTGGCGATGAGTTCGTTACTTTGATCGACGCCAACACCGCTGTTCCCGTCCGCCGCACTGCCCAATTCAACGCTGCCGAGGGTGATGTCCTTGTCAAGCTCTGCGAGGGTGTCAGCGAGATTAAGGTTACCAAGGAGGAGCCCGCTCCCAAGGAGGCCAACGGCGACGACGAGGACTCTGACGATGACAGCGACGATGAGCCTGAGGAGATCCGCGAGAAGATCTGGAAGGCCGGTGATGTTATTGCCGAGGCCGCTGTCAAGGACGTCAAGAAGGGCAGCAAGGTCGAGGTCCAGATCAACGTCAACGCCGACCTTTCAGTCCAGGTCATTGCCCGCGAGGTCGGTTCCAAGACCGGTGTCCGCGGTACCATTGAGGCCAGCGCATGAATAGTTCATCTCCCCTTGATCTCGCCTCCTCTTACGCCTCCCAAGAGCCGTCCTGCCACTCCCACAGACGCTCTTCACACTCCGCCCACTGCTTCTCCGATCAGTGTACCAACCTCTCCACCTCAGCCCGCCGCCGCCCCCATGAATTTTTTCGAACGGTTCTGTTTTGCATAGACGAAACGTAATGGTGTATTTCTGGTTCTGCTTTTTGTGTTTTCTAGAAGGGCCATGTCTCTTGGAGTTTTTCCCAATTTTCGTCTACAAAAGCAATGAATAGAAGAAAGAGAATTTCTACAACACAATCAAAGCATAGCGCATTTGTGTTTTTTTCCACTTCATTTGACTTGAGGTTTCCCGCTCGTAACCTATCTGACTCAAGTTCTGCCTCTGACAAAATGTGGAGGGTGGAGTCCTTTAATTCCTGGAAAGGGTTCTTGAGCTCTCAGTGAAATTTGCCAGGGCAGCATTTGGTGTTTCGCCCATTCATCAACATTGTCAGAGGTCAAAAGTAACAATTTTAACTGATGATTAGCCTTCTTTATCTATCGAATGAAAGGATGCACTTCCGTTCCTCACTCCTTCGTCTCCTGAAGAGGGTCATTTGGTATCGTTGGTACTTGTGCATAGAAAAGTGACAAGGTTGTACGCTCAGCGAGAAGGAAGTGGGTGACGTCAACGCGTCTTGCTCCCTTCCTTCCTTTCTTCATACGTCTTTAAGTCATTTGCTCTTTCACCGGCCTTGAACTCCTGAACTTTGATTTTCCGAAAGACACATACATCGTAATCATTAAAGGGTGATGATACGTTCACAAGGAGCCTCGATCCACGCCTGTCGCATTCGTGCTCAGCCTCCGTCTGCTCAGTACAGCAGTATGTTTCATCAAATCTCCTCGGTGTTCTCGACACCAACTGTCGCTTGCATCTCTTGGTCCATCGGAGTTTGATATGATGACTCTGCCATGAGTTTTTCAAGACCGAGGCCCTCATCATGCTCGACTGCCCCAGCTTCCCGAAGTATCCGCACTATCTCTTCGTCCCTGTTCAACAGCGCGATCTCAAGCGCTTCGTCTAGCTGCGCCCTTGCTCTCGCATCCAATAGCATCCTCACGATCTCCTCGTTACTCTTTTGAGCTGCTACAAGCAGCGGTGTCCTTGCTCGGTTGTCGGATCTATCTATGTCGACTTGGTGTGCTAACAGCGTCATGACTGACTTTGCGTTCTCGCCTCTCACAGCAAACCACAATGGTGTGAAGCCATGATCCGAACAGATGTTCTTGTCCACGCCAGTCTGTCCGAGTACAAGCTCAATTACCCCAGCCTTGTTGGATTCTGTGGCATGGTGTAACGGAGCAAATCCGCCCTCAGAGACAGGCGAGGTGCCATTCGCAATTCCTTGCTCAATTAAACTGCGACAAAGGCCTTCAAGGCCGACTGAAGCTGCTATCGTGAAAAGCGTCCGGCTGCCCGCTGACATATGCCTCGGATCCGTGCCCTCAACAGCCATGAGCATCTCTATCAGATCTTGCTTACTCGTCCAAGCTGCCCGCAATAATGGGGTATAATTGCGCCGAGAGATGTGAAGCGGATTGACATCATCGCGTTGCAACATGAAAGCAACTATATCAGAATTTCCGCCCGCGGCTGCCTCGGCGAAAGCAGTTTCGTTCCATCTGTTGACTGCCTCGATGTTGGTATGGTTGGTCTCTAGCAACAGTTTGACTACACTCAGATGGCCGCCGCGACAAGCATAGTGTAATGCTGTGTTGTTGAGCTTCTCCGTTGCCAAAACGACGCTCTCATCGTGTTCGATTAACAACCTGATGATCTCTGTGCTGCCGCTGTGAGCCGCAAGCATACAAGCGGTCGTCTTTTTTCTTGATCCATCCTGGTGAACCTTGACTTTGCCAGTCTGCAGGAGGCATCTGACGGCTTGGGTACGCGCAAACAAGGCAGCAAAGGCCAAAGGCGCATAACCATATTTATTCTCGACGTCAAAGTCGTTGCAGTTACCACTTTGAATTACAACAGGTGCGATTTCATCTGAGAGACAGCTGTAATGGAGACTTGTAGCCCCAATGTTGTCCTTGATCATTGAGTCCGCACCTGCTGTCACAAGAAGCTTGACGACCCGGGTGTTTTTTCGATCCAGACAAGCAAGTATCAACGGGGTATTGCCGTCTGAGTCTTGAGGGTCGACAGAAGCTCCTTCGTTCAAGAGCAACTCCACAACTGCAGCACTGCTGATGGCATTGTGTAAAGGCGTTGTTTTGGAGATTTTCGTGACAGCATTTACATCAGCTCCATGTGCGATGAGCAACTCTGCAAATGCCGGGTCAGGATTGCTGCGCTTGCACGCAGCATGAAAAGCAGTCCAACCAGGGTTCCCAGGATCTTCACTCTTTGCGTCGGCTCCGCCATCAAGCAAGAGCCTCAATACTTGCAGGTTCGCCTCGGAGGATGCGTACACGATCGGGCTGGGCCAATCTGATCCAGTAACGTTGACATCTGCATCAAAATCCAACAATGCTCTGATTGTTGCCTCATTCGTCCTCGCAGCATACTGGATAGGCTGTCGATTGTGCTTGTCCTTAGCCAGCGGATCTGCATTTGCTTTGAGAAGTATGCGGCAGAGTGTTGCGAAACCACTTTCTGCCAGTTTATGCAGTGGAGTCATGCCGTCAAGATCAGCAAGACTCACATCTGCTTCGTTCTCGAGAAGCAGTTCTGACATTGCCTCGGATGCTTCTGGACATTGCGCGAGGCAGTTCAAAACAGTATTGCCAGTGTTATCCTGTATGTTGATATCGGCACCACGAGACAAGAACAACCTTACGACGTTCTCTTTGCCTCGCTTGTTGGACAGATACGTATGCAGAGGCGTGCAACCATTGTGGTTCTTCCCGTTGACATCACAACCTTCGTCCAATAAAAGTTCCGCTACCGCATATAAGTTGTCGTCTTTCTCCGCTCGGACCGCGCAATGCAGAGCTGATTCGCTGCCCGGTACCGACTGAGCTGATGCTCCGCGTCTTAGCAATTCTCGTACGAGCTCATAGTCTCCCTCGGAAGCGGCATTATCGAGTACGGCGTATCCTTGTTGTGTACGTAGCGTGAGATCAGCCTTACCTGTTTCCAACAGCAGTTTGGCCGCTGCTGTTCTCGATCTGTCGGCAAGCTCATGCAAGGGTGTCCAGCCCCACCGGTCGACAACTGAGATGTCAGCCCCTGCAGCCAAAAGCAGTCTCACCACATCATCCGATCCTTCTCGTTCAGCACACGCCACCGCCAGAAATGTCATGTTGTCGTTGTTTCTTGCTTCAATATCCACGCCGTATTCTAGAACATTTCGCACAACATCGACGGATCCTCTGATGGCTGCTTCGTGGAGAAGTGTCTGACCAGCAGCACTTTTGATATCAATCCCCGCCCCAGCATCGACTAGAGCTTGTAGAATGGCTTGATCACCTCGTTTGGTAGCAAGATGAAGAGCACCTGATCACGGTATAAGCAAGCTTTGCAAGAAGGTAACGAATGAGAAACTTACTGATACCATCGTTGTCTGTCGCATTGACTTTGACGCCTTTCGAGACAAACAGCTTGATGGTGCTAGCATCACACTTTCCGTCTCCTCCGATAATCTCATGGAGTTCTGTCCTTCCCGTGGCGTCTGGTTCACATATTCCACCGTTCTTCAAAATGTACTCGATTACCTTCAAGTGGTTTTCTCGACAAGCGAAGTCTAAGGCCGACCTGCCTTCGTTGTTTTTGACATTGATCTTTGCCTTCTTTGAGATGAGCAGTCGTACCAAACTGAGATCGCCAGCTTGTGCTGCCATGTGGAGAGCAGTCTTTCCATCGAAGTCCTGAGCATCAACATTTGCTTCTGCACGGAGTAAAAGCTGGATAATCTCTTGAAACTGACCGTCTCGACACACTGCGGCTGAAAGCAGCGCAGTGCGCTCGTAATCACCGATGATATTCGGGTCTGCCCCCTTTCTTAAGAGAGCCTGTGCGGTCGACAGATGCCCGTGTTCTGCTGCGATGATCAACGCAGTATCGTCGTCCAGTGCTTTGAAGTTCACAAGAGCACCTCCTTTTTCCAGGAGTAGTCGACATAGATCATGATTGCCAGCTTTGGCTGCGGCAATCAGAGGCGTCTTGCCGAAGTCACTTCGACAATTTACTTCAACACCATCCAGCGAGAGTAAGTATTCCACGACCTCTTTGTGTCCATTTACGCACGCAGCCAAGAGTGGGCCAAATGTGGTATCAGCCTGATGATTGACGTCCACCTCTTTCTCACCAATAAGCCTCTTGACAATCTCGAGATTATCCGCAAATGCAGCTACGTGTATCGGTGCTTCGCCTTTGATGTTATTATAGTTCCAGTCGAGACCTGAGTGCTCTTCGAATGCATCTATCAGGCCAAGCTTTGCTATCACAAATGTCTGTGTCGGCTTATGTCCGTTCAGACATGGATTCTCGAAGTCGGTCACTGACGAGAAATACTCTTGTCGCTCGGTGCTTTCCAATGCGTCATGTTTCCAGTTGCCAAATGCATCGTCGTCTCTTAAGAATGACTCCAATTTTTCGCAAAGATCATCACTGCGAGTTTTGACTTTGAGAGAGTGGTATACCCAGTTGACAACTGAGTAAGCGTAGAAGCTGTTCGCATTGGGATCAGGGCGAGTCTCCTCATCCCATGACTTTCGTCGAGATGACGAAAATTCCTCTAGACATCTTGATGCGGCGAACGTGTGTAGGGAGTCTTCATCATATCCTTCCTTTTTCTCGAGGAACTCCTGAACAGACAAGTGGGCGAATCTTAACGTGTCAATCTCACTCTCCTCGTCGGCGATCACCAAATTTCGGCAAAATTCCAACACATCATCTTTCATCAGCTCATCTCCAGCATCGGCCACAGCTTCAGAATGGCGCCAATTGTGAGTGGACGCCTAGCGACCAAGAGCCATCGAAGCACGGATTCTGCGATCTCTCTGCTGCTCGGTCCGGAACGTATGATACGCTCAAATATGCTTTCGTATAGCTGGCCAATTTCTGTAGGGTTCTTCTCAAGCTCAATTCGAACATCTTTTTCTCGCTTGATGCCCTCGTCGCACAAAGTCTGAAGCTGAAGCTTGACCCATAGGAACCTGGTCGAGTCAGCAAAGTTCTTGAATTGTGTTGATCTTAGGGAGTGCTGCATTCGACACACTCTAGACCAAAGGTGGAGTACATTTGGCAACACCCAGGGACTGCGCAGATCACCAAAACATCCTACGAGAGCCTCCTTTGGCACTCGAATGGAGCTTGACTTGGATCCGATAGGCCCCGTGTTCCACAAATGTGCTCTTCCACATGATCACTGTGTCTCCGCGGCTACATTAAACTTGAACACGGACTTACATTCCTTGTGCAGAATCATTCAACTTCTGGATTATAGTCTCCTTTAATTCATCGCTCACCTTGCCTCTAAGCAGTCGCTTGTCAGAAATAACTCGATTGACCTCCGAGGTGACATATTTACGGATGTCGTCTTTGTTGTCGCCCTGCCCGATACCAATATGGACCGGAAACTCATCCTTTGGCATATCCTGGCAGACCTCACTACGGCCAGAGATGATGACTTTCACAGATGCCTTCTCCATGATTGTTTTGATCGACTTGAGAAGATCTAACCTTTCTGCGCATTCATCCAAAGCATCAATCAGAATCATTGCCGTGCGGTCACCTACGAGCTTCGGGATCAAATCAGTCAGAGCCTTTACGCTGAGGTGGTCGGGCTGGTCGGCATTTTTCTCATCGGCATCCTTCTTTTGAGCGTTGTACGCCTCGAGGAACGCTGGCTCTGGTAATTTATCTACGCCGGTGAACGAAAGCTGTCTTGCTATCGATCCGAGGATCTCTTGTGTCTTAGTACGTTGCTGCTCCGAACCGTTGCAATAAAAGTAGGCCATCTTTGGCCCATCGAAGTTTGTCTTTCGTTCATCCAGAAGATTCTCAATGATGACTGACCTGTTTTGCGTCAGCTTCAACAACATCTGAAGATGACACATACTGACATCAGCTTCGTTTTTCCGCAGCCAAGTGAGCCACAGAGTAAAATGGCACATGACTTTGACGATTGCTTCCAGTCAATGTAGTGATGGCGTTCCATTAGCCACATTCCTGTACCCTCTAATACGTCTTCTTTCGCTTTTTATGATGACTCTGCACAGGAACTGTCGACATCCACTGGAATTTTTGGGATATCTCCTCTCCTGCAAAGAGTGAGCTTTCGTGCATGGAAAGTGTGCTGACACGTACGTAATCTCTCATTTCTCATCTCGCTGATTTCCGCAGTCAGTTCGTCTATAGGTTCAAGTTTCTTCATCATGTCACGAGAAAGTTGACGCAGTCTTTCGAGCTCTTGGGTATTGGTCAGCGGATATACTTGATCCGACCACGGGACTTCTCTCACCATCTCGTGTCGACTCCGCAGTCTCCTGGATCTCGCTAAGCTTTCGATCGGAATCTTTCTTCTCTGCAGCTTCATCAGTCATGTGTTCTACTTTGCCATAGCAGATTTAGTCGTCATACTTTCAGCGTCAATGATCTTGAGAATCTCATCAACCTCGCCGTGGCCGGCCCTAAAATCTGCGATAGGCACCTCGATCAAGTCATGCGGAGATTTGAAGGCGCTTCCACCAACTCGTTCTTCACCAATAATCAGCACATTTCGCCACTCGCAGTTGCCTTGTTTTCCACTTACCCCATGTACTTTTGTCGTAGTAAGTTTTTGCGATACTCAGATATCTCAGGATGGAGACGTATAGCTTTGTTATGCGATCTGTGAGTTGAGCTTTCAGGGAAGACTCTTCGAGCAAGTACAAGCTCTCGACTACGGCGTATCTGGTGATCATTGCAGACACCAATTCGATACCTTCAGCCATGCCTTGAAAGCTCATGCTGTCGTTTGTCGCAATCTAATGCTCTTTCCGTCAGAATTTCGAGCCTGTGAAAGATGGAAATTGATATACTCACATTCAACAACAACCTTACACCCGCCCAGGGCAATGCAGCATGACCTGGATCATACTGAACTAGGGTATCGCCAATCTCCCTGAATTGTATTAAGAATTTGGTCAACTTATTGAAATAATGTCTCAGCGGCACTTCGCCCTTTTTTGTCCTGATTTTGAATGAGTTTTTGTTCACTTTATCTTCACTGTTTCTCACTCCTACTAAGACGCCATCAATGGTTGTGTTGGATCTTGAGATCTCAAGTGATTTCTTTTCTTTTTCGGGCAATCTTTCCACAGCATCTTGCCATAGGTTATGGGAGAGAAAGCGGTGCATTGATCTCTTCGGATCTAACAAGGGAGAGGGAGTCGATGGGCGAGAAGATCCCTTGTTGTACACATCGCCTGCTCTTTGAGGTATGGGAATGTGCAGGATATTAGCACCAGGCGCGATTGCTTGGTAGGGTGGTGGAGGATCCATTCTTTCTATTGCTTCTTCTTGTGCTTCAGATATGATGATGAGAGCCTGGTTTGTGGTAACAAAGAGGGAAAAGAAAGCAAAGGTAAGGTGAGAATATCACCTCCCTATCACCCCCTCTTCGCAAGCCAGCCCGCCCATATCAGCTCAGCCTTGTTCTCATGCACCTGGCTTGCAGGATCATTCAAGGCTTGATAAGCTGGAGGTCTCATGCATCTTACGATTCGCTTTGAGGCTTCTAAGACGAACCCGAATCAGCTTGTCACTTTGTTTCCAGCCTGCTGACAGTCGCAGATTCAGCTCTACTTTTGTGTCGGTAGCTGCTCCGATAGTCGAGTCTACAGAAAACAAGGCAATAAAAACCGCTTTTTCTGTTTCGGCTGTCTGCCTGACAGGATGTGGCTGCTAAGCTGTAAGAAGCGATCCGATGATTCGTCATTGAAGACATACCATGCACGGGACAAACATATTGTGGCTGAAAGCATTGGGGGACATTCTGATTCATCTTATTCTGTATGTCTGGCATCATGTTACTTCTTTCATCGATGAGTGTTCGTGCTAGAACTCTGTCATTGTGTTCCAGTATCTTGTGCACATCTTCCAGTAGCTATGGAAAAAGGCTACAAAAATGCGCAAAACTATTCAGGCGTGTATGTTCGTCTCACTGAGAGATTGCTTTGTCTAAGGTATTTCCGTGGCAATATCTTTGATCTGAGAAGTGTTGTATAGCCAAACTTACGGTAATATGGAGTTGAAGTCACTAGTTTTGAAAATGCAAATATGCTGTTCGAAATGTAAAAGTGTGGCCATAGGAAGGTCATCCGAAGGAGCGATCCAGCGTGTATGACCCCTTCTGTTGACATCGGTCACCATCAACTTCTGAGCCTCGCTCCGCGGTTCACATCTCCACCTCCACCTCCTTCCTTCATGCACTCCGCACCTTGGACACACGTCATGCATCGATCAAAGAAGATCGTCCTTCAAAAAAATGCTTGCTGCCATTTTAGCCGACAAGAAAATCTCGTATACAGCAAGGCGGGGTTGCCTTGGAGAGATCATGGGGGTTGCATTCGGTACAATAGCTGATCGACCTGCCTTGCTAGTGTGGACTTGGTAGGCAAGGTGAAGTATAAATTGGTTCCGTCTCCTCTCTGCTCGAGCATTGGCTTTCTATCATAAGCTAGATCTCTATCCTCATCATGTCGCAATTGATGGTACTTGCTTTGACTGCGCTCCCAGCAGTCCTGAGTCTTCAGCTACCTGGCGGTATTGGAAAACTGCCAGCTTTAGGATGGAACTCATGGGTAAGCTTGCCACAGAGATCACTTTTACAATGAGGCGTTGACGTCCTTGTTAGAATGCCTATGGCTGCGACATTGACGAGGCTCGCATTCTGCAAGCAGCCAATGCCATGAAAGACTTGGGCTTCCAAGCCGCCGGGTATGAGTATGTCAACTCTGATGACTGCTGGTCTCAGATGTCGGGAAGAGACGCTGTAACACATCAGCTGTTGCCCAACTTCACGAAATTTCCTGAGGGCATCAAAGGCACTGCGGACAAGGTACATGACTTGGGCTTTAAATTCGGTATCTACTCGAGCGCAGGCACCATGACATGCGGCCACTACTCTGGCTCGATCGGCTATGAGAACATTGATGCAGAGACATTCGCTTCATGGGGTGTTGACTACCTCAAGTATGACAACTGCTTTCCGCCAGAAGAGTGGTACGACGACTGTTTGTCATGCGAGCCAGACCCAAGTTTTTCTCCTACCGGCATCATCAATGGTACTTGTTCCAACAGCACTCCACCTGTACACCACTACTCGTATGATCGTCCGATCCCTATTTGCGCAGATGGATGGCCTGTTGATGGTATCAACTATACGGCCAAGTACACTGCGCTGAGGTTCCGCATTATGGGCAATGCCTTGTTGGCGCAGAACAGGACTATCTTGTACAGTCTGTGCGAGTGGGGTGTTGATCTGCCATGGACTTGGGGAAATGGTACGGGTCAATCATGGCGTATGTCGAACGACATCAACCGTAAGTGAAAAACCCTATACGCCATAGAGTAATCGACTGATTCGAGTACAGCTTCATGGAGCCGCATCCTGGAAATTTTGAACCAGAACTCATTCTTGTCCGACTACGGTAACTTCTACGGCCACAACGATGCAGACATGCTCGAAGTCGGAAACGGCAACCTCACCGACGCAGAAGTCCGCTCGCACTTTTCGCTTTGGGCCATGATGAAGTCGCCCCTGCTCATTGGTACCGACGTGACAAAGCTCAGCAGCCACAATATCGGTGTCTTGCAAAACAAGGCACTACTTGCTTTCAACCAAGACCCGGTTTATGGCAAGCCGGCCGCGCCGTACAAATGGGGCATCAATCCAGATTGGACCTATAATTCTTCATTCCCAGCCCAATATTGGTCTGGAGCATCGTCAAATGGCACGATGGTGGCTTTGTTCAATCCTTTGAATGACACGGTCTCGATGACCGCTGATTACAGCGAAATTCCGGAGCTTAATGCAGGAGGATGCTATCAGGTTTTGGATGTCTGGAACAGCACTGATCTTGGGTGCAAGGAGAAGAGCGTTACTGTGGATGTCGCTCCTCATGATACTGCCGTGCTGCTTTTCGAGCATTCGTGCTGAGTTTGATACAGACAGATATAAAAAGAAACTTGAGGTAATGTGATTTAAAGAAAGCAACTTGTTTCTTGTGTTGGATGCTTCCTTGAAATTGTTCCAATGATAGTTGGCGAAGTTGAGAGAGTCCGATTCCAAGATGTAGGGTGAGAGCCGTTTCCTCTCCCGTAGTGCATCGTCTCCTCTTCGCGAGACCTTGATTGCGCCCTTAGATGTCGGTCGATTGGTCCCAATCAAGTCGCTTTCGCTCCGCTTCCAGCTCCTTCGGTTCAATATAATAATGAGTCTGTTCGTTACTTATGAAGAGGAAGTAGACTTGATCTGAGAACGCGCTCCAGGCCCTTCTCCAGCGCACCATGATTTCATCACTGCTTCCCTCCATTCTTGCACATTTGATCGCAAGACCAACGACCAATCATCCACACCCAAGGTCCATCCTTCCTCTGCCCATAGCAACACCAACCCCATCTCCATTCCCTCACCCTTGCTTCACCCCATCTACCCCCTCCACTCCGATCACCTGCTTCCCAGCCCTAGCCTTTTCCACCCTCGCCCCCATCATCCCCACAATCACCATGACAGCACCAATATTGGTAATCCACAACCAAGCTTTAAGCGCAAACTCCAACTCGTCGTAGGAAGAAATCCATTTGTTAAAGGCAATCAGCAAAAGAATGAGAAAGATTGGAAGGCCGAAATCGTTGTTGGCGAGTTTTTGGCGGAGGGTGAGGGGTTGTGGTTGTGAGGACGACATTGTTGTTGCTCTTTGTTGGTGAGAGGAAATTTGTGGGTTGTTTTGATCAGTTGCGAGTACTTGGTGGTGGTTGTGACTCGTGAGTGATATGGAGGAAAGCGAGGTTGTCTGGACCGTTTTGATGGTTCGACATTTAGGTCTCGAAGGAAGAAGGTTTACGCTAGGACGAGAAAGGAAGGAGGTATACAGATACATGTCTTTGGGAGGAATTAATGCGAACAATTACAACTAAAACCAGAACTGGACACCGCACTTCTTCTTCTCACTCATCTCCCTCGCAGCAGCTGATGTATTCGCTTGCCTCATCAATGCTTGTCCTGCGCAGACACCTACAACCAACCCAACCATAACACACACCAAACAAACCCAAGCCCCAATATTCCATCTCACATCCCAAGTCAAAGCCCAAAGACCAAACGTATCAATCAGGAAAGCCAGTATAGTAGCAATGATTGCTCGTGTCGAGTCAACTTTTGCCTTTTCGTCGTCGCCCTCCTCGCCAAAGTCCCAGGACAGGTAGATTCCACAGATTGTGAGAGCGAGACCACAGTTGGCAGTCAAGAGCCAAAAATAGTCATTGTTGGTCCACTTATCGACGTAGGAGGGAAACCAGATATCGAAGTAGATGAGCAGACAGCTGAGAATTGCTGCGGTTATTGGTCGTTTTGGAATGGTCGTTGCGTTGGGATTTTGCATTTCAATCTCTTCTATGGAATGCGACTTGGACATTCTGGAGGATTGTTTTGAGAGAAGGTGGGTTGTAGAAATGTATGGGGTGTCGTTGGAGCAAGTAATGGCAAGATGAATATCAAAGGTAAGGGATGAAAGGTTGGATCCTTATTCCCGGGGTTACGTGCGAAAGCGTTAAGGTTGGAGGGAAGATGAATATGTTCCGCGGAAGGATCAACTACGCGCGTTGTTACAGAGGAAGGAATATCTGATGGAACATGTGAGCAGCAATGAACTACCAGAGCGATCGAACAGGGATGTGTAGCAGTATTGGGTAACAAAAAAAGATCAGAATGGATATTTGATATCTCTGCAAGACCAAACCAAAGAAGACGCCGGTTGTGATGCAAATCAACTTTTCAGGAGACCTCTACTCGCTGTCCTCCTCATCACTGACACCATCAACTTCCATCTCTTCATCCTCGGACTCATCTTCATCTCCACTGGCCTCATCCTCATCATCAAAGTCTTCACCATCCTTGGCCATTCTCTCGGCCTTCTCTTCTTCTCTCTTCTTCTCATCCTCCTTTCTTGCCTCCTCCATCAGCTTTTGCTTCTCCTCTCTGATCTTTCTTTGACCAACGACAAATGCTCCCAGCGGTGTCTTTTGCCATTCAGTCTCCTTCAGGAAGTTCTCCACCTCGCTGCGGTTGTTGGGTGCAAAGTCGACCTTGGCTCTCTTCTCCTCGACAAAGCGAATGTTGGCATCGACCTTTTGAACCAGCAAAATCATTTGCGATGTGAGCTTTGCGTTGTTGTTCGGTGTCTTTGAGTTCTTGCCGGTCTCCTTCAGCCAGCGTTTCAATAGAACGACGAGAGGTAGCGCGAGCTCAGGGAAGGCGACAGATTTGGCCCAGAGAACAAAGAACTCTGACAGGAGCTCGACGACTTGCTCGCCGACACCGTCCTGGTAGACACGTGTGCGAAGGTAAGTCTTTGGTGCTCTGAAAGCCACTGAGAAGTCGAGAGGCTTGAGTGTTGAGGCCTTCGGGGGCTTGCGCATCTCGGCGGAGTTCAGCACCTCGTAAAGAGCGGATCCAAGGGAAATGTAGGTTCCGGTAGAAAGGGAGATGCGGAGAAGACTGCGAATGAGGTGGAAACGGAGGGGGAAGTATGTGCTTGTAGGAATGAGGCGCATGGCACCAAGAGTGACTTGTACAATGGGGTAGATGAGAGGACGCAGAGGAGAAGCAGCGCCCTTCTCTGCTTCAGCGAGCGACTGACAGTGCGATGCTACGACACGCGACCAGAAATCAAGAGAGTGAACGTATTGCCAGTTGTAGACAGTCTTGTATGAGTCCTTTGACTTGTTGGTGATGCTGCCGCGGAGGTGGATAGCCAGTTGACGGATGAAGGTGAAGCCAGTTGTGTAGCCAATTGTCGAATCAATACCCCAAAGCTCGGCAGCCGAGTTCTTCATGAGGTTGATGCCTTGGATAGTGTGAATGGTGGTGTTGCGGCTGCCCTTGATCAGACCCTGGTATGAGGTCTTGAGAACGGCTTCCCTGATACCAGCATCACCAATGACGACCAATCTTCTAAGAACAAGGAAGGCTGCGATGCGGGTGGCCTCTGTACTCGAAGACTCGGACCAGACTCCAGTGACGGCCTTTGTCAGATCACGAATGATCTTCTTGAATGACAGAACGTAGGGAAGGAGAGGAAGGACGTTGGTGAGGGTCATGCGAATGGTGTTGGGGTCGGACAGATGGGCGAGCAAATGCAGGACCGAAGTAAGATGCGACTTGAGCAGCGGGCTGAGGTTGCGGAATTTCTTCGAGTCGGTTGAGAAGGTGACTTTGCCGCCAGCCTTCTCTTTGACGGGCAGATGGTGTGCGAGTACCTCGGGCAGGTGCTTGAGCGCAACAACCAACAGCTCGTGGTAGGCTTGCGGGTCTGAGATGGAGTACTTGAAGACCTTGTCCTCCTCGTCTGAAACGTGGGCCGCAGCACGGAAGGCGAGAACGACCTCTTTGGTAGCGCGTAGAGAGTGTTGTGTTGTCATGGCCTTCTGCCACTTTGCGATCATTTGCTTGGTCACCTCGTTGCCTTCTCCCTTTTGCTTCTTTGACGGCCTCTCATCCTCGTCATCACCGCTCAGCTCGTCAATCTCGCCCAGGTCTGCGTCCTCGAAGTTCAAAGCCTCGGGCTCGTTCTCTTGCATGTACTTGTGGAACTCGGGGTCTTTTGCGGCGAGGGCATCGAGTTGTGCTTGGAAGGCTTCCGGGTCGTCGACTTCGGAGTCAGAATCTGATGCGTCGTCATCGGCGGCGGGTGTTGGTTGGGGTTCGTTGTCGTCGGTCTTTGCGGCGCGTTTCCTCTTGAGTGACTTGTCGCTCTTTGCTGGTAGCTCGGGCACATCGAAGCCTCCCTGGAAGAAATCGTCGACGTTCATGCTCTCGAAATCCTGCTTTCCATCCTTGGTGGGAGCCTTGGTGTCCTCGGGTGGTGGAGTGGAAACTTCATTGTCCTGGGCTCTCTTTGCCTTTCTCTTTGCGTTGAGTTGATGGCGCTGCTTGATTTTGGCAAAGTCCTTGCGGCGCTTGATTGTGTCCTTGAGATGGTTCTTCTCGAACTTCTTCGTGGCTTTTGTTTGCGCCATGATATGCGGTGTTTTGTGGTGATGGAAAAAAAGTTTGGATACGGCAAGGAAAATCAGATTGAGACAGACAATTCTGCGGAGAAGCCGACTTGAGCACAGACCACACCATTCACATGTCGGACCGTCCATCGCTCTTTCCCGCATCATCGCCTGCTAAACCAAAGACATAACACTTTCTTGCAACATACACATCGCCATCATGTACGCCGGACGGCAGTTGGCATATGCTCCGACTCCGTATAGTTATACCCCTAACTCAACCCTCTCGGCCACCATCAACGTTGATGAAGAGCTCAAACTTGCCAACAACACTGCCGAACGCGACCTTTACGAGTCGCTGGCTGAGATCTACAGCATTATTGTTACTCTAGAGGCACTGGAAAGAGCTTTTCTGAAGGACTCTATCTCCGAGACAGATTACACCGACACATGCAGCCGTTTGCTGAAGCAGTACAAGTCCAACTTGGCTGATGATTCGGTTGCCAGAGCCTTTGGAAGCCTCGACTCTTTCAAGCTGGAATGGAACCTCGAGGTGACTCGTGCTACTGATCGTCTGAAGATTGGTCTGCCTGCTACTGTAGAGGCTCCCTCACGTGCCCCTGGTGCTCCTTCAAGTGGTGGAGCCGGTGCCAATGCCACTCATATCGTGTCAGCTTCCGAGAACTTCATCACTCTGTTTGATGCCATCAAGATGAATATGCTCTCCAAAGATACTCTTCATCCTATCCTCGTTGAAGTCATCCAAGCCGTCAACAAAGTCACCGATCAGGATTTCGAGAACAAGGCCAAGATAGTACAGTGGCTTATCAAACTCAACAGCATGCGCGCTGCTCAAGAACTCACAGATGAAGAAGCTCGCGATTTCCAGTTCGACATGAATCTGGCATATGACGGTTTCAAAGCGACCCTCGAGTAATGCTAGATATGGCTATTCTTCGGCTGATCTGTGCGTCTCCGCGCCTTCTCCAGAATTGTCCAGAAAGCGTCACTCTCACGACCACTCAAAATGTCTGATATCAACAACAATCATGCGTCACGGCAGTCAGATGAGGATGAGGAAGTCCTCGACGGTGAGACATGTTCCGGTACCGTCAATTGGCCTCTTCTAATACTGCTCTAGTACTGGACCTTCCACAAATTTACACTAAGCCTTCGTCGCAACAATTATTAGATACCCTATCTCTGCTCAGCCTGGAACCCCAATCATGGGACAAGGCAGCTACCCAAACCAAGCCTAAAGTGCGACCGAATGGCCTTCCGCAATACCTTACACGAATTGTCTCGAGCCCGTTACACTGGATTGAAGATGACGTAGAGAAAGAGAAGATTTGGGATTCTGCTTCACTGCGCCTAAGCGAGCGTTCTGGTCGTACTGGCATGGGTGCTATCAGTCGTTCGTTCTCCATACCTCTGGCTGCTGAGCCTACCAACAACTCAAGTACCATGAAGCCAGTCATTACCAGCTCGCATGAACAAGACACGACCATCCAAGTCAGCATCCACGAACCTGCGCTGACTGAGGATAACCTTGGCCTCAAAACATGGGCCTCCTCATTTGTCTTTGCACGGAACTGGCATGCTCTTCGCGATCGCATTCCCCTGATCTTTGACAAGGATGAAAATGCAACAATCCTGGAACTAGGCGCTGGTACAGGTCTTGTCGGTATTGCCGCAGCAGCTGTGCTAGGAGCAGACGTACTCTTGACTGACCTGCCCGAGATCGTACCGAATCTTGAACGAAACATCACCTCGAATGAAGACATCATCAATTCCAGAAACGGATCCGCCCGTGCTGCTATGCTTGATTGGACAGTGCCGGAGAAGATCATATACCCCGAAAAGACAAACGAGTCAAGTCGACCTCTCGTCGCCGAGGAAGAAAGCTCAACATATCCTCTCATTGTTGCCGCCGACCCTATCTACTCCAAGGAACACCCTGGGTGGTTAGTTCAAACAATCAACTGCCACCTTAGTCATGTTCCCGATGCTCGCGTCTTGATCCAGATACCTATCCGTGAGGCTTACGCGGAAGAGCGCGCCGACCTCAAAGATCGCATGATTAGCATTGGCTTGGAACTATGTCATGAGCAGACAGAGACTGGCTACGATGACTGGAGTGATGGACAAGGCGAGGAGCTGAGTGAAGTCGAGTGCTGGTTGGGCATGTGGAAATGGAAGAACGCGTAGGAACATGCTCCGACTTCGGGACGAGTCATTGGACGGTAAGCACACTTGATAGCCCAACAGTATCGGCTTCAACTTCTGCAAAGAGAAAGAATAGATAGGACATGTCGGCGGCGCCGCGCGGGGTGCTGAAAAGACAATCGCATCGAGTAATAGGCACCCCACAATCTGTCAAAGAATGCGCTATCCAACGCTTCTTTCTCTGCCAAGACGAAAATACAGGGATAAAATTACACGAAACGATCGAGCAAAATTCTGCCGGACGAACGCTGTTCGGTGGATGATAGAGAACGCGCGAACTCGACGCTGATAAGGAAAGAGTGTTGGGCGTTTGTCAGAGCCAATCAGCGACAAGCATCCCGATCCCTAACCCCAGATTGCTTCCTTATCAACGACCTCCACCACAACGCTCGTCCATGTCGATCACTTGCCCCTCCATCCTTCATGTGCAGAATTGATACAATCTTGCGACTAATTTCTCTCCCATGCTAAGGTACAAAGGCATTTAGGAGTGTCGAGATGCATAGTTGAGACTTAGAAACAAGTCTGACCATGGAGACAGCCTTGGGTAGGATTCTCTCTAGGAAAATCGGATCCTCCATGAGAGTATCGTGCGTCTCTGCAGCATAACTGTGACAGTGTCCAGCAGACCGGGAATACTTACCCCAACCGTGCTTCCGACTTTTGCCATGTGAGATAGAAACCCTGCACAACGGATCCACATATAAAAAATGGCTGGCATCACCTTTCTTGCCGCGGAGGCTTACTATCTCTTGGGGTACCTGAGTAGCTTTGACTATCTTCTTCGAGATATAGCCAGTCAACGGCTGTCTTTGCTGATCTTCCTATAAGATCCTCTTTGTCCTCTTGATTCCATCATTGTTCTTCCCATACCAATTTCCTTTTTGTTATTACACTGGGATCATAATTCACCATGCCGTCTGGCATCGCAGTTCTCTCTCAAGGCGTGGGCTATGGAGTCGTACTGGGGGTTGGAGCTTTCTTCGCCCTTGGTATGATGTTCATTACTTGGGCGCTCAGGAGATACAACAATGAATTGCAGACCAGTGAGGTCTTTTCTACTGCTGGTAGAAGTGTCAAGTCTGGTCTTGTGGCTGCTGCTGTGGTAAGTAAGAGAAGGATACAGACTGCTCACACCTCCCTCCCCGCGTGCTGAGCGATGTTACGTATACCTATAGAAATGCTCAATAGTATTAGGAGAGAGGATAGTGTCCATTGAGAAGCGATGACTTATCGGCTCTCACTAGACATGTCTTTGTTTCCCAATACAGTTGTGCTTTTTTATAGCTGTATATGTTACAGACTTAACATGGGAAGGCATGTTTGGAAAGCCACCGGGTGGCTTCTCAAGTGCTCTCTGTACCATTCACTCTCAATAAATATGCTAATTAGACCCTCATTCAGATCAGTTCCTGGACCTGGGCTGCAACACTTTTGCAGTCTTCTGCTGTGGCCTATGATTACGGTGTCTCTGGACCTTTCTGGTATGCTTCAGGAGCAACAGTCCAAGTCATTCTATTCGCAACCCTGGCTATCGAACTCAAGCGTCGAGCCCCCAATGCTCATACATTCCTGGAAGCTATTCGTGCCCGCTATGGTGGAATCACTCATGGCGTGTTCATCGTTTTTGGTTTTATGACCAACATCCTGGTTACAGCTATGCTCTTGACCGGTGGTAGTGCTGTTATCGAAGATCTTACTGGCATGAACCCTGTGGCTGCGTGTTTCCTTCTTCCAGTCGGTGTCGTAGCCTACACCATGTTCGGTGGTATCAAGGCTACCTTCATCACGGACTGGGTACACACGGTAGTGATCTTGGTCATCATCTTCTTGTTTGCTTTTACGGCTTACTCAACCAACGAGATTCTTGGAAGCCCAAGCGCTGTATACGACGCGCTTGTGGCTGCTTCTAAACGCCATCCCGTTTCAGGTAATGCGCAAGGAAGTTATCTTACCATGCAATCTCGTGAGGGAGGAATCTTCTTCGTCATCAATCTAGTCGGCAACTTTGGCACTGTCTACCTTGACAACGGATACTGGAACAAGGCTATTGCTGCTTCGCCTGTGCATGCTCTTCCTGGATATGTCATGGGTGGATTGACGTGGTTTGCTATTCCCTGGCTTTGTGCTACTACTATGGGTCTTGCAGCCTTAGCTCTCGAGAACAACCCTGTTTTCCCTACCTACCCTCTCCGCATGGCACCTGAAGATGTCACAGCCGGCCTGGTACTGCCCAACGCTGCAGTTGCTCTTTTGGGCAAGGGAGGTGCTGCTGCTACCTTGGTGCTTATCTTCATGGCTGTCACATCAGCTATGTCTGCTGAACTGATCGCTGTCTCGAGTATCTGGACATACGATATCTACAACACTTACATCAACCCCAAGGCACATGGCAAGAATCTCATTTACATGTCTCACGTCAGCTGCGCTGTTTTCGCATTGATCATGGCCGCTTTCTCGACTGGTCTCTACTACGCTGGAATTGGCATGGGATACATCTACTTGATGATGGGCTGCATCATCGGTGGCGGCGTGTTGCCTGCTGCTTTGACTCTATTGTGGTCAGGTCAGAGCTGGGCTGCAGCAACCTTCTCTCCTATCATCGCCCTTGCATGTGCCCTCATCGGTTGGCTCGTACAGGCAAAGACACAATACGGCAATCTCTCCGTTGCTTCAACAGGCTCAAACTACCCTATGCTTGTCGGCAACGTAGTAGCTCTGCTCACACCTGTAGTCACAATCCCTATCCTCTCCCTCGTCTTCCGCACCGAAAAGTATGACTGGCAATCCATGAAAGACATCAGAAGACCTGATGATTCTGATCTCACTGCTGCTGCTCACATGGACCCCGATCTACTTCCCGGCGGTGCCCACGGCGAAACAGCACAATCCCTTGCAGCAGAAGAAGCAGAGCAAAAACACCTTCTCCGCGCTTCCAAGATTGCTCGCACATTGACCGTCTGCCTGGCATTGTGTTTCCTGATCTTGTGGCCTATGCCAATGTATGGCAGCGGTTACATCTTCTCCAAGAAGTTCTTTACTGGATGGGTTGTGGTTGCTATTATCTGGTTGTTTGTTACAGCGGCTTGTGTGGGTATTTACCCTGTGTTTGAGGGACGCAAGACTATCATCAGAACTTTCAAGAGCATGTACTTGGATGCCACGGGCAAGAAGCATCCGGTTACTCATGGTAGAGCTACTATTGCTGAGACTGCAGTGGTGGAGGAGAAGATGGAAGAGAAGAAGGAGAGGGATGCCGAGGCTGCTATCAGAGACTCTGACTAGGTTGTGTTTGCCATCAACAGCAATAGAAATTATGAGTAGAGACTACATGGCACGACGAGGCTAATGATTTTTACGATCAATTACAATGTACACACGATGTCAATGGAAGGGTTCAAATATCATGAAATCAAGTTCCGATTCTGGATTCTGTTATTATACCGATCGGAGGACCTCCTTCCATCGAATCGCCTAACTCGACCATTGTTTTGTCATAGACTCTACTTATTTGCATGTGCCAATCATCGTCGTCTTCATCATCATGGACGTTGATGTCTTCGGGTTCGTCATCATCCAGGATCAAATCACCATCAGCGTCAGCATCTTCTGGGGAAGGTTCACGAACATCTTCGTCCTCGTCAAACTCTCCCTTGTTTACGACTTCGACGACGCATACTCGTGTCCTTTCGACCAAACTCTTTATACGGACCTTTTCAGTACCGCTGACACCACGACCTGTGTTGAAGCCAGGAAGCGTCTCGTCGGTGGCAACATCTCTGCCCACAATCAACGAAGCAAAGGCATGGTCAAGCTTGCCCAGCAATCTGAAAAGCGGACGAGGAGCAAGTGGAAATGCCGGGATCATTGTATTCACAAAAAGAGCGAGGTTGATCAGGTAGGGTACCTGCAGAGCTGGTGTGCCACTGATCCAGATGACAGCAACGAGCTCGTCCACATCTTTTGCAGCTTCTCCAAAGCTGGAGTAACCTTGTACATCATTCCACTCGTCTGATTGTTGCAGCCTTTTCTCTGTGGCAGGGTCGTTGAGTTGTTCGATTAATCTGCCATCTTCGTCCATCTCTCGCACACCGCCACGCCCCAGGGATGGGTCTCTCTTTGCAAAGCGCCTTTGGATGTGAAGCAGTTGCTGGTCGACATAACGAATCAGTTTCGACTCCTTGGTACCACCAGGCTTGAGGGGTGTTCTTCGCGGTTGTGGCAGCGAGTTTGGGGTATTCGAGGACGCGACTGAGGACGGCGGCGGTGACAGAGGCACGAAGCCTCCAGCAAGATCCATGATTTATTGCGTTTGACAGCAGCGGCAGCACGCGATCTTGGCTTATACAAGTATTATTGCGGCAAGTACGGGCGTAACAGATCGTAACAGGAAGGTGGTGTCAAAGGTTAGTGATGCTGTCATGTCGAGCCGTGCGCGACTGGCCGGAGTCGCTCGAAGCCGCGGCACTTTGATCGTTGTTTCAAGAGTTGCCACCAATCATGTCAAGTCTGTCAGACCTGTCAAGACGGACAAGCTCGCGTGCATCCACTCTTTGACCGACAACAAGCATATTTATCTCGTACTCTAAACCATCCTTATCGCCGTGAATGCCCTCACCTTCCAAAGCCATTCTAGCTCGCCATGGATCTTCATCTATTTCCCCTCCGCCTCTCCCACCAGAAAGTGTCCCTTGCAGCTGCTCGCCTTCTCAACACGACGATCATTTCGCCATGAGGAAGTCTGTCATGCTACCTTGTTTGCATTTAAGTAGAGCACTGCATCCGTGAAAAAGTGTGTTTTGTCTCAGATCAGTCCCTCTCAATTCTCCGCCATGAGTGCTGCAAAGCTGTTCCTGGTCGCTGGCTTGCTTGCCAGTGGCTCATATGCCTCACCCATCCAAGCAAGAACGCCTTATGCGGTCAAGGATTCGCATTTTGTGCCTTCCAAGTGGAGACAGGTTGCTCCTGCTCCTTCGACTCACAACATTGATCTTCGTATTGCCGTGAAGCAAAATCAATTTACCGACTTGGAGAGACATCTCTACGAGGTCTCTGACCCCGACCATTCACGTTACGGCCAACATTTGAGCGAGCATGAGGTCAAGAAGCTTGTACAGCCTACCGAGGATTCATTGGCCCTGGTCCACGAGTGGTTGGCTGACAATGGCATCGCAACCAGTGATCTCTCATACAGTGCCGCCAAGGACTGGATCAAGGTTTCTCTGCCCGTACACCGCATTGAGAGTCTGCTCGACACAAAGTACAGTGTCTACCGCCATGAGGATGGCTCAGAGACTGTCCGCACACCCGAGTGGTCTCTTCCTGTCCACCTTCACGAACACATTGACACCATTCAACCCACCAACTCATTCTTCCGCAGCACGCCCAAGGCTGTATCTCTTGAGGTCAACAAGGTCGGTGGCGCTTACTCCAAGGACGTCACGTACCACCAGGATCCCAACGTCACTTCAATTTGTACGCCCAAGGGTGTCACACCTTTGTGCATGAGAACCTTGTACGAAACAATCGACTACGTTCCCCAATCTGCTGGCAAGAACAAGATGGCCCTTGCCAACTACCTTGGTGAGACCAACAACCGTTCTGACGCCTACCTTTTCCTCGATAAGTTCCGCCCTGAGGCCAAGCAAGCAGCCTATACCTTCCAGTTCGACGTCATCAACAATGGCAGCACATCGCAGGAGGTCGTACAGACGAACATTGATGTGGAAGGTGACCTCGATGTTGAGACCATGTTGGGAGTCGGCTGGCCCACTCCTTTGACTGCCTACGCTGTTGGTGGCTCTCCTCCTTTCATTCCCTCTAACGGCACCACTACCGACACCAACGAGCCTTACCTTGACTGGCTCCAACATGTTCTTTCACAGTCAGACGACACTCTGCCTCAGGTTGTCTCTACTTCCTATGACGATGAAGAGCAAACTGTTCCTCCTTCTTACGCCAAGCGTGTCTGCGAAGACCTAGCTCAACTCGGTGCTCGTGGTGTCTCCGTCTTCTACGCCTCAGGTGACAGCGGAGTCGGTAGCTCAGGCACCTGTATCACCAACAACGGTAGCGGTGCCAAACGTTTCCTCCCTGAGTTCCCCTCTACATGTCCCTACGTCACTTCCGTCGGTGCAACCATGGACTTCAATCCTGAAGTTGTCGCTTACCACTCTTCTGGCTTTGCATCCGGCGGTGGCTTCTCTGATCTTTTCCCTCGTCCTGCGTATCAAGACAAGGCTGTCAAGGCATACCTCAAAACTTTTGGTGATAGGGACGCAGCATACTTCAATGCTAGCGGTAGAGCATACCCCGATATCTCCGCTCAAGGAAGCTACTTCGCTACCGTTTGGAACGGCACTGAGACGCTTGTGTCAGGCACCTCGGCTTCGACACCCTTAATTGCTGCTATTATTGCTCTTGTCAATGACGCACTTATCGCTGGCGGAAAGCCTACTCTGGGCTTCATGAACCCTTGGTTGTATAAGAAGGGGTACCGCGCTTTTACTGACATTACTAGTGGTTCTGCTGTGGGATGTGCTGAGATTGGCGATGGCAAAGGTTTCCCTGCTGTTGAAGGTTGGGATCCTGTTTCTGGATTTGGTAAGTTACTTTCACGACTTGTTCTTATTGTATTATGCTAATGGCTTCCATTTAGGTACTCCCAAGTTCAGAGACATAATACATTTGCTTGGTGTACATGGAAATTGGAATCACACAGGCGGCTTCAGCTAGATTGACGCTTCAGAGGCTTCAGCAGGCTTCAGCAGGCTTCAATGTCCTATATCAGCATCAATAGGGTATTGTTCATGCAACAGCTACAAAAGCATCCTTGACCTTCTCATGCTCCTTACATATATATCGTGATATTCAGGCATATGTTTCAAGGAGACAACGATATTGAGTTCCGTCGCTAGAATCTCCTTTCGTCTATTCCCGTGTGCTCAACTTTGTGATGACATAGTTGCAGAAAGTCAAGATACTTTTCTGGGAGGCGTTGTCCAAGGAGAGACAGCGTTTCGAGTCATCTCTGTGGCCACACTTCTGGGAAGCAAAGCAGCTGTGCATTTTAGCAATGAATTCATCACGATACGATTCCTCGGAGAAGCTCCTCCCAGTTAAGACTCAAGACAGTCTTAAATCACACAATCGAATCCTCATTCAACCAGACTCGGAACTCTCTTCACGAGCCATCTTCCTATCCCCCAGCGTGACGCCGATTCTGGAAACCACCAACCAAGCTGGCAGAAGCGAGATTGCCCAAAGGCCAAAGTTGAGGTAGATGTTTCCTGTTCTGGCCATGATGGACACACTGCCTAGACCATACTGTGTGTCGTAACGTCGTCAGCTCAAAGAAGTGTATGAGTGGTGGGATGAAATACTTACACTAACGGCTTGGACTGCAGATTCCGTGCCGCGGAGGAGACTGCAAATGCGGATGAGTTCTTCCTGGGACGAAGCGAGGTTACCGACGACGAAGTATCTGCGCTAAGTTAGTATGAATAGTCCATATGTGAGAAAGCAAGAACTCTGACTTACAGGAACAGATAGTTGAGTTGAAAGCCGGCAACCCAGAACAAGAACAGGGCAAAGCCTTTTCCGAAGCCTGCGTCAACCCAATCATAAGTCGAAATGGTCTTGTTGAATTCAGTCACCAGCACTGTTGCCCAGATCCACCAAGCACCTTGGAGACCTAGGATCGTGATGAAAGCACCGCGAGACCGAGACTTCAGACTAAACTGAGTATAGTCGAGGTATCTGCCAAGTACATTACCCATAATGACAGCAACAATGCCAGAGAGAAAGGATCCCAAAGCACGAGCGCGTACACTGAACCACAAGCCTTGGAAAGTGAAAAAGACAGACTCGGCATACACAGCTTGTGCAATCAACGGCACGATAAGCAAGAAGCGCTTGCTAAAGAAGAGTTTGGACATTTCCTTGAGCTCGTAGGTGATGCTGTTTCCAATGCTCAAGCGCACAGGCAAGCCATCAGTCCTCTGAACCTTGTCGGGAGGAGTCAACAACAAGCCAGCGAAAGGCGCAAGAGCTTGGAGTGCAATAAACGCTTCAAAGACATGGTATGACACAGAGCCAGCCTTGTTATTGTTGACGTTGATACCAAGATTGATCGCTCCTCCAACAATCTGGCCCCCAAGACGGAAGCTAAGCCAGAAGCCCAAGAAGCGGCCTTGATTGTGAGGTTCAGGATACGCAAGCGCGATAGCAGCTTCGACAGACCAGAAGATACCAGCCGAAAGGCCGCAAAGCGCTGCGCCGAGAAGCACAAACCAGCCATCACCGTAACGGTTGTTGACATAGAGTCCAGCTGCATAAGGACAGTATCCCAGGGTGCCGATGATGAGAGTCCACTTGACACCGACCCATCGCACTATGACGGACGAGAAGAAGCAAGTCAAGACCATGAGGCAGAAGGTCAATGCATTGGCTGTGTTGACGAGTGTTGGCGATTGTTGTCCACCGCCACCGAGCGAGTTCATCGCACCCCAGATGCCGGGAGCTAGAAAATTGCAGATGCCCAAGATGAATGCGTTCCAGAAGGTAGAGCGGTACCATGTTGCTGCGCTTGGTTAGTATGGATGACATGGAAGGCGAGGGTCAATAGGAGGGTAAAACTACTTACGCTTACGGATCGCCCTTGACGCACCGTCATCGTTCGGACTATCGAGAGATTGAGTTGCAAGAACTCCAGAGCTTTTTTCGTTTGCGGTCATCTTTGTTGCTTCGAAGGTTCAGGTTAATCATAGTCTGAATCGTTCCGCGTCCATGGTCATATACCATAGTAGATGTAGGGCTACAAACAACACCAAGCCTTTTTCCACGCTGAATATCTCAACAGATTCATGATGCAAAAGCTCGCCATCTGCGGAATAGTGAGCTTCGATTGTATGCTCGAACATGGTTCGTCGATCATTGTCTGGGGTTCGTGAATCCTGTATGGTGCAAAAGCTCGTCATCTGGAGTGTATCCCGAAATCTAGCCGATGCGATGCTGGCAAGTTCAATCTGAAAATGCTTGCGCGCTCTACTCTCTTTCACATCTCTGAATGGAAGGCTCAGGTACTCTCAAAGTGTCATCTGAGTATTCACAAATCTACAAAATAGAGCTCCAGACTGCAACGAACCAGCTATGGACTGACCGTACCACTCATGAGCACTTCCAACTGCTTGCAGAGTCCACATTTCCGTGAGTATAGATAGGCTGCTTGGGGAAAGGGCAAAGAGGTCTTTGACGGTAAACGCCCTTGGTAGGGTCATCATTGTTGTACTTGGTCGCAACCAATTGCTCCGGGGCAGTGCCGTTCTCGACCCAGCGCATCAAAGCAAGCAAACCATTGTGCTGAGCATCATCGAAGCCAGGAACACCATGGCTGACGTTAGTCAAAGGTTGAGTAGCGCCAGCGATGTACCAAGGAGAGTATTGACTGCCAGAACAGTGACTCATTCCAGCGATGGGGAAGAACTTGTAGAAGCTGTCCATCTCGATGTCGTGAGGTGCGACAGAAGAGGCGACTTGGCTGTAGAAGTACGAGCTCGACCTGAAAGGGATGATGGGATCAGCTTCACCGTGCCAGTGGATGACCTTGCCGCCTCTCTTCTGGAAGGTCGACAAGTCGTAGTTGTCCGGAGTACCGTGACCTGGGTCGATGGCTTCAGAGAGACGAACTACGCTCTCGTTGAAGGTGCTCCAATCGTAGGGCTCGGTGGTGTTCAGCAGCATGTGTTCGATCGCTCCAGTTCCCATAGGGTTCGGGATGGGAGAGTCGCCAATGTATGCTACGAGGGGTGTTCCAAGACTGGGTACAGGGAAGATCAAGGTACCGTCAAAGTAGGTCCAGTCGTGAAGGGCCTTGTACAGAGTGTCGAGCTGAGGACGGGTGATGCAAGCAGAAGCGTTAGCGGCTCCCTCGCACAGAAGGGTCAGAGGGTTGAAGACACAGCCTGCAGGATTCATGATGACATTGTCGGTTACACCATCTTGAGGATCACACTGCTTGAGGATCTCATCGTTGATAACATTGGCCAATGCAGCGGAGATGTGGTGATCAGAATTCTGAGGAAGGTTGGCAAGAGTGGCTTGACTGGTCCAGATGCTCAAGTGGGGGATCCACCAGGCTGGAGCTCCGACGAAGACTCCGTCGAATGCATCGGGCGAGACCTGCATCTCCTTCAGTCCTTGGCGACCACCTGTTGAGCAACCAGAATAGTAGGAGAATTTGTGAGTCTGGCCATAGTAGGCAGCAGACAATGCTTTGCCGACGAGGACCGAGCCGTGCATAGCGCGCCATCCCCAGTTCTCGAGAGAGCCCTTGTTGAGGGCAAAGGTCGAATCCAGTACATTTGGGTTGAAGTGACCCGTATCCTGCTTGGTCAGTCATGCGGCAAAGACGAGACACATTCGCATGAACTTACAGTGGTGATGGCGGAGAAGCCGTAATGAGAGTACTGGCCAAGATCTTGCCAGTTGGTGAATCCACCATATCCACCATTTCCAGTGGTAATGATGCGAGAGTTCCATTTGTTCGGCATGTAGATGGCCATGTTGTAGGACGAGTTGCCAGGGGTCGGGACCTTGACGCTTACAGCGCATCCCTCGGGCAGACCAGTAGCATTGGCATTGGCTTCGGCATCAGTAAATGTACCTCCTTCGGCGACCTTGGTGACATAGTTGAAGGTTGAATTGGAGGGGATGACCTTCTGGAAGGTTGCCTTTGAACAATCCTTCGAGGCTTCAGCCAGGAGAGGGAGAGCAAGGACGGCAAGTCCAAGAGTTTGGGACAGCATTGTTCCTTGGACAGTGATCAAAATCTGTGCTGGGTGTCAAGTCGATCGATGGTGGTCAACAGCGAGTCAGCAACCTTTATAGACAACCACCTCTGACGGGCTAGAATGCATGGACTGCATGATGTCGTCCTCGGTAAACGGTTATAGGTGTCAACCGCATACCGCCTTCGCTAGAGTTGGCTAGGTTGGTGCAGATTGCTCGCCAAAATTGTGCTATGCTGGGAAATGTCCCCGAGATAGAGTGCAGATCATGGAGGCGGCAGTCCTGATCTGGGGTGAGATTTGAAGCATGAAACGTGGGGTCATCAACAGGACGAGCAGACGAGAAGCCGCAGAGCCCGGCAGTTGACCTTGGAGGGCCTCTTGACAGCCACGACAACCATGTCAGTAATCTGAAGTGTGCATTGTAATGAGGCGCAGATGCCCTCGACGCGCGAGATCTTATCGTTGTTACATGGTAAGAGTGCAGTGGAAGAAGTTCGATCGTTGGTTGGCCATTGACGTGACAGCTTTCGCTTGTGGGGACGCCAGAGGGCTCGGTGCTCAACCGTCCCTGCCCAGCCAACGAGTCAACGACTCTCCTTCGTTCACGCGAATGGGCAGTGGGCACCGGCCTGAGTACCCACATCAGATACGTACGAACGTCCAACACCCTGATAGCATGTGTAAGAGTGTTTTGTCGACAATTGTCGAAGCTTGACGGCCATGCTCTCGTCGTCGGGAGCCTTGATGTCGCTATACCTGTTTTTCTCTTCTCTACGCTCTCACTCAAGGCCATACTTCGGTCTCGCGAAGCTGGATCAATCCTCTTGATCCACAATGGCTCTGCTATCTGCACGTCGACTTGATGCACGGTCCCATACGCCCTTGCGATCCAAGGCATCCATATAACATCTGTCGCATTTAAAGTTCAAGGTATCCTATCTAGGGCATTAGCATGGCAATATGTCTGTCGAACACAATCCACTCTTGCTTGCATCTGCAAACAAATCATGGCTTGAGATACCCAATCTCTCCGATCTGACGTTTTGGCGTCTACTATTCACGGTATGCAGCGTTTGACCACGTCCAGCTGCTGCATCTAATGGTACCAGTGTCTTGCCCTCTATACCGGTTATGTAGCATGGGATGTCTTTTTCGGTCCGCTCTCTCATGTACCAGGTCCCAAGTTATGGGCTGCATCGCACATGCCGAAGGCTATCATGCTATGGACTGGCTCCGAGGCGATAACCATGCCAAAATTACACGAAACATATGGTTCTGTTGTAAGGGTTGCTCCTCGCGAACTCAGCTTCAATGACGCCGTTGCCTGGAAAGCCATTTATGGTCACAATACTGGCGGCAAGACCAGAACCTTTAAAAAAGACCCCAGATTCTATACCACGAATCCTCAATCAACAAGGCACATTGGTACTGCGGATGACCCTAACCATACTCGACAACGCCGTATACTGGCAAACAGCTTTTCTGACAAGGTTTGTAATCCTCAATCCTCTGTGAGCAGGATCACCCTCGATATGAAGCAGACTCTGGACACAAGAGTGCGACCCCATGCTGACTTTTTCCCAGGCATTGCGAGACCAGGAACCTTTACTGAAGCAATGGGCTGGTCTGATGGTTACGATGATGCGATATAATACTGACAGTTGCAGATTTGACATAATGTCGGATCTTACGTATGTCCTTAAAAACCCGTTAAACCCCCGATATAACCGAATTTGTTAACTGGCAATCGCAGCTTTGGTGAACCACTATACATGCTGGAGAAATCCGAGTAAGCTAGCATGCATTATCGGGCTCAAAAAGTGACTGACATCTTTCCAGATATGCTCCATGGGTCAAAAATGTATTCGGCGGCGTCAAAGTCATCGGCAAATTCATAGCAATCAGGCAGCTCCCATTTATGCCGTGGCTACTTTCAAAACTCATTCCAGCATCTGCACGCCGCAAACAAAGAGAGCATGAGAAGTACTCATCTGATCGAGTCGATCGCCGTCTAGCTCGTGATCCTGAAAGACCGGATTTCTGGACAGAGGTCTTGAGACGATCCGATGATGGTATGGGAAATGCTACAGCTGGCATGTCGCTGGCCGAAATGCATGCCAATGCTGCAGTCTTCATGATGGCGGGCACAGAGACAACTGCGACGCTACTCTCAGGTTTGACATATTACCTCTTGATCAATCAGGACAAGCTTGCAAGGCTGGCGGCAGAAATAAGAGGGAGCTTCATGTCAGAACACGACATCACCGTGGATGAGCTGGCGAAACTGCCATATCTCAATGCCTGTATCAATGAAGGCCTACGCATGTACCCTCCCGTATCAGGCGGTCTACCACGTAAAGTGCCCGCAGAAGGCGCAACAATCGCTGAAACATGGGTTCCTGGAAACGTCTCAGTGGCAGTCAATCAAAGAGCCACCTATCAAAGCAGCACCAACTTCTGTAACCCCACCAGCTTCGTACCCGAACGCTTCCTCGGCAACCAAGAGTATACAAACGACAATTTCGCTGCGTTACAGCCTTTCAGTCTCGGACCCAGAAACTGCATTGGTAAGAACTTGGCTTACCATGAGATGCGACTGTCTTTGACGATGGTGCTGTTCAACTTTGATATCAGTCTAGAAGAGGAAAGCGGAGATTGGTCGCATCAGAAAGTGTTCATTTTCTGGGACAAGAAACCTCTGATGGTCAAGTTGAAGGCTGTGAGATGAGCAAAGATGTTATGAAAGATAGCAAAAGTGCAGAATCAAGTAATGTCTAATCCACAAGAAGCGTATTGTTTCCATCTGTTCTTTCGGGTCGTCACTGCTACTCAGCGCCCCTACCAGGATCCGCAGTGGCACGAATGTACAGGCTTTCGAAGCAAATGTCTTCCGTCATACCAGTTTCGAAGTGACACAATGCTCGTACACGTCGCACCAAGCATTGTTCTAAGTCTCTCAAACTCCTTGTGCGACGCTAGCTGGTAAGAGATGGCGTAGTCGAAACACAACAGAGGCGAGATCAGAACCAACAACAACATCATCATCAGCAGAGTTTGGGCGAGGGAAATGGCGAAAGAGAGAGAGAAAAATGTTCTTGGGTATCGTGACAAGACTCTAATGTACAAAATTGGTTGCTTGGCCAGCCAGAAGCGAAAACTGCCAGCGCTTTGTGCAAGTAGAAGAGAAGAAAAGAAAAGAGAATAATCCTGCAAGGAATCCGAGATGAGTTTTGTTTGGGTAGCGTGGCATACCATCGCCTTCTTCCATGTCAAACGGAAAGATTGATGGCGTCCGTCGAGAAGCTGTTTAAGCGATGGAAGCATACACAATGGCGGTGATTGTGCTGTTCTTGGGCTCCTGGCAGCTCTGTGTTTGCGAAGAACAGGCAACGTTGGCGCTTGTGATGTTTGCGTGGCTAAATTCTGTGACTTTGTTGTATGGGTAAGGGCCGACACTTTTGGGATAGAAAATCAGTCGCAGCCTTTTTGACACCAATAGTGGTGCAGTTAGAAGGTGGTCACGTACGAGTCATCAGTGTAGGTGTACTCCATTTGCAGGACAAAGTCGTTCATGCCCTTGTAGGTACTCTCCTTGAAGTTCCAGCCTACAGTGCTGTTTGCACAGGCGATCTAGATGCATGTCAGCAATTGTTTCTCTGACATGGTGACTGCAAAAAGAACTCACGTATCCGCCCTCAGGGTAAGGTCCTTCGGGTGCCCATGAGCCGGTGCAGGTAACCTTTGAGCTGTGGGTGTCTACTACGAAGCTCATAGTCGTGTTTTCTGTCAAGTGTCCAGGAGACATTGCTGCGTTGATCTGGAGATTCAAGATATCCATGCCATTGGAAGAGACGCCAATGCGAGAGAAAGTTGTGACAGGGACGGCAGATGCAAGAGGAGCAGCGGCGATGGCTGCAAGAGCGCCCAGCGACTGATGGAGAGTGAACATTATGATTTGGTGATTTCTGATAGAGAGCAGGAGAGTTGGAAAGATTAGTATTTGAGTGGTCGCAAAGGAAATCAAGCAAAGGAATGAAGCACAGTAAACAGTAAGGAGTGACGACAGAACTTATAGATGTCGTTACAAGAAAGCCAAGTGAAACTCGAGTTGCTGATGCCTTGCTGAGGCGACGAACCCATCAAGCAACCTAAAGTGTGAAACCCGCAAACGTGCACGATTTATCAGGCGATAGAGTGCGCAGTCTTGCTTTTTGACCGTATTGCCGGGTGGACACTGTAAGAGCCTGGCGTCGTGAAGGACAAACGCGAAGATCCTCAGCTATGGTTGCCTTTTCGGTTAGTAGTCCAGGGGTTATAGTTGGAGATCTTCGCACTGTTGTTTGCGGAGGTCTTGCTCTTCCTTGCCGATGCTGCCATGAATAGACCATTTAGTTTCATCTTTCCTCGTCAGACAAACTTGAGCCCCACGGGCTGTGTCAAAATGTCAGTGAATATCAAAGGTGTTCCTGCATATTCTGAATTGCTATGGCCAGCCACACCGAAAGACGATGACAATTTCAGGAGTTGGACACAACTTCCGCGACTACTTCGAGGCCGCTTCTCAGATGTTGTTTGGAAGTTTGTGGGGTGTTACAGGCTTGGTTTGCAAACATGATCTAGCGTTTCACGACTGTGGTATGGTCCGAGCCGCAAACTGACAGAGGTCGTACCTGATTATTTCATAAACCTAACTCGGTGAATGTGATGCGTTATGCCTTGCGATAACTCTGCCTTGTTGCACAGGCTTGTATGAAAGATGCAATCTTGATTCGCCGTCATAGTGCTCTTGCGATACCAATAGAATTGACCTGGATGGCTGAGGAGGACAAGAGCTGCAGGCGGATGATTGCCCTCTAGCTGGACTTCGGTATCCGAGGCATTGTCGATCTTCTTCCGTCGGAACGTGGTGAAGCGGAATTTGATAACAAGTCGAGATACAACCAGTCAGCCACCTCAACAAATACTCGTTTTCATGAGGTTGAAAGCAGTCAAAATCATCTTCTCGCATTAGCACAGGAGAGGCACTGAATCTGAGAATACCGTTGCAAAAGAGGGCTCGCAAAGCCGGAGAATTTTAACGAGCACCATGGACCCCGACAACGGGGACAAACTCCACACTTATTTTTGACGGTAAATTGCTTGTCTATAATTAGGGACAAGGCTTTTACACACGACTCAAAGACGCAGGTTGGGACGGGCAAGACTTGACCATTCGTGGTCGACGAGGCTGAAAGAGCGTGAGCGAGGAAAGCGAAATGCGGATCTGACTCTGTATGAAGCCATCTACGGGCCGCGAATGTACATCCTCATTCGAGGAGGGATACGGATGAGCGATATCCTTGCCGAAGATGAGCATGTGAGAGTGCTCGGGCAAGCGAATAAGAGATATCAGAGCAAGAGAGACGGAAAGACCATTGCGACGGGGTAACGCCCTGCAGCAGGGAGTGCATGATTCCAAGTCAAGCGCAAGGCCAGACCGGTTCGAAGAGGCAGTCAAGAGGATTACGTGCTCGAAGAGAGATGAGATGGCTTGATACTAGTCTTTGTCGCGCCAAGGGAGCAATTCGCAGCCGCGAAAGGTAAATGTCAGATCGTAGGGGTCACCAGGCTCTACATGATGGGGGGATGCTGACAGACGCGTCCGGCCTTGCAGTAGAGGGTAGTGGATAGGTGCGGAATTCGCGAATGCCGGATATTCAAAACGCATGCCGCGAAATCTACATATCCAGTGCAAAAAGAGAGATCGACCTTGTTGCGAATCACAGGGCTTTCTGTAACAGGAGAAGGCTCAGTCTCTCTCGGTGTGCTTACAGATAGGCTAACTTTGCTGGGTCTGTGGAGCTGCAGCGTGCCAGTAACCCCTCGATCTGCTCAATCTCGGCGCGTGCGCTCCAGGCCATCGGCTCTATTCAGCGAACAGCAGCCCTTCTTTGAAGGGTGGAGCAGACTATTCAAATGCTATCCAAACTGCATTGGCAGAAAAGGTCGAATCGCAAATCCCAGCAGTCCTTTGAAGGTCACAGCCTGTCGCCGCAGGCTTCGCCCGGTACGTACATTGCCAGCCTATCGTGCTGTTTGTTGCTATAAAAGTGTGATGGGCACGACAACAGTATATCTGAAGAAAAAGAGATTTGAGCTAATCATTTGCCATGTCTACAGAATTAGAGTCTGAAGGAGCACCTGCGAACCCATCCTCTCGTCGACCTGGGTTTCTATCAAGAGTTCGCAGCCAACGCTTCTCTACAGTCAACGTGCAACCTGAATCAAGTCACCAGGGTGAGTTTTCCACGAAAATTGGTTGAGAAAGTCATTTATAACACAGCATCAGAAGCGTCAAGCAATCCAGTACCCAACAAGCGACACTCATACTACCAGCCTGCCCAGCCATTGTACGACACGGTCGAAGCTCAGCATCCAGTATGAATTCACGTTGCAGACCATCAGATGACGACTGACATTTTTGAGCAGAGAGCATCAACTCCAGAACACTGGACACCAAGCCCTGTTACATACTCACGGCAAGCAGAGATAGCGGACGCAGTGTCGCTTTCGTCGAGTATCTATACAGAGGGCAACACTCAGATTGGTCAAGACTGTCTGTCAGCCGCTTGGAACCCGGGGCAATTGGTACCAGACAGCAACACAACGCAGCAGCAGCTCGAGCATCTCAGGCAGTCTGACTCTGCTACCATGAGTATTAACGGAGCAGACTCGGTGTCTTCAGACTCGGGAGTTCCGCTGGACCGCTTCATGCAACGAAGATTGCAGCGGCTAAACACCGAACAGGGTTTCCGCGAGCAGCGTCAAGCTTCATTGTCGTCGCAGCACGCCCAACACTTGAAATCGTCGTCTTTGCAACAACAAGCTGAATTCCACCACCAACAACCCACGCAACAACAGCAGCCTCCACAACGCCATCAATCTCTTCCGGACCACCCTGACCAGCCGCTGCCCGCCCGCATTCCTGCTCAAGTCATCCCCAGCGTCCCAAATTCGGCTGCCACCACGCCGTCCTCGTCCTCGGCGTCGCCGCACTCGCACTTCCGTTACGACACTCCACAGCAGCCCCAGTACCAACCACTTCGCAATTTTGCCAAACTGCACGACGACGGTCCGATTCACCTTCCGACCTCGAGTCTGAATAAAGCCTCGCCCCGCCAGCCGTCAATGGCCTCGTCCCAGAGCCCCGCCCCGACTGCAAGAGATCCCTCCATCTTGTCGCAACAGCAAACACAACAATCCAAGGATGTCGGTCGCTCGACGCCCCAGCCTAACGCCGAGGACTTGACCGAAGATCAGATTCGACAACTGCTCAGCGACCACAAGGAGCTCCGTAAGCCGCCCCACTCGTATCCACTTCCGCGATCAATCATGCTAACCGCGTTCCAATCTAGGCGAGAAATACCAGAAGGTCAAGAAGTACTACTTTGAGAAAGAAGACCAAGTCAAGCAGTTGCAAAACAGTCTTGCTCACCAAAGGATCGCCCAATCACGCACTTCCCTCGACGACGGCGAGTATGCGACCCGTTTCAACCGCCTGGATGGCCTGATCGCACAACTGTCCTTCAGCATTAGGAAGAGCTGGAAGTCGGTGCCTACCTGGCTTACTCCGGCTGTGAACAAGGACGCTATAACCATCGGCAAGCAAGAGATGACGGCGGTCGGCCGAGCCTTCATTTCGAAATGGCTGGTTGAAGATGTCTTTGACCGTTACTTCCATCCGGACATTGATCTGGCCCTGTCGACTCAATTGAAGCAGATGCAGAACAATATTCGTCTCTTCGCTCCACCGGCCACTGTGCACGAGGACGAAGAATATCTTACCTCCAAGGTCGTCAACTGGCGACTGACCACACTTGAGGCTATGCAGGATATCCTTCGATTGCCCGAGGCTTCGAACCACCGCTCTCACCTGACTGACCTGCTCAAAACACAGCTTCGTACTGCTCTTGAGGCTCACCTCGACAACCCACCCATGTCTGACCTTGATGGTGGTGTGCATATGATCTGCGAACTTGCCGTTGCAATGTTGGGTCATCTTCCCCAAGAGAGTCGAGACGTCACAATTGAGTACTTCCAACCAGGTACTGCATTGAACACTGATATCATGAAGCTCGAGTCTGGTATTCCAGCCTTGACCACCTCGATTGCCGAAGAGATGACGGAGCGAGGCAGCGTCAACAGCGAGTTGACTGATTCAAACGACCGAGCATCTAGTGAATTGCCTTCGCGCAGACGCAACATGCTTAGTGCCTTCACCGGTGGTCATAAGAAGAGTCACCCAGCACAAGGCAAGCTGAACGGCGGTAGCAGCACCAGTCTGGCCGGGAAAGAGGATCGTGTGCGTCTTGCAGTCGGCATTGCGGCACACGTTCGGGAGCGCGGAATTCTTGTCAAGGCACCCGTCTTTACAGCCGCGTAAGTTAATCAGTGGCCAGGTGCCATTGTGATGATGGAGCAACAGAGCTTATTAGAGCTCTCTATTTGTGTAATTTTCGTTTCAGGCGGAGCGCGCCTTTGGAGATACCCTGCAGTTTAGATTGAAGCAATGCGAGGAGACGAAGAATGTAGCTGTGGAAGTTCTAAGATATGTTAGGCGAATGTTCATCTAGGGATCCTTCCTTATTATACTTCCTATCGACTTCACTTTCCCAAGGTTCGAATTTCATGCTCAACGGATGTTGACATCAGGAACATTCTGGTTTCTTTCTCTTGCTGTAAATTGCGAAGCACATGCAGCTGCCTCGATCTTTTGATCGAGTCCAGCTGATGAACGCTGGCTGAGCGGAGAGAGACCCTCAAGGCCAGGGCAAGCCATGTTCGGCAAGGTCCGAGGGCTTTGGCGGATAAAGGCCGGGTATGTGCTCCATGACGAGGCATTGACAAGAGTGAAGGGATCCAGAGAACAAACACGACCGCATCCGGCCATCTTTCCATCGTGTGCCGGTCCACGTCGCTGTTTTGTGCAAACCGACGATAACGACCGACAACGACCCCGATTCCGCTCTTTTACGCCTTGTTTTCATCCTGCAAAATCATCCGGACGCCCAGCCAGTAGCTGCGCAAGTCGCAACTGCGCCAAAGATCATCGGCTTCCATCACAGCATGTTTGAGAGAGCAGCCTGAGACCTCGACTAGAATAAGCCGCGCAAACATGGCAGCTCCTCGTCAATGGGGTGTTACTCCGCCCGTCTCAACCGCCTTCCCTACCGACAAGGAACTCGCCCAGAGCGAAGCTCTTCTCGCTGAGCTCAAAGAACAAAAGAGCTTCGAAGCCACTGAAGACACAAACAAGCGCGTCGCAGTTCTGTCCACCTTCCAAAAGGTCACGACCGAGTTTGTCAAGCATGTCGGTAGACTCAAGGGTCTCTCCGACAGCGTCCTGCAGAACGCTGGCGGCAAGGTCTTTACCTTTGGCAGTTATCGTCTTGGTGTCTTCAGCCCAGGTCATTCATCTCGTCATCATGTCCGCTGTTTCAATCATTGCTGACACTTACCCACAGGCTCTGATATCGACACACTTGTTGTCGCGCCCAAGCATGTGTCTCGTGAGGACTTCTTCGAGCACTTCCGTCCCATCCTCGAGGCCATGTCGCCAGCAGGCGCTATCGAAGAGTGCACCGCCGTCCCCGAAGCCCACGTTCCCATCATGAAGCTCATGTACCAAGGCATTGACATCGATCTCATCTTTGCTCGTCTGCAGCTCAACTCTATCCCCCCAAACCTCGATCTCGAAGACAACAGTCTGCTCCGCGGCCTGGACGATGTTGATTTGCGCTCTGTCAATGGTACCAGAGTTACCGACGACGTCTTGCGTCTGGTTCCACAAGAAAAGACATTCCGTCATGCCCTGCGTTGCATCAAGCTCTGGGCTAGCCGTCGTGCAATCTACGGCAACATCATTGGCTTCCCTGGAGGAATTGCTTGGGCCATCATGGTCGCTCGCATTGCGCAGCTCTACCCCCACGCTTGCGGCTCCTTGATTGTTGCTCGCTTCTTCCAGCTTATGAGAAACTGGCAGTGGCCCATGCCAGTCATGCTCAAGACCATCGAGTCCGGTCCTCTCGACCATACCGCAAAGATCTGGAACCCCAAGATTTATCCTGCCGACAGTCGCCATCTCATGCCTCTCATCACTCCCGCTTATCCTTCCATGTGCGCTACTCACAACATCACCAAGTCTACTCTTGCTGTCATCACTCGCGAGCTTGAACGTGGCCATGAAATCTGCACCAACATCCTCAATGGCAAGTCGCAATGGAAACACCTCTTCGAGGGCCACACCTTCTTCACAAAGGACTTCAAGTACTATCTTAGTGTTGTTTCGGGCAGCTTGAACGAAGAAGCTCAGGGCGACTGGAAGGGTCTGGTACAATCGAAGGTCAGAAGACTCATCGGTAGCATCGAACAGTCTCAGCCGAATGTTGCATATGCCCGACCCTACACCAAAGGCTACGAACGCGTCCATCGTGTTAAGAATGACGAAGAGAAGGATCAAGTCATGCAAGGCAGCACAAAGTATCAAGTCTCCAAGACCGAGACGGTCGACGAAGCGGACAATGTCAAGCAGTTGTCTGCCGAACAAACCTCTACCGACAAGATTGAGGAGCCTGCTACCAAGGTCGAAAAGCCAGATGAGAAGGAGAATGGCATGACAACCATCTGGACTACGACCTACTATGTCGGTATCGAAATGGTTCCAGGTATGTTGTCTCAATGCGAATCCCCATGACGCACAGGCTGACTCGCAAAAGGCGCACAATCGCTTGACATCTCCTATCCAGTACAGGACTTTAGGCTACAATGTACTCAGGCCACGCAATACAACGAAGACGTCAACTCGATTCGCGTCGTTGTCGTAAAGAGGTGTGTTGTGTTCGTGCTTATCTCGACTCCAAAAGCTGACCTGTCTTCAGCTACGATCTGCCTGACGATGTCTTCAAGGAAGGAGAACAGCGTCCCGTCAGAACCAAGAAGAACAAGGGCGCCAAAGCCGCGAATGGCACCAAGAAACGAAACGCTGGCGAGGCGAACCTGGACGTACGTATACAGCCACGATTTCGACAGAAGACCGTGACGATCGAGACATCATGAGCAACATCTCTACATTTTCCCCCATCATCTCATCATCTTTTGAGTTTGGCTACTGACGCAGATTTGACTGACAGGAAAACGGCGAGAACGCATCGAAGCGCAGATCTACCAATAGCCAGGATGCTACCAATGGTGTCAAGCCTTGAGCATTCTTCGCGGTACAGCATTATTCTAATCTCTGTTGCTTGCATCACCGTCGAAAAACTTTGCATGCACCAGATCGCCACAGGGGCTTGGTGAGCAGTTCAACTGCTTCGCTTGACAAGACGCTGACGCCAGTGGATCGCCTTGCAGCTCAAGTATATGAGGAAAAGAGAAAAGGACAAAAAATGGAGCCCATGAGGCTAAGGTTTGTGTTGCGAATTGCTGCCTTTGCTCTTCCTTGACCACATCTCGCAACACCGTCTAGGGGCTCATATCGTGCACAGCATCACGTAATGCGCAGAATGCGAGTACTTAATAAACACAAATAACAGGTTCAAATGGCGTCGTGGCTCAAGCAGTACTTGCACAGAGTTGGCGCACACAAACAACACAACAAGGGCGCTCTCTTCAAGCTTCTGGCAATAAGCTTCATAATCGCATATCCGGGCAGGCGTTCTACGGATTCCGAGGTCTCGAGGGGAGTCATGGATGGATGGATGGATGGTGTTTCATTGCCATCTGGAGGGGTTCAAAGCAGGAAAAGAAGGTCAAGTAGAGGCGAGATAGCTTTTCGTGTTTTTCTGTTCTATGTCTACTCGCAATCAACACATTTTTGAAGACCATCCGGGCTTCACACAAAAACAAGCAATCATCAGAGCGAGCTGATTACACGAGTGACATGTTTTCAGCTGCTTCAGCTGCAATGAAGTCCATGAGAGTCAGACAGAGTTCCAGCCCTACGGACGATTTTCGGACATTGATGGGGGTCGGCGAGGGCTTCCAGAAAGAGTCAAAGGTGCATCGGATCCACTTCTGACAGCTCTCTACCTGCAAGATGGCTGCAAGGGAATTTGATGAGGATAGGGGATAGAAGTTTGAACAAAGCCGCAACGCAAGAGCCCGTTTCAGACTCTTTGAAATCTGCGAGAAGCCGAAAGATCAAACGATGGAAAAGGTGTGTTCAACGAATGACCCTCATCGCTGATCTTACTTGTTAAAGGGATTAGACGAAGTGGAAACGTGGTAAGCCAGCGAGTTTTTCGGCTTCGAATTCTCAGCCGCAGAGCTTCGTTCGCGCCTCGTTTGCTCTAGACTGATGAATAGCGAGTCCGCAGAGTCAGCCTTGACTCAAGGACAACATCAAATCATTTCGAGGTCACGCGCAGCCGAGACAGTTGGAAAGCAGATAAGCAACTTGATCGAGTCTGGAAAGATAAATCATGTCGATCTTCATGGAGTATTTGGAAACAGGTGAGCAGTGGCATTTTTCTGGAAGATGAAGACCCCAGTTTTGAGCCATCAAGAAGAAACAGAGTTTAGGTGTGGTTTCGCGTTGCAATCCCAGAAGCGGTGATCCGCACTTTTGGGAGGGCGGCGCCCCCAATCAATTGACCAATTCGATGAGAGCAAAACACACACACTACTTGACTGACATCTTTGGGCATGAGTCGTGTCACACGGTTGAAGAGGAAAAGGAGAGATACAGACAAGAGAAGGTTCAATGGAGATAGTCTATCACAATATACATGTTCGGCCTTTCTCTTTTGTAGTCAGTAGTCAGATGGTTGTGCATACGAATTGGGAATGATGATCTCGAGGTTTGGGGAAAAAGGTGACTGAGTTTTGGGGGTCCCCTCCTTTGGCGCATTGGCGGCTGCATGATCCAGGTCTTGTTGGCAGCAAGTCAGCGCTTGTGGTTGTTCCAAAGTACTAGAGTACAAGTAGCGATTGATCAGAATAATGGCGATTGACAGCAGCAGCTGCAAGGCTTATTAAGAGGTTGGAACTGTAGCATCAGGCGGGCAAGAGTCGTTGTGTTTCGGGAAGACGTTGTTGGATCTGTTGTCAAGTGCCTTGGCCGACCGACTTGTCCCTAAAGTTACGAAGCGCCTTCGCTGGTCTACACGCCGCCGTCTTTCTGGTCGCATCCTGGACCAACCACACGTTCTTTCTGCCCCCTTCCTGCTGTCCTTCTGCAGTTCGCACACCCGTCCGACGTCGTCTCGCTCCTGCCCTTTTTTGCTTTTCGCGCTTGTCTGCCTGCGCCTGTGTGCCTGCCTATTTGCCTGCTCCTGCCTTGGTCTCTGCTCGCGGGGCATATGAATTGTGAAGGGTGCTAGGACAGATGCATTCGCGCTTCCGCAACCTCGTGGGCTCGAAACGGAAAGCGTCTGGAAACAGCCTGACCCAGAGCCCGAGCATCAACTCGCTCTCCACCAGCAATACCAATAACAACAGCAACAACAACAACAACTCGTCTCTGGGGCCTTCGTCGCCCGGCCCAAACGCCGCGACCCAATCGCCGCCTCAGCCCGCCAGCGAGCGCAACTCGACCGCGTCAAACACCAACACGCTCGTTCAGCAACAGCAAGCAACCGGCTCGACCACCTCGCTCGCCATGAACCCGCACCAGCACCCTTCGCAGCAGCACGGCTCTCCCCAACCCGGCCAGCAGCAACCTTTGGGTCGACCGCCATCATACCAGTATGCCCAGGCTGGCCAACAACAACAGCAACAACTGCAACCGCAGCAACAGATGGCCGGCCGTCCGACGAGCCCCATGCCTCCTCCGCCAATCAACACCCAGAACCCGTACGGCCATCTCCCTCCCCACGCGCCGCAACACATGTACGGTCAGCAACCACTCTCGGGTCCCCCAGGCTATCCCATGCAGGGTCCGCCGCCGCAGCAACAGTATGGAGGTTATGTGCCTCAGCAGTCCATGGTAGGCGGGCAATATCCCTACAATAGCGGATATGTACCTGACGCCAGTAACCAGCGGAGCAAAGCCCAGCTCATTGTCGGAATCGACTTTGTAAGTATAGCGTCCGTGGACAGCCACTGGTTTGCGCGTACTGACAATGGTGTGTTCAGGGTACGACGTTCTCGGGTGTCGCCTTTGCCTTTGCGACAAACACAGAAGCGAAAGAGGACATTATCGTCGAATGGCCTGGTGCTGGTACTCAGACAAAGCAAAAGGTGGGGTTTCGCATACCAACGCAGGAACAATAATGGATTGCTGAACAATTTCGCGTGCAGATCCCGACAGTGCTTTACTACGACCAACACCAGCAAGTGGTAGGATGGGGTGCCGATATTGCCGACGCGCTCGCACCCACCGGTTATCCCAAGCCTGGTGTCCAGAAGGTTGAATGGTTCAAGCTTCAGCTGATGATGAGCGGAAACACATACATCGATCCCATCAACCTGCCTCCGCTTCCCCCAGGCAAGAGTGAGATCGACGTCGCCGCCGACTATCTGTTCAAGCTGCGCCAGGCTATGCGCAACTACCTGCAGAAGACGCTCGGTGAAGTCTTTACCCGTGAAGAGCGCAACATTCGCTACTTCTTGACCGTACCCGCTATTTGGAACGATGCTGGTAAGGCAGCCACCCGTGCTGCTGCCATTCAAGCTGGTTTCCTTCGCGACGAGAACGACAATCGCCTGACTCTGGTCACTGAACCCGAAGCTGCCGCCATGTTCTGCTCCAAGACTGGTCTGCTCAACCTCAAGATTCAAGATGCTGTTCTGATTGTGGATTGTGGTGGTGGTACCGTAGATTTGATTGCGTAAGTTTTGCTGCTGTCTGGCATCATGAAATCATGCTAATCATAATGCTCTATAGATATGAAGTCGAGGAGGAGCACCCCTTCACCGTCGCAGAATGCACTGCTGGATCTGGTGACTCTTGTGGTTCGACAGCATTGAACCGCAACTTCTCCAACATTTTGAGGGCAAAGATTCGTAAGATGAAGCTTCCCGATGGTTCAAAGACTGCTGGCCGTGTCTACGCAAAGTGTATCATGGACTTCGAAAACAGAATCAAGGCCGATTTCCGCAACAACGGTCAGAAGTGGGCTGTTGATGTCGGTATCGAGGCCGAGTTCCCAGAAGCCGGCATCGAGGAAGGTTACATGACCTTCACCAATGAGGAGATCCTGCAGTGCTTCGAGCCTGTCGTCAACCGCATTCTCGAACTTGTGCGAAACCAGATTATTGCCATCCAGGCTCAGAACCGCCATTTACAGGTCAGTAAAATGCCGAATTCTCGTTTGAGCTCAAGCTAACTTGTCGCAGAATGTTCTCGTTGTTGGTGGCTTCGGTTCATCAGAATATCTTTTCCAACAGATCAAACTCCACGTTCCTCCGCAATTCCAGTCCAAGGTCGTCCGACCTATGGACTCGGTCGCCGCCATTGTCAAGGGCGCCGTCACTGCTGGTATTACCGAGCGTGTTGTCACATCTCGTGTCGCACGTAGACACTACCTCATGGCTACACTTCAACCCTTCAAGGAAGGCCACCACCCGGAGCAATATCGTGTACCCAGTCTGGACGGCAAGGACCGTTGCAAGTACACTCGTCAAATCTTCGTGCAGAAGGGCCAGCGTGTCAAGACAGGCGAACCTGTCAAGGTCTCGTTCTTCCGCCAAGTCGCACCTGGCGCTACCCTCATGTACGAGGATGTACTGTACGCCTGCGATGAGGACGTATGTCCTGAATATACCAAAGATCCTCGTGAGTAAATGTCGTTTTGAATATCAGAAAGCAACTAGCTAACCATCCAACAGGCATCAAGGAAGTTGTTACTCTCACCTCCGACTTGAGCCGCAAGAACCTCGAGAAAGACTTCGAGCGCATGGACACACCTCAAGGAACTTTCTACCGTGTCTACTTCGATATTTATCTCACCCTCGATGGCACAGAATTCAACGCCGAGCTGGTGTGTCAAGGCGAGGTCATGGGACGTTGCTCAGCCAGATTCAGATGATGCGACTTTTGTTTCTTCCTCAGCTACAGGCTTTCTTGTTTAAATCCTTTTTTATTGTTTAAAATACCCTTTCAGAAATGGACACGGCCCCAAGTCACAGACAAACAAATCAAACAGTACCAGCGCATATGCGAAACGAACAAGACAATGGCCGAGTCGAGGAGTCTGGCGTGCTTGGAAAAGAAGAAGAGGTCATGCTGCGAACGGAGGAGAGGCAGAATACACGCAGGTGCGATATCGAGCAAGGCAAAGCGAGTGTTCTCGGGTAGGAAATGCGGCGGTCTTTGATTTTCTTTTCTTTTTGTTTTCGTCCCCAGAGCAATCTTTGGTTACCTATCTTGTCGTCTCTTACTACACATGTCTTTTCTTTTGCTTTTTCACTCTTCTCGGTCTTGTGAAGTGAGGACTGGATATTATGTGTTTGAGATATCTATACGTACGCACTTTCTATATATGCTTAATCTGATTTTGTTCCTTCGTGCTTGATCGCTGCTGTAAGTGTGCACGTGTCTTGGTAGGCACGTCTTTTGATCCCTCAGCATACTCGACAAGTCGAGCGTTAGCCACAACCACTTGATTTTCGACGATCACAAAGACATCAAATGTTTGTTCATCCTCGAGCAAGGCAGTGGGATCATTCAAAGTTGTGCTTTCGCTTGGCAGAGAGTGATTGTGCAGGTTTCAATTGAATGAACAGGGTGGTACGACCAGCAATATCTCGGAAGCTGCACTCCAAGCTTCGGAAATTGCACCTCCTCTCGAAACGCGCTTGCTGCCATGACGTTGTCGAGACGCGTCTTTTGAGTTTCATCAGGGCTTTAACCTCTTTTCCACTCCTTCACACAAGTCTCTGAGATGTGGTTGAATGCTTCCTGGGACTTTCGGCGATGGCATGACCGCTTCAACAATGGTTGAGTGAACAATCAATTCTCAATGATTTGATGCAGCACACTCAAGACTATCGTGCTTAATTCGGTCCGCGGCTCTGGCTCCGCTTTTGAGACTCGAGGCTTCGAGGTATTTTGGCAAGTCAACTAAAGCTGACAACTCGATAAGTCTTTGGAAATTTACTCACCATAACCCAATGTTCATCTGCCTCGCCGACCAAATCATTCAACATGCCGTGTATCAAGCTTCGTGGAGGAAAGCAACGCATGCTCCCAAAGCTCTGTCTGCTCAACACAGATCTGCAGCAGGACGACCTTAGGTTCGAAGGGGTTTCACTCAATGCTTACTTTAGATAAGCATTGAGCCATGTTACTGGATGCCAGGAACAATCTTTGGTCACCAACCGTCTATCATGATGTCGACAGTCGGTTTCAATCCTCCAGTTGCCATGTATCCGCACAGGCTTGATAGGATGCAAGAAGCGAAAGCGCAAGCATCGACACCATTGCATGCGCCTGGGGAACGACATCTCTATCGAATGTGTTGAGGAGCACACGTGAATGATCCGGCACTCGCCATTGAACAAGGGAGGCCGAATCTTCTTACTGACCCACTGATGTTGATTCGTCGACTCGCAAGAAAGGTAGAGTAGCGGCAGCATGTAGTCTGGTGTCTCACTGGACAGACTTCCAACTGTGGTAATACTGTGCATCACGTCAAGGATTCAGAGATCACTTCAGACTGTCGAGAGCTAATTCAATCAAATACTTATCCTTTGTCCCGCTGCCCTCAAAGCACTCATCAGATTTGCCCTTTTCAACCTCTCATACACGTCAGAGCACCAACCTCATGAAGTCGTTCATTTTCGCTGCTGTTTTCTGGACCTGGTTTGGATCAGTTCTCGCAAGTTCTGAGCTTTGCGATTCCTTTGAGACCAAAAGATACCTTACTGCACAAGAGGTCAAGGACGAACTTGGACCATGGTTTCGAACTCAATTCGATGAGTGGAAGACCGATCATAAAGAGTCTGAGCCACGATTCTGGAGCTGGTTTCATCAGAAATACTCGCCTGGTATGACTGAATCTATATTGTCATGCAAGCTCAGTGGAACTTGTAGTGTAAGCCACTCAAAATCCTGCTGTAGGTCATAGCTAACATGTCTTTGTCCCAGCCTGTCTCCTGCAGGGAAATTAGTGACAAGTACAGCCTTGACGTTCAACGAAATGCTCTCTTCGCAATGGAGTCGGTCGTCAACTTCCACAACGCCATGTGGATGATCAAAGAAGCCAACGTGGAGGCTTTCAACAATGTGGAAGCTAACATGCAAAGCCTCCTCAGCCAGTTCTCCGATGGTAAGAACGTCGATCACCAGAAATCGGAGTTCAAAAAGAACCTTCAATTATGGGCGCACGCCATAATCGCGATTACTATGGTGGCGGCAGCGCTCTTTACAGGTTTCGCCTCCGCTCTCTCTCTTACAACTGCGCTAGCCGCAGTCGCGCCAACACAAATAGTAATGGATCAAGCCGAGACCGCAGGCATCAATCTGGTTGCTGCCGCTATGAGGGTGGACACTGCGATCGCTGGCGCTGTAGGCACTGTCTCATCATCGGCCGTGTCGCTCACAACGGATATGCTCGCCGGGCCAGATTACGCTGAGAAAATCAGCACAGTAGCGAGAGAGGCCATGTCGCAAAACCAAGACCTGGCCACGAAGTTTTTCGATGCAAACATGCTGGCATTACTGAAAGGAGATATTGGTGGAGCGAAAGATTACGCACTTGTCGACATTGTTGAGGGGGGCCGATACGCAAACACGACTGAACTTGTGCCAGAATATAGGGATCAGCTCCGGTACATGTGGACAGCATCAGCCATTTCATCCATGTGGTCTGTGGAGAATTCTTACATCGTTGTTTCCGATGTCAGTAGCGGTAGCTGCAAGTCTGATCATCGCGGACCTCAGATACTCAAGTCATGCCTTGGAGAGTATCCGACCAAAGTGTTTTACACTTATTTCTTGTCGAGATGCCGAGAAGGGATCAAAGGGAAACCGCTTGTACGCGGTCCTCCAGGCCACGAACTGCTCAAAAAGATGACCAACTTCACTCTGGACGACGTCGTTCGATCTTCTATGACTCACCTGAAGGACCACGGAAACAAGACACCCAGACCCCTAATGGGGGTTGAAGGATTTGAGGCCCTTTTTGGTCCTGGCAAAGCCATAGTGCACGGAGGAGGAAGAGCCAGAGGTATTTTTACCATTCCAGTCTGCTATACACCCGGAGGACAAGCCATAAGCTCGATCAATTTCAAAAAGAGTCGCAATATGCCATGCGCGTGCTCCAAGTTCAGCTTTTCTGGAAAACATCACAGGGCCGCCGAGATGGACCACTCCGAAGTCCAGGCACAAGCCTTGCAGAAGAGGAATGACGATGAGGGTGGCTGGCAAAATGATTACAAGACCACCTACGACTTTTTCCTCAGCTCAGGCATAGGTTCGTCCCATGATTTCCGCAGCTACTGCAGATCCGGCCGCAAATCTGGCAACAGCTGTAACAGGAAGGACCATGAGCACTGGAGCTGGCCCCAGGGTGTCACCGGACCGAAACATCCATTCCACAAGTGCAAACCAAACTCTCACGAACACATTGGTTGTCAGAAACCGCACAATGATGGTCACCATGAGAACAAGCATTGCGCGGGTCACGATGCCATGGCCATGGATTACTCCGTTGAAATGGGCGGCATGAACGCGACTTGGAGTAACTCGACTGGACCTGACTACGATGATGTTGAAGATTCTGATGACGAGGATGATGATGCCACAGATTTGGAGGAAGTCGATGATTCCGACGGTGAGTCTGGTGATGAAGGCGAACCTCAGGCTGATGAGCATGATGGTCTTGATGAGGCGAGGACTCCAGAAGCTCGATTGTCAGTCGCTTTCATGGCTTGATCCAATCTGTTGCGCGCACTGAGAATTAGCAATTAGGGTTGGGAGCGATTGAGTGTTTGGCAATGGGCTTTTGCTTCATCTCTATGATGTGTAACACTGTTTAAACACTGCTACGATATGGCAGTGAGAGACCTCTCGAGTACAATGTATCGTGATATTGTACTTGTTGGGATGCATAATTGCTTTCCGTCTTAGGTGTGAACCATTGAGATGTCCTCAGATGCAATCTCTCCTTGGACAGCGGATCTTTCTGGAAGGTACTGTGACTTTTTGCAGCTACATCATCACAGCGTAGACCATCCGGACGAGAGAAGCACAGCGCTTGCGCATACATCGAGCTCTCCATGGAGAATAACTGTTGAATCGCTCAACATCCCAAGCTTTTTCTGACGCGTTTGAAAGCTTGAGAGATGACAAAGTACACAAAACCTGCTTCAATTCAGCCGGAATCACGATTGCCTTGATGCAGTGACAGAGGTCCGTGTGAAAAGAAGTGAGGAAAGTCTAGCAATTGAAAAGCCGGTCAGCAGCTCGAAAACAATCTCTACATACCATGACCCTCCCTCGTACTATTCCAATCCCTGCCAAATCTATCCCAACCACCAGGCGGAGCATCCCACATGGCAAGATCTCTGATCACAAACTCATACGTGCCATCTTTAGGCATGACACCCTGACACACATTCCCACCCACAGCCACATTGATCAAAATCCTGTAATCTCTCATCGGTCTCGTTCCCGCGGGTTTGCTTGCCTTCATGACAGGTCTGCCATCGATATACCATACCAATCTACCTTGTCTTGTGTTTTCGTCTTCGTCCCACGCGAAATCAAATCTCATGCCGTGGGGTGAGGAAATGGCAGGGATAGGAGTTTCCACTACACGGTGCTTGTCGTGGTCTTCGCCGTTGAAATGGCCCCAGTGTAAACAAGTATGGTTTGTAGCATCGCCATTCCAAGCTTCGAAAATATCCACTTCGCCGTCGTAAGGCCAGGTAAATGGATCTTGAGGCAACAACCAAAACGCAGGCCAGATGCCTGGAGCCACTGGCGCTGTGATGCGAGCAGACACACTACCTCTGCATCTAGCAAGCGTTTGATGCGAAGACAGTCTCGCAGAAGTAAACTTTCTGTCTTGTTGAGGATGGGAGTGGTTGATTAGTGCATGCACCACCAATGCGCCATCGTTTGTGTGAAACGAGTTTGCAGTGTCGTCGACGTAGTTTTGGGATTCGTTGTTGCCCCAGCCCCAGTTTCCTTGTTCGTGTTTGAAGTGCGCCGAGACGGGGATGTGTGGTTGGCATTGTGGTGACCAGTAGGGTTGGGCTTGTTGTGCTGGAGCAGATGGAGAGGACGGCGGTTTGCTGGCCCAGGGGATTGG